GACGATCGGCTACAAAAAAGGCATCGTTCCTAATATCAGTGAGTATCGAAAAATGGGTATCATTCGCTTTTGTTGCGTTTCCAGGTGAAGCGGTGACGGGAGATTGGCAGCCGACCAGCTCTCCAAATTTCTCAGTTCATTATGATGTGATTCCTGTGAAAGCGGAGTGGAGTGATGAGGAAAAGCTGAAGGAATTCCTCTATGAACGTTATCAGCTCAAGGTTTGATCATCTGATTGAGACAAAATGAAAAAAAGGAAATTTGTCGTGTCTTTCGAAAACCTTAGGCTTGACCTCGAGAAACCCTAAAAGTAATTCAAGCGGAATGTAACTACAAGTAACCCCCATATGTCAATTTTTACTTCGATTTTAGTTTGTAATAACATGCAAAACAGACATTTGCCCGGATTCCCGATTAAGTGGTCTTTCTATTTTGTTTGGAACCGTTGTCAAGGCTGTTATGAACTTAATAAGTGAAAAATGTGAAAATTCCCCACGACTCTCAGTTTTTTTGAGCTTGAACTTAGAGTTTAGAAAAAGGAGTCTGTTAGCCAAGCCGAAAATCTCTGAAATTTAGCATTGGGATCTATCAAAATATGGTAAAAAAAACTTTTTCAGGACAAGTTGTTGAACGAATTCTACAAAACCGGCCGCTTCCCAGATAGTAAATGCCACGGTCCTGTGATTCCCAATCAGACAGAAATGGTCAACTCTCAAGTTTTCTGGTTGGCAATATACTTTGCTCACTATTACTTTTGGATGAAGCCTGTTTTCCTTTACCTTCTAGCTCTCGTCTTTTAATTATTCTCCGTTTCATACGGGTATGTCCGCTTTTTTCGGGTTCCTGTATGAGGTTTGAATACATTTCTTGCCTTCGATTCCTTCACGACTATTCCATTCAGTTCCTTGCACTCTATCATTTTGTTTGCGTTATTACTTAATCTTATTATTGTTATTCTGAAGGGTTGAAGAACCATCATTCTTCAAGACCTTGTACTTTTTTCTTGTTGTTTTCAGTTGTTGGCTACGAGCGACGCACTTTCTCAATATCAAGTTATTTTCCAAATCATGTAAATACGTGTCGGTACAATGTACCGCTTCTCAGTGTTGGATATCATTTCTTTGTGAAATAAAAAAAGTTTTTTTGGGTTTGTCCGGTGGGGATAAAAATAAAAATTGTAGAGATTACTCAGAAATTCATATTAAATCTTTTTTTGTGTGTTAAGATCGCATTTGAAAATATCCACAGAAAGACAAAAAAAGAAAGCACAGCATAAGAAAATTTCGAAACAAAACGAAATGTATGATTTTTTTCTGATACTTCACACTGAACTGAAATTTAAATATATGCTCATAGTAAAAGTATAAAGGGAAGAATGAGAAATTCTTTGATTTTATCTACATCCCAAATGTTCAATTCAAGAAATAAGTACACTTTGTATCAAAATTCTTTTTTCTTTTAATACAATTTTAAACCAATTTTTTTTATTAAAATGCTCAAATTCAGAAAGGATGATCGAGTATCGATTTTCTACACAGCTTGTTGTCTGGTCCTTGAGATGTTGTAACAGAGAGCGAGAGCAGGAACGAGCTGAGCTCAGGCTCAAATGTCGTTGCTGGACATTATCCCTGATGCCTGTTTCCACATTTTGGTCCGTCAATTGGACCCTGAGGACGTTTTTCGGTGTTGTGCCGTTTCTCAGAAGTTTCGAAACTATTTTCTGCCAAAAAGGGAAGACGCCGTTTTGAAAATTGTGAATTTTATATTTTGTCTAGAAACCTTTCTTCTTCGTTAAAATGTTTTGTCTGAAAAATTACTATCAAATTTGACTTCATTTTTCAGAAATATCCATAGTTTTTTTTTCAGATAAAAGAATAACAGTTCAAATACTGAGAGGTGAATTTTCGAATTTTGTCCAAATATATGAAATTGAGAGTTCAATGGCAATAATCTACAGTTCCGTCAGAAGAGATACGTAAGAACGCTTTTTTGATCGCAATTTTCTTGTATGAAGTTTAGTCTTTCCAGAACATTATAGAGTTGATAAGCTCAAAACAGTTATCTATCAACAATTTGTTCCTTTTCATGTGTAATGAAGCTTCCAGAAACTGCGAAGAGTTGAAGACCATGCAAGTTTTCTCTTCCATCAAGTTTACGAACACGGCTACACTCGTGTTGAGCTCGTCAAGCACATGAGAGTATGTCGACTTTGCCGTTCTCAGCGTTTTTCGTTCAGGTCAGCAAACATTTCCCGCTTTTTCTTGCCTCTTATCACATTTTTTTCAATCGAACTCTCTTTTTGATGGGAGTCGAGCTACACAATGGTAGATCTGATGCTTGAATGGGGAATTTGGCGAATGATAAGGCTATTGACGGTCGCAATCAAAGTACGCAGAGTCCAAGGTTGAAATGGTTCTGCGTATCGAAGAAAATGCCGCGTGCTGAGCTGGTCATGGAAATTAAACACGACACCATTGTCAGAGTTCCGCATCAGAAAACTTCAAGTAATGGAATGCTCACAAAAATATTGAAAATTTGTCGCGCATCATTCAATTATAGCGAATAAGTGCTATGTTTTGAAGTTTGAAGCCGATTTTTATTTCAAATTTTTTGAAAGTCATATGAAAATTCCGGAAACTTTTTTTTTCGGAAATTTCAAAAAGCAACGAGGAGCCTGAGGATGCTTCGGTTTGATTATAAACTCGACTTTTTCCGAAATTCGCTTTTTTACTTCAATCTTCTTTTTTCCCTTTTTTTCAAAAAGTTTATGTTTTCCTATCAACGCAAACATAAGATATTGTGTACAGAAGGAAACTGGAAGAACCAGACGACGACGTCCAATACCTCGAAGACGTGCGAAGGAAATGCGAGTCGATGGTCAACGGGGCCAAAAAACATCAGAAGAGATTGAAGAAGAAAGATAGAAGGATGGAAGCCAGCGTCGGCCTGTTCCGAACAGAAGAGGCCTACGCATTTATCGATAAAGCCGATGAAGAAGTTGAAGACGAGTGGAAAGTGAAAAGCCCAGGTTGCGTGATAATAATCAATTGAAGAACAAATCGAGAGATTCAAGAGCCGGAAGTGATCGACACACGAACTCCCGATTATCCAAAGACTATCGCTAGACTGGGCCTTCGAAAAGGCAAAGTTGTCCTTCTGACTGTTTCCGATTTGGAAGAGCATGAGGTAAGCAAACATTTTTTTTTTGTCAGGATTTATGGAGATTGAAATTGAGTTGGGCGAGCCTGAAAACCCAGAAATTTGAAAAGACAGGTCTTTTTTCTCTGTCAATATTATAATTTTAGTTCAAAAACAACGATGTTACCTGAAAGATGGTTTCGATCAAGTCATGAAAAAAAGATTTGAAAGATTCTTTTGAAGGACTCTTAAAAGCTTATCAGAAAACCTCTTTTTTTTCGTCTCCCTCCTTCCCCGAAGTTTGATTTCATAAGGAAGGACATTTTTCTTTGGGCTGGGGAAATTATTGGGAGATGGCCAGAAAACTCCTAGAAAAGCCAAATGAAGGTCCTGGAAGTCATAACCCGCAAAACTCTCTACTCTTTGAAAAACAAACCCAAAAATTCGAAGACAACACTAAAAATATGTTAAAATAGATCGTTTTGGAGTTTTGAGCTCTCGTTTCTCGTTTCTCGAAAATTAGAAAGTTTTTCAAGTAGGGGCTTTTTGGATCTCTTTTTGTGATTGAATAGTGAGTGTTCTGCCCGGTTCTCGAAAATTTCTCAGACGGAAAGTAAATCGACCTTCCTTTTTAGTTCATGTTCTTTCTGTTCGAATTTCTGAAGAAGTTTTCTCAGATAAGACTTTTCTCGGTAGTCCAATCTTTGATCCTATTTTCAGGCCTGGGATATCGAAATGCAAAGAGATTGGTACGCTCCATTGACAATCGATGACGTCTACGGTAATGAGCCTCGGAGCGAAGAAGAAAATTGCGTTGAATGCAGAAGACACGCGGCTCAACGCGTCTCTGCTCATGTAGAGTATACTGAATTTGAAGTTAGTGAAAAAATTACGATGTTCTCTCAAAAATTACTTGGACAGACTGGAGAATGGCAAATTGAAACGATAAAGACCGATCATAGACTCAATGAAAATATTGACCTTTTTTGTGAGATGTTCAGCATCGAGAGGGTCGAGCTACAATGCGTGAGTCTTTAATTTCTAATTATAGTTTTTTTTTTCGGATTAGATAGAATCAAAAAAAAAAGTTTTCAAACCTAGACTTTCCTACAAAAAAACTTGAAAACTATAACTTCTTGAACTTTTTTGGCTTTCAGGAAGACTTCATGGCGACCACCATTTTACCTCCAATTCGAAAAGATTTCTTTGATGTGCTGATATCAGCGAAAATTGAAAATCAGCTCTATCTAAAATCTTGGTTTCCTATTACCTCGGAAAGTTCTTTTCATTTTCTTGATCTCGAAGAGCCTTTTTGTGAGATTTTCGACGACTTGCCGCCTTCGGAAGATTCTGATAGTGAATAATCTCTTTTGAATTGTAAGTTATTGAGTTTTTCGTTGATTTATTGTATTTATGAAAATGCTGAGAATAAATGGAAAACACGAAAAAACCATATTGTGATGTCAGCGATGATGAATTCAACTTCATAACCTCACTGTCAAAACTATCAATAACGCATCTGTTGGACTGCATTCAGGGAATTTTCGCGTTTTCCTTGCAAAAAATCGGCTCAAGTCAGCGATGAAACAATAAGGGGAGTATAATTACACTTTTTTCAAATAAGTGCAAACTTTTTCTCCAAAGAAACTTTAAAATTGTTTTTTTGAATTGTCGCTCTATTTGGTTTGCGTGAAATACGCAAAATTATCAATTTTTTTTTGCTTGAAAACTTCATTTCTCAAAAAGCAGATTAAAAAATTTATTGTCCGAATAAGTTCGCGTTTGGTGAAGATACACGTTGGAAATGACAACGGGTAGTAGGGTCATTATTTTCTTTGTTTTCTAGCTCAAGTCATGTTTTTTTACATAAGAGAATGGGTTCGCATGTGAGTGTGCAGGTTGGAAGCTCGGTTGAAGGCTTTGTCACAGTGCGCACAAACGTAGGGTTTTACCTGAAACAAAAAAAATTTCGATGATTAGATTATATACTTTATTTCATAATTCTCACACACAAGGGCGGTTATGTCAGTAGAACTAGTTCACTGATTTTTTCCTGATATCAGGATAATACCTTGTCTCATTGACTTGGGGCGTCGATGCCAAGCGGCACAAATGCGTAAAAAAGAAGATCTAGTGTTTTATTCGAGATTCCGCTTGTCATAATGAACTCAGGCTTTTTTTTAAATATAGGTAATTAGTGAGTTGAAGTTAATATATGGCTGAAAGAGCTCAAAAAGAGTGTAGCCACACCCACGCAAAAAAATAATTTGTGCGTAAAAAAATAAAGAAATTCAAAGTAGTAAACAAGGAAATGAGTAATAATGACTCACAGTGCAAATATTCAGGGCCCAATTAAAAAAATTGTGATAGGAGCATTTTGGCCTACCGTTGTGTGGGTCAATCGATGGCGAGTGAGATTCCCAGGCTGGCGGAATGCTCTTCCACAGTGTTCACATTTGAATGGCTTCTCGCCGGTGTGGATTCTCTGAAAAAAATAACGATAATGATATGGTTTTAAAATTAAAAAAAAAGGTTCGGAATCGAGAAAAATTGATACCAGTTCTTAACGACCAGAGATTTGAACTTATATGGCCTATATCTTTAGTAATGACAGTTTTAAAGTGGTTGAAGAGAAATTATAAATTATAACCAATGTACCCATAAACAAAAATGAAAAGAGATTGAGGGTAGAAATTGAAAATTTCTGAAACTCGGGATATCTCATTTGTGCGATGACATTTGAGATGGAAAACTTTGATTTCTAGACATTTTTTTTTTACTGTTTTTCCTTTTTATTTCTTTTTGTTGCCATCTGAGAATCACATTCACTGCAAAAGAGCGAATGCATTATTGCGGATGATTGAAAGATTTGTGAATTTTTTTAATTTTTTTCGGAACTCTAATACTGCATTTTTTTCGAACGATTTTTTTGGTGAAAAAAATTTCAATTTTTTTAGAAAAACTTCAAATTTGAAAATCTTTTTTTGACGCACTGTCTATCTCCATTAACTTGAGAGGAAATAATTCCGACTAATGTCGAGGAAACAAATAATAATAATATTTTCAAGTTTTTCCCTCTTTCTTTTTTCCGTTTTTTTCAACATGGTCGCATTATTTTAGCGGCAGCCGTTTAACCAAGTAGAGACGAGCAACAAACGGTTAGAAGAACGGCAGCAATTTGCATAATTCAACGGTTTATGAAAGGCGAGTGTTTCGTATGAATGGCCGTGTCCAGGTGCAGTCGCAAGGCAAAAGGAGAAGCGCCCTCCTACCTCGGGGCTCCTCTGCCGACACGCTCATTTTTTAGTATGCTGTTGATTGGTCGAGAAAATAGCTTGGAAGGACAGTAGCAAAACAAAACTTCCCTAATCTTTTCAACAAAAAAGTTTGGGTGTGTTCAAGAAACTTCAAAAAAAACTTTTTTATAAAGTTTGCTTTTTTTATTTTCTCACCAATTATCATTGCTTTCGGAATAGTAGCTTCAAAGTTCATATCTTTTTTTGAGGGCAGTCCAAAGCCTTCAAATCAAAAAAATGACAATTCAGCCGAATTCGTGATTCAAAAAAAATTTTCTACTTAACCTTCGCAGTTTAATAACATAATCCCGCAGAAGTTCAACTGCCGGAAATAGCTCTGAGCAAATGAAAAACCATTATTTGAAATAGGTTTTATCTTCATGATTTATTCAGCCTCATTTGTCAAAAACGGCTGATTTCTGAAAGATTCAAGAAAAGCAATTATGACAAAAAAAAAATGTGACTTTGAACTGAGTCCACTAAAATTTGTGCTTTTTATTGCTCACTAAGTTCCCAACAGCCTCATGAAATCACATATTTTGTCAAAACCCTAAAATTTTCACACGCACACTTTTTTATAGTTTAAACGTTAATCGGATTGGTATTACCTTGTGAGTGATTAATGTATTGCTGCGACTGAAAGTCTTATCGCAGACATCACATCGATACTTTTTCAAGTTCGATCTTGCTGGAAAATCCGTGGAACTACGTCGAGTGGCGTTCCGAACTGGCAGGTTTGCTTCTGAAAAGAATTTTGTTATTACCCATTCACAACATCTTTGATTATCTTTTTATCCATGAAAAAGATTTGTTAAAACTCACGCTTAGCTATCGGAGGTAAGAAAGACAATGGGATTGAGTTGCGAAAAGTGGCGAAGGCGTTCATTTGAATAGCTTGCTGGACAAGTTGAAGCCGTGAAATGTATTCGCTAGGCATCAAAGTCGACGGCTTCTCAAATTTTCTTTTTTTTTTCTTTCTCGAGGAAGTCCATACTTGAGCTGTGGGAGCTTTGGGTGGTGGCGACAGCGAGGTAGTGGTCATGTTGGCTATCATTCTGTGTAGAGGTGAATTGTCAACTTCCGACTTGTCACTGTCGTCGTCGTTTTGTGTGGAGGAAGAAGAAGCCGTTTCGCAATGATCGCTGTAAATGGAAGTCTTCATAACTTATTCAAGGTCTAAGTGATTTGTCGGGAAAAAACAGCGCATTTTTGAACGCCTAGACAAACGTTGTTTTTCACGCCTTCCACGACGCTGTTTAGAAATCTTTAGTTACAGTAAAAAGCCGTTTTTTTTGAGTTCCTATTATCTTGGACTGACTTTTTAATGAGAGAAATTGGTTCCTCGTCGTCGGCAAGTTGTTCGTTCACTTGTTTTTCGTGTAGAAGTGAATCTATCAGAAAACAAGATCTTGTCGCCATTCTCTGAAAAATCATTCTTGAAATGTACAGAAAACTTAGTTTTTCGAAAAAAAAGTTATGTGAAACACAAACAAAAAAAAACTCGGTGCTTGTGGGAAAAACTTCTAGCTACATAATAATGGAAGTTTCTCAGTACTCGAAAGGGAGGGGGAATGAAATCGGGCTTTTCGAGTCATGGAGAGTAAAAAATCAAGAATGTGCAAGTACTTATTGAGGGTATTTACAAATACACGGATAATTTTTTTAGACAACGACTTTGGAATCAAAAACTACATTCATTTACAAAAAAATTACAGAATTTTTGTAACATTTTTTTAATCAAAAAAAGTTATTGCAAAAGATTTGTCAATGAACTTGAAATAGAAGGAAGAATTTCTTTCAGTTGAAAGCTTTTTTTGTTTTTGCAGTGAGACTTTCGCCATGCTAAAAAAACTATAATTAAATAAAAAAACTATGATGAACGAGCTGCTTGGGAATTACAGTTTACCTTCACAAAAGACCCAGTTGAGGATCAGGAGCTCGAGAGATGTTGGGATGAGCGAGCCGAGCAAGGAATGGCGGCGGAGCCTGCTCCAGCTACCGTATCCTCAAAAATGAGGCGGAGCTTGTTTCTCCACTAGCGGTGATGAGCTTTCTTTGGAAGGCGCCTCGACGCTGAGCCTATTTCGAATCTTCTCCCCACCGGCTTGAGTATAAATCATTGAATTCTTGATAAATGCGTTGCCAGCTCAAAAGCTTTAGGAAGTTTTTAAAGCTCTTTGATGTGCGCCTTTCCGTCAAGAGCTACCGTAGGACGAACTGAGTGGCTCTGGAAGGACGAGAGCGTATAACAATGAAAAAAAATGTTTTGTTCTCCAAAGGTGGTAAAGATTTCCATCAATCAATAAGTAGATAAGTTGGAAAGATAAATCAAGTTCAAGGAGTCAAAAAGTGCGGAGTTTCTCAAATTCCAAAATATATATATACGACTCTCGAGCTTCTTTTTGTGACCTGATTATCAAATTTTCGCTTTTTCGGTTTCATTCAGTTTCAATTTTTGAAAATTCAAACAAAAGATTGCATTGTGAGAGTAATTGTTTGAGCAGAACTTTTTAAATGTATTTCAACTTCTTCAGGAATAAAAATAATCTACGATATTTACAAGACAGTTTAATTTTTCTTTCCGAACAATTCAAGTTCATATTGAGTTTACTTTTTGCATAAAAAAATCAGATCTTCAAAAAAAAGGAACACCACCTTTCCCGATTCCGAAAGATGGTCATTTTCATCCAACAGCAAACTCGAAACAACCTGAAGTCGACATTTCATCTTACTCGCTCTCGTGACACTTGATACCAAACTTTGCAATGGGATGCAGAAGAGGATTTCTCGGATGCGTACACAACTTCCTGCGGTGCGTACTACGGTATGAATGAGCAGGTGGCGCCAAGAAGTCGGCTTGTAAGAAGAGCCGCCCGGAACAAACAGCTCGTAGTCGGTATTAGGTAAGAGATATGTTTGAGGAACATGTATGGCCAACAAAACCGGCTGCCTCAATAATCTGTTATGCAATCAATTTCCCGGCGCTCCAGCTATCCAGAAGCACTTGACATGTCTTCTTAATGGACGCGTCCTCCTCCTCATCGTTGCGATTAATTCGCAACCTTCTACTAGTATCCTCTTCATATCAATTTCAGGGCAACCACACATGTGCCCACGAATTCGTCCAAGGTTTCGAGACGCAAAGGCAACAGATGGGCGGCCTTACCGGCAAATTTGTCACTTTTCCGGTGGCTGCGCAACACGCGACTGGCGCTCCCATGTAGTTTGCCTGGCCAATTGGAGAACCTACAAGATTATGACTGTCGAGATATCATCGCGCTCGTAATTGTTCTGTTACCGGGTGATCGTCAGGTTTCTGGATAAAATCTTTGAGCTTAGCTGCCATAAGAGCTTCCGGAAACTTCAAACAAGACAAATAAAAACAAAAATGATGAACCGCCCAAAAAAATTAGTAAAATAAAGGGGAAATGAAAAAAATGTCTTGTATCAGATTCATGAAAGAGTTTTTCTTTGAGTTCAACTTTATAATGAGTTAACTATACTGTATTTTGGATTTTTTGAATACGTGAAAAGGTTGTTTCACAAGCCTAAAAAGGAAGCGTCCTCATACCAGGTTCAGTTTTTTGACGGTGAATAATTGACTTTTCCTGTTAAATTTTGCCGAAGACATTACTTTCTTCCGTTCTATACAATCCAAAACGATAACCAAGTGGCCGCCTTTTTCATGGATGACTTCCTAATCGGGAATGTTTTTTTGTACACGATTGGTTATGACGCAACGGTTCCTTGGATCATAGCTGTCTGTCGTATCATCACTAGAGCATAATTGCGTGTTTTGGGTCGTGAGTCGTCGGGAAGTGTCGAGGATCTCGTGTCTTGAGACGAATTGCTTTTTTCAGGCTCTTTGCGTGTTTTGTTGGATTTTTGCGGTAAAAAAGGGAAAGATATCAGATCGAGATGCAAATCAGGAATAACGTAAAAATATTTAAATTGAGACAAATACGATTTTTGAGGTAGGTACCCCCCCCCCCTTTTTTTTAAGAGAACAAAAAGCTTTTTTTGAAGCGCTGATTGGAAATTTCCGAAGATCTGCGGGAGAGATTTCAAAATCTTTCTCTAGTTCATTGACAGACTTTCCACCGAATTTTCCACAAAACTCCTTAGCCTTGAGAAGAATGATCTGCATTTTCATTTTATTTCAATCAATTAATATCATTCTTTAGAAGTGTTCCTTTTTTAATTCTTCGAACTTCAAAAAGAAAGTCATGTTTCATTAATTTACAGTCAGGAACGGCCGAATAACTCCCTCCAATGATATTGTTTGGGTCTTCACAATCACGTGACGATATATCAAAAGTTTTATCAGCCATGATCCAATAAAACTCTGCGAATTTTTCTGCTGAAGTCAACAGAATCTTCATTAATTCTGATGATTGTTCGAGCTCAAAGGCGAGAGATGAGATGTCGTGCCAAAAGACGCCGAAGCGCCGGAGGGGCAACCGAAATTCATTCACGTGGATACGATATGAGATACGTGAGCGATGAAAAGATGCACGCCATCATGACGGCTGTGAATTTGTTAGGGCAGCGCCTTGCTTTTCAATTCGCCCCGCTTCGTCGCCAATTCAGAGCGCCGATAGAATCACACCTTTGCCCGGAATTCATTAACACCCTCAAGGCATATATTCTTCAAATTCGGGAGAGATACGTCGTCGAAAAGCTAGCGGACCGCGGCAAATTCATGTTGCGAAGGGACGGAAGTAGATGGGACGTTTTTTTGATTCTTCCTTGAATTTTTCGAACAGCTAAAAAGTTTACTTTGGAGAAATCGGTGAATATTGCTTCATTTAAGCCATGTATGTGGAACAGGAAAGTTTGAATAACCAGGTACAAAATTATTGGAGTTTCTATGTTTTTTTTTGTATTTTTTGTTGAGAGTAACTTCTTGGAACTGTTCTATTTGTAGCGTTTATAATGAAAAACCTGTTTTTTTCTAAAGATTTTTTTCGAACTTAAAAAAAATAGCCGCATCGACGGAAAAAAATAATATTTTTTTGAAGCGTTTTTTTCTATTTTCAATATCAGCATGTTTTCTTGAGTTCGGAAATAAAGATATTGAGAACCTGTTACTATGAAAGGATGAAGAAAAAATGATCCTGAAGGATTTATCCTACATCGTTCATATAGGAGCACATTCGATCACAATGAAAGAATCACTTAACATTTTTTTTCATCATTTCGGGCTTATCATTCTCTGAATCAATATCAGTGCAAGTAAATCTCAAAAAACTTGATCAGTGCTTCTTCTACCATTATGCAGAAACTTGTGAAATCATCAATTGCAAAGTTAAAGTATAATTCTTTCAAACATGACGATTATCTTTATCTGCCCGTAAATTACAAGCTGAGAGTGTAAATAGTTCTCGAGGTGGTGTGAATAGGCGGAGATCGCCGATGCCATCTACGGACATCGATGTCGATTGCTGACACTCGTGGATCGCCTCTCGGGAGGTCGTGGGAGCCTCTTATTTCCACTTGGCGTCATTATCTTCGTGTCATACGTTCTCAGAACACGTCTACAAATCAGCTATCTATTATCTCGAACAAATATAAGAAAATCTGCAAAGTCTGAATACTTCTTCCCAGATCCTAATGAAGTGATAATCTCGAAAAAAAATTTTGAGAGTTTTTGAATTTTCGACTCTGCTGTTCATAAAAAGAGGAATTTGAATTTATTCCATTTGGCTGAAAGTTTTTTTCTCACAAGGGAAAAAACATTTAAAGTTATTGAAAAATTTGGTTCAATTTATGAAATTCGAAATCCGTTTATGAAACACATAGTAACAAGTGAAAAGCGTGAAAATAACTTTTTTTTTTTGCTAAACAAGAACAAACTGTTGCCAGCCATGTCCTTCTATGGACGCCGTGCCTGACAATAGACCGAATAATGAGGATCGGATGACCCAAATCTTAAATAGGAATCGGCGATTTACAGCACGTGTTAAAATCTTCATGAGTTGCATAATCTCAAGAAAAAAAGGAAATTTAAAAAAATTTTTCAGTATGCGAAAAAGTTTTATTGAGATTAATGAAAAGCTCGGTTGATACTTGTCTTACCAAGAACTGTCAATGGCCCGATATTTTTATCAATTTTTTCAATAGACTTCATCTTCAATAGCCTTGTCCAACTCTAACAATTTTTTTTCAAGCCACGCTTGGATCATAAAATAAGCCGGATCAGAAGGAAATCAAGCCTCAAAGCGGTTTCTTTAAGAGAGAAAAGTCTTCCCGCCACCTGTCCATTACGATTTGTGTGCTTAGCGGGAATGTGTGAATAAAGATGTTCGCGACCCGAAAAGGCATTCTCGAATTGCCGTTTTTCACATCCAAACAACACGGTCCCGGAGAACGTCCACGTCAACGCAGCTCGAGACGAAACAAGGCCTTTTCCGAGGTTTTTCGGAATTTGTTCGAGAATTATTATTTTTGTCACGTTGTGATTACTTTGATGGATTTTTCTGGTAGGAAGGGCATGATGAATTCTCAAGTTTCCTCTGAACTATAATAAATTCCTTCAAGTTTTGCAAGGAGTCTTGAAAGTTGACATTTTGAAATTTTGAAATACTATTTTGGAAGTTTCGTGTTCGACTAGACTTTTTTGAATTTTTTTCCAAGCTAAATCGGCAATATTTGTTTTGAAATAACTATACAACTTGAAACTTTTTTTCGATCAGTTTTCTAACAGCCATTAATTCTGAAGGGGTCACAGATTTCATATCTACTCTTTGCCAATGTTCATAATATTTCTTTTCTGCTGCAAAAAATGTCGCCAAGAAGATTGATTAGTTTTTTTAGACTTTTTTCGGAAACAGGGCAAAAAAAGAGAGGAACCGAATAAAATTTCTACGCGGTAAACTCTCCGGTTCCATTTTTCAAACTCAAAATAAGTTAACTTGATCAGAGGTTAACGAATTAGTTGAAGAGGTGAAACCGGAAAAGTATTCATTTTTTTGTGTTAATTGAATTAATTATTAACTTCTCACCTTTTTTTAATATTATTTTTCGTTTCGATATACATTTTCTTGTGTAAACTAAACTTGACCCTACTCATTTTTTTGCTGTAAAAATAAAAAGAAAGTTAGTCTGTTTGTACTGTACCGTCGCATCGCACGGAAAATCGCTGTTTTTCAATGTTTACGGCCAGGTATTTACGTTGCCTACTTTCTCCGATCGAAAGGCCGTCTTGTTGCGCGGAATTCGGTCATCGTGAACCTACCACCTGGGGACAGCCGTCCAATATCCCTTTTTGGAGGTTTTGCGCACCGTTCAATGCCACTCCAGAGGCGATCGATGGCTGGTTGCCAGGCGCGCCACCTCTTCTTTTCTCCTTCCATTACCTGTTCAAACGTCACCACTAGTTTTTACCTTCCCTTTTTGTTTTCTATTCAGATTTTGAGTCTCAAATTTGGTGATCTTTTTATTTCAGTTTGAAGTCTTCAGATACAAGTGGGATCCTAGAAAAAAAAATTAGCTGTTTTTCAAACTTATTTTCTTTGTTTCATCGTGACGAGATGAAAAATAAATAAGGTAAGAGCTTAAAAAAATAAAAAAATAATTTGAGAAAAAAAGATGAGATTAGAATAGCTCCAAAAGTTTGAAAAACAAAGTCATCCCTTTTTCAATTAATCATTAAACTCAGCTCCAGAAATAACTTTTTTTTCCCGATTTTGGTGTTCGAAAAAAGCGATTTTTGATACAGTGACTGAGTCGAGTGGCCGTAAGTCGACTCCCAAAAAAATTATTCAATTTTTTTGAGTTGAAAATATGTTTTTGAATCACTGCATTTTTTGTTTAAACGGTGGAATCTGAGAAATTGGAATAAATTTTTACGAGATTTATATATGATATTCTGATGAAAATATATGAAAAAAAAAAGAAAAAATCATTTATCCTATCATTTTTTCGAGCCGTTCAGTTCTCAAGAGAGCTGTAGATGTCGCAGAAAAGCTGGTCCAAAAGCCCAATCAAGCATGAACAGTCTCAGTGAAATTGTTTCTCTCTTCTTCAATTTTGATTAAATTTCCTACCATAAAAGTCGAGTTTCCGTCTTGGTCGTCTCCTCACCTTGACCGGTTTTTGATTTTCCTCACTCTTTCTTTTGCCTCAAAACGTCAACGACCAAACTTTTGCTACTACTATAACTGAAGAGGAAAGGTATAATTAAATTGTTTTTTTCTCAATCACGCCAGTCTGTTTTGGCCGAAATGTTGTTATTTAGTTATTTAGAGGACACTTACAGAGACTCACATGCCTGTGCCGCTCAACTATTGTACCGTCGTCATCTCGATAATCGCCTTTCTGCTCATCGTTTTGGCCATTTCCACACCCGCCTGGCAGGTCACTATTTTTTCTTATTTTTTCATTACGACCGCTGAGGAAACTGTTCTTACTTGGGCTTTTGGATAAATAAACACATCATTGTGACTTTTTAGAAGTTTTTTTAAGAATTGTTTTTAGTTCAAAGTTCGTTGATTGAAAAAGTTCTCAGAATAGCCGAGTTCGATCAGAAGTTATATAATAAAAATACTGATGCCTGACAATTCTAATAATTTTTCAAAAGTGAAAACCATTTCTCAACGTTCATTAAAACAAAAAGATTATTATTTAAAACTAAAAGATCCGGCCAAGCTTTTTCTTGACAAAATTGGATTTTGAAATCGTTTTGAGAAGTTTTTTTTAAAAAGAACCTTTTCCCTGGAGGCAGCATTAATAAAAGAATTTCATCAAATAACAATATTTATGAAGTTCTACTCATGAGAACTTCTTTTATTTCCAGGTTGTGTATGCTCGTGAACTCAGGCAATGGATACAAAGCGGGTTGTGGCTGGCCTGTCAAACGCGGTAATCCTTCATTTATTTTCGTTTGATGAGTTTCTTTTCTCAGACCAAACGGAATGTACACTTGTACCTACACGTTTTCTCAAGATGACTACAATTTCTACACAAGTGCTGAAGTTGCAAACTTCAGAACTCCTGCTTTTTATCGTGAGTGAAAAATGTATATCTGAAAAAGGGGAAAATCTAACTTTTAGCATGGCAAAGGGTATTATTACACGTTTTGATTGCTTCTCAGCTTTTTGGGCTACTTTCGATGGTTGTTTTCTGTGTTTCTACCGCCTACCATGGGAACCGGAAATTTATAAATGGGTTGCAGCTCTGCTTCCTTGTAATTTGCAGTGAGTTTCATTATTTTTCCCGAGTTTTTGAAATCAACCAATTGACCAGTTTCTTTTTTTATTCTTTTTTCGCCGTGCTATTAGAACGACGATCTTGAAACTCCCATAATTTACTTGAGTTTTTCTGCTAGAATTCCAAACTAAGCTCGAATCCTCCTCTTATCAAAATAATACCATGTTCTGAACGATCCCTGAGAATCATTTCAAATGATGAAAAAAAACCTATTTTTAGCCATTCTTTGCGTTGGTAGCATGGTGGCGTTCGCGGTCCTCTCTTACATGGTGGAATATCGCTTTTATCACGTTTCTGTCAGCGGTATCTACGAGGTTCCTAACATTTTTCTCGGTTTTTTTTTCCATTTTTCTTTGATCAGAAACATCGTGGATACTCCTACTACATTGCTCTAGTGGGAACATTTTTCTACGTTGCCGCAACCGTCGTCGGAGTCGTCCACTTGGCGAGGACATTGACCCAAGATCGATGGGTTGGCGGTAGCTCCGAACCAATAAATGCCTATCGAGTGAGTTCATCGTTCCGTGGTATGTAAAAAAGACCAGCGAAAATTCAAACGGCGACTTTTCCGATTTTTTCATATCGCTAGGGAACTTTCCGACGGCCACCTTTCCGACGAATCTTTTTACGATTTTTTTTCTCGATAAATTATTCGTTTTTAAATCTTCCTATATATACTAGGTAGTTGGTTCATGATTAAAACACAAAAAAAATAGGGAAAAATGTTTATAGATGTTTTATAAACTGAAAAACATAAGGGAAAAATGTCGGAAAGGGATTCGTGGCCGTCGGAAAGCTCCCTAGCGATATGAAAAAATCGGAAAAGTCGCCGTTTAAATTTTCGCTGGTGTTTTTTTCATAACACCCATCGTTCTACATTTTTTAGCAAAATGTTCCATTCCAGGCGCCCTCAAGTCATTTGAGCAGTTGGCCTCAAAGCACGAACGGTTCTGTAGATTTCGAATCGGAACACCGATTTGCAATGAGATCTTTACCCGCGGCACCTCAAAAACAAAGAGTAACCATGATAAGATAACTTTTCAAATGCTTCTTAATTACGGGTTTATTTCTTCATTATTTGTAAATTTTCTGTTCCTTGATCTCGTAATCAATAGTTCATTGATTTCCAATTGCTCAAAATATTCATCTTTCAAATGCCTTTTTGCGAGAGCCTGCAAAACGTTACAAGTTAGTAACAGCTCACCTTTTAATATAGGAAACGAAATTTCAATCCGAAAAAAGGCCTTTGCTACTTTACCTAATTTTATTGTGTTGTTTCCGAGCTTGTGCCTTCTTAGGAATTTCAATTTCACTTTCTACTCACGGGAACGATGTCTTTTTTCTTAATAAAATAATTCCAAATATAATTTTCGTTACGGTTATCGTTTTGAAAGTCATGAGTTCTTGACCTCTACCTTAAATACTTCTAATATTTTTTTTCTCCGGCGTACAAAATTTTGTCCCAGAAATGTTTGAATTCAAAACGCGGCTGGCCAAGTGCCAACTTGGCGCCGCGTTGACCTCCTTTGTTGCCAACTTCTTCCTCTTTATCGCAACAATTACACCTGCTTGGCAGGTGAGGAATGTTGAGATGGGTTTTTATTTTGATGAAATTTTCTAGGTAGCTGAAGATTTGGACGCTGATCGATATGTTCAATCGGGACTGTGGTTGTACTGCCCTGGAGCTTCTCAATGCTGGTACATTTTCAGTGACAGCCTCATCAATTATTATGAAAGAGTGAGTTTCCCCAATTTCGAGCATGTTCAAAGAATTCCCATTCCAGTATGAATTAGGCAAAAGTTCTTCATTTTGAAACAACTGATGAGCTCAAAAATAGGAAAACTTTCCGAACATTATCCCGAACAAGAGGAGAAATAATCGGAATCCAACTGGTCGATAAGCAATCTTCAAACTTTTTTTTTCAGGTTGATGTTTGCCGCTTCTTTCTCATTGGAGATTGTAGAAAGAAGCTTCTTCGAACGCCTTACTTTTTTGGTATTCTATTTATTACTTCTTCAACACGATATTAACTTAACAGGCTGGCACTACGCCGTGTTGATTCTCAACGTCTGCGCGATGGTTTTCTTGCTTTTTACAACTCTTTCTGCTCTTGTTTCGTACTTCAAACCTTCAAGAGCTCGTGTAGCTGCGATCGTTAATGCTATCTTTGCATTTGCTGCAGGTGAACTTATCTGTTCTCATAACATTGTTTGCTGATTTTAAGGCCTTTTCCTATCGATTTCTTTGATCGTCTTCATGGTGAACGCCGAGATGCTGGAGTCCAAATATCTCATCGGAATCAAAAACACGTTTGAGGTAGACTATTTCAAAAAGACTCACAAAGATCGGACATTTCAGAAATATTATGGATACTCGTTTTACTTGGCGGGATTGTCGTTGTTGATCATCATGTTTTCTCTTCTTTTCGCCGTTATGTTGATCACCTACACCTTCTTCTTTGTAGAAACAGATACTCTGGAAAGATATGAAGCAGCTCAACAGGTTAATTTTTTTTTCGCGATTGCGCTGAATCCCAAAATAGAGCAGAGTCGCTGGAAGTTTATACTGCAAAGAATTACAACTTTAATTTCCTAATCTTGCGTAGGGATGTTTTCTTTGAGCTTTTGAGCGTGATTTTCAAGCTGGAGGCTCGAATTTCATCAGATAATTTATTCTTTTTCTAAGATTGAAAACCCGCACCTTTACTTGGACAGCATGTCTTCGCCAATGGGAACCGCTTATGCAAAGGTAAAATAGTCGAACTCAAAAATAAGTACATATTTTTCCAGTTGCCACCTCTAAGCACTGAGCACGGCTCCTATATTCCTCCAGCGCGGTCACCAAACGGCGAGTTTAAATCTCAAACGCGAACCTTTTACAGCTATTAAGCAGACTACGGTATGATGCCCCCTTGCCTTTACCCTCGAGCCTCAAATATTGCGTGTCATTTTTCTCCGTTTACATTCCTTGACATGTCGATAAAGATTTATGATTTGTGAGTGTATGTGCATCGGTTATTTGTACAATGTTTGAAGTATGGAACAGAGAACTTCCGCGCAAAACGCTGTATGGTATTTAAATTTGAAAATTTTTCATCAGAATAAGATAGAGAAAAATGAAAAGAAGTCAATTGGAAGGATCTTACATAGTTTGACACTCGACAAGTCCGGAGTCTACCGTTAATGAACAGAGATGGGAAGAATTTCGCGTACCGCACTTTTTTTGGAGTTGCGCATTCGGCGAAAATAATTTTTCTGCATTTGAAAAAATGCCTGGAAAAAATCTCAAAGAATCAACTTTTATATTCATTAAAAGCTTCATGCTTCAGAAACAGAAAGCTTTGTAATTTCGAAAAAAAGGATGATAGAATTGAAATACTCTTTTTCAAGAAAATATTAATTCTAAGCGCAGAAAATCAAAGTTTAAAATTTCTCGTGAGAATATTTGATTTTTTTCCTGAGAATGTCACGAAATTGTAGAAAAAAATGCTTTACAATTGGACAACTGTTGGGCCACGGTATTGTTGTGCAACAGAGTCGAAACATTCTTTCGAGCAAAAATGCTTGATCGTTGTGGATATAAAATTGAGAAGCCTGAAAGCGGTGAATAAAAAAATATGTTAGAAATTTAAAAACCCACCTGTTGTTCTAGCATCCCACATGTTGCACACAGCTTCAATCCAGACCTCTTTTTCTGATATGGAATTTGAAGATGTGAAAAAAAGTTCGAGTTTATCAAACCTTTTCTACAAATCTATCGCCAAAGATGACGGAAGTTCCGTTCGGTTTCCATTGAGCAAGAATATAACGATCAAAATCTAATAGAATCCATGTTCGATTTCCTGAAAGCAGCCCGTTTGATTTTTCAATAAGAGTTTAAAAACTGAATGTTTCGAAGATTTTATCAACTTACCACTGCCAAACTGTTGGAATAGAACAACTCTCTCGTCAGGTTCCCATTCAGGATCAGTTTCAAACCGGATTCCTCTTCTTTTCGCTTTTTCTTCTTTCCATCGCATTTGTAGAATCGAGAAGACTCTCGCGAACACGATGTACGCCGGAAGTTGTTCTGATAAGATCGAATTTTGAAGGGAATGATAAGATATGAAAACAAATGTCTCATTTCGATGATAAAGTAGAAAAATGCTTATATAAACTTTAAAAAAAAAAAACCCAGTTTTTGTAAAATTGTTCAACCTTTTTCATATATTTCTTTTTAAGCTTTCCCTACTACCTACTAAAAAAGTAGAAAACTTACTTGCCGAAATAGCCAAACTAATGGTTTTCTCTGACTGCCGAAAATTTGCAGTTTTTTCGAACATAAAATCTCTTCAGCCCTCATAAAAAAACCAACCGATGGAAATTTGAATGGTGATTTGGTTTATCTTTCCGAAAACTTGCTCGAAACACGTCCGAAATTCTTCATTATCCAGAGGATTGTCAGAAATCGGCTTTTTCATTGCCACTGCCAGAAGTCTCTGCATAAGATCCTTCTCCTTAGCCATTGCGCCCACAGCGACAAAATACTGAAAAAAGCAAATAAATTGAATGGAGTCGGATGTTAAGTGACCTTGTGAGCCGAATCAACATCACTCGAAGTTTCGGCCAAATACCGATGGATAATCGTGAAAGCGTCATCACAGTGAAACAAAGTGTTGTCGTTGGAGTGGACGTAGTTTATCACATATCCTCGCACAGAAATAACCAACCGTGACCACCAAAGTCTATCCAACGAAGTTTTCATCTGAAAAGTGAATCTGAAACTCGATCTGATGGAAAAATGTCGAGAAAATAAAAGAGAATCATTTTTCACCTTTTTTTAAGAAATTTTGAAAAAATCTTTAGGATCATTCAACATTTTCAGAAGGTTTCAGTATCTCGGTTCTGAGGATTTTCTAACTATTATTGCATGTTTTATTCGTTTTTTTTTTTTTCATTCATCGGTTTTCAGACTTTGCATAATCAGTAAACTTCAAATGAGAATCGAGAAAGTACAAAAAGATTGGTTCAACAAAAGATTTGGAATTTTCAAAGCTTTGCTTACTTGACTAAATGCTTCAAAATCGTTTTCAAAGCTCGGAACATGTTCCAAATTGAGGATGTTGTCTTTTGGGAAGAGTTGGGTATCTTCCATCGAAACGGTGAGCGACATTTTTGTCCAACTTCACATACACGCAAAAATAAAACCTGGAAAAATAAAAAAAGAAACTGTGAAGGTGGCGACGAACGTAGCCGCAAACGAAAAGAGAATAAAAATTTAAATTTGAATAAGACTTAAAGAATCCCACGACGCAATCATTTCAAGACGACCTCCAGCCGTGTTTAACGTAACGGTGGGATGTGAAAGCAAGTTTCGATAACAGGTTTTCTCGCAATGATTGTCGACCAAAAGTTAATCAGGCCCAAAATTGTCAGGATCGAGATTTTCGAATAGGATAGGCCTTGAAAACAATAGATCGTGAGCATGCCGAAGATAACCAGTTTTCAAAATTGAGGGAGATCTGGGCTAGATATGAATATTAAATCTGGCAAAAGGTCAAAAAGGTTTCAAAAATTATTTCAAACAAAAAAAGTGATAGTTTGCCTAAGTAGCGATTTAAAAGACTCTCAAAAAAACCGACAGTTTTTTTTGTTAGCTTGGAGAAAAGGTTTGGAAAAGGAAGGAAAGATGTTATTAATAGAAAAAAAGGTTGGAGAACTCCACTGTCAAGTTATTGCAAAAAAAAAAACAGATCTTTTTGGAGCTCAGCTGAAAAAAAATCTCAAACGAGGTAGGAAAAAAATTTAAATATTTCGAAGACATTCAAAAATTTTTTTCCTATTATAAGATGTGGACCAATCTTGAGTTTTTTTAAACTCAAGATGTGTGTATCTCAAAGTTTTCGAGCATCGATAAAAGATGATCCGCCTTTTTTTTAATTTGTGAAGGATTGAAGGATCCTCGTTCTCAAGTCACAAATCTTCTTACATTTTCTCATTGAAACATTTCAAAAAATTTTTGATACTAACAGTCACGTCTCCGACGCGCCATTCATCGACTTCATATCACCCAAAAAGAAGCGAAGCGTCATTTTAGGGGTCAAACCAAACAAATTATTGATTCTTCTTCACGACAGCAGTATTTCTTCACGCTTTGCCGTCTCTAGAGCCAAACTATGCGTTTTTTATGTTTTTTCGTCGTCGCATCTTTGGTCTTCCACGCACAAGGCGAGAACGGCTGCAAGGATCTGCAAGGTCAAAACGTGGACTGGTAAACAATTCTTCCGATTACTTTCTATCAAAACATTGAATAAGTACATGGAAATGAAACCAGGCGCTCGAGTATATTCAAAAGCTATTTTAAATTGCAAAAGTGCTAATAATAAGTATAGTCCACTTATAGTTTTTTTCCCTGATTGCCCTTGTAACAAAAATCTTTGAAAAGTTCGATAGTTTGTATGAAAAGGGTTTTTTTCTGCTCAACAGATTTTAATAGTGAACAGAGTTGAACTTTTTGCTTTTTAGTGTAATTTTTACTGTTTTTGAACCCCATGGAAAAAATCTCTTTCTGACTAATATGGCTAGAAAAACGTTTCCCGTTTTGGAGGTGTATGAAAACATCCCTATTCTGAGTCATCCTCTCTATTCCAACCCTATTCTGAAGTTTTTAGGTTCATCGTCTACAAATTGCCGCAAATCGCCAAAACATGGGAATCGGGAAACGAATACGCCTACTTGGACGCAAACAATATAAACTGGACCCTTCAGACGGACATTAACGATCCTAATAGAGGCGTTGGCCTGACCATCAAACAGATCTACAAAAGCGACAAGTTTTATTGGATCGAAAAAACCATAGAAAAGGTCATTCTGTAAAAAAGAGCCATCAAGGTGAGAAATAAAAAAAAATGAAAAAATATTCCGATCATCGGCTCCTTGATTTTGCAAACTCATTTTTTTTTTTTGAAGAGAGATTAAGTTCGGAACATCCGAAAACAATGCATAAAGGACCATTCTAAACTTTTCCTGATCAATGTTAGTGACATATTTTTTTATGAGTCCAATAGTACTTTTGAAACTCTCAGATAATTGGATTAGTGGTTATTGAAAAAGTTGGTTACAATTTGAAAATTGTGACAAGTCGCGCCAGATGTTTTAGAAGCTAAAGTTTACTTTCTGAGATAATGGGTTGATTGAAAAATCTTTTTGTTGAAACTTGACGTACGAGCACTTCATTCTTTGAATAACAGTTAATTTTTTTTACGCCTTGATGAATTCAAAAATGTTCTAGATGTAGAAAAAAAAAATTAGTCAAAGAAAGTCAAAAGTCTGGTCTCAACTGCAAAAGAGCTGAAAAGTTCGAGAAGGTAAATTAGTACTAGGGATATAAGATAAAATCAACAAAAAAAATGACCAATTCAGGATGACTTTCACATAATGTACAGCGACGACGACCCAGTGGGCAAGGCAGAATCTTACCGAGGCCACGCCAAGGGCATCGCTCTCTTCGATTCCTCATCCGGTTTCTGGATCATTCACAGTGTTCCCAACTTCCCGCCTTCAAAAAGTTGCGCAACATCAAGGCCGAAGTTCAATCAGATTGAGAAGAAAATTGCAGGCTACTCCTACCCTTCTACGGCTAAAAAATACGGGCAAACTATCATGTGCCTCTCATTTAACGTCGCTTCTTTGAGTGATATCGCTGAACAATGGCGATTCATGCAAGTCACGCCTTATTCAAGCAACTTGCCGGACAAGTTTGCGAACAGGTTTGGTTAATTTTTTGAGAAAGAGACAAGGAGCGCATCTGAAAACGCAAAAATTGTTCATTTAAAAATTTAAATTGTTTTTTGTTAAATTCGAGTTGAAACTGGCTTTTTCTCTTTTTAATCTTTCTTATTGTTCTAAGAAGATATTTATAAATGTAATCATGAAGGCAATAAATAAAAATCAAAAAAAAAAAATTAAAAAATCAGCTTTTTAAGATTTCCAACGCTTAGAAATGTCATTTCCAAGCAATCCCTTTCAAAATCAGCAGCCGAGTTCAAGTCTTTGAAAAGATTGGTCACTCGGGATGGCACTACTATATTCAGTTGCGCGAAGCATAAAAAGTTCAACGGAGGTAAGGTAACTACTTTTTAAAATAAATTCCCGCGGATTTCTTTTTGAGATGTTTGGAACGACATAATCTCCCAAGAAATGGGAGTGACATTGGCTGTGGAAAGTTGGCTGAATGGAAGCGGCGACGATCTTCACTCTACCTGTGCCGCTAGAAGCCAGGTATATTCTTCAGAAGAAGGAAAGTTCCTGAATAGCACATTTCTTAGACGCACGACGTAAGGGAGGTAAAAGTGCTTGGACAGAAATTCAAAAGCTCGAAAGACCATTCAAAATGGGGCGTCGCCGACAAGGCCATCAAGCCTCTTGTTTGTATAGGTGACATGAATCGACAGGTATTTCTATCATTTTTTGGCTTTTTTGTCTGAATTTGCAAATTCCAGAAATCTCAACTAAGCCGTGGCGGCGGCGCAGCATGCATAATGAATTCTCAATTGTGGAGTGTATACTATAACCTTGTTGTGGACGTTGAACCGTGTAAATCTGGTCACTTTTATTTTGCATGTTCATCGGTTACTGTGATTGTTATTGCAACACTATTGTCACAGAAATCCAGCTGAAACAGTGGAACGGGAAAAGAAGTTGATTTACAAGAGCTTGGCGCCATTATAAAACGAACATGCGCAGACAGATATCGTTTATTTAACAATTCAGTTGATTTTGCGCAGTTTTTATTTTTCTAAAGTTTGAAATTTTGGTGCAACGACAAGTTTTCTGTTTTCGGTTTGTAGAACCAGCACATGATGAATTATTATTGAGAACTCGACGAACTCGCTTCAGAATCTGCTTCATATTATCATTCCGTCTCAAACTTTTTGCTTTTGTGGCGTGCAGAAAAAAAAGACTGTCATCAGAGATTTATATTGTGACGGCCAGCATGATTTTGCATGTCTGTCATTATTTCAGTCTTATTCGAATGGCTTGACAATTTTCTTGCATTTGAGAACTTTTTTAACAAGCAACCCTTTTTCCAATGTCCTTTATATCAACACGTTCATTGAAAACCAAACCCATTTACCCACAGAACAATGCTCGAAAACCGTATTCATCACATGTGAATAAAAAACTCTAGATGAACCGTTGAAACAGAATAGATTATGAAGAACCTGTAGATAAATGAGGAATAAATAGATCAACAACTGAAACTAAGAATAGAAAAATAGAAAAAAAGGTTTCTAAAGTTCAGTCTTGTCGTATTTGGTGCGAGCGGCGTTCTTTCCGGCGATTCTTCCGAAAACGACGCATTCCAGCAGAGAATTTCCAGCAAGACGGTTTGATCCGTGGACTCCGCCTTAATTCAAATTTGAACATTCCAAAATTTCCTTGAATTCACAGCTCCTCTGAGGAGGCCGGGCAAAGTTTTCAGACTTTCAACTCATTCTCAGCTGAAATTTCAGGCCGACCGACTGAAAATCTTACCAGCAACTTCTCCAGCAGCAAAGAGACCTTTGAACGGCTCCTTTCTCAAATCGTTGAACACACGGCCCTGAACACATTTTTTTTTCCTTCTCAATTTTTCCCAAATTCAGTACCTGAGAATCAATCTTCAGCCCTCCCATTGTGTAGTGAATAGCCGGGGTCACAATTGCGGCGTAAATTGGCTGATCGGCGACAAAATTGACCGGGAACACCGTCTTCGAGAAATCGTCCTGTAGGAGAATTTCTTAATTTGGAAACAAAAAATTATACTCACATGCACATTTTTGTCGTCGGACCCGACAAGCTCGTTGTATTCGTTAATCGTGGTTTCGATGGTTTTCTCATCAATATTAGCTGCTTTGGCAAAGGCAGCCAAGTTGTCGTACTTCTAAAAAAAAAAGTGAATAAAAGTTCAGAACAAAATAGAAACCTTGAAGAACTTTTTGACGAGATGATAAAAGTTGAAAGCTGGCCGTCCGAAAGAATCCGCGGCTTCATCATTCATCAACATAATGGCCGCACTGTGTCCACCCGAACCGCCCTAAAATTAAAAAAACTAGTTATAATAGAAAGTTAAATCATGCTCAAAAAAAGTCTCATGGGGTCGGCCGGCTATTTTTCAAACTGATTTCAAAAAAATAAATCAAAAAAAGAAGAGGCGAAAAAAATGTCCGAAATCTCGGTTTTTGCTTTTTGATTATAAAACACTTTTAAGCTTTTTTTATTTTCAAATTTTCTGACCGCCAGGCCCTCACAGACGTTAACTTGCATTGATTAAAATGTTTGATATTTTGCGCTGCGCTTTTGTTGGAAAATTTTGAATTGCCCTTACCAACCTGGAACTCATCGATCGGCTTGCATCCCTTTGTGATTCTGGCAGAGAGATAATCGCGTCGACCCAACTCGTTTGCAAATCTCTTTCCGTCCATGTTGATCTGAATAAGGGATGAATTAACATAAATTAAATTTTTTCAGCAACTACAAAATAAAATTTGCACAGTTTCCGGCTTTAATAAAAATCTTCAATTACAAAAAAATGTTATTCTACTCTCAAACCAAAAACTCACGTAACAGTCTTTAGTACAAGGAAAAAAAGCATGAATTTCAAAAATTGAAGCTAGTTGCAGTGAAACTTTCATATAAATCGAGCAAATGACTTCTGGATTATGTTTGAGTGAAAAATAACCATGATGGCTCCTTTTCCTCGAAGAGCTTCGGCAGCGAGAAACTTTGTGTTAGCTTTGGGGTCGGCTGGATCGACAAAAGCGGTCGGATGAATCTGGACATTTTCCATTCCGACAACTGCGGCACCCATTGCTCGCGCCATCTTTACACCGTCTCCTTTAGCGAATGCTCCGTTTGTCGTAGGAAATTTAATCTGGAAAGAGATGTTCGGTAAAAAGCAAGCAGCAGATAACGTTTTCAAAATGATTTTCTTCGAACTAGTACTCATAATCATTTGCGAATAATTTTTCAGAAGCGCTAAAAATACAAAGATTTTCTAGTAGTGCAAAAATGTGTGTTTGAAAACCGAAATCATATTAACCGTTTCGGGAGCGAATTCGATCAAAAGACTGTCGTCGCTTTTGTCAGAAGCGAAACCTCCAGTGGCCAAAATCACAGCCTTGCCAGCAACTTCCTCTGAAAGTTTTTCGCTTTTCTATGCAAAAAAGGTTATACAAACGAGATTTTCCGCTGGGCAGAAGGACGTTGACACCGGTCATGTATTCGTTCCAAGAGACAAGACCAGTCATCGAAGTTCCGTTCAAAATGGTCACGTCTTCTGGTCGGTCGATCTGAATCGCGTCAAGTCGGGCACGCAGCTTCTTCATGATTTCGAAGCCGACTGGGATTGGTTTTCCTTCTTTTGGTGAAGGAACCCTGCAAGAGAAAAAAATGAAAGAAAAAAATTTTTTTATTAAAGTCTTTACACTTATCCTTCTACCAAAAATTTTTTTCTTAGATTTAAATGTATGCCCGAAAAAAATGTTTCTTTAAAGTCTAATAATTATTGTATCGTCTTTTTTTTTATCACGGTTTGAGTAGAAAACTGTGCGAAATTCAATAAATGAACGAAGAAAACTGTACCAATGAGTACGGGGAGTAGAATGTCCTCCGCAAAGATTAACGTCGCCCAAATCAACGCCGCTTTCTTCCAAAAATTTGATTGCATCTGTTGAACTATGCACCTGGAAAGAAGTGATAATTCAGAAAAAATCTTGTTCCATGAGTTTTCACAAAAACTGAAATTCTTACCAAAACATCGACAAGCTCTACATCGTTTTGTCGATCACCGGCATTCAGAGTATCTGAGTAAAACAAATCGAAAGAATCTCGGATCTTCAATTTTTTCTGCGCGGCCGTTGCGCATGCATTGATACCTGAAATATTTACTTCAATGAACAAATAATTTTGAGAAAGTCTTTCTCTTGGTGTTCAAAGGAAAATAAAAATACATGATGACAATTCCAAAAAAAAAAACTATTTCGGACTATTTTTAAATCTTTGAGAGCATCAGCAGAGATTTCTGCACAAATAGTGAAATAGTCTGTGAATTTCCACTAACCACTGCTGGCTTTTGCCGAGTTTCCACCGGTGTTGGCTTGAGACTCGATAAGAACAACCTTAGATCCGGAATCTAAGACTTCGAGAGCCGCAGATAATCCGGCAAGACCTCCGCCAACCACAACGACAGGCTCGGAAACTTGTGGAGGCTAGAGAATGTTTGAATTAGACAAAAAAACGGTTGACTCAATAAAATAAAAAACGAACCCCACGTTTCCGAGCAGCATCAGCTGTCGATATCAACGCCAGAAAAACGAAAATTCGCATGACCTACCCACTGAACTTTTTCTCTTCTTGAAAATTAACTTGAAACAGATATATATTTTAGCTTCAAACACCAGATTTAACACGTAAACTTCTTTTACAGGAAATATTCATTTGCGTCGGGTAAAACGTGACGTGGGATAGGGCGAGCAACCAGTAGGATGATCATTGATATGGTACAGAAAAAAGCTCATTGGAAAAGAGAACATGATTTCACAACAAATAATCCGTATTGCAAATATGAATAACATTCCAAAGAAATTTTGGAAAGACTGGTTAAAATACCGATCGTAATAAAAGTTAATACATAGGTATGAAGATGGATGGAAAAAACAAATTATAGCTTTTCAATGACTGAGATTTTTATATAAATCGATACCAGTAGGGTCGATGACAATATACGACACGATTTTTTTTACAATAAGTAATGATTAGATGCATTCATCTTCGTTCTGCATGTTCTTGTCTTCGATTTGAAAAGCTGGTCTAGGCCCAATTATCATTTTTCGTGAGTGAAAATCCTTCCATTGCTTGTATTCCGCAGGCATTGCATTGGAAAAATCAGAATAGTCGATGGTCGGGTCGTCGGAGAAGAAATTCGGCTTCACTTGAACTCCCATTTTTTCCAGCGCAGCCCTTTCCGACGCTTCACAGAGAGCGCAGAGCGGGAGTTCACAAGATGGCAGGAGCGGCGAGTTAGCGACATAGTAGCAGGCCGAAGTAAACATTCCCGGTTCATCTGGGGGCTCGACACGGGGAACCCGCTGAAAGTTGAAAATTCAGCAAAGATATCGCAGAAAGAAGGTTAGTTCAATCATGACTTTGAAACTTGACATTGGGGGTCTTTAAGTGTAAACTTTGATACACAAATTTTTTCTAATATTTTTCAGATATTTTTCTATTGCAGAGATTATTTCCTCTCTTTCTAAGCTAACCATTTTTTTCAGGCCTTCAAATATTGCGTATACCGGAAAGCAAATTTGAACTAACACAGTTCACTTTTTAGGTTTGAAATGCCGATCGCCGTCTTTGCAGTTCATGTGGAACGCTTTCGCTTCAAAGCCGATCAGTAAAATGCTTGCATTTTTTTGATTTTCGTTATGTTCCTCGTTTTAAAATATTAATTATTCACATCAAATGAATTTGAAAAACTTGCTCAAGTATTTCATATAAGATTTCTGAAAATGATTTCCAAGAAGGCGTTTCTTTATCGAAATGACGTCGGAACGCACCGCAATGACTACCCACATGAATTATATACATGAGTAAAGATTTTTGCAGATTTTTCCTGTTGCTTTCTTGCTGAAATTTCTTACTCACCATCTCCCTATACTGCTTTTTCCATTCTTCGCTAAAAGGTACTAGCATTGGCGGCTCGGATTGATGACGAATGAAAGAATTTTGAAGAGCCTCAAGTGGATACTGAAAATCCCATTGCACTTTCAACTTATGCCATTTTCCTTCTTACCGTAATTTCAGTTGCGTTCAACCGTGCGGGAGCAGATCGGTCTCTTTTCTTTTTGCACTTGCAACAAGTATCGCGACTTCTACCGTCGTGTTCCATCAGACCACTGCCATTTCGTTCAGAGGTTCCGAATGTATTCGTTGTAATATCCATGTTTTTTGCCTAAAACAAAACGACTCAATGAATATTCAATAGAAACTAACTTCATGAGCCACATTCGTAAGGCTGAAACTTTTTTTCAAATGGAAAAAAATGTTTTTCCAGAATATTTAAAAATATTTTTTTCTGACCTCATTCATTAAATTTCACATTTTTTTATAGTTACAGAACTTTTTCGCTCAAGGAATCGAAAATTTTTTAACAGTTCATAACAGTTACCTTTTCATGTCCAGCTACTGTCGCAGCAGGCACGTACCAAACGTTTCTCCGCAGAGGGTTGAATATAGAAAAATCGCCTGGAGAGTCCATTACAAGAGGCGAGGAGCTTCCCTTGGGAGCAAACAACTTCTTAGCTTCAACCTCAGCCTCAAGACTCGTCAGTTTCCGTTTTAAAGTATTCCGGACTTTTATTGGGGCTCGACTGCCAGGGACTCTGTAAATCTTTTATTTTTTTTTTGTCGATATTTCGAGTACCCAAGGGTCAATCGATGTGCTGCGCTTGGGCTATTCGTTGGACTCGATTGAGGACTAGGAGAATAAGGGATGTTGGGTCGGACCATTTGTTGCGTCGATGGGGAATAACATTGCTGAAATTTTTTTTACTTGATGAAGTCGTATAATTATCATGCCGTGGCTAGAAGTTTGAAAAAGCAGCTTCAACCGTTTCTAAAACGGTACATAATTTTCATTAGGCTTTTTTTGTAGAATGCTTTGAAGCAAAAAATTTCAGAGCCAACGGGAAAATCTTTTTCATTGTTGACATTTTTTTTTGTACCATAAATTGCATAATTTAGAAAATTTGTTCTGCATTGAAAAAAACGAAGCGCAAACGAATCAGTAGTTTATCTGGTGTATGATTGTTTTCTAAAGATTGTGACTCAAGGCGCAGCAAAACTCGATCAAACTTTCAATCTTCATTTTTTTTTTTCGATCAAACCTTGAAGTTTTCGAGTGAACGGGTAGGACTTGGCGAGCAGCTCTGAGCCAGAAAAACGTTGGTCAGGATGGAAATGGGTTCTCCAACGCTGGGCGCGGTGTTCTTCTTGCGAGCCGAATCCGAAGCGCTCGGCGGCACCTGAAGCAATGTGATCGAAGTCAGAACCAGTATATTCACTGCAAACCGTGACAGGGTGCTCCGAAACAACGACAATATCGTCAAATCCGGTCGACACCTTTTGGGAGGAGCTGACCAGTCGTTCGTACGCAACCTGTAAAAATCATTTTTCATCAAGAACAAATAACAGAAAAACTCACTTCACAATCTGCTGAGCAGTTACTTTCTCGACGAATGTTTGCGATCCTTCCTCTCGAAGGAGCCTTGAGAGAGGAGTTGAATTCATCTGTTTCGGTCTGAAATTATTTATTTTTCAAATAGGAAAAGGGTCTCGTCTCACTCTTAGACCGCTTTCTTCTGATTCGTTCTCATCGCTAGAATACCCGTCTTGTTTCTGTCGAAACCTTGAAAACAATTTTTTTTTCTCACATTTACCAAGAAAACTCACTCGCTCCGTGAGCTTTTACGAGAAGTATCAGAGGTTGACCACAGATCAAAATCGTCATCCTTCAAATCCCAATCTTCACGGTATCTGAAAAAAATTTCATTGAGAGATGGACATTCGAAAAAAAAATATCAGCAGTCATATAGCTTATTCACGGGTGGCTTGAGCCATCGAGAAACGGGTCCTGACACGATAATGCACGAGATAGCGCCTGGCTCGTGGAGAGCGAAGACAGGACACGCCCTTTTAGAGTCCCAAGCTGGCCGTGAATCAACTATAGATTATGATCAGTAGGCTCAAGTAGAAGATTTTGTTTGATAACCACTGATTTGAGACAATAAAATATTTTTGTCTCCATTTAAAAAGAAGTTTTTTTTTGCAACAAAAGAATACACATGTCTTTGTATGATTCCCGTCTTGGTAACGATATATATTGTTTCAAATGGTTTTTTGATAGTTCGAAAACTTTGTATGGCAATCCTATACTTTAAACAAAAAGATATTATTGTGATATCTCACCCAGGAGGGTCGCGGACGACAGTTTTAAAACGTTGGTCTTCCGGTTCCCGCCAATGTGTTCTTGAATGGATGCTTCCCGATAAGAGATTTCTTCTGAAAAATTCGCTTTTGCAATTACACTTTCGAAATCTCAGTGAACCAAAAATTGAACCGAAACAAAAACTCACCCAAAATTGGCACGCTTGGGTGTGGAGGGGTTACTGAAATTGGGACTTCCGCGACTGGGGCTGTTAGGTTCGGCAAATGAAAATTTATTGTTGACCGCTCTGAATTTACCTCTTCAAAACAATTCCATCTTTTTCAACCAACATAGAATTGGAAAAGGGTACGAGTGGAGTTTCATGTTCCGGAACAACCGTTTGTTGATTGTAACTGTCTGAAACATCATTCGAATAAATATAAAAAGATGATATTTTCCTACCTGTCGGGATGTCAGACATTGTGTCACAACTGCAACTTAACAAACAAAACGGCTTCCAGCTGAAAATAAATGCTGAAGTGTAATTGAGGAAAAAATGCGTAGCAGAACGATAACCAAAAAAGAAACTAATTTCTCATGTTCAATGTTAAAAGGATAGTTGGTTTAAAAAATAAAATTTGAAGCATTTTCTGCTTGATAACGATCAAATTTCAAAAAAAGCACAAAATGATCTGTAAAGTTCATTTGAATGGAAGAAAAACCACTTGAATTCTTTTAAAAAACGTCAAAATCAGCTCAAAAGTATCGTAGTGAAAAAAAACTCGTGTTTGAAGTATTTACATGCCCATACTCTGTGTGTTTTTTGAGAAATTCCGTTGAAAACCCGAAATAAAACAAAAAATATTTTGAAATAATAAAATAAAACAAATAACTAACGATTCTCTATAAAAAAACAATAAAAAAACTGTTCATTTATCTTTTTGAGAGAACATTTGAATATTTTGAAACAAGGAAACAGAAAGATGTCGGAAGAAGGACGACGAAGAGTAGTGGTCGAAAGAACGCGGAATGAGGAATGAGTCTCAGGCGACCCGGCGTCCAGAGTTTCGCAGTCCGCGTGTCCGCAGACACGCGCCCGAGTTTGCTCTACTGCACAGTCCGCTGTAGATCGCTTTTTAACAAAGTATTTTTCATAAGAAAAATCTGGGCAGTTTTTTTGAGTTTTTTTCTCAATAAAAAAACACAAAGTTTTTAAATTCATGTCCCGGGAAAATTTTTACTATTTAGTTTTTGTGAGGGGTTTGCAAACGCAATTATTTCAAAAATAATAATTTTTTTCATTCCGTTTTTAAATTTTTTTGTTTCAGCTTCGATGAACGTTGAGTCTTAAGTCGTGTAGGCATATAAATTTTTTTCACAAGAAATGTCATGACTTCCGAAAAAAATTTCTCCATTAACCACAGAAGTTTTTTTCCATCGAATAAAAATTCAGAAAGTTTTTTTGTTCATCGTTTTGAAAATTTTAAAAAAATTTAGTTTAAATCAAATAAATGAGAGTGAAATATTCAACGAACCTGGAATTTTCCAATTTCCCATCATTTTTTCAGGTTCACTGCGCTTCAAAAAAGCGAATTCAAAAAATAACAATTTTTGTTAACGCATATGTTGCCCATTAAGTGTGGGAGACAAACAAAAAACGACGCGTGGGATGGCGTGCCATTTGGAAAATGCATTAAGAATAGTTTGAAAACGAATCGACGCATTCAGAAAGAAAAAAAGGAAATTTCGGATGTAGAAGACTACACCTGATCAGATAAAAAGTTATTTTCCTGATAGAAAAACGTTTTTGAGGCTTTTTAAACAGGAATTATCTTCGTCAAAGGTTTTTTATACTCTAATTCTTTTTCAAAAAGGTGGAACTCAATAATTTATTCATCAGTTTTACAAAAAATTACCAAGTTTTTTTGAGTATGTAGATTATGTAGCAAGCTTAAGAAAAAATAAAAATAAACTTCCATGGAAATTCAACATTTTGACTTTTGTTTTTTTTAATAGTACAGCTTCAAAAAACCTCAAAAAAACATTCGGAAAAGGTAAAGTTTAGAAAATAAAATGCCAAGATGCTCAAAAAGAGCTCTCAAACGGGGATGAGTGCTCAGCGTGTGAGTGACAATTTTCGGGGCTTATGCTCGTGTATGTCTTTTTGAGACGCATGCAGTCGGTCGTTAGAGGTTTTTCCAAAAGTCCTCTTCTGTTTTTTTTTTCTTGCCATTCTCAGAAGAGTTAAAATAAATATGGGAGAGAGAAATTGATTTCTTGTTTTGAGGTTTCGTAATAAATTCAGAAACGTTGAAAAAATGGCTTTTCAATGACATTAATGTTTCTGAGAAATCTTTCCGAATTGTTTAAAACCAAGGCTCGCACAAGCTTAAACAAAAATCGAAGATGATTTTTTTAACATCATGGAAAATAGTTGATGACTGAAATTTTTTTAAGTTTCCATCAAATTTCAATCTTGCTGTTTTTTTGTACGTCGAGACTTTGATAATAAAGATAAGATTATCAATAGAAACACAGATAATTTTTATTCGTTCTTTGAATTGTTTCAAACGCAGCTTATTTTGTAAGTAAGATGCAATATTAGATTTTTTTCTTAAGAAAAAATGAGACGTATTCAATAAAAAAAGAAGAATGAAAAAAATTGAAAAAGGAATGAAATTCCTATCCCTTTCATCGACATTTGTTTCAAAAAGATCAGGAGGAAAAATCGGTGAGAAAAATGGACAGAACTATATTTGGAACAATTCGTAGCTTTTCAGATTTTTCCCAGGGTTTCTGGGAACGAACTAAGTAATGCTTTTCCCATCCTAGGCTATCGAAAAGAAGAAAAATAGCCGCGAATGATGTAAATGCCCCTAAGACGTCTTTCATATTCACGTCTGAGAGGTTTTCTCGAAAAAAAAACCATGAGGATTCTTTTCGGGAGGCGCGTGATGCGGCCTAAAAGCCATCTTCGTCTCAAGACACAACATCTTTTCTTCAAAAAAAAAAAACATTTTCTTTTTCAGAAGATCCGACCGGAAATGAAAATGTGGAATAAGATTAATCGTTGGCTCACCGACATTCAATTTCCGAGCTGAATGGAGGTGGAAAAAGGACACGTTTGGCTCTGAAAAATGAACGTTGGAGAAGCGTTCGAATCCCCTTCGTGTAAATTTTGAAATGAGAGGGAAGCTGGATCTGGGGCTGAAAGATTTCTATTTGAATTTTTCGGTTACGAGACCAGAAAAGATAAAAGTAAAAGACGGCCTTATGAGACCATTTTTCAACTGCAGAAACTACTTCAACTGTCTTCTAGAAAACGAAAAAATCTTAAAAATGAAAAATGAGAAAGCAAATGTATCTCTGACTTGAAAGAAGAAAATAAATAATTCTTTTACGTCTCATAAAGCGTGGTCTAGCATATTCGTGGAAATGTCACGAGTTTCGCCCGTGGCTAATCAATCAGTTTCAAAACTCTTTCCAAGATCTTTTTATTCTGAGATTATAAATTTTGTTTCTCGCATTTTGTTCGCTCTAATGGTGTTCATTGAAGCGTGAGAAAAAAATACATCATATAATTTCGGGGTGCGTTTGAGTTATTTTGAAACGAACTAACATTGCTGCAAAGCCGCCGAATAACTCATAAAACTTTGAAAACGCAACTTAACTCAAAAAAATAGAGAACGCAAAATCAAAATAAACAATTTTTTTCCATTTTATCCTTCAAAGCTTGTTGCAGAAACTTTTCAACATCTTTCAAGAAATCCTCTTATTTGATTTAAGAGTCTTGTTACGTTAAAATTTCGCAAATTAAAAAAATAAATAAAAGTGCACCAGGTAAACGAGGATATAGATCTTATTTTTTTGATTCCGAATTTTTTTAAATCAAGAAGAAATCGAAACTCTTCCAACTTTTTTGGCGACCAAACTTATATTTCTCGGCCTTTGGTATTCACATACACCGCTTCAGAAAAAAAAAATGTAGAGACTCCCAAATTTAAATATATATATTATCCCGGAACACTTCAATCTTGAGAGATAAGAGGATTTACATCTGCGCAAATCTTCACTTTTTATGTTACTTAACAGATTGTATGGCTTTTTCGAATATTGAGGAGCAGAAATTCCCGCGAAGCAATAAGATATGAACACTGAGAACGACAAAAACCACACTTCTACGTTTCATGAGATTGCAATTTATTAAGCTTTTGAGACAAACTGAGCGATTTGAAGTAAAAAAAAACTGCAGCTGCACTTGCTCACGATAAGTAAGAAAATAAAGGGCCATAACTCGCTGAAAAATGTTACTTTAAACCTTGTTCTTTTGTCGTTTTCTCAGCGCAGACCTCAAATTACTGGGAAAACGTCAAAACGATGTCAGTGTTTGTGAAACGAAGAACGGCGGGTCGAAATGCAAATTTCATGTTGTTATTCTACGTTTGTCATTCCCTCCCTTTCCATTGACCTACGTTGGAGATTTGCTGTTTGGGTGTTGGTTTTTTTTTCTAGTCATTAACATGATTGAATTTGATCACTTTTTGACGAAAAGTTATGGAAGTTTTTGGTGATAATGACGAAAAATTGTGGCTTTGAAAATATTACGGTTTGAGGTGAGCGAACGAAAAAAGGGCATTATTTTCATGACTTTTCGAGTTAAACAGTTTATTAGGTTGACATGATAGATATGCGGATCGGCTTGTATAGTCAATCCATTCCGACTTGAAAGGTGGATAATAATGTGGGACGCGTAGCGTGTGTGTACGCGGTTCTTGGCTCAAGTTCAATTCAACCACCGGCGACTATTTGAAAAGCTCAGTCATCGCTCTTTTTGCATCTTTCCTATTATTTTTTTGGAGCACAATTGAAAAATTTAGAACGAATTGAAAAATAAATAAAAAGAGCGATAAACGAGATCCAAACAGCCGCTGCTGGTTGAATGGAACTTGTGTCAAGAACCGCGAACGCGCACGCTACGGGTCTTGGCCCCTTTCCTGCCTCCCTCGCTTTACAAGCCGGGAAAAATTGACTACAAATTTTTGTTGAAGAATTTTTTGAAGAAAACTCGCTATTATGCATCATTTGATTCAAAATCTACGCTTTATTGCTTATCGCGGAACTTCCGTACCACAAAATCGGAAAAAACGTGCTGAGATGTTGTGTTCCAACTGGTACAAAGCTAAGATGTGGTTTCTTCCTTTTACATTCCTTGTGCCCAGTGGATCATTTCACAGTCTTCAAAAATTTAAAAACTCCAAAAAGGTCACAATGTGGGCGTCTAATTTCTGAGGGGTGCAAGTGGCCTAGTATGCTTATCAAATTTCGATTTTTTCAGTTTCCATCCAAAACAAAACGTGCTCTGAAATTTCATCATGAGACATAAACTCTGCAGAAAATTCATACACGGTGGCCTGAAAGATACAATTTATTCGAGAGAAAATAGAAGGTACAAGTTTTGGAGAAAACATTTTGAAACCAAATAATATGAAAAACAACTCTACTACAACAATCATGCCTAATTAATTACACAGTATGTGGGCGATTGCTTAGCTCTGCATACACTTCCAGTTGAGAGGTCAATTCGGATGGGGATGAGCAGTGGATTTAGAAGAAATATGAAAAACAACTCTACTACAACAATCAAGCCTATCATGGATAAAGTGTGCGGCGATTCATCAGCTCAGCACACGCTTTAATGGGGGTCTCAATACAAAGACGGATTGGCTACTTACAACGCGCGTCATAGGTACAGGAAAATTCTGAATTGCGCATTTCCATCCGAGCTCTTTTGCACAGATAAGCCTTTTCGTACACCCAAGAATCGTACGCTGGCAGAAAATTCCTTACTTTTTTCCAATGACTGGAAATGCGCAATTTAGAAATGTCCTATTCTTATGAAGCGCCCTGCATTTCCTCATTCGAACGAAATATGGAAAACAGCTCTACTAGAACAATCAGGACTATTTAAATATCCAGTGTGCGGGCGATCGCTCAGCTCAGCGCACACTGTAAAAGACCAAAAAGGTCCATTAACGAGCAGGCTCCTGGTACAGTATGCGGAGCGATTACTCAGCTTCTCGCATACTGTATCTCACCAGGAGAGCCCTTTCTACCCAAACATCGGCACTTCTTGGAGTTTGATCGGGCTCCTTCGAAAAAATCGACTCAGTCTCTGCCAGGTAGGCGGCAGCCGTCGCTCCTTCTTGGTCGACCGGCGAACAGTGTCCAGTCGTATAGGCAGAACGGCTCGCGTCAGATCTGATTCTGCGACGGAGGGATTCGTCTCGATTTTCTCGTTGATCTGAAATGTAAAGTCATCATGATAGTAGTGTTTTTTAAATTAACACTCTTCTCGTAACTTTCTACAAACTTACGTTTTCTTTGCAGATGCTCGTCAGGCGGCATCCAATCCATCTTCGAGGTTGCCGTTCTTCTCGCAGGGCATGTTTGGACCTTCCTTCCCTCTGAAAGTTATCCCAAACTATTTAACGTCATTTTACCATTCACTATTCAACATCAGATCTTTTTAAACAGAGCGACTCTTTCATTGATTTTTCACGACTCAAAAACAAGCCTTAAATTTTTTTGAAAGTTTGACTTTGAAAGAGTTAATTTAATGTTTTCCAAAAAACGCGACTTCAAACATTGAGAACATTCCAATAGAAATCATCGTGATTTTAAATTGATATATTTTAAGAAAATCGAAGAGTAAACTTTCTAAATTTTGTCATAAGTTCTGTTGATAACTTTCAAATTTTTTTTTTGGTTATTTACCTTTTTTTCTCTATCGTCCCACTAAAGTCGCTTCGAGCTAAACATCTCATATTTTATCGGCACACCCATTTCAACCGCTCAAATCCGACTGAAACTCTGTCTCCGGCCTAAAAGTTTTAAAATATCAGGAGAACATATAAAAATGAACTGACTCGTTCAGCTCACGGAGTCTGAAATGTATGTGGCGGCGAAAGAGTCACAGCGTCCGAAATGAAAGGACGGAAGATGAGCTGCTCGTATTTTCAAACTGAAAACAGTAAATTCATTTGAAAATCCAAGGGTGCTAGGATAGTGTATACTAAAAACTTTTATTTCAACTATTCGAAAAAAACTTTTTGTCCATATGAATTGCAAGGGTTGCGTTTTTCATAGCTTGTGACACGTCATTATCGAACATTATATCCATATTTGAATTTCCCTCATGCTATTGAGAGCCTAGCTGTAACTCACCCTACAAAATGGTTTCGTCGAATCCTCAACAAAAATAATGCTCAAATTTTGTTACTGAGGAACACTGCCTTTCATCGTGCAGGCCCTTCGATGCTTTTGGTCGCCGGCAGAGTGGTCGGGCTTGACGTTTGCATCAGTTGGAAGGCCGGGTAGCTTCGCGCTCTCTTGATGTGTATTATCCTGCAAACTATTATCATTTAATCATATTTACCAAATGTTCTCACTTTGCCCTCTACATCAAGGATTGATATAGAAAAAAACGAATGACCCTTCGAAAAACGGTTTGTTATCCAGCTTCTGTAAAAAGTACTCTTCAAATTCAAAACAAAGTTTACGACGGAAAAATATACACAATGGTTAGAAGGTAAATATGATAAACCAAAGACATTTTTCCGATAGAACCTTTAAATTTGAATTTAAAATGAATTTGAATTTTTTGATGATAACAGCAAAATGATCATGGAAATTTTTGAAGTCAGCTGCTTGTGAAAAATGTCATGAACAGATGAAGTGAAGGGGGAATAAGACAAAAAAAGTAAAAAAAAACCTTCTGTGAAACGACCATCAAAAGGAAGGCGGACGAAGAATATCAGAATGGAGAGCGGAGAGCTCCAGCGTTTGTTGCGGCAAACCATTCGTACCCGCCAAGTGACCCCCAAATTTGCTCTACCTGCAAGAAGAACTGATTTAGACTTATTGAGAGGAAAATATTTGAAATGAGTCATTTCTACGAGAATCTTCAAAACAAACAGCATATTTTTGTCGTTGGATCTGAATCGTTTTCGCTGTTCTGTTCGTGGCGTCAAACCAAAAAAGAAAAAAGCAAGATTCAGAATCAAGATCTTAACTGGAACTTTAGTTCGCGCCCTAACCTTCTCGTACTTTCCCAAGCACAAATCAAATTACTGGGAAAATGTCAATAAAACACAGTTGGTGTTCTTGAAACAAGGTAGGAACGACGGGCTGAAATGCAAATTCGATGGCAATCGGCTACCTCCAACAATTCCGTTCGATTTTCAATTGAACAATCTAGTTTTTTTTTTCGGTTTTAATAAAATAAAAAACAGTTACGAAAAAAACCCTCGATTTTCAACCATAGCCGATTCACGGCTAGCTTGGGACGCTAAAGGTTGTGGCATGTCTGCACTCTACTTCAGCCAATCAGCTTTCTTCTTTTCGTGTTAAGACCCTTTTCTCGATGGCTCAAGCCAACCATGAGTCAGCTGTATTTGTATGAGATTGATTCGATTGAGCGTTGTTTTCGAGCATTTTCTCTTTGATCATGTCATATCGTTTTGAATGTTTACGATAGGCGGCTGGCCTGTCTCTTTGAACCATTAATATAATTGAATTTGCAGTAATGCTTCTGATGCAAAACTTACAAAGAAAATGAGATTAATAGAGCCGTGTGCTTGCATATAAAGGCATTCGGAAACAGAAAATGTGTGTTCTTTCACCTTCATTGTGCGCAGAGAGTTTTGAGTTTTTCTGCTAGTTACAGTTTTTTTTCATGTTTCGCTAATGGTCTGTCCTTAAATCCAAACGTCTTTGGAGACTTTCGGTGGCCTAATAAATTTTTGGTTTTTGTAGAACGACTCATAAATTACTTTCGATACTCAAAAAAAGAAAAAGAAAATCTTTAAAATAGATTCTGAGTGAGTTGTGATAAAGATTCAAATGCTTTACTCCTGAAACGATCAAAAAGTGTTCAAAAAAAAAAAAAAACCGTTTCAAAGCTCTTTCTTTCAGACTAAAATTAAGCAGCTGCGAATTTTTACGTCATTTTTTTCAAAGAAGAAAGAAAAAAACGAACTCGTATTCTTCTCATTTTGAAATTATAAAGCTTCAGCTCTGGTAAACAGAATCCGCCATTGTTCACCGACGGAATTGAAATTCTTGAGTTGAAGCTCAGCTTTTTATTTCAACTGAACAACAAGTTTTGGTATTCTCCATGCTTCTAACTGAGATCAGAACTTCAAATGGTTGAGGCTTCTTTCAAAGAGAAAATGATTTTAGATTTGATAGGCGCCGTAAAATTAAAATCCCCAAAAATTAAACCTATATCTTGTTCACAGAACTTCCGATCTCATCAAAAGTTTTCCATGATGTTTCTTTCGTTCTCACTACGCCATTATTTTTTGAAAGATACAACGCTCCCAAATGTCCGAAATGATAGTTCCCACGTTGCCTTGATTCGATTCTTCTGTTTGCGCCCCTAAGAACCGTCTCGATAAGAAATATCCTTTATGGCTTTTTGTGCACTTCTAAATCCCCTAAGATGTGTTTTTTTAGTTTGGAGATATTTCAAAGACGCTTTATTAAAACTTTTGGATTTCTTTCTTTTTTGGCTGTGATCGAAGCCTGCAAAGTGATGACGACATAATTTTGAAGATTTTCAAAAGTTTCACAGCTTTTTGCCCTTAATATCAGAATTTTGGCAGATTCCGCGCTTCAAACTTATTTGAAAGTTGTTTTTTATTTCAAAATATTTAAGGTAATTTTCGCAAGCTAATGACAAAACACTTAAAGTTCTCATCAGTCTCGGCGTCACTTTTCAGACACTCAATCCAGCTTTCTCATGTTTTTACAACAGACGCCGTGTTTGTCCTAAATCTGTAACGTTCCCAAATGTCCAGAATAAAATTTCCCACGACCGGTTGATTCGATTTTTTTCGTTTGCGCTCGTAGGAACGATCCTTGCAAAAAATAGTATTTTTTCCCTCTCTTGCAACACTTTACGGCATTTTTAGAATACTCTCCGCTTTTAGAGCAACTTTCTCAATAAAAAAAAAATCTGCCATTAAACCTTTGATTCATGATCAGACAAAAAGCAGCTGGAAAATTTCGAATGAACATTTCAGCGTAAAAAAGGTTCCATTGATCTTCATAGTGACAAGAAGCTAACTTTTCGGAGATAACCGATAAGATTTATGAATTCTCAGAAAATCTAAGCGCGAGGAGAAGATCTTTGTTTGACTTTTCACGAACTGCCTACGAAAAATTGCGAAAATGCTCTAACAAAAGAAAATAATTTCCGGCTATCATTTTTCCCCAACCAAAGTTCCAGACTTTTTACGAGACATGTTTGTAGCTAGTCGAGTCTCCATGGAAATTGAGTAGAAGCAGAAAAAATTAGTAAAAAACGGAGGAAATGCTCCAGGTGTCCAGACCTACCTGCGCATTAAATGTGTTCTCGCTACCGATTTTGTGGTCTTGATGTTTTATGGGGCTCATAAGATCCATGAGATATTTCTTGCCCCCCGTGCTGCAATAAACCAACAATAATAGGCTCTAGGTGACTTTAATTTTGTTTTGAAACAGCATTTATTTGCAATATTGGTTGAAAAACGGAGAAGAAAATAATTAAAACTCACCGAAAATCTGTATAAAGTGTGAGGGTCTTCCATTTTTGTGAAATCAATTTAGGAACGTTTTTTTCAAACCAGTTATTCTGATGTCTCCGCTGTCAGTTTGTATCCTGGCTTCGCCTAGTTAAAAATAGATTGTAGCCGCATTCAGACGCAGTCAACCTCGGTCATTCAAACTTTTGGCTCATAAAGCGTAATAATACTTGAATGTTGTCTCAAAAGCTCGATCCTTTTGCCCTTTGTCCTCTTATGAAATATTTCGGTTTAGTATGATAATTTTTATTTCAAAATTTGACCTAATCTTGACTGAACGAATTGAGAATAATGGACCATTAAATATGTTATGTTAATGTTTTTTTCAAAAATTTCAGAAAAATTTGTTCAGATTCTTTTTAATTTTTACGCATAGTGTTTTTTTGAAAAATTGAAAACAGCATAGTTTTAACTTGGAAGGAGAATGGCTCAGGAATTTGTAAAATTTATTGAAAACTGGCAAAAAATATTGTTTTTTTATTTTTTTGCGTACATTTTTGCAGAGTCAAGATAACAGAATCAAGATAAAATTATGCAGAATCAAGATAATTTTCCGGCGTTCCAAAAAAAATTTCAATTCTGTTTTCTAAAATTTCAAAAAATAAATAAACGTTATTTAATCAGAAGACACTCAATGTAAAACTCTTCGCTGCAAGGTTTCATAATTTACGAAAGGTTTCAACGGCATCCAAGATCAAGATTTTCTCATATGACGTTCAAAATTGCGAGCTTACGTCTTTCTCTTTGACATGATAAATTATTGAATCGAGGCAGCTTTTATCAAAAAAGGCTCAAGGGATTCGAAAACGTCTTGGCAAAATATTCCCCCATCCGAACCTTTTCGGGTCTACTTTCTTGGTTTTATTTTGAGTGTCTTGCCAATCATTTCATTATGGAATAGCTTTTAGTTCGATCGGACATTTTTTTAGCGTCATAATATAATAAAATAGCGTAGTTTCTTGAATTATTTTCATTATTTTGATCTCTCAACAAAAGATGAAAACTATTCAGTAGTGTATTTGCAACGCATCATTAACCTCAAATCGGGTTTCCTGTTCAATTGACCGTACATTAACCCGGCGATTCCTATTCGGTTTCTTTTTTTTTCTCGATCTTTTGTTTTACATTTATGTTTTTCTGAAAAAAAAGAACAAACTACAACTCGTGTTCGATTTTTTGGAAGTTTGAAATAACTACATACAATCAGTTCATTTTGTCTGGAACGCTTTTTTTAGTTCAGGATAAGATGGTATTGGGTTTATTTCCGCTTTTCCACTGAGCTTCAAAAATAAGACGTTCAATATAATTCACGCAAAGCATTTTTTTCTACTGGACGAGACAGTTGAATTAATTTCAAATTTTTTGAAAACAAAGTTATTAACTTGTTTTTGAGCGATTCACAAGGAAATTCAACGCAAATGAGAGTTTTTTCCTACTTCTCATTTAACTTCCCCTTTTTCCTTTTTTGGAACTCTTATACATAGTCTGAATGTTCAGCGATTTCCAAAAACTTTTGAGGCGTCAACAGATTTCATTCCCTACTCAATATTGGCTGTTTCATGCCAGCCTTCAGGACTTTGAAATCGGCCCCCAGTTGCGTAAAAGGTTTTTCTTAAAACTGAATTTTTAAGATTTTTCATTGCCTTTTCGGAGTTTTTTTTCTTTGTTTGGTTCTCATAATTGTTGGGCATCGAGCACGTCGACATGTGTAACTTGAAACCGTGTCCCACTTCGCATAGCCTTTCTTTTTAATTGTGGTTCAACTTCATGCAATGATTTGCAAATATTGAAAAAGCTGAGATGTGATATAATCATTACTTGGAAGGCAAAAATCAACATTCTTGTTTTTATTCATCACTTCAAGTTAACCAGAAAATTTAGAACGGTTGCCTTTTTTGATTTGTAGGGGGTACGAAATTTTCTGAGCGAAAACAAATCTTTTTTTATATACTTTATGATGAAAAATCATTTCATGGAAATCACCTTTATGCTATCCATTATCTTGGGAAAAGGACAACTGCTTTTGTAGAATCACATGAGAATTACAATGTGAATCATTTTTTAAAAGCGAAATAATTAATGACTTAAAGCAAACATCATTTTCCTCAGTCTCACTGATTTTTCATTTGACAAGGAGTCGTATATTTCTTTAGAAATTATTTGTATAAAAAAAGTAGAGCTCATTTCAGAGACAGGCGTAAAATTTATTGATTTCTAAGCAAACATCAGCTTTTAATTAAATTTTGTCAATTCTGCTTTACGAAGAAACACGGCCTTGCACTTTGTAAAGTGTATAAAAGGGAAGAAATCGCCCCTCTCAGGGAACATATATTCTCTCCTAATATCATTATTCCCTTTAGCTTACCCATGTAGGACTTTTTCAATTCCTTGACTGCATCTAGAAAATTTGCAATAGTTATATAGACTTTCAGAAAATTCACTGTAATTTTTGCTTTTTTTAAAAGTAAAAAAATGTTGCGAAAAATTTCATAAAGACCTTCGAACAAGTATATGAATTTTAGTTAGGTCGAAAAAAATCAATTAAGATAATCTTATAATATAAATGCTGGGCTTTTTGACAAAACGATAGAACATTTTCTAACCAAAACCAAGGAAAGTTAGATTTTTCAAAATTTTTCTTATTTGCAAAATAGTTCCACTATAAAATTGTCTGGTCCAATTTAACTGGATTTCGTTCTTAGCTACAGAAAAAAACGTTGAAAATTTGAAAAAAATAACTTCAGTGTTTTTGAGTCAATAAAAAAACTTTCGTATTTTGATTAGGTCTTTATATATCACGGAACTGCACTTTTAGTTGCACTTTCCGTTAAGCATGGAAGTTATGAACTAAATACAATTTTATAGACGACAAATATGAGTTGTTTGGAAGCATACATCCCTGCTGGCACGATGCAATCACCATAATATGAAAACCTTATTTTCATGTTACACGTATGTTGATTTCCGTGGCCGGAAGAAAAGTATTTTCAGAAAAAAAAATGGCCAAACCAGGAGTTTGGAATTAGCTGGGTGAATGGATAACTGGAAAATGAATGATAATAACTGCAAAAGTTGAAGTTCACTGATAACGAAATCGAAGTTTCTTCCACACTTTTCATCAAAAATACTCTCCAAAGTAGGGACTCTCAGATAATTAGATCCCAGAGTACTTTTCATAATGGACTCATACACTCTCTGTTCAGCTCCAAACGAGCGTATGCTTTTTCCGACTCGCATAAAAAACATGGAATAATAAATTTGCGGCCGCTACTTTCGACATGCATGATAAGCCGCTTGCGCAAGGCAAAAAAAACTTGGCGTTTTGCCGGCCGCCCCTTTATTCTGGCGCACATATCCCACAGCAGCACAGCTGCTTCTTTTTTCGTCACGTCTTCGACCAAAAACTCCCGAAGACGTTTTGAAGGCAAAAACGTCTCGCTGCTTAAATCTTTGTCTTGCGCCCTCCTGACTCGATCATTTCTCCGGCCGCCCAGAAGTCTTTTCCAAACGCTTTCTACTTCCGCTTTCGGCAAAACTCCAAATGTGAAATAATCGAATAGAGGCGAGATGATGGGAGATGAGTTCAAAACATGGCTCGATGGTCCGGTGAAAAAAATCGACGTGAAACTGGAGTCTGTTGAAAAGGAAGAGCACCACATTCGAGGACGTGTCGATGAACGCTTCAAGCCGTTGTTCGACGTTTTCTGGTGAGACTTTCAGTACACTTCCACAAAAATTTTTAAGAAAAAATACTCTGGTTTGGACATTTCTAGAAACTTTTTTTGAAACTTTCTTAAGATTTGAAGTTTTAAAACAATAAAGGACTATAACTTTGCGAAACTCTCAAACTTTAAGATTTTGTAACTTTTGCCCTTCCGAAATTTTGTCCTATACGGTTTCGAAATTTTGATTTTCTATATAAGAAAACAAATTATACTGACCATCCAAAATCATTGCGAAAATTGTCTCTGAAAATTGAAAAAAAATTTCAGCCGAAACTTCGACAAAGGCTGGGAAGCGGCTGGCGCTTCTTTCGCCGTTTTCAAAGATGGCGAACTTTGCGTCGACCTTTACGGAGGCTACGCTGACGTCGAGAACAAGGTCCTTTGGACCGAACACACAACTTCTGTGCTCTTCTCCACCACTAAGGTAGATGGGCTTTGAGGAAAATTAGGAAAATAATGAACATTGTGAAATTTGAGAAATAATGAGGATATCGGGTATCTAACTGAGTAGCTGCCAATAAAAGGTCTCAAAAAAGTGTAGTTGAACACATATAGAGAAATTTCTGAATTTTCCGAAGTTTGGAAAAAAGTTTCATTTTTATTTCGATGGCTGGATTTTTCCCTTTTTCAGTTTCAATAAAGCTAGCTTTCACCTACACATCTGGCAAGCTAAAATCAATGATTACCCAACTGGGCCTTATTCTTTTCAGAATTAAGCTTGAGATATAGAAAATAGTCTTAAGCTGATAAGCGCAAAAATAAAGACACTATTTTTTCCAAAAATTATTTCTTTTCGGAATAATGCAGCTTTTTTTTGGGGTGTTATATAAAAACCGAGCGTACAATTACAGAGCATCTCATCGGTTGTTCTTGCCTATGTGATGAACGGAAACGGGTTGACCTACGACGAAAAAATTATAAATTTCTGGCCGGAGTACGGAGCCAACGGCAAAAGCGAGCATACGCTCAAGGATGTTGTCACGCATCAGGTGACTTTATTTTCAAGCTTGAAAAACTTATTTCTTCCTATTCTTGGAGATAGAATCAGACCACTGAAAAAGAGCATGATTTCGTTTTATCAGCTTGAATTCTCCGAAAATTGTTTATTGAATAATATCTCCAAAATTTCAAGGCTGGATTACCGTACACCGAAGTGATCACTAAGAGAGAAGACATTCTTAATGTCGACAGAATGGCGAAATACTTCGAAACGGCGACGCCGATCAAAGAAGCTGGACCAGTCTATCACGCCTTGACTTTTGGGTAGGTCGCTGTTTCAAACCACAATCACTTTTTCAAACTTAGTTTAGGTACTTAAATTACAAAAATCAACTACGAAAAAAGAAAAAGTGAAAAGAAAACACTTGAGTAAAACAGAGAGACCAAGTAGGAAAACCGAGTTTAGAAGTCATTTGCGTTATTTCTGAGTAAATTTTATGGTTTTATTTTTTCTAGTATTAAAACTTTGAGCAGGTCGCCTTTTTTGCTAAAATTTATTATTCTCTTTTTTCAATTTCAGGCTGCTTCTCGACCAAATCGTTCGCAGAATCGATGCAAAGGGAAGAGGCCTCGTGCAGGTGTTCGAAGAGAATATCGTGAAAAAATTCGGTGAGCGTCTATCGATTCATTTGTTTATCATCTGAAGCTGCTTTCCAGGTATCGAAGACCTGTCGATCGGTTTGAAGCGTCCGGAAGACAACGCCACCGTGGCTGTTCTAACCGAACTATCCGACGATGAAGTCATGAGACAAGGTTTGATTTCTTTGGTTGATCATCCGAAGTGAGTTAAGGCGTATATTTCATCAAAAAAACATCCAAATTTAATACAATTGACCACAAAAAGAGGGTGAACAGAACATACGAAAAGTTCATACGTACTCGAAAAAATCATCTTGTGGTCTCATGACGAAATTTTTTTAATTTGTGAAGTTTTGAGCAAATGCTTCAATTAAGAAAACAATTTCCTTGCTTGAGATTGTTGTTTGAGGCAAAACCAACAAAGAAGCCATGCGCCGCTTCACAGCCGGGTCCAACGAACATACGCACAACGTCTACTTGTCCTTCCCGTGGATCACTACAAATGACGTGAGATTTTCTCATTTTTTTTCCATTTACTTCGTGTTGGTATCTTTCATCTGGAATAAAAAATTTTCTTTTAGTACAACGTGTTGGAAAATCGGCTAGTGCCTATGCCATCGAATATGGGCATCGGAAACGCGAGATCTCTCGCACATTTCCATTCTCTGCTCAACGATGATTCTTTGTTACCGAAGGAGTTCCGGCAGAACTTCGCGGCACCTCAAGTTCCTGATGCGTTTGACTATGGTATCGGCTACGAAGAAGACAAGGGTTGCGGCTTTCAATTCACTCCAAACCCCTATGTGAGTTGAAAAACACAGAAAAAAAGGAAATCGAATGAGAAGCGGTTTTTCAATCCAACTAGAAATTTTTTTGTTACGTTTTATATTATTTGAGCAAGTAGTGTATTGATTTTTAATTTTATTTTGATTTCAGTCCAAAATCAAGCGAAATCTAATTTTCGTTGAACACATGTCGTTTGTTCAGAAATGAAAAATTAGCAAAATGTCTTCTCTAAAAAATCTATTACCTTGCAGTACGACTGCATTTTCGGCCACTCCGGATTTGGTGGACAAAATGTCCGAGTTGACATGAGAAACGGCGTTTCTTTCGCATACGTCTCCAACGGATTGAAGCTGGCCGACGCCGACTTGGTCGAGCCATGGATGGCTCTTGTTAACGAACTCTACGACGTCATGAGAACCATGTGGAAGTATTAAAGTACATCTCCTCAATTCACTTGTTGACACTGTTGCTTTCCTTATGATATTCATTTCTGGTGTTTTTGTGATCGATAAATGGTTTACAATATCTTGAATGCAAACAAGAATCGAGAATCGACTTGCAGGAAGTTATGGAGGTTCCAGAGATCTTAGAAAAGGATGAAACAGGAGAACTGGCGTTGGAATCCTTTCAAAGAGACTTTTGTTCTCTTCTCTGAACTTCAAATGTTTGAATCCTACGAGAAAAAATAAAAAAATTGTATAAATAGAAAAAAAGGATTAAAGTTTCAGAAGAACGACTACAAACGTCTTTTTTGAAAGTACAGAGACCCGTTAAAATGCTCGGAAAAGCCGAAAAGTTTCGTAAAACAGGATGGTAAAATTTCATATCGAACACATCTTGTAATTAGGTTCGACCCATCCCTTTGTACTCATTCTTCCTATCTATGCTCCAGATTACTGCCATGTCCAATTCATGCAAGACTTCGAAGTCATTGCCTTTCAGATTCTACGCGTTCCCAACGCCAAAGCGTACAAAATCGTGGGAAACGATATCGATTCTTACAAAAAACCAACGGAGACAATCAGAAGCTCGAAAGAGAGGAGAAAAACGTTTACAAGAGTTTTTTCTTCCTTCGTCAGTTTTTATCTTTTTCAATCAAAACAAATCATCATGTATGTTATATCGAATGTCTTTTTCTTTCTTCGATCATCTAACATTTTATCACGTTTCTCGTCTTTTTATCGTTCAAACTTTTTCTATGAAACCTCTGGATTTGAGTATGTTTTTAGAATGAACTATAAACTGTAGTGTTGAAATGATTGTGAAAATGATTGTAGAGTTCAGTTACTGTCAGAATAGAACATGCACTATTCGGGTGCGGCTTCTTTGTTCATTCTTGGTAGCCTTTTGGCGCTGTGCCAGAAATGCTGTTTTGAGACCTCCGGTCCCTTTTTTTCCCCAAAATACTCTATTAGGCTAACTTCAGAGCATCTTACCAGGAAAATGTGTGGGGTAAGCATCGCAGATCTGGTTCAAAGGTGCTGCGAAATAGCCTGTCGAAAAATGTACGAAAAGCCTCAAAAAAACTGATTTTTCATCGGTTTTTTTCGTTTTTCCAAAAACGTCTACCGTTATTCACTATATTATGAGAAACGCGAAAAAGAAACTTTTTTTCACAAAAAAATCAAAAATCGATTTTTGAGCTTTTTCCTGAACATTTTTTTGCCAGCCTTTTTTTCTCAGTACACTATGGCGCTTAGCAGATAATTCTTCTTGTTTTCGAATACTCATACCTGAAACTACCTACCACAGCAGTTTGAACCGTTTTTGCAATGCTCACTTCCCACACTTCCCTCATTAAGCGTCTGAAACGAATGCAATTCTGTCTGAATATCTCATCATTCGGAAAAACCATCTCAACACAAAATCAGCAGCTGCTTTTCGAAATGAAGATATTGACTGTTTCGCAGAACTTTGATGTGATTCAAAAATTGTAATATTTGATACAAATTTTAGTGAAAGTGTGTACATGCGTTCAAAATGTTTTATCTGATTCGATAGTATTACTGTGCTTGGTGAAGTCTGTTCAATCAAATTCAATCAAAAAGTTCAATCAAATCATCCTTTTTGTAAGCTTTTTAAATTAGTCGAGCAGTAATAATCCGAAAAAGAAACCCTCGACTTTTGAAAATGAATGTTTCGTTACTTGAAACGCAAGAAAATACATCAAAACTATTATTAATAATCAAATCAATCATACAAAAAGTTTGTTTACAACAAAACCATCGTGAGAAAAAAAATCAACCCACGCGAGAATTTTCGAAACGCCGTAACAAAAGAAAACTCTAAACTATTAGATCGATTATATCTTGGCAAAAAAATCGTCGAAAAAAATTTCGTCTTGCGCTTTTATAACACTTTTTGCTTTAGTTTTTGATTTTAGTTTTTCTCACTGTTTACACCTTTTTGCTTGGTCCCTGATTTCGTTTTTTTCCTACTGCAGCAATAAGATGAAACATTTTTTTGATTTACTGTTATAGAACTGTAGTAGATCATATCGAATTTTAGTATCACTATTTTCTGAAAAACATTTTTTGGTATGAATCGAAAAAAACTACTTTAAAGAAACTTCGCATCCGGAAATTTTTGGTTTGTCCGTGGCTTCTGTTTGACAAAAGTTTCTTGCGATTTGGACCAGGGAGACAAAAGAAAGATTTTTTTGTATTTTGCTATCGTAACCCAAAAAAGTGGCGGATCAAGACAAAACCTTGAGTGAATATTTCAGCATTTCATGTAGTACTTGTGACCACACTCAGAAACCCAATCTGGAACTTTGGTTCCATACTTTTTTTCCGTTTATCGATCCTTGAGAAAAACGTTTTTAAGTTCGTGAGTACCCAAATTACAGAAAGAAGAGTTACTTAACAAATTTTTTTAACCTGATCAAAATTTCGAAAAAAACATAAGTCTAATATTCTTTTTTTCTTGTAAATTCGTTCTGACTTTTTTTGAAAACCTTAAACTTTATTTTTCTTTCAGTTGTAAGTTTTTTTGCGACGAACTTCGGTTAGAGTTTTTTTCCGCTATATGTGTATTCATGTCAAAAAAATTTTTCTCATTATTTCTGATGCCAGAAATGGCATGTTGAAATTCCTATTGATTTTTTTAAAATCACTCCAGCCACTAAAAGCTTTGTGTCACCGCTCAGAAGCCTCTAGAATTTTCTTTCTCTTCATAACTAATATTTTGCAATCTTTTTCGTTGCCACGTGTCGCTTTCTTAGTTTTTTTTTCGTATTTCTTACCGTCTGAATCTTGAAATATTGAAGCATTCTCTGGGACAGTCATGGAACACACTGATTCGCAGCCAGGAAACTTCTCCGGAAGGAAGGTTAGCATAAATATAAATTATATAGTGTAAACTTAACAGAATTCAGGTTCCTAGCACGATTGAAGCCATCATCGAGAAGACCGTAGAACCTACAAGCGTGGACCTTCCTGAAAATTGGAAATCCCTTTCTTTTCCTTTTGATCAAAACGGTTGGTTTTCTTGAAAAATTAATCCTATTATTCTTTTTTGTTCTTGTAATCTCTGGAAATTTACAGATCTTGACGATGGTTTTTGTTCGTCATACGGCGAGGACCCGACTTTCCAGTCCGAGTTCAGAAACAACTCGCCTTGCGAACTCGCTATCAACTGCAGGAAACGTGCTTCTGACTTGGACCTTGCAGGTTAGATGAGTACCTCATTCCAATTATATTCTAAATTGTAATTTTCGCCTATATAGGTTCATCGCCTCGGGAGCAAGAATTCTCGGCAGTCATAGGCCAGGCTCTGGCTAGTGGATTGACAGACGATCACACTGACTGGATCCCAGGTTTGGTTCAATATTTCGAAAAGACTTCACATACTTCTTTTTCAAAAAAAACATACTTATTAAAAAATCAGATATTAAACAAAATAACCTTCATATTTGAAATCATATCCAGCTACCTAATCTTTCTTCGACCTCCAAATGTACGATTTCTTTTGAATGAAATAAAAATTGAACGAAAAAACTTAACAATGAAATCGTCATCATAAAGTTTTAGAAATGAGTATCGGTGGTTCTCTTTTCGAACCTCAGCAAGATTCCAAGAGAAGCAAAAGTCAGGAGGCTTTCTCCTATAGACCACCTCCTTTTGGTATGTCATTTTATACAGTTTCAAGGGGCATACAGTTTTATTTTCAGATCATGACGCTCTCGGACAGCCACTTTCCTACATTCAAACAGGTAAGAGATTGATTTTACACACCAGAGCTTTAATGAATTGTGTCATAATGAATTTATCAACAAGTTTTATTCAATAACGATCAAACTACCGAAATTACTTTCAGTTGAGCGTCCGAGCGCTCCTCTTGAGTCCGTCGTCATTTTCGATGACGAGGACAAGGTCTTCATCCATCCTTTGTACTCTGATTCAGCTCCAACTGGTCAGTGCATCGAGATTTTGATAATTTCCAATTAGCATTTAATCCAATGATGACGAACTAATGTATTTAGACTTGCCACTGTTCAATGTGCAACTTTTTGACGGCTTCGCAATGGATTTCTTAGACGATTTACATCCTGTCACGATTCGGCCCATCACAGCTAACGATTTCGAGCAATGCATAAAGCCAGTTCAACACGATTTTCGTATCTGTTATTTTCTTTTTTCAGGCTATACCAAAGTCTTGAAATAGGATTTGGGGCGCAAATAAGGCCAGACGTCAGGAAAATGACCAGAGATATAACAATCGAAGACTTTGCATCGTCGGCTCCCTTGACAATTGTGGCCCAAGTAGCAGAGTAAATCTTGACATATTACAAAATCGAACGGTTTATTGTAATTTTCAGCTCAAAGTGTGACTACATTTGCGGATTTGCTTGTGGTCGAGTCGTTGAAAACCTTGACGGAAAGTCTCTTTTCCATCTCAGAGCTCTGGTCGTTTCCAAGTCGTATCGCCGCAAGCATATTGCGACCAAACTCCTCTCCGTATTTTCTCAGTTGGCCTACCGATTCGTGAGCTTTTTTTGAATGAGAAAATTTATAGTCTGTTCAGGTTTTAAATGTCAAGCAGCTAACTTTTTGCGTCGATTTTTTTGTTCTAAAAGATACAAAAAGAAGCCAAAAAAAAAGGAGCCACAACAAAGGTTCATCATCTGCGGAGAAAAATTGACTCGAAAGATATTGTAGCATTGGGGCGGAGTAAGCTGCTCGACATTCCAAATCTGAACAGATTGTTTTTTTAAGTAAAGAACACGAAACTCAATTAATTTCTCTTGACCCTCGATTAAAAAAGTTAAATCCAGTTAGGAAAATTTTCATTATTACTGGCGGATATGTTACTTTCCCAATTGAACTTACAAGTTGAATTTGGTTTGTTGAAAGGTTTTCAACTTGAAAACGCGTAAAAAAAAGAGGAGAGTATGGTCGATTTATCCTGACGTTAAAAGCGCAATAGGTAGATTGGCAAGGAGGAGGCGTTGCGTACGCGACGCGGCCTTCTGAAGGGAAACTTGAGGTCCAGCGTCATCATTAAACATGCAGAAAAACATGAGTTTTTTATTGTTTCTGTACTTCTATTCGTTCAATATTTTCAAAACTAAAAGAAGAGGAATTATCGAAAAACTGTCAAGAAAAAGGTGAAGCGTGTTTGACCTAGTTATCTCCGCCAAAAGACGCGTCGCATACGCAACGCTTCACGCTTGCCAATGTACCCATCGCGCTTCGCAAGTCGTAAAAAGTCTACCATGTCACAATTTATTCAATGTTTTTTCTGAACACTTGAAAATAACTAATTTCAGAACTGCGACAGTATTGCCTACGGACACCTTCCACAGCACAACGAACCACTGAGACGGATGTTGACCTATCTGCATTTCCGGATGAAGTCGTACCCGGTCTCCAATGATATTCAGGGGACTCCTTACGTGCGCCAGATCACTACGAGGCCTCCAAACGCATCCTGCAAGAATCCGTTGTCGGAAAATGATCAGAGGGCCGCGTTTATTGTTTCTCACCCACCACGCAAGAACATTGTCTACCAGAACACTTTGGATCAGATTCTTGTCGAAGGACTCGCTATTCCTCGTCAAGCTCCCCATTTCATCCCCTCTCAGTAATCGTTCATTTCGATTGACTTTGATCAAATAAGTGTAATTTTTTATAATACTTTTTATTGATTTTTGCACTTCGACTGTAATACTGTTCCGTCGATCAAATAGTTCATAAAAGAAATTATTGTACATTAAACATCTAGAGATTGAATTTTTCTCATTGCTTTTGTGAGTTTTTTGACTTCATCTTCCAAAACTTTTGTTCATAAAAATCACTCCGTAAAAAAAGGAAATTTTTCAAGTTTTTTGATAAGAGCTTTACTACATTTATGCACTTTTTTATGAGAGGGATTTCTGTCTTTTTTTCCGAAATAAGTCTTAGCCTAATTTCCGCTCTTCTGATCTTTTTGATTTGTAACACACTTTCTCTGTTTTGAGAAAAATTTCTCTCTGCTTTCGTCAATATTACATTTTAACAGATCGAATGCCCTTAATCCGGTTTGTCCGGTGATTTTGAAAAATTTTAAATAAATAATTTCGCAACTTCAAGGTGACAATAAGAAAAATCAAAAGGAGAGATCCATCTATAACAAAAATTAAACCAAGTTCCATCTCGAAAAAAACATCAGAAGACGCGCTTTTTCGCGGTTACTTGATATTTGAAGAGCTTCGAATTCCCTGGAGAGGTTTTTAAACTGCAAGCGAAGCAAAAACCTTGCCTTTCACGGCGTATTTGTATTTAGCTCTTTACGTATTTTTTTATTTTTGATAACGAAATTATATTCTTCATGGACATGCAATCTACTAAATTTACTGACCTGAACAAGGGAGTCAAATCCCAGGACTTCATGGAAAATATGGCAAAAACTTTTTTTGCCCGATTTTTCTGTTTTTTTAGAGTGCAGACGTGACCTTTCACTAACTTAAGGACTTTTCAAATAGAGATCTTCTGAATTTTACTTTTTATATAAAGGGGAAATTTTTGAGCAAAAAAACTAAGTCATTATTTATTTACCAGTTTGATAATTTGCCCATTTTATTTGCGGTTGAGAGTTTTCTGAAGTATGGCCACAAGACTCCGTATTTTACCAAAAAATTCTGAGAGTCGCAACCCGAAAAATTGCTTTGTTTTTGAAAAGTGAGGACTCAAAACCCGAAAGTAGCTTTTTTTGCAACGAATTTTCTTTAATTTTGAAGATTTAAGGAATTAATTTTTTTGTAAACAAAAAATGGTGCAAGTTGAAACTTACATGATCTTTATCTGGTGCTTCAAAGATTGTTCTGGCCATTTTTTTCCAATTTTTCTGAAAAAAATTGAAAAACCGGAAATTGAAAAATCTTCCTTGTAATAAATTTTTCACAAACTTTTTTGAGAGCCCTTCCCGGAAATTAATTTTGTAACAGTTTTACCATTCACAAAAAAGTTATTTTTGAAAAGGAGAAAGTGAGAAAACAGGAAGAAAGTTTATTAAAATGCTTATGTTTACGAAGCTCTGATAGATTATCCAAAAACATAATTTTTCTCTGAAAATGCCTAACGCTTCCGTTTTTTCAACTTTTTCTGATTTTCATGAACTGAAAAAGAAAAGTTAGAGCTTAAAACTGAGCTTATAAAAAAATTTGTAAAACTTTATACGTTTTATCTCTAACAACAGAAATTTAATGAGAAGGTAAGTGCGCTCCATCGGAGAACAATCGAGCTAGGACGTTGTAAACTACTATATGCAAACACTTTTTTTTTTAATTTGTTGATTTATTGTTTTTCTTTTTTTAATGCTATGATTACCTTTTATTTTGATTAATTTCATCATTAGTTTTCAGGACGTGATTATGTGAAGATTTGTGCCATGGTGAATACCAACAACAAACCGGGTACTCTGACCCGTCGAATGAAGTTTCAAATGAATCTCTAAGCAAATTAAAACTTTCTAGATATCCTAGGATTGTTGCTGAACAAGTAAGAAAGCACATCATCAGCGATGGCTTTCTTCAGAACACAATTTGGGTCGCTGATGGAAAAGTTATCGACTTCGAATCCGTTCAGGTTCGCTCTATTTTATTTCCTCTTTTCTATTTGAATATCCTCAGATGAAATTAACTCCTCCAGTGGCCCCGTGTGACGTTGAAACTTTATTGAGCCAAAGAAAATCAAGCGTGATTTATTCCATATCAGCGAAAAGAAGCTCAAAGGGGTGATAAAAAACTGTTAACTATGGTATAAAAAAAATTTCCAGAATTTATGAGTTTCCATCGGACGACTTGGAAATCACAAGACTGATGAAAGAAAGGGCTGAAAACTTGAACTACGACTCTTATGAACGGTTTGAATAAGCTTTTTTGGCGTTACAATTCATCCTTTTCAGAGCTCCGAGCTACTTGAGAGACATCTGCAACTTTTTCCAAGATGACTATGTTTTCATCATCCGAAAGTAGAAATCACTTCGGTTACGAATAAAGTAGTGAAATTTTAGGTATCGTATTTTCAGTGCAGATGAAGTTGAGAGCCGTTGGGATGCTGAAAAGTTCTCCGTTTTCCAAACAATAAGAAGGCAAAATTTTGCGAATTCACCAGCAAATGAAGGGAAAACTCGGGCAGGAAGCATGTATTTGGAGGTCGGTGTTTTTTAAAGTTTTTGCAAACCGCTGTCCAAAATCTCTCCAAAAAACATTGCCTGGGATTCACAGCCTAAAATTTTGTAATCGAGAAAAGATCTTCAGACGTTTTTTGCGACAAATGCGAAAAATTGCGAACAAAGAAATCTTTTGATGATGTTTTCTTGAGGACATGCAGATCTTAAAAAGTTGAACATGACCTTTATTATGTTTTTTTGAAATTATTTTTAAAGCAAGGTTTAGGAAAAAAAGCAACGGGTCACAATCTACTGAACGTTCTTTGGGTTGGGAAACGCGCAATAGCAGTAAAGTTATTTTTCATTTTTGTGTTCAAAACTTTGTTTTTAGTTCGAATTTTGAAGAACATTTCCTGTGAGGAGAAAGGCTCTTTTTTCAACGAACTGACAGCTCAAAACCGACTTTCTCATCTACTCAACATCAATAGTATTGGAAAGGAGGTAGTCTTGATGAATCAGAGACAGAAATAGTTGCATTATTCCAGTCTTCGAAAGTTGTGAAGAGAATTGTCCCTCCTCCGCCGGACCATTTCATCAAGCCAAAGCTTATTGTCAAAATCTTGAAGGTGACTTTATCCATCCCGTTCAAAAATTCATGAAACGTTCCAGGCAAATATCGAGCCGTCAGTGGAGCCTTTGTTTGGATGGATGGCCGTTTATGACATTGCTCGCCACAATAAAGTCACCGAAAACTTTTACTTTTGTGTTTCTGACGACGAAAAGCTGAGTCTTCTGGGTGCAAATCGGCCAAACTCGTTGAATAAGTCGGTTGAAATAACTTCTCCGTGTTTATATATTCACTTTCAGATGTCTCCGAGCAGCTTTCAACGTCTCAGCCTGCCCTTCTAATCTCTATTTGGTGATTTGTGTAAGCTGAAATTTTATCAAGAAAGTTATTTTTGAAATGTGGTTCAGATCGAAAAAGTCCTCGAGCCATGCGAACCTGCGGAAGCTTGTGATCGGTACACAGGCAGAAAGGATGATAAGAATCTAGACAAACTCAGCATCCAAGCCGCAACCTATTGTCGGAGATTGGGTAGAATCTGTTGAAACTAACCCCTTGTTAATGTTGGAGGTTGCAGGAGCCTATCGTATGCCTTTGGGGATTCAATTCGTCGATTTGCAAAGGCTCGCTTCTGGAAACGTACATCTTCTGAAGCCGGATCCGATGTCGATGTCGTCTTGCACCTTGGCTTCTGGAGCGACAATCGTAGGTGAGCAACGTTTGTTTTGAGAATAATTTCCGTTGAGGTCAAAAATAGATTTCCCCTCCCTTTTCGAAAGCTGGAAGCGATTATAGCTTCGAAAGTAATTCGTCAATCATTTTCATTCATTCAGTGTGGATAACAGTCATTCCAATTATTTGATATAGTCCAAGTTTCTTCAGCCGGAAATGACAATACCGATGACCGTGGAAGCATCGCCAGTGCTGATAGAGTCACTCTAAGTTCTGTCGCCTCGACACTCCGGAGATTCGGAAGTGGAACCTCAGCCAGCGCCATGATCAAAAACAGAACTCCAACCTTGAAAAGAAAGCAACAACCTCTCCAACCATGTCAGTTTTTTTAAATTATAATGTAAAATGATCTACTGCTTGAAGGCGTCGAAGAAGACGAGGACCCGATCGAATCCGTCGACGAACTGCCCGTATACGTCATGACTTTCCAGCAGTTCTTCAAGCAGGCATCCATCTCTTTCCAGCTTTTTTTTTAAATAGAAAATTAAGGAATCCAACAGAATTTCTGAAAATGAAATCATCAGGATGTGCCATGAACATCGAAATCACAATGGCAGAATGAGCAAGAAATCGTTCTTTTTCGATCTTGATCTTCAAATTGGAGGTTCATCATTTACCTGCGATTATTTCCTTCATGAATGTTTCAGGCCGTAATAAAATTGTGTGTTCTGATTTGGAAGAAGCCACTCCAGATTTGGACAAAGACGCCGACACTCAAGAGTGCATGGAAATAGATGAAAGCTGCCAGTCTGGCTTCACGTCTTATACCACACATACGTAATTCTCACATTCTATAGTATTTATACTAAAATTTCGATTTCAGCAATTTCTTATACATCTATCCTAAAAGTGTGAACTGGCCTAACCGACCTGGCAGCTCTCGCAATATTTCCGTCAAGGTCTTAGTTTCACAAAAATTGTGAACAGAGAATTTTTCATTCAGATCGAGTTGCAAGATCCAAACGGAAGAGCTTTGCCTGTTTTTTTCTCCAGAGGCGCTTCTTCCAGTGGTCCGTTCGAATCATCCGTGAGAACTTCTGTTCATTACCATCACAGGTCTATTTTATAAAGTTTCCAGTTTTTAACAATATTTGGCTCTGAAGGAACCCCAACTACAATGATGAATACAAAGTGGCGATTCCTCTCGATTTGAACAAAAACCATCATTTGTTTTTCACGTTCTATCACATTGCTTGCAAAGGAACGGACAACGCTACAGTGGAAAACATCATCGGATACACCGTGGGTCGAGAATTCCATTTCTTTTTTATTTCAAAACTATCCAGTGGCTCCCGTTGTTCAATGAGGCTAAAAGTTGGATAGAGTCGGGAAGATTTGAGCTCCCGGTCTCGATTGAGAAACCGATGAAGTTGGATTCCGACAATGGCTACACGAATTTAAAATGGATCGATGGTCGGAAACCAATTTTTGACATCCAGCTCAACGTGATCTCTAGCGTTTATCCTCAGGTACACATTTTTTTTTCTGTTTGTCTTATGAAAAAATTCAGGACATGAAGCTATCTCATTTTTTCACTGCCGTTTCGAGTTTGAATTCTACGGATGCAAACGAGAAGCCGGCCAGCGAGCAAGAGCTAATCGAAGCTCTCAATGTAATGCTCAATTTGTATGACTTCACATTAAATTATTTCAGAACCTTCCAAAAGTCGCGCCTTCGAGGATAAGTGCCTTCCTTCACTATATTCTGGGTAGAATCGTCTCCCTCATAGCTAATCCGCCCTACACCGGTTTTCTTCAAACTTGTCAACAATTCAACTATTTTTTGGTTACAGAAGCCCTATCCGCTGCTTGTTTTGACTGCCTCACTATTCTGGTGAAACTGGCTTCTCGGGTCTTACAGGGCGATGTCGACAACCTCGATAGAAGTTTGGCTCTTCTCTCTTTCATCACTCATCTGAAAATCGCTTCCATTGGTGAGCTTCCATCTTCAGCCTTGAAGTCAGTCATAATAAATTCCAGAAATGAGGCCTTACTCAAATAAAAGAGCCACAGAAAGACCTCAAATCGCTCAAGCTGAAAAGACAGCTCTGGAACAAATGATTGGTAGTCCCATTTAAAATGCCGAATGCTATGAAATTCATTGCAGAAAACGAAGAAAAAACAAGATACGTGTCACCAACTGCTCCAATGCTAAATTTGAGGATTCATGACCAGTTTGTTGCAATTTGGCTCAAAGCTTCTCCCAGTGCCAAAGAAAACGCCTTCTCTCATTGCTGGTTTTATTTGGAATTATTGGTACGACTCTTTTACCATTTCTAATATCATTTATTAGTTTTCAGGTCAAATGTTCGAGTGAGTACATCAACATGACGGGTGGAATGTACGGTTCTCGCAAGACCCGCTTTCCAAAAACTTACATGGAAAATGTTCAAAATGTCATTGAATTGGCTTCTTTTGAAATTGTTGGCCGTTTTCTCAGGAACAAAATTGATGACGCCTCAAGTATCTCAAAGTCCATCGCTTTCTTCATAAGGTGTTGAAATATAGACAAAGTTCATTTTGAATCAAACCAACTCAGGGACATGTTCACTTTGATGGATAGAACCTTCGTGATGCAAGTTTTGCACAAGCACGTGAAGTTTATGACAGAAACCATACGGTAAAAATATTTATTGATTTCTCAAAGTTGGCTGTCTATAGATCTTGGACGGGCGTGAAAGCCAGGAAATTGATGGAGCTGAAAATGGAGTTTTTGGTTATCGTTTGTTCACATGAACACTATCTCACTCTGAACATTCCCGTCGAGCCCATCATTTCAAGATCGATGTCTCAAACTTCTGTGGCTGCGCCGCTACCTTCGTCTCTGAGCCCTGCAAAAAGCTCTTCGTTAGTTTATTTTTATGCGACTGGAATAGAAAGAGAGTTTTACAGAGACTTAGATGATTCTTGGAGATTGGGATCAACCAACAGATCGCAGCATTTCATTGTCGGTTTATTACTGACGGATTTGCACGACTGCCTGGCAAACGTGAACATGGGCCTCAGTGGAAAGTAAGATTTCAAAAATTGTTTAGGTTGCTATGGCGCGGGCGCCATGAAGCAAATTTGCATCATTCAAAAATTTAGCCTTTAACAGTTTTATATTGTAAAGATTCTTGAACTGTTTGAAAAATAGTAACTTTGAAAAGAAATTACATATTGACCGCAACGATTCAGCGCTGAAATAAATTGAAGCAAGAAGTTCATTTTCTCAATCATATTCCATTTCTCAGAGCGATTGAAAACATCAACACGATGATAAGAACCCACGAATTGGATTCTCGAGTTCGGGACTCTGGATCGGTTTCTAACATTGCATCGATGTACAAACCGCTCGTGCGAATCGTTGTCGACTACAGAAAAACATTTTACACTAAGCCATCCCGTTGTTCAGACGAAGGGTACGTTAAATGTTCTAAAATTAGATAACACAAGTTTTTAAAACTCTTAAATACTCAGTTTAGACAAGATTTCATATGGTACAGTTCCGTCGGAAAAGATGCGAAAAAAAAGGTTTTTTGATCCTAATTTTCTTGTATGGGGTACAATTTCTCTAGAAATTACTGAGGTTGTGATGACTGTTATTTGTAACACTTTGGTGGAACTCCTGTTCTCAGAATGAGAAGAGCGCAGCTTCGAAAGTTTTATGAAGAATGAGCTCTATATAGAAAAGAAATTTGTTTCGTTTCTTTTCTGACGGTACTGTGTAACATAAATCTTTGATCAAAAAAGCTAATATTTGTGATAAGTCCTGTATTGAACTTTTACAGCCTAAAAGAAGTTGCCAACGACTACACTTCTAAAAACTCAACTCCTTCAAAAACCATGAGTACTCCTACTTCCTTAGGCGTTGTCCAAACAAGAACGGTTGATAAAATTTTAGCTTTTCTGTATATGATCCAATTTCAGTTAATCTGCTGCATGTTCTGGGTTCTGAGAAACATCAAGAAAGCCGAGCTTTGTCAGTGGATTTCCTCTTTGGACAGTGAACAAGTCGGCCATTTGTTGCACGTTATGCGCTACTCCATCAACATTTTCGAACATGTGGAAGTAAAAAATATTGAGAAGGTTTTTTTTAACTTTTTTTTTTCCCCGTTTTTATTATTCATTCTCAGAAACCGGGACCAAAACCGAGAAATGAGAGGAAGCTGACCAGTGAGAGTCAGGCTTCAGATGATTTAGCGGACAATAATCTGGACGACGTTGAAATGGAATCTGTCCGATGGAGAAGTTCCACAAGAACTCCTCGAAACCGGGATTCCACTAGTGACAGCTGTTTTGGAGTCTATCTGTCTGTTTCTGAAGTCGCCGTCGCCAGCGAAATCGGCCTTTGTGTATCGGAAATCATCGACACGATTTTGTTGGTTGCTTCCAAACCCGAAAGTTCTCTGTTTGGAGTTTTGCCGATTGCCTTTGCTGTCTTGGTAGGCAACTATTTAGTAATTTGTTGAATGTCGAGTTCAGGTACAAGGACTGTCGTGTAATCTTCCAGAACAAGTATTAGAAGCATTTTTGGCTCTCCAGATGAAATTTGTGGAACAGATGAGCAAGTTGATTCTGGAGCAGGTGACAGAAATGTAAAGTTTTTTCGAATAGTATTTTTTCAGCAACCTGAACTCTGTGATCAACTTTGTCGACAGCTTCTGCGTCTTTGCTCTTCAACAGATCTTCATAATATTTGCGTTTTGGTTGCTTTATATTCCTTTAAAGATGATAATTAAGTTTAATCAGGCCTCTCTGAATTTGTACCAGCTGCTGCGCGAAAACTTCAGACTGGCAAAAGAATTACGCCAAGCAAAGGTTTTCACCTCGACCGCCATGGCTGCGTTGTTTTCTGGAAGCGATGGAGAGCTTATGAAAGACGAAAACTTGCGCAAAAGTGTCAAAGTATTGTAAAACTTTCTTAATTGAGAATAATGACAAATGCAGTTCATCAACGACCTTGCCTCTGAAGACGACTCAATCGAACCTGATTTGAAGCCAGCGTTTCTTACCCAGGTATAAAAGTAATACAAAACAAGGACAAAAAGTAGCGTGAAAACTGAGAAGCTATATGTAATCGAATTATTTATTTGTCAACAGTTAAAAAAATTTCGAGCTCGAGAAAAAAAGTTATAACTGATATTTATATATATATAACATACGTTTAATTAAAATCTTGGTAGTTCAATATTTATTTAGGATTTTTGAGAATATTGAAATCTGTCCAATAAACTGATCGAATTTTTCAACTTGACTTTTTAAAAAGCTTCAGAAGTTTATGTTTTTCTTTTAAGTTTTTTTCTTTGAAAAATTTATAAAAAAACTTTTAAAAATTGTGAAAAGTACTGTGACGACTAGAACAGTTTTTTTCAAGTTGATCTATTTAAAATTTTTTGAAAAAAATTCCAATAAATCTCTTCTTCTGTGATCACGAAGTCCTTCAGGTTGATGACGTCACCTCAAACTTGCAAACGATTTTGCAAAGCACGATTGGCTTGCGAGAACACGCCAACGACTACGAAATGACAATTGATCTCATGTGTCAGCTGGTCGATGGATATGCCAACAATCCAGATTTGAGGTCTCAAAATCTAAAAGAATTCCGGAGTGTGTTTCATTTTGTCTAGAATAACCTGGCTTTTGAATATGGCCGAGCGGCATGAGCAACAGAAACGGCTGTGTGAGGCGGCGCTGTGTTGTCTGCGTGCTTGTGCTTTGTCGGCGGAATACCTTGGTAAATTTTCGAATCAACCGAAGTTATCAGTTTCTTTTGATTTGAAGATACTCGTCAGCTCAGTGTGCCGCATTATCCAATTAATGCCGCAACTTTCTCGAAAATTTCGGAACACGTGCTCAAAGAGTCCAGAATCAATGAGAACAAGTTTTAGTATTAATTTACTTAGATTTTGATTAAAATTTAATTAGCAACGACGTCACGGTTGGTTCACTCCATTTTTCGGAAGCTGGTCTTATCAAGCTCATGGAGAAAACGTTCACTCTTCTGGAGAAAGCAAACGTCTTCGAGTTGCTCTTCCCATTGTCAGAGGTCTAGCCAATACTTTTTCATGTTTGAAAGACGATCTGATTTTCAGATCCTTGCAAAATTCTACCACGTCAAAAACTCCTATTCGAGAATCGCTTCGATCCACAGAAGACTGACTTCTGCTGCCGAAAATATTGCAGATTCTACTCAGTTTTTTGAGAATCAGAGCGATGCTTGGGTTTCTCCTGTGTCACGGTTGATATTTTTGGCTACTAAGAGTTAAGTTTGAATTTCAGAGCTGATCGACGATGTTTCGGAACGTTTTTCCGCGTTGCCTTCTATGGACATCTCTTTGGGGATCTCAACGAACAAGAGTTCATATACAAGGTTTCTCATTTTGAGCTGTATTTCTAAAAAGAAAAAACTGAAGATTCAACAAGTACCCTCAAATTACAGTTCATTCTTTTAGGAATCTGAATTCACTAAACTCAACGAAATCAGCACAAGAATCAAGGATCTTTACAGAAATAAACTCGGACCAGACGTTGTCGAAATTGTCAAAGATTCCAACCCAGTACCTCTTCGATTTCAAAACATAAAAGATTTTGAACTTTAGCGAAAATCGAAAGACTTGGACCCTAACAAGGCCTACATTCAAATAACGTTTGCTGAGGTGTATCTCTCCGACGATGAGAAAATGGAGCGTCCAACCTATTTTCAAAGAAGAAACCGAGTTAATCGGTTTGAACATTTTTTTTTCGTGAATAGAATAAATATTTAATTTATTTCAGATTTATGTATGAAACACCGTACAATTTGGATGGTAACCCACGAGGAGAACTGAAATCACAGTTTAAACGGAAAACTATTATGACTGTCGAGGAATTGTAAGTTCCCCATTGATTCGAAGTCGAACCAACCTGTTTTCAGCTTCCCAAACATCAAAACAAGGATCAGAATCAATGACAAGCACATTATCAACTGTACTCCTATTGAAGTGGCCATCGAAGACATTGAGAAAAAAACGAAGTAAGTCTTTATTTTTGAAAAATGGGTCAACGATCGAATTCAATTTCAGGGAGCTTGCGGAAGTGATCGAGTTCCGTAATTTCAAGATGCTTTCGATGGTTTTGCAGGGTTCCGTGAATCCAACAGTTCATCAAGGACCTCTGGGGGTACACATCTCAGTTTGAATGATTTCAAAAATTGTTTCAGATAGCTGAGGCCTTTTTGGAAAACGTCGTGACGGATGAACATGGAAGGCCGATGGACAGACTGCAGAATAGACTGAGACTGGCCTTCCGGCATTTGCAGCACAGAGTTCAAGAAGCTGTGCAACTTTCCGGCGAGATGGCCACTTTGGAACAAAAGGAGTATCAAGTAAGGAAGGGAGTAAAATCGAAACACTGTTTAATTCGTTAAATCAAAATGCCTCTGCTGAGGCCAAACAATTTTTTCTCATTTTTGTTAGCAACAGCCCTCAAAAGTTGTGAAAAAAAGTCACAAAGTTCAGAAAACTTTTCTGAGGAGAGTCTCAAGTAAGAAATGAAAAAAAAAACTTCTTGTTAGAAAAAGGAAAAAAATTGGTAAAGAGGGAAACCCATTGAAAAAATCCAATTTTTATCATTCTAGCCTTCTGAACTTTTGAAACAGGCAAACGTCGAGAAAGGCTACAAACTGTTTGTCGAGAACATGAAGCCGTACTTGTCCCGAGACAAAACCGAAGTCACATTTTCCGAGTTTGGCCAAGCCACTGTTGTTTGATCCAAAACTCACTATTTTCTCAATTGTTCACAAATACTCACGTTGTTGGTTCGTTCATACTGTTCTAAGCATACTTTTCTCCATAATTTTACTATCTACGAGTAAATCTTGAAGCTTTTGTCAGCAATATTCAACTTTAAAAGTATGTTCCCGCTCCGTATTACAGAAGTATGTGTATTTGTTTCCACGTGTATTTTCAGCGAAAATTTTCAGTTATTTTCTTGGTGTGATAGTACGTAAAATAAAATAACAGTTTGGTAATATTTGGTCTAAAAACTCGGCTTGGATGAATTTTGGGTACATGAGCCCTTTTTTAAATTTGTTTGACCAAATTTAAGGCATCGAAATGGAAGAAAAAGCCGTCAGTCGTCATGAAATCCATGCCTTGACCACTTCAAACCCGCGATTGCGCGCTGTCGGAGCAAAAATCTATCGAACTAGCACCAGCTTGTAGAGCTTCTCAAAATTATTTCTAACTATGGAACTACGCGAACTTGTAATCGCGAATCGAGTTCAAACTTTAGTTGGTTGATAGACCTAGATAAGAATACTTGAAAACAAGAGAGAATGTCTGCTAAACCCAATAGAGATTTGAGAAAAAATTAGTAGAAAATGTTAAAATTAGGCCTGAAAATTTTCAGAATTCTGCTTTTTGCCTTATTTTTTATTTTAAAACAGTCCCATTGAATGATCCGGCTATGATACACTCTAAAAAACTTTTTTTCAGCCAAAGGAGAAAAGCAAAAATTTGATGATTTTCAAGCCTAAATTATTCATTTCCAAAAATACTTTTCTCAGAAGCCTATGGGGTTTGCCAGATAATCTCTCTTGTTTCCAAGTACTCTTACCCGGGTCTATAAGCCACCAAAGTTTCAACTCGAAACGCGTACCCGAGTCCGAGTAGTTCCCTAGTGAGTTAGACTAAGAAAAAAAGATCACCCGGCTCGAGTTCAAGGTGATCAATAAACCGAATCCGCAAGAACACAAAAAGTGCCGTACCTTGAAATTTTTCCACAGTAAGCCGAGTTGGTCTAAAAAATAAAAGTTTTCGAAATGCCTCCTGATAAATATATCATTTTTCTAGTGAAACTCTTCAAATTGACTCTGATGATGGAGTTCTGTTTTTCAGTGGAAGGTCAGCCTTTTTTCAAAAGAAAGAGTGAAAAAATTCGTAATTTTACTATGTATGAACCAAGTGTTGTAATAATATAAAGGTTAAAAAGTGAATTTATTTAAATTCAACGAAAACTCTAAAAGCAAGAGATTGATTCGAATTTTGGCCTATTATCCGTGTTCAGCTTACCCCTGGAAGGGAGTTTCCGGTGGCACCAACTGGGAGGAACGGACATCACCACCATGAATTTTTTTGAAATACTCAAATAAACTAAATATTAACCAGACCGGGAAATGTTCAAAAAATAAGCAAAAGCGACCAAAAAAATGAGGCAAAAAGGGAAAAAATTAAATTATTGGAAAAATTAAACTCACTTCTTGAACTGCGGGTTGCGGTGCCAGAAGAACGCGTCCATGTCGATCTGTAAAAAGTTTTCATTACCTAACAGTGGGCACTGCTCTTACCACGATTGATTCCACAGCGTTTCTGGCCAATTCCAGCTCGATCACGAAGGTCCGAAGAACCCAGGTTCCCATTCGCTTAAACCAAAAAATATTTGAGAAAACTGTTGAGAAAAGCAAACTAGATGGAGCTGGCGGAACTTGCGCAGCTCACGGGTGAGGATTTGCAGAACGAGATGAACCTCCCGTGAGAAGCGGCGGAGAACGTCCTGAAAACTCAGAATTACTTTTAAAAGACAAAATTGAACTCGAACCAATGCCGTAGGACGATGGCGGGTGGACGGGGCCCGTTGCCGGAGTCGAAGAGGTCCGGTATTCCACTGCAAAAGATGAAATTGAAAAAAAGTTCGAATTTGGAAATGTTTACCAGTCTGGGGCGGCGAAGGCTTTCAGCAGCCCTTTGCAGCCGCCTCACCTGCTGAATCATCCTATCCGATTGATAGAATCGCTCGGAAGGAGTCATGCGGACGGGGCGGGCAACAGGGATCGGAATGGCAGCAGTGTTGAGGAGAAGAGAGCGGAGTCGAGGAGCGGCAGCCTCGATGGCGAGAATGTCGAATGGTCGAGCAACTTGCATGGCTAGTTTACTAATACTTATCGCGCGCTCCTTTTATACTTATTTTGGCTAAGTTTGGGCGTGGCTTAGAGGTGTCGACCAAGAGATTTGGTTTGCACCATGGTCTGACCCGGACGGTTGGTTGTAAACCTTGCCCCGCGCAGATAAGACTCGGAGAGGTGTGACTCTATTTTTTACTCGCCGAAAAAGAGGTGTGAGTGATGCGACTGTATTTGGCACTGCTCTCAGTCCAGAAACTCTTCAATGTCATAATCCGAGCCGGAGGGGCGGCTGTAAATTATGACCCGGCGAAGACGGTCGCAAAATGTGTGATTTCTGCCGTTTCATCCGCCGAAAAGAGGTTTAAATAATATGACTTTGTTTAATACATCAAAAACCGGAACTTTCAGAAGTAATATTTAAATGTACAAATTTTGGACCAAAAATTCTCAAAAGTGAGCTTCAAATTTTCAGATTTTGGACCGAAAATGATCAGAAGTGAGCTTCAAATTTTCAGATTTTGGACCAAATATTCTCAAAAGTGAGCTTCAAATTTTCAGATTTTGGACCGAGAATTTTAAGAAGTGAGCTCCAAATTTTCAGATTTTGAACCGAAAATGATCAGAAGTGAGCTTCAAATTTTCAGATTTTGGACCAAATATTCTCAAAAGTGAGCTTCAAATTTTCAGATTTTGGACCGAGAATTTTAAGAAGTGAGCTCCAAATTTTCAGATTTTGAACCGAAAATGATCAGAAGTGAGCTTCAAATTTTCAGATTTTGAACCGAAAATTTAAAGAAGTGAGCTTCAAATTTTCAGATTTTGGACCGAAAATGATCAGAAGTGAGCTTCAAATTTTCAGATTTTGAACCGAAAATGTTCAGAAGTGAGCTTCAAATTTTCAGATTTTGAACCGAAAATTTTAAGAAGTGAGCTTCAAATTTTCAGATTTTGAACCGAAAATTTTCAGAAGTGAGCTTCAAATTTTCAGATTTTGGACCGAAAATTTTAAGAAGTGAGCTTCAAATTTTCAGATTTTGAACCGAAAATGATCAGAAGTGAGCTTCAAATTTTCAGATTTTGAACCGAAAATGATCAGAAGTGAGCTTCAAATTTTCAGATTTTGAACCGAAAATGATCAGAAGTGAGCTCCAAATTTTCAGATTTTGGACCGAAAATTTTAAGAAGTGAGCTTCAAATTTTCAGATTTTGAACCGAAAATGATCAGAAGTGAGCTTCAAATTTTCAGATTTTTGGGACCGAAAAATGATCAGAAGTGAGCTCCAAATTTTCAGATTTTGAACCGAAAAATTTTTAAGAAGTGAGCTTCAAATTTTCAGATTTTGAACCGAAAATGATCAGAAGTGAGCTTCAAATTTTCAGATTTTGAACCGAAAAATTTCGAAAGTGAGTTTCAAATTTTCAGATTTTGGACCGAAAATGATCAAAAGTGAGCTTCAAATTTTCAGATTTTGGACCGAAAATTTTAAGAAGTGAGCTTCAAATTTTCAGATTTTGGACCGAAAATGTTCAGAAGTGAGCTTCAAATTTTCAGATTTTGGACCGAAAATGTTCAGAAGTGAGCTTCAAATTTTCAGATTTTGAACCGAAAATTTTAAGAAGTGAGCTTCAAATTTTCAGATTTTGAACCGAAAATTTTAAGAAGTGAGCTTCAAATTTTCAGATTTTGGACCGAAAATTTTAAGAAGTGAGCTTCAAATTTTCAGATTTCGGACCGAAAATGTTCAGAAGTGAGCTTCAAATTTTCAGATTTTGAACCGAAAATGATCAGAAGTGAGCTTCAAATTTTCAGATTTTGAACCGAAAATGATCAGAAGTGAGCTCCAAATTTTCAGATTTTGGACCGAAAATTTTAAGAAATGAGCTTCAAATTTTCAGATTTTGGACCGAAAATGATCAGAAGTGAGCTCCAAATTTTCAGATTTTGGGCCGAAAATGATCAGAAGTGAGCTCCAAATTTTCAGATTTTGAACCGAAAAATTTCGAAAGTGAGTTTCAAATTTTCAGATTTTGGACCGAAAATGATCAAAAAGTGAGCTTCAAATTTTTCAGATTTTTGAACCGAAAAAAATTTCGAAAGTGAGTTTCAAATTTTCAGATTTTGGACCGAAAATGATCAAAAGTGAGCTTCAAATTTTCAGATTTTGGACCGAAAATTTTAAGAAGTGAGCTTCAAATTTTCAGATTTTGGACCGAAAATGTTCAGAAGTGAGCTTCAAATTTTCAGATTTTGGACCGAAAATTTTTAGAAGTGAGCTTCAAATTTTCAGATTTTGGACCGAAAATGTTCAGAAGTGAGCTTCAAATGTGCGCAAACGGAATCGGCGCAAAAGGAAGCGGCGTCTGCATACACGGCGCATTGCGGACCGACGCTTAATTTGAACTGCGCTCTTGGAGTCGGTGCCCTTCACCTACACTCGCAATGTAGAACAGTGGTGCTGAGCTCGAAGTAACTTTGTCATAACTTTCAAAAAAAAGCTCAATTCGAAACGTCTTGTTCAATGATTTGACGCGTTTTTAGTCTTCAAAGCCTTAGACGTTGTGAGGAATGCGTCGAAACCTTCTATGATACTGGCTAAACGAACAAAGCACGACTACTAGAGTGAGAAAACTTGCGCGTACTATTTGTCATTCAAAAATTCTCCCCAAAAATGCGATCACATGAACAATTTTTTGTTGTATTTCTAAAAGCAATTTTTGTTCAAATACAAAGTTAACTAAGCCGAATTGTATCAAAAATGCACAAAAACACGCTCGGGAACCACTCTTTTTATTCCGGAACGGCGAAATGTCACACCAACGTCGCGCCTCAAAGCGCAAAAATATGTTGATAATGACCGTTTTTGGTTATTCAAACTTTTTCGGCACCCCCTGACCTTTTTTTCCTGAAAAATTATGTTTTTTGAAGGAAAAGAAGCATATCAAAAAAGAAAGATTTGAACGGTTTTACTCTTGTCAAACGCTCCAAAAAAACTTTGTTCAAATATATAAGCTTTTTTTGCTAATTCATAAAACGTTTTTTCACTTGCATTTTGGGTTTTTTTTTCTTTTTACGATTTTGGAAACTTTATTTCAACTTTTAAAATAAGAAGCCACTAGGTTGTCCTTGAATTTTACCGTGTTTTGCCCTGAACTTTTGTGGTTTTTAAGTGTAACTTCATAAGCTCCGTTCTTTTTTTGACTTTGCTAGAATTTTACCGTTTTTACATATTTCTGCAGGAAGGCATCATGAATAACAACTCTGAATTTTAGAAACACATGCAGTTTTCTGAAACGAAGGGGTTTTGTAACCACATCAAATTTTTTTTTAACTTTTCTTTCTTATGGATGAAATTTCGAAAAATAACGGAGTAAATTCTTATCAAAAGTTACTTAGTTTATAATAGCAATGTTAATTATCTCGTGAAACCAGAAATATAATTTGTTAAACAGCATTTTGCTCACTGAAAGTTCCTAAAACAAGTTTTTCAATTTTATGCGATAAAGAGGGCTAGTTTTCACATATGAATGGAAATTTCGGTATCTATAATGATTGAGAAAGTGATATTTATCATTATGAAGTTAGAGGTGTATTTTTCAAATCAGACTTGGCAGCGCGGCAATATCATTTTTGTGCCGAGATCATCGATTTGATCCGCCGAGCGCGAGAAGAAGGCGCAAGCCGCGGAGTCGCCTATAAAAGGGGGCCGCAACAGCGTTTTCGACAGAACCAGGTCGGCACCTCTCTCCGGCTCTCGCTGTTCTTTTGGAAGTCGTCTACCCTCTGGCCACTTTCCTTCTGTTTCCTGATACGTTCGCTGACAAATGGTTATTCTGATGATTGTCCTCGCACTGTTTGACATCTTCAGCTCGCCGTCCTCCAGCAACAAGTCACCATTGTGAGAAGGACGTCTCCCATACGCTTCAAACAGTCTACCAGCGCTGAGTCAATGAAACGCTCGTCGAATCTTCCTAACACATACATGCTCGTTCTCCGTCGAGGTAAAAATTTCCATTTTTCCTGAAAATCCAAAAAGTTGGTTCAAGGTCATGGCCGTCGAATCCTTGCCGTGCAGCCGTGGTTGTGGTCGTCGAAGTTGTTTCTTTTTTTAGAGGTTTTTTTCAATTTCGAGCTCCTTTTCTTGGTGATATTTTTGACGCAAAAGTTGAAATCTCAATTTGACAAAAAGTATAGTTTTTTTTTTCTTTTTTTTTAAACTTATTTTTGGAGTTTCTTTCTCTCATAGAATTTTCATTTGGATTCCGTGTTCAGTCGTTTCGAGGCGTCTTGGTCGTTTCGTGGGTGCCTCGTGGCCGTCTCGTGGCCCGAGCAGCCCTGGTTGATGTCGTCGAAACCGTGGGCGATCTCGAACCCCCATCTTCGCCGTCACCGACGCGCTTCAAAGAAGTGTCAAGGTTTCTGCTGTGAAAACTTGTCGCTCAGACCCCTCGCTAAAATGGTTTCTTGATTATTGATTGATTAAGGTGGCCCAGGCGAGGGGGCGACAATTATTTAAGTGAGTTTTTTTTTTTTTCTTTTTTTCATTGAAAGGTTGCATGACTACACCTTGGATCCAAAGCATGAATAAGAAAAATTAGATAAGGAAATGAGAAGGTTTAAAAATAAAAAAAGTTTACTTCGAAGTATTATCAGTTTTATGTGTAAGTCATTTCAACGAGAAACGCGAAAAGTCTCACGTAGTGCCTTACTTGCCGCAACGTGACCTTATTTATCGTAAATCGATGAACAAACAAAGACGCTCTCTCGTCCGACCGCTTCGCGAGTCTTCGGTTGACCGCTCCGCATTCCAATTTGGTCTGCGAGAAATCGTTTCCATGTCATATTGTGGGGTCAAGGTTGTTGCGGTTTCAGCAGTACGACTACATTCCGAGATGATTCGTCCAGATGATCTTCCTCGATGCAGCACGGGTGAAATCATTTCTTTTTATAAGAACCTAGGCTAGTTCATGACTACTAGAACAGTTTAAGTTTGATTATATGTTAAGATTACATATTGTTTAACTCATTTTTATTTATTATCATGTTTTTTTTTCAAGCCAAAATCGTAGTAGATGATTGATAATTATGGTAGCTGACGTTTTATTGAGGATGTTGATAAGACCAGACTTCCAATTTGAAAGAGAGAATAAGTTAGCGTCTCGTTGTTAATTAGTAGTATCAGGCAAAAGTTAGGTGAGTCATAGTTTGGGTCATGGTGTTGAGAGGGGTAATGGTGGTTGGTAAAGGAGAGGTAGATGGGTTTTTACGGCTTTTGTCTGCTAGTCTGCTAATCTGCATCGTTTCCTACTTATCCGTGATAATTGGCTGTTTCGGTTTTTTTGACATTTCCAATGACTCGTAAGTTATCAGATGAGTTAAGTTCGATGATGGTTTTTTTGTGCATGAGTAGGTGCATGTCTTCACGACAGGTCCTTCGATGGGATGAGGACAGAGAGACGAGAGATTGGCTCGAGAATCAGGATTGTAGACGTTCGTCGGAGATGACTCACGGATCAAGTTATCCTGATGAAATTGCAGGTAATTTCAATTTGACTTTATTTATAAAGGCGTTGAACTTGAAGCTTTAATACCTTTTGATGGAAATTTCAAAGTTTTCGTTTCCTGAAAAAAACTTCCATCAGATCCATTTTCTTTATTGTCTAATGAAAATTCTACCTTTCATTGAAACTCCATTAAGTTCAATTTTTTAGACGTTCATATTGTGATCGTGGTCGCTTCCTGGTCCAGCAGCCCTGATTGAGCCCTGATTGAGTCCTGGTCGAGCAACTCCCATTGTTTCGGGCTTGATTCGTGATCGAACAGCTCTGGTTGATGTCGTCTCTGCCGTTGATGTTGTCTCTGCCGTGGCTGAAGCTCGAGATGAATCCGAACCTTCGTCCTCGCTATCACCTAAGAAATGATCCTGATGCCTATTTCTTTTTTCTTTATGAGAAGTAGAATTCAATAGTTTGTTACATGACAATTAGAAATACTTTCGTTGTTTTGTTGTGCTTATTTTATTTTTGATTCTTTTTCGTAAAGCCAACATTGCGAATTTTAGGTTCTTTAGAATTTTACTGCCTTTAGGTTATTGGGGTTGGTGATTAGACCATACGTCCAATTCGAAAATGTGAATTAGTGAGGGTAGAGGTGCACTTAGGAGTATCGGACATTTTCTCTTTTTGCATAACGTTCATTTTTGTCTGGTAGTCTTCTAAGTCGCATTGATTCCTTTTTCGTTAGGGTCATTGGCTGTTCCGGTTTCTTTATCATCACCAAAAGCTTAGAGGTTTCAAAATTATGATTAGTTCGTTGGTGGAGGTTCTTTTGTTCTTGATTAGGTACAGCTTATTGTTGTTTTGTTGAGCTCATTTTTGATTTTCGATTTTCTACTTTTTTTTCTTTTGAGGTTCTTTTTTCATGATTATGTGCATGTTTTCACCACAGGTTTGAAAAAAAAAACTGGAGGATGAGACCAAGAAGGAAGATGGTTCTGGATGCAATCAAATAGAGACGAAACGTGAGGTATCCTGAACCTTCAATCAATGACTTTTTTTTTAGAAGATTCACGAACAGAAGACACCTGTGGGAGAGGGTTCGCATCATTCAGAAATTCTAATATAGCAGGTGCTTTTTCTCGTCAGACACGATCTTTCAATCAATCATATTTAGTCAAATTTGGGTGGGCAAAGCGAACCGACTGCAATCAACTACACTCTGCTCGAAACTGTGACGACGACAGCCGATGAAACATACGATGAACCTTCCGCTGAGCCATCTGGCGAAACTTCAAATGAACCTAAACGGCCCAACTTGTTGAATAACTTCACCAAATTCAAAAAAAAAATCAGGTATCATTTTAAAAAGTTTTCCATCCAGAACAGTTCAATTTCAGATCGGAAATCTAAAAATCTTGTGGGAGATGGTTCGCAACATACCGATTATGGCAAATCACAGGTGCATTCATACCATTTTCTCTTTACCCAATTGAAAAATTTCAGTTCAAACTTGGGTGGGCAAAGCGAACCGACTGTGATAAGAAAAACTCTATGATTCAAGGTAATTGATCGGAAAAATGTTCCCAAATCCAAGTCTATTTTTTCAGGTACTGGAAAAACGTGTGGAAAGAGGTCTCATTTACACTTTGACGTTCTCTGAAGTCTCTTCTTTCATTTTCTCTAATCACTGCCGTTTCACCATTCATATAAAAAAAAAATTTTCATCACCATTTTTTTTGTGTTTAATATCAGACGAAATTGGTCATATCTATCGAGAATGATTCGCGGTTCCATTGGCAGTCTTCGTTGTTTCTTCCTCCAGCGATTTCTCTTGGCGGTTCCTTCCAAAAAGGACGGACGCGACCGCGTGTGTCATCGATTCGGTGGACATAAAACGCGATTGTAGTGAGTTTTCAGCTCGCCAGGCTTTCTAGCCAAAAACGTAAAATCCAGGATTTCTTCAAAACTCCTTCAATAGATACAAAAAGTAATGATCTTTTTTCTAGAAAACCGAGGTACTTAGAAAAGTAATTTTTTCTTTTTCCCCGAGGTTTTTAGATAATGTTTTTCGGTTCGTGTTTCGAGATGGTACGGCGGAAACTGTTTTTTTATTCATAACAACAACAAACCGCTTCAAACGGCTATTTCAGACGCAAGAATGAATTTAAGCGGCTTTATTCTGAATCTTCATTCTCCTCATCGAAAGGAAATGCAAGCGCTTGAATCCATTTGATAGGAATAAAACGACCGGCGCTCAAGTCAGCAGCTTCCTGCTCGTCGATGGGAGCGATGTCTTTACCCTGGCACTTCAAGTATGTTCCAAGATCGACAATGTCCGAAAATGAATGGCTACAAGTTGTCACTAGAGCCGAGAAATAGCCCAGCTTTTTTTGCGTCCTGAAAAGCATAAGTTGGCTACTGTATTTCATGAAATTTTTTTTCTGATCATGAAATCTAATCTCGCTCTGATATTTGAAATTCTTTTTAAGTTTTTTGAACAATCTTGAATCATTTCTCTCATAGAAGTCCAGACCTTTCAAATAATGGTTAGAAATTCAGATTTTTCAACGGAGCAGTGAAGCTAAATAAAGTTTTTTTTTCCAAAATTAAAATTTTGATCGCTATGTCCAATTCAGGCAGCGTTTCGAATCGGCGCTGTTTCAGAAAAAAAATTTGAAAGCAAAACCGTTGAATGTATAAACTCAAAGCCAACTAACCACAACTGTATTTCTGACACGAAAGTCATAAGCCAAGCCACATACAACGACTGCATTTATTGATTTTTCCTTCAGAAGATCGTCAAGCCCAGTTCTGTGAAAATCGCAGATAAACGAAGATATATGCCGAGAAAAAGATAATTGCTGACTCTTTCATTGTCGAAAAAGCCACTTCTACGAGTCCACGAAGATGTTGGTATCTTTCTTCAAAACCGTCGAGCCTTCCGCGATCTGGATATCCCAAATATAAGGGCTAGACTCATCAAGCTATTGAAAAAACGTACATTGATGTTGATAATTTTATGAATTATAGCTTGGGTTTCATGGCGTGAAAAAAAGATAATGAAATGAATAAAAAAAGAGGTCGATTGATTATTAAAAAAATTTGGAATTCTCAATGAGTCAGACAACTTTTCGTGTATCATAAGAAGACCCAAAAATTTCAAAACATTTCTGAGAAGAATTGAGGAAATCTCAAAAGTTACAAACAGTTCATCAAATCGTCTTCTGATGGTTCTCTCTAGCTTTAACCATCGCTTTTCGAAAACTAGGAAGACGTGCAGGTTGGAAGATTATTAGAGTTTCCATTGGGTACACATTATGACCGAGCTGCTAGAAATGCGTGGAGACGGCGGTGAGAAATGGCGAAGTGAAATGTCGCTCCTGGTACGGAGAAAGCAGAGGAAAGTGGTGAGCGACGCTCAGAAGCCCAGTGGCTTTTTTTTTCGTGTCTTCAGGAGCGAGAGAGTAAGAACGTGCGACAGTCTAATGGTTCAGAGGAATAATCGATAAGGACGTTCGTCGGGCTTTCACATGCCCCAAGCTTGGGGCCACGTCTCAAAATGCAATGATTGTTTTCTAAAGCGTTGATCTTGCAGCGGAAATACTCTGGAGGCGTTTTTAAAGCTTCAAAGATTTCAAAACAAAATCAAAGTCCTAAGCCAAGAAGTCGGGAGTCGCTGAATGCAGAGCAAAGATAGAGAATGAATAATATTTTAGGTGAGGTAAACTTATTCGATAAGAAATGAGATGAAACCTGACAACCTTATGGAAAAAAAAATGTTCTGATACTCGAAAAAGGCATTGAGTTTATAATCGTTTTAAAGTTCTAATGTGAGGTTTCTGATTTTCTAGAAATTGTCAAAATTCGATTGAAGGCCGTTCAAAACAATGCCTAATTTGAAATATGGCTATTCATGGAATTCATGAGATCGCAACCCCTAACAGCCGCCGTATCTTTTTTGAAAGTTACGCTGCGCGCAAAATGGCACCTTCAAATGTGTAAGTCGCTAAGCGGGTGAAGACAAAACAACAGAAGTAAACATTCAACAAAAACAAAAGAGAAGTGCGAAGCGGATAAATGCAACGATTCTGTGCCCTCTTCACAGTCTGTCTTCTTCCTTTGTTGCCGGTCAAAGTCCGCAGCTCTTTGTGTCTTAAACTTTTATTCTAGCCATCATTGTCTGTTTTTTTGCGGAGGTGACAAAAGGTCACTTCAAGTGAAATTCAAAAAACAAAATCTCAGAAACGGCTTTTCGAGTTCAAACAAACAAGTGGTTTTTATTCCAGCTGTTTTCAAAGATGAAAAAGTTTTTAGTTATCTTTTAAAGTGATGAAAACATATTTCGAGTTGCTGAATATCAGTTAGCTTGCTCACTTGGAGAAAATCAAAAACACAAAATTCGTTTCGATCGAACTGACTAAGAAGGTGCTTTTCGAAAAAGTTCTAATGTTTCTTAAGTTTTTGTTATACACTCTATAAAAATCACGGAGATAATCCTTGAGCAAATAAGAACCAATCTCAATCTTGAAATTTTTTCTCATGTACTATAAATACAAAAAAAAGGTAGAAAAAATGGGTAGTCAATTTGTGAAATTATTGGGTTTTTTTTCAGCTGTGAGATAATTTTGCAGCATCTCAGCTGTATTTGAAGAAAAAGATCACCGAGAATAGCTTGAATCTTTTGGAGAAATTGTTATTTTTTCGGGTGATGAAGTAGCCGAAATTCAATACAGAGGCGTTGAATGAGATCAAATTCAGTACGTGCTCCATCACGTCTTATCAGAGTAGGGATTCGTTTCGAAAATTTCTTTGAGACGTTCATCCCTCTTTGGAATAAACTGGCTACATTGGGAAACCTCAATGTTTCTCCAGATCGTTTCAGGTCTTTGTTACTATCCCTCGATAACAATTTCCTTTTTGGATCTATTCCCAGCAGACTCCGTTGAACCAGGTACCCGTGCTTCAGCCCTACTCTAATCCATCTTATGCGCGTCTATATCATTACAAACAATTGAATTCCCCATTAACCTGTGCTACACTGTGTCATAACTTTAATGCTTTCTTTTCTATTTACTTTTTTTACCCTTGTGGAATCCTCACTTATTCTTTCATTACTGGCTCAGAGGCTCGTGAGGGCCTCAAGTGCCTTTTATTTATTTATTTCAGGCTTAATGCCAGTTTTTTTCTCTCTTTTTTCTGTACATGTTATTTTGTTCTGCCTGTAAGTAAATAATATTATTAAATTCATCCTCGTATGAAGTTGTTCAGTAAAAAAATAATTGAAGACGAAGGCGTTAAATTCATCATGAAAATCTTCGTCTGATCGTCGGAGAAACGTTTTAATAACTCAATGCATTTCGAAAAAAGTAGACACGTGACTATTCAAGAGAGCTTCGAAAATGTAAAAAGATGGGATCGATTTTAAACGCCTACTGTGCCCAGGGTGAGAGAATAATAAACTGCTAATGACTGTTAATTTGTCTGAATGACGGTAGATGATATGGGAATTTTCCGAATTTATCACTGACTCTCCAGTCAACCTTTTCCGGATAGAAAAGCGAGATGGGTAGAGTGACAAAAGTGAAGCGTTACGTTAACGACGAGGCGTTTTAGTTTCGAGGCCGAACGCGTATCACCTTTTTCATGTTTTTCTACTAATTTTTTCTTCGAGGGACATTTTAGCAAGAAACATCCTTTCAAAATATTCGAATCTTGGGCATAGTCACGTCATTGGGAGTACGGTAGCCACTACGCCACGCGGTCAACTGGAATAAAGGAAGAAAAAACGAGCGACATTTTCTCTTGCCTTCCAGTCCTTATTTTGCGTGCAAGCTTCGAAATTTCATATCTCGAAAACAATATCTATTGCGAGAAGTTGTATTCCCGTTCTGCGAAGAGAAGCGCTTATAAAACACTTCAGCAGAGTAGCATCTCAAAAGTTCGACCAATCGCCGAAAACAATTCCCGCGTTGGAAAAAAATCAGAAAAAGTTTAGTTGATCAACTTTCATCTTTATGCTAGTTATATTGGGAAGCTCACTGCTTTGTGATTACACGAAGAGCTTATTATCTTTCGGAGTTCCGTTATTCAATTCAATTTACGATCTCCGCTCTCACATAATTGATTTCAACCCAATAGCTTTTTTAAGAGAGATCGAATTCGAGGGCTCACACATCAGCTTCTCTCTGCGAATCGAACGGTCCCATAAAACTTTCATGGATTTTATTGTCTGCTTAGATCATAATAATATTGAAAAAAAAAGTTCATATTTTGTGCGCCTTGAAAGCTCTGAAGGTCAGAATAATGAGATTGTGGGTGGGAATCTGTTTTTCTCATCCAAGCCTTATCCAGATGCTCACTGGGCGATGACAACTCCAGATGAATAGGAGCATTGCTAAATGATTAAAATTTTCATTTGGGCGCCGAATTGCCATAAGGAGCTCTACTGGATATCTTTTTTTTCATATCAATAACTTCATTGACAGAGAGTCATTCTGGTGGGTGTGTTTAGATTTTTTCTGAAGTCGCCCAAACACTACGTGAAGGCTTAGATAAGGACTCTTTTAGACTCTATCTTTAAACTTTAAGTTAAAAAAATCCCTGTTTTTTTATTCGTTTGTTCAACACACAAATCAAATTTTTCAACTCACCCTTTTTTTCTGGAAAAATTCTTTTTCTCCTATAAAAAAACGTTTGTGCATATGTCGACAAAAAAATAAATCTTTGCTTGAGAATTTTTAAAAAAATATTCTGAGCGAAATTCGAAAAATATTTAGGAATTTCTGGTTTTATTAAAATAAAAAAATGAATTTTTCAGGAGAATAATTTTTTTCCGCAATATTACGTTTTTTTCTGACGTTCACTTCAAAAAAATCCCTCATTCTGCGGTCTCTGCACGATCAAACTTTTGCTTCTTCCAAAGGTATCGATGACGGTCTGGCGGCCTCAGTCGACACCTGTGTCTATGCTAATGTGCTTAGTCATCTGGTCTGTAGCTCGTGGATCGCGAAAGCCAACACCGCAGCCATTTTTCTTCCGATAAACAATGACACATCTTGTATTTGACCCTCTCCTGTTTTTCGCTAATCGTATTGTTGCGCGTATCGATTTACATCGATGCAGCAACTTTAGCCGATTATCGCGAGTTAAAGCAAGAAAGCTCAGGTTTCAACAGTTTTCTGTAAATGATACGCCTGTACACTCGATCAAGTGTCCAGAAAGTTGTCTACATGTAAACACAGTTCCTTTTTTTGAAAAAAATTCAAATAAAAAAATGTATTGAAGAAATAACCTTTTTAAAGATTACTTACACTTTCAAGGCGCGATTCTGTAAAATCCACTGACTTCGGTTTTTTTGAAAAATAAGGCTATTACGATATAAATGATTTGTTCAGCTTGCAAAATGGAAGTTCAGCCTTTGTCAGGCGATAGGTTTTTGAAAAAAACTCATTCCAACTTTTGTTTTAAATTCAGACTAATTTTTGTTGTTTCTCTCATTATTCAGTACTCTCCATCGACTTCATAATTAGACGGAGTAATTTTCAAAACAAATAGAAGAATTTCCGATCCCTCGAAACGGACAGTGTGAAATTTCTCAGTGTATTCCCTATTCAATAGGCAATTTTATGGCAAACACCGATTGACCGGTGGGAATGTGTTTTTCTCGTTCCAGCGCAATGTTCACGAGGATGGGAACCGCGGCCGACGGCGCTCAGGCGTTTGTGCATTCTCCTTTTCTCCTAGGAGTCCATTGATCGATTTCTGCGGCGCTTCATGTTTTTTGCGGAACGCCTTGTACCTATCAGTCAATTAAACACATGATTATATGGCTTTGTTGCCACAACGGGCAATAAAAAGACTTTACGACACTTGCGCGATTTATTCGATGCAAGTTGGGATACGGTAACCTGCGCCGCCGCACCTTCATTTCCGTTCACTCTGAGCTTTGGAAACAGCTTTTTTTGGCTAAAAGTTAAGATATTTATCATATTCTTAGCGAATACTCCTTTGCCAGTTTTTCTCAATTTAAACGTTGATCAGTTTTGGAATATGTTAACTTTTAGACCTAATGAGCGAGAATATTCCAGTCAAAAAAGAAACAGAACAAAAGATATCCGAATGTTATTCTAAGCGATTTGGGAGCCTAAGAGTCTTTTGATGATCAAAAATTTTATAGAACTATGTGTAAAAAAGGTTAGGCTCGCAGAACTCTCGGATGATTATCAATTATGTTTTGAAGTAAAGGTTTGAGCTCATTAAATCGATCTTGGAAGAGCAAGAAGAGATATTTTTATTCAATAGATCGTCAAAAATGCGCCTTTCATCAACGCCCTATCTTATGACTCATTTATTTTTTTCTTATTATTCGTCAATGTAAGAAAATCTAGAAACCAATGAAATTAAGGCAAACATAAAATAAACTCAACAGAAACAAAAATAATTCACCAAATGAGGCTCTTATTGAAGGCACATATTTGACTGCCATGATCTACCATCGCCGCGCAAGTAAAACCGCCCGTTCGCTGTTCCAAGCCAGCCGCGAACGGGCTATAGCGCAAATGAATGGGAAATGGAGCTGAACCCACTCAAACGCCTCCTGCTTTGGATTGAAATGGCAGATTTTTCTGTACGTTCGCATACCCAAAAAAGACATATTTACGACTTGGTTCCTCTCATTGCTCATAAAATCAAACAGCGCGGGTTCCCTTTTTCGCGCCACCGCCGTCCTTCTCACCCTTCCTCCGGACGCAATCACTTCCCTCCGTCGTCTTCCTTATTTTTGAATTTTCTAAGCGCTCGTTTTTTATTCATTTGGATCAAGTTATGAAAACTTGATGAAAATTATGAAAAACTTGATGAAAAAAAGTTCTCAGGCTTAAAAAAATACTGATCAACGTTAGTTTTTGCGGCTAAATCCAATTATTACCTAGCTGTTAAATATGCAATTTATATGTCGATCATTCAAAAGAAAAAAATTAAAAAAATCATTTATCCCTCCAGTATGTCAAATGACACTATAGTGAAAAAAATTTAGAATAAGGGGGAATTTTTTTCTTTTTGCTTTTTTTCTATCAAAAAAATCGTGCAACTTTCTAAGTGTTCATAGTAAATCCTGTACAAGTCTATAGCCCATGAAACCCCCATTTGTCACGAATTTATTTCTTCAAGCTACAGAACCATTTTTATTCGATACATGCGACCTATTTATGTGCTTGGGCGTTTATTTTTGGTTTAAAAAAATATCATCATACTGAACGTGCACAGAGTCAGACCGTAAATATTAAAAAAATAGGTAGCTCGAAGGTAAATGGGGTATGAGGCTATAGCCTACTGAAAGTTGAAGAAAAAGAATTGTCGATAAAATAATTTTTATCGTGGGAAAAAATATTTCAAAAAAAATTTCTTTCAACGTATCCTGTTGCTGAAAGTTTTTTTCTTTGAGTCAATGGGATCTCATTTAACTCTAAAAATCTGAAAACAGACACGCCTTATGATTAGTGTTAGAAATAAAAGATAACTGTGAGGCCTCTGGAAGATCAAACGTTCTGCATTCTCACATCGCGGGCGGGGTCACGTTGTTTTTGTCGACTTCGCGCCTTTCCTCAGTCCTGTCCGTCTGGGCTGAACGCTCCTGCGCCACTCTTTCTTATGTTTCTTTCGTTTTGATTCGTTTTGATTCGTTTTGGTTCATTTTCATTTTTGTTTTTTTTTCAGATAAAAGGTTATCCAAGCAATGTCGACGGCCGACGATTCCTGTGGTCTTATGTTCCAGATGGACTTTGAAGATGAGGAGCTCGGGGAGGATTCGAATCAAAAACGAATTCTCACGCTCCGTGATCTGAAGATTCAAGACGACAAGAAGTCAACCGACTATTCCTGGCACGACGACTACAATTACATCTCCAGCCTGGCCGTAGGAAACAAGGGTTCGTTGTTTGGTTCATAGCAACATGGAAAAATCATAGTTGATATAAACTTCTTTTTGCTTAGTTGTGGCTTGGTATGACGGAAAAAAAGTTTAGTGAACTATCAAAAAATAATTACTCAAATTCTTCGAGCGATATCGCATCCGAGCAAAAAAAAATTAAAATGTCTAGTTACTAGGAAACATTTTTTACCCCGCGGTTGAACTTTTGATGAAACTTTGCTGAAGTGTACTTTAGGACCCCTGATTCTAGAAAAAGAAGAAAATTTCTCGCAATCAATCTCGTTTTCGAGTTAGGACACTTCAAAAGCTCGAAATAGAGCTTTTTTGGCCTAATTTGCGTATATTGCACACTTTGAAGCTCCATAACTCAGAAACAAGATCAATTGCAAGAAATTTTCTTCTTGTTCTGGAATTAGGGGGTCCTAAAGTACATTTCAGCAAAGTTTCATAAAAAGTTCAACCGGGGGGTAAAAAATGTTCCCTGGTTAGATAATTTTCGTGTTTTGAAATACTTCCTAATTTTGAGAATTATATTTTGATTTTTTTTTTTCAGAACTTTTTGTTGTGTTTGAAAAAATAAGAAAAACTGCTTTTTTGTTTTTTTCAAAGCAAGAAGCTATTTTTTTTGAACTCAGGTTTCTGAAAACAATCCTAATCGTGTCTCCAGCTTTTCTCAAACTCCTTTTGATAGAGACTTTCCGTTAGAGTGGACAACTTCATAACTTTTAGAGGCTTTTGACCACTTTTCAGTCAAGTTGTTGTCACAGTCGCCTTCCTTTTGTTCCTCTGGCCCCTGTAGTATTGATCGGCGCCTAGCAGGCTCTCCCGATCAAAGCCAACGGCAGTCGGTTCCCCGTGCGCCCTGTGTCGCATCCACAGTCCACGCGCGAAGAAATAGCATGGGGAAAAGACTTTGCCTGCGTCCTGGCGCCCTCTTTTCGGCGCAGATCTCTCGTCTATTTTCGTTCCTCCGCCGCAGGGGCCGACTACGGTATTCTAGTCGGGCGAAAATCATTTGACTTTTTTCAATGCTTCGTACTGTTGGTGTTGTTTCACAGTTTTCTCTTCTCCTTTGCGTGGTTTCAAGTCTAAATAAGTGTCGAAGCAGAAGCCAAAGCTTTTAGCAGCGGCACTGTCTTTGAACTTTTGTGCATCGGAGAACACAGTCTACCATCCTAATGCTTCTAAGAAGCTCTCGAAGCTTTTACAAATGTGTTGGTTTTTTCAGAGCTGTCGGAAAGGATTGAGGCCTACTACCGTGATGTCCAGAAGACCGAGATAGAGATCCGGAAGCAGTTGGAGATGGAGAAGATTGACGAGCAGTGGGAGACTGACTCGGATTCCTCAGTCGTCACGGTCTACGATGCAAATTGTGAGTTGCGTAAAAAAAAAGATGAGGATTGAGTTCTTTTTAGCTCCAATCTTCGAACCGCGTCTTCTGCGCCGTTTTCACATGCACCCCAACCCGAGCTTGAACGTTGAAATTCGTCCTTTCAGGATGGCCGACATGCAAAGTTGCCTTCAGTGAGTACTTTCTTTCTTAAATTTTTCGACTCATCCAAAATAGGACTCATTCAGAAGCGTATGTAAATTCAAAGCAAAAACTTTTGAAGTTTAATGATTAAAGTCAAAGTTTAAATACAAATCTTAAAATCAAAAACATCTAATTTTCGAGCTATTAGACGAGTAGCTCAGCAAGTCATAATTTCAACTACTTTGGAAATTTTTTTCAGATGTTTCCAAGCCGCGTACAGTGGCATCTATGAAAAGCTCAACAACGAGTTCGCGAAAGTTGGCAAGCAGATCACTTTCAACGACATCAATGCTGAAACTCCCATTTCAATCGTCGCTGTCCTCAAGGGGTTGGTAGAATAAATGATCTTTTTCAATAAAGTAAATGAGCAAAGTTTCGAAGTTTTGAATTCTTCTCGCGAAGTGTTTGTTTTCTCAGTTGCTCGCACACTCTAGAAATTCCTTTGAGAGCATTTCAATTCGTCATTTTGCAGAACTGACGTGGTGCTCGGATTCATCGGAGGCAAACACTTGGCCTATGGCTTCCAGTCTGACTTCGTTCATCTGCGCGCCTTGGTCGTTCGTCCAGCCGTCCGTCGCAAGGAAGTCGGCACGATGCTCGTTTCCGCTCTGTCTCGCGTCGCTTTCGAACTGGTAGGTCTTCTCATCTGGTTTTCTTCTTATTCCAAGCACGAAAATAAGGATAGTGAGCCTTAGCCATCTATTTTTCCAAGGCTGGTCAAAACTTTGATTTTCGTGATTTCAAAAAGAAATAAATTCCATCAAATTGTTTTCATCAGTTTTTCTCAGTTTGATAAATAAGTTATTAATAAAATTTTTTTAATTAGATAACTATTTTTGGCCATAACTACGGAAGGCTTCTAGGCTTTTGAGTCCAACTTTCTGAAATCTAAAAGAAAATGAGAAAATCGGTCGTTGCTTCATGAAAAATGGATGACATCAAATTTGGCGTTCTTTTTGGTCATTTCATATTTTCTGCAGAAGAAAATCTTTTTTGAGCTAACTATAACGATATATTCAAATTGAAGTCTCACAAAGCAAAGTTTGAATTCGGTCAGAAAAAAAGTTCACTGACGACGCAGGTGCAAAATTTTCGACGCACAAGGAAAAAAGTGTCCCATTGTCCCCTACTTTTTTTCTCTGCCTTCGAGCCAGTCAGTTTCAAATTTGAACATAAGGAATTTTGCAGAGGGCCAAGTACATTGTCCACGGCTTCACTGGGAGCCACTCGCTGACGATGCTGAAGTTTCTGAAAAATCACGGCTTCAAAGCTATTGATGACGACGCTCTGATGGACGTCAACGGAGTGGTTCTTGGACGTCGTCTCGGCTGGCTTGGAGAGGAAGACCGTGGCGTCTCGTTCCGAATTGATCTCGTGCTCCAATCGGTGAAAGAGAATAAGGCCTACGAGAAGACCCGTAAGAGAAAGGTCGACAATCGTACTTTTTTCGAGAAAGCTCTCGAGGACGGTTACATCTCTGAGAAATATTCATATCCCCTGTAATTCAACCGGTTTTCCCATTGGAAATTTGGTTAGCAATGCTTTTTCTGTTGACCTTATTTCTCTGCAAGCTCTGTTTGCTGTTTCAATGAAAGCTTTCCACAACGAATGCCCTGAGAATTCGTACTTTTTGTTTGTAATATGCTTTCTTATGTTTTATCCATTTTTCTTATCATTTCTTGTTGATTTCTGTTTTTTGTCGATTTTTTTTTTGAGTTTTACCCGACGTACTTGTTTTATCCATAGTTCGTGCCGTTTTTTACTAAGGGTTTCTGACCGCTGATTTTTTTTACGTACATATTGTAATCTTGCCGTAAATTACTTTTTTCTGTATATCCAGTCTTGATGTCCATAATCTTCAAAATGCATTCGATAATATCTGTCTGCTTGTTTTATTATCAGTAAAGTTTGTTTCTATTTGAAGTTACACAGGAAATCAATTCACTCGTGTCACAAGACAAAGTGGGCGGCGCTTCTGAGTACTAATCTGGCGTTTTCAACCTCTTCGTCCTACGCAGTCTTCCCCAATCAAACTCCTCCTTCTGTTTTCGTTTCCACGGCAACCTTTTTCCGAACTCGAAGGATGTGTTAATTTTTCTCACGTTATCAAGTTCATTTTCTAAACGTTTCTCTTTTGTTAACGCGTCTGTTCTGCGGAATATTCAAAATTTTGAGAAAAGTCAGAGGGTTTTGATTTTTTCCCCATGTGCAATAAATCACGACTATTATTTAAAAATAGTTTCATCTTGTTTCTCATAGAATTGCTTTTTAAAAAAAGGTTTCCCGATCGTTATCGTAGAAAGTCATCGCGATGACATTTGTCCAAGGGAAAGGCTAGCTATTTCCGCGCGAGATGCTTAGTCATAGGTCCTGTGACTTTTGCCTTCGCCTGTCGCAATCACTGGTCCGTTTGTTTTTTTGTCCTTTCCATTGCCTTCGCAGTTATTACGAATTGTCCGAAGTCTAAACTTAAGAATTACTTGAATTTTGAGAACGATGATTAATGAAGAGGATAACCTGACGCATATCAAGCCTGAGTGCGATATTAACTCCCAGTTAGCCGTGGTGGTAAGTGAACCGTCAGAGGCTTCCAATTTTTCTTTCCCAGCTAGAGAAACTTGAAATGAGCGGCTACAGCGATGAAGTTCGCCAGGAGAAAAAAGATTATGAAAATCCACAGCAAAAAGGGGACAGTCGTGAGTATTTATTGGTTTAATCAAACCTTCAGAGTTCAGTAGTAATTAGAAAACTTTTGTAAAATTGATAGAAAAAGTCAGAAATGGTTTACAGATTTCATCAATTTTCCTTCATCGACAATTCCGTTTTCCAGGTTACATTTTCGATCCTGAGTTAATGGAATCATTCAAGAAGGAGAAAAAGTCAGTGAATAGTTCAATCGAGCTGAGACCGTTCAAAATGGAGGATGTAGAAGCTTGCTATGAGTGAGAATTACGAAAAAAGTTTGAAAGATCTGCATCTTCATCTTTCAGAGTGTACAAACTATTCGCGTTGGAAACTTCTATCCCGCTCAACCAAGGCTGCATGGATTTTTGGAGACATGTCACTTACAAAGCCATCCTCATCAACATTCCATACTCCATCGTGGCGATTGATACAGAGTGAATTTTTACGAAAAAAGTTCAGCATACAAGTGAAAAACTTTCAGTACAAGTCTAATTGTTGGATTTATTGGAGCGGAATTCCGCGAGAACGCGGATTATTTGTGCCATTTCCTCCAAATCAAATGTTTGGCCGTCCATCCAATGTTCCGCGGCATGAGAATCGCAAAGACGCTGGTGTCAGCTCTCGGATGCGTGGCTCGAACGCTTGTTAGTGTAATTTGTTATGCTTTTAGATTTATTCAGTTTTTTTTCCAGGAGGCACCTTATCTGGTCTACATTTTCAAAAACAGAACCAACAGGTTGTTTGAGAGGATTCTTCTGAAAATCGGTTTCACAACTGTGAGCCCAAGTGTGTTCAGCGGAACCCTGGAAGCTGTTCTGTTTCGAAAAGTTGGAGAGCCCGCATCATTTGGATCTGGCAAAAAGCATGTGCCCCGTGGAAAGACAGAGCAAAAACGCGCGCAAAGATTTGGGCATCAGGATGTCAGAATGCGAATCGGAAAGCTCCTTATTGAGTCTAGCGATTTTTTGCGCGAGATGTTGATAAATGAGGGATATGTTAACAATGCGCCATTCAACCGCCCTTGATACAGTTCATCAAAATTTTTCCTGGCTGGTTTTTTGAAGAGGTAAATAATTTTCCCAATAAACTATCGTTAGAAAACCGATAAATTTTTAACCTTCGCCGTTTGGAAAAACGTTTAAAAATCTTGTTATTAGACTCTTTTGAGACCAACAAGCGTTTTATTTTTTTCAGTCATACTTTTTTTCATAACAGCCTTCCGTGATCAAACTCGCTTTACTGTGAGAATCAAATTTATGTAAACAAACTATTTTTTTGCTAAAAATGATTTTAATATCTTATCTCTTTCAGTTTCCTTCGTTTTCATGATGTTTTTGATGATGTTACAAGTTTACGGATTTCAAATAGGCACCTTTTTTACGCACGTTTGTTTTTTTGTTTCCCGGTTAAAAACGGACACTTATTGTTTGATTATGTTCTCAGATCGCTTCAGGCCGTCTCACCTTTTTTTATTATCATTATTTTTCACTTTTTATGTGTTGAATACTTTTTTTGCTTTGATAAAATGTTGGTGTTGAGAAAAGGTATTTTTTTCTGAATCTTCATCTTCACAAAAAAAGTTTGCTCGTGGAACATTTAACATTTATTCATTCTTCAGAGTTATCTTGTATCTGCTGAATCATGGAATATTCGTAGAGATGTTTGTTGGTTCGCGCAACTGTCGCCCATCGGTTGTGTCGCTTGTGGAAAATGTTTGATAAATTAGCGGCTAAGAAAAAAAAAAAGAAAAAATCGATTTTGTCTACCGTCAGTTGCAAGTTTCTCAGAAATATTAACTATTGAAAATTGATTCAACTTCCACGACTTGTTCTTCCCAATCTAAAGTCGATTCACGTCTGGCTTAAATTGATTGAAAAAAAGGTCTTGATGCGAAAGTGGAGGCTGCCTCGTGTTCCGTGTCCCAAACCAGCCGGGAACAGGCTCCTCTGTGCCTCGTACTCTCTAACGGTCTACCGCACAATAACATTGAAATATCACACATGAGAGCCATTATGTTGCCCCTCATGCCGAGGAAATGTTGAAACCTCTTCGAAGACGCGCACAGCCGTGTGCACGTTCTGGTATCTTTCCAAGCTGGTCTTCTCGTGACTCGGGCGGACCGTCTCCCCAAACTCCTCCCTCTTTCGATCCGCGCCGCGCCGCGCCAGTCGCCATTCTTGCTTCTCTCCGGTCACACGGGCCAAGAAAAACAGTCTCTGGGACCGTTTTGCATTTCCCCTTTCTGCTCGACAGTTATTTTTCACAAAACTTTGCGCGTTTCCGCCTGAAAATTCTATCTTTAATCTCAAGATTGTTAGCTTTTCGTCATCAATCTTTTGTCTCTGCGCATTTATGTAGAAATCTCTGAAATATTTGACGATTTTTCGAAGTCTCCGCCTTTTTCGATTTTTAGGCGTTCAGTAGCTGTTATCTTTTTTTGCGCAAAGCAATTTTCAAATGCATCAAGGACAAAAAATTCCGAGTTGCAGAACAACAGCCCCTCTGAAAGGTTACTGCGTAGCCATACCGACTACACTTTTTTTTAAATGATTAAATATGAATATAAATTCAACAATAAAAGTCTGCCTTTTCCGCATTCCTTCTGTAGACGTGTCTTGTTTTCAGCTGCTTTGTTTTATCTTTAAAAAAATTTTTAGTATCGTCTTCTCGAGATGGTAAGACAAAGAAAATCGCGAGCTGGAAATCTCCAGAAGAAGAGTGAGTTGCAAAGTACAAAGTACAATAACGTTTGCGAATGTAAACTTTTTTTCTGAAACGTGAAAAAGTAAGTCCATTTCATGACGCACTAACTTCTGAATATTGCTTAGATTGTCCGAAATGCGCTCTTCAGAATCAGTTTTTATTTTTTATTCATATTTTCACATTTTGAGAAACTAATTCTGCCGCTTCTCCGACGGAACTTTCACCTGGCACCCTCAAAGCCGAAAACGCCGGTGCAGGTTCGATTATTCAGTTTCTTACTTCACTTTTCTAACTTGTGAGAGATAAGCAGTTTCTTGCGGCTTTCGCTCAAGTTTTTAGGTATAAGTATCAGAATACCTGTGTATTTTTCTTTAAGGGGCTAAAACGAAAAAAAAAGAAAAAAAAATAGGTTTTTAAATTATCAGAAAAAATAATCATTTCATATTTTGGTGATAATGTTTTGGAATGAGTGAAGATTTATATTGCGTTTGCCTTCACCCAAGGGGTTTTTTTTTCTTACTAGGGTATGGTCTCCATTGAAAATTTAATTGAAATTTGAGATTTTGCGGGTTGATAATAAGCCTAGGTGAGAGTACTCGAAAATGAAATCCTTCTTGGCTCCACAGGCGACAGATGGAAACTACCTGTTCAAAACAAGACTTTTTTTAAAGTTTTTATTTGATAGAAGGATCTCTAAGAGATGCGCATCAGAGTTAGGCTCTTTATGCGCCTTGTTTGCTAGGAAAATATCCCTTTCCATTTTTTTTTTCTTTCAAATCAAAAGTCTTTTTGACTACCGATGAGTCATCGTCCTGCACATAGCATAACCAAATAAGAGCTCAATCAAACCAGTTTAAGCAAAGTTATTGCCAAAAAGCACAGCGCCCATTTCTTTTTGACCTCCCACTGGATGTGATAGTAAGCTATGAGTATGCAAAAGTGATATTCATCAAAAAGATTCGAACCACGATCACAGTGTGGACAGTCAGCAAATCCAATACCATTACACTACTTCGCCAGTTGCTAGCTGAAGGTCCCAAGCTAGGGGATCTGAAAAAATTTTGACGAGCTTTTCCTCGGCTACCTGGAAGGGTTAGCAGAACTTTTTTTCGATGTAAAGTGATCTTATAATGTAGTCTACACTTTAAACCACAAAAGCCTCAATTCTCAACTCAAGACTTTTCAATGAATAAAAAACATATCATACCATCAATTTCACCTTTGCACAAAGTTCAGGCTCGAGAACTCGCCTTCCTTCTGTGGAAGTCGATCATCGAAATGCTGAAAAGAACAACTGTGGTGAAGGTTTGACATGAAAAACCAAAATTTATCCTTTGTCTGTTGTGAAGTTTTTCAAGTGTCAAAATAGAGAAAAAAATATTTTTTTCTGCCTTCTGGCCGAGTTATGCCATTCTCATTCAGGAGTGCCACTGCTACCAGATACCATTTCCTGGTCAGAAACTCACTGCAAACTTTATGCTAATTCATTTCATGAACATTAAAATTTACAAAACCAAAAGAAAAAAATGGCATCATTTTTTTCGAGAAATTTAGCGTAGAAGAATTTTTTTACCGATTCACAAAGTAAATATAATACCAATCACAAAAAAGTTGAATTTTAAATTACCTTATTTCACGGCATATTCACGAATGTGTCTTTTCGCTTTTCATTAAGTTCAATATCAAGCTAAGTAAATTAAGAAAACTTTCCATCACACTTCGCATAAATAGTTACTTGGAAAATTCAACGTATTTGAAGAAGTAAACAAAGGATCGACATCTAACGAACACGACGTATTTGTTGCAGAATTCTCGGACGATGAAGAAGTACATGAACCACTTGCCTACAAGAGCCCATCTCCGATGCTCGTGGAATATCAGGACGGTGAGTACATTCATAAAAAATGGAGACATTTTCTCACAGGCTTCATGATTTCGCAGTTTTATGGTATAAAACAAAAAAACTTTTTTTAGCCTCTAGTTAAAATTTCTAGTTTTGCAGAGATGTACTTTGAGCCGCGCTAATTTCATATACAGAATGAAATTTCTTGACTTCTATACTCGCCCTCTATCGCCATCTCTAACCCGTGAAAAATTAAAGGCGAAGAAAGATTCGACAACCTGTGGGGCGAAGGCGAAGACACCAGTGTGGGACTTGAGAGAGAACCTGAAGGTAAACTTGAAAAAATAAAACATTTTAAGAGGAGTAGAAAGAAAAAAACTAATAATCTTAATCACAAAGGAACATAAGATCTACCAATTTTTTTCATTTTTAACTGCAAATTCAAATCGTGAAAATTCTCTTCTCGCAATTTCTCTTCCTATTGGATCGAATTTCGAGATAAATAAATTGAGAAAACATCATATAGGACTTCGTACAAAAAAGTCACTGGAAAATCCAAAATAATTGAAGAGGTCGGCCAAGAATCGTCGAATGGTTATCGGAAGATCGTCATAGACGACTCCGACGAAGAGTTGGAAGAGGTCGGCCAAGAATCGTTCAATGGCTATCGGAAGATCGTCATAGACGACTCCGACGAAGAGTTGGAAAAGGTCTCGCCACAGAAGGAACCTGCCCAAATGAACAACTCCCCGATGGCGCTTGAACTTCAAGACGGTAAGTAAGAAGAAGAAAGTTATTTTCTAACTGGTTTCATTATTGCGCAGTTTTATGGAATTGAACTTGGTGAAAAGAGAAAAGTGTTTTTTTTTTAAAGCAGCCTCAGTGTTTACATATTTTGGCTGTGATCATTTAGTTGTTGATAGTTACAAAGGCTCACTAATTAAAGCTGTAATTTTGGAGATCTGCAGATTGCATATGATGTAAATCAATTTAGTAAAAGAAAACAACAACACAACTCAGACGCAAAAAAAAAAACAAGTTGACGTCTTGTAGGGAGAAGGCGAAGGCACCAGTGTGGGACTCGAGAGAGAGCCCGAAGATAAATTTGAAGAGATGAAAAAACTTAACAAGAATAGAGAAAAGCTGAAAAGTTGAAAATGACGATCTGCTGATATTTTCATTTTTTCACGGCACATCCGTAAAAGTTTTTTCTTACATTGCCATTTTTTCTAGATCGAATTTCGAGGTATGTGAATTGAAATAAATTTCCATCACACTCCGCATAGATAGATACTTGGAAAACTTAACGTATTTGAAGAAGTAAACATAGGATCGACATCAAACGAACACGGCATGGCCCCCGTTTTATTTCACGACGATAAAGAGCTCTCAGAAGTGCTTGCCAACAGGGGCGACTCCCCGATGGCCGTGGAGTATGACAACGGTGAGTATATTAATAAAAAATTGAGTAATTTCCTATCGGCTTCATTATGGCGTAGTCATATGTAGTTTAACTGAGCGTAAATCTCAAAAGTGTTTATTTTAACGCAATCCCATTGGTTACATCGGCTTCGATCAAATGATGATCATATGTAGATAAAAACCACTTATACCGACTTCAGCTCTTATTTTGGCTTAGAATACTACTCCATAATATCTATTGTTCTTTTAAATGATAACAAAGCAAAACTACCAAAAAAACCGGTAATTTTTTTAGAAAAAAATTTTTTTGAAACTAATTAGATAAACAAAGCCGTTTTTCAAGATTTATCTCACAAAAAAACTTGATAATATTATAATTTAAAGAATCAAATTGGTCGGATGAACTCAACGTTGAAGAGGACCTTGATGGAGACTACGAAATAAATAACCGAGGTCAGTTTGAAAACTGGGACAATTTGAGTAAAGTTGAACAATTTTTCGATTTCTTTAACTGATATTTTTGTTTGTAAGAGCTTCTGCGGCAATTTTATCCTCTGAAGAAAAAAACTCTGAGAAAAAAATTAGTATAACAGATGAAACTTTCTGATGCTACATACTCCCATAAAATCTATGAATAGCCAAAGGTTTTGGAACCTTTTATAGTCAATGTTTCCCGACTTGAAAAGCGAGGGGAGCGAGGCAAGGGGCGGGACGCGTAGCGTGTGCGTACGCGGCTCTTGGCACGAGTTCAATTAAACCGCCAGCAACTAATTTGAAAACCGTTTTTCGTTCTTTTCAATTATTTTTCAATTATTCATTCATTATGTTCATGTGTGCATCAAATAAAAGTAGAACACATAAAAAAAGAGCGGTTGCCGAGCTTTTCAACGGCAATTGAATTGAACTAGTGCCAAGAACCGCGTAAGCACACGCTACGCGTCCCGCACCTTGCCCCGCCTCCCTCACCTATCAAGTCGGGAAACATTGACTATAAAAAAACTCTATTTCCGTTCCCGAGCATTCGTGGCTGCCTAGTAGATATATATATATTCTCTTATGAAAAAATTTTGAAAAATCAGAATATCTTACTCAAGCTTCCGTGTTTTCGTTGTTTCAAAAATAAAAAATTTTAAAGAAGACGATTTGGATGACGAAGTATACTACGACTTGACCGAAACCCCGAGCAAAAAAGAAGGAGAAGCAACAAAGGAAGAAAAACATGAAAAGGTTCAAAAACTTTCGGCACGAGCCGAACGGCTCAAAAAGCGACAGAATTCGAAAAAAGTCGAGACCAAAAGAGCCGGAACAACTAAAAGAGTGGCAATTGAAAAAAATGGTTAACTACTCATTGGAAAACAACGAAATAAGAAGTTTTTTAGACTTTCTGTTTGATGAGGATCTACTCAAAGATGCATTAAAGGAAAACCAAATCGAGGTTTCGCAATACGAGTTCTCTCCGTATTCGGAAAAAAAGATTTTTTTAAAAATAACCAAGTAAAGGGATTTCCATATATTTAAATATCAAAAAGTCCTCTCAGACTCCTTCGCTTCGCTGAGATCGAGGTCAATTTATCTCGATATAAATTGGCTCAAATAAAAAACCAACTGTCATTCGCGACTTTGAAGAATTTTATACCGTTTTGTATAACGGCAAAAAGTTCACGGTGAGGGCCCTGTGAGCATTATGAAGTCACCAACTGAAATATTAAAGCGGAACGGTCGTTGGATTTGTGTGCGGGAGGCGAATTCACGGCGGTGGGCTTGGATCATTGATAAGAGTTCAACTTTGCGTCGTCCCGAAGGCCCACAGAAAAAAATCAATCGGACAACAGCTCATTCAAAAGTTGGCCAATGTTGGGATCAATTCGGTCAGTTTGCTATTATTTTTCCGTTTCAACTTCTTTCATCTTCTATTAGCAAGCACTCAAAGGATGATATCGAGTTGCTTGGTAACCGGCTAAATGACGCTTTAGGATCTCATCTCAGCATTTCTCTGCTTTCTAACTGTTCACACTGACGTTTCGGCTTATAAAATCGGAATTTTTTCCTCTCGGCGCAGATATTTAATGACGTTGCACTTCGTAATTTTTAACTAAAACAGAAATGGAGAGATTTTATCACAACAATCAAGAATCTGAAGTTCGAACTGCAAAAATGCTCATACCAGATCATTTAAAACCTGATTCAGCTCTTGAGGACGGAAGTAAAATTTCAGAAAAGTATTTTTCTTTCCTCGATAGCGATTTCACTTTCCGTTTGTCTGCGCGCTCAAAAGTTTTGCTTTCCTGAAAAATGAGGCACCACTGAAAAAGTTTCTTTCTTAATGGTTGACAAAATGTTTTAACTTCTAATTGTCGCGGTGGAATAAGGTCCTTATATGAAAATCATCGACCAAAATGAGATCTTGGAAAAATTAAAAATCTTCTGAGAAAAGTTGAAGTTACTTCGAAGTCTTCTTTTTTTATCAAGTTTTTCATCTATTCCAAGCAGTTTTCTAGGAAAATAGGGGAAAAGTCACTTTACAATGTGCTTGGAAACTCCCAGAAAACTGGCCGAAATACTCCTCGATGTACGAAATGGAAATAATGAGAGTCTCGACCTGCAAAAATATCTAGTTACGGAAAAATAACATCCCAATGAAAAAAAATCCAAAAAATGCCGGAAAAAGCCATTTAATGGATTTGTACCTTTATTTCTCGGAAACCCAAAAGTTGGGCGAACTGAGAGGTCGAGAGTCTTTTTCTAGTACATCAAAGAGTGTTCTGGCCATTCCCAACCACAAAGCAAAGCGACCTCCCTTGTTGATAATTTTTTATTTACAGGGGGCCAAGTTTTTGGTCTTCGGACTAACAAAGTCGCCCAACACAACCACCAAGAAGTTCCTGGCCAAATGTGGCTTCGAAGCCATTGAGGGAAGCGCATATTCTGGCAGGCCGGTTTATTTCAAAGCGATTGGACCTGAGAAAAAAGAACTCGACCTGAAGGGAAAAAAGGAATTGGCCCAACAAGTCCACGACGAGCCGTCCGCTCATTTCTTTTGCGATTGTTTTATTAATAATCTACTCCATAATGGAGCATACATTGAGCACCGACTCTCTGCGAAAAAAAGAAGAAATCAATTTTAAATAATCGAAACACGTTCAGAAGTTTTTTTGGAAGTTTTTTTTTGTTAAAAAATAATTTTTGATGTTTTGTTTCGATGATTTAAGACTGTTTTCAACTTCTTTTTCGCATTGGATGGACATTTTAAATTGAAACTTTATGATGACCAAGACGTAGCTAAAACAAAAGTTAAATAAAGTCTAATCAATTTTCAGTTTTTTTCTCGTTTTGATTACTAAGATTTTGGTCAACGTGAAGTTTCTTTTGCTACGAAGCAATTTTGTCTTCATTTTAGCAGTTTATTTTTTTGTTGTGTCGTGTTCACACAAACCAACGATTGAGTTTATCGAAAGGATCTCGCCTCAAGATCTTTTTAAGTTGCTTTGAAACAAGGACTCCCATTCAGAGTTCAGTGTTGATGGCAGGCTTTTATGAATTCAAAGATGGTCTGTGTTAATTGATTGTCAGCTTTAGCCTCGGACTCGGAAATTTCGCGAATATTCCTGAAATGTTTTTTTGAAGAATCTTCTTCGATTCCTTTCGTGAAAATGACTGTCTTCACAATAACTGGCACTCTCCACATGCCTCTTTTTTTGTCATTTTGCGATGGATAATGAGTTCAAAGCCCTTTTCAAACCTGTAAACGCAGCTCGGTTGTTTCTGTTCCAACTTCCCTTAGTTCTTGAGCCAGATTTTTTTTTGACAGTTTGCCGTTTTTGAAGCTGATTTCTCTTGTTTTTTTTTTGCGTTGTGGCAAGTTGTCGGCCTGAAGAATTGATGAAATTTTGGTTAATGACCAGCCTCTTCACTTGTCACATTTTTCTTTTTTCTTGTGTTTTTCGTTAGTTCGACACACTTTTCATCTATTGCATTTACTGTTTATTTTGTGTGTTCCGTTGCGGGGAAAAACAAGCTTCGCTTTTCGATTTTTCTTATTTAATTTCGAACTATCGGTGATGATTTTGTTCCATTTCTTCGCGAAATTGTTTTCTTGATCCATTTTTTCCCAGCTGTTCTGTCCTTATCATAAACGTTAACAGAGCAAGTTTTTCTGGTTTCTATCAACTGGTTGATTACCGGATACTTTTTCTTGAGCTGAAATTATTCAGCTCTATTTATATAATTTGCAGTTGTAACGGAACGAAACCGCGATGGAAGAAGAAAAAGAGCTCCGAAGCTCCTGAGCTTTCTGAAACGTCAAAAGAACCGAAAAAGGTTGAGATGCCCCGGAATCGTAAGTTTTTTTCACTAAAAAAAATTACTATAATCTCGTACCATTATTTTTTTCTTTTTCTGAATTTATAAGGCCAAATATAAGCCAAATTATTCAGAAAGAAAACTTCTAAGCAGAAAAAAATGAAGATTTCTCAGAAGAGAAAAATTATCTAATGGTTTTCATAGGCCTCAAAAAATTCAGTCAGATAACCGCTAACATAAATTGGAAAAAAATTAATTTATTTTTTTGGGTTTTTGTTTGAGACTATTACCGGATCAAGATTTGCAAAACATCGTCGAATTAAACTCAGAAAAAGAGGTCGATTTCATAACTCCAGGGATCTTGCAATATTATCTCGCGTGTAAACGCTTGGATGCCGAGATGGGCTTGAAACCTGAGAAAAGGCGCAAGCGAGCCCCTACTAAGGTTGATGGCAACCCTGGTGGTCAAGAACCGACGAAAAAGGGATCAAGCATCATTTATTTCGGTGAGTTATACTTTTTTCGCTAAGAAAATATTCACATCAACTTCAGACAAGCCTTCTGTAACGAAGCCGAGCGAGAAGATGGAAACGATCAACATGTCTCTCGAGACACACAAACGTTCGTTGTCTGAAATTATTCAGAAAAACTCAGAAGTTGCTTTAATGTCTCATGTTCCTCACGTCATATTTGGATTTTGTGGAAAATTGAAATGTTTTGTTGGATTGTTTGAAATGACACACTGAAAAATTTTATCAGACTTTAGAACAATTATGTTGATTCTATCTTAAAGAGATTATTCAAGCCAAAAAAATCATAAACTTTTTTTAGAAGAGAAAAATTGATTTTTTTAAGATTTCAATTTTTTAACTGTGGGGATCGTAGTAATTTAATTCATTATTCAAACAACGACTGCAATATTGAAATTTTCGAAAATACTTCAAAAATAAGGTACTTCGGAAATTATTGTTAAATATAGTTATGCGGATCATTTTTCCAATTAATCACCATCATAAAAAAACAATTTATTTATACCAAAATATCTTCACCTTACCAATTTTTTTGGCTTCTCACATTTCTAAAAAAATCAGAAGTTTTTTTGCAAAAATTTGTTCGATTCTTTATAAGAGTAGTTTTTTTCTTTAAAAAAAAATTTTTCTTTGTATTGAGAAACTCTGTACAAAGAATTGGTGGTATGAAAAAAACCACCAGCGAAAGTTCGAACGGCGACTTTTTCCGATTTTTTTCGAATCGCTAGGGAACTTTCCGACGGCCACCTTTCCGACGGATCCCTTTCCGACTTTTTTTCCCTCAAGTTTTTTTCGGTTTATAAAACATCTATAAACATTGTTTTTTTCTATTTCTTTGTGTTTTTAATCATTAACCAACTACCTACTTTATATAGGCAGATTTAAAACGAAAGGTTTATCGAGAAAAAAAGTCGGAAAAAGATTCGTCGGAAAGGTGGCCGTCGGAAAGTTCCTAAGCGATATGAAAAAATCGGAAAAGTCGCCGTTTGAATTTTCGCTGGTGTTTTTTTCATACCACCAAAGAATTGTTTTCGAAGACGCTGTTTTTCGGTTCAAAAAAAACCCATTAAGACGGTCGAAAAATGCGAGCGAATGTAGAACATCAAAAAGAAGCCGCGAACGGCATGGGAAACGGATTCGAAAGGTTCGACAAAATGGCTCCCGAACAGCACGCCGCGTGAGAGGCGCCTTGTTTCGTTTCTGCTAAAAAAAAACAGTCATGTAAAACGTCAGAATTGGGGTTAATAATGATGAAAATTACTTTTGTTTTAAAAAAGATGAGAAAACATAAGAGACTAAAATAACAACTCATTGACGGAACATTGTAAACCCTAAACAGATCACATGGGTCTAGAATTTGAATGAATACATTGTACAACTTTAGATCATTCATAATATTATTTTGCTATTGCTTATCCAACTCATTGCAGATCTTCTCGAAGGTTTGCCCGGTCTCCAGACGAGCGCCACGTCTTCCGAAGGGGCTGCGGCTTCGAAGGCCAAAGTTCAGATCACGATGAAGCCAGGCGACTCGGCCGGTATTTATGTTTATTTAATATCATGTTCTCTCAGATTTTTCAATCAGTTCCCGTATCTTTTCCAATATATTATGTCTGGTTGTGAGTTATGATGAAAAAAAAATTCCCTTTTTGCTTTTAGAAGAAATAAAAAAGGGGAAAATATCATGAGATATGTGCAGATTTGATTCACCTTTTTTCCAAAATTAGCGAATGAGGCCTTTTAAATGTTGTGAAGAGAATAGGAGTGAAACGATTTGAGTTAACACGAGCTTTCATTCAAAAATTCGAAAATCAGCAAGAGCAGTCGAAAATACCACAAGTTTTCTTTCTTTATTGAAATCCATTTTTTTAGGATCCTCAGAGAAAACACAAAAATTTACTGCGAGCCCAGTAGAAATATATCTCTGTCACTGATGTTAGGGGTCTGGCAAAAAAAATAAATAAAAGAAGGCGGCTCATCCTTCTTAAAGAGACGCCAGAAGTAGAGAGGGCCAAGAGAATCTATACACTGCCGATTCTTGATGATGCCATAAAACACGGGGAGAGTGAACCGCGTAGTCGACGCCTTAGTTTAAGTTGCAATCAAGTAATGACTGCAAAAGACAAATATTATTTATTGGTCGAACACAGAATATACAATGTAAAGGAAAAAGCCCGTTTAGTGTTTATTTAAAGCCAATTGATACAACCGGCACTTTGTAGTATTTTTAGAAGCTCACGACTCACTGTAAAAGTTTTGCCCAATTCTTACATTGATAAAATATTGTAAAATAACAGCTGCAAGAATTTTCCGAATTTACAAAGAATCTGTCAGAAAGCTCAAAATGGAACCTCCTTATTGGATCAGCCACTGTAGTTTGGTTATTTTTCAGCCATTGTTTGCAAACGATTATGCACTATTTCTAAGAGCAACTGAGAGCCAGAAATCATGAAGTTGAAAAACAAAGCAGATTTTATTAATTTCAAGGCGGCAGCTCCTCTTCGAACGAGCCCCCGTCGACAGCTGCTCCGAAGACCGTCGTGAGAGTTGGAAACTTTTCTTGGGCCGAGACAGAGGCCTTCTTCAAGCAGAAGGACAAGAGAAACTAGGCTCACCTACTCTATTTCACTCACAAACCTGTTGTCGCGGAATGTATATTTAACGCCGATCAAATAACATCAATATTAAACGTTTTAGTGATTTGACAAGCATTTGATATCTTCCGTATTGTTGAAAACTTGTGAGTTTCATACTTAATAAACATATAACTCGAAACTTTTTTTCCAGCTTATACCGAGATATTTTCTTCATTCTTTTGCTTCAGAGCTAGAAAGGATATTTATGCGGAGTTTGAGCTTTGCCAGCATCTTCGAGCTCGGGGGGTTATGCTTTGAAGGAAATTAAAGAAAAAAAGCCAAAAGATCTTTCGGAAGTCTTATCAGTCTTTCAAAAACACATTAGAACATGTTTTAAAACGAGAAGTCTGAGAAAACAAAAAGTTTGGAAAAAACGTTCGGACAGGAAAAAATTTCCAGGAAGCAAATTCGACTTCTACTGAAAAAACTGCTCCGCCCCATCCTGGTGTGTAAACTCTAACTTTTTTTTGTAGGAAAACAAAAATTTACGAAAAGCCACTATATTCTGAGTTTCTTGTTTCATTTAGAGAAGTCGGTTATTTATTTCAAAGGCAAGTTTTTGCGGTAGACATGAACCAAGTGAAAATCTCAATGAAAAAAAGTTTGAAAAGTTTGTCTCACGAACGTGTGGAAGGGGACAATGCAGATATGGTTTAAATCTCTGTGGTAGGTATTTTCAGGTAGGAGTATTTGAAAACATAAAGAATTATTTGTTAAGCGCTATGCGTACTGAAAAAAATAGACGTTTTTGAAATATGAAAAAAACCAAAAAAATAAATGTTTTTAAGGCTTTTTCGTACATTTTCGATGGGCTATTTTGCAATACCTCATGGCGCTTGGCCGATTTTTTTTCTGTACTAATGATAACTGGGACTACCTGCCACAGTAGTTTGAACCAGATTCGCTATGTTTAGCTCACACACTTTCCTTGTCCAGAAAACTTATCAAAAACAAAAAAATTCTTGAAAACCATTTCTCGAACTTTTTTTATTTGTAGGTTTTATTTAAACTCGATAACTTTTTCAGCGTTCGGAATGCCGGGCGTTTTTGGAATGCCGGGCGTTTTTGGAAGTACGCCGAAAGCTGCACCAAAATTGGAAGAATTCGATGGAGGTAAAGCTCGTTTACGAGTTTTTTGGCTTGGAAGCTTTCATTGCGAAAACATGGCAATGTCTGCTTTTTTACCGACCACACTTTTTTTTGATACCATCAAGCTCATTTTCTCAATGAATAAAGAAAGTCGTAGAGCGGTCTAATCAGGTTTTTCAAATTTAAATTATTTTTGGATTTTTCTTATCAACTTTCCCATTCAAAGTAGACGATCGGCATCAAAAAGGTACGAGCTATGAAAAAAATTGAGAGAAGTTTTTTTCTGAAACCAAGAATTTATTTAAATTTATACTTTTTCAATAAGTTTCAATTTTTTTATTATTTCGCTTTCCAACTTTATATTCTTCCTATTTAATGTTTTCCCATTTAATCATTTATTTCAGTTGACGGAGCACAACTCGTATTTTAAATTTTCGCTAAATCAACAACTACGGATATCGGTAAGAATAACGCAACTAAAATAACGCTTGCTGCGAAGTTTTCAGTTTAAGAATGAGAAGATTCCTATTTCAAACTTTTTATTTTTTTCTGGTATTTAACACAGTTCTCTGAGAAAATCGATGACTTTTTCAGTAAAATCCGCTGCGCGCCTTTTGCGAAAGTTTCCCTTATCCCATCAAAATCTGCTTTTAAAATATAATTCGAAAGAACTTCACAGCAAAATCGAAAGAAAAATCAAAAGTCGAGCTGCCCGTGTTGTTTTTTTCTTTTTTTTTTTTTTAAAAACCGTGTTCTACAACATATTTGATATATATTTTTTTAAACTGTATGTTGTTCAGTTCTGAGAAATAAATTGATGAAAAATGAAACTATGAAGCATAAGAAAGAAGAATACTGCTGACCTAGTGATCAATTTGATTAATTTCAGAGGCCGAGCCGGAGATGACTCTTTCGGTACCGGCAGGAAAAAGCTTCCGAGGAAGGAGCCGAGAAAGACAAGGCAAAAGGAGCTGCAGAACTCATGAAAACAAAAAATCTCGGAATCTCTTTCCCAATAAGAATAAACTATAAATAATTAGTTCGAATCTAGTCCCGGATAAATGATTTTTCCTTCGAATTTCGAATCAAAAGCAATGAAAAATATTTCCGTGTTTCGAATTTGTCCGAGCCTTTTGATGTTGATTTCTGTAGCAACCGCAACTTTTACCGAAAAATATTTTTCAGAAGGAGCTTCTTCCGCGGAGCAAATGGATTAAATGGTTCAGGCTCTTCGCTCCTTTGTCTCACTACTGAATAAAAATTCTTCTGTTTTTTTTTTTTTTTGAAGATTTTGTCATTTTTGGCATTCCTTGCATTTTTTTTGACATTGTTGATCTGTTTCTCACATTCTGTTGATTTTCATTTTTCTCAATCTTGCAATTGTTAACTGTACCTTCTTACTAGCACCTTAAAGCACTGCCCCGGAATTCCCTTCTAGGAGCTCCCCTTGAAGAATTTTTAAGTTTTTCTCGATGCTTTCGTCCTGAGAATTTTCCAAATGAAGTTTTTGTGTAGTTTCTGTTTCTTCTGAGAAGGGCATCACTAAAATAGTTAGGAAGCAAAAGAGAAAATTTGATTTCAGCTAAAGCTCCGAAGTGATTTCTTATTTGCTCCGAGTGAACAATTGATATCACCCGAAAAGAAAAGCTGTGCTATCTTTACGGCACTCTAGTGATACAAAATTATTTCAACTAAAGAAATTTTTGGTTACAATCTTTTTCATTAGAAACGAATCTCAGTATTTCAAAAATTAAATGTATTTTTTTGGCTATCAATAAATAAAAGTTACTGCAGTAAAAGCCGTTCACAGTTACGGTGTATGAGCTTTTTTTCAACTGACTTAAAGATTTTTTTCAAAGATTTTTTTAGGAAATTTTTCTGCTTTCTGGACTCACCGGTAATTGTAAATATCTGACATACATAAAAGTGAAAGTCAGAGGAAGCGAACATCGGCTTTTCAGTGACGTAAAAGAAATGAAGTTCATGGCGATTTTAATTTCAAGGAGCTTGAGGTCATCTTGAGTGACAGTAGCAGCGGACTTGTTATAAAAAGAAAAACACATTTTGAGGTCGTCAGCATATAAAATGATGGTAGTAGAGAAGCGTTCAGAAATATCGTTGATAAAAAGAGGGAACAGCGAAAGGCCAAAAACGGATCTTAAATCCTGAAACTTTGATAGTTTGATAGTCCGTATTCGCTGATGAGCTTTGCGTGGACCACAAGTCCTCCATGTGTCCCTGTCTCTCGTCCCGGTCTTCCGATGTCGGTAATGTTCTTCCCGAAACGGTCGGCCTATCTGACTGGTGGCCTTCCGGTAGGGCGCGTCTCATCTCTTGGGATTCAGAAAATTGTTCGTCTCCTCCATCTATCTTCAGTTCGTCTCGCTGCTGCTAAAGTTCAGAACGTAAAAAATTCTCAAAAATATGTCTCACTTTCCATTCCTGAGAGAAAAATGATAGATGTTTTCATGAACTTGAAAGTTATTATCTCTTTTGTGATCGCTTCTCAGGGAGAAACTTCAACGAAACAATTATTTACTATTGAGTGAACTATTTGAATACTTTTGCGTTCTCGAGGAGTCCCCCGTGATCATGTTACATCTTTCGACCGAGAAACCGTAACTTAGCACCTATAGGCTGTTTCTACACCTGTGTCCAACAACGTGTGCCCTGTCTTTGTATAAACTCGGTCACACCTGGAATGGATCGCCTATCGTCGTTTTGTTTATACTTCGAAGCCGTTCAAAACAACTTCATTTGCTAGAAGCTTTGGAAAAACAGAAACGATTAGAAAAAGTAGGGACGATACTGAAAAAAAAGGTTTCGTCTTTTTTTGGTTTCAGTTTTCACAACGCTCCGTATACAGATATTTTTAGTAGGGAAAAGTTGTAAGGCACATTTCCAAAGAAAAAGAAGTTTTTGTGAGAAACAGTGTACTTGGACGACATATAACGAGCGGAATTCAAATTTCCATATGATAGAGCGAATCATGTTAAAAACCGATTTTTCAGGAATTTTCTAAAATAAAACAATAGTTCTTTAAAGTTGTGGTTACGGGGATATTTTTTTCTTTTTTTATTTTTAAGGCAAATGATAAGTATCTTCATGATTCACTCCATAGTGAAGTTCTTTTCAAGCACAAACAATTTAGTTCAACATAAAAAATGAGTTCGGACCTCCCCTTATTTCTATGCGCCAGACTCGCGCATGTTGCCACGCGCGGATTTTCCCTCATCATTGCCGCCAGACGGCTAGAGGGATCCCTAGCCTTCTCGTCGAAGCCGCTTGAAGTCGGACGCGGCAAAAAAAGGACGCGATATTTCAAATGCTTGTTTCGGCGGCCAAAACTGCAACATCTTGTCGTGTCAAGCTGCGAAACGTGGACTATACAACTTGTACTCACTTGAACTTTAATAATATCAAAAATGATTATCGATTCCGTCTGAATAACTGCAGTTTGTTTAATTTCGAGCAATTGTTTGCAAACGATTATGCACTATTTCTAAGAGCAACTGAGAGCCAGAAATCATGAAGTTGAAAAACAGAGCAGATTTGATTAATTTTCAGGCGGCAGCTCTTCTTCGAACGAGCCCCAGTCGACAGCTGCTCCAAAGACCGTCGTGAGAGTTGGCAACTTTTCTTGGGCCGAGACAGAGGCCCAGTTCATAGTTCCGTTGAAGTTTCTCCCTGAGAAGCGATCACAGAAGAGATAATAACTTTCGAGTTCATGAAAACATTTATTATTTTTCTCTCAGGAATGGAAAGTGAGACATATTTTTGAGAATTTTATACGTTCTGAACTTTAGCTGCAGCGAGACGAACTGAAGATAGATGGAGGAGACGAACAACGTTCTGAATCCCAAGAGACAAAAATATCAAAGAATCGGAAGCAAATCGAGGTTTACTTATCAAAGAAAATTTTGATGAGAAGCTGGAAAAAGCTGCGATAACCAGACGAAGAATTAGTTTCAGGCGTATGTTTGAAGTTCTTTTGCTAACGATGTACTTTTTGGTTCTCTCCATGCCGGTTATATGAATTTTAGAGTTTTAGCCTCTTATTCAAGTGTAGTTTCAGGAGTGGAGACAATAATAATTATCATTTTTGTTTTCCCAGACTAGAGAGCTTCAAAGTACATTTTTTTACGAACCGATAGCGCAGTGGCGGCTCCGTGCACCCGCTATCAAGCATTTGTTGAGAGCAAGACGATGCGGCGGCAACCGTGCTGCCCCGTGTAGTCTCTATGGCGAACGAGTTTCTTGGCTGAAATTAAAAAGACGTTCTTAATAGTTTCAGATGAAATAATAACGCGGGTCATTACCGTGATCGGAAAAAGAAATTCGTGTAGAACACGACTGAGCTTTTTTTCTGGCATATAAAGATGAATTCATTGAACAGGAAGTTAAAAAAAAGTGTCAAATACTTCATTTTCAATTTTTACCTGATTTCCAAAACAAGCTTTGAAAATTTCGGATGAGCAACTTTTTCAAGTCGGAAAATTTTCATTTTTAAGTTTTGGAAAAAATGGAGCTTTTTTGCAGTAATCACATGATAGCCGACTTATTAAAAAGTGCAATCGCGTCCCATAATATTGTCTCAGTCGACGGCGTTGAAAATAAAAAGTTTTTTTTGGAGGCATGGTTAAATTTCTACATTCACTGTCATTTGACTTCTAATATAAAAAGAGCGACTCGAACTGGAATCTGTTTCTTAAACGGCATCCATTCCACAGGGCTGAAGTTTCTTCGCGTGAACTTTGCACCAACAATGTCGTGTGATTGAGAAAATAGTTCCATTCATGTCATCCATTATTATGAGTTCAGCGTTTTTTTCCTGAGTTCTGAAGGCGTCAATTATCGCTTATTTTGTTTAGTAAACGTCCATAAATATTTGACGATTAGACGATTCCCAAGTTGTTATGAAAATAAGTGATAAAAAATCAACTTGACCTTCTCAAATAGGTATTCCCACTAAATTGTATTCTCAGTTGACTGACAAAGACATTTCCTTCACTATTGGAAACTCCTTGAACCTTATCCAGAATACGCTTCTATTTACCTCTTTTTCACCCCACATTCTAAACTCGAATTATATTCAAAAGAACGGCAGGCAGTCTTTGTGGGCGTGGCTCTGTTGCTCACGCCTGCGTCCCTCTCTTTTTCTTCCCGCGTTCATCCGCACAGTTTTTTTGTCTGGTCGTTCCTTCTGGTCGTCTTCGCGAATCTCCGTTTTTGGACCATTTTCAAAATATTTTGTGCAATGTATCTTTTTCCGCTTTTGAGGCGTCCGACCTGACAATATATATTAAACTGAAATTCTTGGTAGTATCAGTCTTTTGAATTTTACTTTTTTAATAACTAAAACTTCAAAGTCCCGTTTTTCCCCCAATAAATGTAATTACAATTTTTTTTGTCCTGAGGCAATAGTCAACCATCTAGTTAATAGTTTTTTTTTTCAAAGTGCGAAACTAAATTTTGTGATTTTTTTTTTGATGCGCTAAAATTTTGCCACTTTTTTCCTGTCGGCGGATGACTCGCTGAATGGAAGCTTTTCATGGAGCAGTCATTCAATTACAAAACTTAGAAGTAATCGTAGTACAAATATGGGTTCAAAAAAAGCAACTTGAAATTTTCGTACCAACTAATTTTTCCTTTGATTGATTCTCTCGGAGAATGCTTGTTAAATCAAATTTTCACTTGTTTGGAACTACATCAGCTTGTTTTTTTTCAAAAAGTTACAAGCTTACAAAAAACCCTTATTACAAGTTTATTTTGATGAGTTACAGACTTTTGGAAAGAACAAAATTGAAAATGATCGATTCTTTCAAGACAGACGAGTTTTCTACCAATTTTAACATATTGGATGCGACAGGTTAGTCCGCTTCTATTTATAAACAGTCACACATTGAACTTTCAGGAGTAATCCCGATAAAAATAAAATATAAAAAAGGTTATCCCAATTTTCTTGCACCTTCATATGGAGAGCTTTCCAGATTTCCGACCTGACCTCGAATATGGAATTCCCAGCTCAGTCTTCGGAAATAATGGCGAGTCTTTTTCATTAGCTTCAAAAAATGTCAAGTTTCAGGCCCGACGCAGCCAATCACGATCACAGGATTGAGCGGTTCGCTTTTGTCTCATGCTAGTTGAAAACCATTATTTTTGCAGGATCCAAACTTTTGAAAATAAAACCATTTCATGGTGAGTTCATCGAACTTTAAATTGAAGCTAAGTCATTCTAGGAGTTACCCCGGAAATTTTCATTGGAGGAAAAATCATCAATCAAGAACTATATCGATCGGGAAATAGCTCGGCTTTCGGTGAGCTTTTTGTATCCATTTTTTGATTCCCCTAACAACAATAGTTCAAAACTTCATTAAAAGACCAATAGTTTCAATATCACTCTTTTAACAAGTGAAAGTCAAATGAACTGTTGCTTGCACCTTTTTCAAAGCGTGTATTTCAAGATATGAACAATTTTTTTATTAATATAAAAAAACCAGAAAGGTCGAAAAAAAGACAAGTTGAATTAATCTTCTCTTTGATTTGAAACAAGATTAATACGAAGCACGTTCTTTGTAAATTAATGGGGAGAAAAAAATTACTTTAAAAGTCCAAAAAAACTTTTTCACAGTTTTATGAAATTCGCAAACTCTTAATCATTTGAACAGAACTTTTTTTAAAGAACTGTTAATGGGATTTTTCTGCAAAAAAACAGTTACGAAGAGCTTTTTTTAGACTGGAATCAATTTTTCAAAACCATTTATAAACGTCGAATAAAAAAAATCAAAAAGTAGAATTTTTCAGGCGCGCTCAAAAAGAGTTTTTTTGCTGTTCCACAAAGATCTGGATTTGGAGAGCCGCTTTCAAAAAAAGACAACTCCGAGTGAGTGTTTCGTTGTTCATGAGATTTTTGATATGACTGAAAAATTTTTTTCCTCGTTTTTTTAATTTAGTGAAAGTTGACCAATCTAACGTTGAAAAAAACCCTTTTTTTGTTCATAAGTCAGGTAATCTCAATACATTGAAAAAAATGAATAAAATAATGAAGTATATAGAATCAAATGAACAAATCATTCACTGCAATCCCAGTTTTTTTTTGGAAGCTGAGAGTGCAAAAATGATTTGTTCACCTGAAATAATCACAAAACCAGAGTATATTGATCTTATTGAGCAGTAAGCAAAAAAAGCTCAGAACGTTTGGTTTTGCCCGTAAAAAATTAGAATTTCAGTTATGAATTTTTAATGTTACAGTAGGAAAAGTTGTGAGTTTCCTCATTTTATTGAATAATTTCAGTCTTTCCAGGCGCCGCGAACTTCAGTTTTAAACCGTGTAAGGGGACTTCCGGAAACCCTGAAGAAGGTAAGATTGAGAAAGAATTCTTCAAAAAAAATCAGCGAAATTTCAATTCTTTCAATTCTGCGGCCCTTTAAAGTAGGCTAAAATTTTAAAAGAAGTTATTTTTTTGGTCTGTTCAACTGTCATAGTTGATTTAAAAAACGCTTACAGCGAGGCTTTTGGAGACTCGAAGCATTTTTTTGTGGTTGAAAATTCAAAGAAATACTTTGGCCGCTTGGAGAATTGGCTGTTTTTCAGCTGTATATGTTCAAATTTCGCCAGGGTTTATCTTTTTCCTTACTTTTCCGTTTGCTTTTTTAATGGATTTATTTGAGGCGCAAATCCTCCCGTCGGCTTGAATAACTCTGAAAACCAACAAACCGGTAAGTATTTTGTAAGAAGTTTTAGCCAAACATCTACATTCTCCGGAAAAAAACTATAACGTATGCCAGTTGGAAAAAAAGAAAAAAATTTTTTTCAAAAGGAAAGATCGATGAAAAATTCTATTTTTTTCCCCTTGTTTTTTTACTGATTCTAATGATTACATTTGAGGCGCGATCCCGCCTGCAGCCTCCAACGTCTTCGGCGAGTTCTTTTTTTCATCACTTTCAGCAAATCAAAAGATTGATTTTTACTGTGTTTATTTTAATCATACATTTCGAAATGATGGCCAGAAAAAAATCTTGATAATTCTCAACGAAAAAAATTCGATCTTTTTTTCTCAGATTTTTATTTTATGTTTGTCTGTAGAATGGATCATTTCTTATTCTTTTGAGATTTTTTTCGTACTTTTTGGAACACTTCAGCCACAAGAAAATTTTTTTGAAATCAATCTTTTTGGTTCTCTGTTGATAAACTTCAACTCAATAATTTTTTTCAGCTTTCGGAAAGCCGGGCTCTTTTTGGAAGTACGCCGGATGCTCCACCAAAATCGAAAGATTTCGATGAAGGTAAAAGCTCGTTTACGATTTTTTTGACTTGGAAGCTTTCATTGCGAACGCTCATTAATTTCTGGAAGACTTAAAAGTCTATCAGAAACCAATAAGTAGATTTCGAACTATGTATTTTAATTTTTGAGAACTTTTAGCTTCGTCAGTGTTTTGATTGAACTATTTTTGACGAAGGTTCTGTTTTATTGTTTTTTTCTTCCCATATTCATGCTTCAAAATGAAGGTATTCATTCAATCATTCCTTTCAGTTGACGGAGCACAACGCGTATTTGGAACTTTTGTAAAATCAACAACGACGGATGTCGGTAGGAATAACGCAACTAAAATAACGCTTGCTCTACAGTTTTCAGTTTCATAATGAGAAGACTCATGTTTTAAGCTTATTTAAAAAATAATCAATTTTTCAGCCTCTTGGAATCAGAAATCTTTTTTGAAACTTCACTCTTCACACAGTTCTTTATTCTGAAAAGAAAAAAAGAAGATTTGAAAAAAAGAACTAATAAAATATAAAAGCGGACCTTTGACAAATCGAAAGCGATCTGAGAAAAGTAAGTTTTTGAACAGGCTAAAACTTTTCGGAACAGAGGATTTAGGGAATCGGTTTAAGAAGGAGAGAAAGAAAGAAATAATAATTGGAAACATGCTTAAGAGAGGAATAAAATAACTTGATGATTTTTTGTTAACGTTTAGGTGGGATCCCGGAAAAGGCCGCCAATATGAACACCGAAAAAGAAAAAAACTCCGTTTTTGACGCTTCTCATTTGTCCCCCATAGGTAAGATGCTAGTAATTTTCATTTTGATTAATTGGAAGTTATGTATCGTTTGAGTCTCTTTTATCAAGGTTTTTTTGCGGTATGAGAAGACGAAAATTTTCCAGAAGAAAGAAAACCTGATTTTGTAATGTTTTTTTGTTGAATCTGAATTACAAATATGATGGATATGAATATCTCAGAGAAAATTGTGTGAATGTAGTTTCAAAATCGTTTGAATAAGTTTTTTACGGAAACATTCTTTGCTCAATTTCGTTTTTATTCAGATTCGGCTTCCAAAAACGCTCCGAAAATTGTCAATGCGAAGGAGGTGTTTGCCAAGAACTCTACCGGTATGAGTTGCCAAAACTTCTGATCTCCTAGTGCATTTAACCTATAAACTCATTTCAGAAACGGTTCCGATGAAGCCAGTTTTGTCAGCTTCTGGAGGAATTGCATGTGGGGATAATACAAATGGCCTCGAAAAATCGAAAGGTAATGACAACAAAGCTTGTAAAGACTAATTTTTTTTTCTGCTGTCAAGTATGTAAAATGAATACAAAAAAAGCACGAGTTTTTTTATTTTTTTATGGGAAATAAAATTTCAAATAATCAATTGAGATTTTTAAATTAATTTTTGTGAATCCAAAAGTAGACGGAAAACATTTGATTTTTTTAGTTTTTTTGTATTACACTTGCATCATAAATGTGATGGAATTAGGAAAACCACCAGGAAAAATTGGAAAGATGCAGTTTCTATGATAATTTTGTAAATGATAATTTTTGGACACATGTTTTGCTCCAATTTGTTTTTATTTAGATTCCGCCACTGAAAATGCTCCGAAAAATGCGAATGAAAAGACGGAAAAAAATCCCAACGGTACGAGTTGCAAAAACTTCTGATCTCTTAGTGCTTTTAACCCCGTAAACTCATTTAAGAAACGGTTCGAGAAACACCAGACAATTTCTCAGCAATCAGATGGGTCAAAAATGGAAATACTACCGAAATCGAAGGCGTCGAAAAAGCAAAAGGTAAGAGTCGCAAAGCTGGTCATACCTGAAATTCTCCTAATATCTCTTGATGATTCTTGAAAGATATTAGGTTAACCGTTTTGAAGTGAACTTTTGGTTTTTTGATTTATATTCAATTCTTGAGGTTATGTTTGAAAAGTACACGTGTGGCCTAATCACCGCTATTTGGTATCTATTCTATCATGTTTCAATGCACAATTGGAAAAAAAAAGATAAATAACTGAAGAAGATGTGAAAAGAGTGATAAGCGAGCTCTCCAATAGTCGCTGGTGGTCGAATTAAGCTCGTACCATGAGCCGCAAACTTCTCGAATCAAATCGGGAAAAATCGACTATACCTTTCTTACTTAGACGCAGTCGAGTTTCATTTTGACAAGGTGTTTTTCAAAGTAGCAATTTTTGAAGGCGAAAAGCTTTAAGTCGTTCTATATCTCTATGTATTCTCCCGAAACCCTCAAGCAAATGAAGAAGCTGGCTAAACCGTACGCGAGGAAACTCACTCGAAGAAATTCATCGTTTAGGCAATAATGAGTTCAAAAGGCGAGATTCCGCAACATAAGATCGATTATGCGTACAATGTGAAGGTATCACATCGACGCTATTTTGAAATAGGAGAAGTTTTTTTGATTGTGTCCTCCGTTGCAACTGATTCCAGGCCTCTTAAAAGAGTTTTGCAATTTTCACATCGCTCAGGTGGGAATACTGTTAAGCGTGTCATATTTATGGTCTTATAGCGATCAAGAAAAAAGGCGTCTGTTCGACTGCCATGAGTTTTTTCCACTAATATTTTCAGTCATACATTAGACCAAGACTGCATAAAACATGTTTCAAAACAGAGCTCTCTGATCACTTTTATCCTCAAGATATGAGGCAAAGTAGGCCTGAAATACCTGCAAATTATTCCCTGATAGACTCAAGACTATCATTTTTGCCAAAGAAAAACAAGACAAAAAGTTTTTTGCACATATCATCCTTAACACTGTTTCTTCAAAGCAGTTCATCGAGGTTTGTTTCTAACTATTTTCATCATGAGTTGTAGTGATTTAAATGTCGTCCAATAATTAGACCCACGCTTGTATTTTCATTCTCGACAGGGGATTTGATACATTATCTATTACAGTCACTTTTCTATAGTCAGATGAAATATAACAATTCTGCTCATTATCGATTTGCCATCGCCACGAACTGAAAAAAAAGACTCTGCAAATCACGAGTTTTGAGTCGCAACATAGTCCATTTCAGGGAAAATCAAATTTATTCAGGAATCGTTTCTGCAAGCCTTGAAGATGGAGAGATCGGAGATGAAGGAGAAGCACCTGAAAATGTGAACCAGATTATGGAAGGTGAGGTTTATGACTTGAAAGTCGTGCTGCTGAAAAAGAAAACTGCTGACCAGTTGATTAGTTCGATTAATTTCAGAGGCGGAGCCGCAGAACAGTCCTTCGGCTTTGGCAGAACAAACTTTCGAGCAGGGGAAAAACATGCCGACAGGTATTTCTATTTAAGTTATGCGAAAAAAACTCTTATCATTTAAAATCATCAGTTTAAAAACTTCCCAAAGACTCAAGAAAAAAACAAAAGGATTTTTATTTTTTTAATCAGATCAATCGTTCGTTTCAAATTTTGAAGTTTTTTGAAGATCTTTAATGTTAATTTCTTTCTCAACCGTTTCTAATACTGAAATCGATTTTTCAGATAAAACCTCTTTCCAGCAGCGAAAGAAACGGACCATCAAAAAGGTTCAGGATCTGCGACCGCCTCAACCTCCCTTCTGAATGAAAAACCTCCATGATTTTCGAAAAAATGTTGCAATCTCCTTTTTTTCTACTTTTGGTTATTTACCTTTTGTCGAATTGGTTTTCCCACTTCTCAATCATTTTTATTTCAAGCACGCGTTTATCATCCGTGCCTCCTTTCTTCCTTTTTAGAACGATGGTATAGATTCATTAAGCCATCATATTTGAAGTTTTTTTGAACAGTTTTTTTATATTTTGCGCTCTAAAGTTTTAAATAAACGCAAAAATTTTTTTGGTGTCTTTTTTTCTGTGTGTTTGTAATTTTTGAGGATAAATATTGAAATCAATGCAATCAAGAATAAGGTTGTATTCTTTTCCCTTTTTAGAAAGTCAAGACCAGGGATGCACGAGACGAGGTTTTTTCATCTCGAGACAAGATCGAAACGAAAAAGATCACTCTTCCAAAATAAGCTTTTTTAACTAATACGAAAAAGCAGTTTTAATGAGAAAGCGGAACATCACGTGGAGCCGTGCATGAAGAGAAAGAAAAGAGAGTTAATGTGAGATGAAAGCGAATAACTCCTCTTAATTGAAGTGAATGCAAGAAGGATCATGCCGACTTTGATTTGGGACTCACACCCAAAAGAGGGGCCTCTCAAAGGCGGAGTAGAGCCATCAAGGATGCCTCCTCGGCTCTCTTCAGAATAATAATGAGTCAATGATCTCTTCAGATCGATTCAGTGCAATTGTTACTTTGGAAATCTCGTATTGGAAGCCTGGGAGCTGTATGGAAGACTTTCTTCTGCAAATTTCTGTAGAATCGCACAAAGGATCAATATGCTACTTAAACTTTGCACTGATTTCTTCAAGCCGATCAAAATTTATGTGTTAAAAGTGCTGGATAGAATGAAACAAAAAATCTTTTCTACTGATGGATTTCTAAAAAAGCGGCTGAGAGTTTAACCATCTTTCAGAGTCACTCAAAAAAACTATTGAAAGTGCTTTTTAAAATCAAAAACATATTGTATTTTTGGTTTCATGATCATTTTATTTATTTTTCAGAATGTTTTTAAAATGGGACTCCTTTCAAGCAGATGTTCGACAAACTATCGTTCTGAACGATTGTGGGCAAGATACCACTCTGTAGGAAGTTTTAACAAACAGACCAGCTTTGATTAATTTCAGGCGGCCGATCGTTTTTGCACGGAGCTCCGCCGACAGCTGCTACAAAGTTTGCCGTGAGATCGGACCTTTTCTCGTGCTAAGACAGTTGCCGGCTTCAAGAAAAAGAGGGAAAGAACTGCCCTTAACTATTCACTAGCCTGAAAATTACCAATAGGCCTGAAAATAAACATAGGACATAGATAAGCGTTTCGAATCAAAAACGTACTCATTTTTATCTCATTCACGGTCAAAAATTAATATTCGGATTATTTAAAAACATTTTTCCAAACAGGTTTTTAGTTTGAACGAAATCTGAATAAATCTACGAAATAAAAGTTCCGAGAAAAATAAGGTCTGATTTGATTAACATACACTCTTACTGACTCCAATAGCTAATTTATTTTTTACATGAAAAGATTTTTTGATAGTGAGAAAAAATAATATCTTCTTTTAAAAAAATTTAATTCCTATTATTTTCAATTACAAATTTAATCAGAATGCTTTTTGTGGGCGTGATTTAGGCCTCTGCGATCCGCCTCCATTTTTTCCGGCGTTCCCTTCACACGGCCGTTCAGTCGCTTTTATATCCGCTCTTTTATATGTGATTTTATGGTATATATTGTTTGTTATTATATGCTTCGAAATTTTTTTTTTCAGCGAAGTATCTAAGACAGCAACTTTTTTGAAAACTTGAATTTCGGACCAGTAGAAATCACTGCAGATTGTCTTTAGAAAAGTTAAACGTTTCAAGTGAAAAACCTTTTTTTCCTTTGATTTCTTGCTAGTTTTATGTGTTAATAGAGAATCGAGCGTATGATTGAGGTGATTTATTTTCTCGTCCAATTTTGAATCGCCAATATGAATTTTGGCCAAAAAATTCTTTCCGGCTGTTTTCAAACATCTTTCTTCTAGCATGTTCGAAATATGAACTTGGACCATTTTGAAAAGTATAATGATCGTGTTTTTAAAAGTTGATACTGTTATATATCGTAATCATTGACAACTTGAAATTAAGTTTTTTTTTTCTAACTGTTGTTCACAGCATTAATTCGCAGAAACTGGTTAATAAAAAGATCGAAGCGTCCAGTATGAATTTCTTCACTGCTTCTGGATGCATATATAAAACTGGTGAGTTGTCTTCGATTCATTATAACTACGATGTTACCTTCCTACTGTAAGAGATCTGAAATTCGATAGGGAAAATGAAAAATGGGTGTTTGCTCATGAAGCATAAAAATAGAAAGAAAGATATATTCAAAAATTATTCATAGCAAGGAAAACAAAAATCAAAACATTTTTGAGTACGAGGACTAATTGATGAACTTTGCTCATTTCTCAATTCGTTGCATTATGCTACAAATGAGAAAAATTATAACCTAAGAAAAAAGGTAGGTTTGAGAACTGAATAGAAAAAAACTAAAATGCATCGAAATTAAAATTTTTCCACTTTCAGGCTTCAAAAAAATTTTTTTGATTTTTTTAATGTTTTTCTTGTAGAGAAGAAAACCAAAAAAATAAGTTAATTTTTTAGAAACAACAAGCAGAAAGAGAAAAGAAACGAAACACGAGGAGGAGCCAGTAGCGAAGAAACGAAAAATGAGTGAGTCTGAGTTCCGCTGGACTTTTCAAATAGTTTTTTCCATGTTTTGCACCTACATCAATGAAACATTTTTCATTTCACCCCATCGAAGTCCCCGAGAACATTTGCTAACAAGGGAGGTCATTTCAAATTGTCGTTGGGAATTTCCTGAAAATTGGCTAGAATACTACTCGACGTACCAGATGATGACACCAAAAAGTTCAGCCTGCACCAATAAATAGTTTTTATAAGATGATACATCAAATACCAAGAAAATCTTTAAAAAACGCTCGAATAAGTTTTTTGGGGCTCTGAAGGCTTATTTCCCAAAAACAACGAAGTTGAGCAGGTAGAAATACTCAGAATATCCTTCTGTTAGATCGAGATGTGTACTGACCAATTTTCAGGGATATTTCAACCGCAAAATGGACCTTCCTCGTAAAAAGTAAAGGAAAATAATAATTTTTTGTTAAAATATACAAACCTTTTTTAGACTTTGAACATTTGTTTCAGATCCCTGTGTTCTCTCCGAGCCAAAGAAAGCGACTTTTGACAACGGTAATTTCTTTCGAAAGTTCATCTGGAATCGTTCGACAATGCAATGACACATTGCATAAGATGTCAAAAAAACCTCAAAAATATTTGGAAAACAGCGAAAGCTGTTTTTTTCATACTGTGGACCGTTATTATCCATGAAAAAAAGAGAACTGATCAATAGTTTGACTATTTGAACTTTTTTTTCGATTATTATGAACGCCTAACAAAAACCATTTCAGAACGTTTTTGAGAGATTTTCAGAAATAAACGAAATGAAGAGAAGCTCAGAAAACAAAAACGAAGAATCGGAGGCCAAAAACAAGAAAGAAAGTGAGTGGTTTCTTGCTAGTTCTGCCAAGTCTTGACGAAGTTTTTTAAACTTCAACGCAAAAAAATGGAATACATAAGCTCAAAATTATTTCGAGGGAAGACTGGATAATTACAATTCAAAAAATTCTTTGACAGGAAACTTTGTTTTCCCAATCCATTCCTTTTCAGAAATTTTACGAGACTATCCTGGATATCGCAGCCCATTAGGCTTCAAATTTAAGAATCTTCGGACCAAAGAAGTCCAAAAACTAGGTATTGATTGCGAAAATTTTCAATGAAAGCACATAAACTTTCAGTTTTCTTCCCGTGTATCCCTCAACCTTCTATTCTGGCGCTGAAGAAGAGTCCGTTCAAAGAACCAAGAAGGATCATGCACGAACAAAATGGGACGCGATTGAATTGGTGGACATACAGTTCTATTATAACTCCGAAGTGGAAATGAAGTGTTATTTGGATTGGATGTATCGGGTGGTTTCCTGAGTTTTCCGACTTATTGCGTAAGAATTAATTTTAAAAAAATTTCAAAGTACCGTTTTCAGTCCGCAGTTGGGCTTTTGATGTAAAGTTGCTAAAGCGTGTTCAAGGGCCTTTTTGATTCCAGGAAAAGAAGAATTATAATTGTATTGAATCTGGTTTTCGAATAAAGGAGCTTTCAAAGCTTAAAAAAGCCCCTTTTTATCTTAATTTGCATCTGGGCAAGCTTTGAAGATTCATAAATCAAAAGAAAGTTATACTGCAAAAAAATGTTTTGTCTTGTTCTGGACTCGGAAGGCCCTTGAATACACTTAAGCAAGCTTTTAATAAAAAAAAAGTCTTTCCAACGGATAACTTCAGAACATCTTCAGAGGACCCATGATTAGCTTCCAAAAAAAACCTTATATTTTGTAATATAAGGTTTTTTTCGTTATTTACAGTCTTCATCTGCCTCAAGGGTGCAGTAAAATTGTTTTTTTGTAGAGAAAAATTTTTTTGAGAGATTTGATGCATACAATAAAAAAACAGCCTAATTATGGTTGAGAACGGTTCAACGAGGCAAAAAAACAGTTCTATTAAAACTTAATTTCTCTACTACTGTAGTTCGAAAAGTCAAAAGACTTGTGAGAAAACCGGATATTTTCCACTTTTGCTCTATATTCGTTGCAAAATAACTCATCTGTCCATTGTATAATTCACTTGCTCGATATAACGAGTGAATCACGATTTTTCAAAGTTTTTTTTTGAATCGGCCCTTCCCGCAAATATCTCTATAGCAACTGGTAATTCTCATTATAAATATTTCGTTAACTCGCATTTCATTCTAAATATTTATCAACAATAAACAACGTTTGCAAATTAGTTATCAAGCTTTTTAAAAAAATTAAAACCTACTTTTGCAAGTTAGGCACCAAAAAGATGAACTTTCAACTTGTGGGAACTGTAAAATCAGTTCTCAATTAAAAAAATTGAAACCTGTTTGAATAAAATTTAAAAAGTTATGTTTTTTTAAAGGATTTCTTTCATGTGAATAAGCATTCTCATATTATTATCATTTTGGTAATAATCAATTTTTTTCCAGGATTATTGCTTTATTCTTTGATGCTTTGTTGCTGCTTTTTTTGGATGTTCGATTTTTATTGAACTCTTGTTGATCTGCAGCATATTAAAAAAACATTTTTTTGTTCTTAGTAATATCAATTTATTTTTTTGGAGATACTGCCTCATTGAAATCTCATAATTTCCAAATATTTTTTTCGACAGCTTCGTCCAAAAATAAATAAACGTTTTGTGTATACAAATCACTTCTCAGCGAAAGAATGAAAAAAATTATGGCAGGACCTTTCACACACTGTTGTTTTCTCGAAGAGTTACACCGGGATCAGGTTACATCCTGCGACCGAGAAACCGTAACTCAGCACCTATAGGCTGTTTCTACACCTGTGTCCGACAACAGGTGCCCTGTCTATGTATAAACTCGGTCACATCTGGAATGGATCGCTTATCACCGTTCTGCTCATCTGCGTCGTTTGAAACAACTCTATATTTTACAGACACAGAAAATTGGAAAAAAAAGACTTAAAAAATAGCTTATATTAGACAATTTCGATTTTTAGATTTTAATTGGAACAACGCCTGGAGATGAAATACATATAAGCCAAAAATTTTCAGATTTTAGATTCTCTTTCAATTTATCAAAAAATGTTCAAAACTATTTACGCAAAAAATCCTGCTTGAAAATATGACAAGCTATAATTTTTCTCGTGGCTGATTCCAGAACGTGTCAGTTAATTTTCGTGCACGAGCAATTTCAGCTGAACATCCGAAACAACAGTTTTAACTTTTGAAGTAACATTCTTTTCATGGTTTTCAATCCTTTTTTATACATCGATAACTTTTGAACTTGAAAAAAATCTTTCTTTTTTTTTAATTCTGAGCGACAGAAAACAACCTCGGTTATTTTCAAAAGTTGTGAGATAAAACCGATTCGGTGAAAATTGTGATTTGTCTCAAAAAATGCTTTTTTCCCTCCCTGAGAAATCAGAATAGTAGAATTACCGGTTCTGCACGAAAAAGTTGCCTTCTTCACAAACTATTTCACTTGTTGGATGTTCACAAGATAAACAAAGGAATCTGGCCAGACTGTCTTCATTCACTGCAAGCGCGAAGATGAGACAAAACACTTGGATGCTGAAAGAGCAGAGGGAATCTTTCAGAAAAACTGCTTTCTCCTCCTTTTTTAAAATTCACAGCCTTTCCAAGTATAAATTCCTTTCGTAGTAGCTTGAAAAATTGAATGGTCGTTTTTTGTTTTCTTTTGTTTTTGGATTTTATCAGTTTCTATCTCTCGATGTGTTAATGACACCCATTCAAAAAATTCTTGAGAGTTTTGTGAAAAGATCATTCTGTCTTGTTGATGACTCGTGTATAAGTCACTGCTTCCTGTCATCGAACGCCATGAAGATCTTAGTCATGGGTGGCGTCTCCCAAGAAGTCGTCATCAAGATTCCCAAGATTCGCCTTTTTATACTGACATTCTGATCAAATTTGTCATTAGAAAAAAAAGACACTATTGCACAATGAGAGAACCTTAATGAGAAAAAAATTTGATTACAGAATAAACGGGGAATGTAAATAATTTTCAGTTAGAAAAAGACATTAATTTGTTCGAAACTCGGTTTTTTTCGCAAAATTTTTTTCTCGTTTTTTTATTTTTGAAGAAGGCGATTAGAGATTTAAAAAAAATTTTTTTCAATCAACCTCATTCATGAAAAACGTTACAGATTATGATTTATGATTTAAACAATTACTGTTAAAAAGAGTTGGCTGTTAAAAATAATAAAAATAAGGAGAGAACTGAAAAATGTGGGTGACAAAAACGAAAAAAAATTCAACAAGGACTACGATGGCCTATTGGAAAATGCGTCTAATAACTTTTATTTCTGGACGTGGTACATCAGGTCCCCTGCTTGTGTGTCCGGCGTGATAATCATCGACATAATCAAGTTACAAACGTGATAATTGTATTAATTAAGTGATAATCAGGCATAATAATAAACGAAAGTTTCCGACAAAATTTTTCCTTTACGCCTTCTCGCAATCGCCGCGTTTTATTTCGCGGTAAAGTGAATATAATAATCTGCTTTTTTTCGATGTTGTGTTTATTGGTTGATGTTGTGCAGGCTGATGAAATTAAAGGCTGAGAAATAATTCGTTCTGATTTTGCACTAATTATTACATGTGATTTTCTGCAAGCAATTTGCTCCAATTTTTTTCTCCGCGATTTAAAATTTGTGTTTTTGATTTATTCACCATGAGATGGTTTTTCTCACAACGCGAAAGGACAAAGTTCAGTCCCTTCGGCATTAGTTCTTTGCTGGTCGGAGGCTGGGGCAAGTGTCTCTTTCTCTGCTGCGCTCTCTTCTCTCTTCCCCTCTATTGACTCTCGCTTTTCTCCTCAGGCACTACAGTATCCCTGCGACTCCCGAAAGCCAAAATGACAAGAAAAGCAAAGTTCAATGCAGATAAGATGCCTTGAAAGACTCTAGTATAGAATAACTTCTCAGAAATACATCGGGAAACTTTCCCACTTTTTTGGTCTTCTTTTTGGTTAATAGACTACTGAAAATTGAAAGAATACTCGGTTGGTAACAAATAAGTTGAGTTTAAAAAAATTACACAACAAAAAGAGCAGAAGACGCTTTTCCGTGCGCTAAAAAAACTTGACCGTCGCGATTCATTGATTTTTGGGATGCAGATTTGCCTCAAAACAATGGTGGAAACTTTCTATTAGCCGGTCCTTTAGCTCAGCCACGAAAGGAAACTAAGTTTATTTTCTTCTTCTTATCCGCAATAAGGAAGTAAGACTCTATTCTTCACGGTTTTTTTTTTCTTCAACAATCTGCTTTTTTCAACGTCACTTGACCTATGTAAAGTTTGCTGAGGCTTTTTAAGCAAGAAACTTTGTACGATTAGAAAAAAATTGTATTATATTGATACTCCGACGGTTTGATGTAAAGATAGAGAGGAAAGAAAAAAAGAAAAGGAAAATAAAGATTTTTCGAATTTTCTTCCGATTTCCACTAGAGTCGTTTTCAAATCGCAACTTAATTGCAACTTAAGCGAGTGAACATCTCAATTTTTCCTTTTTAAATTCAAAAACCCTACACAAATGGTTAAAAATGAAGAAGAAGAGATTTTCATCCCTTCGCCATTTTTTTCAAATCTTTTCCAAAACTTGCAAAAGTTGAAACTTTAGTGGTTTATAGACCCAAGTCAGAAAACTTGAAAAAAGAGAGAACGTCTGCTAATGATAGAAAATGTGAAAATTAGGCCTGAAAAACTTCAGAATACTGCTTTTTACCTTATTTTATATTTTAATACAATCGCCTTGAAACCCGCTATAATAAACACTAAAAAGCTTCTTTTCCAGTAAAAAGAAGGAAGAGAGCCAAAATTTGATAATTTTCAAGCCTAAACTGTTCATTTTCAAAAAGCTTTTTCTCGTATATGGGGTTTAGCAGATAATCTCTCTTGTTTCCAAGTACTCTTACCCGGGTCTATAAACCACCAAAGTTTCAACTCGAAACGCGTACCCGAGTCCGAGCAGTTCCCTAGTCAGCTTTTAAAAAGAATGCCCGATACGTCTTGCGTATTCAAAAGTCTCCGCAATCGTTCTTTTTTCGAGTTCTCGTTTCAAACATTTACGACCATCGGTTATTCATATAGAGGAGCCGACAAGAGTTGTTGCGCAAAGGGCGGCTTGTCTTTTGTGCTGATCACGCCGCGGGAACGGCGGAAAACGGCTGCCGACTGCTTCCTCCTCATTTTCGCCCTTCTCCAGATCGTTTGAAAACCAATCTTTGGTCTTCACAGTCGCTCTCTTTCTTCATTTATGTCAAACATTTTTTGTGTTATTGACAATGCTTTGGTGACCTACCCCTCGAAGGGGCCTTCTCCGGAATCTTTGCTTGAAAACAATCGCGCAGGCTGTTTTCGTTCCGTTTCACATTTACTACAAACGGAACGTCTTGGTTTTATGGCTGAGAACCTCTTCTGTTTTCATGGGTTTCACGCTGGCCATTGAACATTTTTTCTCGTTTATTTTACACGTATTTAGAAAAAAGAACATTTCTAACCGAAAATGTCAAAGCTATGTTTTATGGCTGGCTAATCAAGTGTTATCCGAATACTCATTTCATCTTCATTTTTCGAAAAGTTCTCTTTCTTTTACATTTATCGGTTGGTTATTTTTTTATAGCTTTAAAAAAACCAGATTTGAATAAGAAAAAAAAAGTTTTTCAGACCAACTCAGAGAAAACTGCTCATTAATGGATAATAAAGGTTTTTTTCTTACTTTGATTTTATCTATTGAAATTCCTCGAAACATTAAAATACATTTTTTTCACAGGATCTCGCAAACGCCGCCGCCCTGTGGGTGAAAAAAAGCAGAAGCGCAGAACACACAAACAGAAGAAAAAAAGTTTGAGAAAGTCTCTGCTCCGACCCGTGCCGAGCTAGCCAACAAACGAATTTTGGAATGTATGCCCCCTTTTTTTTTTTACAAAAGTTCACTTTTTGAAAGTTTCAGGCTCCAAGATCGAGGTCCTTCCTACGTTTGTCGACGTTAATGCTCGAATCTCTAGCATTTCTGGCGACGCTAACAAAGGTTCTATTTATAAAACTTTCTCATAGTTCAGCTTGCCTTAAGAAGAGCTCGAGTTTTCGAGTTAGTTTTATTATATAATAATGTGGAAACCTTTGTGATTTAGTCGGAAGATTGCTTTATCAATTGAAACCGTAATGAAAAAAAAAATTGTTTTACAGCTCAGCGCAAGCGTTATTTTTCGGAGAGGGATCTGCCGAGAAAAGGAAGTGAGCCGCTGGTGAAGCGAGAGACTCCTCTGCCTAACCCAACTAACAACGACTTCGCCAACAACAACGGTTGAAACTTTACTCAAGTCAAATAACTCACCGAATTCAGTGCCTGCTCACTTCACTGGCTCAGAGGACAGGTCCAACGCTCCGGCTGAAGAACCGCTTGCCAATGATGGGTTGATTGAGAGGTCTAACACACCCACGGAAGAAGGTCCTGCCGTCGAAGATCACGTTTTCAAGATGGACCTCCTTCAAGAGCTTCTCAAGCCGATGCTCCCATAAACTCACCTCTACGATTTTGACATTTTGTTGGGCTCTACTGTTTATACTCGCGTTTGATAAATGTTTCAATCCTATCGCATGGGGGACAATAAGCAAACAAAAAAAGTAAAAAAAGAAAGATGAGAAATTTTTAAATTTTTTTAAAGTTCCTGAATTGGTACGAGAAGGTTTTTGGTCTTTTTTTCACAAATTGAAGCAGTGAAGGGATTTTTGTAGAGTTGTGCTTGAAGATCTTGGCGCTTGCCAATCGTCATTTCTCGGGCGGAGCTTGAGTCAGCTCAGGTAGGCTCTTCCTGGCTCTCTGCACAACTGGACGGTTCCGACCCGACATTCTCTATGCTTGCCTGCTCTTTCTTGAACCGTGTATTTTCGATGGAAAAACATTGGATAATCAGATGTTGCGCAACCATCTGCAAAGTAACTGAATGAATAAAAAAAATCCGTCCCTCATTTTAAAACGGTCACTTTTTGCTGTAGCTCTGAAATGGTTTCAAAATATCTTTTCGAGACTTTTTCGGCAAAAAATCTTTTCGTTGATTTTCATGTTTTGAGAAGTTTGTCGAATGTTTCACAGCTCTCTTAATGGATTTCGTAAGAGCCTTTTCTTCAAACTTCGTGTCTTTGTTCGTTTTCCTTGTAAACAGTTGGTCAAGCTTCGTTGTTGTTGTTTCCGATCTCAATGATCTGTAATCCGTGATACTCCCTATTTCTTTGTTCGTCTCAATTGTGAATCTAGAGAAGGACTTCACTTTGATTTCGCTTGGAACACAGAACAAACAAACTTTGTGAATTTACTGGACATAGAGCGATTCGCTCTCAGAAGACAAAGAACAAAGGTTTACGTCGAATCTGATTCGAAAGTTGAATTCGCAGCGACGCGGGCTAAACCCATTGAAAGGTTTGTGTCCGTACAGGCCGCCTCTCACCTTTTTCTTCAGCTCGTCTCTTGTTTCCTCATTTTTTTCTTCCCCTTTGCTGCCATTGCTACTAGATTTGCGCGTTCTGTTGTTTTCGACGTTGAAAGCCTCTCTTCAGTTATCGATTCTACCCAATCAGCAAACAACAAGTTTGAGGATTGAGTTCCAATTTTGATGGCTTTTAGACTTGCGTGAAGGTATTTTGAGAAAAAATAAATGAATCATTTGCTGAACTTAATAGCGGGAGAAATTTTTTGAAATAAGGCAAATTAAACTTTTCCGAGCGGCAGCAATTTGAAAAATAAGCCAAGTCTTATTTGCTCATTATGACTATAATTTTCTTCGGTTTCCTACTGCGCTAAGCAGAAAGTCTTTCTTGTTTTCGAACGTTTTTCCTTTTCTCAACAGTTTTCAACTCGCGAAAGTACGTAGCTCCTATGTAAATGAACTTTTTGCTCGAAATCAATTATATCGTTGCTGCTGAAGCTGTCGCTTTTTTTTCTTGCCGAGTAATGAAGGATTTCCTATTATCTATCACACTCCCACTATTTAGGAAGTTAATAAAACACTTTTAGGTAAAAACAAATCTGGAAGAGCGTCGGCTCAACGACAATGGGCGGTGTAGATCAGGAAAATGCCGAATTAGACCAGAATTCATCCGATAAAAGTCAGTTCACTAAAACTTTTTCATTTATTCATTCGACTTCAATCTAACAAGAAACATGTAAAAAGCCTTCTGCTATTTTTTTAAGTTTTCTGGTAACATATAAAATAGCCTTCTTTATTGCTTTTTTTTCGGGATTCAGGTGATAATTTCATTTTTTTTTCAACTTTAGTCAAGTTCAATTGATATCAATAAAACTTCTCGTTTTTCATGTTGGAAATTATCTGATGTTAATTAATAGAGACTCAACCCTTTGATGATAATTCGCTAGCAGACTCATGAATGTTTTCAGTCGATGTGAAAGCGGCCGACTCGGACGATTTCTTGTTCAAAAAACCGACTCTTCCTGCGTTTCGCAGTGAGTTTCTTCAAAACATTTTTTAATCGCTTTATAATCTCAAATAATCTGATTTTTCTTTCAAAATGCGGTTAAAAGTTTTATCTTCAGAAAAAGCGAATATTGAGCAAAAACCTCCTTCTAAGCCGTCAGAATCCAGTTCATTCTGGAACCCTTTTGGTAAGTTTTAGTTGAATTATCACCCACAGTGATATTTTACTTGCAGATTTCAAAAAAATAGCTACATGGGGCAGCGATCCCAAGCCTTTTGACGCAAATCGGTACTATAAAAATTCATGGAGAGGTTACATAATTTTTACAACCAAGAAAAACTTGTAATTCCGGCTTGCAGGCTCACAAAAAAAACTAGGAATAATGCTTTTTTTAAGATGCTGGAGTAACGGACACTTTACCGGAGAAATTCGAAGCGCCTGAAAATTCGAAGCTCATGATGAAGAGAAAGAACAAAATGGCCAAAAAAGGTGAGTATATCGATCTTTTTTAACTTTACTTTTTCCCCTATTTTTGATAATTAAACTTTCGATTGTTTTTAGACGAATCGGAAGAGGCTCAAAGCAACACAAGCAATGAAGAAAAGACAGTTTTGGCAGACAAATGGCAACCTTTTTACGAAAATTTGGCAGGAAAAATTTGCTCAAGTAGGGATTTGGAAATGTTCCATTACATAGAAACAATCAAGACGAATGCTTTTCCAGATTCTGCGACACCGGAAGCATCTGAGCATCCTTTCAAAAAGCCATTATTTCCACTGATTAAGAGTAAGACTTTGCTAGAAATTGTCTAGAAACTTTTTCAAAGTTTAGTAGCCAATTTCTTCTAGCTGGTTCAACAGTTCGAAATAATATTTTCAGAGAGATCTGTAGTCAATTCGAAAAACTCTCTCAGAAAATTTAATTTTGATGAGCCCTCGAGCCGTTTTGGTAGGCTTTTGTTCAGAATAACTTGAATGCTAACCGTTTAATTGAAGATTTCAAAAGGATGAGGACCGTGGAGAAGAGCATCGGACTTTCTGACATGTCTTATTATCCTAACTTCTCGTCTGGAGGTCGGTAGATTTTTTTTCTTCAAAAATTAACGCAGAGATCTAGAAAAAAAGTACACGTGATATTTTTTTCAGTTTTAAGAAAGATTATATAATTGATTCCTACTAAAAGTTTCAAACGATAAAAAATTAAATTTGAGATGGAAAAGTTGTCGAAAACTGCCTAAAGAAGCTCGGAGCGGCCGAACAGTTTGAACCAGTGACGAAAAAAACAAGAAGCTGCAACGAAAATAGCTAGAGAAGGTTATAAGTTTAAAAATTTTCATATGCGCTTTTTTCGATTTCACCTATTCTGTTCAAATCAATAAAAAATTTCAAAAATCATTTTTTTCGCAGAAGAACCCGCGATGGTTCACGGCAACAACCCAGGCAATGAAGAAAAAGAGCTTTATGAAGAATCTTCGCGACCTTTCGAGGAAAAAACTGCCAAGAACTACTTATTGGGTGAGTTTTTCATACAATCATCCCCGGTAAAAATGATCAAGCGACTATGAGAGTTTTCAGGTGGTTTGAAGGCAGAAGAATCGGAGCCTGATTTCCAAAAAGCAATGAACCCACATTTTCGAAGTGATTGCGATTCGAAAGCTCCTTTCAAGCCACTGGAAATCAGAATGTCTTGGTGCACTTTTGGTATGTCTTCTGTTAGGCTTATTTACACAATATCCATCTTTTTTTGCAGATTTAAAGAAGATTGCAATCTTGGAGAACGGCCCCAATTCTTCTGGAATGTCTTGTCATGAAAAGTTTTTATCGGGTTGGTAGACTTTTTTAAAAGGAAAAATCGAAAAAAAAATTGCTTCCTATCCAGACAGGTCTGAGAAAGTCAAAAATAGCCATTTTCTGAGTAATGAACCTTATTTTTTTCGAGATAACAAAGCCGTTGAAAAATTGTGAATGGAACTAGTGGCTCCCGAGAAATCGAAGTTCATAATAAGATTACAATGAATTCAAACGGATATAGCTAAAAAGACTCAGTCGTTCGGAACTCTTCAACGCCATTTTTGTGTCGTCATCTCGATTCAAAGAATTTTGCAGGCAAAACCAGAAATGCTCAACACAACGACGCACGTGAAGAAGATGAAGACAGTTATGGAGGAAAAAACATCGAGTAAAACTTCTTGATTTGCTCTTAACTTCAAACTGCTGTTAACATGAAGTTGTATCATCAAAATTTTCATCATAAGTGTTGTTCATTTTTCGCTTAACGAAAACTGTTGTTAATGAAAGCTATGTTTATAAGCTACAAGTTACAAGTAACACGTTTATCCAGTCTACCGTATCGATTCTGAGCTGAATCATAGAAAGAAGATTTTATCGTCGCGTTTGCGGGATCGCGTTGACCAAGAATGGCTCGTAGATCACCTTGATCTTTTCAGTATAATGACGTTAAGAAGTTGAGCGACTTCTTCTTCATGTAGGAACAGTACAGCGCCCTGCTTGTCCAGCGCTGGCGGCGTCGGATTGAATCTCAGACGAGAGCGGAAATGAAGACTGACCACTCGGGATGCTGTTCTTTTGATACAAACAGTTTTCATACGTTATAATAAAGTTTTACTGAGTGGCTTGAGCCCAAATCAAAATCAGTTCAAAAATTCAGATCTGAAGGAATCTAAATTCCTTTTTCTCGATGAAGCTCGTCTCAAACATCTAGTGTCTCGATAAAAAACCCAAAAAAGAAGTCTTCAGAACTCTCAAGTGGCTTATGATATTGCGACTCTCAGATGTTCACGCCGCGGCATTCTGAAAAAAAAAACTCCTTGAGTCCGTCGATGGTGCGATCTCGCCTGTGGTTCTGTCGGAGTAGACCACTTGACTTTTTTGCGGCACAAATTTGCGCGTCGGTCATCCTGTAGGCGTCTGCTCACCTTCTTTCTGGCGAAAGTCCGCCCATCAGTCTCGGCCAGACGTACCCCACCTTTAGATTGTTATTCTCAAAACCTTTGCGCATTCTTCTCTTCAAAAAACATTTAGCTCTTTATCGTATCTAAATTTTCAACACTGATTATATTGAATATTTCGATTTCTAAAAAAAACTCCGAATTTATATAACATTCCGAGTCTGAGTTTTATCAATTCAACCTTTTGTGATAACACCTTTTCGAGCTTTTGTAACACTTTTTTTCCATTTCCTTTTTTCACAGTGTGTTGGAAAATCGATGCATTTTTTTCTTGAAAGACTGAGTATCTCACGTTTTGCATTGGAAACTCAAGCAAACAGCAGACTTGATGGGATTACCAGCGAGAAAATTCAGAAAAAAAAACTTTCCTTCGCTTTTTTACGTTGTATTCCTCGTAAATTGTTTTATGTTATGCAAAATTGATGAAACATTTTCCATTTCTTTCAGTTTCACATTTATGTGCTCCCAATAAGTTCATCTTCATTTATTATCACTCTCGAATAGATTATTCATTCATGATAATTTTTGATTTGAAAACTGTTCGGAATCATTTTGGAAAAGTTTCGTTCCTAAAGTTTCACCTCTAGACTGCAAAAAAAATGAGTCATATGAAGCTTTCAAAAATAAAGCGCAAAAAACGAACTCGACCTAGATACCTGCTCAGTAAATCATTTCGACTTAAAATCTTCATAAGGTTTACCTGGGCTCGTTTCAAAAATTAAACGAACTATAGTGAACTTTGTAAAACCTAAGTGTTCCGGTATGTTTTGTCGTTTTCTGATCATCAAATTGGCTTTGTTCAAATTTAGCTTTGGTTACTTCACTGTGAGTCAAAAAAAAGGCAACGAGCTTAATAAAGCCCTGAAAACAAGAAAGTTTTATTCTTCTGTTGATAACCAGAATCTCTGAGATTCTGGAGGATAATGAATGGGAGCCGGAAACGCCTCCGCCAGACGTTCAGACATTTAACAGAGTTAATTTTTCGACTGGTTCGTTTTAATAAGTTTAATGTCTATAACTCCCAGATAACAAAAAAATAGGGAATTTCAGAAAACTGGTTTAAATTCAAGTCTAGTAAAATCAGTGAATCTTAATTTCAAACAGTCGATTGTTGGCACATGTAGTTTAAACCGCAGCGTGTGGTGGAAGAAAAAAAAACGACGTGACTCGTACAGGACGCTCTTTTTTTTCGCTCCTTCGCTTGCCTGCCACTTCTCTCTGGTCACTTTTTCGCTTTATTTTTGATTTTTGCCTTTAGGAATTGTTCTTTTTTTTGCTTTTTAATCGATAATTAGTTTACACGGAATAATAGCTATATTTTTGTCCTGATAACGTTTTTGTGAAAGACCTGTTCAATAAATTTCTCATTTTTGGCAACAGTCCAGGCTTCAGCAACTCCATTTCACTGGGAAATTATTTTTTTATAAATCTTTTTTTCTCGAATATTTTTTTATGAGATCTACACCATCAGGTGCAGTTGCTGCAATAAATCAATGACGCCACAAGAGCTTCGTTTTTTTTTGAGCCTACAAATCAAACTTAAAGCCCAGGGACTTCAACATTTTTTCCAATCTTCGATAATTTGTTAGAGTTTAATTTTTTTGAAAAAAAGAATGTTTTTTTCTTACAAGGAAGCAAAAAAAGCCTAAGAATTATTTTTTTACTCCCGCGCACTGCAAACTAATCAAAAAAAGGTTGAAATTGATAACCTGCTGAGTTACAGACAAAAAGTCAGAAAGCTTTCAAAACGAAGATGAGCGACGAAAAAGATGGACTTCGAATCGAGTTTCGCCGAAAGTTCGGAAGAACCGATGGACTACGAAGAGACCGACAGTGGTAAACTTTTTTTGTATACATTTTTTTGAATCATTTTTTTAATGTTTTTCGCTTCAACGGGAAATGTTTAGAAAAACACTTGATATTGAGCCTTCTCCTGTTTTTTTAGTAGAAAACTTTACGGCTTTTCCCTTGCATTATTGAAAAAGTCAGAGCTTTGTTGATTAATAACCGATTAATCAGAGTTACTTTTTGAAAATATATGTAACCGAAGACAAGCGCACCACTGTGAGAAAATAGACTAAAAATTTCGTTTTTTCAACATTAGTCAACGATTTTATTATTTTTAACTTTTTTTGTTTTTAAAAAATTTCTGAATTTGTCTTTCAGGTAGAGCAAACACTAGTCGACTGCAAAGTTTTTGGGCCGGTGAACTTCGATTTCCGAACAGGTAATTATTTTTGTAAAGGACTATCTAACGAATAAAAAAATTAAATTTTTTTATTGTACTCGGAAACTTGATAAATTAAAGGTTTTTATTCTTTTGTTTGAAGACAACTTTTAAGTTTTTCCTTTCAGGTAGACCGATAATCAATCTTCCGACGAACCGGGAGCAAGTAAACTTTGATTTCAAGACTGGTAAGATTTTGTAAAAGAGCTTTGATATTATAAAAGAAGTCAATATAGTCAATTTTTTCTGGGTTGAAATGCTGAATGTGTAGATTGGCGAGGGTGACGCCTTGCGTGCGCAATGCGGCTCCTTGGCGGGGAGCTCAATCATGGAAAAACTGTGTGAGGGTTTTTTTCTAATTACTATGCGTTCATTTTTCCGATTTAATCTTTTCAAGACTATAAAAAACGTAATTCATTGGAAAACTCAAAAAAAGGCGGCTCGCGTTTTTCCTCGAGCTCCACGCCGAAAAGCCGCGTCGCGTACGCAACGCTTCACCCTTGCAATCTACCCATCGCGCCTTTCAAATCGGGGATGACTGACTACATTTTGTTAGTAAATTTATAATTTTATAAGATGTCAGTAAACTTTTCGGTCAATTGAAAAAAAGCATCTCGGCAAATGTCGTTGGTTTCACCATTATTTCTGATAGGATTGATAATTTACTCAGGTGGATCTAATATTATAAAATCGCAGTCATATTGTTTCCTTCTTTCTTTTGATAACCAACCTAATGAGTATCCTTTATATTTTATAAGTCGAAATTTATTGGTGAGGGCGCCTTTTCGAAGGATAATGGTGATTTTTGTAACTTGAAAAAAATATCTAACTTATCGCAATATTAAAAAAAATAGCGTTTTTTTCTGTCAGATAAGACATGTTTTTCACTCATCAAAAAGCGTGCAAACAGCAGAAAAAAATTCGAAAAAAAATCGTATTTGATCAAAAAAAGCTGATCTAGCAAAAAAACAATTTATATACTACTTGTAGTGTAACGATAACTTGAATTTGTCTTTCAGGAAGAGAGATAACAAATCGCGAAAGTTCAAGGCCGGCGGTTCATAACTCTCGCACCGGTGAGTGTTTTATTAGACTTTTTCACACCTCGAAAAGCTTTTTTGATAAGTATATACTCGAAAACACGGAACAGGAAAAATGAGAAGACCTCCAAAATTCCAACAACTCCTTTTTTATCAACCTCATTGCAAATGCACATTGAATTTGAGTGGTTATCAAAGTCCTGTTATTTATTAATTTTTTGAGGAGAATACGCAAGTTGTGAATGTCTCTCAAAAAAACAAAAAAAGTTATTGGTTTTTCTGATAAAAAAATTATTTAATCAATTTTTCTTTGAATTAATTTTTTTGAAAAATAAACCCCGTAAATGGTTCAGAAGGTGAAGTTTCAAAAATCGAATAATTATATGCTTCCACTATGATCTGAGTTAACTTACAGAACAACGTATAGATTTTTAAAAAAATGAGAAAAAAATTATGAAAAACAAGTCGATTGGACAAAAATTTAAGTGAAAAAAAGTATCGAATTTACGCCTTTTCAGGGTATTTTTTTCTCAAGTAACATTTTTTTCAGATGCAACTACAGGGAGATACCACAACAGAAATAATGGGCCGAATTACGATTCCCAACAGGGTAAGCCAAATAGCTTCTTTTTGAATAATTATTAAGTGACTTTTTTTGGTAAGATAAAAAAAGATAGAGATGGAGACCTTTCACAATTGCGCTATGACTTTGCCCAGTAAAAAAAGTCTAACAACATTTTTTTATTAGAAAAAAATGAAATTTGAGTTTCGAACAACTATTGAAAAAAATTATTTTTTTAGGAAAAAAATTGATTTCTAGAAAACTTTTAGAAAAAAATGATCAAAAAGTCTTCAGGTAGAGCAAGAGTCGATCCTGCTTCGCGAGAAAACTGGAATCCGCAGGAAGAAAGTAGAGAAAGACACTCTCAGAACACGACGGAAAGACGTTTCCCTGGTGATTTTTTGAAAGTTTTCAGAAATATATGAAATTTCTCGCAACTGAAGACTGTAAACAGCTTCAAACTGACCAGTGACTTATTTCTTTTGAGAGGTTTTTCAGACTTTTTTTCCTAAAGAGTTCATAAGTCATCAAATAAGTGTATTAGTAATCAGCTTTCTCATTTTCAGCTCGCAGAAGGGTTGAAGGAAGCGAAACCAGAATTCCCCTCAGACATACTCGCCCCTACATTCCGCAAATTTTTCGGAGGTGATCTTTTTCAATCTCAGAAAGTTTTTGGTTTCTAACCTCCGTGTGAGTAATCAAAAACAAAACGTAGCCAAAAAATTTCAACATTCCTTTTATATACTGATACTCCTTGCAATGAAACTTATTCGAAAAATCATTTTTTGTTCAATTTTCTCAGACCTGACCGAGTTACTAATTTTTTTTAGGTGGTATTTCTGCTCAAAGGAACCTTGGCAGGAGAGAGGATCCGCACAGACGTCCTCAAATGGGCGTGACTGTGACGGACAGGCGTATTCATGGTGATTTTTATTTCGAATTTTTCAAAGAATATGAGCAGTTTTTCGCTACTAAAGACAGTCTGAGAGGCTTCAAACGGATCAGAACCTTCAACCTTTTGAGCTGGTTTTTTTCAGCGATTTGTTTTTTTGGAAGATGAAACTTGTTGAGTTATTGAAAACTTTAAAATTTATTTAAAATATCTGAAAAATTTTTTTTAACAAAGTTTGCTTTTCGAGGGTAAGTGGCTACAAGTTTTCATTTTTCTTTAAATTCCGAATTCCGTTCATTCAATGAACTTCTTATTTTCAGCTCGCTATGGCTCTGACAGAAGCGAAACAAGAATCCCCCATAGATACACTGGCCCTTACGTTCCGCGAAGTTATGGAGGTGGTTATTTTTTTAACATTATCAGAAAGTTTTTGGTTGATAACTTAAGTGTAAGTATTGGAAACGCAAAAAATTCTTTTTTTCAATGTTCTTTGCCACGAAACTTTCGTAAGATCATTCCGAGTTCTTCCGAGTAACAGAATCTTTTTCAGAGAGAACCTCTTCTCATAGGGTCTCGAACAGTACGGGGAGAGAAGAAAGGGAAGAAAGAAGGAATGAAGAAAGAAGACGTCCTCAAGATGGCCGAAACGGGACGGAAAGACGTTTGCAAGGTGATTTTTTGACAAATTTTCTTTTTGATAAATACAGCAAAAACTAACTCAAACTCCACCCATCGCCGAATCATTATTACAGTTTTCATTTTTCAGCCAGAGTTCTTCAGAGTTCGTTTTATTTTATATTTTTTCAGTTTGATTGGATAGTAGGATTTATTTTCAGATCGAAACCATGATGGAAGAGACAGCTCCAGAAACCCGAATTCAGGCCGTTATACACACGAAAACCACAATAGGACCACAAGCTATGGAGGTACACTTTTTGTGTTTTATTGCAGAGATCAAAGGGTTATGCATTTATCTTTCATACTCAGTCCTTCAAAAATCCAGTGTTTGACTGAAGAAAAAAACACTTTGTCGCGTCTTCGATTAAAGTTTGTGATATTTTTCGGATCGAAAAAACAAATCCTTTTTTTTGTGACTCAGCTTATTCTGCCTCTTTTCAGCACAAAACGAACCTCCGAGATACAACCAGTCGATGTCGCGGAGAAACGATAATGTTTTCAACGCAAATGTACCGAAGGACGCCAATTCAGTTAATATCACAATCATGATCAATCCTAAATAGACATTCTTTTTCAACACCAAAAACGCTTCAAAGTTTACCTTTTGCCGGACGGTAGCCCTAAAATCAAAATTTTTTGACCAAATTGGAAAATTATGTCGCTTTTGGGTCTTTCTCTAGCTGAATACAAAACTTTTTTCAAGTTTGCAAGAAAAGATCGGTATCGAGCTCGTTTTATTTAATGCTGAAGTATGCTATTCATTGAGGTTTATTCATTATCGGCAAAATCAGTTTGGAACCTCCTTGTTATCCTTCTTTCGTCATAGTTATTATAACATCCTGGTTTGCTAAAGTGTAAATATTTCAAAACCTCTCTTCCAGCTTTTCAGCACAATTAATTTTTCCTTGCTTATTTAGCTCTCCTTGATCATAGTCGAGAAGTATTCCGTTCCACGGAACCTTTCTTAAAGCTCTTTTTCCTGCGTAATTCATTCACCGCCAGTTTATTCATGAAATTTTCATGAAAACCAACGTGTCGCCGTTTATCTTGATTGTTGTTGAGAAGTTTTCTTTCAAACTGTGTCCTCTGAAGCCTTTACTTTCACAGAACCCATTTTCGGCAGTTCATTTCTGAAATGTTTATGTTTATCTCGATTATTGTTGAAATTCTTTTCTCTCCATGTTGCACCTAAACCTTTTATTCTTCGAAGAATCTTGTTACCGCCAATTTACTTGCAAACTTCTCATGAAAACTAACGAAAGCTTTAGTTCATACAAAGAGACTAATTCAGTAGGAGTAGGTTTCTGCCTAAAGACTCATCAAAAAAAATAGAATCAAACATTTTCCTTCACCTGTATCTCTCAGTTTTTTTCTGGAAATCTGATTCTGTTCGAAATTTTTTTAACAACTCTTACGTGTTGACGACTTCTTTGAAAAGTTCCTCTGCTTGTTTCTTTTTCATTTTTGAAAGTTCAAAACGGCCTGAAAGTTTCTCCAAAGCCTTTTGAGAGCCTCTACAAGACAATCATGTTTTTGGCTACATTGAAAAAGCTTCGTTTATAACTCCATTGTGTTTTGTTACTCGCTTCATCGTTTTTCTCGTTGTTACGAAAGGTCTCAATCATATTCTCACTTTGATTTCAATTGTTCAAAAGCTGTACCTATTTGTTTTTATTCTTATAACATGTCATTCTATAAAATATGTTCATCACTTATTTTTTTGTCATTTTCACTGATATTAGTCAGTTCATACCTTTTTCTCAAATGGCCTTCAGAGCTGAAGCGTCTTTCTGTCTTTTATTCAAGTCATTCTTATGATATCGTTCTGTCATTTTTATCGAAGTTATCATTTTTTGCCTTGAACCCGTGAATAAATCATCTCAATCAAAAAGAAGCAAATGTATACTTGTCGGCTGACGGTTCAATGATAAAGTCATTAATATATGAAGAACCGAGAAAAAAAATGATGAAGAATGAGAAATTAAGAAATTGGAAATAGATGTCGTTAAAAATGAACCCGAAGTTCCCGAGACGAAAGGATTTCAAAAATCTGAGAGGCTTCATGAAACTGGCAATCTACATTGAGCAAACTATATGAAAAATGGAAGTTCCGGCAGTTTCAAATAGTCTTCATCAAAGAATACGCAAATTTTTAAGGTGCTAGAAAAATAGCAAAAATGGAGACTGCACTCTTGCCGGCTGCTCGCTTTTTTTCCATCTACAGTACCGTCAAAAAAGATACGAAAAAACGGTCACAACTTTCTTGTAAGGAGTTTCCTGAAAGTTTCTGAAGCTGCGTTTTTTTTCTGTGAACTGAAACTTCAGAAAGGTCACAAAAATAACAGTCATCACAACTTCAGAAAGTTTAGAAATATTGAATCACTTGGGAGAAATTTGTGACCGTTTTTTTCGTATTTTTTCTGACGGTAATGTTTCAGAATTGCAATCAAAGGACCAAAAACTTTTCTAATGTTTTTTATTTCATGGAATACTGTAAAAATGAGCTTGGCAAAAAAATAGATATTGTGCAATTGTACGCTTTATAGGACAAGCTGATGCATGAAGTTTAAAAAAGTTGTTATCAGAATCATGTGCTCGAAGACGCAACAAAAAACTCCAAAAGTCAGGTAACTCGGAAGGGCGAAAGTGAAAAAGTGTGTTTAAAGCTTCTGGAATAATAATATTCTGTAGGGCTCCGCAAATGACTTTAGCGCATTGAATGCGAGGAATTCATGTATCATGTTGTAATTTTTAAAAAAAAATTCGCTTATCATCTCTGAAATCTTTTGCAGAAACCAAAAGCCAATGACAAAACAAATCATCGACACAGGCATCCATTTGGCCATCAGAGCTACACAAAACATTGAACGTTGAAAAGAACGCTTCGTTCATCCGAAAACAAAGTCTGCGCCTAGAAGCTTTTCATAATATCTCGCCTTTCCACCTTCCCTACAGAAATAACCTCAGTATTATAGCGGAGGCGGAGCGATCGGAGTACGGCCAAGAAGTCAAAAAAAAAAAAATGACTTTCCAATTTTTTTTTGCCTTTTATCTTATTGAAAAAATCAAAAGTCTGAAACCTGCAAATGGCTGAAATTTTATCACTCTCATGATACCATTTGAAAAAATCCATTGTGAACACGAAAATGTCTTCGAACGTTTCTACAACATACTCTGGAAAATGTATCAGAGTACCAAAAAAGTTTTCTAAATGTTTTCTATTCTCCATCAAAAGTAAAAATTAGACTAGACAGGCATGCACAGTTTTGATCAGAAACGGCGACTCTCGTTCCAAATGACGCGAAAAGATCCGGCGGAGGCGACTCGAGCGGCAGTGTGCATCGCGCGCAATCGTTCTTCTTTCACAGAACTCTTTGTTCTTTAGTTTTCTTTCACTTTTCTTTCTTGGTTTTAGGCAACAAGTTAGGTATTTCATCAAAAAGCTTTATTTTTTATTATGTTCAAAGTAATTTTTGTCACTATCACTAAATTTATAAGGCAGTTTTTGATTTTCTAATATCACAATTTGAGTTTTGTGTTTATTTCTTCATTTATTTCTTTTTAAGTGATGAGCCACAAACTAATGCAAATACTGTACTAATCCATCATTACTTCCAATGAAAAACTTTTCATTTGAATACAATTCCCATTTAAAAATAGCCTGAATGACGCTCGAGTTTTCCGATTCTAATTCGTTTAAACTTTTATTTTCTGCCCGAAATTGTACCTTTTTTTCAATTGGATTTTTTTTTCCGAATTCTCGGCCATGGACATCAACCGTAACGTGTTTGAATTTGCGGACCTGTGCAAAAACTCAGCTCACAAGGAGAATGACGTGGATGAGATTATGGCGAAGAACGAAGCTCTCAAGCCGATCGGATTGAAGAAAGGTTTTATTTTGAACTTAGCTTCAGTTTTTTGAGAGTATCAAAAAAATAAAAAAATAGAACAAAAAAAAATACTCATTGGGTCATTTGAAGCAAACCCAAAAAAACTATTCTTGCTTTTTTTCTCAAATAAAGAAAATGAGAAGTTTGAAAAAAAGTTATTTAAAGACAAAAGATAAACTGATCTCAGTATTAAGAGGTGGCGCAAAACCTATTCGATCCATCAAGAAACGTACTACACAACTAAAGAACTTTAATAAAGAAATGCGAAAAGTTTGTAGTCCAAAACAACGGCGCGAAAGGAAGCGGCTGCACACGCGTCGTTCACTCTACGGCGAACTGCAGGCCAGCGGCGAATTGCCTCAAAAGAAAAACGGCGGATCAGTACTTTCCTCGTTCTCCACACTGTCTAGGACCGCGCTGGCATGCCAAATTTAACAGAAAACTGCTGACCAGTGCGCAGATTCTCAGCCAGTGTGCAAAGTGAGGAGAGTCTAATCGCTACAAGTTTGCCATTCTCTCTAAACTGATATATGCGCGCTGGTCGGCCGTTTTTCATCTGGGTGAACCTTAATTTTAGAATAGACAGTTTTCTACACACAACAGTTCTAAAAAAACTACAAAAAAAAACAAAAATTCAATGAACCGGTTTTTCTTCTTCAGGACGACTTTACTTTCAGAATACCGATACGTCAAAAACCAGCATGGTCTTGATATGATCAGCAAGATCGAAAAAGTTGTCTAAGCCGACGCTTGAAAACCTCTTTGAGTACAAAGCTAATGAAGGTTTGATTAATTTAAAAAAATTTGGTTGCCCAGAACGGCAAAAGTCAGCAACAGTTAAAGATTCTATTGCTGAGTGAATTCTCAGATTTTCTCTGAAATTTTAGAATTTGATAAATATTAAGCAGATTTTCGCCAATGTAAAATATTTAAAAAAAAATTTGAAATGATTAAGAACTTTTTTGATTACGGCTGATTCGCGTTTTACGTTTATTGCATTTTTGCACTAAAACATGTTATCAAACTGTTTTCCACTTTCGGATTATCGGAAAGGTGAGCAAATATATTTTTCGTTCTCAGCCCATTCTAACTTCTGGATTAGTTGAAAATAATTGAGGCTTTATGTGTAGAAATCGACCACCACGGAACTTCTAAAGAGAATCGCCCGTAAAACCAATTCCAGGATTCGTCTTCGATCCAGCAATACTAAAAGGCTACTTTCAAGGTGGAGCGCGATCGCGCGGACTCTCCATTCACCCGTTTCACAAAAATGATCTAAGAGCTTGCTTTGAGTAAGTTGGACTTCCTTACTGAAAAGCAGTATCATTTAGACTAGAGCAAGCTCAACAGTTGGGAGCGTACCGCAAACTGGAAATCGACTTGGAACACTTGCTGACGAAAATTCCTCACGAGGATATTCAAAACATTCTCCCAATCTCCCTGGTCGCCAAAGATAGACAGTAAGTTTGCAAACAAACTTTTCTATAATAAGACTGAAAAAAGTTCATTATTTTTTTGATAAAAAAAATTCTTAAATTATACTGGGAAATCTGCTTCGAAAAGTCGGATCACTACGAACAGAAATTTTTTTCAGTAATGGCTCGATCGTCGGTTTTGCTGGTTGTCGATTCATGGCGTGCAACTCTGGAAGAGCCCTTATCCTGCATATCAGAGCTCTTGTTGTTCGAAAGGCCCTCTTCCGCAGATCCATTGCTACCTGCCTTCTTCACGCCGTCACCCACATCGCCAAGGAATTTGTGAGTTTTTTTTCGTAATTTGCATTTATATTACCTTCTGTTTACACTCTAAATTGACTCCACCAAATAACAATGAATCCTTGAGAGGTTTTCTTTTTAGACTGTTCACTTTCAAAAATTTTTTTTTTTTCTTTTGTGTAATTCATTCACAGCTTGCAAGTATCTAATTTTTTTGTATTTAGAAACTTTTTTATTTCTAAGCATCAAAAATAGCGACAACAAGAGTTATAAAGTTTCTGAGAAGTAAATGAAAAACAAAAAGAAAAAAAGTCCTATTTTCAGCTACCATATGATTAGTGAAGAAGATTTTTTCAGAGAGTAGAATACTTGGCAGCGGATACGTATGATTGGTCGTCTCCTTCTTACCGCCAGCTCCTTTTCAAGACTGGTTTTGAAGGAGCCTGGGTCCTCACAAATCCTGTAATCTGCGGCAGCCGTTTGTACCTGAGACGTGTATCTAAACCAGTCACATTCACGCCAAGCATGAACTCTTACGCGGCTCAGGCGATTCAGGAGGAGATCAACATTCGCCAAGACTATTATTCGTTCCCGAATGGGAGATTTGTGTTGCCTATCGAAAGACCATGTATTCTCAAGCTTCTTCTGCGCAGAAACTGGCGGACTTCTCATAAATTTATTTGAAGGACGTGTCTTTTAATTTTTTTTAATTTTTGACAGCCCCTAGTTCAATTTCTCGAACGATACCCCATTTTTTCTCATTAATGCTTCCTTTTTTCTATTAATGTACTGCATGTTTTTTTATTATTTTGAAATCCATTGACACATTCAACATTGAAATATATGTAAGAAGTCTCACTCCTTGCAGAGTTTTTTTTAAGAGTTTTTCTCGATTTTCCTCTTGTTCTTGAAATTTCGTAGGCCACAATCGTTTCACCTTGTTCTACCGTTTTATCTTTTCCCGTTCTATCTGTTCCCGTTTTAACATTGCTACCGGTCCCTTTCTCACTTGAAGTTGATCACTTTTTATGCAAAATGGGCTCACGTCCTAACTCTTAACTTCGCTACTGGAAATTAATAAACATTTCTTAATACCTTATTTATTCCACTAGAATAATATGAAGAATGCTGATATATTCTCGGCTGTTACCGACTAAATTTTAAAAAAGTTTCGATTAGTTTCGAGCTCTTTATTCATTCCAACTGAAAAAAACCAATTTTGATTGTGGCTGATTTCTTAGCCATACTTCATCTTTTAATAATCGTGTAATGAACTGAGCGCGGACATTTATTTATTGAGAATTTGAAATTTTTGTGTGAAACTGAAGTCTGGTACTTTATACACATATCTTTTGAAACAAAGGACCGACGACTAATTCTTCCTGTTAACTCAAAAATCATTTAGGTGCCGTTTTTTGCATGAAAAATGTCCTCATTGGCTTTCAACCTAACTTCCTAGCTTGACTATTCAAATAAGGTATTTTCTTCACTCGAAATGGAAGCTCTCTCAATCGGCCGAGGCAATCCTAGAGTGTACACGGCGTCCGTGCCGGAGCCCCACCATCACCGCCGTGCCCGTACCCGCAATACTAGGTGATCTACTTTGGAAAGAACGAGGCGTAGAATCGTAAGACCATGCTTTCAATTCAATCAACTACACGTTTTGACTTCTTTTCGCCAAAGGTCTAGTGCCGCTTAAAAGAGCAATTTTTTCACCGTCTAGTCGATTCCATGTGACAAAACAACCAATAAACATTGATGATTAATAATGATGAAGGAAAAGACGAGCCATTTTCGGTCAATGCAATCCCACAAACCGATTATCAACTGCTCATTTATTCCATAACTCAGCAGATGAACTTCTTCGAAGTCTGAAGTGAGGAAATCTGAAAAAAAGTTGATTGAGGAAATTCATTTGGGAAATAATATTTCGGTTTGAATTGGAAAGCAAAATATTCTAAAAATCAACTGAAATTGATTAAAAAAAAGATTTTAAATGTGTTTTCAAAATTAAAGAATCTAACGTATAAAACTCTTGGCAGTCGTGAAATTAAATTTCATACTGTCTTGACAATTTCGAGAAATTGGCTAAACTTAAAATGAACATGGACTTCACAAAATAAAAGTAAGTGAGTTTTCAAAATTTTATTTTAGCTTTTCCGAAACTATATATACAGAAACTACTCCATAACTTACTGTGTTGGCAAGAATATTTCTTGTCAAATCGATTTACTCGACTCGTAAATCAAGCAATTTGCTTGGAGGCCGGACATGAGAGGATCAAAAACTGTGAGTCTTTGTCCTAATAGGTGCGAAAAGATCCAACTTCGGGGGACGCGACTCGAGCGGCAGTTTGGAGTACGAAGAGTCGTATTTTGCACAAAATGGTTTTTTTGCCAACTCTCTCGTTTACCGTTGCCCATCGCTTTCTTACAAAAACTTTTTAAAACGCATTGAAGATATTTTTTTCTGATTTGATACGTCAGTGGAAATCGTTCCTTCACCCAGTGACAATGTTCCTGGTGTGGACATTGTTTTAATCGGTTTCCACTAGTTTTTTTCTGCAAGCCCCAAGTTTGTTTTTCTTTTTTTTTTTAAATTTTGCTATGTGTCCTCATCAAAGTTTTTTGTCAGAATCAAATGTCACTCTGGTCAGTTCCAATAATCAACACGCATTTATTTTTAATTTTTTGTATTGATTCGAGCTACATTCACTCTTCTTTTGCACCGAGCTCTTTTCAATTCCAGCTGATTCAAAAATTTTCAGGCGACAACATATTTCAATCAATATGGCAATGGAGAAGAGAAAGACTGTCTCAAGAGATCAAGCGAAAAAAGAAAAAGAGCCGACGACTGAACCATCTCAACACATCATCCCAATAGATGAGAATTCAACGGGTGGTTATCGAAGTGAGTTAACAATTTTAACCTGTTTTTCGAGAGCTTTTGACCATTTTTTAGACAAAGCCGACGAGAACTCCGAGCCGAAGCCTGTCGTCTATAAAAATAGGTGGGCGGCACTTGGTCAGTTTTTCTTTTATCTGGCTCCAAAAGTTGAAACTTTTTTAAAGATTTTTTGGCGAACTGTACTCAGGACAACCCGAAAAAGCCGCTCTCCGATTGTTATGGAGGTATCGATCGAAAAGGTTATTTTTCCTCTCCTCTCATCAGAGCAACAAGAAGTGGCGATCAATTTGTTTTTTTACCAGAAGTTGAAAAAAACTTTGACGAAGTTATAAAAAATGGTTTTCAATATCTTTTCCAGATTTGATTGCCTACGAATTGATGATACCTCACGGCCCACCTGATCTCGAGCCGCGGCCAAAAAGACGAGGAATTCTAGCCATGCGGCGTGAGAAAGGTGATATACTTTCGAAATTCTATCAGTTATGATTATTGTTGGCTACAAGCTTTTTTTAAATTTATCGTTTTTTTCTTTAGAAGGCAAAAACTGAGCAAAATTTATGTTAGATTGCCTAGCGTAAAACTTTCCTTACTTGGCCTGGAAAATATTCTTTTCTAATTGTTCTTTAGAGTTTGTATTTCTTGAAAGATTTTGCAGCGTCTATAAAAATTGGGAGCAAAAGGGGAATTGTTCAAGTTTTTCGAAGAGAAAGCAGAGAACGAGTCATTCAGATTATACATATTTTCCCAAAAATTTTGTTAGTAACTTTGAAATTTTCAGAAAAATCGAAGCGTGGTCTTCCTGAAGATTTGCTCTTCAAGAAACCGTATCCACCTGGAGTCCCGGGTAAGATTTGGAATTTTTTTTCAACAAACTTTCAGCGAGTTAAACATTGAAAATTTTTTTGTTTTAAGCTCCACGGAAGACGAACGTCTGGTCAAATAAGGCCTACAGAAGATTGCCACAAAAGTCTCTCTGGAATCCTTACAGTGAGTTTTCCTTGAATTATAACTCGCAAAAAAAAACTTTTTAGTGCCTCCAAGGTCTATGCCTGAAAGACCATTGAAAGGTTTCAAAACGATCGACGACCTTTATTTATGAAAAACCGACTTCTTCATCGAGTAGGCGTGGAACCTTCCCTAACTGCCTTATCCCCTTTGACGCTGATAATTGATTGAAGGAGTTCAATGATTTTCTTGCTATTATATTCAATCACGTTTTATCAATAGTCTCGTTTTTTTTGCTATTCTTAATAGATTTCTAGAATTAATGTTCGAATCTCGCTGTACACACTATCCCTTTGTAACTTGAATAAATATCTAAGTATTGCGATGTGAATATCTTGTTTCGGGGCTTAACTTCGATGGCTGTGCACCTGGTTCAGAGCATCTTACTGAGAATTTTAAGAATATAAAAAAACAAGGGGAAAAGCTTGTTTATAGATTTAGTCTTTTTCAGACCCTTATTTTATTGTCTTCGACTTTTTCTTCATTTTTAAATTCAAAAGTGAACGAACAAAGAGCGGCGGAAGATGATTGATAGATTTCAGCTCAGCCGTCCGGCATGTGGGGAAATTTCAGCGATCATGTTCCACATAACGATAAGAGTTAGTTTTTCGTCTCGATCTGACAAAAACAGAGAAGAAAAATGGCAAGTTGACGTTTTTTGTATCAAACTTCCCTATCATAAATCTTGTATCGCAACAGTGTCTCTCAATTTAGTCATCCATTGTATCCCAACTTTTTGGAGGTCAAGTTGGAGGTTTGGTAGCTTTTTTCATCAACTCTAAGTAACTCTTGAAATTTTCCGAAGGTAGTATTTTCACAGACGCTTGTTGGACTTTCACATATTACAAGTTTCTTCCTCTTTATTTTTGAGTTCAAAAAACATTTTGGTCAGTTTTGAACAGGAAAAAATGAAAATCATCGGCTTTGAAAAATATATCCTCTAAGCAATGTTCTTCAAAAAAAATCGAAACCGCAATGAAGAGCTGTCTTTTTCATGTTCTTTTGCAAACTAGGAAAAATTCTGAAAGATTTGGTGTAATTTTTCCTTTCTCAATCAAAAATATTGAGATTTCGCAGTACTTTTTAATCAAGCAACAAAAAAAAACATTTGGAAGAGTGCAGTGGAAGTTCTTCTGAATAAACACAAAGAAATCGGCCAACTACCACACTTTGATGAAAACCCAGGAACATGCCCTCTGAGTAGTTTTTTTGTTGTATCGAATGCTTGTCTTCATATGTTTCCGGAACACTTTTCCACTCGGATTATATCGAGTTTAACGTTGCGTTCGGGGTTGTCATTGTTTGCATTATCACACCCAGCGAGGATCCACGCGCACCTGACGTTATCTGGAACGAAACAAAATGATACGAAAAAAAGAGCAGCCGACGGAGCCCCGTGAGCGACAGTAGTTACAGCAGTTCTTTGGGTCGCCGCACAGCCGCGACGTTTCCTCTCTTCTCGTGTATGTTTCACTTTACAGCCTCATCAACCCGTGCAGCCGTTTTCCGTTCTTCCATGATCAGTTCGACCTCTTCCATGTTTTATCTTTGTTTTTTATTCTGATGGAGATTGATTTGCCCTCGATCAAAGCCGCGCAGTATTTGCAGTTGGCCAGCGGGATTCAGATATCATTCCAAAACCTTACTTCTTTTGGAACAGAAAAAAGTGTTATTTCGTTATGACAAATGCCATTTTTCAATGATAGTTCTGCAGCCAGAACGCGCTAATCTCCGTGCGCCAGGAAAATAAAAAATATTCTCTTTCTTTATCGATGCGACAGAAATCGAAAAAGCTCATGGGGAAGGAGAGAGGTGAAAATTCCAAACTAAGGGATTACGTTCTTGGTAGATTACTTTAATGTCAAAACGCACGCGGTAAGGAAAACAGTGAAACTGTCCAGAAAAAAAAATCAAAAAGTCAAAAATTCAAAGCAGATCTGCGATTAAGGCATCTATTCGAGCTTAAACTTCACCCCTCTTCAATGATTCTCTCTCGCTCCGAAAAAGTTTTTTGCAGCTTCGGGATTATTTTCAGATTGCACGGCTGCCATGTATCTTGTTGAACGGATAGAAATTCGCGAAATCAGCTAGAGCAGGCGGCAAAGAACTTGATCGAACTTGAATCGGTTTATTCATCCGGAGCTATATTTTGGTTGTAATGAATCTTTCAAATATAAATTTTTATCAGTGGCTTTTTAAAAAGTAGTAGTCAGAAAATCTTGACTCTTTTCCAAACTTGCTAACGTTCAGAATTAACGAGTTGAAATTCAATGTCGCTCATAACCGGATAAGACATACGGTTTCATCACATCTTTTAATAAATCCCTCAAGATTGCTACCGGCTAAAAAGTCTAATGCATTTTCTACTTTCATAAATGACTTTAAGAAAAAGCTTTAGAGTGAAACATTTCGATGATTTTTTTGCTTCGGCTTGCATACAAAATTTGATGAAACAAGTCCATTTCATTTTTTCCCTTTTTCTCCAATATTAGTCACAAATCGTTTCCATTTCAAATCGTCAAACCAAGTGATTGTTCTAAGTGGCCTTTCAACACAATAAAAATCGTTTGCCAGCTCCATTAGTCATTTTGCAATCCTACTTCTCTTTCTCGCTCTTTCTTTCTTTCTTTCTCTGTCTGCAGCTTTTTTTTTGAACTTTCGAATCGAAAACTGTGGCTCTCACAAGTTTTATTATTTGTCGAACGATTTGATCGCTCGGAATCGATCAGCTCTGCATGGGAACATAACGCGTCATGTTCCGTCCGGAACGTTTTCTCCATTCTTAGTGTTCTTTTTCCGATGAAAAAAGCTAAGTTTCAGTTGCTTGCAGCATTTTTTTCAAAATTTTTGCTTTTGCGCCGTCTTATTTGTTTCTAAAAAAATAAAACGGATATGACCGCGTCAAGATCCATTTTTCGATTTTCGATGTTTACACAGCCAACAAAGTTAAAAAAAAATGCTGGAATAATCAGGTCATTCCGTTTGAAAAACTTAAATTTTCGAGGTTTGAAATTTAATATTGAAAGCTTAAAATCCTCGATTGTGGCGTTTCGAACTCAGGCTCCAAGTTCAAAGATCCAGAAGCGCGTTTGGTTCACTATGAATCACGCTATTTTTTTTACAGTTCTTTTTACGAAATCAACTATCGAAAAAAATCGTATTTTCTCGGCTTTCCCAGATTTCTCCTCTTCACAAATAATAATTTATTTGATGACTTGGAAAAAAATATTAGAGCTCACTATCTCCAAACCGGAAAAATTTTTGGCGGTTGGCAGTTGGAAAAAAACTTGATTTCTTGATTTTTAAAAAAAACTTGATTTTTTTAGTAGCTCAAATTTTTTGAGAAAATTTTTCATCCCTCTGAAATTACTTCCCAAGATTTTTTTTTTTTGAAGTTTTTTTCAAAAACAAGAACAAAAAAACTGTTTTTTTGGGCACGAAACCACAGTGCACTTTCCGAAACTTGCAACACTCAGCCCACGCAGACAGAACATTGATCGGTTTACCACAATGCCCAAAAAAGGCTGGCAGTGTTGCGCCGGTGTGTCGCCAGTTTCTACCCATCGATCACTTCAGTTTTTCTTTCCGTGATTTGATTATTTTGCCCTTTCTTCTGTTATCCAGCTAGTTAATCAGTCAATCGGTTCCGCGACGTTTATGGTTTTTTTTTCTTACCGCGATTTATCACGCATGCAATCTATCACAAATCGTCCGCCTTCTACCAGCCGCGGGAGAAACACAAACATTGTTGACATCTACTTTTTGGATGTCTTTCGGCCCTTTTATGTTGCCAGAAAAGATTGGTTCTTTTTCTTTTTATTGATTCTTGAGCAATGTGAAAGAAACGTGAAGAAATTTTAAGTAAGTTTCAAAAATCAGACGAAATAATTCCCCTAAATCCTAGGATTCAAAGTATCTTGCTCTTGAACTTCGTGGCATTTTTTTTCTCGTAGAGGACCCAAAAAAACTCATTTCTAGCACGGAAAAAATTTTCATGAAGACTGGTGTGATAATGACCAAATAAAACTTTCTCTCACGTTCTCTTCATCCTTAATACTTTTTTTTTTGCTTTTTCACATCAGATACTAGTGATATCAGATCATTGGTTCGGATAAATCAGTCCACGGAGGAGTCTGTTTTCGTAACTCGCCCTTTTCGTCAAAAACAATCCTTTCTCATTCTTTCTTTCTTTCAAAGTTTGAGCTCCTCAGCTCTGATTATGAAACAAAGGCGATTGCAAACAAAACGACCAGAAAATTTTTTAAACCAAAGTTTCCACCAGCCCTTTGTTTACTTCGAAAAAATTCAGAGACAACTGTCGCTCATGTTCTCGTTTATCTTGAACTCCTTATTGATTTTTCGAACTCAAACTAAAGCAAAACGTCCCAAAAAGCGTGGTTGATTTGAATCTTACGACGAGGAGAAGCGATTTGCTGGGTTTTGTTTCCCATGGAAGGCGGCCCCACGAAAGAGTGACCTTGTTGCGCGTTTACTTCGTTTCACGCTATCCTTCCACGCGTTTCCTCTGTTTCGTCCAACGCCACGACTGTTTCAGGAATGGCGAGCGCCGTCACTCAGCTCCCGAAATCGAGTGAGTCTATTTCTTGTCAGTAACGATTAATGACGTTTGGAATTGATTGATACTAAACACAGCTAGAAACAGCACGTATTTCGGAAAATATACTCACAAATTGCCTTGAGTGTCTTTCACTATCAAGAAGTCCTTTCAATTGAATTTTTCCGAAACAAAAATGACCATCTGGTATTCTCAATATCAAAAGCTTAACGCGGCTTTCATTAACAATAGTAGACAGTAGTGTCACACTTCGAGAATAAGTCGAGTTTTTCATGATTTTTGGTTGAAATCGAATCCGAAAGTTAATTCCGTAATACTGTAGTACGCAATCAGCTCTTAAAATAATAGAAATTATACGAGGAAAAACTTGCTTAGACCTAAAAATATAAATCATATTGACGATACGAAAAACATTTTTGATTATGCTTAGGATTTTTCACGGCCTTAACCGTTGCAGTGTCGTTTTTTTTCAAAACTTACCTGCGCGCCAAGATTGTGGGAATAACAACTACTCTACTAAGGATAAAATCAAACATTTTTGAGATACTTTTTTTCAGAAGAAGCTTCAGTTATATTCTGACAAAATTTCCTTTTCGTTTTTTGAAATTTCGATTTCGAACTTTTCAAACAAAAAAAACCGCTTCGGCATGTTTCTGAATGATAATGTGTGGAGTTAAAAGTACACTCATTGCATCTGGTTTCACCTCTGAATTTTTCTGAGTTTCTAGGACTTCAGAGACGCTCCTCAAGTCTGTGGTTTGAATGAAATGACATTGAAATGTTACAAAAAATTTCTTGTGTCGACCTTACAAAGCTTTTTTGGCAATGACGTTCTGTCGCACGATTTGTCATGGCTCGCCTTTTGGGGGTCGGACTGAAGCGAATTCTAAATTATTCGAAATTTCTATGCATTTTTCGACGGGAAGCACAAAAAAATGATGAGAACTAGAAAAAAATTAGGCAATAGCTTAAACCAAAACATTGCAAGATGATTCAATTATATCGAACATTTATTTTTCACAAACCTCAAATCAATATCGAAATTATTTTTTCAGTTACAGCCAACGATTCTGAGAATAATATTTTTCTTCATTTTTTTGTTCGAAACTTCAGAGTACACCTACGCACAAAACGGAACAAACAAACGGTTTCCCAAGAAACAATAATTCTTTCAGCGAGTGTAAGAAAGGCTGGGAAACCCTGTGATTTATTGCAAAACCCAAAGCGCAAAAAAAGTTTTTGTTTTCACGCGGAAGTTCTTGTTCAAAATATATGCAACAGAAAAAGTTCATGTTTTCCGAAAGAAAAGGTTGGAAATGTTCAGTAGCAAATGAATGACAGCTGAAATCAACCGATTCTAATTTTTTTTCAAGTTTTCAAGTTTTTGAGATCTTATTTTAAGACCAAAGTGTTTCGAAACAAAATAGTACGAATGTTCTATCCAGTGTCTTAGATTTTTCCATTTCTCTAACATTACAACAAGAAACCTTGTAACTAACAAGGTTCCGAGAAATGTCAGGTTTACCGACAATCAGCTTGGAGATTTTTTTGCCATCAGTTTCTGAACACAACATTTGCCGACCGAAGTGTGTACTCAAATTTCACTTATCCGTTCTTTTTTCCCTTGATAAAGCGGCAAATGTTGACTTTGCGCTAGTGACAAAGCGTTCTGAAACAGAAATGTTCCGTAGAGATAAAATAAATGACAGAAAGCTTGGGCTTGATTGGAGCGGCGTTATATTTGAGTTTCATATCAAAAAAAGATGGATCAGTGGAAAAAAACCTCGAGAATTAATTGAATTTTTTTGATTCAGAAACAAGGGCAAAATCTAACTATAATCCAAAAAAACAAAAACGTAAAACAGTTAAAAAAATGGAGAAAAAAATGAATAAATTTCCAAATGATTATTTCAATAACTATTTAAAATCACCCTTAACGTAATCAAAAAAATATAGTTTATATAACCAATATATCAACAACTCCAAGACGCCTATTTTTCATAATAACATCTTAATGAACCTTTCTCTGAATTTTCAGATTGGGTGAGACTTGAGCTGGAAACAGTTCAAGTTAACCTTGACAACGACACTAGTCTCAACTTTGCCACCGTCCAATCTGTCGTCCCAGGCGCCCACGGACTCTATTACCGCGAGGATGGAGAACGAAAAGCGCTTCCGTGAGTTGAACATTTTTAGACAACAGATTATGGCATTCGTTGTTTATTGGTATTTTATTGTAATTCTGGGAGAAGAAACATTTCTATGCGAATAACTCAGTGGAAGAAAAAAATCAACAGAAGTTTGATGGATCTAGTTTTATTAAATAAGTTTTTTTAAGTTTCAAATCATGAAAAAAAATTTTAAAAAATGCTAGAGGGAGCATTAGGCTCAGACTTGAAACCTATGGGGACCACCTAAACTTTAGCCGCCTAGGGAGCTTTATAGTTTTTTCCTAGCCCCTCTAGACACCATTCTTGCGCTCCTAATTTTCAAAGTTGTGTTAAAATTGGGTAACTTTGTAATGCCCATTTTTAAAAACAACAACTTCCTTTAACAACTGCGAGTAAAAGCCTGCTGTTTGGTTAGGTAAAACTGTTACCGCAGAAACGTGGTGACTCAAAAATCGAAGTCATGGTTCCATTAGTCTTTTCTTTGATACACTTGAACTAGTCAGCACAAAAACTGTTGGTGGCACATACAGTACCTTTAGAAAAGATACGAAGGATCGGAACTTTGATCGTAACTTTCTTATAAGGAATTCAATATTTTAAAAAGTTTCTGAAGCTGCGTTTTTTATGAATTGAAACTGCATCAGAGTTTTGAAAATAACAGTTTTCACAATTCCAAAAAGTTTCAGAAAGATTGAATTTCTTACAAGACGGCACTGTTACCAGAGCATAGCTTTCAGGCTTCAATAGAGTTTTCACAAAAACGCTTACTTGGCTTTTATGGTCATTGAATATCGGGGCTGATTCAAAAGCTCAAAAAAGAAAAGTTTTCAGAATCAGTGTATGGCTCTTAAAATTATCATTTCATAAGTTTTTATTTTAGTTCACAACCTAAAAAAAAACCTGAGAAGCCTGAACTATGAATTTGTTCTATTCTACCCTAGTTGATGCGAAAAAATTCATTTCAAGTTCGTAAAAAAAACTCATAAAAAAACCTCTCTCCAATGTCTTTTAACAATGCGCGGGCGTTAAATAATGTTTTCATTTAGTTCTGTTAAGGTTTTTAGTAAAAGTACAAGTTTTTTTCATCTATTCTGATTGATTTATAACTACAAGCGTTCAGCAATCGACACATTTATCAAAGCATCCAAACAAAGTTTATCAGGGCATTTCGTTTCACTTTCCCTCGTGACAATAATAGCCGCACTTGCTTATCACCACCTGTCGGCCCTCGTTATCACAATTGTCAATGATCAATAACAATTGTTGCAGGTTCGACACGAACACGGGCAAAGTGTTGCCGCCGACGAGCGGCTGGGAAGCGCAGCCCATCTATATTCACCTCGGTTTTTAGTCTTCCTTCACGGCTTTTTTTCGAAACAAACAAACGCAAATGCTTTTTATCAGCTCGTAAAACGGCGCATTTAATTCCCTTTTTTGCAGCGCATGGTTCGCGTCATGGCGTGCACTTTTCCGACTATTCCAAGGCCAATCAACAATTTGAGAAGAACATCAGCGCTGTTCAGAAACTATTCGGTAGAAACACAAAAAACTGTATGAGACGGAAGGAAAGGATTTTCAGCCATTGCTGGAATGGGAGGACATAGACAGTCCAAGATTGAGAAGCCGAGAGCTAGAAGTCAGTCCAAGAAAGGGCCAAAAAGCGGATACGAAGCTCAGCCGGAGAACGTTCATATCAGCGATGAGGTGAGACTTGAAAAAAAGTCATTGCTTCTAAAAAGAGTAGCGAGCGTTCCAAAAAGACCTTAATTCATGGAGAAAAAAATGCAATTTTTTTATGAAGATCTTGGAAAATGAGAAAAAAAATGAGCGAGAAAAAAATGTTTTGAAAATCTCTCTTTATTAAATGGGGTTTCCAGTGACTCACCAACCACTATGCCTTTGATCAGATGGAAAAAAAGTTCAAATATTTTTTTCTCATTATTGAAAGTAAATTAGAAAAAGGGTTATTTTGAGCAGGAAAAGTTCAATGGCATGCGAAAACCTGAAAATTCGAAAATTGAATGATCCCCATCTTTTCAGAGCGACAACGTAGGCCTGTTGATTGAACAAAAAGACAAGCAGGTCGAGAAGCTCGTTCACAAGAACGCGGAGCTGAAACTGCGGTAGCTCCTTTTTATTTGTATTTTCAATCTACTCATATTTTCAGTCTGAAAGAGACTAGACATGATTTGCAAGAAGCGCTGCAAAAACTGAAAGAGTAGGGAGGCGATTGCAATTCACTTTCTGACAAATTAGTCGTTTTAGATACGAAAACAAAGCGGCGCAGGGCCCGAGGTCGCCCGTCTCTGAAACTGAAAATGTTCAGAAGTATCTTCCAGTGCATCGAAATGAAACTCACAATAAATCAATTCCAGAACTGAGGTCCCCGACAACTCGGAACACGAAGAAACCGTCCGCAACTTGACCCAGAGAATTGAAACTTTGAAGAGAGAAAACGAAGAGAAAAGGTTTTGTTTAAAGAAATAACGCTGTTTTTCAGTTTAATGCATGGCTTCTTTTTGTTCAGATCGCACGACTTTAAGGAAAAAGATGAGGAGATCAAGTTTGCCGCTATGAAATCCAAGTTTATTGAAAATTGAGCATTCAGTAACCTTCACAACGTGATCGAAGACCTTCGCGCTCAGTTGGCCAAGAGCGAGAAGGAAAAGGTCGAAAACCAGAACAAAGTCGGAGAACACGAGGACATGCTCAAGAGCGCCAAGGAGAAGTTGGTTTCAGGGTTTGGCGAGAACTCAAAATTGTCGTTTCAGGGTCGCTTACCTGGAATCTCAACTTTCTCATGACACTCCTGGTAATTTCTCAAAAGCGTTCTAGTGAATAAAATGTGAGTTTTAGTAAACAAGGGCCGCAGTCGTCCGCCTTCCGAATCTCACGACGACACTTCCATCAAAGTCCAGGTTCCCGAAGTCTTGGTTACCCCATTATAAAACATTCTAAAGGTGAGATCACTGGAAACAAAGCTCCAATTGGCTCAAAACTCCATCCGGACTCTCGAGAGCGAGAAGCAGAAGCTTCAGGAACAAAACTGGTTAGCATAATTTTTTTATTATTCACACATTTTAACTATGCTCAGGTATGCCAACGAGCAAATCGGCAAGCTGGAACAGGAAAATGGATATCTCAAGGGAATCACGGATCAGTTGAAGTTTGAACGAGATTTATAACAAAAAGAAAATTTATATTTTGAGGTTGCGTGCTGACAGTTCGTCGTCGGCTCAGATTCTGCAAGAAAAAGACAAGAGGATCTGGGAACTGGCTGAGGAAAAGAGCAAAATGGAATGGCGCATGGGAGAATTGACGCAATGGTGGAGCGACGCCAAATGGAAGTTCGTTTTTAAGAGTCAAAGCTCGTTAACCTGTATTTCCACTGAAAAATAATAACGAACTGCTCCAGGAGCGGTGGGAGAATTTCAAGTTGGAATGAATTAGGTTCAAACCTGATTATTTTACAGAATCGGAGAGCTTGAATCGGCTGTGAACCAACAGCGTTATTTGCTGGACACTGCAAATACCAAAATCCAAAATCTCAACGACAGGTTGGTTGAAAACTCAAAAGAAACAGAAAATATCTCCTAACTCAAACTTTTTGTAGGTTGATAGAGGAGGTGAGGTACGGTTCAAGTTTTTTTTTCCAAATTTTTGTTGGCTTGTTTGATTTTTTCGACTTTTATATCGGAATGTTCTCCTCTTACTTTTTTTTTACTAGAGTTTATTGTCTTTGCGAGTTTTTTTAACCAGATGTTTTTTGGTTTTTGTCTGTCTTCAGTCTGAAACGCTTGAAAAGTCGAATACAAAACTTAATAGGAATTACGGAAACCTCTTTCCATAGTTTTTAAAAAAATAAGATTTTTATTGGATAGACTCCAGTTATTCACAAAAAAAGTGGGTTCGAGGGATAAATACGTCCGAGCAACTTCATAAGTATTAATGGTTGAACCAAAATATGAGACTTCAAAAAGAATTTCTAAAAAAATTCATTGATATTTGAAGGTCCATAATATTGTCTTACCTCTTGTGATTTTGTCTGCTGTGAGTTTTCTTTTTCTTCAAGTTTTCTTTTTTGAACTGATGAAGCTTTTTTGGATTTGTCTTTGAACCAAGTTCGGAACATTAATAACTTCGGTATTTCTCAGCTCAAACAAGTCTTCCGATAAAAACGTCTTCTCCGTGCATCCAGGCTTCCAAGGAAACTGGCAGGTTGGACCGGCTAGGTAAGTGTTTTAAAAATTGAAGTTTTCGAATTAAGAAAATAAATTAGTCGATTAGCAGAAAATAAAAGCGTAAATGAATAAAGTGACGTGAAAGTTAAAAAAGTGTTTTCAATTTGAATCTTAATTATAAATTTGATGCTCTTTGCTTTTTTTAAACAAAAACCTTGGAAGTGATAAAGAGCTGGAAAAGCAAAAAAAAAGTTGATATTCACAAAAAATTTTTGATTTTAGCGCTCCTGGACCGATTTCCTACCAACCGGTTCCGTCTTATGGACTTCCACCTGCGATTCCTTCATTCGTCTCTTATCCTTCCAATTCGCAGCAATTCGGCGTCAACAAAATCAGAATCACTATCGAAGACACTGAAGATGAAGTTTTTCTGACGGTAAAATAACTTCTGAAGGGGAATTCGAAAGAAAAAAAAAAATGATTAAGGGCTCGTTCACGAACTGGCAGTGCGCCTTGCGATGCGAGAAGCAAACCAACGGCAAAAAAGGCGTTTCTGTTGATTTGCCTCGTGGAAGGTCAGTTTTGGAGCTTTGAAAAATGCGACGGTCTTGGAATTTGAAAAAGTTTTTCAAGATTTGCCGCTCAGCAAAAAGCAGGGATAATTTCATTCGAAATGATTCTTTATCGCACTATAGTTAAAACAAAATGTAATTTTTGAAAATCTCGTCAGCTAAAATAAAAAGCTCGTAAAGTTTGACCGTCAAACACTGACATTAGAAAAAAACTTGAAAATTTCATCCGGGCCTTTTTTGAAATATTTACTTGTATTCTCGAAAAAAATAAACTATAAGCAAGACTTTCTTATAATTAAGCACATTTGAAGCATCTAAGAATATATTTGAGACAAAACGAAGCTAAATTAGGGATAATCCTTAAAGTTTAGCAACTGAAATCCAGCCTGCTCAATCCTCATCACCATCAAAATCAGTCTCTTCTTGCAGATACGAGTTCCGGTTCCTCGTGAGCGGGCAGTGGAAGACTTCTGGAGACTACAGCCTCGTGCCCAACGGCCTCGGCGGCATGAACAACGTGCTCAACGTCGATTAACATGACTTGTATATGAAATACTTATCACCGCCAACTCTTCAATGACAATCTTTTTCTATACAGTTAATCATTTTTCTAGCACACGGTGTACGAAAAATCGGTATTTTTCCCATGCCCTATCACAATGTGAGTCCCTGTGACTCAATTTGAAATGTTGAACAATAAATGTAGTGGTATCGTTTTCTGTGCAATTCGAAAAGTGTGAAGAGGATTATCGGCAGAGCGAAAACGACATTTTTGATTGTCGCCCTGCGAGTGTCGGCCTGAAATTGGGCAATTAACATGGTTGATTGCTAAAAAAGAAACAAATACACAATACATTGTTTTGACGAACATTCAAAAAAAAATTCAGAACGCAAAAACATCCAATTGGCATTTTAGTTGATTTCATAAAATATTTTTGAGCTTTTTCACGTATAAAGAAAAACTTCGGTGTGCTGTTTCCAATAGGTTTTTTAATGGATTATTTTTTTCAGGAACCCTTCGAAAAAAACTGTTGTGGACTTTTAAACACTTTTGTCATGTTCAAAGAAGTCTTGGAAGAAGTTTCTCGTTACTTTTGGATAATAACTTTTGAGAAGCTTTTATTTAAAAAAAGTCAATTAGTGATTTATTCAGCCGAATTCCAGAAATCCGTAAATCTTCAGTAGAGTTTAAAAAACCATAACGTCTAAGCGCAAACAATCGAGAAAAAGAAATGAAGCGAATATGACGATGATCCAATCTTATTTTTTCATAATTTTCTTCTTCCGGCCTCAAAAAATTTCTGGAGTTTCAAATCGAGAAATCCAAAAAAAAACACTATTCGTGAACTTTTTTTTCTGTATTGCATGAAAAACGCTCGACAAGTGACGTTCAGAGAGCCCTTTTCAAATGTTAATATAGGGGGCGCAAAGCCCCGCCCCTTCACGCCACCAAAATGACGATTTTTTGTTGCAAAAACGGTTTTGAGGCGTTTATACTAGCTAAAGTCCCACTTTAAAAATTAACTGTTTCTCTTAATCTATGTAATCGACAACGCTCTACAAGACTGAATATTTTTAAAAACTATGTATTTTTTTCAAAAAAATAAGCGAAAAAAAGTAAGATTTAACACGAAAAAAAACTGACAAGTTTCACAAAAATCGTCGCGTTTCAGAAAACCAAGTGAGGAACGCTTCCGAACTTTGAGTTAGTTATACATTAACACTTTCTTTATTTTTTTGAGTGAAAATGATCTACCGACGCGAAAAATATTAAAGCTTGTAAAGTGACACCAAACTTTGAAGCTGAAATGCGAAAAAAATTTCAGCGACAAGGTATACTTTTTTTATTTGATTTAAAAACTCACAGTGTGCTCACAAACAAAAAAATTCAAAAATGAAAAATAATTATTGGGACAGCGAATCAAATTATATTTGAGATTTACCAAAAACCTCCTTTTTTTCGCCTGCCTCGTTGACGAATGAGAGATTAGGATCGCGTCTATACTTTTTGATTATGTTATTAAGCGTTCAAAAACTCTACCAATGAAAAAAATTATGAAACAAATCGATCGACGCGAAAAAAATAACGGCTTTGAAAAACCTCGAAAAAAATAGCAATTTTTGAAATTTCGGAAGATTTCGTGCAAGTGTCCGTAGCAGTGTTTGCGTCAAACACACCGATGCGCCCTTTTAAATGTCGCAGGAGCCGGTTTTCGAGTCAAATTGCACTTTTTTTCCTGTTTTATTTCGAATTAACATTATTTTTTTCATTTTTTTCTTTTTTTCCAAATCGAATGATAATAATTTTTTTCTGAGTAGAGAAAAGAAAAAAATAAGCTGAAAAATTCCTTCTGACCTTTTTTTCTAAGTAGTTTTTTTGATATTTTATCAAAAAAATTCTTATGAGGATTGTACAAAAGATTCATACCAAAAACATGAGGCTCAGTTCGGACAACCTCTCAGAACAGAAAACCGATTTAAAAACGGTCCAGAAACGCGCAAAAACATTTAAAAAGAAAGCGTGCGGCGGCGGGTAAACCGTGAGATTTTGCCTCCAGTTGTACGCCGCGCGCGCTCGTTTTTTGGCCATAACTTTTTTCTTAGTGGAGCTTTTTTCAAAAACTAAACGGATTATGAAAATGGACATTCTCCTCTATCGAACAATGTGAAAAACATATTTTTTGAATCGTTCTGAAGAAATGGCTTGCGGTCCCTATGTTAATATTTATTCTGAACACGGCATTTTTTTCCTTCCAGGAGCGGAAGTTTCTTAATATAAGTTCTTTTTAAACTCTTTTCTTATTCAAATTCCGCTCGTTCACTTGACTCACAAAACAAAATAAGCAGATAATTTTTTTTTTTATTGGAAAAATTCGAAAAAATTCTTTTTTTTTGACGTTCCCACAGGGTCTTCGTAGATATCCATTTTTCGACCGTGAAAAAAATCTTCACTCGCGTGGTCGCTATCATTTCGAGACATCCACCTAGAGCATGATCTCCGGGCTCCGGCACAAGATCCGCTACATTTTGAGCTCTTGAAAACGCAACTCAATGCGCGGACTAACGAGCCAAAAACCGTAAAAAACTGTTTTCAACTCGATCAGCTACAAGTTTGGTTTTTTAGTTCGCTAAAAGCGGCTCTTTGCCTCGTTTTTTCGCGCGTAGTTCCTTCAGACGCGTCTTGGCGAACATTGAATAAAGCAGACATTGTGCTGCAGCACGGAGACCATGCTTCAGGAGAAAGCTTAGAGATGAGAGCAACTACTTCGAGCATAGAGGTTTTACGGAAAGAGGTATTTTCCCTTAGTCTTTGTAACTTAATTTTATTATGGTCTCACTCTCTAGAAAAAAAGGTTACAAACATTTCAATCAAGTTTTTTTCATGACCCTAGCAATCACTTGAGCTTAAAAGATAACAAAAATTATAAATGTGTGAACAAAATTCTGCACAATACTGTAAATGAATTTTTTTCTGATGAAAAAAACAATTTTTTTGATTTTTGTTGCAATCAACCAACATTCGTGTATTTTTTTGAATATCGTAGGAATACTTTTTTTGAGACTTTCTCATGGAAGTTCAAAAATGAGAAAAGAAAAATTCGAATTAGCAACAGCAAAATTGTAAATATTTTTCTTTAGCTGTTTTAAAATTTCCTGTTTAAGCAAGCCTTTGAGTACTTTTTTTGATTGCCGTACTGGCAATTTTCAAGCTTCGAATTCGATCAAATCTGAGAAACTTGCTATTGAGAAAATAGTTGCGCAAAGCTGAAAGTTTTCCAATATTTTTTCTTCATAGTCAAATAAAAAATTTAATTATACATTTTCCTTTTATCCTGAGGAAAAGGAATAGTAGAAGTGCATTTTCAGTTTAGTTAGGACACAAAAAAGAGAGCTTTCTAGATTGTTTACAACAACGTCCATTTTAAATAAAACTGGAAGAATGCCAATAATACTTTTCAGAAGGTAGTTCTTGGACTTATTGAGTGGAAATTAAGCTTAGAGGTGATCTAATCGATGTTTTTTTATTAGTAAATCTTTAGAGAACCTTGAAATAGTCTTTTTTCAGTATAGCATTTAATGTTGCAGCACGTTCCAAAAAACGTTCTCGATTCGTCCTTGATTTCTGCGACCACTCCGTTTATTTTCTAGATAAGATAGGAAATCAAGTCCTTTTGCAAAAAAAAAGAATAACGACTTCGAAGACAATCTTTCTGATAGATTAAAACTATTTTTCTTCAAGTTGTTGAGGTGTGAGTTGTTTGCTCGAGAAAAAAGTGGGGTAATCTGTCAGGTTCTGAACCTTCCATGCCGTTGTAATGCGCTTCTTCCTGACAGCTCGGGAGAAGAAAAACGTTTCAGACTTGGAGATAAAACCTGCTGTTAAACTGATAAAATATCCAGTAAACATGATCACCAGAGCGAACGGCTCTCGCGAAAGTTTGGAGCACCCGAAAGCTAAATTTCCGATCAAAAAATGGTTGAAATTTTTTCTTCTTGACTTCAATCTGAATTGAACCGACGCAATGGATCTTAATGAATCGAACATTGAAGAACAAATTCTTTCAAAAATTACCGTTTTCTTATAAAAATTAAATTTATGAGAACCTTTAAAAATGATCTGTGTGCGGCCAAAGAACAATGTGATTACGTACAATAGGCGTCCTTTTTTGCGGAAAATCTTTTAGTTTCTTTGCATTGGAAATTGGAAAACTCGTAGAAAGATTTTCAAATTTTTGTTTTCACCTTTTATCCTGAATTTTAAAAGCTGTCTTCTTTCAAATTGCGAATTTTTTATACCCTCAAACTTTCTCATGATTCAGAATTTTTGTTTGGATTTTCCCATTCGTGAGGTTTAACTCATAATTATGCTATTAAGATTATTGCTCAAAACTTTTTTTATAATTTCCTTATGAAAGTTAATAGTTTTTTTAGAAACGAATTCAATTTGAAAAAAATTACGCCACTTGTCAGTTTTTCTTTAAAATGTCACGAGCCTCTTCAAAAGCTGCCAAATAGTCATTTCCTGACTCCGTTCTTCGACGAGTTCTTTTTTCCTCAAGAAAAAATACGAGAAAAGTCACGGAGCACACGCACACGACACATGACGGCAGGGACATCTGCCATTCTCGCATGGTGCAAAAACTGTTGAGTTGCCTCCGTCCGCCGCCAGGATTAAGTTTCCAGAGAACTCTTTTCTTTTTTTTTTCTCCGGCGTGTGTAACTTTGCAAAGTAAATGCGAGCCGCCAAAAAGTTGCAAAAAAGCAAGCAAGAAAAAGAGGAAGAAAATGGAGAAAAGTTTTCTCGACGGCTTAGGCTCTGGCAGTCCCTCGAAAAATTGGTGAGAACGTCAAGCGGCCGCGGTTTCGAGATGGCGTACACCAGATGCCCAAATCGATGACGCCTCGGGTGGCTAATGGGATTCAAGATATGTTCCGACCGAGGCCAAGGAGCGGAGGTCGTTCTTGCCAAAACGCCGTTTCATCACACTTCTTCGACCTTTGGCTTTGAGCTTTGAGATCGCCGCTGCTAGAGAACGACAATCAAAACATCGAGATTAATATCATGTCAAACTTCTGGAAAGATGTAAGAAAACATCTGACAGCACATAGAAGAATGAAAAAAAAAGTACTCGAAATTTTTGGGAGAGTACGTTTCTGAACTCTTCGCAAATTGTCAAAAAATAATCGCAGACTTGGCTCTTGACCGTTGATTGGTGTTAGCAGGCTGGAAAAAAATGGCTAATTCTTTATTTATTTTGTGATTAATTTCCCGATAATTTATTGCCTTTAAGCTGCGGCACAAAAACTTGCACCTTTTGAGGCAGCGTTAAGAGAGTTTTTGCTTTCGGATTCCGTGACCCTAAATGCTCTTTGCTATTTTCTTTTTTGCCTACTTAAAATGTTCCCTTATTCTTTTTTTTTCCCAAAAAATGCTATTTTGCTCTCTTTGAAACATAGTTCCAAGAAGAATAAAAAAGAACTTTTCGAAAAAGTTTGTACAAATATTGACAGTGTTTCAAACGATCTTCAAGACATTTTTTGTCTAACCAACGCGGAGGATTATGTTTTGCTGTGGAACGACAGTGTTCAAAAAAATTGGTGCAATTTGTCTACCGTCCCAAAAAAAAATTGAACCAATATTTTTTTCGAATTTTGCCAATTCCGCCAATTGCTTTTTTGGGATTTTTTCAAAAATGGTGACCGTAATTCTCTCCATAACTCAAAAACTACTGATGACGCATGTCAATGAACAATAGACTGCTGAGTGAAGATTATCATTTATAATCTACCAACATGGCATTTTTCCCACTAATCGGTCCCCATTTATTCACGCATTATTTTTTTCTGGAAAAAGCTATCGGAGCCTCATTTATGAGCTATCAAAGCCTGATTTATGAATTTCCTGCTCTTTGCGGAAAAATCAAGGGCGCAAACAAAAAGAAAGGCACTTGCGTCATTGCAATCCTACAGGTATCGGTTACTTCAGAGGAGAAGAAAAAGAAAGGAGAGAAAAGAAAAGAAGAGCACTTAGCGCCGATTCATTGGAACGCTCGAACGGAAGAAAGGAGGAAATTACCTGCGCAAGTTGAGAAATGAAAGATAAGCTGTGAAAGGAAATGGCTTAGCATCAAAAAGCTTCGTGATACTTTCACGCATATTCAACAACTGTTTAGCAGTTTTTTATCTGGACCTTGCAATTTTATACCAACGGATCTTTTGATTCATTTCTCAATTTGGACCAAAGTCTTGGATTGAATACTTTTTCCTAAATCTATAGTATGTTTGTGACGGCTTGATTTTCTCTGCGCTCTCCTTGTTCCTCGGCGACGCTCTCTTTTTAACGGGCTGTTTTTACGTTTCTCTGACCTCGTCCTTGAGGGAACGCAGAGACGCAGGCGCTCAAAAACTTTCAATTCAATATAAGCGGAATATAACAGCTTTCATCAGACAGAATGAACTTGTAAAAACACCTGTCTTGTCTTTTTTTTCAATTTTTTTTATCTTAAAAATAAGAAGTATGACCAAATTCTCACAGAGAAGACAGTGGGATATGCACACGCTCCGTTTTCTTTTAGTCAAAACTTTTCTCAATTTTTTTCAAAAGTTTTTCGAGAAAAAGCGATGTAGTTATTGATATGTGATCGATGTTTTTTCCAATTGTAGTTTAAAAAAATTCTATCAATTTCCCTCACCTGTTTTTTTCCTATGAAGGTAATGTTTTTCAAAAAAACAGCTTCCTTGGCTTCTTCTCCTGAAAAATACAACTTTTTTTCAATTTATTTTTCTTTTTTTATTCATTTTTTTCTCTTTCAAATGGCTGAATAATGTGAGATTCATATCAAAAAGACTGCTAAGAAAAAAATAATAATTTTTTTCTCATTTTTTTGGATTGCATTGTACTTTTCATTTCTAATCACTTTTGGTTCTTTCCTGATTTTGCGTCGTGCCCAACAAAAAATATTCCAAGCTATTCAAACCCTTTTTCTCTGTTTCCGCTTTCCCATGAATACAAAAACGCAACATGTGTCGAACGGGAGAAACTTTTGATTCTGTTCTGGCGATTCGGTTCCCTTTTCTCCGTTCTCCCCGTCAAATGGCAAACAACCCGAACCGGCAGTTGTCGTGGCCCCTCGACCCTGCCATTGGACAGCTCTTCGGTTTTTGTTGTAATGTGCAGAAAAAAGCCTACGAGAAGCGGAAAGAAGAGAAGGAGCCAAGGTGGTAGTGTAACATGGAGCCAAGGAATTAGATCCATATGAGAGAGTTCGAGAAATTCTCTCTGGCTTTCAGTCCCATCATCCTCAACCGATCTCCGCAATTACAACCCGACCAAACTGTTTTCCCCCACTCGAGAGCGTTCGGTGTAAAGTGTTGTTGTCGTGGACATTACGAGTTACGCAAAAGCTATTTTGAGAACAAGTTGTCGGTTGATTTATTTCGAATGACCTACGATTTATCAAAGACGAAGCTTCTTAGATGCATTATCAAAAACGATCAGCAATGTAGCAGTAAGCTCCGACTGTTCGGAATTAAGAATTTTCAAGTTGAGAACCACTTTTAAAATATTTGAATTGATAAAAAATTTTAATATCGTAGATAAGTTCGAATATTACGTTGAAAGCCAATGAAGGTCCGATATTGGAACTGTCAATATGATAAAAAAAAAACTTCGAAAAAACCTTACTTTTGCTACTCACTTGTTCAGATAACTCTGGCAAAGATTATCGAATCTTAGATCATTTATTGGCGCAATATCTCAACAGTGTCAATATTTCGTGAAAAATTTCTGAGAACCTTTCGAAAATAGAAAAAAAACCGTCCTTGGACGATCTAAATAACCTTCCTCCTTGAGCAACTAATGAAAAACTAAACAAAAAAGGCCGATTTATTATATTTACGTCGAAAGTTCAAGGGCACGATCATTGCGCAAGCGCAAACAGGCCAGGAAACCCCTTTCCGCCAAACTGTTTGAAGATGAATTGAAAAGAAAAAGCGGTCTCCTCGAGAAGCGCAAAGCCTTCAGAAAAAAAACGAAACTCCAAGAAGTATTGGGTGTCTTGACAAAAAAGCCAAAATATTCATGTCCGCCTGCTCCAAAAACTTTTCTCTTTTTTCTTTGGAAACAGAGAAAAGGTAAAACTTCGGAAAGTTCTTTCCGATAACAACTTTTAGAGCGGGATATGAGGCATTTCGTGGCTATTAAATGCCATCTGGAAAATTGGATGTGTAAATTTGAACAAAATTACACCAGTTTCAGTGAAGTTGAAGAGGAACCGGTAGAATGATCCAATTTCAGTATAACTAGGAACGTTTTGCTGAAGAAAAACAGCTTTTTTTTTTAAATTTTGAACATAAAAGCTATAACGAACAATCGCCAAAGGCGGTTGTTCGTTATAGCTTTGAAAGTTCTTGTTCACCGCCTAGTCGATTACATCAGACTAAAACAACAAAATAAATGATTTGATTTGATTGATTGATAAATTTCAACCAAGCCGATTCAAAAATCGAAAATCATTGAATCTCTTATTTATTTTTGCACGGTAAATTTATTATAAGTTCGCATTTTACAAACTGTTGCAAAGTGTACAAACCCCTTCAAATGGTCCGTCCAAGAACAGCTTACTCTACTGTTGTACTTTGAAAAAGGCTTATGTTGAAACATATACGTAACAGTGGAAATCTTTAGTCTTGGTGAAACGCCTCGTAATACCTTGAAAATATATGTAAAATGAACTTTTTTCGTTACTGTGCTATAATCCACACCCTGTTTTAAAGAGTTTGATAAGGCAAAACAAGCCAAAAACTAGCTTCTTCAATTTTCACCCCAAACAATCAAATTACCAAAAGACCGCTTCTTTGATCTTTCGTCAACCGCACAAAAATCTCAACCGACTGTCTGTGTCTCTTCGTTTCGAACGGCAACTCATCACCGCTGCACAGAACGAACACATCGATTGACGCGACCGAAACGAGAGCGTCCAAAAATGTAAATATGGGCTAATCGCCTTGTGCTGTCGTCTAGGGAACGGCTCTCAAAAAGAAGTTGAGCGTACCGTTGTCAATATGTATAAAAGTGAGAAGAGTTTTCATGGAATTGTTATTCAGGCCGCGAACCGGAATTTTCGCAGTTGTGAACAATGTTTTCATTCCTTGAATAGGAGGAGCCGTTTTTTTCTAACAAGAGATACAAAAACACTGCCAGGCACGGATGAGATCTTTTTATGAAATTTCCAGCAATTCTGAAAAAAATTTAAAATTCACACCGTTGATGAAGTTAAGAATTTAATTGTGGACATAAAACTTTTTCTCTGAATTTTCAAAATAGTGTTCCTGTCGCTTTCTATGGCTTCAGCGGTAGAGCACTATCCAGCTTGAAAAAAAAATTTTTATGATTTTTCAACCGTAAGAAAAAGATACTTGTGAACTTCGAGATTCTAAAGAATGTTGTAAAATTTCATGCAGAAAATGTTTTAGTGCAGAACCCAACTGCTACGTTTTCTAACATCTAAAAATTTGTTGAGATCAAACTATAAACGAAAGCAAAATGGGAAAAAAGTACTTCTGAAGAATCTTGAAAATATTCGGAGCTCTCTGAAAAGAAGGGCTTTTAAAGCAGAAAATATGCCAATGAAGCTGACAAACTAATCTCCCACCGACCAAGGACTTCATCGCCAAAGAAACCTTTGATGCTCTTTTACTTTCTCCTATTTTTAAACCTTATCAAGCTATTCCTTATCGCCAACCGATAGTTTACCTTGTATATTGATTATCAGCCTTCGAGCGAGAGATAGGAGTATTGTTTTTTGGTCAAACGCGTAAGAGAGTTCCAGAGGGGCGGGGCGAAATGCTGAGGCAGGCATACGCTGCCTCGCTCCACTGCACGCGAGTCGCTCCTGCCGGAATGTCGGTCGCTCCTGAAGTTGTCTCCAAGATTGAGCAAGGCTATGCCAAGCTCCAGGTATGTTTCTTTTCTTATTCATAGGTTCCTACCTTGGGTTTTTGCCCTTTGACTTTCTCTTCTCGTTCAATCGAAGCTTTCCATATGCCTCACCGAGACCCATTCTAGCTCCAAAAGCGGGTAGTATTGACAAGGCGCCTAAGTGGATTTAAAAGACACCCATTGCTATCCAACGCCAACCCTCGTCTATTTTCAGGGTGCTGCTGATTGCCACTCTCTCTTGAAGAAGTACCTCACCAAGGAGGTCGTCGACGAGCTCAAGAACAAGAAGACCAAGCTTGGAGCCACCCTCCAGGACGTCATTCAGTCTGGTTGGTTCTTTTTTCCTCAAAAAAACAGAAGCAAAGAAAAGGAAATGGCGCAGCATTGCTGCAAAATAATGACCATTCTGATCGTTTTTAAACTTTCGAAATGATTTTTGCTGGATTCAGAACAAGAAACTTGGTGGCATGAAAAAAAGTAGAGCACCGGAGAGTTCCAAACTTTCTCCAAATCTCCGAGAGTTCAAATGAAAAAAAATATACACGGTCTTCTTCATTTCAGCTCTGTCCGCTATTTTGCACAACAAAAAATGAGAAAAATAGTGTGAAAAAATAAAAAGATTTATATTATACTGCTTCAAACCTAATGGTCATTGAAAAAACATTTAAAAAAAATTTAATTGAGAGGTGAGACCGTAGAAACTCACTTTCCCCTTCTTAAAGCTCAGAAAACTTCTTTCGTTTCACGTTGATTTATAGCTCTCAATTCAAAGAAAAAAGGCGCTCGCTTTCAAAAAATGATGCAACTGACACTTGTGCGTGACGTCACTACGCCGCAACTTTTCCTTGCCTCCTTGGCTAACATTTCACTCATTGAGTTTGAGTTTCCATCAGATAATACTCCAACCAAGCGCTTTTCCCATAGTAACTCTATACGAACGCTAAAAACCGTGAGAGAAAAACTGATTGATGAGAAGGCGACTTCTGAGAAAATCACTCTGTTCGAATGTTTTCCAGGAACAAGTTATTCAAAATATGAGCAGAAAGATTAGTTGTAGCCGGCGGATGGGAGAAACGATTCTGAAAAATAGCGGTAGCCGATTTGAACGGATATGCGAGAAAAAAGCTAAAACTGCGCAAATAAACCGAAAAAAACAGCTCATCATCCCTAAATCCAACAAAAAAACAACTCGTTCGGTCCTTCATGGAAAAAAGAGCGAGTGTCTAAAAAACAAGGGACTGGAAAATTGTCAAAATACTAGAAACCCGAAGAAAGAACCTAAACTTTTACATGAAAATAGTGTACAACATTTGCTTAATGCTATATTTTCATGGTAGAATATAATTAATTGGCTGGCTTTTGAAGTATTTGTAGAAGATAAATTTTCATTCTACTATTGAAATAAGAACTCAGAATATTTTTCAATGAAAATAATGGATTCTTGGAACAAAGTTGAAACCTGAAACTTTTTACCCAATTTTTTTATGGAGTTCTAATTAGAAATTTTTTTCTCTAATTAGTGCTTTAATTGGAGCGCTCTATTCGAAACTAATCAAAAAAATAGTTGTGGTAAATGTTCAGAAAACTAAAGGTTCCGTAAAATTTTTCCAATCAATCGGGTTGTTTTTGGGGGTTCCCTGATCGAAAACAACTGAGGCTTTTCCCGCTTCAATAATTTTTTGAAACTACGTTCATCCGGACGTCTCACACAAATATTTTCAACCTAAGATATATTAAATTCTTCCTCACACTGCAGTTTAAATAATTCAAGTGTTAAAAAAACACCTGACCAAATGGAGTTTTCCAGGAGTTGCCAACTTGGATTCCGGTGTTGGAGTCTACGCGCCGGACGCTGAGGCCTACACCCTCTTCAAGCCCCTTTTCGACCCCCTGATCCAGGTGAGCCGCGGCCGTATTGCGCAACGCAAGAAATGATGCAAACAGAAGGGTATGCGCAGCGTCGCGTCTCGGTTTTTGTTTTCTCGGCAAGAACGGCGCAGAAAAAACCAACACTCGGACAGTCCAATGACTTGTGATTGATTTATTGCTGATTCTTTTTTTGGTCTTCTGTGTACCAAAAAAAAAGATAGGGGATCACAGGATCCGGATTTAGATTAGATTTTCATCACTGCAAACGAGGAAATTCCGCGACCTTGAGCTAAGAGCTTGACCTCATTTCCGAGTTGAGATCTTACACCAGGAACTTACAATACATGCTGAATATTCCCGCCTGCAAAAGCTGGTTTTTGTGGACAATTGTCTCTGAGAGTCGCGGCCGAGAAATCCAAAGTAATTTGTCTTTCTTGCTGTTCGCTCAATTTGAAGCGTAGCCAAGCCCAACGGCTTGGTAATTACATATGCAATATTCTGCGTTCAGCGTTTGCCGACGAGAACAAAAGGAACCAAAAGGGACTCAAATTTCTGAGATGGAAAATCTCGCACTACCCTTTTATTGAGATAAATAAATCGGCCTGGCAAATAAAATCTTCTCCTCTGGAGTGAGCTCTAAAGTACTTTCTGAAGTCATAACTTCAGGACTACCACAACGGCTTCGCCCCCAACCAGAAGCAGCCCAACACCGACCTCGGAGAGGGCAAGACCAGCCAGCTCGTCGACCTTGACCCCGAAGGAAAGTTCATCAACTCTACTCGCATCCGGTTAGTTTTAACAAAAAACCTCTGGTAAAAATCGAGAATCCATTAGTTCTGCTGATAGAAAAGAAATGAACCCACTACAAAACTTTAGATTGAAGTTTTAATTCAGTGGTGGTTTTAAGCAGGCAGTTTAAAATGAACTCATAGTTTCATCTTCTTAATTAATTACCAGTTAGCAATATATCATCAAAATCTTTCAGTTGCGGACGTTCTCTTGATGGATATCCCTTCAACCCATGCCTCACCGAAGCCAACTACCTCGACATGGAAGGCATGCAAATACTACAAGATGACGTCATTCAATCAACATTACAGGCAAGGTCAAGAAAGTCTTCGAGGGAATCAGCGACTCCGAGCTCGCTGGACACTACTACCCTCTTGATGGCATGACCAAGGAAGTCCAGACCCAGCTCATCAAGGATCACTTCCTCTTCAAGGAGGGAGATCGGTAAGCACAATTAAAACGACAAATGAAAACAACTGAAAATGACTTTGTGCAAAAAGATTGATGCAGTCCGTGATCCTGCTGATTTATTGAATTTTATTGACTACTTGAAAGGTCTGATGGCAAAATGTTCCGTTCACAACAAATAACAAAAATTACACGAAAAAATGCAAAAATTTGATTCTTAGTTTTTTTCACGTGAAAATTTGAGCGAGTTGTTCATCTGAATTTTCTGTCTGAGACAAAATTTCAACATTTTATCTCTTTCCAGATTCCTCCAGGAGGCCAACGCTTGCCGCTACTGGCCCAAGGGACGTGGTATCTTCCACAACAACCAGAAGACCTTCCTCGTCTGGGTCAACGAAGAGGATCACCTCCGTATCATCTCCATGCAGGAGGGCGGAAACGTCGGACAGGTTGAGAAAAAAGAAATTTTAAAATAAAACATTGGTTGGATAGGTTCTCGAGCGCCTGATCAAGGGAGTCAAGACCATCGAGAAGCAGGTTCCTTTCTCGCGCGATGACCGCCTCGGATGGCTCACTTTCTGCCCATCCAACCTCGGTAAGTTGAGAAAATGGATCGAAGTTCGAGAACTCTTTTCTATCAAACTTCTGACAAAAAATGCAATTCTGTTTCAAAAACCGTCATCGAGCTTTCTGACTTCGAAATATCAGGATTGCGCGAGTCGGTTAGAACAATCGACTTTAACTATTTGAAAACAACTGGATATGAATTCCTTTGTTTTAGAGTCAAAAACTTTTACCTCTCCTCATATTTTTGAACTTCTCTTCCCAAGAATGTGCGGGAAACTTTTCTTCGAGCTAATAAAACGAGAAAAAGTTGACGTGGTTTAAAAAGAATGAACGAAAATCCCATAGAATCGAGAAGGACATGAAACTTCTTATTAACCAAACTTTTATGTAGATGATTGCTTTAAACTTCCAGGAACCACCGTCCGCGCGTCGGTCCACATCCGTCTCCCCAAGATCTCGGCCAAGCCTGACTTCAAGTCGATCTGCGATGGTCTTAAGCTCCAGGTACTTACTTTTTTGAATTCGCCTTCTCTACATTGATAACTCCAGATTCGTGGTATCCACGGTGAACACTCTGACTCCGAGGGTGGCGTCTACGACATCTCCAACAAAGCTCGTCTCGGACTCACCGAATTCGAAGCCGTCAAGCAGATGTACGACGGAGTCAAGCACCTCATCGAGCTCGAGAAGAAGGCTTAAACGGTTTTTGCAATTAACATCATGGGAATTACATGTTAGTTATATGTTAGCTTCCCCCAAATCCTCATTTGTCCCGCGTACCATGTTTTATCCACTTTTCACACTTTTCGCTTTTTATGCGTTGTAATAAATAAAGACTCGCCAGATGTTTTTGAACCAAGAAAAAAAGCTAACTGAAGTTCTGTCATTGGATTGTATGGCTTATTATAAAACTTCGACGAAGTTTGAGCTCAGCTTTAAGAAATCACTCAAGTTATGTGGGTTTGAAGAAAAATCAAAAATGTGTTATCCAAATTTGAAGATTCGTAGATTTAGGAGTTCAAGAAGAAGAACACGAAAACAAAACTTTACATTTTTTCTGAAAAAAAATAATAAGATCGTCAGTCGAGTAGTTTTCTGAAATTCTTGCCTGATTGCCATTACCTTTTTTTTCGAAAACAGTCGGATTAGTATCTGGTTTCGAAGCTTGCGTATTTTGTATGAAGACACATTTTAGGGTTTTCGCAAATTTTAAGTCTTCTAAGAAGTTCCTTTTGAGCGCGTAATTAATTTGTTTTTTTCATGAAAAAAATGTACATTTTTCGAGAAAAATCAGACGGTTTATAAACAACCAAAAAGCTGCTTTTTGATATTTTTGTCGTCTGGATCACGAGCACCACGTATTATAATTTTTTGGGTAATGTAACAAATGAAAAATTGAATATTTAGTTGAAGGATCGTGTGAGCCAAGATTAATAGCAATTTTCAAAAGTTTTTTCTTCAATTTATACGGCCTGGTTTTGTTTCATATGAAAAGTTTTGATGAGTGGTCAGGGCTCTGTATTGAAAATTTCACTACCTTCGCATTGAGTCAATTGAAAAATTGTAATTTTCTGTTCGTTCGCAAAAGCACAAAACTTCTGAGGCCATTTTAGTCTTTTACGAACCCTCCGTTATCTTATACTTGTGGAAAAAAAAAAGGAAAACTCGGAAATTTTAACTTTTTTTTGCCAACCAAGCTGGCGGTTCCAAAAATGGACCACTTTTAGCTGAGACGGAGTCTCACCCAGAAGGCGCCACGCGGAGGCAGCGATCCGAGCCTTCCTGCTATGATGTTGGTAAAAATAGTGATAGCGACTGTGCAGAGTCGCCGTCCTGTTATAAGGATTTCACTGTCCCGACTTGCACCGGCTTGCGCGTTATCCTATCTTTCTTCACAGAATCGCAGTGTTTGAGAGCATTCGCTTTCTGGATGAGACTCAGTCTCAGCTATAGTGATCCCTTTTTAGAACAGCCATTCTTCGGGCTGGAAAAAAAAATCCCTTGAAGTAAGAAACACGGATAGAAAACACAATTTCAATCATGTTCTCACTGAAAAAGCAAGTCTATAATGTTCAATGAAAAAAAGAGCTTTAGGCTCTTCTTCTTTGAGGTCGCTTGGACTTTGCCTGTGGAGGTAGAAAATGACAAAAAAAAAAGAAAACTCATAACAAGAAAAAGGTGAAAAAAGTTCAGTTTCTTTTTTTCAAATTTCAAAAAAATTGATAATACATCATTTTATACAGATTTTTTTAAAAAGCATAACATTGTATGTTTTAGGCCTTCCAAGGCAAGCAGGGCGGTTCAGTTCAGCGAGTATGAAGGCTAACAGAGTCACCATGGCCTTGGAAGCCCGGCGTTAGAGCCACTGCGAGTTGCGCGCCTTTATGGCCATACCACGGTTCGACGCTCACGGCGCCCCAATGAAGACTTCGGCTTCAACAACCTCGTCAGCCTTCTTGGAAAGCAACTTTGGTTGTACGCGGTTAGTTCTATTTTTTTTTTACTTAAAAACCGTGTGCAATGAGTATATTTTAAGCGCACTCAGACACTCGGACACTTCCAGAAAGCCTGGCTGGCTTACAGGAAAGAAGCCTTTACAAGTTTCAAATGGTTAAATTGATGAAAACTTTCCGGAACGAACCAGAAAACCTCGCTACGCCGTGGGGGATATAGTTCGCGTATCCAAACTACGCAAAACTTTTGATAAAAGATACGAGAACGGTTTCAGCGAAGAACTATTCAAAATTTTCGAAACTGTTCCTTCGAACACTGTCACTTACCGACTCAAAAATCTTCGAAATGAACCAATCGAGGGCAAGTTCTACGAACAAGAGCTGACGCGTTACACCGACTCTTCTGACGTCTACAAGGTGGAGAAAATTTTGGCCGAGCGACGCAAAAATGGAAAATGGCAGTTTCTCGTCTGTTGGTACGTCTGTTCTCCAGAATTCGGCTCTTGGGTGAACATGAGTGAAATAACAAGACACACTACTTATATATATAAATATTTTATCAATCTTTTTATAATCATGAGGTCATAATATCAAATTTTTTTGATAAAGCTCCCTCGAGAAACTATCTCTTATTTCATTTTTTTGGAACGTCTTTTTAATACTGAGTTATCATTGATCAGTTTCTGCTATTTTTAAACTTTCCCATGAGCAAGGTCTGACTTTAGTAAAGGCCAAATAATGATATTCCAAAGTATTATAGTTTTTTTGTATTTGCTCCGGAAACGTGGATGTACAAATTTCTTTGAATTTTCAGGAGAATTTTTCTTAAATTTGTTCACAGGTGTTTTTTTCTCAAAGATTCATAGGAATAATATTAAATTAAATTTCAAGTCCAAATGATATCGATATAACGTTTTTTTAAGAGTATAGAGTTGAATTTGATTCACTTTTTTCTCGATCGTCTTTGAATTTCGTACTAAAAAAACACTTCTGTGACGCTTCGATCAAGATGCTATTAGTCTATCGGAGTGCAGCAAGCAAATAAAGATATTTTTGAGAGTGTTGGATCTTGTCTGTTGAAATTCTGAATCGTCGGTCCTTTTTTTGGCAGCTTTTTTTACGAATACTTTTTTTAAAAGAAAAAAAGACAAACAAAAAAATGTTTCGAAATCATGAGAAACAGAGCGATTCCTCATCAATTTACAGCCAAATAACTTCTTTGCAATAATTTATGCGTACCCTGTAATATGAATGAATCTAATCTTTTTTTCATTTCCCTGGCAAAAAATCGATGTTCACTTTTTCCATTTATGAAAAATTTTCAAAAAACCAAAGTGGTATTGAAAAAAAACTCGATTTCAAATACGACTCGGAGAAAATAAAATTGCTTCAATTGGACGTTTCGAACTAGCTTCAATCACATTCTTTATTTCACTGTAGATTGAATTACATATCTAACTTGATCAGGACATTTTCAACCCAAGATAGTGATGAGTTAATTTATAAACCATCACCGTTTCAAGAACTTATTCGCTTGAGCAATTTGACTTGAATTATTTCGTTTTTCTCGCGTGAAACAATTGATCAACTTCTGAAATTCCTTTTTTTGCTCCCTATTAAAAATTCTAAAAATGCTGAGTTCTCTTCGCGGAAATGAATTATTTTTTGACATTGACGAGCTTCACAAGAAAAAAAAAGTGATAACGCGAATGAGCATCATTTTATCGCCACAAAGCTTAGGAGACTAATCTTCTTATTTCAAATCCATCGAAACATCCGCCGCGCATAAGTCATTCTGCCTAAAACTAGCAACGTAGTTTCGAATTCAAAACGCCTGAAATGATGGAGCTAAAAGCCGAGCGGAAAGGATTTCCATAACATTCTTTTTTTTCAGTCACAATTCATGTTCCAAAGCTTCTATGGTTTCAAATGTTCTCCTGAATAGATTGACAAAAAGCCGGCAGAAAATTGTTGGAGAAAGTACAAAAACATCAACTTTTTCTGGATTACGTAGGCTCAATTTGTAGTAATACTTACACATGATTTCCAATAAAGGAAAAGGTGTGGCGAATTTATTTTAGCAAGTTATCTAATTTCGAATCAGTTCAAACGCTGAATTTAGTTATAGTGATGAGAAATTGAAGTGGTTCAAGATTTTTTTGAAATTTATATAAAACGTCCTGAAGCAATATTGCTTGGGAGTTTTTGAGCAGCCGGAAAGATTAAAAAAACATATTTTTCCTTGCTAATAAAAGAAGTTTTTTTCGAACCGTTTTGTTTTTTTCAGTTTGAAAACAGTGTTCTTTTTTATGTGATCGAAGAAAAAAACAGCTTCTGCGGCGTTTCGAAAAAAATGAAATGAATATATTCCGGCTTTTCCAATTGGCTTTATCAACTTCAGTTAGAAGATTCTATTTTTTTCTAGTTGTTCAATAAGGTCGTTTAAAAAGCCCTCAAAGACAAAAAAAAAACAATTTTTTCGGTAGTAAACTGAGCTTCCGGTTTACTTTTTTTAATATGAAGTGATATGAAATTGAAAAAAAGTTGAACTTTTTTTCTCAAGAGTCAAACTGTGAAAACTTTTTAGTTATTGGTTATATTGCCATTTTTTTGAATTTAGAAAAAAATCAAAAAAATTCAAACTTCGATAGGAGAAGATCGTCTAAGTTTACAATAGTGGGTTTAAGAATGCTTAAAATAAAAAGCACTTTTCCCATTCCCCTGCATTGAGACACTTTCGGAAAGCAGTGAGATAGACAAGTTTCATCATAATTATTTAATTTCATTAACGTTGGTTTGCGAAGTCGAAGCTTTCCAATATTAATCAGGTCGTTGCGGAGGCAATTCCCTATGCTTGCAAAGCGTCACCGAGCTCCGTCGGCGCAATTTTAGCTCCTGCTCCTGCTGAGAGACATTGGCAAAGAGCGCGCGAAAAAAGTGCGGTCGTGCACGCTTTTTTTTCCTACTCTCGAGGACCAACGGCGTCTTCCAAATTGGTTTCCCGCACCTCCCTTCCGTTCCTCTTGTCTTCTAGGTTCAAACTATCCCATCGAAACATTCTGCGCCTTCCGCCTCCTACGTGAGTGATTTTCCACCTTTGTTCCGCGTCTCTTTCAGCTTTTCCTTTCTCTCGTCTCACTGACGTCACATCTTTTGAGTGTGTTTTTTTCTTGCATTATAGCCGATTTGAAAAAGGCCAAACTTTTGACCGATCAAAAAACTGGTTCTTCTTCGATTTTCAGCTTTTTGAGACTTTCAATAGGTCATAAAAGCCGTTTTTGAGTGGAAGTGTGCAAAAAATTGAACACCAATTTCTGCTGTTTTGACGTACATTTGTGCTTTAACTCACATTTTTTTTTAGCATGAACAGCTTTCTATTTTGTTGTTACGCATTTCGAATCAAAACTCAACCTGCAATTTCGGCAAAGAACGGCGAATTTCAATACTTAATTGTTTTTTTGGCTGAATGTATCTTAGAAACCAGCAATTTTCTAGTTATTTCTGAATGAGTCCTGGCAAGAAGCCTGCTGTATGTAAACTCGATGGCTCATGAAGTCCAGAAATTCCGACCGAAAACTCTCTCATCTTCCTTTTTTGAACCCATAATTATAATGAACGACTTTTTTCACGGAAAAACGTCAGATTTACTCTTATTATCAAAATTTGCTCTTATAGCGAATAAAAATAAGTATTACTTTTGAGAAAGACCAAGATCAGATTTTTCGAAAACAAAAAATTTAATCCCCCTACTTTTCGCCGGGATACTGGTAATTTTTGTTTACCTTGGAATTCTGAAGTCCCCCTGCAATTTAAAGGTGAATTTGGCTATATTTCATTACTATAATGACTAGTTTCAACAAATAAACGTCGAGAAACTAATTGTTTAGTTTTTCAAGTTGTTCTGAAAAAAACCTGGCAAAAAAACTAGCTAAATTCAAGTTTTGTTTTTGATCTTTGGATAAACAGGCGTAGTTTCGATCTTTTCTGTAGAACCTAAAAAGTTTTTAAGAGAATTCAATCTTAACTTGAGCTCTCGAAATATTCAAATCTTTTTTTCCTTTTTTTGAATTTTCATGATTCTGCCGATTATAGTATATGATATAAATTATCAATAGGTAAAAACTACTATTTCATGAGGCTTACGTAGCTCATGTATGTTGAAAAAGTCGAGAAACTTCTGTGTTTGGGAGTATTGAAATCGTGGAACTTCTGCGGAGAGAATTTTGAGGGCAGAAAAACTCTACACTTTTGCAGACGATGGCGACTGCGCGCCCGGTCCGCGGCTTCTTAGTTGACATTACCGGCGTCCTGTACAACAGCTGCAGCGGAACCGACGGAATCGTCATCGAGAAGTCAGCTGAAGCCGTAAAAATGTAACTTTTGCTCGATATGTTTTTCAAATGCCTCGCTATTTTCCCAGTAATATGTTTGTTCTTAGGATGTATCAACAGTCAAGAGTGAAGTTTGTGAGCAACGAAAGCTCACACACAACTGTCAATGTTGTTGCTCGTCTTGGTCGCCTCGGAATTCAGTTCAGTTTTTTTTTCTCATATTGACACCTTTCCAACCCGTTTCATTTTTTTCTTGTACTGATGATGGATCATCTCTAAACAAGTTATTTTTCAGTTATATTCAAGTTAATTTCAAAATTTTTCAGAGTCAATGAAGAAGATATAATAACTCCGGCTCCTGTGGCAGTCGAATACATGAAGAAGGAAGGATTTGTGCCTCACGTTTTTGTGCCATCGAGGTTTTCTTTTTTGATAATTTTTGGTTTTGGTGATAATTTAAAAGTCATTTTATTATGAATTATTTTTAAATTATGAATTTTTACAGCACGAGACATAAAAAACCATTTTTTCAATGTCTGAAGCTTCTACAAAACTAATTTTTTTTCTCAAAGCTGAATCCACAGAACTTCCAGATTTTTGATACTATTAGGCGGCAAAAAACAGGACTTGAGTGAGATTTCACAGAAAGGGGGGGGGGGAAATCCCACTTTCCAGCTTTTCCAACCTTTTGCGTTTTTTTACTGTTAGTGAAAAGGAAATTGGATTACTTTCAGGAGTCAAATCGTACTTTGACTGCTTTGCCGACAAAGGGGAGCCCAATTGTGTGCTACTTGGAGAAGCTCAACACGATCTTTCATACGAAAAGCTGAACGACGCGTTTCGAGTTTTAATGAAAATCAAAAACCCGACTCTGATCAGTCTTGGCAACGGGTTAGCTAATTATTTTGTTTTTTTTTTTCTTCAAAATTTGTTATGATAAGGAATGAAAGTTTTATGAGAAAATAAATAGAAGAAGTTTAAAATTTCCATTCACAATCCATCTTTTTTCGAGCCTCACAAAGCTCTTAATTTTGTCAACATGTGGCTCTCGACCATGTGTGCGCACTGTACGATGCGGTAAACACGTGCCTTTCATCATAGTCTCTGTACCTTGGAAGCTCAAATAGTCTCAGAGTTTCCTTGATTTACCTCTAACAAAGACTTCCAAGTCTTTCTTTTTTAGTTTTCATTTACCTTTCAACCTCCTGCTGATTTTTCCAACAAATTCCCAAGATTTGACTTAGTTTTAAAAATGAAAAAGCGATGTCAACGGAAATTTAAAAGCTAGTGACAAAGCAAAAGAAAACTTATTTAAAGGTTACGTTAAAAATGTTTTGCCTACTACATTGGAACTTTTTTTTTAAAAATGTTTTACAGAAAGTTCTACCAACGGACGGACGGTCCTTGCCTGGACGTCGGCGCCTTCGCTCAAGGGCTCATTTTTGCCAGCGGCTGCAAACAAATCATCTTAGGAAAACCCAACGCCAACTATTTTAATATTGCACTTGAAATGATGGGCCTCTCAGCTGAAGAGGTAAATCAGAAAAATCAGAAAAAGGCAAAAAAAAACTTTTGAGGTGGTCATGATTGGCGACGACATCGTTTCGGATGTCGGCGGCGCTCAACTTTGCGGGATTCGCGGCATTCAGGTCCGCACGGGAAAATTCCGGTGAGCACTTCTGCGTTTTTTTTAAATGTTCTCAGAGCTTTCGAAGTGGTTAGGACTAAATTTAAAACTGCAGTAGAGATCTTTATCGGAATGAGTTTTCAAATCCATCTTCCCTTATCTCGACCTTGCGAACAAAATTTTCTTCTTGTGGCAGCATCTTCTTGCGCAAGTTGTGAAACATTGTTGCGCATATGGTTCCGACCATGGGATTCGTGTGAATCTTCGAAGCGGCATTTTCTTTGAGTTTAGACATTGTCCAAACAATCGCGCACTGAGCTCAGCTGGCCATCTTCCAATTTATTTTTGTAGTTCAAAATATCAATGAAAGCTGGAAAAACTGAATCATACTCAGAAAAAAATATAATAAAGAAGAAAAAAATTGTCATTTTTTTAAAATATAAACCTTTTTGGAGCGATATAATTTTTTTGAACAATATTGTTTTTCATTCATCTCAAATTGCCAAATAGTCTACTTTGGAAAAGATATTTGAAATAGTGAAATACTTTTTCGGTTTGGATGTCTCTAATTCAAAAAAAAACTCTTTTTCGAAGAAAATTACCATTTTTTACATTAAAACAAAAGTAAAATACTTTTGATTTGATAGTTTCATTATTAGGAACTTCATTGATGTTTCAAAAAACTCAACGAAACAATTAATAAAAGTTTGTTTTCCACTTTTGAATTTCTATCCTTTTTTCCTGCTCAAAAGTCTATTTCTACTCAGAATGTCACTCCAGAAAAGATTTGAATCTCAAACCGTACACAAATGTAAACAGAAAGCTACACACAAAGAGCACTGCGTAACTCTCCACTTGTTGTCCAGATGTGTTTAGCTGAGGAAGGCAGGCAAATCCCAAAACATCTTTGCAACCTTTTGTTGAACTTTTTCTCACAAAAAGTCAAAACTTTCTTACGGTTCTGTATTTTTTTGAGCCTAACCAAATAATTAGATTTTTTTCAAATTTTTTTGATCAAAAAAACAGACTCTTTCAAGAACAAAATTGAACGACTGTCAAACGTTTATTTTTTTAAAATGAATTAAATGGGATCATAATTTAAGGAGGAAGAGGGGTTTGTTGTCTGCGATTCACCAAAATGGGTTGAAAAAAATCTTTAAAATATCAAAAAAATATAATTTCTAAAAAAATTGCTAGTTATTGAAAAAAAGATAAGTGATTATCTGAGAAAGAAGAAACAGCCTTCCAAGAAGATAGATTTTTTTACAGTTTTTCACGTTTTTTTATCAACTTCTATTGATTTCTTTGCAGTCCGGAATGGGAGAACCACGCAGCTGTGAAGCCGGACTTGATTGCCGACACCCTCTACCACGCCGTCAAGACCATTGCCGACAACGGATTCAATCTCTGACCCTTCAGCAGTTGACTGTCCACCTCGCTTGAATCCGTTGTTTGATTGGTTACTGAAACTGCCTTAGCTTTAAAATTACCCTCTACGGTCCCCTATATATTTCTTATTATTTTTCCATGTCTTATAATACGCGTATGTAATTTTCTCCTTCACTTGAAATCACTTTTTAAGAATATGAAAGTTTATACCACGCATAACAAATTCTGATCTCTTCTTGTAATTGTCGTATGATAACTGTGCCCAGTTTACAAAGTAAAAAGCCCGTTGCTCTTGTTGATGATAAATTGTAGTTAGCCAAGGCGCATTTCGAGCTGGCCGCAAGGAAAAAGACAAAAGGGATAAAAGAGCATTCGGGACGAGTCACGCTGCAGACGCTGTCCTTCTGACGGTGACTCGCTTCTTATTCTAGCAATCACATTCGTCTCGGCCGTTCCCCACATCTGATCTTTATCAGCGACAAGCAAAGGTGAAACGAAAGAAACATTCTTCGCCGTTTCTTGCTGACGCGAAGCTCTTCTTGACATTGATTGTACGAGATGTTCTCGCCTACGTACCGCGAAAACAAAGGTTTGTGCTATGAATCGCGTTGCTCAATCACAATTTTTTCGCGATTTCAATGAAAATTAGCCGCGACGCTCTTGAGAGCAATGCGAATTGAAAAAAAAGTAGAATCATTCACGTCAATTTATTTAGTTGTTTCGAACGCTTTGAAAACGCCGAGAAACTTTCATTTGCTTTAAATGGTAGAATACAAAATTGAAGGTTTTGCAACTCGACTTTCAGACAAAATACGTAAGCGATTTGCTTTTTCTGAGATCTAGCCATTTTTAGCAAAATGCTATCAAAGCGTCGAACAGTGTCTTTTTACGACTCCGTTATTAATATTCTTTTTTCTTGAAAGACGGGAAATGAGCTCGTGAACCTGGATTTAATTGCTAGTTTGGCGAGAAAACGTCCTGAAAAAAGGAGGATTCTCAGGCAATCGATTTGAGTTTGACGGTTTTGGGCGGAAGAGGAGGGTTCTTCTTTGGAAAGTGCAACGCCGTGTCATCTGTGCCTTTGTCTCAGTTAGCCAAAGAACGTTGCACCGAAACGGTTTCGCGCTCCGCCGTTCTGCCTTATTTCAAACTTTTGCTTTTTATTTCCCTTTTTGATTTATTTATTCGGACTTTGAGATCACTTGAATTGGAAAAAATTGTAAAAAAAAAGGACGCGGATTTCCAACGATGACTTCCTTTGTAAGCTTCTAAAAGTAATAGTTTTAATTGCTCATATGATGAGAAAGCACTTCCAATTTGATTCATATTTGTATGTCCGCTTAAAAAGTAGAAATCAAGCTTGGCGAAATGACCGCGCATCAAAAGTTGTGATGCACCTAGATTTTTCAAGCCGTTGTGAGTCAAAATTGACTCCCAAGGCGATTAATTTTCCATACCAGTTGCCTCAATGTCCATCAGATTTCAACTTTAAAACCTTTTTCCTCAAACCTCTGAAAGAACTTCTGATCCGTTTTCCACTGAGTATTTGAATTCAGCTGTTAACGCTCACGATAAAAAGATTTTCTCTTCAGACTTTTTGAATTTCTTCCTCATAAGCGCTAAGTTCTTTGTTTCTCATAGCACGATATTCGAATCGTTTTACTTTTGCCGCTCGTAAAATCGCGCAGTTAAACCGATTCTAATTTCTTACTCTTTTGTAGCGCCGTGCAACGTATAGGCTCCTAACCCTACAAATGCCTTCGGAATTCAAAATGTCAGGTTAGTTTTTAGAATCATACGATTTTTGCGTGATGACTAATTGCTCGAAATTTCCACAGATTCACGATTTATTGATGGATATTTCGGATGACTCATGAGAGTTTTTTAATCAAAATAAAATCCGAAATCGAAATTTTTTGCACTTTTCATTAGAAGCCTATTAAAACAGCAGATATTTTCTGTGCTGCTTCATAAGTGCCGGGTGCAGAAAATAGACTCTTTTTGAAATGTTCTGACTCAACTCTCCAGTTCATAACTTCCGCAGTTGGTCTGATGATGGATTCTGTTTTATCCCTTTTGAGGAACATACGCACGTCGGTACATTGTGGGATACTTTTATTATATCAACGTAAAAAACATAAAAGGCCACCCAGCAACGGGTCTCAAAGCTTTTTCCTTCACACGAGAGTATTCGAGACAAAACGCACACGGAGGGCGTTTTATATCCAACCTCAAGCCGCTTATTTTGCATATCTTTCTAAAAAGCTACATTTTTTCTGGTATCCTTGTGTTATGCCCAATGTTTATACGTCACCTAACTCCAACACCTGGCAACTATAATTTCTGTGCTTTTGTTTATTCAAAATGCCTCGCTAGAAAATGAGTCTCACCTCTCAATTGGTCTTTTTTGCTGTTCCAGGCTAAACTTTTACTCTTCCAAACGTTTTACCAGCTTTAGAAGTTGATGCATGTGTTTGAAAAAAAAGGAGATTAGTAAGAAAGTTCAAATCGTTTGAAACTTGAATTTTTTGATAAGTTGCACTGGGGCTCAATTATAAAACCTAGTGCTAATAGTGACGAGTCTTGTTATTTTTATCAATTTTATTGAAAAGCGCTTATTTTCAACTTTTGAATGAGGTCGTACAAGGTTTCAAAATGAGCTATTTATGAGCATCATTAAATTCATTTTTCCTTGGTTTTTGACTCGAAAAATTTCTTCCGTTCTTTTTATTCATCGCTTTGTGTTAAAAGCTTTTGAAGTTTAGACACCCTGTTTTCAATAAACTTCTAGAATGGAAAAACGAGAATCGGTAGCACAGAATTTATGATTCGTAGCTGAAGTCAACGAATTTTGATAAATCAGGTCAGGTCTTGTCCTAATAAATGAATTCGCTTGAAAAGAAAACTTTTCTCGCAGAGGTGCATTTTATAGTTTAGAAACGCGAACAATAAACAGCCTAATGGCTTCGAAAAAGCAAAATCAAGTGAAGTTAGTTTATTTATTTTTTTACAGTACCCACAATTTTCCTCTATTCGTTCAAATTTTTCTTTCAGATTGTGATATGTCGAAGTCGACGTTCATTTGTCAAATCGAAAACGTTTTGTACGACCCGACTCCTGGAAACGACAACGTTGCCATTGCTGGAAGTGTAGAGGCCGTGGAGAGGTTTAATCCCAAGACAAAAAAATCGGATGGTAAACATCCCAGATTTCAGGCTTCAAAAAAGTTCGAACGTTTATTTTCTCAGCTACAGCTATTTGAAAAATCCGTCCGACCTCGCTGACAAACTCAATTCACTTGGCTTCACGTATGAAATTTTTTTTGAGCTATAAATGAAACAGAGAGAAAATCGTAGTGAAGTATGTTATGTTCAATTTAATTGTAAGTTTGAACTTTTCTTCTATAGTTTTATGAACTTCTTTTGAGTAATATTCATACAATTCATACCTCTGAAAAGTTAGCGATCAAAATATTTAAGTGGTAAACTGATTTTATTTTTTCGATTTTTTACACAAAGCTATGAAGAACTTGAATTTTAGGAACAGTTGCTAAAAATCCTTCAAAATTCCTTATACTGCGGTTATTTTTGTGGTCATTATCCAAAGACGATATTACGGTTTCCTTTTATTTACAAGATGAGAATGTTTCAGAGTGACTACGGAACGCGTCTTCACTTCGGTGACTCTTGCAAAAGCTCTGGTGATGCATCATAGCTCCCGCGCGTTCGTTTCTCTCCCTGAAGGTTTGCGGTCCACACATTTTTTTATAAGTCGAATTTCCTAACATTCTTTTTTTGAGTCTTGCTCCAGATCTTGAGAAGATCAAGAAATTTTTCTTTTTTGAACGTCCAAAATGTTCCAAAAAACAATGCAACATTTGTAGATAAATGCAAAGGTACTAAGTAGCTTGCAATCAAGATTTTTTTTTTTCATTAACTGTTTGAAACCATATCTTTCACAAATTCCAAAAGAAGAAACAGCCAAAAAACAACTTCATATCGCACAATATCAAAAACCGCCAAGGTCATACTTTTTGAATAATTGGAGATCGTTTTTTGAATTGTTCAACGAGTGTGTTCCGTGTTTGTTAGCGCAGTGATTTCACGGATCGCAAATTTTTATGTGGGAGAACCAAGTATTAGTTAGGATGACCAGAAAAAGTTTGAATAGCTACAGAATCTATAAAACTCTGACTGTGTGAAGTGTTTTGAGAGAAAGTTCCATCTCTAATAGACGTTCCAAAATACTTTTTTGATTTAATTGGTTAATCAGTTCCAAATGGAAGGCTGAGGAGGAACTACTCTAAGAAAACATTTTACTTACAAAATCCCAGTTGCATCAAGAATAAAAACAAAGGTGGTATGATAATTAGAAGACTGCTCAAAAAAATATTTGACTTTTTTTCCGTAGAAAGGTTTTGTCAGAAAAATTTTTCTTTTTTATGCACTAATTATTTTTCTACGACTTCGAGGGTTTTTTAACTGTCAGTTCATAAGACCCTCAAATAATCTGAAGCGTTATACCATTTTTTTATCTTTTTTTCCGGGGGTTTCATTAATTTTTTTCTTTACGACTTCGCAATTTATGCCCATAGAGATTTCCTAGATAGCGCAGACTTTTTTTTAAAAAAGTAGCGCTTTCGACTTCTCAAAACGCATTGAAAAAACATCAAAACTAGAAAAAAAATATTTTTTAAACTGTAGCGCTCCATTGACTTTACAGCAATGTTCTTTTTTCTTACAGAAAGTCGTTGGATTTTCACTGACGCCGAAGACCTCGGGGCTCCGATTCGCAATAAACAATCTTTGAACTTCGTAGTCATCGGAATCCCTCCAGAAAGAATGACGATTCAAATTCTCAACTGCGCGACCAACGCTCTTCTCACTCACCCAATGTCCTACCTCATTGTTTTCGATAACAAGTGAGTTTTTTTTTATTACGATCGAAGAGAAAAAATGCAAGATTCGTACTCTATCTATAGCCCTTTTTCTGAGAATTCACTCTTTTTCACAAATAAAAAAACAATCGGAAAATCCGACGAGACTTGAATTTTTAAAGGAAAGTGTGACTCCAGTGATTAATAAATGTGTTGCAGATGAAATTAAAACTCTTTATTTATTTCTTTTCGTGTTTAAATGAACGGGAAACGCTTGTTTTTGTTACAGTTGGAAACTTTATCCCGGATCTCAAGAAATTCATCGAAATGCTCAGAACTGTTATAGATAAATAGTATTCCAGAAACTGACCCTTAAATGAAACTCTCCATTCTTTTTCATTCTTCATTCGGTAAAATATTCGCACAGTGGTAGTATCAAGAAAAGCTTTTTCTGAAACACAAAACAAGATTCAAAAAAAAAAAAATCAAAAAATTGCGCCTTCAATTAGAGGGAAAATTTTCAAATCAACTTTTTATATCTTTTTTGAAACTAGATCTACAGGGTTATCGTCACTGTGGATGGAGAGGAACAACGCGGAATGGGCTGGTACGGCAAGACGATCTCCGCAATGTGCGGCCGTGGAACAATCATTCTCAACGAGAACAGTTCTCTGTGCTTCTATGCTCTGAAGGCGCATCTCCGCTTGGACCCAGATACGGTCAGTTGGATTAAAAGACAAGTTTTCAATACTTCCGAATTTAAAAACTGGGGTTTTCGAAACATTTCTAGAGCTGTTCACTTTCATGCGCTCTAATTCAGAACATCGTCTCTTTTTCTTTTTTTTGCTCCATTGGCTGAGTCGTGATCAACATGATTTTATAATCGACGAAATTTGCTCAACGGTAAAAACGTCGATTTTTTGGTCTAGGAAAAATAATGAGAGAATATATAAAATTTCACAGAAAAGTGCAAAAAAATTACAGTTCCGCCAGAAACGATACGAAAAAAGTTTTTTCAAACGCAAGTTTCTTGTATGAAGTTTAATGTTTTTGGAACTTTTTGGAGCTGTGTTGACTGTTATTTGTAACACTCTGGTGGACTTTCAGATCGCAGAAAAAAAAACGCAGATCAAGAATGTTTCCAAAGTTTTTCCAAACGAGGAAGTCGTAAGAAAACTTTTTTTTTCGTTTCTTATCTCACGGTACTGTAAATCCCATCAACTATAATTCAGTGTTATCTGAGCAGAAACAACAAATCGTATCCCAAAAAAAAAATTCAAGCATTTCCAAAACTGCATAGAAAACTCAACTTTCAGACTTGCTTCGTTGGAACCAAGGAAAAACCAGCTTTGGACAGCCTTCTGAGCGTCGCTCTTATCAGCAACACTTCGTGAGGAACTTTGGTTTCTTTGTGGAAGTAAATTGAGTAATTTCTCGCAGGAAACTTCCGGAGTCGAGCCACTTGATTGTAGAGGAATCGCTGGGCAGCGCTGTTAACCGCATTTTCACCTCACTTGACCGCGTTTAATTATTTGCCATCTATCTCTTTCACCGGTTCTTTGACTGTGTATCTGTAATCATGACAATTGTTATAATATTTTTCTATACTGTTAATAGAATGAATAATCTTCATAGTTGCAGTTTTCGAAAGACTTATTTTTTTTGTTCATGAATCCAGATTCTGGAAAAATGTTTATAACAATGATTGCTGTGGAGTATTATCCTAACTTTTCAAAACTCTAGCGACTTGAAAAAAGGTCAAGTGGAAGTCGAAATTTCTTTTTCAAGGTACATCTGTACGCTACTGATTGATTGGTATATTTGCCGGAATATGTAACAGAAAAGACAAGAACTTTTTGAGTCATCTCGACTCTTCCAGGCAAATAAAAAAAATTTAACGTTTAATCAATAAAGTGGAAAGTAGGGTCTTACGGTCCTTCACCTCGCTTTTCTGCCCTGCCTTTTTTGAGCCTTGACAAGCTCAGAGAGTAACGGAAATTGTTGCTGGAGCCCAAATACCGTGCTCTATTCGGAAGTCGAAAAGAGAACAGAAACTTCGAGTGAAGAACTTCAAATGGAACGTGGCACCAGCTTCTCTTCAAAGATCTATTCGATATTTTATTGTTGGATTGAAGCGATTTGGAAGTGAAAATCAATGATTTATATAAATTACCCGTTTCGGATTTTTAAATTCATAAGCTCAATTGCCTTTTTTTCAAAACCGAGGACTTTATTCAAGAATTAGGAGTTTGGGGTTCAACTTCAAAGTTTTCAAGGGAATCATGAAACCTTTTTTTTCAAAGCTTTTCCCAAGAAGTTTTTTTTTCTCATGAGCTTGGTCTAACTCAAATCTTTGTAACCTAAAATTTGTCGCAAGATAATATTTTTTCAGCCGTTCGTAGTTTGAAATGAAAATCTGAAATCTCACTCGCGAGCAAAGTATCTTTAGCTGCTCTTCTTTATTGTGCTTGAAAGATTTTTTGGTTAGAGTGAAGTGAATTGAAGGTTATATAGTTTTCATTGTAGGTTTTGAAAAGTTTCTCACCGAAAATTTTCGAAAAAATACTTTTGTATCAAAAATGAAACGGATTAAGATCATTATACGAAATCGTATATTTGAATCTTTGTTTATCGACAATTTTCAGATTAACGACAGCCGCGAAGTCATGAGAAGTAATTGACGAACGGTAGATCCCGCATGAAGATTAGCAGGAGGCGAAACCGTCGGACCCAAAAGATTAAACGCCATGTGCAGATGGGTGCCGCATAATTGCCCACGCACCTTGTCTTCACCGTAAACATTCATTTTGTACCCGCAGGTCAAGCGCCTCTTTTCCCGCGGAAAGCTCATTAAAAGCTGATGCGACAGATAAATTAAATTGATCATGGCGAAATTGAAAATTGAGCCGTTTTGACGGTTCTACTTTTCTTTGAACTTAAAATCGTTCCTTATGATTGAAATCTGGGTTCTGTGATATACCATTATTCGATGAAAAATACTTTTTTGAAATTGAAAAATCAAATGGACTCTCAAGATGAAACGCTTTTGAGATTTGGCGATCTTGCGCAGCATTTCAACTAAATCTTGAACAAGAAATTTCATGATTCATAACCTCCTGGTCAATTTAATAAACACAAAACGCTACCTGGTAATAATTAAAAGTATGTTGGAACGAAATTTTTTCAATAAGTTTTGAAAATCTGTCAATAAGATAAATTAAATATTTCAGAAAGTTTCCAACACCTAGAATCGAAATGAGTTGTACTCAACTGCCATTTTTAGTTTTAAACAAAACAGCTTTATGCTAAAAATCCCAAAGAAGGTTGTCCTTTTTTTCCGCTTCAGTACATAGAGAGAACCACTTTAGGAGTAAACCTTAGCTGCTTTTTGAATAAAAATATATAAAACGCCTATTCGTTTTTTGAGACCCCTCAAATGGAAGAGGCAAAGTGCCGGTTGCATGTATCTCTAAATAACTCAGAAAATTGGACTACCGCTTGAAATTCTTCAGTTCTTTTTTTGTTGTTTCTCATAACACATCACTTTGCTTTTCAAAAAAAAAATTCATTCAAGTACATCGTGATCACGTACAAAAACAAATGCAGATGGAAACATACAAGGGGTTGTTTGGTTGATTTCGCAACCGTCAATATTTTCGTTTTGGAACTGGGAAAATGAGGTAACAGAACAATAAAGGGAAGAAATAAATTAGCTGAGATACGAATAATAATAGTAAGCTTCAATTGTCGAGGTGAGTGGCGAAAATAGGAATGTTTTGGGATTTCCAGGTAATACAAAAAATGGATGGAATGTCGCTGGTCTAAGCTGCATGAAATGGAAGTTGAAAGTTTTCTCTCGAGAACACCGTGGCCAAAACAAGGTGAGGAGACGGAGATAAATACAAAAAAGCCGCTGATTCACCGTGTTTTTACCACATCCAGCTGAAGAACACTTATAATGAAACAAAACAAAAAAAACAAAAAGATAATGGCCGAAATACGTTGACTAGATAAAGAAGCCGACAAGACTGAAGGAGAAAAATAAACGAAATATATTGCATTCAAGTGAGATAAACGTGTCCATAAGAGAGTTCAATGAATTCCTAAACCGTAGTACAATTCAAATAAGTAACACACAAAAACAAATCGAGAAATCAAGTGACAAAATAAGTAAGGATAGTTCTAAAAGACTATAAATTGAAATAACTATCTAATAGTTCTTTGAAACATTTTTCTAGATCACGGGTCATATGACAAATGGAGTGCAACATAAATGAGAAGAAACTGAGATGAGTGAGTGAAAATATGAACAAAAAAAAGAAAAAAATGAGAGAAAATGGCTCATTTGGCTGACTTAGATTGAAAAAAATGGCACTTAGGGAGATTGGCGATCAAGTTCGAGGTAGCTCTTGATAAGGCTGAGTTGCTGATTGGCTTCCTCTTTAAACCGGTTCAAGCCGCTGTTCATGCCCGTTTGGAGCTGGACCAGCGTGTAGATCGAGTTCAAGGCGGTCTCCATGTTCTTCTCCAGCCTTGAGATTCGGGTCTCAATTGACGACAAAGCCTGAAAGGAGGTTTTTCTTATTCGATTGAAATCACTTCTTTTTATGTCCAATATTTCGCAACAACTGTGAAAAAAATATCTCAGTTTTTTTCTCAAAAGATCCAACTATTAATTTTGAAAATCTCCGGTAGTTTCGAACAACTCTCAAAAAAATTAGATAATTCAATTTTTTTCTTGTTTAGAACTTTATTCTCCTTAAAAATTCAAAAAAAAGTTTCTCTTCTCAAGTACAATGCTTGAATTAACTTTTTCCTTTTCAAATTTCAATTTTTTGACCTTTCTCCTTTAAAGATCCCTTTTTGCTTACCGTTTCGACTTTTGGGAACGTCTGTTGCTGGGCTTTGAGGTCGCAAATGGCGTTGGCGATTGCACGCAATTCGCCTTGAAGTGCGCCGTCGTCGCTGCCCGAATTTCCATCTGCTTCCTCGGAGATTTTGTCGTCCGAAGAAACGACCGACTCAGGTGGCGGATATCCGTGGTGCAGCGTCATGTGTATCGGCAAATACGAGCCTGCAACCGTCGAAATTAAATAACGTCGGCTTGACATTTAGCATACTGAATGGTAATTGAGCAATCAAATTGATCTTTGTTTCATGCTTTTTCTCAATGAAAACGAAAATTTCTCGGAACTGTGACGCGTAACGTTTCGATAGGGCCAAGGATTTGATAATTTTACATAAAAATTCTTTACATTTTTTTATATGAAATAAAAACAGTGAAACTTAATTTCTACAAAGGGACACAATTTTTTTCTTTAGAGAGTTGAATCAATTCTTTGCGTGGGAAATTTCTCGAAACAAGCCATATCAGAATCCTGAAAAAAATTGTCAATCTTAAAATTCCCAGATTTTTCAAAAAAACTAGTCAGACCATTAAATCGTGGTTTCCGGGATCTCTAGAGCAAAAAAACTCACGAAAACAATTTTTTTAAATATTTCATCATCCATTCGATGACAGATTTCTTAAATTATAATCAAAAAGAAAAGCTCTTTCCCTGTCCCCAACTGATTTCCTCATTCTCCCTGTAGCTCGTGAAATGTGCGGAAACGAGATTTCTGCCGTGACCGTTGCTAGGAATCTGTCGGTTCGCCTGTGCTATTATCTTATTTTCCGTTTTATTGGGTACGGCGAGAGGAGTTTTTGCGTCGTCTCTTGACAGATATATCCTGTGCGGAGCAACTGTTCTCTCGTACAAAACCGATATGATGCCGGCACGCTGTACACCGTGTGGGAGTGTGCTCAAAGAGCTCAACCGCCCTCGAAACCGTTGGCCCCTTTTTCTTCCTCCAAGCATAATAAGCCGATTCATCATTCTCGAAAAAAGTTGACGTGAACGTTACTTTGCTGAGGATTTGGAGACTCGAAATTGCAAAGAGTTCAAGAGTCAACTGATCATTGGTTTTTGTCAAAACGAAGTGATACAATAAATTAAAAAAATATGAATGAAAAACTTAACGGTATTGAAATTGATACCATTTTCAAACTTTTTTTCCTTTCAGGCCTTAAATTCATAGAAAAAAAGTTGTTTCCTGAAGTCCTTTGAAAAAAAATATAGCAAGGTAGTGATGAAAAGCGTTTTTTTGATCGAATTTTTGACAGTTCGACATCCAAAAACTGTCAATTTGAAAGTTTTTATTCAATAACGAAAAATAATTATAAAAAAATTCAAAAAAATTTCAGAAGTTTAGGATATCATCGAACCGGCTTATCCTCAAAGTTGGATAAAAGTTTTTTTGGACTGTTACTTAATTATTTTTTTCTCTTGCCTAGATTGAAAAAAATATTGAATGAGAGTATAAAAATTACCAGAAGTATCCAAAGACTGAAACGTCATTGTGAAGTGTGATTATCAAAAATTTATGACAAAAAAATCTTGAAAATCATCAAACTGAGCTGCTTCGTTTTTTTGTCATTCTAAGGAGTTTGAATAATATTGGAAAAAACACGGATTACTTGATTTTTTCCTTCAATCATCAGGATTGATGAGGAATAAAAGATTCTTGCGAAAATAATCAGCTCATTTCGAACCTTTTCATAAAATGGCCGATTTTCGCCTTTTCCATGAAATCTGTACATGATAAACAAAAAACAATACGTTTCCTGAAAGAACAGCCCTTCTGGGAGTCATGTCCTCCCTAGCGTGCTTGAAAGCTGAGAGGAGCACGATTCGATAGTCCTGACGTTTCCTATCCACTTTCCTCTCCCAGAAGCGCTTCCTTCTCTTTTCAATCCCGTTTCGTTCGAAGTGCACGTCTGCTTGTACTCCATGACTCAGATGGGAAGGAAGGAGATTAGGTGACGATAAATACGCAAGGAATACTGGGATTAGAATAGGGAAAAAACACAGGAACTACAACAGGAAATGGAAACATCAAAAGGAAGACCAAGTTTCGACTACAAACGACTAACTGTGAAAAAATATTTAGCTTTAATCATGTTCAGATTTTTTTTGTTGGTTACTAGTGCATTTTCAATAGACGGGAAGTTTCTTATAAAAAAAAGTTTGAGCTTACAAGCAGTTTCTTTTTGTGTCTTTATGGTTCAAACGGTCAAATTTTGAATTTTCCAAAGAGAACTTTTTTTTGTGAAACCAAAAAAAGATTGGCTTTATACACAGAATTCACTGCTTTGCACTTAAATGGAGTTGATGGAAAGTTGCGGTAAGATTTTTGAACAGAATTTTTCTAGCTTCAAAGTCCGTGAAGGTTGATATTTTACCCTGTTTATTGATGTTTTTTTCGAAGTTTGACACTAACGTTTTCATGAAAAAAATTACAAGTTGAGAAGAAATGGAACTCTCCGTAAGAAAGTCAAGCGTTTAGGTTTTGAAAATCTTCTACCATCCCATAAAAAAGGTTGACAAAAAAATTTTGAGCCTTTTTCCTTTTTTGTGGTTTTCAGAAAATGAGAATCCTTGGTGAGAAGGTACTCCGGATATTGGTCTTTTCTTTTCCTCTCTTCAAGAAATTTCGCTCAAATTAATTTTCTCAGATCCATTGCTACTGTCGACCAGCTTCGGTCCCCTCTTGGCTTGAAGTCGTGGCAAAGTGTGAGCTTTTGGTCGGTCGGCAGCTTGTATCGATCAGAACCGACGTGGACGACGAGGCGACAAGCAAGCGCGTGCAGCCTCCTATTACGGAAAGATATGGTCATGCTGCTGGTGCGGGATTACTCGCGGCTGGCGCGTGAGGGAGCACGCCATGCTCGGAGAGTCCATCGGCGCCAGCGCGTTGGTAATAGTACTCCCGACGGAGCAAGCAGGCAACGGACAGCTGACTGTGTGTGTGCGGCCGGCCTGTGTCTCTGCCTCATTTCGCGCGCCACCGACTATGGCACTGAACTCCCAGGGCAGCCAGATAGATGAACGCGAGTGACACTGTCAGGCTCGTAAATGACGAATTTCGGCCAGACACAATTCCCAGAGGGATGGAATTTTGTAGCGCTAGCCAGCTCTTTGATGTATCGAGGCTTTTGCGGAAAAACTGAGCTCGAGTAAACAAAAAAAAGTTTTCTTGTCTATGGTTGGGAAAGTCAAGCTCCACCATAATCAACGTTGCAAAAATTGAGAGATTATTCAGTAACATAAGGTTCATTAAACTGACTTGTCGAGCTTCACCCGAGTTGAAAAATATCAAAATAATGATTCCAAAAAAGCCCCTGTAAAAGTTCTACCAGAAATTCGGTTTTTTTCCATCTATTGGAAGCCACAAAACCGAAAAATTTCTTGAAAAAAATCGTGATTTTCCAAAAAAGATTAATTTTACGAGCTTATTGTCCTCTGCTAAGATTAACGAAAAGTTCCGATCTCAAATGCCAAGACAGTCCCAAAATTTTCAATTCTCTTTCTGAATAAAGTCACAGCTACCTGTATTTTTGTCTTCGGACAGCTCGAGACTGAATTTCAGAAGTTCGGCGCAGAACAAGTGGTTTTAAATTTTTTTTCCGAGCTTCATCAAAAATTTTTCCCATCCTCTTTGTTTGAAAGTTGACACGTCACTGTACATCATTTAAAAGTTGACACCTAGCAAGCTCCATAACTCATAATCATGTTAATCAACATTCCGCATTCATCCTTTGATGCGATAAATATTTGTCTGCGGGCGGATACGATGTCTCGCGTGCTCGTCAGGAAGCAAACTTGATGAATCGCCGTAAAAGGCATCACGTGGCCATTTTGATTAACTGTGCGAAGAGGATAGGAGAGAAAATATGTTTTTGCTCTTATTCGAAGTGCTCTTGGAACGAACTCTCATCCTTACTAGTTCGAGACGTTAACAGCTTGTTTGTCAGACAATGGGAAGTTTAGTACAAAACTTCAAATGGAGATCTCTCAAGACGATGAGGGTCTTCTATTTCCAAGGTTTACTAAGAAAAAGAGGCTATGATCTGGGGAAAATTTTGGTGAAATAGAGTAAATTGAACGGTGGTTCAAGATCAAAATTTGATTGAAAAAATTTTTTTTTTGATTTTTGAATAATAATGATTATCACTTTGACTGAGTGTCTGAAGATCAGTTCAGCAATAATCTAGCAGATGGTTTTGATACTTTTCCTTCAATTCAACTATAAAGTTCATTCCAGTCATCCAACAGTCAAAAAAAGAAAAGAAACCTCTCATTATTAAATTCACTAAAAAAGATTATTTAAAACAAAAATTCAATGAAACGAAGTTTTCCCGTTTTTGACCATATTCTCATGAAACCGTCTTCTCTCCATCCCAAAAGCTCTCACAAAAGTGAACTGCATCCTGATCATTTTTCCACTGTTGCCACTAATGTACTTGTGCATTTGGCATGTTGATCTTTGTGAACCAGCCGAGCAAACAAACGACGGTGCAATAAGTTCCCGAAAATTAATTATGATGTGGGCTCGAGTCCTTATATTTGCCGAGTTGCGAGCTCTAGCCATAAGAGACTGTGGGCGGTGTGGCCTGAGATGAAATTATTCGGGCGCGCCGCTTCGAGCACCATTCGTCCGTAATTGCAGGCATTGAAAAGCTCTTTGTCGAGAATTGTGCCGAGATTCCACTTAAGAATTCGCTCAAAAGCGTTCAGCCCCCCCACTCTTGTCCTGCCTGCCAAGTTTGCTCGTACACACGACGACGACGGATGGAAGGACGGACGGCTTGGAATTGTAGCGAGTGAGCACATCTTCTGTTGAGGCAATGTGTGTGCTCAAAAGGGGAAGCGGACGCGAAATAGCGTGGCTGACGGCTTCGGAAAAAAAAACGCCGCGGAGTCTGGGGGTAAGAGAAAATCGAAATATTCGCCGACCGACTGTCACTTTCAACTGCGCTGCTCTTCCTTCACTATTGCCTAGCTTGTCTTTCCCAAGAGACGTCTGCTGGTTGTAGATTAGTGGAAAGTCCGGGTGGAAGATCAAATGTTCAGAAGGTTCTTGCTGAGAACCGACTGATCTTATCGATTTATAGACAAGCATCAGTTCCCTAAAACTAAGGCCTACATAGTAGATATTAAAGCAATTGACCTTCGAAAAATTAAGGTTAAAATGTGTTTCTTTAGTTTGAGGCGAATCAAGAATTTGAATCCTCAGCTGTGAGAAAATAATAAAATCGCACCGACAAGCCTATTTGTAAAAAAAGATTTCGATGGAATCAAACTTAAGTTCGACTTTTTGGTACTAAATTAAGCGTAGGCAACTTTCAAACCCGAAAATTTTCAAACTTAAAACTTGGTCATAATAAAACTTATCATGCAATTCAAGGTTCCATAGAGTTCAATTGAATTTTCGTACACGACTGATCTTAACTTTTTAGCTGAGTTATAAAAATATACCTTTTTGCATAATCAAAATAGAAATTTTTGAATCAAGAATTTCATTGATTTTTTTCATTGATTTTTTTCGCAAAAAGTATAGTGATTGGCTCTCTTTGAAGTTTTTTCTTTGAACAGCCTTCAAGCTTATCGAGAATTGAAAAACAAATTTAAAAAAGCGATTATACTTTCTCTAACATCATTCATTCAAAGTTCTAACATTTTCCAAAAACTTTCAGAAAAGCTCAAATCTGTCATAACTTTGGCCAAACCTTTTAATCGGAGTGATGACCTTTCAGTGGAAGTTCATCTCTGAGAAAACACACTTTCGGTCCCTCATTTCTCAAAATTGCCATTTCCACGGCGATTTCTTAGACGCCTGCCGGCCGAGAAATATACAGAGAAAGCTCTGTAGAGTTACGGGCTGTATAAACTATGTGGCTCTGGCCGTTGTACAACGCAACGACGAAATTTGTGACCCGCGCCGACAGGCGGTTCGGCGAGCATCAAAAAAGCACAAAACGGCAGATGGTGCTTAGTTATCCGATACAGTCGCCAGGGAACTGTCAATTTGGAAAAAAAAAGAGAATTTAGCTGACTGAGAATATAAACTGAACGAAAGACTCGAAAGCTAAAAGTGTGCACTTTTTGGAAATGACAAGGGGCGTAATCATTACCTAATTATCGAAAAGCTTCATGCGTGAGCTTCTCAAAAATGCCAATGTTCGGTTTGCAAAAAGCTTTTATAACAATGGTGTTGATGAAAAGAGAGAGTGAGAAGGTGGCAGGAGTTCACATTTCAGAGAAATTGCCAGAAAGAAGTTATTAGCGCAATCAATAGCTCAAAGGAGCGGAGGATTTCGTTTTTTCTTTCTTTTTCTTTCAATTCCAGTTTTATCAGAACCGAAAGAGTCTTTTTTAGTTTAAAACCAAAATTTTTAAGAAATTTCGAAAGTGTGAAAACTTTCCTCGGAAGATATACCTTTTTAGAATAACTATTGTTGGAATTTTTCTGGGTTGTTTTTTTTTCATTTTTGTCGTTCTTAACGAATGAGAACACTAGAAAAGATCTCAGCTTGTTCCCATTTTTCACCAGCCATCAAAACTTCGAGGTACCGACCTAAATCAATTTCTGACCCCATCAATCAACGTTTTCCCTCGGAACGTCTGCAGTTTAAAAAGCAGAGAAAAAGTGCATAAAACCGACTTTTGCGCACGTGTTTCCCACACTCCGGACATTGGGACGCCATGGAGTTCTTGCCACATGTGGGACTGTTCACTTGTGCGATCAGCGCCGCCAAAGACGTCTCGCCGCCCACCTGCAAACGGAACGGCGTATTGGTCGGCTCGACTGTGCCGGCGTGTTGATAAGCCACGCCCACTTACCGTATTTTGTGCAAGAGGGCTTCCATATCCTTGATCGCTGTCAACCTCGCACTTCGGGTTCATCAGGCCTGAAAAAAAGAAAATTAGAAGATTATGGATAGGACTGGACATAAGGTGGACTGTTTCAAAGATTTGAATTTTAAAGTTCATCCAATAACTCCAACGTTTTTGAAATGATCAAACTTATCGCGACTTACTAAACTCCGCTTTTACTATGAATATTGGTGTAGTCAATCTAAAAAGAGACAATCAAAAAAACTCTTCAAAGTTTTGGGATGAATCTAGAGATTAACGCCCGGCTTTAGTTGAAAAAAGAGATACGGGCGGAAATATGAAAAGCATTGACAGCAGTTTTGCAAAGCTTGGATTCTCAGTCTTATTTCGAAAAATATGTCTTTTCCTATTGTTGTTCGTTTGAAATTTTTCTCGAGAGAAGCTGATCAGTAATTTACAAAACGTTATCATAGAAAAAAAAATAGGAAAATCGGGGCTAGAGAGAAACCAATACGAATATCTAAAGGTAGGCAATGTAAGATTACGTGCTGGTTAGTTTTTATTTTTTAAGCATACAATTCAGTCGTTTTATTTTATTGCTTGTTTGTTTGTTTCGTGCAACGCGATTTTTCCGTTTCAAAAAAATGATGTTGGTTTTTTTCTTCTGAGTTTTGATATTTTTTTGAGAAAAGTTACTGGCTGTTTTTCCGCTTTCTTATAAAACATAAACTTTTTCAGTTTATTTGATCCAAAAAACTTTCACCAAAAATCTCCAGTTCAAGACTTTTGATGTACAGTGTCTTTTGCCAGTCTTTGCTGTCAATAAAAACCCGTCTACTTCCAAAACTATCCTGGGAGGTATCAGGAAAGCACTTTATTTGAAGATTAGGAGAACCTACTGAGACAATAAAACGAAATAAACTGGCCGTTGGCGGCAGATAAGCTACAAATTCCGTGATATCTATCCTGATTTGTAGCCCCCGCCTTCGGGCAGGCGATTTGTTCCTTCTCTTCGACCTTGTCTTGGTTCATAAGGTGCCCTGAGGCAGTCCATGTGTTATTGACAATAGTTTTGGCCGTCAAGGTCCCGCGGTCTTAGTTTTTGTTAGTGGTGGTTGACGGAGGCGGCCGACAAACAGTGTGCTTGGTTGGAGAGAGCCAAGGCACATTGGAAATCGATGTGACCCGCAGGCAAGATGTCCTCCCACGATAAGCTCCGACCGAGCTCGAAAACCCAAAATGCCGCGCACAGATGGCAGAACCTGCATATTATGTGCGAGTGTTGCAGCCGCCGGCGGCAGATATGGTTCCGTTTGGCCTCAAAACCAGCAATGTTCTCGACGCACTCACGCCATCCAACTACTCGAGCTCACGAAAGCTCACACCATCACGCATGAGTGCCTAGAACTCGGGTGTCTGGAGCAACAGTTACATGTTTTATGAGCAGCAGCTCTTTCCACAAACTCGAACTGAAGTCTTTTCTCGAAAAGATGTTCTTCTTTGAAAAGTTCACGTTGAGGAAACTTCTGTCAAATATATTTCATTCATCGTTAGCTTGGAACATTATTTAATGAAGTTATTCAAAGTCTTTGAAAAAAGAAGCTTGACTTTTTCTCATATTGACTGAAATTGAACGGCTTCAAAACTATTTTTTTTCAACTTGCAAACTCAAGAAACCGTTGCAATCTAAAAATCTTGTTTTTTTCTTAAAAGCAAATTCTTTGGTTTTTTTCTGAGTCATTCTGGTAGGAAAAATCTTCGGAGAGAAGTTTGAGTTGGTTTGAAAATGTGAGTGTTTGATAAGAACCTCTTTTTATAAGAATCATCAAGCTTTTTTTTGATGAATTTAAAAAAAAAACGTACAATTAATTACCGAATGGCTGTTTAGTTGATATTTGCATTCTTGACTTGAGCTTTAAAAAAAAATGACCACATTTTTGCATTATTCATAAAAGCGAATGAATTTTCGAAAAATCTCGAAGCAAAGAAAAATCAAATTACAACGCTGCATGACGAAATTAATTAGAATAGCACAACAAGTTAAAAAATATTTTCTCAACTTGAGAAGTGAAAAACTTGGAGTTAGATTTTTGGTCGCCTTTTCCGAGCAACTCTTTCATAATATGCACTTTTCTACCACCTGTCATTTTTCAGAATGAAAAACTCGATAAATTACAAGCCTTTCGTAATAAACATTCAAAAAACAGTTCCTCTACGCTTTACGAGCTTTCGCCGACCGGCATCAGGTTTTGAGAAAACACATTTCTTTAACGAGCAAAAGAAAATTTACCATTCTCCGGGCTGACGCTCGTTTCAGGGGATTCTCTCAAATCTATGGAGGTGTTGTAGTCGAGTCCGAGGGATATTAATATTGATCTGAAACAGGAATATAGCCAATTGATCATATTTTTTTGAATGAGATACCGTTCTTGGTCGCCGGATTCTTCTTTGGGGAGGAGGCTTGGAACAGAATGACCATTCGTGGCTATCGTCGTTGCTCCACTAGGCGCAGTGGTTACTGTGAAAATAGTCTTATCTGTGTACTCTATCGTCGCTGTAGTTGGCTCGGCCTGAAAGATTTCTCGGGTTTTTGAAAGATTCGAATCAATTGCGTGTTATTGACTTCGAATAAAATATTCCGAAAATCACTAACCAGTTTCACTGTCAGTTTCTAGTTAGAGAATTTTTAATTGATTCTCAGGCCTTATTTTTCAAAAATGAAGTTAGAATTTAATTCCATTGCCGTCATGGTGAGATTAAAAGGCTACAGAGACGTTTGAATCTGTTTTTTTTTGTCCTTTTTTTTTGAATCAAGGGTAAACTGGAGACAGCTGCAATGAACAATAAAAAAAAGAACAACTGTTGCGGAATATTCGGATAAAAACACACAAAGGCGTCATGTACGCTCCTCTCCGCACACTTCCTGCCTTTAGGCTAAGCGTTCCCAAGTAGCTTCACCTCGTTTTTGATTGCTATTTCCCTTTTTTTCCCTTTCAATGTTGTTTTCCCATTCTTCTGTCGAGGAAAAATTTTGTATTTCCCAAGACGGGAAATCATCTCTTTCCCACAGTAGCGAAAACAAGGCGATGGGGAAGGATTTTTCTCAGGCGAAAAAGGATTTGACCATTACGACGGTAATTTTTCCCATGCCTGTATAATGATGTTTTGAAATTTTGGTCTTTGATCAAAGTTTTGAAGTCTCCAAAAATAATTATTATTAACATTAGGAAAAAATTTTTATTTTGCGATACTTGCTCGAATTTTTCTCAGATCAGCTTCAAAAAGAAAAAAAAACGTTTTTGAAATGCACCCACCTTCTTAACAATAATATCATCCTTCGAAATCGCTTCACTTTGCTCTTTCTTGTGATGTTTTTAATATATGTTTTGTTAAATTCCCTACAAAATCAATAATTATTCAAACCAATTATGTTCGCTGCAAACCTTTTAGTCGACTACTTTTCCCACAAAATTTGCAAACGTAAGGTTTCAAGGCGGTGTGTACGGACCGATGTTCTGCCAAATTGGAACGAAACCGAAATGCCTTCCCACACGTTTCGCATATAAAACTCTGAAAAGGAGTTTTTTATAAATTGAAAATGCCGGAATATGGAGATTGAAAAGCCCCCTTTAATAATCCGTCAGTTTTTTTCATCAATTACTTTTTTTAAAGAAACAAAAAAACATATCATGATAGTTGAAGATTAGAAAAAAATTTTTTTATTCCATGAATGTTTTTCCACAAAAAAATTTGAAATCTTTTTAGTTATCTGAAAAAAAGGACACTTGTAATTCTTGAAAAAAACTTGGGAGGCAGAAAAAGAGAGAAAAAGAATAGACCAGAAACATGCGGAAAACAAGATCGGCTTTCCGAAACAATTTTTTCGGGTTTGCGTTCAAAAAAGATAACAAAAAACTTTCCAAGAAATAAAAAGCTGTCAATCCAAAAAAAAGTTTTTTTTCTCAACTAAAACTCAAAATAACTTGGGTTAAAAGGTGAAAAGTTTTTCGTGCTATTCAGGGAAAACTCAAACTTCAATCTTCCCAAAAGAAGACAAACGGCAAAAATTAATAAGTTGGACAATGAGTGATTCACTACACGTCTAGAGCGTTTATTAGTTTTATTTCGAAGCCGAATTCCCAGCGGCCAAGCATAGGTTCAAGTTTTAATCCAGACGAACTCTTTCATTTCCCATTTTCGAAAATATACCACAAACTGGGAATCAAATGTCAGAAAAAGTGAATTTATTGATAGAAAAAGCGTTTGCAAGCCTTTTTCGAAGTTATAAAAAGAATAAGACGTTGAAACGTGTTTCGGAGTTTTCGTTCTAACTTTTTCCTTCCTAAAAATTATTTTCCGTTCAAAACTTTCAAACTTCTATCGAAAAGCTGAATTTTTGAGTGGAAAGTGATACGTTGTGCAGTGGGACCTGTGCTTTTCAACGCGGACACACGAAAATGCGCGACAGATGGCAAAAGCAATTTAATGTCTGTGTACAGTGCTGCTGCTGCCACGTCGACGTCCACTTTTCCACACGGCACATTTGCATTCTCTCCCACATCATCCGAGTTTTTTTTCTCTTTTTCTTTTTTTTTTTGTATTTTCCATTGGATGGGGTTTTGTGCTGTGCTCTGTGACGCTACCGTAACTCGACTGTTTGGATAGCGGTGGAGAGGGAAAAAGAGAGAAAAAACCGGCGGATGTGAAAGAAAGTCAAAACAAGTGGAAATGTGAAGTCTGACACGTTCTTTTGGAGAGAAAAGAAAAACGAGAGAAGAGAAGTTGTAATTGTTGCTTTCTAATTCTGACCTAGTTTTTTATCCAGTTCAGTTGTGAGCTTTTTCCAGACTTTGCAACACATTCCAGAACGGGAAGTGAAAAAAAAAGATCTTTGAAATTACTCAAAGGAGCTTATGAATCATCAGTTTTCTAATTAGACTGGTAGATGGTATGTTTTTGAGCATACTTCTCATCAAAACAAACAAAGAATTGAGATACTGATGAATTCAGTGATGAATATCATCTATATTTTTCAAAATGAAAATCGGACAGTTTTGAAAGGCTCCGGAATTTGATCAAAATTCAAGTTTGAAAATCTCAAGTTTTGATTTCAGTAAGTTTCTTGTTCCCAAAAACTAATTTCGAAACTTATTTTTCCAAGATTTTATTTGGTAAGAAAGACTTGAGAAAATCAATATAGTCATACTCTCCATAAATCCATTCAAGTTTTCCATTTTTCAGAATTTTCCTGTGTCCGAAAAAAATTGATCGTAAAATTTTGAGAAGAAATCCCTTTTTTGTACTTATTTTAGGTTGAGATGTTCACTTTCCCAGCCTCTCTTTCGAAAAGTTCATTTCGAGAAAAACCATGAGAAACAGAAATACCAACAGCTGCCAGATTGCGCAATAACTTTCAGCTCTCAACGTATTTTTTTCGTTGCGACGATTTCAAAAACTCTAAAACGTGAGCTCGACTTTGCTGAGAAGAGCATGTGTTGTTGTGCGTCACTGTTTGGTTCGATCCGGGGCCGGTCGAGGAAAAGCTTAGCGAAAACAGGAAGAAACGACAGTGGCTATTTGTATGAATGGCGATAATTGAGGAGCATCTGGCAATGGAGAGAGCCTGGGTGGCAGCTGCGCGGGTTACCATAGTACAGTGCTTCTGGTTCTCAGGTCAGGCGCCCTCGTTTTTGTGCACTCGTAAACAACTTCAAGGTGGGCAAGTCCGAAGAAAGATGATGAGGATCTTTTCGAAATGCCAAATACTTTTTTCGAAAGCTAAAGGTCATCTTTAAGTCACTGGATCCCAACAAAAATTATTCATAAGCTCTTTCTGATCTCATGATGAGTTTTCTGACGTTTTTGAAAAGTTTCAAAGGTTTTTTTCATCTGAAACAAGATGAATTCATGAAAAAGTCCTGAAAAAAACTGAAAAAAAGGTTTAACATTTTTTTATTGGAAAAAAAATGGATCTGTAGTGAGCTTCTTTTTATAGGAAACTTCCAAAACTTCCAAGTTTCTAGGAAATCTTTTCTTTTCACTATTCCTTGTCTTCAAAATCTCTTTACAAAAAAACCGCGATTCCGCTATAATTCTTCATATTGGAGTTTTTGATCAAAATTTGACTTTTTTTCAATCAGTTGTTAAAAAAATTAATGAACCGGATATGATGATGATCAAAGCATCTGATATATCAAAAAAACTTCTCATATCCCTTTAATTTTTTTCTTCAAATAAAATTTTTGCAGAAAGCGGTTGAAAATTTCTCGAAAGAGACTAAGAAACACTTCTATAAAAAAACACGCGACAAACCTGCCTCACAAAAAAACAAAGTACAAATTAAGAGACATTGCGTGATGCATTATAATTAAAAAGATTTTTTGCTGAGTCGGCTTCGAATGCAACATTTAAGGTCAAAAGAAGGGCGAAACGCCATTTTTTGAAACGGAAAGAAGACGAAGAGAAATGATACAGAAGATACAGAAGGAACAAAAATACAAAAATACAGTTCATCGTACAAAAATACAGTAAAATGAGAAATTTTCAGGAGCATAAAGTTTCGAAAATTCAAAAATAAAAAAAGAAAGCGCCGAACCTTGTCTGAATGAAACATCTGTTGATGTTGCTGTAGGAGTTTGGCATTCGGAAATGCTTTGGGACACTGTGGACATGGTAGTTCTTCGACCATAAGAGGCGTTGCGAGAGTTGGGGATACGCACACCGACATCCGAGGGTCGCCAGGATCGATACAGGACTGCCGGCCGCGCTAGCTGAGGCTTTACAGTGAGCCGGAGGCGAAAGCTCCGCCTCCTTGCACTGGCCCCTGCGGCACGAGCTGTCTGCCTTCCGTGCACACTGTGCCAGTCTCTAAGCATATTCCAAGCCTGGTAAGGGCTACCAACACAAGGCTCGGCTTCCTTATCGTCACCTCGAGCTTTTCCTCAGAAGTTTCCGAGTTCGAAGGTCAAACAGAACAAAAAACATCAAAATAAAAAGACGACAGTATGACAGAAAAAAAAACATTTCAGTTATCCGTGAAAAATTCAAACCACCCATGTTTTTCCACTTGAAACGGCTCTGAAAATTTGAGGAAACTGTATTTTAAAAAAGTGGAGACTGTAGAAAACTGTAGGTAGGAAACTTTTAAAGACGAGAGATATTTTTTGAGACTATTATTGCAAAAATTTCCCCGTTTCAACAAAATTTAGTAAATTTTTTCTGAGTTTTTCGGACTGTAATTTCGAACTTTCTGGAGCCATCGTAAGAAAAAATTGAAAACTGAAAAATCAAAGAATCATCTTCTCTTCGACGATAGTTGCGAACTTAGGGAACAATTTTTTGTTATGAAGATGTGAAAGAGTTTGAGGGTTTGACCTCACTAGCCCATCCTCTTCAATTTTCGAGGATCTGCAGATATTTCCAATTCATCTGCAAGCTTCGCTCTCTCCGTTCCGTTTTACGGCGTCGGGCTTTCTTTTCATGTGATCATTTTTCAGGTTTCATGTTTGGAAAGAATACTGAATAGCTTTCCTTTCTTCTTCTTTGAGAATCAGAAAACCGAGAAAGTTCCCGAATCAATGGAAGTAATGGACTGTAGATACTGTTTTCCATCTTTCTGTCTTTTTTTTTCAAATTCCTGATCAATGGAACGAGAAGCTTAATTTGAAAAGTTTTAACTTCATGTACTTTTCAATAAACCGTTTGGTATGATCTGTGTGATCTTCTGTTTCTGAAAAAAAAAAGTATTAAGGTTTTATTAGTCTTATGTCCGGATACAAACCCATCCTCGTTTCTGATCTTGATCGAATCAGTTAACCATTTTCGATAATAGCCTTTTTGCACTATTTGGTTTTAGACACAGTTCTCTGCTACAAAAAGTGTACTAAAGAGCAGGAAAAAGTTGTTCGATCATAAGGTCAACTACAAAAAGTTGTACGGAGAACAGCTTAGGCGAGGAAAACTTTAGCCGATACCGGGAACATCAAACATAATCCAACATCATTTTTTTCATTATTATCAGTCAGCGTCCCGTTTTCAGCTTAACTGACCTTAAAGTGCACAAGGCATCCTTTCAAAATAGAAAAAGACGGTGACTAATTCGAAGGGACTTCCAGCAACTGTGCAGTCATTCCCACATGTGTTCTCCAATTAAAAATTGTTCCGGCCACACTAAGCCAAGTAAACATGCAAGGAAGCTCGACAACAGCCTGATCACGCGCAGTTTCTCTTCTTTTTCTTGTAGTTACAAAGTCGTTAAAAAGGTTTGCGCAGTTAGAGACAGAGAATATTGGTTTATTCAAAGATATGGTCTGAAATCGTGAAGACAAAGTTGATGTCAACTGCTCGCTCGATGATTAAACTTTTTGCAAATTATAAAATATATAAAGACAAGTCAGAAAGAATATCTAAACGTTTTACTCGTCAAGGGAATGTCTGTTCTTAACAAATGTCATGTTACATAATTCATGAAGAAAATTAAATATTATCGTATTTGAAGTTCATTTAGTTATAGGAAACCTTTTTTAGATAAGCTCAAACGAGAAAACGAGATCCTGCCATCAGTCTCAAAGTAAAGTAGCTTTTGCTTATATTTGGTCGACAAAAGTTGTATAAAAGCGTAGCTTTGGTTAGAACACTAAAAATCTGATTTTCAAATTAGTTTAGAAGTCCTCGCCGAATCAAACAATTTTTTAATCTTTCGTGACTTCCAAAGCCACGTGACTATTTTTACTTTCAAGTTTTCACAAAGCTACTATGCTGACCAAGTTATGTGCCGGAACAGTATTTTTGTATTTTTTTTTCACAACGATATCCAAACTCGAAGAAAGATCATCACAGCTCAGGAGCCGAAATTTCGACATTTCCGATAGTTCCGTCGTCTCGTGTTCTTTTCTCGCCAGCCCAAGCATAACTTTGCGCCAGCGTGACAGCAAGTCAATGTTGAATACTCAAGCACCGGAAGCGGTTATTGACGTTTTGGAGCGAACGTGCGCTCCGACGGCCGACGCTTACAATCGTCTAGAAGACGCGATGGTAATGACGTGTTGCACTGAAAATTGCTTCTCCTGCAGATGCGTAGGACGAGCTCAGCACTTTTTTCGTTCGGCAAGGTTTTCACCGTCTTGAAAGGCTATTCTGATCTCAACTTTCTTCTAGCAGCCTCGGAAAAGGATTGGTTCAGTTGCCGTTAAGCTTTGGCTAAAAAAGTGGAGTTTCTGTAAAAAAAAATGAAAAAATTTATGCGAAGTTTGAATCAAAAAGATCGCTTCTAGCGGTTGAGAAGTTCCCACGATAATTGATTCCAAGAACTCTTTTTCATGACCTCAATTTTTTTCAACAAAAAGATTTAAAAAAATCGTCTTTTTCTTTTTAAAGTTTTGACGGGGATCACTAATTTTCTTATAAATTCTATTAATTTTTTGTTTTTCAGAGAGTTGATGTAGAAAAAATTGAGATGAAGTAAGATTATTTTTTCTTGCGTTAACTTTGATTTACATTAATTATGTCTTCATTGGAGACCCTTTGGACTCCGAATGGTTTTTTTTTGATCCGAGAAATTCCTAAAGAATCATCGACGTACTTCATACTTTTTTGAATTTCTGACAACAGATTTTGGCGTTTTCTACAGAACAATTCTCTCTCAAATTTTTGCGGCTCGGAGAAAAGAAAAAGTTGTTGTGCAGGTAGTTAGTTACAAAGGCGAAAGAAAAAATCGGGGAGAATATTTATGAACGGACCGCGGCGCCGTCGCCTCACCTCACCTAGCACATAATTCCGCACTATAGTGTATTAGCCGCGACGGAGATAGGCAAATGCCCTAATGCAATGGTAATTGCGTGGTTTGCCAAAGCGGAGAGCAAGGCTTCTCGAGAGTGTGTCCCGACCCGAAAACAGTCGATTTTTCAGTCGGTCTGGAAAAAAAGCCGAGAAGAAGGAGGAAGAGGTCTGTTCGGTGGGAAATGGACCGATTCGATCTCGTATGCGTGACGCTCAAATAGCTGTCACGTACGCCATCTTTCAAAACGTTTCTCGAGGGGCTCAGCGTTTTCCTTTTGGTTCGGTACTTTCGCCTTCGTCCATCTGCCGTTTCTGTATGGCTTCCAACCGCCGTCAGCCAGCCAAACTAATTGCTTGTCTGAATTTGTTCTCTGGAATACAGAAACATTTGTCTCTCAATACATAGTCGGAAGGCAAAGGAAAAAAACACAAAACTGAACGAATAGGAAATTTTTTTCATTTGGACTTTTTGGAAAAAAATATGAAAAAGAAAAAAATAACATATTGATTAAAAATTTTTCTATTAAAGGGAATTCTCTCAGAAAAAAAGTTCATTTGCGGAGCCGCTGGTTTCAAGTGTGAAACAGTGCAATTTTTTTCTAGGGAGCTTGCAAGTCAGGAAGATTCCCGCCGAGAAAAAAAGAAAACAGTTTTCAAAACCTTGATATCAAAAATAACCTACTTTAAAATTTTTTCCCAGGTTGCGTCAGATGAAAGTTGTTTAAACGAGTTTAAATTCAAAAACCTTTTTCAAAACTGATTTAAACCTTTCCAGTAAAGAGAAAAAAAAAACAATAATCGTTAAAGCTTCTGTAGCCCTTGAAGCTTCTGTAGCCCTAGAGATATTTTTTTGATGACAATAAGAAAAAGTCGAACACTTGTATACTGCAGTTCACACGAAGTTTTTTTTTCTGATTTTTCTACTGATTTTCATAACATAATCCCTCTATTTCACCGAGTCTTTCGTGTTAATCCATTTTGAGTTGAACATATAAGAGTTTTTCACTTGCTTCTTCATTCGAAGTGGAAATAAAACCAGAGGTTTGAGTTCTTGGTACAGATCAATGCAAAAAACTAGCATACTAATCAAATTGGCATTCAATTTGGAATTGCAGGCGCTTTAAAAGAAAAAACACGTTCTCATGGAGAATACAAAACAGCTGAATACTTCAGAAAGCACAGGAATAACTCATACAATGATATTACAGGTTTTGTGACAAGGTTAAGGTTTTAGAGGAGTTCCGAGGCTTCACACATTCGGATTTGTACGCACAGATGGCGGGTGTCGATGAAAGATTCCACCTGGAAAAAATATTTTTTTATGTTTTCGAGTTACCAGATCATTCAGGTTGAATAGTAAATTCTATTTCAACCTCATTTAGGAATCTACAAAGTCACCTTATTGTAGTACTTCTCGACCTTATCAGCCATCACTCGAATGCACTGAGCGATATCTTCTGCTTGACCGTGGAAAAGAGCCTCGCAATCCATTTGGATCATGTCGATGACGCCTTTCTTAATTGAAACAAATTAGATTACCCACTGAAAAACTAGAATTGAACCTTCAGACGAATGACGTTGTAATTGAGTCCATAAACAGCTTTCAAACACACGTCACAGCTCAAACCAGCCACTTCGTTTACCTGAATTATCTGGTTAATGACAAGCAGGTGATGTTTTGAAAAGTTTTTTCGGGAAATGATATCAAAACTGATGAAATTGGAGACCTTCTGACCCTCACATGACTCCTTTCTGATAAATAATTTTCAAACGCAAAGATAATTGTTTGATTAGGTGGAGTCGCTTTTGTCGCAAATTGCAGTCTGAAGCTTAGCCACTTCTATGTACGAAACAAATTTTCCGAGGGCACTTAATGCCAAACATTTATTCTCAGAAAAAGAATGCTTCGAAGTGCATTTTCTTGTGGTAAAAATTTTAAGGTCCGCATTTAGGTCAATATCAAGTTTTTTCTTCATGTTGCAAATTTTGTCGCAAAAAGAAGTTTTCTAGTCGATTCACAGAATACCTTTCTAGGCTTTCAAGATCCTGAAAAATTACAAAAGCCATTGTTTGTTTCGAAATTAACATGGCGAATGTCAGTAATCCACAGAAATCTAATCTTGAATGCATCCAATAAAGAAGCCCGTACATTGCCTTTGATGTTGCCTAATCCAGAAGGTCGCTCCGTCGGCTATCTGCTCGAGAATTAATGAACGCTTTACCGCACAGCCTCATTAGTGGCGGTCATTTAAGGACAGCCAAGGGTCCATATAAATCGTACCTTCGTCTCGAAATAGTCTGGTGACGGCGGCACCACGGTTTTCTTTTCCAGTGGCATGCTTCGTCGAATTCGCGAAGCTGAGGCGATGCTCAAGACGACGAGAAGGTGGATTGAGGTTCGACTGAGCATCTCTGAGAAACTGGAAGAACTTTTCTGTTAGCTTGAGCTGAATCGTGAAAAAAGTTGAGCACGAAAACCAAGAACACATTTCGATTTAGCTCTTTGAAACTGACAGAATTCTCAAGACTGCAGAGGATGATGTTTTGACTTTCCAAGTTTTCAATTGGGGTCCTTCTCAATCTTTTTCTCTCGCTTTCTATACTAATTGTTATTTAATCAACCGTGATCTTGTTTTTTTCACAGAAAGTTATCGAATCGATAGTACTTGGAATATTTGGAAAAAAACTAATAACAATGGTCATTTATTTTTCGAAAACATCGCGTGAGAATTTCTTCTGGACATCATAACAACTTTTTGCAAATTTTTCAAACTATTAGGAAATTTCGTACTAAAAAAACTGAGGGACAGAATTTTTTTAAATATGTAATGCCTAGAAAATTTTGTATTGATTTCATAATTTTATGATGCAGGGAATACATAATGAACATAAAAAAACAAAAAAAGTTCTTTTTTTATCATCGATTACGAAAAAGAAAAAGTGGTGATGGTAGTAGGATAGGAATGAAGTCCTATTAGCAGACATTCGAAGAAATACAAAAATTATTTCTTTGTTTAGCCATTGCTGCTGCGAGAACTTGACTTTTTAGGCACACAGCGCAAAGTTGACGAAACGTTGAAATCAAAGAAGTTGAGCAAATTGTTATGCAGAGACGTTTAAAAATTTGCCAGTGAATATTTCTGCTGAAAATTTGAAAAGTTCTAACAAGGGAGCTTGGATGGCCTCTGCCGGGAGTGGGTAAGAACAAAGGCGTATTGGCTTTGATAATGACAAGCCAGCTTGCTCCTCAAAAAGCTCAATGATCTACTGGACCTCTGAAAACTAAAACAAAACAGGCACCAACGGAACAGCACAACGAAACAAACTTATTGTATTGTGAGAAAATCAACGACTTCAAAACGACCGCTGAGCCGAGGCTCTTCGGCTGTAATGTCGGAAACACCTTGAACCCGGAGGGCGGTTCCACACGGTCAGTTTTGTTTATTTATACTCTCAGAAAGGCACCAAATAATGGTCCGCAGCGGCTCCCAGCCTCTCGTGTTTTCAACTTTTTGTCTCCTTCAAGGGTCAACACGGTTTGCACAAAGAGCCGGCGACAATGTGCACGCAAATGAAGCGTACAGCGCGCGAGACACGACCGCCAAGACGCTTTAAGGCTATTTGTAGAACTTGGAATTCGACTTTTGCTCTTTTTTCTCTTTTCGGACCAAAGTGGATTCAATAACGTTTTTTTTTCGGTTTGTGTACTCAACATTTTTTGGCCGGCGAAAAATGTTTCTTTTTTTCTTCTCAAAAAAAGAGGAACTTTTCGGTTTCTGTGAACCTGAGTGAAAAATGGTATTTCCTGTGAGACGGTTTTTTACAATTTTTGTTCTCAGGAAACAAGGAAAATACTACAAAGGACAAAACATGTTTTCGTTAAATATAGTTGTTTTGAAGCTCCTAAAAAGCTTTTGAAAAACCTGAAACTCAAAGTAAAAGCAGACAACCTTCACATTTTTGTATACATATATACAAACTTAGCTTGTACATGAAAAAGTTTATAAAAACATCAACACGATACCAAGCGCAAAACATTCACTTTGCATTCCCCAATCGAGAATTTTCAAAAAATATCCTGAAACTATTGGATTCGGGAGAATAGCACATATAACCGGCAATTAAAACTTATAAAAAAATGACAGATTTGTGATTGTCTTTGAAGAACACATCCTTTTTTTTAGCTCATAAAATTCTACCTCAAAAACTTTGTACCTGATCCTGATAAATCCAAATCACGTATGATGCGACAAAAGTTTGAAGATGAATCAAGTTTGCAAGGCTCAAAAATAAAGCCGAATATATAATTCGGAATTAATCAGAAGCAAATAATGAAACATTCTAAGGTTGAAAAATTTCCATCGAAAAAGGCTAAGGCTTTGATCCTTCTACCAAACTGTTATCAACGAAAAAAAACCGTAAAAAAATCCTTCTTTGAGTAAATTTCGAAAAAAATCGATTAGGTAGACAAGATCGAAGACAATGAAACACTGCTTCAAAAAAATGACAGACAAAATCAAACCACGACAAGCGATGTGATGGATTGTGACATCATGACACGTGACCCAGAAACACTTTATTTTCGTTTAAAGCATTGAATCACGGGTTCAGGCTGAATCCTCTTGAGTTCCAACGGTTTTTCAGTCGGTGATAGACCAGCTCCGCAAGAAAACCAACGATACAAAGACCAACAGCTGCCCCGAATATTATAAAAAGTTGTTGAAGGTGTCCTTGAAGTGACAGCGGCGTTCGTGGGTTCGGCGCTGTAAGCTGCAATAAATTTGTTTCCGTTAGCTTCGAAGAGACTTTTGATGCAAAGATTGAGAAACACGACGCTGAAAAAATGCCTATATTTTCTGAATGTTGTGTTGATTCAGCAAATGAAAAAATGAAAATGATTCTGAATGAAATGATTCTCAACTCACAAGAAATACGTTTGAATCAGAAATCACGTTTGATTCTTGATTCAGCTTTTTCTTCATTCGAACTTCAGCAAACATCATTAATTTCTACAAGTTTTGTTTATGAGGTATTCTAAAATTCCGCATAAAAATTTCGAATTTTTTTTGTTACACTCCAATGTTTTAAATGTGCAAAGTTTAATTTTTTATTGATATGAAGTTTATATTTTCCGAAACACAATGCCAATCCTTGAAAATGAAGTAATTTCAAAAACTCTCACATCTGAGATAAAATTGTGTAGTAAAATGACCCCAGCCCCAAAACCTACCAAAAACGGCTCTTTGCGTGTGTTGTAACCATGTCCAGCTGTAATGATCGGAATCGCGGGCAAAACCTTCATAAGAGCTTTGTTAAACCTAAAATCAACATCGTTTTTTTTTCCATCACCTCAAAACTTACTGATCTCTCAGTTTTTTATGCTTTTTACCAAAGGAAAAAGCAACAAAATAAGTTGGAGCGGTAGGATCTCGAACAATGAGCCACTTTCTATTCAAAGCGAGCCATGAAAGAGGTCCAGGCAAAAATGCGCTGTCGACTGTTGATGGGTATATTCCGCCTTTTCTGAAATCATAAGCATAATAGTCAAGACTGACGTTAGTGACAAGAGAATTCGGAAAAAAAATATTTCGGAAGTGATGTTGAAATAACCTGTTAGGAATGAGCGGGGTTGGTTGGGTTTTTTCCTTTAAAAACATGTTTAGAGATCTAAAAAGTGTATCCAATTTTATATCAAATCTGTCTCTATTTTCTAAGCGCAGGAAAGAAATGTATTACGAGAACGGATTATCAGTCGTTGAACCCATTTTTAACAAGCCAACCCAATAGACACGCATGGAAAAAAAGACATAATATGAGTTTATTCAAAACTGGAGAAATATTAGAGGTCTTTCATAGAAATAACCAGGAATTGGAGAAGTTTGTCAACTGATCAACTTTTAACTCGTTGAATTTTGTTTTTCTCGTTACGAAACAAAAAGACGACTTCTTAAAATTAGAAACAGGTGAATCAGAGAATGGAGGAGCAGTGATTGTCGGAGCGCTCGATTTTTTAACGTTAGTATCCGAAAAAGAACAAGATTATCAACAAGCTATTCTTGGTCGATCCCACAAGCCGACAACTTTTCATTTGTTTCAGCAGAAAATCTTCTCTGGAGAGTGAATAAACTTGTAAACTTGTAACAGACTATTTTTCGACTATTATGTTACGTTTTGCATTCATCTTCATTCTCACTCCATCAAATCCAGAATGCCTTGCTCGTCATCAGCTCTCCTGACCGGATTTTTCTTCGTTACTTGCTCGAATCGTGAGCAAGTCTCTGGCGAGCAAAGAACTCCCTGAGCTCCGAAGGCCGCGAAGAATCGGCGCTTCTTTTCGACTAGGTCTGAAAGGGAATTTCTTGACTTTCATATGTGATCTATCTCACCCAAAGCTTCTTGAACTGTGTAGAAGGGTATATCATATTTCAATGGATTAGTCAAGTATGCGTACATCCCTTTCTGATAAAATTGAGCTATCACAAAAGATGTTAGCAGAATCGTGACGACGAATAACAGTGAACTTGGAGGAAGGTGAATGTGGCCCTGGAAACAAAAATAAATCCTAATTGAAAATCCCATCAACTTGCCCAAAAAACAGTTTTGATTGCTTTTGAGGTATTGATCCCAGGGTTTTTTGTGGTCAAACTTATGAAACGTATGAAGAAATAAAAGCAATAGGCGAAAACAGCAATTGCGGTGATTGTTATCCAGACAGTCGAAGAAAAGGCGTTGAAAATAAAGTAACGAGCGCAATTTAGTGTTGGTGCTCTCACTATGAATACGTTCTGAAAATTTTTTTTGTTTCCCAAGATTTGAAAATTTACTTACATCAAAATATCTGGTGGGATAAGAAAAAAGAACGGCTTCTTGACGCTCAATAGACATGCGCATGGATATCCCGCAAACATCGATTTTATCTGTGAAAATCTGAAGTCTTTCAATAGTCTAAATAACGATTACCTTTTGTTAATAGCCCAATCATACCCGACCAAGACCCGTTTGGCATCTTGCTTCCAAAATCGTATTGAATTCCAAACTCTTTGGTTACATCCACCTATAAAGTCGATGGTACCAAGTGAGTGATTTTAAATCGATAAATTACAATGGAATATTGTACGTTCATAAGTCGAAACACGAGCTGAATGATTTCGACTTCAGCGCCAGGATGGGTGCACTTCGGATTGGTGTAGCAACGAGCAGCATCATTTTCGACGTCAAAAACTCCCACACTCACAGGCCGGCTCATGAGAACCAAGTGAGGAAATTCGAGCAGCCGGTCCACCTGAATGACGGCACTTGAACCCACGACCACGTGCGAGTAGCCGGAACGGCAAGGCACGGCTGTCTTGGAAAGGCTCCCGTAGAATCCAAGAAATTTATATTTGCAATTAGAATCCTTCTCTTTTCTCCTTAACCTGTTCGGTGGGAAAGTAGAAAATAATTGAGAGTAAAATCAATCAAAAGCTGAGAGAGAAAAGTTTAAAATCCCGCGGTTCTTCCCTTTCTCCTAATTTCAACTTTCTTGAACTTTGACTGAAAGTCACACTGAAAAAAAACTTCTGATATCTCATAATCACCAAATTTGAGATTAGTTAACAAAAAAAAGATCACAAATTGGCTTTCGAAAACAGCTTTTTCTTTTGAATTTTCGGATTGATGACTATGCTGAAACTTCTTAGATCAAGTGTGCTTAACTTTCTTTTTTTTTCAGATTGAGAAAGTTTTCGAGCTGTGAGTTGGCTGTCCAGCCAGCAGTTTCACACTAAAATGATCCTGCAGACTTTGTTGGTTTGAATCGCACCAAATATTATTCTCATTTCACAGTCTTCATGGATGAGATGAATTAAAAAGCTCCAAAATGAAATGAACTGTCAAAAAAATTATGATGAAATAAGCAAATATCAAAATGGAAATAAAAACCCTGTTGAATTTCTTCTTTGAATTTTACTACTTATGTTTGAAGTTTCGAACGAAATTCTTTGTTAAATACAAATTTTTTTTCAATTCTCTCACTAACTTTTGTTATTAAATTTGAAAGCTGTTTGTTTTCAACCTTTTATGGCATGGGAAGCGAGTGAAAAACAATGCAAGTGTTCGAATTCAAAGTGAGTTACTCGTTTTCAAAAATCAATATAAAAGGTGGTTCTTGACCGGTGCGTGAGGAGGAGATCATTCACAGGGACAGCAACTTAGATTGTGGCAATGAGATACTATTCGGCAAACCAGGAAAGAAAGAATCTTAAAAAGGAACACAATAAAATACAGATAAATATGGGGATATGATTTCAAACTACGTGTTTCTGTAAATCATGAAAATTTAAATGAAGAGGGTGAGAGAAAAACGTTTAGTAAAAGTTACGAATAAGGAAAGATTAACGCAAAACAAAAAAAACGTGAGAATGTGTTAAGAGTGAGTACATCACTACACTTTACCAGATTTGTAACAAAGCGGTGAGACAAATAAGTGTAGTATTTTTTTCCTTATATACAAAATCAGTTGAGAACTGCGCAAATACTGTAAAAAAAACTATGGATTACAAGAAAAAACTACTTTTGAATGTGGATCCCTTCGGTAAGAATTTTGTCCAGCTGGCAATTGAAGTCCAACTTGTCGAGGGACTCGTGAACGGGCCGGACACTTGGCACGACGTCTTTGAACCTGGCAGGATTTATGGCGGCCTCTTGTTCAGTCATGTATGCACGAGGTCCGAGTCGAAGGGAGTAGACCGTTCCACTGATCTGATGGTCGAACTCGTCCTCGTTTGTTTCTTTGAATCCGAGATGCATCAGATACGACTTGAGAGCGTCCCCATGCGATGGCCAGTGGCCGTAAGCCATGTGCTCCATTCGCTGAAATCAAAGTTTCTTTCAGATATTATTTAGTTTGAAAAAACATATGACTGTGATTCGAAAAAAAAATTTCACGCCGTGTTCAAAGTAATTTTGGCGATTTCAAAATAGACGCGTTATTCGTATTAAATGGTTTCGGGAAATAGGAAAAATTGGTATTTCGGGAAGGCGCGGAAAAAGTGAGTCCTACAACGATATATCGTTTTATATGCCTTTTTTACTGTAACTTCTGCGCGGGAAAATGTGGAGTTATTTGGGCATTTTCTGCTGAAATTTCAAATTCGCGCGTAAAACTCAAAGTAAGAATGCATAGCCAACGATATATCGTTGTAAGACTCACTTTTTGTGCGTCTTCCCATAATACCAATTCTGCCTATTTCCCGAAATCATTTCAAACGAATAACGCGTCAATTTTGAAATTGCCGAAATGACTTTGAACACGTCATCAATAACTGATTTTTTGTTTTACATCTCCATACCTACATGGATTTCTCAAAAAATTTGAAAACTAACGTATTTCATGCCAGCATGGCAGACGGCGGATATCAGCATCATCCCAATGGTTTCGCGTCGAAAGTAAGGCCTGACATAGAGGGTGCGAAGATGCAGAACCGGCGGTTTGTGCTCCAGCTCTACAAATTTGGCGACAATGAATCCAGCAATCGCGCTTGTTCTGAAAATAGAAAGTCAGGATCTAGTTTGGCAGTGAAGTCGTACCCTTTGACTTCAGCGAGAACTGAAAACTGAGCTTCAATGCCAACTTCGTTGGTACCGACACCTTCCAACTGCTCGCGCACTTCAGGTCGGAGGTCACCAAGTACGCCAATCTTGCTCGCCTGATATATCCTAAAGACAAGAAATTTTTTTCCACGAAATAGTTTACAAAAAGTTTCAATTCGCAGCGTCCAACTTACTTGAGGCACTCGCTGACATCACCGACGGTGCATGGCCTGATGATCAGTTCATAGTCAAGCGGTTGTTGCTTGATCTTGAATTGTTCCAGGAGCACAGGATCGAAGAAGGGAACTGAAAAATCATCTTCATATTTTCATTCGAATAAATTCCAACCGCTCTTGTAAAGGGCAACACTAGCAGCTTCGCCATCGTCATCCGGATCGGCCGTGGAATCTTCCAGCGGCTGTTTGTCTTCCGAAGCAACGTTGGTGACCACAGAAGTGTGGCTGCTTGCGTCCATTTCCTCTTTGTAGCTCATCTCATTGAAGTTACGTACGGTCTCAGGAGAGCGCTCTCCATCTGATTCACTGTCTGAGTAGTCTGGCTCCCTTTCATCAAAAGCATCCTCCGTCAGAGCACCGCATTTACTCATGAAATGGGGGCCCTGGTCGATAGAATCAGCGTCCATCATAGTTTCGAGATCGTCCTCCGTGAGTACATCAGAGTACTCAGCAAAAAAAGCTTTTACTTCATAGGCAACACGGTTTTGCCACGGCTCAGGATCTGAAACTTGTTTTGTAAAACGATATACTTGAAAAAAAAACCATCGAGAACCATGTCTTCTGATTCGTCAATAGTGTAGTACTGTTCTGTCGGAAAAGCAAGGTTCGACTCTGAAACAGTTTGTTTATATTTTGATCACGGCAAGCACACAACTTACCAAAATCGCATTCGTCGCTAAAACTTCTGTCAAAAACACGCGAACAGCGCTCCTTTGGATACTCCCTTTCCAATTCTTCTAGCCAGAAAGTTGGCGAGTCGGGACGTTGAGGAGAATCAGCGCAGATTGTCTTGTCATCGTCATCTTCATCGTCATCTTCATGATCACTGTCATTGTCGCGGACAACGTTGAGCCTTCTGGGTCTGATTAGAAGCGTCGTCGACGGCTTCGAAAAGTCCGGTAACTGAGCGCAGAGGGTCTTTGACTCGGTATCGTCACTACCGCAAGAGTTCAAGTCGTCATCAGGAATGCAAATATTGGAGCCGATAAGCTCATTCCAGTCGATGATTGGTCCTGAATCTTTGGACTCAGATACCTCGGATTCGAACGCATCGGATGAAAGTCCATTGATGGCGCAATCTTCGGGAACGATCGTCGCGTTTCGCACAAGTGAGCTGTTGGGCGTCCTCTTCTTCTCAACAGCTGCTGTTGCCTCCTTCGTCCTACTACGTGATTCTTCGATTCTGTGCAGAGACTGCAGGTATTCATTGACGTAGAGCAGGAGATGAGCCGGAACAATCTCGGGCTTGTCGAACGGGTCATCGACTTTCAAGTGGGAGAGGTGCCTTTGCACTGTCATTCGCTCGAGTGAGCGGTTGTTGTACATACGATGAGAGCCTGACATGTTACCTGAAATTCAACTATTCAACGATGGCTTTGATAAAAGAACGAGCCAACTCGAAAAAAAATATAAGAAGTCAATGTACAAGGCCGCAACTTTATTGATGTATGCGAAAAGCAAGAAGCAAAAATCGATGTAATTAGAATATCTAAAGGTTTGGCGATTGGAAAATGAGAACTTTGATCGGGAAATAGCACGTTTATTGAACGTTTACGTAGCTTTTAAATAGGCAAATCGCTCCTTTTTTACTGTTGTAATTTTTTGGCAATACAAATTAATTTGAATGTTAGCGAACTCGTGACAATTCAACTTAGATAAAGAGATGCGAGGCCGAAAAAGGTATGCATAGAGTTTGTTTCAATTCTTCGATTCTATTAATTTTGATGAAGAATAATACGAACGTTTTTGCCCGAAAAATTTCGAATTCCTACATTTGAAACTTTTTGATGCTCGTGATGAACATCATGAAGAAAAAATGTCGAAAATTAATTTGAACGTGACGAGCAGAAAAAAAACCGATAATGAACTAGTTTCGAGGAAAGTTATTCAAAAATCTTTTCTAACTTCTAATACACGAAGCAAACGGTGGCCGAAAGGAAGATATGAAAACTTTGATTGGTGTTTGATATGAGAAATAAACGGACTATCGAGCAGAAAAAAAAAATTCTCGCTATTCCAACCACGAACAGTCCTGTCCGAGAAAAACCACCAAGTCGAGGAGACGGAGCGAGGAGAATGCGGAGAACAGCGCGCGACGAACACGAAGGCGCCGCGCCGACAGTTCGCGCCGACAGTTCGCGCGCTGACCTACCGTTACCAGTCAAAAATTTTGCATGCTGCTCGTTAGGAGATACAGACTCACTAAATTGAAAAAATTCCTTAAAAAAACACAGTAGTCGTTTCCAAAACTTCTCAACCGATTGGATACACCCCACAATGTTCTTGATGACTTTTGAATATTTTTCGCTTTCCTCTTCAGTATCTTGTTAAACTGCCCGGATACCATTTTTTTTTTCATCAGGATATAATTATTTTCACGAAATCATACACGAACTATCTCTACAGGAAAGTTTCTTGGCGGATCGATTTTTTTATCTCTCAAGTGGAAACACTCCGTTACATCAGATTTTTCGTTGAAAAACTTCTAGTTCTGCTCACAGCAGAAAACTTATTCTACCAAATTTTTTTTTGTCTTTTTGAAAACAGATTGTATCATCCGGATCTGTTCAAAATGAAATATTTGCTAAAAAAATCCAGAAAACCACATTTGTTTTTAGTTACCCAATATCCTCACAAGAAGAAGATCAGTTCGAAATAATACCCTGCCCAATTTCCTTTGTCTTTTCAGAATCATGTTAAACAAAGTTCAAAACAATTTGTTCGAAGCACGTTTATTGAAAATGCTTTTATACCCGAGAAAAACCCCAAATTTGAAAAGAGAAATACATGAGAGTCACGAATAATTGTTCTGAAAAGAGCATGCGAGTAGAAATGGAATAATGAAGGTGTGACCGGGGGACGAAAAAACTCGGTTATTTGAAGATGCTAAAACTGGCTGTGTTTTTAAATGGAGAAAAAAAGAGGTATTCAAAAAGATACAAGTAAAATGAATGGCACAAGAAAAATATTCACATAAAAAAATCTCTGAGAAGGAATTTAATACGACGGAAATGAATACTTGTAAGACGAGTTATAAAGAAAAAATAATTGTTGCAAAAATGTTTTAATGCGAAATGAATCCGGTGGAAAGCAACTGGTCGAGGGGCGAAGAGAACGTGTTGATGGGCGCGTTGACCAATTTGATGGCGAAGTCTTTGAGCGAGAAAATCGGACTCGGCTTCTTCTCCTTGTGTTCGTCGACGTATTGCAAACCGAACTTCCGCGCCAAGACGACGCCTTGGAAAAGATTGTTGAGCGCCGAGTCTTTGACGGGAACGAAGTCGAGGCGGTTGCAAAGGTAGGAAGCCAGTGCGTCTCCATGCTCTTTTTGTGGGTTGTGGACCATTTGCTCAAGTCGCTGCAAAAAAGTATATCATAGTTCTATCACTTGTAAAGACATTGAGAAAAGGTTATGACTCCTGCAGAAAAATTTTTAGAGTCAATCAATTCGAGAAAAAAGTTTTTTATTTTCTCGTTTCTTGATCTCGTTTTCTGGTCAAGAAGGACTCAGGTCACTGATAGAACCACTTGAGTTTCACTCGAACTGAAAAAACTCACGAGTTCGTATCCGAGATGGGCCAGGGCCGACACCATCATCTTCGCGATCTCCTGGTTTCTGAAGGATGGGCGAACGACGAGGCTTCGAAGTTCCATCAGGGAGCCAATCGAGTCATCGTGAACCATTCGAGCCCCCGCCAAGCCGACAATGACCGACGACCTGAGAATTACTGATAAACTCGAACGTTTGCAGGGAAAGTCTCACCCTTGAACAGTGGCTACGACGGTGTAGGGAGCCGCGTCAATGACCTGATCGACAGTGACGTTGTCGAGCAATTTCTTCGCGTCGACCCGAGACATCGAACGGAATGTGTTCAGGCTCGAAATTAACAATCTGAAAATTCTCAATTATCCTGCTTCCTGTTCTGTAGTTTTTCTTGTTTGTTAGAGTGAATAAATAAATGTATAAATATATATCCTGATAGCCCACAAAGTATGCTTTTTCAGTCGTTTACAAAGTATTCAATGAACAGAAAAAGCCAACTTACGAGATGCACGGCTCGAAGTCTTCGATATTGAATGGCCGTACAAGAATTTGGTCTTCAATCGGCTGGCGAATCACCTTGAATGTCGACAACAACGAGTCGTCAAAAAAATGTCGCCTGAAAACGTATGCATTATTTGATTGGATTCTTTTCCAAACCGTTTGGCTCGAAGTCGACTCGGTCGCTTGTGATAAAATCATCTCCGCATTCGGCGAATTCGTCAAAAACTTCGAAACCGTCGTCGTGAGAATCTGAAAAAATAATTTCAATGAACTGTCGCTGTTAAATTAAATAAAGCATTGCGAATATATCAAACTTACCACTTTCATTTCTACTATTTACACTGGATTTGTTCTCGTAATTGTGGGAATCATCTTGATATCTATTGTTGTTTTTCATCTCCGAAGAGGCCAACCACCCGGACGTCGTCTCCACATTTCGATGTATCTGCAGGGAAAAAAAGTTTATCATTGAACGGTAGTGAAAAACTCACCAATTTTGTTCTGTATGAACAAGTCGTTAGATGGAGAGTCAGTCCCGTTTGAGTCGGCGTCTCGCTCAACGATCTCCAAGATTTTGAAACTGCTCGATTCGGCGTGCATCGAACAAGAAGCGCTTTTGGATTCCGGTCGAAGTTTGTCAAAGTTCAAAGCCTTGTCCGCAAGCACGTCGTCGATGTGCACATGGAAAGAGAGGTAGGCCTGTTCTTGACGACTCGACACCTTCTGGGCACGAGTCCCGCGAGCTGCAACTCACACTTGTTCGTTCGCTAAACTCGAGAAAAAATTCAAACCTCTGCGAGCCGCCTCTCGCGCCGTATCCTGGCCATTCCCGTTCGTTTCAGCGATCGGAGCCGTGGGAGATTGTTGCATGTCGAGATTTGAACTGAAATTAGTTTTTTGAATTTTCGTCAATTCATACGGATGCAGGGAAACGAAGCAACGCGATATGTAGGCGATACGAGGATTTGAAGTGCAAAATTCGAGTCAAAAACGTAGCCCTGTTCTTTCTTATCTCGGATTAAACTTTAAAAAAACACGTTGTTGAGTAACGGAAGAAATTCCCGGTTTTAGTACTAGATAACTATTCGAATATGATCTAACAGAACGAATTTCTTCGTTTTAACGCGTTTCAATACTTTTCATTTTGAAAAGAAGTCTGAAATTCGAATTTCAACCCTTTTCGGAACAAAACTGCATATAAGGTTCATTGAAACAACGAAAGCCTGAACAAAACTCGCTTTTTGGTCACTTGCCTGGTGAAAAAACGGTCAAAAAATATCAAAAAACTTTTTCTTACTTTTAGCAGTTTCTTATACATCTAAAAGGCTGTCAGTCATCAGAAATCCGAGTCGTACATACTCTCTAACTGATAAAACATCTTAAAAACTCGTTGAATCTTTTTTCGAAAGTTTCGAGACAAAAACATCCCTTTGACCGGACAAAAACGTAATTTCTTTTGATATGAGGCTTGAAATAAACTATTCTAGATGATGTTTATCAAAATAAAAGTGAAAATTAAGTACTAGTAACGAAAGAACAAGGAAAGAACCAAAAAAAAGCAAGAAAAAAGCATAAAAAACACATGAAAAACTTGAAATGAGAGGAGAGAAAGCGGCGTGAGAAGCATCGTCTGTGTGCAGAGTTCACTAGCTGTGTTTGCACACTTTCGACAGCCGCGTACCGTAACTTTGACTTTTAATGTATAGACGTTTTTCAACTTGCTGTTCTTATTATTTATAGTCTGAGATACTGATAATGAAAAGCTGCGAATAAATTACAGACGCAAAATATCGATGAAAATTGATTGGTTTGAGGGCGAAAAACGTTCCTTTTTTGGTCTCTTGCCTTGTGAAAAGTGGTTAAATACAGGATCAAATTACTTTTTCTATTTTTCTCAGCAGTTTTTCAAATATTTTAAAAGTTTTCATCTATTAAAAAATCATGTCGTACATACTAACTAACTGAAAAAAACAAAATTCGTTAAATCGTTTTTGAAAAGTTTAGAGCAAAAAATCCACAAAAAAACAAAAACGTTCTCAAACTTTTGTTTCATTTTTCAAGCCACCGTGTGAAAAAACAAGTAGAAGATTGTTTTACACATTATTCCGACTGATAATTTTGAAATTTTTCATCACCTTCAACAGAAAATTTGCATCCACAAAAAAGTATTTGTCGTGCCATTAAAGTTATGTGTGAAATATCATAATGAAATGTATTTAATATTATAATTAAAGAATAATGAAGTATTGCAAGAGTCGAAAAAAATTTGTAAGGAACGTTGGATCTTTTTAACAACTCCCAATTTTTCAAATCATCGAACATGAAAAAAAATAACGCTGTCTTGCTAGATGGGACAGTGTGAAATTCACGAAAAGACGATATTCCAAAAGTATATCAATTGAAAAAAAATGATTCTCTTTACTTTTGAGGCATAGTTAAGGATTTTCTTAGTAATTATACGAGAATTGTCAGCGAATTGGTAAGGTGACGACACTGGAAAACTAGAAAACCTTTGATGAAACAGTCACAAGGTATGAAAACGGTATACAAACATCGGAATTTTCTCCAAGTTTGAGATTTTTCATCCGAGAAATGAGAACAAAGGCAGCGTGAAATGTAATAATAATGTGGATAAACGTAGCTTTTTACGTTTAAATTTAGCATCCTGGAATAAAAACGCGCTACCAATCAAACAGCAAAAATATCCTTCTGCATCATTTTTTGCCTAATACCATCCATTTTCCTTGATATTTTGCGTCCGGAATTTTTCACAGCCTTTATTTCAGTATTCCAGACTATAATTAATGAAAAAAGCAAGTTGAAATACGTCTATACATTAAAAGTCAAAGTTACGGTACGCGGCTGTCGAAAGTGTGCAAACACAGCTAGTGAACTTTGCACACGGACGATGCTTCTCACGCTGCTTTCTCTCTTCTCATTTCAAGTTTTTCATGTGTTTTTTATGCTTTTTTCTTGCTTTTTTTTGGTTCTTTCCTTGTTCTTTCGTTACTAGTACTTAATTTTCACTTTTATTTTGATAAACATCATCTAGAATAGTTTATTTCAAGCCTCATATCAAAAGAAATTACGTTTTTGTCCGGTCAAATGGGATGTTTTTGTCTCGAAACTTTCGAAAAAAAGATTCAACGAGTTTTTTTAAGATGTTTTTATCAGTTAGAGAGTATGTACGACTCGGATTTCTGATGACTGACAGCCTTTTAGATGTATAAGAAACTGCTAAAAGTAAGAAAAAGTTTTTTGATATTTTTTGACCGTTTTTTCACCAGGCAAGTGACCAAAAAGCGAGTTTTGTTCAGGCTTTCGTTGTTTCAATGAACCTTATATGCAGTTTTGTTCCGAAAAGGGTTGAAATTCGAATTTCAGACTTCTTTTCAAAATGAAAAGTATTGAAACGCGTTAAAACGAAGAAATTCGTTCTGTTAGATCATATTCGAATAGTTATCTAGTACTAAAAACCGGGAATTTCTTCCGTTACTCAACAACGTGTTTTTTTAAAGTTTAATCCGAGATAAGAAAAGAACAGGGCTACGTTTTTTTGACTCGAATTTTGCACTTCAAAATCCTCGTATCGCCTACATATCGCGTTGCTTCGTTTCCCTGCATCCGTATGAATTGACGAAAATTCAAAAAACTAATTTCAGTTCAAATCTCGACATGCAACAATCTCCCACGGCTCCGATCGCTGAAACGAACGGGAATGGCCAGGATACGGCGCGAGAGGCGGCTCGCAGAGGTTTGAATTTTTTCTCGAGTTTAGCGAACGAACAAGTGTGAGTTGCAGCTCGCGGGACTCGTGCCCAGAAGATGTCGAGTCGTCAAGAACAGGCCTACCTCTCTTTCCATGTGCACATCGACGACGTGCTTGCGGACAAGGCTTTGAACTTTGACAAACTTCGACCGGAATCCAAAAGCGCTTCTTGTTCGATGCACGCCGAATCGAGCAGTTTCAAAATCTTGGAGATCGTTGAGCGAGACGCCGACTCAAACGGGACTGACTCTCCATCTAACGACTTGTTCATACAGAACAAAATTGGTGAGTTTTTCACTACCGTTCAATGATAAACTTTTTCCTGCAGATACATCGAAATGTGGAGACGACGTCCGGGTGGTTGGCCTCTTCGGAGATGAAAACAACAATAGATATCAAGATGATTCCCACAATTACGAGAACAAATCCAGTGTAAATAGTAGAAATGAAAGTGGTAAGTTTGATATATTCGCAATGCTTTATTTAATTTAACAGCGACAGTTCATTGAAATTATTTTTTCAGATTCTCACGACGACGGTTTCGAAGTTTTTGACGAATTCGCCGAATGCGGAGATGATTTTATCACAAGCGACCGAGTCGACTTCGAGCCAAACGGTTTGGAAAGAATCCAATCAAATAATGCATACGTTTTCAGGCGACATTTTTGACGACTCGTTGTTGTCGACATTCAAGGTGATTCGCCAGCCGATTGAAGACCAAATTCTTGTACGGCCATTCAATATCGAAGACTTCGAGCCGTGCACCTCGTAAGTCGGCTTTTTTTCTGTTCATTGAATACTTTGTAAACGACTGAAAAGCATACTTTGTGGGCTATCAGGATATATATTTATACATTTATTTATTCACTCTAACAAACAAGAAAAAAACTACAGAACAGGAAGCAGGATAATTGAGAATTTTTCAGATTGTTAATTTCGAGCCTGAACACATTCCGTTCGATGTCTCGGGTCGACGCGAAGAAATTGCTCGGCAACATCACTGTCGATCAGGTCATTGACGCGGCTCCCTACACCGTCGTAGCCACTGTTCAAGGGTGAGACTTTCCCTGCAAACGTTCGAGTTTATCAGTAATTCTCAGGTCGTCGGTCATTGTCGGCTTGGCGGGGGCTCGAATGGTTCACGATGACTCGATTGGCTCCCTGATGGAACTTCGAAGCCTCGTCGTTCGCCCATCCTTCAGAAACCAGGAGATCGCGAAGATGATGGTGTCGGCCCTGGCCCATCTCGGATACGAACTCGTGAGTTTTTTCAGTTCGAGTGAAACTCAAGTGGCTCTATCAGTGACCTGAGTCCTTCTTGACCAAAAAACGAGATCAAGAAACGAGAAAATAAAAAACTTTTTTCTCGAATTGATTGACTCTAAAAATTTTTCTGCAGGAGTCATAACGTTTTCTCATTGTCTTTACAAGTGATCGAATTATGATACACTTTTTTGCAGCGACTTGAGCAAATGGTCCACAACCCACAAAAAGAGCATGGAGACGCACTGGCTTCCTACCTTTGCAACCGCCTCGACTTCGTTCCCGTCAAAGACTCGGCGCTCAACAATCTTTTTCCAAGGCGTCGTCTTGGCGCGGAAGTTCGGTTTGCAATACGTCGACGAACACAAGGAGAAGAAGCCGAGTCCGATTTTCTCGCTCAAAGACTTTGCCATCAAATTGGTCAACGCGCCCATCAACACGTTCTCTTCGCCCCTCGACCAGTTGCTTTCCACCGGATTCATTTCGCATTAAAACATTTTTGCAACAATTATTTTTTCTTTATAACTCGTCTTACAAGTATTCATTTCCGTCGTATTAAACTCCTTCTCAGAGATTTTTTTATGTGAATATTTTTCTTGTGCCATTCATTTACTTGTATCTTTTTGAATACCTCTTTTTCTCCATTTAAAACACAGCCAGTTTTAGCATCTTCAAATAACCGAGTTTTTTCGTCCCCCGGTCACACCTTCATTATTCCATTTCTACTCGCATGCTCTTTTCAGAACAATTATTCGTGACTCTCATGTATTTCTCTTTTCAAATTTGGGGTTTTTCTCGGGTATAAAAGCATTTTCAATAAACGTGCTTCGAACAAATTGTTTTGAACTTTGTTTAACATGATTCTGAAAAGACAAAGGAAATTGGGCAGGGTATTATTTCGAACTGATCTTCTTCTTGTGAGGATATTGGGTAACTAAAAACAAATGTGGTTTTTCTGGATTTTTTTAGCAAATATTTCATTTTTGAACAGATCCGGACGACCGCTTCCCAAAAGAAATAACGAATCTCGCTTGGCCAACCGTCCATCATTGTAAAATTTATTGTGATATTTTATACCAGCTACTGTTGAAAGTTGAGCCTGGAGTGATTCGCCTAGTCTTCGAATCCTTCATTATTTTCGTGCATCGCTGTCAGCGAAGCGTTTTTGACCATACAAACTCGCGTCGTTGCCCCGCAACAGCAAAAGTCAAAATGTCTGTTTCCCAAAAGAATGAATCGCAGTCGACTCGGTCATGAAAAAAACAGTTCCCACATTATATTTTTCAGAATACATAGTTTCAAAATAGTTCAAAATATTTGTTTCCATCATTTTTAACGGAGCCGGAACGGAAAAAGCTGCAGTCTTTTGCTTTCAGTCGGAAACAAAAATCGACGTCCTGACGAAAACTTGAATAGTCCTTAGAACTGCCAATCCTCTGAATTTTTTTTTTGTTTTGTTAAGAGTATTGCAAACTCAATTCTTTAATTCTGATAAGAAAACTCAGAAAACTCATCAGCAACATGAAAGAACCTGAGAACCCTTTAAATTAACATATGAGGCTGGAAAGATGAAAAAAATAAAAGAAATAAAAGAAATACAAGTTTGAAGAGAATGTAAAGAAAATCATAAAAAATAAAGAAATAGACACTTCGAGCGATTCAATACTTCTAACATGTGAGCATCAGAATCAATGAAGATTCGTTATTGATTTGACAAGTGTTGCTCGTAAAACCGTTCGCAACGTTTCACGGCTTTTTCCCAAGCCGAGTAAGTCTTCTTAATGTTCTCGTGGACCTCTCTTCCTTGCGGTTCGAAGATTTTTTCTATTGGAAGCTTGGGTGAAAGGTCTTCGAGCTTCCAGTAGCCTGAAAAAAAGTTTTGATAATTCAGACAGACTCCTGTTTTGGTACGATAGATTCAAATTGTTTTTGACGATGTCGCTAAAATCAAATTCATTTGGTTCAAAAGTTAGTTTTTTTGGTTATCGTTTTTTTTATCAAGGATAGGTACGGCTTTTTTCAAGCAAACTTCATACGGAATTAACATTTTTTCACTTGAAACAGTATTGAAAAAATTACCCAGAGAGATTCCCGCAATGAATGCGGCCCCTTTTGCGGCAGTCAATCGAGGCTCATCCGATCGAGCGACATCACGTTCCAAAATGTCTGCGATTGCCTGGCATATGAAGTCGTTTTGAGACACTCCTCCACATATTCTGAACTTTATCGTTATCAGAATTGTTTCCGGCTTTTTTTTTACCTAATAGCGGTGTCATTATCGATTGTTAATTCGTTCTGAGCAACGTTGAAAATTTGAAAAACTCGGAAGACAATCGACTCAAGAAGCGCACGAATCCTAAACTTACAAAAAAATGATTTCAAAGATGGCATTTTCAAACAAACATATGACTTCTGGTTGTGTCTGGCTTGAAACCTATAAATCCACAGCAAGCGTTTTCATCATTTATTGGCACTTGGAGGCCTGAAATCTTTCATAAATTTTCCGATTAGTGAGAGTCGTTATACCACAAAAAGCTGGAATGAAAAAAGTTCCATTGGAGTTTGCGACCGATTGAGCTATGCTCGAAGTTTCTTTAACATTGTCGAAAAAGCCTTAAGAATAAGTATTTAGACGATTTTTAACAAATTAGTTAGATACCAACAGATTGTGCCCAATTCAGAATTGTGCTCGTGTCATAGGCATTGCCTTCAGCTAAGAAAGTTGATTTTCCGTTTAGACGCCAGCCGACCAGTGGGTAAAAACCTAAAAAAAATCAAAATTTAAAACACAAGGAGAGGAAAGAAGGTTAGAATCATGAAAAACACATTGAACAATTTAGAACTCAAAAGTTGGGTGTTCGCCGAAATTTTTTTTACCTAGATTTAGAAATAGATAAAAAAATACAGATTTCGGAAGAACTTTTGAAAAAAGTACGGAAAACCTATGAAACACATAGCGAAGTTCGAAGTTTGTCACCTTTTGATTTTACTCACGGAAGTAAACGTGTATAAACTTATATAAAAACGCTATGACCTAGCACATATCAATGTTTACTTCTCTTTTTGAAAACCGATATAGTCCGTCCGTTGCGAGTTGACAGTTTTCGCGTGTCTGCGTCTATTGGTTTTCTCACCGGCGAGGTCAGAAAAACATGGATATAGAACGTAAACATGAAAAAGACAACGAGAAAAAAGGAGAGCGCAGAGAATTCCCCACATTTTTAAGTCGCAAAAAAGACCATGTTTGGTCTTAACAGGGAAACGTCCCATGAAAAACTGACAAAACCCCTAACCAGTAACTGAGGCGTGAGCTTCTTCGGTTACCACGTCAACAAACGTTCCGGTTCCCAAAGAAACTTTCACGTCGCCAGGTTTCCAGACTCCACTGCCGAAAGTAGCCGCTTGTTGGTCAGCAATCTTAAAATTTCATGATTGACAAGATTTTTCAGCATTTCCCAGCAAACCATTGCATGAATAGGAATTTCTCGTCCGCAGAACTTGGCGTCAAGTTTCGGTTTTGCGGGAGAATCGGAGAAGTTTGTGTCGCGGATGGGGGCCAATAATTTTGTTGGGAATCCAATGATTCCAAGAAGAAAGTGATTGAAATCACCCTGAACATTGTCATCATGTCTAGCTCCATTTTGTTAAGAAAATCAACTGATACATACAATCCAAGGATCAAAAGTTCCAGAAGAAGAAATGCTGGAGGTTTCAAAGACGTGTTCGTTTTTGTGAGACATCCGCATTATGAGCCAGGATTCCAAGCCTCCAAACGCTAAATCTTCTTTTTGAAGAAGGGACTGCAGTTCTTCAGACTGAAATTGAGGGATTTGACCAACTTGTGAGTTTATTACACTCACATTGTCTATCATATCGATCATCCTGTGAGACAACATGGAGGGAAGCATTCTGAGACGTCGAGCCGCTAAAAAACGGGCTTTCCGGGTTATTGCATGTAGTACGAATCCACACGCGTTGATCACCTGGAATTCGAATATTTTTGAATAAAATGGAAGATTTTGTCTTACTTTGAATGTGAACGAGCTGTTGAACTGACGGCAATGGTTGTTCGCTCTGCCGTCATTCCAACAAATGATATTGGACATTTCGCGTTTTTTTACTTCTAAAAAAAGTAAAAAAAGTAAAAATATGAAAGAAAAAAAAATTTCATTTTTGAAACTAAGAACAGATAAGAAAAAGAAAAAAACAATTCGAGCTTCTGCTCTCTCCTCTCTTCTTTCTGGCTTCTCTTCTCTATTTGCATGAACCCATCAAGAAGATCACTTTATAATACAAAAATTACTGCCTACAAGGTGAACTAAAATTCTTGAAACATATCCTAAAAAAATGAATAATTTTTTTCGAAATTCGGCAGCAACTCTTTTTTTGGTATAATTAATATTTTTGGAAATGAAAAGTTGTTTTGCAAAAATCTTTTTTTAATGTAGCAAATATAAAGCATGATAAACAACAAAAAAATCAGTTCAATCCGTATGAATAACTGAGACTTTTTTTCTGAGAATTTAAAAAATTTTAACGCATTCTGATTGAACAATAGTTTTTTCCCTTTTCTTCCAAAAAGTTCTAGATTTTGAAAGTCTTCCTTATGAACGTTAAGGGTTTTACTTCACAAGAATTTGAAGTTTCAACTCACTTTTCCCAAACAACAATAGAATTCCGTTGAGTAGCGATAGCCAACGACACTTCAGCTGATAACGGCACATGTTCCACTGAACTTTGGTCCTTTAAAATATCAAAAAGAGTCAGAAACTCACATGAATTTTTAACAACACATATAAACTTGTTAAACAAATCATCGGGTATAATTTCAACGAGGACTTCTCCTCTTTCTCCACTTTTGACTACAGGTTCGACCTAAAAACCTGAGATATTTTGGTTTTCTGTTCATTTTCTACCGTATCGTCATGACAGACGACAAGATCTCCATTTCCGTCAAAAAGAGCCGCGCGGATTATCGTTGTCCCAACATCGACCCCAATTATGTAGCCCTTTTTAGAATCCATTACCGGGGAAAGCTCCTGGAAGTACAGTATGACAAACGAAAATAAGAAAAATAAATACTTGTACAATGTGGGATTTTTCCGACAAAAAACACTACAAGAAAAAAATAATTCGTAAAGAAATCTGGTCGCAAATGAAAAAGTGTTCAAATTTAGAAATCGCGACATTCAATTAATGAGGCACCAGATAAAAAAAATAATTCCGAGGCTCAATTATGAATCTTTTTTTGTCAGATATGGCGCAAAATATACTCATATTGAATACAAGGAATCAAAAGATGTTTGTCAATTAAAGTGAAGAACAAAAAGTTTTTAAGTTTTTTTAGAACGAAAATTTTAGAAAGATAAAACAAAAGAACGTAACTTTTGTTTTATCTTTCTAATAAATGGATGAGTTTTTGATTTTAAAAAATTGAGTTAAATTGAGAGGCAAATGAAAACCTTTTTAAAATTGTTTTCAATTTTTTTCCCGAATGAAAAAAATACATGATTCTTATGATTTTGAAAAGAATAAATGGTAAAAAAATTCGGAAGAATCCGATGTGAATGAGATCTAAAAAAATTCGAAGCGCAATTGTTTTAATTTAAAAAAGTACAAGCCAATGAGCTTACATAAAATCCTCTGGGCCTTTCAATACTGAGCCTTAAAGCGGAGGCTGAAAAAAAAAGGTAAAAAACAAAAGTGTAAAAATGAACAGGAGCTTCAATTTTTTTACTTTGAAAGCTCATTTTCAATCCAAATGCAGCAAGAAAAATAAATGTTTAAACCAGGCAAATGAGAAGATAACAAGAGAAGAATGATAAAAAACGGCATAATTGGCTGATTGCCACACATGCGCCGAGTCCTTATCAAATCCCTTTCTCTTGGGTCGAAAGTACAACGCCAACCTCAGGAACCGATCGAAAGTTCAAACTATAAAGACTTTCTCGAAAATTCTTGTTAAGATCAAAGTCCCGCCTGGCTGATATTGAGGTCACACTGATCGATTTAGCACATCAAAGATTGAAGAATTGTATTACTATTTTAATTACGCTCAAAAACTTTCTTCCATGTATTTAATTAAAAACCTTTCAAAACACGAACAAAAAATAACCCCTTCACGGGCACCGATCGCATCTTTTTTTTGAAACAAAAATAGCTTTTGTAACAAGATTTATTGCAAATCCCCTGACATTACAAGTATAAATTAAATATAACTTCATATAGATAACCGTTTTCAAGAGAGCCTTCCTTTACAGCAAATGGAAAAGAATCGAAAGAAAAAACAAGGACTAGATGTACGAAAATCATGGGAGGTACATATTTTACAAGAAAAGCTTGGAGGAAAAGGCCCATAAACCGTTTTTTCTTAGGTAAGCAGTATACAATAAAGTACAACAAAATGTAGGGAAATGAAACCGTGAGAAAAGGGATAACATTAACAAACTCAATAGCGATTAAGCTTGAGAGAGATCGAGGACAGTCAAACTTAAGGCAGAAAATAACCAATTTTCAGGAGAGTGTTCTAGAAATCGAGGTTTCGTAATTATTATCCTTGAGAAGCAAAACGTAATAATCGAATGATTTTGCTTAGAAGTGGAACTTGTAAGTGTATTCGCCACCTCCGCCGCCGCCGCCGCCAAAATGATGGAAACCGTGAGGGAAGCCGTGGTGGAATCTGTAAACCAGTTTTCGATGACTCATGAGAAACAGTCATCGGAAATCATTGTGAAGAAAAAACAATCAGAACAGCTGAGTCTGACGAAACTCTAGCAGTTTTGGAACCTCTCCCAAGAAGAACATTATAATGAAAAGTATGAAGTTTAAAAAAAAATCATATAATACAAATTGTCCGGAGGTTTTTTGTTAGTCGCAATTTCGGCTATTCACATTTTTAATCATCTCAAACTATAATCAAGCATTTTTTTTTCTTTGTCTGCAGTATAATAGTATATGCAGTATAATTTCGGTTCATTTTATTTGAATGTAACTATTTGAAGATACTTACCCGCCATGACCTCCTTGACGTTGAGATTCGGGGTCCAGAGGATCGATTCCTTGGTCGAATTGGCGTCGTTTTTCTAAAAGGGTAAATTTTATGAAGCAGTTGTAGACTGGAAAATCAAAAGTTTAAATACATTTATGATAAAAATAAAAAAAGAACCATCATCCTGAAGGACTTCTTTGGCCGCGGCAATGTCAATGAATTTCTTCTCCGCCTTTTTCTTCTCGACCTCATCGCTGAAGTTATCCGGATGCCATTTTTGGGCAAGTTTTCTGTATGCCTTTGTGATTTCGCGCTTGCTTGCGTTTCTGAAAATAAGTTTTGTCACGAAGTCGCAAATGAAAACGAACCTCTTGACACCAAGGATCTTGTAATAATCCCTCTTGGAGGCCTGAGTTTTGAGTTTGTTGGCTCGGTCGACGCCGTCTTTCACACAGCTGTGATCAGGATTGATCTCTTGGCCGGCTTTGAAGTCGTTTATAGCTGCAATACGTAAGACTGAGATCAGCATTCCACGTGAATAAAGTACCCGCATCGTAGTCTTCTGCGATAAGATGCGCTTCGGCACGTTCGCAGAGCATTTCGACGTCGGTTGGATCCTCTTTGAGGACTTCAGAGCACTCGGTAATAGCTTCAGCTATGTGATCTGCCTGTAATGAAAGATTTGATCATTTGATCCGAATGGTGAGAAATATTAAAGATTCGTGATAGTTAAGCGAGCGAAAATTCATTAAACAAAAAAAAACAAATCTTCCGAAAAAAATCGTTGACGGCGCTCTTTGGATTGTTAAAAGCTTCCAAAAAGCAAACAAATCGAACACTTCCAAAATTAAATGGGAAAACCGTCAAAAACCATTGGAAATACATTCTTTCGGCATATGATTTTTGTGAATTGTGTAAAAGAAAAAAAAAATTTTGCCAGAAGTTCAGGCAGGTGGCGATTTTTGAAGGTTTTTACTCATGAAATTTTTTTTCTGAAATTGTCACCTCTCTGTTGCACTTGCAGGTGGATCTGTACACGTTCAACTGAACAGACGGCGTCGTGTCAAACTTCATGATTTCCTGTCCTTTTTGTAGGCATCCGATCCAGTCCTCCTCGGCCATCTTCTGCTTCATGCCGTCTGAAAATATTAAATTTCTCGCAGAAAATAAGAAAAATTACCTCGCATTCTGACAACCTTGCGAATCTTCTTGTAGAAAGGATAACACAATTTGTGGTCCGGGTTGAGCTTAAGGCATTCTCGAATGACCCTGGAAATGAAAAAAATTAAATTTTTATAAAGAAATAGATAAACTTACGTGAGACATTCGTCGATTTCACCGATTTTGTAAAAGAGTTGACTGGTTTCAAACATCACATCGGTGCTGTCAGAAGTGAGTTTTGAGATCGACCTCATGTCGTGAATCGCCTGCAAAAGTTTTCATCAAAAACATCAGATAAACTTCAACAAACCTTTTTGATTTCTCCTCGTTCTTCGAGACATTTGGCTCGCATACGGTAAAGTGAAGCGTCCCAGAGCATCACCTAAACATTTAAAAACTTCTGACCAACTTTCAAATTTGTATCAACCTCGATAATTTGGGAAATGTAGTGTTCAGCTGTCGAACAGTCGCCTGAATCGTAGGCCATTTTGACTTGATGAGCAAATTGTCGCAAATGCCCAATTTGATCAACTTTCTCGCTGATTTCTTCGTTGTTCGGCTCTGAGGAAAGCTGTAAAAGAGAAATCATACTGACGGAAATGCGGGAATTTCTAACCACAACATTGAAGTCGTTTTCCGCTCCGTCGAGCTCACCCTGTTTGAGCAAGATGTTTCCACGATGGATTCTCGCCTGAAAAATGGGAAAATAATGATTTATTTTTTCAAGTCAAACACAAATTATCGAAAAATTAATAACTATTCTCTGAGGGGAAAAAAATTATCTACGTTCTAACTGAGTTGTTATAAGTGATTTACATTTATAATTAAGATTCAATTTTTTCTAAAGGCGCGTTTTTTTCATCCCTCCAAAACAAAAAAACATTTCTTGTAACAGATATTGTTTTTTTGAGGCACTTCAAAACCTGAAAAGCGGTTATCAATAATTTGCCTATTTTTGCAAACTTTGCAGTTTCTCAAATTAAATACAAGATATGTTGCAATAAATTTTGTCCCCAGTTTCAGAATGCGGAAATCTTGAAGTCTAATACAAAAAAAATTGTTATCAAAAAAACTTACCTGGGGGCTAAAAAAAGTTCTCTTGTCAAAATATAAAAAGTTTAAACTTTTTTTAGGGACTTTTAAAAAGCCGTCAGATAGAGTATTCTATATCTGAAACAAGTTTTTCTCTTCTAAAGAAAGCAGTTATTCTGTGAAAGAAAAAATAGGAAAAAAAAAACATACATGACTGAAATCCGGCTTCAATTCGAGAACGCGGTCCAAGTCCGGCAGAGCAGCCTTTCCACGTCCCATAGCCAAATAAGTCGTTGCCCGTCGGAACAAGGCTTGGTAGTTGTTGGGGTCCAGTTCAACGGCGGCATGATATTGAGTGAGAGCGTCAGCAAATTGAGCCTACATAACAGAATATTCTCGATGGAATAAAGAAAAAATGCAGTACCTTGGCAAGAAACTTGCTTCCCAACTCGAGATGCTTGTTGATTTCGGCGCTTGACGCGGCTGCAAGTGATGTGAACAGCGCTGAAAAGTTTGTAATAACCTTTGAAGTCTTAATGGAATGATTTTCACAGACATAAGATCAAAATCTTTGTTCTCCAATAACAGCAACATTTCACTTAAAAATTTGTTGAGCTGATCAATCAAAAAAAAAGTTTCATTTAATGAACCTTAAATATATTCAAAGTTCAAATAAACGTCTTAAGAAATTTTGCAGAATCTCAAGTTCTCACTTTAATATTCACGCGAAAAAAACTTCTAGAAAATATTTTTTTTAAAAGCCGCATGAAACTATGAAAATTATTTTTTTAACGAATTTGTCTCGAAAGGAGACAAACACTTCGAATTTCACAAGTTTCTTGTTTTTTTACCATCGGATAATATTTAGAACAAATTTCAAGCTGTTCTCACAATCTTAATAAAATTCGTTTTTTTCAGTAAATGTTCAGTTTTTTTCTGCAATAATTAAAAACAAAAATATAGTTGTAAAAACTCACTTAGAGCTGTTGAAATTACTCCTTGACGGAATAAAGAAGTCATGACGAGAAGTTTTGACGCGGCTACACTTTTTCTAGTTGCTTTCTCTGTAAAGTTCAAAAATCAAGAATTCTTAGAAGGAGTTCGAAATCGAACAAACCAACGCAATGGTAACTTAATTATTTAATACTTATAATAAGAAGGAAAAAAATTAAACGAGAAAAACAAGAAGTTGAGGCTTAGGAGCCGCAACGATGGTTTATAGGGACACGGAGAAGTGACGGTCCACCCTGCGTCTCTGCGCGGCCCTCGCTTCTCTAACACACGTCAGCTCAGGCACCTCGCTCGTCCCGCTCTTCGAACGCTGTTTATCCTTGTTTAAGTATCAATCAATCGTTTTTCTAAGAAAAATGTTTCATTCAACTATTTCATAAAGAAAAGGTCACACAGATCACACAAGCTTTGAAAAATGAAAAGGAAAAAAAGATGGAAGAAAAACAATTTTTAGTTGATTTCAGTTTTGTTCAATATAAAATTGGAAAAAAAATCTTTGAGAAAATGAACGATTGAATTCTATGGACAAATGAAAAAGAAAAAAGTAAAAATTCTAAAAATTAAAATAGAATTTAGTAAAATCCAGAAAAAAGAACTGATCATTCACGTGCCGGTATCAATGTATCCACAGAATATCAACAGAAACTGAGAAATTGATAGGAAGCCAATTTTATGAACTTAAGGTAATATGCAGCACTCATTCATGAAGTTGGACAAGGATTTTCCATTTTCCTCATAGTTTGAGAATAAACAGCAAAATTAAGTTGATAAGAAAAATCTCTCGAGTCATGGAACAGCTTTAAAAAGCCTATCCAAAAACAAAAAGGCTACCTATAAGCACCAACGACAAAGTGATGCATTGAGATGATATCATGAAGTAATCAGAACTTTTTTTGATTTCTGTCTGGTTTACTGTACTACATTATGATGCTCTGAACTCTCCAAAAGTGCGTAGATACGCTATTTTTAGATTTTCGAACATTTATCTGTTTTTAGATTTATTTTTCTTGCTTTTTGGAAAAAAAGCTCGGGAGAGAGACTGCAAATATAGAAAGCTTGAAATGAAGATATGAAAACAATTTGACGACCTTCAAACATTTTTTTGTTCATGTGACTTAAGAAAACCGTATGTTGTCATAAACTGAAAAAAACAAACGGAAAAATTATAAAAAGCAAAATAACTAAAAAAACGTGTTCTGCACTAAGTTTGCAAAGAAAAAAACAGGTTTCAGATGTTTTTGAATCTTCCGAATTTGAAGTTGGCGAAAATAAAAAATTAAAAAGGGGTAGACATTTGTGAGGCAAAATAAATACAGCCAATGACAAGAGGGAGAAAAAAAGCAAAAAAAACCACGAAACATCTGCAAAGTTTTAAAATTTGAAAACTTCAAATGGAATACAACTCTAAAAACATTTTGCTTGTGAAATGAGTATAGAAAACAGAAAGATTTTGAAGGCGATCATCATGATTAACAAGAACGATTTATTTAAAAGTTGTATCCGGATTTTTTATTTTCAGTTAAATTTTAGCTTATCGGTCTGAATGACCCTTGGCCGAAATTTGAAAAAAGGATGTTCAGGAGCCGGAAGGGAAGCGGATCACATTTCAAATGATAATAGAACTTTTTCATTAAAGTTATTTCATTAGGGCTTTTAATGTGAACTGTCATTTTTTTCGTAGTCGAATTTTTGAGCTCAGGGGGAAAATAATATGCCTGCCCGCATCTCAAAAAAGAAACGACAGACCTGCCCGCAGAACCTCAGACAGTGAGCAGAATGAGGAGAGTACGAGTTTGGTCTCTCCATGTTTCGCAAGTAACATACATACATTACGGTCTGAAAAGATGCGAAGAAACTTTCGGTCACAAGTTTTTTGTAAGGGTTTACATCTTTCTGAAACGTTTTGGAGTTTTTCCAGAAGACTGCTTGTTCTGCTTTTTTTCGAAATCAAACTTGCTTTAGTTTTTTTCCGCTTTTTTCATCGATCTCAAGTCGTTTTTTTGTCAGTATAACTCTTCTCATCCCGCTGATTTTTCTGCCTATTTTTCACGAACCCATCTTAAGAATGAAATGAAAAAGATCTAACCCAAGTTTTGCTGACGCTAACTCCTGAAATTTCAAAAACGAGAGCGATCAACTTTTTTGGCTTTTTTTTCAAAACTTGAGTTGGGTTTTTGATAGTGACTGCACGGAAACGAGCTGTTGAACGCACAATATTGTAGCGAGTAGAAATCTCAAAAAAATCATCCCCCTGAAAGATTTGAATCTACTCCTTATTTCCAAGGTTGCAATGGCTTCCTTTAACAGTAGACACGTGCCAAACTGACATTGAGACAGCCATGTGGCGGACGTCAGGAGAAAAGATTGAGAAGAAGAAGAAAAGCAGCGACTGTTGTTGGAGCGCGGATCAGGCATGATATAGGAGTGGCAGCTGGTCGAAACGGGACAAAAGAGGGCGCCTTTCGAGAAGGACGGACTGTTGGTTGAGCCGTCCGTCTCAGCTGTCATCAACGTCTTCTTGCCATCACGTCATCTTAGCTGTGATTCTCCAGATGCGCCAAATTCAACGGAGCCCATACTTTTGGCGGTTCCTGATTCAACTACAAGTAAAATTCTTGAAAATATGATTTTTCATCACAGAATCATAGTTTCTGTTTTTTTTTGTTCAAATTGGCCGGAACACTCTTTGTTGTACATAATAGAATCGTTAGGAATCTGATTCTTTTTTTCGAAAAATTGTGATGCTTCAGTAAGTCCTGCGATTTTTTTACAGAGAAGTTTGAAAAAAACCTAAGAAACGAAATATTTCTATTGTTTGAGCCCCATTTGAATAACTTTGATAGGAACTTCATTGCGAATTTTTTTTTATTTTGAAGAAAACGTGAAGACCAACTGTCCTTGTGCAATCAAAGCTCAAACTACGTTTTTTTTTTTAACAAGATTGAAATAATTTTAAACTAACCTGTAGATTCTTCGGGTCTTCGTTTTGAGGTTCTCGAAACCCTACGAACTCTTTTTACCTTTTCCAATCCAAAAGTTTGGATAATGGAACCAATTCACTACAGAGAAAATTATGTAGTAAGTTCAAAATTGAAAAAAAAAATATTATATTCGAAGAGCTCAACTAATAGAAAACGACCAAGATTTCGAATTGGGCCGACACTTTGGACATAGAAATGCGGGAGAACGACCTCGGATGCTGGTGGTCAACCGAAATACTCTAGGACACGATATTTCAGAGAGCGGCATGTATTCGTTTGGACAAAAGAGCCGTATGTCTTCCGGCTGTATTTTCGGGGAGGAGTTATTTCTGAACACATTGATCTTGTATGCTTTGTGAAGGTGGTCCGATTGAACGAATAACCTATGATTATAGAAACTTTCTTTACAAGGCGTGAGTAATGGCTCTAAAAAAATTGAAGACGAAATCTTTGTCAAAAGTTCAATGAAGGATTTTTTTCTGAAATAACTTTTTATCACCATTCCAAAAATTTGATTGATATGGAAAAAAATGTGTCTTTCTGAAATACCTGAGTCCAAATTTTTCAATCGAAAATCCGCTTTTTCTTATGCTTTTTGATGAGCAAAAGTTTTTAATCTGAAAGATTTTTTTACAAACCTCTCCGAGGAATTAAGAACAAATTCCTAGATTGATTTGAAAAAAAGTTTTTTTCGATTTTTCAAATGTTTTCTGACTTTTTATAACTTTCAATTTTACGATAATTTTTTTCAAATTGCAAAAAAATACTCTCACACTGATTCATTTTCCTCTTTTCGAATTTTTTCATTCATTCAGAACATTTAAATTATCCTTTCACGTTTTCTTCTGCTACGAGATTATTTTCACAAGATTTATCTGGAATCATTCACCGGAATATTCAAATCAATCGTTTGCTTCTTTTCTAATATTTACTCAATACTTGCATTTTTCTCGCGCTGAATGACGTGATAAAGGACACCGCCTTATTGTCTTCCCGCTGTATAAATGGCCATTAACCATTTCTCTCGACGCCCTCGGCTCATATCGTTGTACTTTTCCGGAGAGACGTGTGGAATTTTTGCAGGTGCCCAGCATCTGAGTCTTTTTTCTTAGAAGTTGAACAGAAAAGGAAGAAAAAATTTGCACAGCGTGGCACCGGACACTTCAAAGGTGTCATTTCTCGCAATCCATACCGTTTCCCATTTTCTTTAAATGGGCTCGTTAAAGACCTTTAAATGTGTTAGATAACTTTTGATGTATCGACATTTTTTGAATTTTTCCTTTTTCATAGTTACTATTGTAGTTTATGAGTCGGTGGGAAAAAATCAAGACCACGTCTTCATCACGAAATTATGCTTATTTCGATATATAGAAAGTAGCTGTCATTGAGGACAAAAAGTGACCTTTGTAACTGATTGCTATATCGAAACTGATACTTCTCAAAAAATTGGTTTGGAAGATATTTTTTTCTTTTCATGATTTCCAGCGTAATAAAAACTTCCCATTTTTGTTTCGGGTTTTTGGAGACCATTTCTTGTCGGGTTTTGATCGAAAAATTATGAAAGTTGGATATTCCCAGTCATTTGGCTTCTGCCTGGATCGATAAGTTTCTTTGCAGGAAACTGAATAGTGGACGGTCAGTTAAAAATCAGCGTTTTGTTTATCAACTTACATTTTATTCATAAGCGAGACTTTGAGAAGGAAATTCAATCTCCTCTGTACATTCGTGCGTTTATTTTTGACCGGCTAAAATTATTAAAAAGCTTGAACGATCAATGAAATCACACAAAGTTTTTCGAATGGCTCGCAAAGGTAATTTTCGATTTCATTGAACTTTCCTCCGAAATTCCGTGAACTCAGAGCTGGCACCGTTTTTTTCTCGCGGACCCACCATATTCAGAAACGACGCCCATCTTTCCGCTCTTCTCGCCGCCCTCAACACCACTCAAAGAGACATCCGTCTTCGGTGCCGTCTTGTTTCTTACAAACGCCTCTTTTGCTCTCATAGCTCATTGCATCGCCATTGGGCACGATATTCGATGCGAAAACCCATTTATCACCGACGCCTCGCCTTGCTCCAAGGGGATTACTCATGTGCTCTCGGTGGCGCTTCTTTGGAAACGTCGCGGCCTTTTGTTTTCTATCCTCGACTTTCCATTTTTGGCTTCAAGCTTTTTTTGTACATCCATCATGAATCATCAATTTGAATTTTCTTCAGTGTCGGTTAGAACTACCGTACCCTTCCTTAAGCTTCAGTTTGCCTGCCAAGTTCAAAGAGTTCCTGTAATTTGTTGAATATAAGCTCAATTATTGAAGTCTGGTTTGAAACTGACTCATCCAAAACACTTCTGTAAACTTCTCTATGTTGCGGAGGATTTTTACTGCACTCTTCATTTTTATATAATCATAAGTTCTCTTTCTGCCTTTCGAAACGATTCATATTGTTTAATTTAAGAATCGTCCAATGAAAATAAAGAAGATAATGTCTTTCTAACTTTTGGAAATTGAGCACAAAATTAGTTTCTGCCATGTCTTAGTATTTCAAGAATGCGTGTAGTTTTACTCACTCAACCATCAATCTAACCTTTTTTTCTATTTGTTTAGAGCAATTTCCTTGCTCATGATCACTATTTCTTAGAACTTTAGGCTTACCAAGACGGAACTAGAAATAATAGTAACAAATTATCACTACCTCAAACTGGCTGCTCCTATTTTACAACCTTAAACAACTCAACCGCCTACTGAACAAACACATATCAACATGACAAATCGGCAGTTGCACGCGCCGAAGAGACAGTTTGGCATAATTAACGGGTCTTCGAACGGCTGCCTCGAGTCTGAGAAGAGCCACAGGTCACCGCCGAACATATGATGGCGCATATTGATGCTGCTTAACGACTTTACATCCACCCATTTCGAGCACGGTCCTCCGTCGGCGCGTAATGTCGCTTTTGAACTATTTTGCCGTCTCATAACCTCCCGCTCATTTCAACTTTCCTTCACAAATTGTTGCAGCTGTTGAAAAATCCAAATTTTTTGAAAATTATCCTCATTTTTTTTTCCAATCCGAAACGTTTCTTACCTTCTTTTTTATTTGGTTGAGTTTAAGTCTAAAACTGGAAAATAAAGAAAAAGTGAATTTCGGATTTGATTATCAAAACTTGGCTCGATTATCATTCATTTTTCCAGAAAACTGGTCGTCCTGATCTTTTTCTGAATCTAACTTGCGATAGATGTTTTCCTCTTTCTTAATCGAATCTCCCTTTGTCTTTTTTTGATATAACTTCAATCATCCCGCTGAGTTGCTTGCCTTTATTTCCTTTTGGAAGTGAAATAAAAAGACGCGATCTCAGTTTTGATGAATCCCATTCATGAAATTCTTTGAATTCAAAAACTTTCTGCAAATCTCCAACTTAAGATTCGAAGTAGAACAAGCTCAATTATCTTGGAATGCTTTTCATAAATCTTCATTGGCGCGGCTTGGCAGCCATCGTCCAAGTGGCTGATCGGCACGCGACAACAGTCATTTTTTATCGTCTCAAAAGTTCGCGACTCTCTTTTTTTAATTTCTTTTTGCCCTGCGATCCAAGGCGGCAGTTCGTGGCTACTAAAATGTTTGGTGTCAATCGATGCGGCCGGTGATTTATTTGCCGCTGGCGGTCTTCCGTCGGTCGTCGGGGTTGATACTTCGCACCTGGACTCTAAGACAATCCGATGAATCAGTGGGTCGCTGAAGTTGGACCTCCGCGTCTGTCCCAAACCCGATTTCCTTTTGATGAATAGCTCTTTTTAGCCGCAACGATTTCAAAAAAAATTACATTGATTTCCATTGACATCAGCCACGTGCTCGAGAAAATTGATGGAATCTTTCGAAGACAGGTTTTTTTTGAGAAAGTGCCGAGGTTTGAGATAGTGAAGCTTTTAATGAGTTTTTGAAACCAAAGTTTTTTTGTGAGAAAGTTTCCTGATTTTTGCAATCAAAATTTCTGAAAAAGTATCCTTGAATATTTTTAAAAACAGCAAAAAAAAAAATGAGAAAAAAAGGAAATGGAGACTGATATGAAGCATGAAAATCTCGCGAAATCTTTTTTACACGACCAACCAGATCAAAAATTGTTTTCTTCTTAATTCAAACTCCAAGAACCTGAAGCTGTCGTTTTTCAAAAACTGTTATGGGCAGGTGAAAGCGATCTGAATGAACTAAAGTTTTGAAGAGACTGATCAACTTTTACGCTAGCTTGAAGAAGGTTCTGAGACTTCCACAATTTTGTACTTTTATACACTTCTCAAACCTCAGTCCGAAGATCTGACCTAAACAGAATCCAGAGGCACGTTTTCAGAACCTACACTTCCCCTACCGCGCAACGGTTCATTAACGAGTTCGTTTTAGTCGTGTCGACTAAGATAAACTTGGCCAAAACGGCGGATAAAAACTGCAAAAAAATTCATATATTTCAAGTTTACACCTCGAGGGCCGTATTCGCTTCGGTGTGGCGTCGATTGTATCACTGAGACGAGGAACGTTGATTTTCCTCTCAGATTGTCGCCAGGGCGTTTTTCGTCGGTTTCGGCGTCCGACGACGGCCTGTCTTTTGTTTCAATTTTTTCGCGCACTTCTCGGCCCATAACCGTCGACTTTCATGGCCGCGCAAGACACATATTGGCTGAGTTATGCACGTGTTTGGACCGTAAATTCTGCCGCTAAACGATTCGGAAATGAGGTCCACGGCTTTTGCAGTGTGGGCGATCGTACCATTTTCTTTTCAGCAATCGTTCTAGCTCTCAAAGCACCTTTCAGGTGTTATGAATATTAAAATAAATAGTTTTTTTGGAAATTTCCAAATTTATTTTTCAATAAGCTGGAGAATAAATAATAAGGAGAATATAAAGAAGCAAAAAAACATTGAGTGAGCATCATAAGATTGGAGAATCAAATTTTCAATCAAAACATTATTTCAGCTGAACGACGTAATTCAGTAAAATGATCAATTATTGAAAGATTACATTTGGAAACAGAAAAATGTTTTATCCAGAGTTGCTCCAAAAAGCTTACTTCAATTGAAATTGAAAGAACTTGAGTCCGTTCACTTGTTTTTTAAAGACTTCCTTTTTTATCAGTTTTTTTAGAGTTTTCTTTTCGAATCAGCCCACCTGTAACCGGAAGCCAATCAAAGCCAGAAAGTAGAAGACGTTTTTTTAATAAAGAGCGAGCCGAGCCGTTGACCAAGCGGAAACCTCATTCAACCGTCGATCCAACAGCTGGAATCGCTCTCATCTCTCGCACTTCATTTCTTTTTCTCCTCTTGCCGATTTCTTAACGTCTTTCTCAATTTTTGATTTGAACTCCCCTTATCTCTTTCTCTAGGTCCGATTTGATTATAATGAAGCTCTCGCATGGTATGTTTTCAAATTCCTTCAAAAGACAAAAAAGTCGGTCGGAAAAGGAAAAAGTAATCATCAGAGCGTTGGATTCAGGTATAGAAGTGGAATGAATACTGATTTCGGAGTTAAAAAAAGGATATTGTAACTTCGAAACGTCAAAAAATTGTGACAAGTGAGCTTGTAGTTTTGAGCTTTCCGTCTTGTTCATGGTTTTTAAAAGTCTCACTTTTAGGAAAGTTAACTTTTTGAAGTCAGCTCTCGATCATCATAATCGGACTCTTGTCCTTAAAAACTGCAATTCAATAATAGATACCGCCAGAATAGTTTAAATTCAAAGTATCAAACTTTTATCTTCTGGATTTTAGCGAAATGAAAGAAACTCAATGGAAAAATGGGTCTCAAAAGATCAACTGATTTCCGATCAGTACTATCTGGAACCCAAAGACGAAAATTGAGAAAGAAATCGATGGAAGACGATGGATGATTGATAACACGTAATCCATCAGCGTAACAACAGCAGCAGCAACACGGCTGGAAACAGCAGCACTAGCCTTCGTGTTCTATTGCAACAGCTCTTTCCATCCCAGTTCTTTATTTCTTGAGCCATTTCCTAGCCTCTAGGCTCCGTTTTTTGTCCTCCGCCGCGTGCTCCTATTTTACACTGAGCTGCTTGTATTCGATTACTTATTCCCGGCTGCCGCGATCCATAATCTTTCAATTTGTGTTTGATCGCTCCTCACGCCTTCTTATCGTTTCGACGCCATTATCGCTCCCAATGGCCACTTTAATTGCCTTTTCATTCACTTCTCTCAATGTTATTCTTGGCTCCAGTCATATAAAACTGTCCCTTAGTTTCCTATCAGACAATGTTATTTTAGGATAGCATCATCGTAAGAAATCGCTCAAGGAATCCAAATTAAAAAGTGCAGAATGTGCAAAAAAAAAGAAGAAAGTTATTGGCGCCAATCAAAATTTTGGGGCAACGATTCTTCGAGAACAAAATGAAGTTTTGCTCAAAAAAATTGGAAGACAGAATGGAAAATTTTCAGTGAAGTCTTATTTTATTTCCGTTTTGTCTATTATACGCGCTTTTTCGAATTAAGCTCATTTTTGAGCCCTGAATCGTTTAGGACCACTAATAAATGTTGATTGTTCAAAATAAAATTAAAAACCGCTCAATTTTTGTCCTGGTCATCACAAAAAATCAACTAACGCTTTCGAGCAAGAAGAAAATCATCAAACAGTTTTAGAAATCTTGAACCATGATTCCCATTTCCTTGACTCCTTAACAGCCTATTTCACAAGCTTCCTGTCGATCGTAATCTCTACTTAAAAACTGCATTTTTGCTTGTTTGACTTTTCAGTGAGTCATTTTTACATAGATAAACAGTAGGCTGATACGTGGACCCTTTCAAAGCTTCTCAACAAGATTGTGTTGATATTTGTAAAATTCAAGAAAAATTCTATCAAACAATCAAACATCAAAATTATTATTAAGGAAGTATTTTTCAACATGTTCGTTTTCAATTTTTCCTTTTTGAACTTCTACACTCTCTGATGAAGCTGTTGAATTTTTTTGTGGAATCCATTCCAAAGTTTTTTTCTGCTTGAAAGAGACTTTTCCAAAAAGTCTTACAGTACTGAGAAAAAATTGTATCCATCACCACATCAATTTTATTATATTTTGCAGTTTGGGTGAATATGACTGAAGACCTTGAGAATCGTTCTATTCAAAGTTTCTCTTCTCTTCAATTTTTTCTCATTTCTCTGCATCAAACTTTCTTATAACTTTCATAAATACATATTACAGAGAAAAATTTTCCTTGGGAACTTTAGATTTTTTAATTTTTTCGTTTGTGCATCTTTTTATTTCTCTAAACTCTCAATTTTGAGGGTAAAATGGACGTAGACAATAATATCGCGCAGTGTTCGTCAATTCAAATAGAAGCCACACAACATGAAGTTCCTAAAAAGTGAGTTTTCCCATTTTGAGAATGGCTACAGTAGCGATTAATTTCGAATTGTTCTTTGGGCCCATTAATTCACAACTCTGCCAGGCTGTGAGTGTTGTCAGTGACTGTTATCAGTAGCAGCTCGCGTTTTGATAAGGCTTTGCAGGAAAAAAACACATCGATTTCGAATGTCCTTGAAAAAGAGCGCCTAAAAAAGCGATAATCGCCTTAACGATAAGATAATTTTGCCAATGTTAGCACTCAAAAGCGTTTGCTCACTTAATTCAAAGTTTCTAAAGTTATTTTTTTCAATTGTTTTTACTCGTTTTTGAAGTTTCTGGTTTCTTTCAGAAATTGTATATTAACGCCGGCTTTGACGGTTCAAACATCTATGAAGCCTATGAGCACGGATAACCGAGTGGAAATGTGGAGGAACCGCAATTTCGACTCCGGATTCCATACGATGAATCCTAGCGAGGTGAATCGCGAATAACTTCTTAGAAGGTTGATTAATTTTGAGGCGCCCTCAATGATATCTTCTCTTCACCCTTCGTCCCACATATCCGGTATGTCCAACGTCACAGAATACGAACAATCCCAACTTTCCGATCAGGTCGGTTTCTACAGAAATGAAAATTATTCAAAAAAAATCGATCAAAAAGAGGCAAAACTCTAGTTTAAATACCGTAATTTGGGCTTCTGATTAACAGTAAAATCAACGAAAATGAAGTTTTAGAACATGAAAGTTCAGAAAGAAATTATTAACATGTAGTATTAGTAATGTTCATTTAATACCAACAGTATCTCTAAGCAATCCTCATCTTAATTAGGACAATCACCAAGATTTTCACAATATCCGGTTGGATTGAAACTTAGTTTTTAGCCAAAGCAGGATCCGTTTGCAAAATAAAAAATAAGTCAAAGGCTTCTTAAAAATCGAAGAAGCCCAAATTTTGATTCTTCGAAATAAACTCTTGATAAGTTCTGATTTATCCGATCTCAGAAAACTGATCGAAGTTCTAACTTTCCCAGTCTTTGACACTTTCAATCCGCAATAATCGATATATTCGAAACACACTCCACTTCTAAAAAAGAATAAGTGGAAGACAAAAAACCCAAGGTTGTCACTAAATTGATCGGTCCGACACGTCTTTTCACACCTTCTTTCTCGACATTTTATTGCGCCATGACGGATGGATGCGCTCTAATTTTGATAAGATGTTGCCGAGAAAATGTCCACGTTCTGGAGAAGCGAAGTCACGCTTCCTTCGTCTTTTTTTCTGATCAATCAATAGATAATGGAGGTCGTTTTTTATGGTTACTGTTTACGTATGAACTAACCAACGAGCAAAAAGTTTATTATTTTCACTCATTTTAATCAGGACAGTTGAGTTCGAAAAAGGTTCGCAATACTAAATCATTATTTTGCAGTCTGGAAACGAATAACAAATGAAACTTAAAAATTATGAATATAGAAAAAAATGAAGCGCTAATTTGAGACAAAAATGCAGAGGCTTCTGAAAACTCTCTTTTTCACTCGTTTCTGCTGATAATCTTCAGTCAACTTCTTTTTCTAAATTATATATCAAGCCAGCGGTTTATTAACTATGAGAAATAATAACGGCCTAAAAAAATCAAAAAAAATAAGTATAATAATTGTATTTTTTTCAGCAACAAATGAAGTTCGATGGGATACCAGCATGTCCAGAGCAACAGTACGGAAGTGCAGTCAGAGCTATTCCAGAGCTCACGCAGCTCATCAAAGATAACGATCACGTTTGAATGTTTTATCCAAATTATTTAAAAAGCGGATGATCTAGGCCGTGGTTTACAAAGCTGTGTACATCATGCAGAACATTGCCAAAATGGACAGCGACACGATGAGAAGACAGAAGCCGGTGATTGCCGACGTCAGAGTGATCCATGCTCTCAGCGACGTCCTCCGCGACAAAATGCAGTATCCAGTTAGTTTCTCGAAGATGATATTTACTCGAAAACTTTTTGTTTCGCATTAGTTTTTATATGAATCAAGTGAGAAAATCGGCCTTTTTTTTAAATCAACAGCTTTTTGCTATATAAAATCTGTATAAAACAACTCAAAAAATGCAAGAGCGCCGGTACAAAAAACGCTTCGTTACCGCGACGCATTGAGTTCTTTTTTTGAATCAGGGCTTCTAAGTTTGTCGCAAGATTAGTGTATAGAGATTTTTTACGAAGCTTTCAAAGTAGAGCACTTTTTACATGACACATAATTTCAAAATATCAATTTTTCAGAATATCATCCGAGTAGCGTTAGGAACAATATTTCACATTTGCAACCGACCTGATGGAATTGAACTAGTAGCCCATGTAGCTGGTACCAGCCCAAGTTTGCTCACTCACATTGTTCAGCACATGCAGTAAGGAAAACATTTTTCACCAAATTTTCAAGTCCTAACTTTAGCACTGTAAACTTTTCTTGTTACAAATACGCGCTTTTGACTTTTCATTCGCTGCTCTCCGACCGACAAGCTGGCCCTGGACTCATTCCTATCGCCAGGAGAATCAACGCTCTCCAGGTGGCACTTTCCATCAAAATTTTATAGGATTGCTTATTTTCAGCCAATTGTTCGATGGCTCGGAGACGAGAAGAGCGAAAAACTACTCCCGGTGATTGTGGATCTTGTGAGAATCATATGCGATAAGCAGAATGAGCTCAGAGTAAGTCGAGAATGAAAAAGTTGAATTTCCCTGGAATTCGAGAATATTTACCCAGAAAGAATTTAAAAATTTCTCAAAGTTTTTTACAAAATTGAAACTTCTTCCTAATTTTTTTTATATTTTTAAGAAAGGAACATCTTTTCAGGGGCTCTTTATTAAAGCGGATGGAGCCCGAAAGTTGTTGGACATTATACAGTCTTGTACCTATGAAAACTTGCTCTGGAGATCAACACAGCTGTTGAAGTCTTTCACTAACTTTGTGAGTTTCCCCGGCGACAAAAGTTCTCACAAGCCAAATATTTGAAGGATGCGGAAACTGTTGTGGCAAGTGGGGCTAGGGAAGTTTTGGCTCCTCTTCTGTCTCACGACAGTGACCGCCTTGTTGTTTCATCTTTGGAATGCCTGAGGAACCTCAGCGATGTGCCTTCAAGAATGGAGGATGAAGTCCTTCTTCACTCACTTTTGATGCTTCTCGGAGTTCGAACTCCAGTCGTCATGCTCTACACTGTTCAGATCATCTCCAACATGTGCGCTAACAACAAAATGAACAAGGTTTGAATGAATTTTCTCATTTTGATCCATTAACTTGATCCCTTTCATATCATAGAAGACGCATATTTTTTCTCAGGAGTTCCTTGTTCGAAATCAAGCCGTTGAACATCTTCTACGTGTTCTGATAGAAGAGACGGCGTATTCGTCTTACAATCATTTGACGAATAAGGAAGCGCAAATGTTGGAAGAACTCACTGTTAGTTAATCGAACGTTCCAAAAATCCAAGTTAACATTTCAGGAAAGCATTTTGTGCACATTCCGACATCTTTGTGTTGGACACAATTTGGGAGACATGGTACAGCAACTCGTGATGCGACAACCTCACGTCTTCCTCGAACAAACTTGTCGGAATGCGTCCTGTCTTACTGAAGCACACTTTGAACGTACTTTATAGTTTGAGAAGCTCGGATAAAGAGAAATGTTTTCAGTTGCTATCAAAGTCAGCAAATCAAGACGGCAACCTGCCTGTGTTCAGAGATTTCCGAAGCGGAAATCTTTGTTTTGTGGAACAAATCATTCACATCCTAAGGGTCGCCTGTAGTCAACTGGCAACGGTAATGAGTCAACAATCTTGTTTCTATGATTTTCATGCTTCAAATAATATAATAATACATCGGAACGTTTCAGCATGATCAAATTGAAGGCGTCAGAGTTAGTGATCTGATTTACTTGTCTGTCAATTTACTGCTGTTATTGAGTCACGACGGCAAGATCCTAGACCAGGTAGTAGCAATTGGAAATAGGAAATTCAGAAAAAAGTTTGCAGGTTGTCTACTTCTTAAAGCACCCAGAAAACCAGAGGATCAATGAAATAACGGCTTTGCTCCCGATTTACGTATTGCAGCGGCCTCAAATAAATGAGAAACACGAAACGAACCACATTGATGCTGATTTCGAAGATGCTTTACCATATAGCGGTGCGTTTCAAACTTAGAATAGATTCTTATGTCAAAATTCAGTATTTATTTTCAACTCGGGATTTTTGAACCTTAAACAGACTTCTTATGATGAATCCTCGAAATTCAGATCGCTGACGACTTGGAGAACGACCAAGCTCTTTTGACCGCTCTGCACCATATTTCTAGAACGGCTGGTGTTGAAACTGGTTTTTAAACTTCCCTGAAGTTTCTATCTTTATTTTACAGCAAGTTTCGCTGAGCGATTGTACAAAGAAATCAAAATGAACGCTCAGCTACCCCAATCTTCCAATTTTTCTTTTGCAACGCAGGTACAGAAGAAATAAGATAGAAACCGTTATTAATGAGAATGCTTCAGCCTATGAGTGTGCCAGAGATTGGAAACATGCGAACGATGCTGGATGAGCCAATGGACGGAGCTGGAGAACAATGGTCGCAGGTGATTTTGATTCAAGAGAAATAAAAAATACAGAAAAATTGGCAGGACTTGGCATCAACTGACGATCCGTTTGCCAACGTGTTTTGCGGGAAAGAACCAGCTTCGGTTCAGAGGAACTCTCGTGAGTTGTTCAAATAAACGGCTCTGAAATTGAAAAATGAATTGCGTAATTTGGGTCCCTTATACACAGTGTGAATCTGCCTGAACTACATCTTGGTTCAGTAATTTTTGGCAACGCAATATCAACACATATCTAGTCCATATAACCTTTTTTGACGTTTTGTTTTTTTTAGCCGAGGACGCAACAGCTTCAAATTGGACTGTGAATCATGCCGAACCTGATTCTGTGATGCCAGGTAAACACTAGAAAAGAAAACCAAAAATTTGTGAAGTTTTTCCAGGACCTTGCAACTCACCATCTTTCCCCGGGAACCACTTACCTATGGTTGGACCGACAGTCATTCCTCATCCTCGGAATCCCTACTTTCCTCACCTCCACGGACCACCTCCCGGCTACTACCCTCCAATGAACCATTATGAACTTCCTTTCAATGGCCCCCACATAAACCAGAACTTTTCTCCCCAATACCACAGTGCTCATCACTCTCCTTATGCACGATTTTAATGGATCTGCATTTCCACCCAACATTGTTAATATTTTGTTTTTGAAACGGTGAACTGTTTTGGAAAATTCTATGGCGTTCAAAAAAAATTCTCAGTTTAAATTCAAGTACTTGCTGATTTTGAAGGGAAACTCGAAATATCAGCGAAAGAATCCATTGTTTCTGAGCCGCCACAGTTTGAACTCTCTTTTACAATTTCTTTTCTCTTCCCAGTAATTTGAGAGAGCTTCCCATCCATATATTTATTTGTTTCTGAGTTTTCATTGAAAGATATTTATTTTTCATCACTTTTTTCTTCGACTCACGGGTGCCTCTCTTTCTTCGTAGTTAAAGATACCCAAATTGGCCATACACCGAATGAAGCACTAATCTAGTTTGGATTTTATGGGTGATGTATATTGCCGCCGACAGGTCAGTAGTTATCCATTATTCTGTTCAATTTTTGAGATTACAGTCGTACATGACTTCTTTTATTTCATGAATTGGTCGAATAAATTGTTTTGCGTTTTGAAAATGTTGAACACCATATTATGTTTGTTGAACTTGGTAGGGAAGAAAAGTAAATTAGCTTGGTATTCAAAAGGAAATTTGAAAATATGATTTTCAAAATTCAAAGTAATGAAAAAAATGTTCAACCGCCATAAGTAAAATCATAAATTTTTCAAGAGTAGATTTAAGAACCTTTCGAACAAAGGCCGTTCTATGACCTTCGAATAAAAAAATGAGGTTTTTTTAATTAGAAAAAAACTTTATGCAAAGTCAAATAAAATTTATTCAAAAACGCGCTCCACTGCACTTTTTAACTCCGCATGCACAAAAAAACCGGAAGTGCACACGAAACAGTTAAAAAAAGAGTCACTTTTTTTGAATTTTTTTAAAAAAAATATTTTTTTCTAATTTCATAATTCCTCTTTTTCATAACCTCACTTCAGAGCCTAAAGTGTTACTACAACATTTCGATCTCCTTTTAACTTTTTTACGCCAAGTTTTTATAGATTTGTATTTTTTCTCTCAATCAAGCGAAAGTTTCATATTTTCAGGAAAATCGATTTTTTCGACTACCAAGACACATCAACCTCTTTGCCAGCTTTTGATAAAAAGTAAGTTAATTGTAAATGTTTCCCTTGCAACAAAAAAACGCTGTAAGCAGCATTTTTATGCGAAAATCAGCAGATATAATCAAATAGTAAGCAAATGCAGGTTATATGAATGAAGACAACAAGGCAATCGTGAAAAGAAACAAATAAGGCAGGATCATTGATTAAGTATACTTGTGAATGAATCAATAAAATTAACAAAACAAAAAAAACTCAGTTCTGGCAGCGTTTCAGAGATGCAACAGGCTCACTGGCAGTTGGCGACACAGCGCGTTTAGCACAACGAATAAAACAGAAAAGTATAGGGCATTGTGACGATTTCAAGGTAAAGTTTATGTCGATTACTTAAAAAGCGGAGATGGAGATCAGTGTTAGCTTAAAGGCTTTGTCTGATTGCGTCAAATGAAACGAGAATGGCGATAATTTAAATTGGAAACCTCCACACCGTACATCGTGAATGAAAATAGAAAACTGCTATAAAATGAACCCTTACGATAAAAACCGCAGTTTTTCGAAGAAAATCTTTTACTTCTGGCCTTCTTGTTCCAGACTGATGATGTTGAAACACTTTGTAGGTAGGGCGTCTCGAATTTGTTCCAGATTCACAACTTCCCGTTGCAAATGCGCAATTTCGGCCTTGAGCGATTCGATACGCTTCTCTTCTTCGGCCTGAGAGCTTTTGAAGCCAGGCACCTGAAATTGCAAATCAAAAACTTTTAAAACTTTCTCAAAACTCACGTCTTTTTCCAACTGCGCTTTGGACAAAATCTCATCGATAGCGTCGATTTCGGCTTCCAATTCGTCCAAATCGCCTTGGTTGACGTAATCGAGAGCATCTAAAATTAAATTGAATTAGGTTTATGCATTGAAAAAGTTTTACCAAGGGTGTCGATGATCTTCTTGATCTGACCAGCTTCGCTCGACACAGTTTCATTGGCCTCCTTGGCCGTTTTCTCAGCAAGAGCGGCTTTTCTGACAGCCTGAAAACTAGCGAGCTCGTCATTTCAGAGATGAAGTCTGGCTGACCTCAACAGCGGCCTGTTTGTCCGCATCGGCCTGTTCCTTGTAGTACACCAAGCTGCTATTCGTGTCACTGATCTCGTCGAAAAGTTGCTCGACTTCGACTAAAGAATTCTATGAATTTTTTCAAGAAAGCAAAGGCTACCTTGAAGATCTTCGGCCGACTTCTTGATGTCCCCGGCAAAGGCCTTGACGCTGTCGACTTTCTGGAAAATTCAAAAATAAAATTTATTTGATTCTGAAATCTTACTCCTTGAGCGGCCTTGACGTCGTCAGCAGCTTCATTGGCAAGATTCTTCGCCTTTTCAGCCCTCTTAGCGGCATCTCCAATCTTCTCCTCCGCTTCTTCGGCGATATGAGCCGCCTTTTTCAGCAGTTCCTCAATATCGCTGTGCTTTTCCATTTCGGTAACAGCCGCCGTGCGAGAATCGTCAATGTTCTTGTTAAACTCTATAAGATAACTCCATGTAAAGACTCGGAAAGCTATTCACACCATTCAAGACTTCCAAATCTGCTTTAGCGTCTCTTAATGTGTCCTCGACGAGTTTCAGAGACTTTTCAGCATCAGCTCGAGCTTCATCCACGCTAGCCATCTCTTTGTCAACGTCCTGAATAATTTTTTTTTCTGGGTTTCAATTTCTTCCGCAAACCTGTTGATGCTGCTTGGTATTCTGGAACTCCAGCTTCGCTTCAATCATCAATCTCTCCGCTTGGTCGAAAAGCTCCCGTCCCAGTTTCGATTTCCTTCTGAGTATTGGCAACCGTAGCACGAGACTCTTCAGAGACAGACGCAGCTTCATCTTCGAGCTGAAAATATGAAATAGAGTGAAATACTCGGAAAAAGAATAAAAACCTCTTTCGGATCAACGGAAGGCAGTTTTACACTTTCAACGCTGGTGAGAGATACGGCAGCTTGTTTGTTGGCTTCTTCAGCCGTCTGTTTCTGTTCTTCAGCCAAAGAAAGAGTACTGAAACCGGAAATCAGTTTAAAAACTCAGAACTTTTCGTGTACCGCGTCAATGATTCATTTAGCTGAAATTGTCGTTCTTTCAGTTCGGCGATTTGTCGGGAAAGGCTTTCTCCTAAATGGATATTTTGATATTGAGATTTTGATTCAAAGATTCGTACCTCCATAAATAGCCTCACTAGCTTCCTTATTGGCTTTCTGGGCGTTCTGGATGGTGTCATTGACTAGTTTCTCTACAGTTTCGGCGTATTTGACGTGCTTATCCGCTTCTTCGCGAGTCTTTTGAGCGGTTTTGGACATCTTTAATCAATAATTAAGGTTGATTTGGTTGAATTGTTATACCTGTTCGCTTTGCTCTCCGTACTTCTTACGGAACTCGATCGCCTTCTCTACTTCCTTCTCTCCTTCGTCTTCCAAATACTCCAAAGCTCTTTGGAGCTCTCGTCGAGCATCGGCTGAAATTCGAATATATTATTTTCAGTTTCCTAGCTCAGTATTTTTTACCTCTGACAACTTCCCATCGTTTGAGGTCAGTTGCGGCTCCTTGGAGCCCCTCAGCGGCAGTACTAACAAAGCCATCAACAGCATCCACGCTAATGAGAGCTTCAGAAAGTTCCTTTCGAAGTTGAGCAACTTGAGAAATCATGCTCGTTTCGCTGTACTCTAAAAAATTCAAAAACTTTGTATACTCCTACAGAGTTCCAAAATCTTACCGAGTTTCTTGGTAACCGTTTCAGAAAGCAAGGCAACTTCCTCGGCAACTTCTTTGATTTTCTTATCAAACTCGTCATCATCGACCTGAAAAAAGTTTCCTAATAGAAGGAAATGAAGTTTAAACACTCACTGGTGCTGGGTTTTCAATAATTTCTTTGAGAGTTTGATCAAGGCTTTTGAGAGAGGCTCGGAAGCCGTTGACTCGGGTCTGGATAAGAGTGTAGCAGTCGTCGCAGGGAAGGCATCCGGAGTTGATTCCGTAGCGATTCTCCATGCATTGGTCACAGCGACGTCCTTCGACGCTTTCACGGCACAAACATTGGCCTAAAAGGGTTATTTTTATTTTTTTAATATTTAGTTAAAAAGTTTTTTTCACGATCAATTCAAAGTAAAAAGACTATTTGACAACTGTTTGAACCCGATCTGATTTTTCTCTTAAAAAATTTTCAAGGGGTCAATCTCTTTAAAGCACAAAATATTTCACCTGTAGCCACATCACATTGAGGGCTTTCACTACCAATTGGTTCACAATCACATGGCTGGCAACCGTTGGCGCTGAATCCGAAGTGATACGGCTCGCATTGGTCGCATCTAAAAGATTACATCCTTTAGAGAAAAAAAAGAAAGTCATCATTGTACCTCAGGCCAGTGACTCCAGGCTTGCAAACGCATTGTCCAGTGAAGGCGTTACAAGAATCGGTCTCCGAGCCGAGAGGATCGCATTTGCATTCTTGGCATCCAGCTCCAGATGAGATGTTGTAGAAGCCGTGCTGAAATTCAAAAGATTGATGCTGAGATTTAAAAAAGGAAATAAAATGAGTTAAGGAAAGCATAAAAAATAAATCAGAACCGAATTAGTGAGGTATTTTCAAAGTATTGACACATTTAGCAGATATAAAAAGCAATTTTTCACTATGTCGAGGCTTGAGCGAAAAATTCATTTTTTTCTACCGCTTGATGGTTATTTTTTTCACAATGATCAAGTTTTTGTTTAAAAATTTTTGATCAATTTGACTTTGAAGCCTATTGATTTTGAAAAAAATTAAAGAATTTTTCTTTAGATATTAAAAAAATCTTTAAAGAGTTTGAAAAACTGTTAATTTACCGCGCACTGGTCGCATTTGAATCCAATGACGTTGGGAAGACATTCGCACTGTCCGTCTTCTTGGTGGCATTCCAAAAGAGTGTAGTCGTTGTTAGGTCGGACAGTTCCAGGAACGAAACAACTGAAAATTTTGATCACTTTGATTTTGAAGCCTATTGATTTTATCAAATAGCGGAAAATATTTGCAAATTATGCCTTCACTTTTTCCGCTAAGGTTAAAATTATCTCAACTCTCACCCGCAAGCTTGACAGTTTCCTTTTGGTTCTGCAAGAGCATCGCCCCAATATCCAGCCTTACACTTCTCGCAATTGAACCCGTCAGTGTTGAATACACATTTCTTGCATTCTCCAGTGACTCTAAAATGAAAATATTAAGAATTCTAGTTGAAAGTGAACCAACTTGTCACAGTTTCCGATCGAGTTGGGATCGGTGTTTCCGGAGCAAGCACATTCTTTGCATTCGATTCCATCTTTTGGATTGCCGAAGTAGCCGTCAGAGCATTCGTCGCACCTGGATAAATACTTCATGAGTTTTTGGAGCATTCTCAAAATTTGTCGAAAACTTTTTTTAATATTTTTAAGTTTCCAAAGTTGAAACTTTTTTTGTGAATTTTTTTAATGATAACCTTCTTCCAGTATAACCATTCGGGCACTCCGTACACAAAACGTCTCCATCTGAATGGAGAATGCAAGGTCCATCTTCAGGGCATGGACACTTCTGAAAGCAATTACTTTTTGAAAAATCCATTCATTTTTTTTTTCAAACAAACCTGACAATCATCGGCAGTTCCCTTGAAGGCATCACCATAATATCCACGAGCGCATCGTTCACAAGTATTTCCAGCCGTGTTGTGCTCGCAGATGCAGGCTCCTGAAAATTGTGAGCTAACTTTTGTTTCGTTTGGAGCTTGAGTTTCAATTCATTTTGTTTTGTCAAAATCAAAACAATTACTTCATCTTTGCACAGAGGTTCAAAAATGTAACGTCATTTTAAACAATTTTTTCAAGGTTTGAAATTCAATAATTTTGTCGAAAAATTTCACTGATTCTTACCACTTTCCGCCTCACAACTGTCCGAATGGCCGTGACAATCGCATTTGATACAACGGTTAAAAGGTCCTCCGTACTGGGTTTCTCTGCGGTAACCAGACTGGCAAGATTCGCAGAACTGACCGACAAAGCTGAAATTCCCCGTTTATTTCTGCATTTCTTTTTGATTTCTACCCAGGCAAGCATTCACAATGCTCAATCCAGGTTGCTTTCTTTGGATCTGCAGCAGAAGCAACAACTCCAGCGCTACCCAAATGGAAATCTCCGAGGTAACCAATATCTGAAAATACTTTTTCAAACGAAAATTTATTTTGAAGTTCACCTCTGTAGGAGTAAGTTCCGCGGATCTTGAGGGCAGTGATGTTGGAGAGAATTCCAATAAAATCCAGCTCATTGATTCTTGGATGCCAGTTGTAGTAGGGGTCGGCGTGGAGTCGGAAGCGGTACGTCTGAACAAAAAAAAAATTAACCTAGAAGATTTTAATTAACAAACTTGAAGTTCAGTAGATGGCATCGGGTTGCCTTGAGAAGTAATAGAGGTAGAAAGTTCTTGACGATCAGCACCAACAATGATCAAGTCGCTGGAAAAGGCGTATATGAAGTCTTGGAAAGGTCGATTTTCAATCAAATTTTGGATTTTTTTGAATTACTTAATGTACTTTGTACAGCTCACGGTGAAATAAAACGTATGCGGTGTCGCTACATTATGATTTTTTTTTATAAAAGTGCGACTTTTTTGAGCCTTCAAGGACTGCTTAGATTCCTTCGTGGTCGTTTTTCAAGTTTTATTCATTTCATTCTAAGACTCAATTCTGAAAAAAAACTAACCGGACATCTTGACCAGCTGCGTGTTTGGTGACTTTCAAGGTGAACACTAAATCTTGGTTGTAGCTACTTCTCTGGTCGCCAATGTACTGCTGAGGAGCCACAAAGTAAACTGGCAGGTTTTCAGTGTCGGAGACCTTAATTTTGTTAACATGAGTACAATCATTTATTTTATTTCATACCGCAATGGCTTGATCCAGTTCGGCCCATTGAGAGTCTTGAAGTCCCAGCCGAGAGGCGGCCATCCACTTTTCTTTGTCAGTGTTGAAGTTGCTTGAAATATTCGTAGCAAAATATCCATCAGCGGTAGTACAAATCGAAGAGTGACCATAGCAGAAGCATGGCGTACAACCGAACTAAAATTATTATTTATGGTTTCATATTTTTCAGAATTTAAGACCTGATTGTCCTTAGACAAATCGAAATATCCCGGCTTGCACTTGTCACATTGACGGCCTTCAACGTTAGACTTGCAGGTACATGTTCCAGAAACTGGATCACATCGCGGCGAGTTATTGAAAGATCCGTCGGCTTCGCAACCGCAGTTCCTTGATTTTTTGGTTGAATACTGAATCACGTTTTGTAGTCTTACTTGCATCCGTTGGGTCCAAAGTCATAAAAGCCATCAAGACATTGGTCGCAAAACTTTCCGCCGACTCCCGGTTTGCAGGCACATTGACCCTCGGAGTTGCATTGAGTTGAGAGGGATCCGACCTGAAGAGAAGATGTTTAAAAAGAGCAGGTTCGAGACTTTAATTGGCTTTAAACCCTGAAGCTATTTCAAAAATCAACGTCACTTAGTTTTTCAGAACCGTCCATTCTTCAGGCTTCAGTTCTACGATTTAGATATTTAAGTTTAAAAGCTAGATATTTTCATTGGCACTTATAACACTTTTTGAGAGTACTTTTACTAGAATCAATATCTCACCTCATTACAGCCACAGTCGATACAATAGTTGTCGCCAGCTCGTCGCCAATGATTTGGTACGCATTCTTCGCAATGGACTCCCTGGAAAATCCCTCTTCAATTTTTTTTTGTTTGTAATCAAAAATGGCTATTTCGCTGAGTAACTTTTCAACATTGTTTAGACACGAAAACCTAATTCAAATCCAAACTAGCCATAAAACTCACTTGAGTGTTACCCTGGCAATCGATGCAATGTCCTCCGTGGCCAGTCTGGTCGTAAAGCTGCTGGTCGAAGAAGCAGCGATTGGACAGTTCCGAGCAGTTGCAGGCTGTAAAACGGAATTTACAGTACCCTAACACACCAGACCACCATACCAATACATTCGTTCGCCTCACTAGCGGTACCGGCTTTCCACGGCCGATCGTGATAGAAGGGCAGACACTCGTTACAATCCGCTCCTGAAAGAAAATTAGAATATATCGTCAAAAAATATATTACGTTCAAATCTTGAAGAATTCAATTGTTTTCAAACAAGAAACATTTTTTATAAATCAAGTCTAGTGTTTTTCTCATCTCTTTTTGCATCCTCAAAACTGAAATTGTTAAGAATGGACTATTTCCAGAAATTTTCTAAATTTATCTGGAATTGGGCAACAGATGATTGTTGCTGTTTCTTCTATGAATAATCTGAATGTGTTCGCGGAAACCTTTTTGTAGTTTAATTTCGCGCCACTTAATATTTCTGCTATGAAAGAAAAAGCGATCTTCACCTTGAGTGTTGTGCTCACAACGGCAGACCATTCTCTTCTCTCCGTCGAAACTCGATGAAGCAACGCATTCGGAAGCGTGGCCGTTGCATTTACATCTACAAAGTTATCTGGTAAGCTCCATTTTCCAATGAAAAACTATACCTTCCTCCGACGGCAAAGTCAGAAATAGCGTAGTAGTAACTCCGAAGTACTTGCGGGTCTCCGAAGACCTAGAAAAAAACTGGGTTTTAGAGCCAAATATAAGAACGCTCACTTCATCTCCGAAGGTGTTCATCCGGTTAAGGACGATTTTGATGGCCGAAGCGGTAACCCATTCCTAGAAATATACAGTGAATTTCACATGGAAATGCTTCCAAAACCTGAAGAACATTGGAATTCTCGAAATCGTGGGCAGAAGGTCGGCCCTCCAAAGTTGAGAAAGCGATGTTTCCTCCGGTGATTGGAGAGATGTCAGAAAACTCCTGGAAACAATCACGAACTTGACAGAAAAAAAACAGAAATACTTTTGTGCACTGAGCAAAAGCCTCGTTTCCGGGAAGGATAGGAGCTTTCTCCGGAACTCCGTAGGTAGCACGGCAGGAGCCACTGGAAAAAGAAAGTTTTGCAATTTGAAACAGTTATACTTATCATAAAATGTTTTGTTTGTCTCTTTTAAGCACCAAAAACAAGTCATCAAAAATTTTGATAGACTTGACGTCAAAGCGCTTGAAGAAAATTTATCGCCTCGTCTTCATTAAAATTCTTTTATATTCTTCCAAACGCCCATACATAATTTCTAAGCAGTTCACGGGATAATAAGAATCAGACTCACGAATAGAACTGCCAAGGTTTCCATTCATCCTCAGGCGTCGTCTTTTTGTAAATCGCGAACGATTCCGGTCGAGGAGAGATGAACTTCAGCCGCACGTAGGTGATATCAAAACTTTTTCCTGGAAAACTTATCTTGAGCATTTTTATCAATTTTTTTCAAACCCAGAGTTAGAGTCAAATTGACGCTTTTGGGAAACTGCATGCCTTCGTTCATTGTGTCCGACTGCCACCAAGTTTCATTATTTGCGTTGTTAAAGTCCGTGAGATACTTGGAAGGGTGGGACAAGATCTGGAAAAAAGGATTATTTCTTTGGAAAAATTTTTGGAAAAAAACGAAACGAAAAAAGCCGGAAAGTAACTAACAACATCGCGAGCATCGCAGTACTCACAGACACTTCTTTGGCCAGTGTGACCGGATTGAACGCAAAATCTGAAGCATAAACATTTTTAAAAGCAGTTTTCAGACCTATTTGGATGCTTTCAATTGGAAACATAAATATTCTTTCCTCCATGAATTTTCAAAAAATTACCTGGTAGGGTTCTTTTCACCACAGGTATTCGTCACCTCAACCTGAAGGTTGAAAGCGGCGTTGATGAAGTCAGGTACACATCGTTGCGGTTGCCTTGTCTGGCGATCGTAACAAGGATTTCCGTCTGAGAATAATCAATTTTCACAAATTTTCAGGAAAAAAAAACGGCTTGAAGATTATGTTCAATTATGATTGAACAACAATTTGGTCTGATGTGAAAAAAAAAAAAAAATTCTTTGGGAAAAATATTCATCATTTTTTTATAGTTGTTTATTACATTTCTATTATTTTCCAGGACTCCTGGACTAATTTGAGTCAATTGGAAGTTTCAGCAGCGTTTTTTTCGATACAATCGCTTACTGGTGTTTGTAGTCTAACCAATGGAAAATATATGTAAAAATAATAGAATATTTTTCGATAAATTTATCACTGAACATTTATTTGTGTTTTTTTCCGAGAAAATGAGATAAAAAAACTTACCGGCGCCATAATGGTTTGGGTCAACGCTGGGGTATAACTCGGCCGGCTGGGAACTGGCGGACCAAGTGAGAGCTAACAATATGATCCAGCGCATCGTACGTATCTCCTCATCTAGCTTTGGACCCTAACCTCACTGAAAAAATCAGGAAATTGAAAATTGAAGTTGATGAGAAAATTTGAAAAAAAAAGATGAAAAACAAAAAGTTGAGAGATGAGCGCACTAAAATAGACGCATGGAACTTTTTCAAAGGAAAATAAATTTAATTGATCAAACAATACAAACCAAAGCTAGAGTTAAACAAAACGGTCTGATGGAAATCCAGGAAGAAGTTATCAAATTTATGGAGGATAACAATTGATTCGCATCTCAAAATAGACTTGATCCACTAGGAAGGGAAACATTTTTGAGTTCCTTGAAACGGACTGGAAAGTTCGAAGGTTAAGCCTTATACTGAAACCGGAAAAAGCAGTAGTGTCCAAGTGAGGACGAGTGGAGGCGGCGACAAGAGGGTCACTAAGGCAAAGGCCACAAGTGTACTACGAGAAGGTTCTTGTATTTCGACGCGGATCCTGCCGAGTGCGCCTGTCCGCTGCCTCGGCTCCGAGGGCTCTCTTTTCTCCGCCGACACCTTGGCCCCTCAGGCCATTATGTGATCAATCACTCGAAAAAGTTAATCGCGTCACATTATAAGCGCATTTTCTCACTGTTTATACAAGATTATGTGAGCTCGAGCTTGTTTGGAAGAATAAGGAAGTGACAGGTGAATAACGGTGAGGGTATGTGTGAAAAAAAAAGTTCACAGCTGGATTCAACGAAAAAAAGGGATAAATGATCCAAAGAGAGTAGTTTTTCTTGGAGTTTCCAGTATTTTTTTCAAAACTCGGAAATTTTTTGAATATTCAGGAGTTCATTTTTTATTCATAAAAAACCATTTTAAAGTTTGTTCAGCGGAATCTTTTTTTATTCAGTTGTGCTTGGGGTATACATTCTCCAAGTATCTACTCCAACATCACTAAAAAAAGGAAAACTTTGGTTTCGGAAACTTTTCGAAATCTAAAAACCACAGAAGGTTCAAACGGAAATCGTGTAAAATAGAACCCTTGCATTCCGTAAACCAAACATATACGCATTTTTTTCCGATTTTCAAGATTCGTCCTGAATCTCCCACTCGCCAAATCTAAACAAACCCATATGTCCAATCTCAATTTCTACTAAATGTAAATCATCACAACAGAGCAAAAACTCGAGTCGGTCGTAATTTAATCTTATCAAACTATTCGGCGCCAAACATAAAAGAAAATCCGAGTGCACAGAGTGCATAAGCGGAGGTTAACAACAGATAAAAAAGAGTAGAAAAAGAAGAGTACGAACGGCGGAGCAAAGATGTTTGTACAGGAACGAGGCAAAAAAAAGATGAAGGATGAGAGCAAAAAAAAAGATACGATTGGTGTTTTCAGGTGTTGAAAATAGTTTACGAGAGCTAAGATATAGGAAAGAAGATGGATGGATAGAGGTACAAGAACGCGTAAAAAGGGCAGGGATTAAGCGGTCAAATTGGTCAGAATGCCAATTAGGATTAGACTGAAAGTACCTATATTGTCTCTTATTATGGTACCAAAATTTATATTCATTTTTCATAAAAGGCGTTTCAATTCAGAAAAAAAAAATTGTACTCCAACATCACTGAGAAAAAAAGTTTTTCGACGAAGTACGCAGAAGATCAGGTAACAGTTCATAAACCTCGGAAAGTTCTACAAGATGTTCATCTACACTTCATCTCAAAAATGTTTTTCAGCCTTATTCCTACGGGTTCCACGGAAAAAAACCCGACTTTGTTGGTTTTTACGAAAAAAGAGGGTTTCCAAAATTTTTGGTGATCGAACCAAGTTGGAAGAGCCAGTCGACAAGATGAGATTTATCGGAGCGTGTGGGCAGCGGAGATCGATAAGGAGTACATGCTCGAAGTGTGGCGTTGGGTCAAGTCAATAGTGCCAAGATTCATCGGCACGGGGCCACGCACGCAAATAAACCGAAAGATAGTAAGGCTGGGGAGAGCCGGTCATCATCCGCCAAACAACCGCAGACGCCGCCTACTTCGAGGAAAACTCTGCGCTTCCCTCCGAACACGAAACCCGGACTGACGGCTGATAAGCCGTACTTGAACTACTAAAATTCATCTAACGCTGTTGAAGATCTCTTCACGATCTTTGATTTTTTTTTTGCAAAAGAACAAGGCCCGGACTTTTTGAAGTAAATTCAGTAGCAGTAAATGAAATACACAAATAATAAGTATCAGTCAAACTTTATAGTATTTGAATTGAGAAGACTGTAAGTCTTCCAGATAGGTAGCTCTGAAAAGTTTGTTTTCTTTTGAAAATTTTGACCAGTCTCTAAAAGCATTCAAATTATGATTAAATTATGAGGTTCAGCCAGTAACTCGACCAAGTTTTTTTCTTCAACTGAGTTTTCGAGTTACTAAAGTAGCAAAACGATAGGAAAACCTAGGAAATCATAGATTTCCCAATTAACTCATCCTTATCACACTTTATCATGGAGGTTGATCTTCAAAAAAGAAATAATTGAAAATGAGCTCCGCCAGTGATCAAATCCGTAAAGTGCTACAGTACCCGAAAAATGGTAAAAAAGCCGTCGCACAAATGAGTTACGACTGTTGTGCGGAGCTGGTGGAAAAACTCGCGCAGCTGTCGACTTTTTCTTTCATCAGCATGCGGTCGCAAATTCCAGCGCATCTGGAATCTCGGACGGCAAAAAGTCTGCGGCTGCGCCGTTAAACATCACCCTTTGCCCTCAGATTCCATTTGTTTTCTTTAATAAAACAGAAAGAAACCCATCTGCTCGTTTACAAACAAAATTTTTTGAAATGAAAAAAAAAATTCAATTATGAAGTTCGATTGGTTCCTGGCAATGTAAACAATGAACTTGTGAAATAACTTGATCTGATTGGCATAATTTTGAAGCAGAGAAAGTTTGAACTTCCAATATTGTTCCAATACGAAAATAGTGAAAACTGTTCCAGAATACAAAGGCAAGAATGGAAGAAGAATTGGAGAAAAGAAAAAAAAACTTTCTGAAATTTGTGTGATGAAGCTAAAATGATAGAAAAAGCGAAAACATTCCAAAATTTTTGTAAATCTCATAAAATATCGAGCTCGGAAAAACTGGCAGAACACAAAAGATCTCTTGAAAAGTTGCTCTGGGGCGTGAGTAATCAAACCTTGAAAATGCGGAAAAAAAAATGAAACGATCTTGTAAGCTAACCGATATCTTTAAAAAGAGTATTGACATTTTATATTTTTTTAAATATTTCAGGTGTTGACATATTATTTTTTGAGGCGAAAGAAAAAATCTGAAGTTAATATCATGCGGACAATATCATTCTACTAAGAGTATGCTGCTATGTATAAAATCAAAAAAAGAGGCTCAATCGTTCAAACGCCCTTCTGACATGACTCAATTGACATTTGAATGATTTGGAAAAGCGACGGTACGGCGAGAGGAGCTGAAAAAATGAGCCGAGTGACGGAGATGTGCGTCGAGGAATGTGGTCCGATGATGACCTCTGCGACGGACCCAACGCCTCAACTTGAAAAATACAGCACTCGACTCGGAGGGTGCAGGGCGGATAAGATTAGATTAGTTAATTGGGCGACATAAACACATTTACGCGATCCTGGAGGCGAACGCCTTTATTGGCTCCGACGGTACTTGATAAGATAAAAGAAAAAGGTAGGATCGTTTTAGGTAATAACATTGACAGAAAGGTAGAAAGTAACAGAAATGAGAATTTTCGATATTTTTTTGATCAGAAGAAAAGATCGAAATGTGGTTCATCCAGTATAAATTATCACGGATTTTTTGAGATTTGTAGCTAGCAAAGAGAAATTCAATGTGAGAAAAAACACCAAATAGGTCGCATAGGTTTTCAAACTTATTTCATTTTCGAAATTAGATTTAGACTCAAAAGAATTTTTGGCGCATGTCTAAAAAAAAGAGTTTCGTTAGGAACATTTAGAATTTTTTCTCTCTCCAAAAACTTCAAAACAGTTCAAAATGAACTCATAAATCAATCAAAAAAAGTTTTCGTAATATTTAGATTGTTGTGAAGACTTTAGTAGGAATTTTATGCGCCTTGATTTTTCTGAACATAAAAAAAACTCATGGAATAATTAATCTGGAGAAAAATTTTATACACATCAGACACATTGAACAATATTTTTCAATGACTACAAATGACACTCATTAATACACGAAAAAAAGATAAATTGTGGTATTTACAATTGAAAAAAATAAATTTGTGAGAGAATGATCAAGGTTTTGGTTCAAAAATTGTTCAGAATATTATTATTTTCAAACAGCTTTGACGAATTTTTTGACGCGCAAAGTCTCGAGTTAAGAGAAGAAGGGTATAGCTCGATAATGTTATGACTTTTCTCAAACTTAAAAACCTGCTCAGAATGTACTTTATAAAGATGAAGCTGAGAGGTTGAGCCGAGGTACAGAAGAAGTAGGAAGAGCAGAAAGGAAAAGGTGTTGGGAAGAGGTCTGGCCGTCGCAGCGGGTCATCGGCGGCAAACTTCGGCTCTCTCTGCTTCTTTTGTTACAACGCCGAGGAATAAATGGCACGTCGAGCAAGATGGAAAGTATCTGCAATGAACCTTCATCAATCCCTTTGCTCTTTTTTCCCCGATCTCCGCTGACTCAGCCAAAACGGCTGCTGTCGAGTTGTGTGCCGAGACATTATAAATTATCAGACGATCTCAAAGCTCCCAGTTCTACTGCACTTCTGTTGGCTGATTTTTTTGATGATCCGTTTCTGATCTTTAAGAAATTTTCTCCATTTTTCAAGTCAAAGAGGAGCAATTGAAAAGTAATCATTTGAAATAAAGTATGATTAACAGCTCGAAAAGGTGCAAAAAAACTATTGTTGAATTAAACAACTTTGAAAAACTGCGATAAGGCTTGAAGTTAACAAATTAGCTGCTGAAAATTAACAGATCGATTTCACAAATTAAAAAAATTAATGACTCAGTAAAGTTATCTTATAGTTTCTGATTTTTGCTAAACACGGTTTAGAGACGCATGAGCTCGAGAATCAAATTTCAAAAAAACAAAAAAATTTAAATATTTTTCCGCTCTTTTCAAAAAAACTTGGAAAAAAATTCTTTTTCCATGTACAAGTATCTATTAACGGAAAAACTGAAATGAAAAAAACTTCAGAAAAAAAGAAAGAAATAAAAAAAACAGTTATTAAAATCTTACAGTAGCAAACATTTTGTTCGACTCGGTTTTCAGCAAGGATATCGATATAATTTTGCTGACAAATCAAAAGATTTATAGGAGCAAAAACCTACAGTGGATGTCACTGCAAGATGCGCGGAGAGCAATCGATTGGCTCCTCCTGCTGATCTCAGCTGCCATTGATTCGAATTTTATTAAGAAAATGGCGAAGGAAAAACATACAAAAACTTGAAAACTAAATACAAAAAAGGCTGCTACAGTAGCAAAATTCGAAATTGTGATACAATGTGCACTCAAATGTTTATCAGTTTGGTTTTTTGAAGAATATGCTTGCTGAAAGTCCATATGAATTGCAAAAAATCTTGGTTTTTTGCGCTTTTCATCCGAACTTTTGAAGTATTGAAAGTTATGAAAATCTAAAAACTCTGTGAAAGGCATCGCAGTGCAAAAAATTCCTTCTAGAATAGCATTTCGTCTGAATTTGTCTTCACCTGTTTGAAACTTTTTCTTCCAAACTCAACCCATCCAGACACAAAAAATTATAGGGGACCAGTTCTTCACAGCAGCGTAATTGAATTAAGAAATGTTATTGTAGCGTTCACCTCAAAACTCTTGAAGAGAATAGGACAATCTATCGGATGCTACTTGAGAATGTTCATTTCATTTCACAACACATCTGGTATTTGAATGAGTGTTTTTGTATTTTGAGCTCATTTTTGAGACGGAAGAAGGTTGAGTCTCACTTGAATTTCTTCCATTTCTGGCCGTTTTCTGTGTTTTATCCTCTTGAGATGCTGATACCCATAAATCCATGTGAATGTTAATTAATCAACTCACATAAATCACTTGCGTGGCATTGTTTCTTTGTAAATTTCCAGTAAACGATCCAAAGTTGCTGGTGGAAGTTTTCGCATGATGTTCTTCATTCTTCTGTTTCCTTTCTTTTCCGGCAACGTTTTCGCTTGAAGAAGTTCTAGCAGCTATAAACGTCAGTTTAGTCATTTCACAGAATCATGTTTCCATAGGTTATTTTTCGAAAATTTCTTGTTGATTAAGGTTTTTGATGCACAAGAAAACCAGTCTTACTTTTTTGTCTTGATTCTAGAGCTGGTCGTGGTTGGAATAGTTCAACGCTCATTAATTCAAAACTTTTACCGGCTTACAACTAAGAAAAAACTGTCAAATATCCAATGTTGCTCTCCCACCCTGACTGACAGTTTTTTTTCTGAATGGTTGGATTTTTCTGCCGATAACACTTCTTAATCGGTTGAAAGGGTGAAAAAAAAATAAGTGAATGAGTTTTGGAAAATAAAAATAATAATATCTACTTGATTTGGAATATCCTCCAAACATGTTCTCCTACTCACAATACTATTGAACTGCGCAATTTTACTGTAATTTTCTGGAAAGATCCCTAAAAAAATTTTGATTGCAAAACTGGCCTCTTACTGCCGGTCAAAAGACCAAGTGTTTCTTGACCCCTTAAGAAAACTGAAGTGTTAAACAGTAAACTTAGGATAACTCCAATTTTTCGTTCCGATTCGCTCGGCGCGACTCTCAAAATGCAAAGCGGAAAACTTGATAGTTACCACATCGCTTGTCTGAGGGTCGAGACTCATCAGGAAGTCTTCGAGGCCGACGATGTTCTCCTCTTTGATTTCATCTGAACCAAAACCACTTAGAAAACGCTCTATTTTCATAGAAAACTGACAATCATCGCAGAAGAAGCTGCGAGAGAAGTAGAAAAGAAGAATAAGTTGAAGTCGCAGTTGCATTGCGAGTGAGACGCCCGCGGGGTCGAGGCGGCCACGTGAAACTGAGAACTTCGTCCCCTTTTTCAATGATAAACTCGTTGACCAAAACAAAACAGAGACAGCGGAACTTTTCATTACAGCGAGATGGTGGAATTGATTTCTTGACGCTCGGGGGTCTTTGACAGAATAGACTTCTAGTTCCGGCAAAACTGAGCTGTGAAAAACTGAGCCGTGCCTCACATCAATCCATTTGATACGTTTCATTTCGTTGACTTTTTCAGCTCAATGAGGCTATCATTTTTTTTCTGACGTTCAAAAACAATTCATCCGCATCTTCTTAAAAAGTTTCAGAGAAGATAAGGATTTTTCTTCCTTATAAAGGGCTCTCATTTCTCAAAAAAGAGTTCAGATACGACAGTTTTTTTTCCATAATATGATGCGTAAACGTTAATGCTTATTTTCTTGGAATCGCAGTTGGATTATAAAAAAAATAACATTTTTACCCTATTAGCATTGTAGAGTAAAGATGAGAATACTTAGACATGAAACATTTGTCAAATAATGTTTACTCTCAATCCTTTTTACTTAACAACTTTCTTCCAAAAGTGCAACTTATCAGTGATAAATCATCTTTTCACATTTCTCCCAGTTCGGCCTTGTTTGATTGAATTTCACAGAAACTAAAGAAACAATGATAAGCCGGTCAGAAAAATTGCCAGTTCAACCGGAAGTTTGAGAGAAAACAGTTTAATTGAAGAAAAGGCTTAAAATTTCCAGTTTTTTCAAGGCGGCGCTCGGTTTCCTTAGAAGTGTCGGCTGTAGTTTTTCATTAACTGTGCAGAATCAGAAGGTTTTTTTTCTGTTCGAGATGTCAGTCATTTAGGTTAATTGGATTTTTGTCAAGGTTTTTTTCTTCGAAAAAGGAAAAATTTAGTTTTTTTATATTTTAATAAGAGCTCTTCGGTACAATAATTTTTACTTTTTTTCCCCTTTCCATTGTTTTTTTCTGTTGCTGATGGCTTCTTAGTGTTGCCATCACGATAAGGTTGAGTTTTTGGGCCGGCATAAAGCTCAAAAGTTTTTCAGAAACTGATGCATTTACGGGCAAATCGTCTCACGTCTGGCGCTTTTAAAAATGAACTGACTCGGAGAAATTCATAAAAAGTATGAAATAGCTTTTTTTGAAAATAGAGATGCTATTATAAAAACTTGTGTGAATTTTTCGCCAAAAAACCAATTTTCAGATTAAAAGGTCAACAAACTTATGACAGAGACAATTTTTTCATTGAAGAGCACTTCCCATTCTTTTAAGGTCATTTTTCTTCAAACTACATAAACAATTAAAAATTTGGAATTGCCAGTCAACATGACTTTTTACAAGTTGAGAATCAGAAAAATGACGAGAAATACGAATGTCCTTCTGAGGACTCAAGTTAATACGCATGTTTTTCTTCTGGTCATCAGTACGTATACGACAGGTTAACTTGTTGTTTTCCTTACACTTGTTCTCCTATTCTAACAATACTACTTGGTTGTGGCGTAAAAAGACGTTTCGGATTGGCGTGGAATGGAAAAAGAACTGGTCGGTCTCTGGCCAAACTCATCCCTGATATCTGTATTTGCGGCTTCTTCCTGTTTGTAGGGATGTTTTCATGATTGCCGTGAAGATTTTACAGCTGGCAGTAAAGTTTTCTGTTTCTTCAGAAACGTATTTGTTCCTTTCACTGGTTAACAATTGTTCTAACTAAAGGCAATGAGAGAAGGTTCGAAATTCAAAAAATGAAACGTTGAATTTTCGATCGAGTTCAGATAATAGCGACGGCTTGAAAAAGTGCAGTACAAATAAGAACTGCCTTTCTTTTTTTGAACTACAGCAACAACGAAAATTTTAGAAAATGATGAGAACAAAGTTTAGTGTGAATTCTTTAGTTTCCATTTTACAATCTTGAACATTTCAATTAAGATCATCCTAATTTTCAAATTGGTTCCAAAGAGCTAAAAAGGAGGCGTTCATGCATTTCGAAACAGAAAACTCTGAATGTTATCAATCGAAACGAACGTTTTTCAGCAGTGAGTCTATATTATCTTAAAGTTATCGAATTCCAACTTATTCACCCCTTTTGAGCTAACTCACCAAGGAAAGATGACAAAATGAAAAGAAAAAAGTCCTAATCACTCGATGAAGAGAAAAGTAGCCACTCACGTGTTCCTTCAAGGTAGGTGGCCCCGATTCAGGCAAAACAAAATCCGGTGATTTTCAGAGAGTAAAAGTCATTCTCCTTCAAGTCGGTCAAAGACTTTGACCATATATCTTCTCCTCTTCGCATATTTGACTTTCCCGACCGAACCAGTTGCCTTGTCAACTTCGATTTCATTATGATTATTCAGTTCTCGCACGATAAGTGTGACACATTATTACGCTAACGCAATTCTACGTCTTGTGGGCGACGGCATCACCAAGATGGTCTCCCCTTCTTTGTGTAACATCGTCAATTCCCGTCATTTTTTTTTTTCCATTTCGGCCTTCTTAACAGTAATTATGTCCAATTTGAACCGTCGTCCACTCTTTACTTTCAATTAACTGTTGTTTTTGCTTTCATTTTCGTTTTCGTTTCAGGATATCATATTTGCAGGATCTATGAAATGTCTGAAAACGAGGTAAAAGATGGGAAGAAATCTCCGGCGAAGGTTTTTCCAATAGAGCCATCCACGTTGTACATCGATGATCCTAAAGCTAACACTAAAGGTGAGTGTATATAATATTATTTTGAACATTCTTAGTCTTTTAAACGAGTTTAGTGACTTTTTTTTAGCAACAAGCTGTGCTGTATTCTTGTTCAACTCTGTCTACTTTTCATTCCCCTCAAAATGGATTTTTTTTTCTTGAAATCTTTACGGAAACTTTCGATTTTTTATCAATATTGACCTATTCCTTCATCATTGAAAAAAATGAGATTTAAGACAAGAAATGTATACTAACTATATTTTTCCCAAAATTAGGTTACTCTCAAATTCACCATTCAAATTGACTAGAAATTTTTTTCCTTTGATTAAACTTCAAGCTAAAGTAAATGCTAAAACGTCCATTGATTAATTCTTTTGACCTCCTAAACAAAAACAGAAACAGTAATAACAGTTCTTATCAAGCACTTTCTCGTTCCATCGCTGATATTGAGCAGGCATAAAATGCGCTCGTTGACCATTCAAAAAATTATAGTTCATGAAATTTTCTGCTTTTCTCGTTGAATAATGCAAGAAAAACCTTCTCCCGCTTCTAGAAAGCTTCTTATAGGTTTTCCATAGCTTTTTTGAAGATTACATTCATTCCCTCCATTCAGGATATGACATAACTCCAAGCGAAACGGAGAGTATCACAAAAGAAAAAGGCAGTTTCCTGGACCCTTACAGACGTCTCTATGCCTTTGCAGACAACATCGATATCCAGGTATCACTTTGATATTTTTTTTTTTCAAAACTTCCTTGCTCAGCTCATGGCTCTGGGAGTTCTCAGCGCTCTTCTTCAAGCCGCTCTGCCGCCGTTCGTTTGGCTCGTCATGGGCAATTTCGTCTCTCTTTCTATTCTTCGCGAGGTATTTTACCACCAACAACAATTTCGCTCGAAAAAAAAACACACATATAAAATTCAGGAACAAAAACTGGGGTTGAAAAACTTCTCAGTGATTGATGAGCCCGTTGACGATTCTTTTGCTTCGTCGGCAATGCCGGCCTTCATTTCCATGTTGGGATTGTCGATTGCAATGTTTATCGCGGCGTTTGTTCAGGTAAAACCAAAAAAGAATGAAACAACTGAAACGTTGAAGAATAAATGAATGAGTATCTTGAAAAATATAAGGCATTTTGAAATTTCCCTGATGCAATTTTTGATTTGAAACATGGATGTAACTAGGAAAAATGTCTCTCATGAAGGTGTCGCTGTTAAATTCAATTCTTACAACTTTTGGGCTGACTTGTTCCCTGCTCCCAATCTCAAAGTTAGCCGAGCGCAAGAAAGAACAAAAATGAAATTAGAAGCTGATTGGGTGCTGCAATTCCTTTTTTTCAAAAGCAAAGTGGGGAAATCAAATTCTATGATTTTTTTGAAAATTAGTCAACTTTGATTTATCTCCATTTTTTCTTATTACTCAACAAACTTTGAACGTCGAAGCTTTGGTTATTTTTCTAAATCCCCTGTCCGCCGACTTTTTGATCAGTTTTTCTCTTTTTTCCAGCGCCTCGTCTGGGAACTTTCTTCAATCCGTCAAGTTTTCCGAGTGAAAGAAGCCTACATTAGAAAATTGCTTTTAATGGATGTTTCCTGGCTGGAATCCCGTCAAAGTGGCCAGGTTGCTTCGATGTTACACGAGTGGGTTTTTATCAGTTTCAAAAAAGGTCAAGAAAAATGTATTTATAAGGAAGCTCTTTTGAAAAAAACTCATGAGGAAAAATCGAAAAGAGCAGTTTTTTGAAGCAATTGTTGGTTTCTTGGTTACTTGAGAAAGTGAGAAATTCGATGAGAGAATCTCAAAGGAAAAGGTCAAGTGATTTTTTGATCGTTGAAGTTTCAAATTTGCCTCGCCTTGCACTCAACTTTCTGGTCTGATCGTCACTATTTCCAGTAACTCGCTCAATCCGTCATTCCATTAGTTCACTTCATAATCAATTAGGCTTCGAAGGTCGTTGAAAAAAAAAAACTCAAAATAGAAAATGATTTTTCATGCTGTCCTGGACTCAAACTTCATTTATAAGCTAGATGTACTACTTAAAGTAAACCAAGGTATTTTTGAAAAATGAAGAGAAATTCACTTGATTTTTGATTTTATGCAACTGAAAAGAACTGCGGCATCTACTCCCAATGCATCCATATCGTTGAGAAAGTGGAAAAAGCTTAGTGAAAAATAATTATCTTATTGAAAAAGAAGTAAAAAATGGGAATTGCACGTTCAAAGAGGATCTCAGCGAGTTTTACAAAACTTGTAAATATTTGCTTTTACCTCTTTAGTCATACGATGTATTTCAAGTTATTTTTTTAATTTTCAGACATGCTGATTCAATCTACAACGGAATATCAGAACATCTACCGATGGTTCTGTTCATCTGCGCTTATCTTCTGGTGAATATCGGAGTGTGCCTGTACATCCAGTGGGATGTGACCCTTCTGATGTGCCTCGCCATTCCACTCCTCATTCTCTCCCGAATTCTTTACAGCAAAGTAAATTTCTCAAGAACGAGAAATTTCCTAATTTTTTCATTGTTAGTGGTTTGCCACGACAATGCAGGAAGAGAACAATCTGCAAAACAAGATTACAAACTTGGTCAGCGAAACTTTCAACTGTATCACGACTGTCATCTCGTTTGCAGCGCAGAAGCAGACAATCAGCAAGTGAGAGAAAACAAGTTGATTTTAGACAATTAGGAAAAAATAATCAGGTTCGAGAAATTGTCAGCGGAGCACAACAGCTTAACTGAGCAGAGGTTACGGTCTTCTACAGTTTTTTTGACAGCTTAACACAGGTGAGAAAACGAATTATCTTATACGGACTTTGAAGAGATTTTCCTTGGAAAAGCGCTGAAAATTTAAGTTCTGTTTACTTTTTCAATATTCAAAAAATTTTTTTGTTTTTGAAGATGAGTAACGACAATTTTTTCAGATCTTGTTGACGGAACTTATTTTCACAGCCGCTATTTGTTACGGGATCTGGCGAGTTGCAGACAATTCTCCTGGTCGTCTTTGTGCGGTAAATTTCCTTTTTTTCTGAATTGGATTTAAAGATTTTTTCCTTTTATCAGTAAAGAAGAGATCATGAACAACTTCGAGACAGGAATTTTCAGAATTTAGTCTCATTTTTTCAGATAGCTCTCACTGCATTCTTATTCCCTGAATTCATTTCTTTTTCTATTTAGCTAGCCATCAACATGCTCTACATGTGCGTCACCTCAATCTCCATCGGCTTCCACATTAATGGCGCTGGAAGAGCGAAAGAAAATGCCAAGGAAATGTGCAGCATTCTGAGTAAGTGAATGGTTCCACCCTTTTTCTCTCAAATAACTATCAACTATTAGTCAACCCCGAAACAATCTATGATTTGCATTGTTCTCCATTTTTCTTGTTCAAGAACAATTCCACTATCATTAGTTTACAGATGAGTCGCCGAAAATTGAATGTGACAACTTTTCCATCGACGACCCGGCTATGCCTGTCCGCCGGCCCAAGTACCGACGGCAGAGCATGAAATTTATGGGTACAAATCAGAAAAAGAGAAATTGAAAAAAACATTGTGTCATGTTTAAGGGAAAGGAGCGATCCACTTCAGAGACATACACTTTGCTTACCCTAGTCGGAGAGATATTCAGGTTGGTTTTGTAATTTTGAGTTCTTCTGTGCATTTAGAAGGGGGAAGGGAAGGTTCGAGCTTTGCTACACAAGGAATGAAACAAGCAATCGACCTTGTTAAATTATTCGTTTGATCTTTTAAAAAAATATTTTTGAAAAAACTCAATGCCAGCTTTAGAAAAATTGTAAATTTTCACCAAAAAGCCTTGAAAAATCAAACGAACATTTCTTATTATTTTTTGAAGTCATCTGAAAATAATTTCAAATCATTCATAATTGTTTTAAGCCATTTCAAAAAAAAGAGATTTTTTTCAATTTACCTAGTTTCAATACCGCAAGGTACTTTGATTTGGCAGTTCAAAATATTTCATTTCCAGATCACAACTTTTGCAGGTACTGAAAGGAATATCTTTCTCGGTGGAAGCGGGAGAAAAAGTAGCCATCGTGGGGCCAAGCGGAAGCGGCAAAAGCACTCTCACAGCGCTTTTGTTGCGTTTTTATGATCCAACGAGCGGCAGTGTAATTCATTACCATCGGCTTGCCCCCATCCTTTTTTCTTTTAGATCTTGCTGGACGGAGAAAACATCAAGACAATGAGTCCTGACGACTTGAGGGGTCAATGTTCTCTTGTCAGTCAGGAGCCAGTACTTTTTGATGGAACTATCAGTGATAATATTCGATATGGAAGATTGGACGCCACACAGGTGGATAAAAAAATATGATAAGAGAGAAAAAGAAAAGTTCAGCAAGAAATCAACGACGCTGCAAGGAAAGTGGGAGCTTGGAAGTTCATCAATGGTCTCCCAGAAGGCATGAGGACTAGAGTAGGAGATCGGTTGGTGTTTTGTGCAATTTTTAAAGAAAAAGGGCCAGATCGCATAATCATTTTGTCAGCGGGCAAAAATAACATCGAGAAGTGCAGAAACCTAGAAAACCTTAATTTAAACGAAAATTTCATTTCGACGAATTTTTAAAAAGATCGATTTTTTTGTATGATGAACTTTCTCTAATGAAGAAGTAAATCTCCGGGAAAGGAAGACAAATGAAATTTGAAGCACTGCAAAAGACACAAGAAAAACAATTTCAATCTGAAATTTTTCAGAGGTCACCAACTTTCCGGCGGTCAGAAGCAGAGAGTCGCAATAGCCAGAGCTGTGATAAGGTATTTCTCAAATGTTTCTATTCAACTTGAGGGTTTTCAGAAAACCAGTGGTGATGATTTTTGACGAAGCCACTTCTGCTTTGGACAACATTCATGAAGAAGAAGTCCAACACGCCATTGACCTGGCTTCTGAAGGCCTCACGACAGTCACCATTGCTCACAGGTCCAAAGAGTATTCAACCTTTTGGAACAAATTTCAAGTTTCAGATTGACTACTATCAAAAACTCGGACAGAATAATTGTTCTGGACGATGGCAAAATTGTGGAGGACGGTGCTCCCGACGATCTTTTAGCAGATGAAAATGGACGATTCTACAAGGTGTTCTGAATCATCCAGAGCATGATGTAAATAAGCGTTCAGATGTACAATGACCAACGTCTTGACCACATCCAGCCGCCTGTAGCTGATCAAAAAGTTTCTTTGTCTCAAGCCATGTCCTTCACGGCTCCCACTGAATTTGTGCGTTTCAACAAAACGAAAGAATAATAAAATTCGAAACTTTAGGACCTTGAACAGCAAAGAAGAGTTTGGGCTAGAAGCTCACTAGGAGCTGGTAAGAAGCTTGGCAAATCTTATTCAGTTGTCAGCTTGGAGAAGGAAAAACTGGCTCTTCCTGGTGAGATTGATCAGAATCTAAATCATCGTTTTCCATTAATGACTGAATCATGGACATTTATCAGAATTTTTTTGTGAGGAATAATTGTTCATAATTTTTTTATATGAAAAAAATTTATTTTTTTGAATCTCTAAAAAAAGATTTCAAATTTCTTCCGCCTATACCCAGGAAAAAAATATAACCGATTCAGTACTGAACTTTCTTTTTTTAAACGGAAAACTATAAATTAAAAATAAAATCTAATTTCCGATTCTCAAGTCCTCTGCATTTTTAAAATTTTTTCGTAATCAAAATCGAAAAAAAAACGAAACCCAGCCTATAAATTTGCCAATTTTTCGATAAAGATAAGACAAAATTTAAGTTATGAGCAAGAAGAAGTCGCAAAGACTCGACTACAAATACTCCAACGTCAACGCGATGGCCTTGGAGCGATCTTTCGACGATGAGGAAGAGGTGAAAAAACAAAAAAGGATCAATAATATTCCATAAATTCAGACTCTTCCTGGAAAGACTTCTTTTTCAGTGGTCACTGACCTCATAAAGTCTTACCGTGAAGGACTTCCTCTTTTATTTGGTGCTATCCCGACTACAGTAATTCGAGCTTTCTTCTATCTTCTTATATGCTTCCAAGTTGCTTCAGTCCTTGAGGTTAATCATAAAAAAAAGAAGTTTTCAAAATGAGTTTCAGATCTCCATTGTTTCTGATGAAGATAGACCTTTGGAAATTTTCATTGTAGCGAGTGCATACACAGCTTTAATCATTGTGAAGACTATTTTTGAAGCTCTTGGGGTAAGCAAAATGGTAGTTTTTCTTTGAAAAAAGGTTTTTTCAGCGACTTTTCATTGCTTTATACGGACATGGCTTTTGCAGTTACATGAGAAGCGAAATGTTCAGAAAGGCAAGTAAAAAGTTTCAAACTGATATTTCATTCATCTTCAATTTGAACCAAAACTGAAAATTTGTCATTCACGTGTGAATGGACTATTTCAAAAATCTTATCAAAAAAATTTATCAGGAAGACTTTGAAACTTTTTGAAACTGGTAAAAAATGTTTTTTTGTAGGTCTTACGGCATGGTTCTGCTTATTTCGATGAAGAAAGAAATTCACCCGGAAGATTAGTTCATAAAATAATCAGTGATTCTTCAACGCTCAACAAAATCATGGAACAGAAGTTGGACATGCTCATTCCAGGATTCGTCTGCTCAGGTCCTCCATTCTTTTCCCGCGCTTCAAAAGATGAACTAATTTTAGTGTTCTCGATAATGTGCGCTTTGTGGATCAACTGGAAAATGGCGCTTCTGTGCTCTTTCCAGTTTCCGGCCTACTTTATCATCCGAGTTCTTCAAATAAAAGAAGGAACCAAAAGACAGCGACAAATGGTTGAAGAAGAAAAAAAAGCGGCAAACTTGACGACGATAGTTCTTTCAAACATGGGCACGATTAAGGTGAGAAAATAAGAAGCAGCGAGGATTTCGAAAAAGTTTCTCAGGCTTACAACTTGCAAGCTCATTTTTACAACGTCTTCACGATGGCCCTGAAACCCGTGTCAAAGTGAGAAATCATCATTTTCAAAAATGGACATTTTTTTCAGAGCAATGCAGAGACAATCGCTTATTTCGGCTATCGTTTTCGCTTGCCAGTATTCTTTTACCTACATCCTTATTGCAATTACGCTGTATTTTGGTAAAGTGATGATGCTGGCAAATGAAATCTCCGTGTTTGATTACATGAGGTGAGAAAAATGCAAAAACCAGGACATTCTCAGAAACCAATTAATTCTTCAGAGTTGTGTTGCTAACGCAGTTTGGAGCCAATTTCTTCTCTCAACTCATCGCCTCTGTCACTGATTTGACAAAAGCTCAAGTCGCTGCAGAAAACGTGATGCGAGTAATGAAGGAAGCACCAGTCGATATGGATAATTTGAGCGAAGAAGGTCTCAGACCTGTAAGTACAGTGAGACAAATGAAAAGTGAAAATGTTTCTTTTTCAGAAGTTAGAGGGAAATTTGTGCTTGAAAGATGTCAAGTTTCGCTACCCTACTAGACCAATCATCCCTATTTTAAAAAATATAAACTTGACGGTGAGTCGTATAATGATTGAAAATAATCTTAGAGAAAAAAGTAAAGTTGAAAATAACTCCGAGCTTCAGGTGAAAGCTGGAGAATCGATAGCTTTGGTTGGCCCATCAGGCTCAGGAAAATCGTCAATCATATCCTTGTTCCAACGAATGTACAACGCTGTAGACGGATTCGTTATTGTGGATAAATATAACATCAAATCAATAAATCCTGCCTATCTGCGGCGTTGCATAGTCACCGTTGGACAGGAGCCTGACCTCTTTTCTTTTACTATCAAGGTTTGTATTACGGAAAAAAGGCAAAAAAATAAACTTTGGTTAAGGAAAATATTGCATATGGGATGGTGGAAAGCGAGGCAACGATTGATAAGATCATAGAAGCTGCGAAAATCGCCAACATCCACAACTTCATTTCGAGTCTTCCCAGTGTAAGTATTGGAGAGTCAGTGTGATGAATTGAATCAGTTCGTACGGATGAGAAAAGAAAAATGCAGAATACGAGTTAAGTGGGAAAAACAGCTTAAAACTCAACAGGTCATTAATTTTAATTTTGAGAATAGTTGTTTGAAACGAAGAAATGTTCTGATTTTCAGAAAAATGAGCAGTGGTGATGATAAAAAAAAATGCGGATGGAAAAAAATTCTCCGTGTCCAACTAGTTTTTGATACTTATTTTTAGAAAAACTTTTTCAGATGATCATTCGATTCTTTCAGGGCTACGACACTGAAGTTGGAGAGTTCGGTGCGCAGTTATCAGGAGGGCAAAAGCAAAGAATCGCGATCGCCAGAGCCGTTATTCGAAAACCAGTGGTACTTCTATTGGATGAAGCGACAGCCGCTCTCGATAGCGCTAGTGAAAAAAAGTAAATCGTAGACGGAAAAAAAATAAAAAAAAGAAAAATTATAGGAAGTGCAGCACGCTTTCGACATGCTGAAGAAGTCGGGAAGTGGGTGCACCTGCGTGCAAAGTGAGTTTCGCTTTCAGACGGCAATAAATAATGTTTCCCAGACTGCGACTTTTTCATCGCGATTCTATAAGCGATACCTTCTCCCCAGCGATCAAGAACCTTTTCAGTTGCCCATCGATTGTCTTCGATCAGAAATTCTGACCGAATCTATGTGATCGTTGATGGAGAAATCGCTGAGCAAGGATCTCACGACGACTTGGTCTCCGAGAAAGGAATCTACTACGAAATGACACAAATGTCATGAGTTCATATCGTTTATGTGTACAGTTGGCTAATGTATTATGAAACATATTGGGAGGCATGGATTGGAATAAAAAAATAAGGAGATTAGAAGTTTTTGAACTACGATTGAAAATCAGAAATTTTTTTCGTATTATTATCGGTATTCAGAAAGATTTTACTCCTAGTCCTTTTTTCTAGTCCAACGTTGAAATTTTTTTCACTTCGCCTTTATTTTTTTCGTTTATTTTTCTCAAACCATTCTGAAATACAATCAGAGATTCTTTTTTTGCTGCTTTGACTTTTTTTTCGCGAATTTTTTTGCTTTTTGTTTTTTTTCATAGGTATTCAGAGAATATTTAAGCTTTTTGAATCAAATTTTTTTCTTCAATTTTTGGTGCTCTCCCATTTTTTTCGGTCGATGCCTCTCAAATTACGCCGCGCCCTCGTGTATGTCATTCATTTCTGTTTTTTTATTATTGTAAAATAAATATTTCAAACTTTATGTTTTCAGTCACCTTTCTTGATTTCAAAAACAATTGCGTTCAGAGGAACAGGTGAGATGGATTGGTTGCGGTGAGAGCGATGACCGAAAGAGAAGATAACAGGAGAATGTCAAGGAACCAGTTTATTCCCAACATTCACGTTACTTGCAACACTCGCGCCTTTTCCATTGTGTAGCCCAATTGTTAGTTCTCCATGACACCCACATTTGCTGATGTCCTGCATAAACTGATAAACTCTTCTGATAATGAGCACGAGCCCCTGACCAACTTCATCAATGGTTCTTTTGTTGGCTCAGATTACCTTATCGGTTCGGATAGACCAGCTACTGGAAAACAATGGATTCAGTACGTTTTTGGTTGATTTCCAATATTTCTTTGAAAATTTGCATTGGAAGAAAAAGTCAAAAAGTCACATTTGTTTCCAACTTTCATCATCATCATCATACTTTCGATCTCACTTGATTTTGTTTCATTGACAGAATTTTGCTAAACATTTGATAACCGCTAAAAATTTATTAAGTTTGTTGTTTGAACATTAGAAGAGAATACGAAAATTTTTGATCGTTTGCTGTAAAAAAGAAGTGAAATATTTTTGAGCCACGAAATTCGGAATTTTTTTTCGGTTGATTGCATGCTTTTTCTTTCTCCGAGCCTTTTTTCTTTTCATTAACTACTTCAATGATTAATTAGGCTTAATAGGGAAAACAATTGAACACATTCCGAAATTTTAATTCAGAGGTTTGGCCATAGGAAGACGAAATCTCTTGAAATTTTTTAAATTTCTGCTTTTTTTCAGGATACCAAATGCCACAAAAGAAGAAGTCGACAGCGCAGTCGATGCAGCACATAAGGCTTTTCAACTGTAATTTCTCCAATTAAAATAAAATTCTACTGAAAACTTCAGCTGGAAGAAAACGTCGGTTGGCTTTCGAGCAAAACTACTCAATAAGCTCGCAGATTTGATAGAAGCGCATCTCGAACAGTTTGCCATTCTGGAGAGCAGAGATCAAGGAAAACCAGTGGCTCTCGCAAGGTTTTTAATTTCGAAAGTTTTTAACAGTACTGTCTATCCAGAACGGTCGATATTCCCCGATGTATCCACAACTTCCGATATTTCGCTTCGGCCATGCAGCATCACGTTTCTCCGTATGGATTTTCGTTCAAAGTTTGTCATCCTACAAAATTTTCAGCTCGACCATTCTCGAAGAGCCAACCAGGGCATTGAATTATGTCAAATACGATCCAATAGGAGTTGCAGGCCTCATAAGTCCATGGAACTTGCCTTTGTACCTGGTTTGAATTTCCCTCGCTTTGTAAATGTTTGAAGTTTCAGCTTTCATTTAAAATGGCGCCAGCTTTGATCACTGGGAATACAATTGTATGTAAACCCAGTGAACTGACGAGCGTCACTGCTTGGGCCATGATGCACGCTGTTGTTCAGGCAGGTGCGTAAAAATTCACTTGCTACCTTTTTTGACGATCAATGAGCGTTTCATTGAATCCTTTTGTTTTTTTTTCTTTTTAAAAAAAAAGTTCGATTTTAGTGTTAAAGTTTCAATAACTTGGAAAAAAACTTTTATGTTTTTGGATAAACCGTTTAAAAATTTTTTTGTTGTTAGCTACAAAAAGCCAGATCCGAGGTTAATCTGAATCCATTTTGTGTTGAATTTTTATCCTAGTCCCTGAAAAATTGAATCTTCAGGGTTTCCGCCTGGCGTTGTGAACTTGGTAATTGGCAAAGGTGATGTCGCCGGAAACACTCTAGTCACTCATCCTCTGACTCCTCTGATCAGCTTCACTGGAAGTTAGTTGATCTTCTTATTTTCAACTTATCAAGTGTTTTTGTTATTAATAATTTTTTTTCAAAAGATTTAAGTCACTTTTTCAATTTTTTTGTGGAAAAGGATATCTCTACTTGGGGTGTTCCTGAAACGAGGATTATTAAATTCTGAATATTTTTCATTTTAATCGGCTCATATTAGTTTGTCGTTTGACTTTAATAGAAAATATATGAAGAACATAAAAAAATATCTTATTTTTTTGAGGTACCCTCATCGGCAAACGAATTGGCGAATTAGGAGCCAAGTTGAACAAAAAAGTGTCCTTGGAAATGGGTGGTAAGAACGCGGCTGTTATCTACGCAAGCGCCAATTTGGATCGAGATCTACCGCTAATTACCCGGTTCAAAAAATGATCGGGGTTGTATAACAAGAAAAGATTACAGATCATGTTTCTTGAACCAAGGAGAAATCTGCTTGTGTACCAGCCGCATTTTCGTTCAGAGATCCATCGCTGAGGATTTTCTGAGCAGATTGGTTGAACAAGCTCAAAAGGTGAAGCTCAAAATTCAACTGTTTTCAAGTGGAAATAGAAAAATTAAAAAAGCTCACACTAGGAAAGGTTTTACTTTACATTTTACTTGACATTTTTTCGAGAAACATTTTTCAATTTTTTTGAAAATCTCGCTTTTTTTGTTATGAAAGTTGCTCTAAGACTATTGTTATCAAAAAGAAATTCACAGAACATGGTTTTTTTTTCAGCTCACTGTTGGTGATCCCAATAAGCAGTTCGACCTCGGAGCAATGAACTCCAAAGTTCATTTTGACAAAGTAAGCAATTATCATCCGAACAGATATAGAAATTTTTAAAGGTCTGTCGATATATCGCGTCGGCCAAAAAAGGAGGCGGTACAGTGCACTGTGGAGGAGTTGTCAAGCTTGAAGGACCTCATTCCGAGGTTATTCAGTTTGATTATTGGGTTTGAACATTTTTCAGGGTTTCTTTATCGCGCCCACTGTTATTTCTGGCCTTGCAGACGACAGCGACTGCATGACGGAAGAAATATTCGGACCAGTCGTTTGTGTCGCAGTTTTCGATGAAATGGAGGTAAATTAATACTTTTGAATAAACGCATAACGTTTTTTGATCATCAGAAAATGACATTATTTCGGCCGCAATCAAAAAGAAGCACAAAACTTTTCTTTATATCCTTGGTTTTGAAACCAACAACCTTGGGAAACAAAAATATTATGTTGAGGTTTTAAATCTTCTGAGTTGTTATCTGTTACACATGATTCTCATTGATAAGAAAGAGTAACGGAAGTTTCCAAATTTTTAGGAAGTGGTCGAAAGAGTAAACGAATCTGAGTACGGACTTTCCGCAACTGTCTGGAGCACTCATTCGGAAGAACTGATGAATACAGCCAACTCGCTCCGAGTCGGTACAGTTTGGTGCAACACTTGGATGGTAAGAGAAAAACAAACTTGATAAAAAAAAAGAAAAAATTTTCGACTCGCGATTTGAACATGCCTTTCGGGGGCTGCAAACAATCTGGAATCGGTCGAGAAGGCGGCTTCGACTCGCTTCACTTCTTCTCCGATGCAAAAACTGTTTGTATTCGCTTGTAAAATAATTGGAATTTCGGACTAAAAAGATTTGATAAAGTTTATTGCTGTATATTCACATTTCAAAGCACATTTGAAACCCGTAATGGATATTGAGGTGGGACTAAATTTCCCAAGTTTTAAGTATATTGACATTTGGTCTGAGGTTTGTTCATATTAATCTCTCTTGCGTGGGCAGCTTCATGATTGAGTTGATCTGAAAAAGGATAGGAGCGTTATAAATATTGAGATGGTTGAATGAATTCGGTTTTTTTTACTTTTTTTTCTTCGTTCTTATATCTGATTTTGGAGGTGGATTGCGTTGACATAAAAGAGTAGCTCGACTTTTTGATTTTTAATTTTTTGAACGCATCGATAATGACTCAGGTTCCAATTTCGGGGAAGAGAGTTCAAAATAGTATTCAAAAAAAATTCCCATAGAGCTTGAGTCATTTCCTTAATGATTTTCGCTCAAAAAAAACTCACAGGTATCCTATTCCCGTAGGTTTCTTGAGTACTTGGACTGTACTGCCCATGCATCGCGTTATTTCCTTTCATCACGAAAAGAAACAGTAAACATCCAATAACTGATAAAACACAAAAAACGGCGATTGCCGGCCCGAGGATGTAGCCAATCGCAAAAAGCTTCTTCTCTTCGATCTGAAAAAAAAGAAAAATTTTGAATTTTGAAAAGGAAATTAACCTTTGTTCTACACCGAGCGCCAGTGTAACCACGGTCACAAACGCATTCGTAGCTCACTTGTTCGTGTCCCATTTCAAGCTGAACCACATTTTTGGATTAAAGTTGGTTGATTCGATTACCTTAACAACTGGATTTATACATCTTCCATGGACGCATGTGTGTAAAGTTTGATTTTTATCGTTAGGAATGCAAGGATTTACCATTGAGCAACGCGTTCCGATGTAACCTGAAATGTCGAAGAAGTCTCTGAGAACAATTCGTGAATACCTGGGCTACAAGTGCACTTATAGCCGCCATGGGCGTTTTTACATTTTCCATTAATACAATTTTCAGCCGTTTGGCATTCGTCGACGTCTTCTGTGCAGTTTTTACCTGGAAAAAAAATTTTAGTATTGATCAAAGAAAAAATTGGGAACAGTTATGTGAGTTGACTCAAAAGTTAGTAACATCAATTTTCTTTTGAAAAAATTTTGGATTACGGTCTTGAATAGGCTTGAAAGGGAATTTTCCACATATAAATTTCTTCTGGATTTCGTGAAATCAGACTTTGTTAGTTACTAAAAATCGTTTCGGTGCTAATCTTTGCATCACTCAGCTTTTGAGAAATTTTTTTCTCTTTTTTTTTCAGAAAAACCTTTGAAACCGGTGTTTGTACAAACGCATTCGTAATCATTGACGTGATCCTTGCATTTGGCTCCATTTCCACAGTATCCCAAAGCGCATTCATCGATGTCTGTCTCACATTGTAGACCTGAAGCTCCTTTTTCCATTTCTATCAATTTCCAAGCCTCAAACCATCGAAACCAGGGATGCAATGACATTTCGGACCGCTCAGTAGGGATTCGCAAGATCCACCGTTAATACAGGGCTTCTTCGCGCAGAAATCGATGCGTTTCTAAAAAACTCGTTGGATATTTATTTTTGCTTTGCTTTATCCGCCAATAATCTTGAAGAATCAGGTTTTTTGATTCACAGTTGGGATCGGTGAAATCTTTGCAGACCGTAGATTTAACCTTGAAGGCTTCAAAAACTAAGTCGAGATATTTTTTAGTAACTTCTCTTCTTTCAAACATTGCCAAACCATTTTCGGAAAGTTAACTCACGTCGCATTTAGGACCTTCATAGCCTTGTGAACAACTACAGGCGTGTTTTTCAAACGTAATCTGTAGACATTCTCCGTTGACGCAAGGATTTTGCAAGCAGCTCCCTTCCACTTCACATCGATCGCCTAAAACTTTTCTATTTTGATGAACTTTTTAAAATTACCATACCCAGGTAGTACTTGGGACAGCGACAATTGAACCCATTGGGATTGGAAAGGTTACTTTCACAGACTCCATCATTCTCACAGGGAATATCAAAGCATTTGTTGCTTGCATGTTCGCAATTGGAGCCTCGCCAGTTCTGGAAGTTTGGTTGAGTTGACGGTCGAAAAAAAAAGAACTGTAACAAACCTTTTCACACTCGCAAATTGTATTGTTCCAGACAGGTTGGCAAGATCCTCTTTTATTACATGTGGCCTCGACGCAATAGTCCACAACTTTCTCACAATAAACCCCTGCGAAGCCTGAAATGTTTTTTTATATCATTTAATATGTAAAATTAGCGCAGATTGAGATTTTTGAAATCTTGTTCGGAATGCCATTGTGTTATTTTTTTCACATTATCGGCGAAAATGTGTAAAAAAAGACAGTCGTTAATATTTTTTTATCGAATTTATCTCATATTGGCGGTAAAGAGATAGTAAGCTAAAAAAATATTCTGAGCTCCAAAAGAAAGTTATAACTTCCTCTGGAAAAAAATAAATCGTTTTTTTGGGTATTTATGCTCCACTGATTTTTTTATTCCTTTTCCTTGAAAAAACAAACCTTTGTCACAAACACACTGAGGGCCATCCGCCCCATCAATACAATGTCCATGGTCACAGTCATAATCTTCACATTGGTTCAATAACTTTTCCTCGCAAAGTTCTCCACCAAAAGCATTGGCACACTGGCACAAAAAGCCATTCTGAATAACAGCTTCACTCTTCGATTTTCATTTCCACCAAGAAAAACCTCTTGTTGAGAGCAAATTCCTTTGTTCCGACACGGTTGATCAACGCATTTCGAGGTCTTCTGAAAAAAATTTTTTTAGTTGATCTCAATGAAAGTTAATTTTTCGAAAAATCCAGCATTTTTTCTTTGATATTTCATATCACAAAAAATAATAGTCTGAATCTGAAAAAAAAAACACGTAACTACCCACAGTCACATTGCAGAAAGATCCAATCCAGCCTTCCGAGCAGTCACACTTTACTTTTCCGTCTTTCTTTACGCATTGACCTTCATTTTGACACTGGAGTCCTTCACAATTATCCAATGGTTCATCACAAAGTTTTCCGCCGAATCCAATGGAACATTCGCATCTTGAATGAGATTTTCATAGTTTCATATCAATTTTGGTTATCATACCGAGCTTCGTTGATTCCGTCAATACAGTTGCCATGTAGACAGTTGATATTCTGACACTCGTTGATGTTCTCTTCGCAATGATCTCCGCTGAAGCCTGGAGCGCAGTTGCACTTCCTCTGAAACTGGCAAGCTTTTAAAAATTTATTTCGGTTAAAAATCCTCGAAGAATTTTTCGATATAGTGTTATCCGTGCAAAGTCTCGATTTTTCAAACTTTGAACGAACCTTATTCCACATATCGACACATGTTGCTCCATTAAGGCATGTTGAATAAATTCCGCATTGTTCGGAAGATATACAAGTTGTTGAAGTCTTAACTTATTTTTTATTTCGGCATTTTTTTTGTTTAGCACCTTTGTTTTGTTTTTCAGAACCCAAAAATCTTCCGTTGTCGGCACAGTTTGGTTGAGGAATGAGAGCATTGGATAATCACCAATAGTCACGTTCTCCAAGCAGCCGAACACAGCTTCTGTAGATTGGTGACCAAAAATGATAGTCGCTCGTTTGCTTCGTCCATTTGAGAAGATCTTTTTTGCTATGTCTTAATAAAAACTTGATAAGTAAGGGTATTTTAATGAAAAACTAACTGAAAGATTTGCCATCGATGAATATGCGTTCTGATAGGATTTTGATCTGATGCCATTCGCCATCCGAAATAATCTTATCAAATTTGAAAGTGCTCCCAATGGATAAAAGCAATCGACGGTTTTCAACGTTCATTGAGATTTTTTCATTGTTCAGAAGCTGAAATTCACCTTTTTTTAAATATGTTGAGGGTTTTGTCATACCAATGTGAAAAGATGACCTTTCGAGGAATGCGTTCTTATAGCCAACTCCATCTTTGGAATAACAATGGCTGAGAAGCTATTCAGCTCGTATTTCACGAAACTTTCGTTTCCAATCGTTATTGATGATGTGCCTGGAAACTTGGAAAAGTGATGTTTCAAAGAGGAAATCGTACAATAATGGCCTTTGTCTGCGTTTCGACAACGGAATCCAGAAGGACAGATGTTTTGAGAGCAAAAGTCGACTTTATCGCATCTCTTTCCGTAGTATCTGAAATAATGGCTACATTTTATGGCGATTTATTTCAAAGAATGTTTCATTTCTTTGAAACATCAAGAAAATCTCACCCTGGCTGACAAGAGCACTCAAAATCGTTAAACGTGTCCTTACAGTTGCCATAAAGACAAGTTTCAGGAGTGCAAACGATGTCAGACACTTCTCCCTAGAATCATAAAATTGAGTTTTCTTTTTGTAGTTTATTGATTACTTCCAAGACGTTGTTGTCTTTCACCAAAGTTCCCAGGGAGTTGACAGCAAGAAGAGTCGGATGCACGACCAAAGACTTCTCATTGATTTGAATGTCCCGAAGCCAGCCTGGAACTCTCCGATTTCATTTCAAAGTCTTTATTAATGAAATTTCAACCTTTGTAAAAGTTGTTAGGCGTGATAGAGCGGTTGGTGACGCCAAGGGAGATCTGTTCCACGTAAAAGTCTTGACCAAATCTTGACTTTGCTGGGATGGAAGTTTCCAGATTTTCGTCGATGTACAGCTGAAATTGGAGTCTTTCTTTTGAATATCTTTTTTTCTTTTTGTTTTCTACAAGACGAAAAAGTCCGTTTACAGGCACTTATTTCAAAAACTCTACTCGCAATACTTTCAAAATTTTAATCTGCCACACTTTATAGAAATTTTTCTTAACATACCTGAAGAAGATTCTTGTTGTAATTCACACGAATCAGGTGCTGTTCGTTATTTGTTACAAAGGTCTTACTCAAGGCTGATACTTCTCTAAGTCCGCCACTCTTCAGTCGAGCTGAAAACTTTCAATCGCAATATTCAAAATTTTCGAGGGTACCTTGCAAAAAACCGTTGATCAGTTCAACTGTGAAATAATTTGAAACGCCGTCTGAACTTGGCTTTTCTCCAAGAAGCAACAGTTCCCCGTCGTTTTTGTTTGACCTCATAAGAAATTGGACGTCGATTGAGTTCCGCAACAGCTGGTTCTCGTGCTCGGCCACGCTACAATTAAATTCAGGTTGATTAACCTTGATTTATGGGTCAAATAACGTTGTTTGATACGATAATTAATGAGAACCTTAATAGAACTGTGATTAGCAAAAATTTTTAGATTTCTCTGCAGTATTTTCCAAAGTGATTCACCTTATAATCACCGACGACGGCTTGTCATTGTGTCCAAAAGTCGATGCAGGTAGAGCATAAGCGCAATTTGGTTTCAGATACGGAGCAGGACATTCACAAACGGATGAATCCCAAAGGTCAAGGCATTCACCTAAAACGTTAAAGTCAGTTGAGTTTTTTTGTAAACGTACCGTTATTTTGACAAGAGTTTTTGGCACACTGATCTGTTCTAGAACACCCTGCTGTGATTTGTATCGATCTTGAAGACTCAGAGAAATCGATCAGTTTATCACCAATGTGAGCGTCAGCGATACAGCCCACAAAATAACTCGATTCAGAAATCTGAAATTTTTTCCAATTTTTTAACGGTCTTTGTACCAGACTTTTCGAAACTTTCCGCTTATTCTGCAATTCTTGAGATTAAAGTTTTGAGGAAAAATATGGCCAAGAACATTTCGCACTCAGGTTTTTTTTAATCTTTGAGAGATCACACGAACCTTCCCAAATCGTGTCGAAAAAACGTCAAATTCTCGGTCTCTTGATAATCTCTTGTCCAACAACACGAATCCGTCTTTGTTTTTTGCAGTTACGTGCAAATCCTGATTCACAAGAATGAATAAACCCGAGAATTATTTCTTACTGTTAGCGTTTTAGAGATGGAAAGCTGATACCAACTGGCGTCATTCACATCCATTGGAATCAATTCATTGAAAGTGGTTCCAGTGACGTTGAAGAAAATTCGTCCGTTTTGGAGTCCGATGAGCAAAATTTTCTCGCCAAGGATGTTTTCGCTACTAGCAAGATGAACGTTTCCCAGAGTTGTGCGAAAGGAGAACTTCAGCTCGTAGCCAACCGAAGATATCGGAGATCTGAAAACAATTTTAAAAAATTGAGACTTTTATCAATCTTTGAAAACCTCCAGCTTCAATAGGAAAACAAAAATGAAAAAATTTCTAAGATTTGCTGATACTCAACTGGGGTTAATATCTTTCGGAGTCCCACAAAAAATTACTTTGCCGCCCGCTGGTAAGCCAAGTTTTAACCAATTCATGAAGTCAAAACAGTCTTTGCTTCAGAATCGATAAACTGACCGAAAATTTATAAAAGAATCTTTGGAGTTGAGGATGAGATTTGTCTTATGTTATCTTTGTTATCTTTGTTATTTTTTTTCTTGTTCTCTTACCCTAACAAAATATTCGAGCTTTGATGAATGAAGATGCTCTTTGCCGAAAAGGACACTGTCGTTGGCGTTTGGCACGATTCCCCGCCGAATCCAAACGGACACGTGCATCTGGCCTCGACGTCATTTATAGTAGTCGTGAGTCGGCACACTTCGCCCTTTTCGCAACTCTTCTTCTCACACTTCTGAAATCCAAAAATAGACTCGTGCCATTTTCGGCTCGCTCTTCAAAGATGAAATCGCTAAAACGAGGACCGCTGATCTTGACGATAAATCATGTTGACAGGGGTTCTGAGAGGAAAAAAAAACTCGAGAACGCAATTTCTGTAGAAGATGTGTGATGTTCATTCTCTTGAACTCTACGACAATGACTGTGAGCTAAGATTTATGATAAAACTGGGATTTTCTCTCAAATGTGCCTAATAATTTGTTGAAATTTTCACTAAACTACTGAAAAAAACTTGGATCAGATTCATTTCAAATCATAAACGATTTTTTACTAAGATAGCTGCGAGCTGTGATTTATGCTCTAAAGAGTGAAAATTTATATTTCCTTGTAAAATGCCTTAATTAAGTCGGATTTTCACAATTAGGTGAAAAAACCTTGACTTCAGCTCACTTTCATCACGTGTTTCAAGAAGAGATTTTTTGAAACCATCCGAAGTTTGGACTGAAAGCTAGAAACAAGAAAAAAACCACCAAATATATATCAAATAAAACTTCATTCCACAAAAAAATCTTCTCACGTTGAATTTTTTTCTCACTATTTTTAACCTCACACTCAATATACCATTCCTTTTTAAAAAGATATGAGCTTGAAGAAAGCTAACCAGATGCTTCTGGTTGCATTTGTCTCCGAAATATCCATGTTCGCAAATGCAAATGCTTCTGGAATCGACGTCCATGCAGCCAGTTGAATGAAGACATTCGTCGCAGGTCGTCGACTAAAACAAAATGTCTGAAGAGTCCATCGACATTGTTCGACATTTTGCACTTATGCGCGTTATCAGAAACATCTTCCTTCAAAAAAACTGAAAGCAGAAAAAGTTCCACAAAAACTCCTAGTTCCTATCATCAGTTTAGAAGAAAGAAGTTTCTTAAGATTCCAAAGGTCTGTGGAAAAAAAATTTTCATTCTAACACGGGAGGTTAAAAAAAATCCCAGAAAATGTCTCTGTCGAGTATGATGACCTGTCTTCTCCAAAAGGTTCTGGAAAAAACCTAGTTTGAGTCACCTCCTAGTTTTTTCAAAACACAAACTTAGTATTTTTTTGTTTAACTTTTTTAAAATTAATTCGTGTCAACTACTAGAAAAATGTCTGAAAATTTCATTTTTTTTTTTTTTTAGTTTTTCAGTCTTTTTTTCCATTCATCGGGAAATCTTTATGTTCGTTATTGTTGTGCAGTGTCCTTGTTTCGTTGGAAAAGCCTTGGTCTTTGATATTCCACTAGAAAAAAGGATTGTTGTGTTGTTTTACGTACCGAAAAGAGACTGGTGTCGCCGTCGTCGCTATTCGTTCCGATTGGAATGTTTTCTGTCGTTACAACCCAAGAATCTTTGGTGACTACGGCGGTGGCTTCTGTTGTCGTGGAGGTGCTGTTGACCGCTATCTAAATGTTTAACTTCAGAGAGAAATTTCGGAACTCCTTGATTACTTGAGTCTCACAGTGAACTCCAGTGTAGGAAGTTGGGCAATGACAGAAGAATTGACCGTCTGAATAATTTTGGGATTGATGAAAGAATGAAAATCCATGAAAATAATTATTGAGAGAGCTTTCCTATTTGTATTAATTTTCCGAAAACTCATACATTTCAGAAAAATTATAACCTTCTCATGAAACGGATGTTCCAAAGGATTTTTTTTTCTCGATTTTTTTTTTACTATTAGTTTCTTTGAAAGAGAACGATCTCGGTATTTATGAAAGTACAAGAAATTGATGATAATGCTTTTTCACTCTACAAAAATATGAGATTGGGATCAAAAATTCACCAGCATTTTGACAAGTTCCACTATTTTCGCAAGGATTCGGTTCACAAGGAGAGGATTCTTCACAGAACGGCGGGAGGAACCCTTCTTTACAATGACATTTCGGCTCTCCGTTCGACTCAATCACGCATTCTGAAAGTTTGAAAATTGTAGGTAAGAGTGCAGATTGTGTGAACCTCCTTGCTGACAAGGGAAATCAGTACAAACTGAAGTTTTTTCAATGTCCAGAGTTTCACAATGAGCGCCGCGGAAGCCAGATGGACATTCACAGCGAGTCATGGCCAAAGCCCAAACACATTTTCCTCCGTTTGTACAAGGTTTACCTAAAAAAAAATATAAACAAAATGATTTGAAAGTGATTTTCACCTTCAACAAGACATTCTGCGGGTTGACCACAAGCTAAACCGGACCAGTGAGGAAGGCACAGACAGGTGTAAGTGCCATTGCCATGGTCTTTACATTGGCCGCCGTTTAGACATGGATCCATGTCACAAGGACTTGGCTTCTGCTCCAAACAAGTATCCCCCTAAAATATGAACGCATGAAAATCAGCCGCCAAAGGTTTTGAAGCTTAATAAATGTGAAATCAACTGTTTTATTTCAAAGAATGCCTAAATCAATAGTCTTACCATGAACCCATCAGGGCAATCACAAAAGATGTTCCCGTTTTTCAAGCTGCAGACATGGTGAGGATTATTGCACTTGCATTCTGGTAGAGCCTGAACCAATTTTATTTTCATTTTGACGACGAGGCTTATTTCCACTTTTTTCTCACAAAATTGACCCTGGAAACCTTCAGGGCATTCGCAGCGAACCTCATCTTCAAAGCTTTTGCATTTTCCGTTGTTTTCACAAACATTCTTTGGACATTCTTTGCTGTCTTCTAGTTCGCAGAATTTTCCTAGAACGATAGTTGTTTGAATCTAGTGCAAAATGGCATCAAAAACCGCTGAAATTGGGTGGACAGCGACATTCGAAGGTTCCGAAAAAGTTGATGCAAGTGGCGCCGTTGTTGCAAACGCTGATCTCGCATTCGTCGACGTCCGCGTCGCACTGTTTGCCGCCGAATCCTGGGGTGCACTCGCACCTGTAGCTGTCCTGAACCACGAATTTGATAGGAGAGATAAAACGTTGGCAGTAAATAACTGGACTATGAATGTATAGACTTTTGAAGACTTAAAACCTATGAAATCGGCATGTTTTAAAGTTTCAAGACGGGAGTGAGAGATTAAATTCAAAAATTATGTACTTTAGGCCAAAAATTATAACAGAAAAGCGGTGAACTTCAGAAAAGCATTTTTTGAAATATTTTCGGTCATGGTTTTCAGTATTTGATGAAAAACAGCATATAGGTGGATTTGGTCGGAAAATGCTTTCTTGTTACTTCGAGATTTTTCGCAAAAAAACTCTGACCGAATTTCTGTCATTAACCCCTCAAAACTTGGCTATAACAAGATAATCCCCCAAGAAATCCGACCTTCTCAATGTCACCACGTTCATCGGTAAGACTCTTTTTTATTACTCCGCGGTCATACCTTAATTGTTAGGTGAAATATGGTGGGAACAATGACTTCGACCTTTGCTGTTAGGTTTGAGAAACCGTATGGAAGTTGAAAAAACCGATCTTTGTAATAATTAAACAAGCGCGTACGTTTTCCTCGAAGCACGTGGCGTTGTTTTGACACGGTTCAGCGTGACAAGAATTCTTCTCGCAAAAAGCACCCACGACGTCGTTTCCGTCGCCTTGATGAGAACACCTTAAAAAAATTGTACGATGAAGCTTTGGGTTGAGTTTGTATTTCAAAAACCAACTGATTCCGAGAAAAGTAAATGTGAAAATAACGGCATTATATGAGGGTCCTGCGACTATTTGAAAATACTTTTAGATTATAAAGTGATTAGATGATAATTTTTTATTTGCTGGACATTACTTTTCTTCCCACTCTTGAACAATATAATTTTTATTGAATCTGGAAGCTCCTCCTTTATTTGTATTAATTTGTGATTAAATATGGATACTCTCGTTATTTTCCTTTCCGTAATGATCCCTATGATAACTTCAAACGCTCCAAAAGGTTCTGTCTTTTCTGCGACTTCAGAAAAATGGTTTCCTTTCACATCATCTTTTTGAAAAGCAATATTTCAATCTTTCGAAAAAAAAAAGCGGTCGCGCTGTCATCAAAACGGACAGGCCAAAAGTCAAACCTTTCGTCGGGAAGACAATCGGCGTCATTTGTACACGTTTCCGCTGGAGCCGCCGCAAATACATCACACAAGGATCCTAGCCAACCTGAAAAATTACCTTCAAAATTTTTAATTTTGAAATCGGTTTTTTACTAGCTTGATTGAGAAAAAGAGGATACAAGGAGTCGCAATAAAAATTTTCAAACTGTTTTCTTCATTCTTCTACTTTGCATTATATCATGATATCATGATTAACCATTATTGTTTTCTAAAAAAAGTACGATTTTCTATCCGAGAATTAAAGAAATGGCAACTCTAACAGTAATATCTTCTAATAGCCAGAATAAAACTTTTTCGACACCTAAAAGCTCAACTCACTTTGATCAAACTATTTTAAGTACTTCGTTAAAAATTTGATAGCGAAACTTTTCCAACAGATCTTGAACTTGAAAGCACCACTGCGCATATTTTACAATTGTGCACATAAATATCTAAAAAAACCCCTTTTTTTATTTTATATCTCTCAAAAAGTCCAAAAAAACTTAACAAGTCAGCCCCCCAACTTAGTCGATTCCTATCGCAATTGGTGACTTTGGGCAATGATTGATGGGCCAAAGGATGACTTTTGCGAGTCGTCTCCCCCGTCAAATCTCTCCTATTTTGAGAAATGACCTGTTCTTTGAAAATACTGGAAAAGTCGCGAAAAAATGTCGCGCCATGTTTTTTGCTTTTCAATTCACTCAAGTTTTTGAGGTTGATTTCTGCAAAACAAGATACATAAATAGATTTGGTTCTTTTGATTGATGAGCTGTTTTTTTTACGACTTTAAGAAATTCTCAGTTTTTCATGGATCACGGATATATTTTTGAACTTCCTTCAAGTTGAAGACAGTAGAAACCATAAGATGAAACAAATAATATAAAAAAAAAAATCAAAACGAAAGCTAAGTTCTGATAACGTGTTTTCTCTTCTATGAAAGCTGGAAAATATGAGAAAAAAAACTGGTTTTTTGAATTTTAAACGGATATTTACCTTCTTGGCATCGACAGATCTCTTCCCCGAAGGAGCCTTTTTGTGCAGGATCCGTGAACACATCGAAGAGAACAACTATCGTGACACAGAAGTCCACTGAAGCCCGGTGGACACTCGCATTGGAAACGACGATTCTCATCGTTGACCGTGCAGGTGCCGCCGTTCAGACAAGTGTTGCGGTTGCAGGGACGCCTTGCCAACGCTGAAATTTCAACCTATTATTAATCATAATTTTTGTTATTTTCTTCAAACTTGTCAGGAAAATTTACTTGTCATACTCAGATTTTTAAAGTTCCTTTTTTTAACACTTTATACACGCGATTTGAGTTTTTTTAGATCTAGAAAACGTCTTTTTGACTGATTTTTGGAAATTTATTAGCGTAATAAAACTTGCACTTGTTGAAGTTGAAGTACCGTTTTATTTTTTGAAAAAGCATTTTTTTCCAATTGTTCTCTTGGTGCTGAGATTCTAAAGATTAGAGATTGAAAAAAATAATTATTTTTTTCAACTTCTGAAAAAAAGGAAAAGGCCGAAGTCTTGTAGCGCAGAAATCGAAAAAAGTAAACACTTTCTGCCTATCTAATCGAACCTATTTTTCTAGCTCATTTTTTTAACCTTTTATAAATATTTATGAAGCATCATTGCCTTTTTTTTGCATATTCTTGCTGACGACTACGTTTTTTTTTTCGCAAATCCGCTACAGGTATGGTTTTTTTTTTCAGAAATCGAAGTGTCATTTTCAATCTCATCAATAATCGGAACGGTTTCTACGTTGTTTGCTCCAAAACCTATACATTTGTTTGTCCAAAAAAAGCAAAATTATTGACCGTTTGTGTCAACGAGAGACCATCAACACAGCGATTATATGGTTTCCGCCATTCTACCGCACTTCGGAGGAGAAAAAACCTTCCATCTATCCCCATAAATTATTTTCAACGCCTCACTATTTGCGAAGCGGTTGTTTGGCATTTTTGTAAGCGAAGGCGAAAGTTGGATGAACGACTTCCAGTTCATAAATCGCGGGGCCTCCGAACGTTCTAGAAGATATGACAATCGATGAGTGTCTTTTGCAAAAGTTTTTGTGACTTTCAGAGAACGTCCAATTGCATTGTGTCTGTTGCGGTAGAATTTTCTAGGACCGCCTTGAGAAAATTGTAATTGGTGGTTCTGTGATCTTAAAATCGGAGCAGAGAAGAGGAAAACTTTGGAAGGAGCAAACTGGTACAAAAATACAATAATTTGTCTTTAGAAGCCGCTGAAATTTAAAGTAGGTCAACGCTTATTTGAATTTCGGAAAGAAAAAAACTTGAATGAATATGATCTGCGTTTGGGAAAATTGTATTAAGAGCCGTTTTCAGAAAGTCAAAAACTTGAAAACTGATTATTTTTCATTTGCGTTATTCTGAACATATTATAATATTAAGACTACTCCTAGTCAAGGAAAAATTTCCTACAGTCTCTTCTATTCTCAACCTTGCACTGAACACGGCCAAGTTCTTTCAAAAAGGCCGCAATCACGAAAAAAGAGCCAACAATGGGTACAATTAGTGCGCCTGTAATTAGCGCATTCAACTCCGCAGGTCAGCTGTTTGTCTAGGCAGTTGAAAAATCAGCTCCAACCTTGAGTGAGCGGCGAATTCTGCGCCTAAATAGACACAAAAGTCGTCGTCCGCGTACCTTTTCTCAATTAGCTACGCATACAAAAGCGGACGACTTGAATTGAATTGTTCCCGATCAAATTTCTTTTGTTGAAATAAATTGTTTCTGGGTGGAAGATGACGAAGAAGAAAAATGAAGAAAAGCTACCAATTCATTGAGAATTTCCGAATTATATCATTAACGCCTAAGAAAACCATGTCAGGCTGCTAACATGGTTTTCTTATTGAAAAACTTGCAAAATAAGTATTTTTTGAAATCTTGGCCAAATAACTTCTGAACGGAACGTATTGGACTGTGCGCCGTAAATCAAAGTTATTTGAAACAGGAATATACGGATAATCTCAAGAATTAGAATAAAAAAGCAAAAACCTTTCATCATTTCCTACTGCTATCAGCTAATCACAGACCAAAAATCCTAATTTTGCCAACTATTGGAATTTTTTTTTATTTCGAGCCTCACTCCCTTATTAACAATTGACGCAGAAAAAAACATTTTTGGTAAGAAAACTCATTTTTTCTGAAAACATGAAAGAACTAACCACTTGAGAAGAGCATCCATAGGACCAATCCGGCTAGTCTCATGCTCGAGACTCATCCGAGGGCTTTAGCGTCGAAAAGCCAGGAAAATCGTTAGCCAAAAAGCCCGGAGACAGAAAAAAAGGTGCGCCGAAAGTGGGACGAGAAGAAAAAACGGGAAAAAAAACAGTTGTGGAAGAGTTTTTGCAATGCTCCTCGCGCCGTGATTCGTTGAATGGCCGACGTGCAGCGGGCAGGTGTATCGGCAGATAATAGCCAGGTAATTAGAATCGGACCTGCCGCACAGGGTCACAGCTCCACTGTCCTGTTTCCGGTCTGCAAAAAAATGGGGATTTGGCGTTGGTTTCGGAGAATCGCTACGAGTCGGATCCGCTTGAACGAGCAGGAAGGCGGCGTTTGCAACAAATCAAGGTTAACAAGGTCCAATTAAGCCGTAGAGAAGTGACTTTGATGTGGCAGAATTCGAAAAACTTCATGGAAATGCGAAAATGCGCCATTCTGTTTCATTTTAATGGCATTTTCGAAGTTTGCCTAAATGCAGCCAGTTATATTTGGGATGCATTTAGGAGGAATTTCAGTTAATTTTGCACTGTTTAATATTTCTCGTCAGGGCGGAGTTCTTGAAAATCTTTGGAACGATCAAAAACGCAGGATTTTTCCCATCTTCTCAAGGATCATAATGAAAATGGCTGTAGACCAAAGAAAGCCATGTAACTAAAAAGATCATTTGCTTTTTTTACCCACGTTTGAAAAATTTTTTTCAATTTTTTTAATGAAGAAAAAAATCTCACAAAGCCAATACCAAATTGAAAAAAAGTATCGAGTGTCTGTAGACCAAAAAAACTCCACGCTTGGAATAAATCACTGTCGGTTGTAGAGGCGGAGACTCACAGCCGTTCTAATCCGCTTCGACGAGGATAATACGAAAGTTTTTGAGCCGCAGAAACACCAAAAAAATTGGATATCGTAAAAGAATATCTTTCTCTGCAAACGAATCAGATTTTTCATAGGTCTTTTTTTTGCAATTTTGGGGTGTTTTGAAGTTTTTGACTTCAGAAATTTGATTTGGTCAAAGGGCCAATTTTTTTCGAAAATCAAGTAAATTACTTTTTTTTTCAATCTGCTGTGTTAATTATTCACCTCGGATTTTTTCGATTTCTCTTCATTCTTTCTTATTTCTTTATTGGAAGAGCAAAGCAACTAATTAGCGTAAGGCTTTCTGACTACTCTCAAGATTATCTGGTTTTTATTGAGATAGTTCATTCGAACTAAATATGGTAAAATAAATAAACAAAAAAATATAAATTTGAATATTCGCTCCCATTTTCTAGTCCTTTGCAATTTTTTTCTTTCAGCTACAATGTTGATTTCCAGATGGTAATTTGCAAAAAGATTAAACTTTCTGAGTCACACCTTGCAAATCATCGCTGCAAAAGGTTAGTTGACAAATATTTATTGAAAAGCGTTCCCAACTTGCACCCGTTCAAAACAATTGACTTTACGTCAAATAATTTCAAAAACCTACAAAACAACTTGTTTATTACCAGCCACGTTTTAAAGGTGGGGTTACCTTATTTTGTAAAGATTGCTTTCTTGATAATTGTATTACGCTTATTTTTGAGGTAAAGGAAGAGGAAACTATCGGGCAGTGTCATGCGTCTCTTGGGCGCGAAAAATCGGACATTCGATTTGTTTTGCCTCGGTGGGATGATTAAAGGCTAATCTTACAGGTGACGAGTTGTTTCTACACTGCGGCAAGTTGTAAGAACAAATTGAATTGAGAAAAACACGATTTATGTTTTCCTAAGGGGCGTCTCCCGACGTCCGTTTCCTCAGACAGTTCGGTTTTTGAGACTTCATTCATTAGTTCTAACGTATTTTTTTGTTTATTTTTTTATTTGCAATTGCAAAAGGCATAATAATAATATAGAAAAATAAGTATTTCAAAACTCTTGACATTTTTCATTAAAAAGCTTCCGGATGGAACTTGTCATCGAGTGATAATGCAGATATAGTTTTCTACATACTAGAAGTAACGAAATTTTAGGAAGACAAATAACAAAGAGCGGTCCTGCAACATTTTTTTGATTTTTTTCGTTTTTGAATCGAAATTTTTCAGCTTAATTTTTTTTAACTTGATAAATGAATATTCTCATTTTTCCGTGTTTTTTATTTCTGGTTTTTGTTGTTCATCGAACACTGTTATTTTACAAAAAATGATCTTTTCTCGAAGTTTTCAATATTGCGAGAAAGTTATCAATCATTTTCTATGTTGCGAGAATGTAGAACGAAAAACAAGTAGAGCGTGGGAGCTGTTTTTTTGATTCTAGATCTTGCTGAAACTAGAGTTTTTTAGTTCAACTTCAAAGAAATAGGAAGAAATGTCTCAATCTGAAGGGAAGAGAAAATTATTTGAATTTCCAAGTCCTGCGGTAAATTCAAAATTTTTATAACTCATTCAAAAATCTAAATAAACTGAAGAGTAAAAAAGGTAGAAATGATTTTTGGCAGATAGAAGAGCTTTCTCCGAGGAACGTAATGATCCCAAAAAAAGAAAGAGAAAAAGTTATAATGATTGTACTCAATTAAAAAATTTTCATAAATGTTGTGTTATTTTTTGTGAAAGTTGAACAGAAATAAAAAAATTCAAATGCAAGAGTAAAGTTGAAAGTTACGGAATTTCTGGCAGATTGAGCTAAGATTTTTCAAGAAAGACAGAAGGATGGTACAACTTTGGAATCTTGAGCTAAAGTAAAACCACTTCGAACCAAAAAATCGAAAGAAAAATGAAACACGTGAATCAAGTTCATAATTTACCTGACGTCGAGAAAAACCACTGTTATTGAAGAAAAAAGCGAGTGAAGAACAGAGAGAGTAATGTGATTCCAGTTCAAACAATTTTTTTAAGAAATTGAAAAGCTCAAAAAGAAGTTCAACCTAAACCCAAATGCTACGACAAAGGGGAAAGAACGTGGAGCTTAAGGAGATCAGTCGATTTAAGAAAAGTTTGAGAAAATCTGGAAGTTCACTGAAGAGACTTGATCTTGTTTTGTATGTCTGAGTGAGGCATGAAGAAGACTCGAAGACGTAAACTCTTGCACTGATAGAAGTATCGCAAAAAAAAAAAACCAAAAAAGGACGTTTTAATATAAAAAGTTTGAAAAAAGATCAGGAAGTAAAAAAAATACTTGTTGAATCTTGATGCGCTCATCTAAAACAGGATTCATGAGAAAAAGACAGTCCACTTCAAGCCAACAGCCGGATGGAAAAAAAAAAACTTTTTTTTCGGGTAGGAACGTACTTCATAGGAAACCTCAAATCTCAAAAAGCAAGTTGAATAAGCTCTGAGATGCTGGAGTGAAGAAGGCTATGTTTGGGCAAGACTGGCGGTGACCACTTGACTGGCTGCCCCCAGCCGCGCACCGCAAGCACAACATACTCTTCAGCGCAACCTCGACCTGCGGCCGGACCGGCCCTCCTTCCGTCAGCGGAAAAACTCTGAGGAAAGGAGCATCTCGCCGCTAATTGTAGGCTTTCATCGTGTGGTACGATTCACGCCTTGGGCGAGCCCGCGCAGCTCCTCTCAAGTGTCTCCGACTGTTTGAAGCAAACCGCGGCTAACTGTTGCTAATGGAAGTATAGAGGAGCACGAGCTAGACCAAAACTGTCGGAAAACTGAAAAAGATGATTTATACTAATTTTTCAGTTTGCACAAAACATCGTTTTTTTCATAATTGTGATAACAAACTCTTCTCGTTCACATCTTTGGAAAGTGTCTTTTATAGAAACTGTTGATGAAGGTTGTAAAAGTGAAATGCAGGAGAATGTGAAATTATTAAAAATAATACTACTTGTAAACTTGCATGCCCCGATCCTTGAAAAATGCAAATTCAGATTCACAAAAAAATAAAGGTTTTTTGCTGAGGCTTAGAAGGAAAGGATAACGAAGCAAAACTAAAAAAGATCACGAAAATTTTGAGCAAGTTTTTTGAAGGCTATGTAAACTAGTGACAGCTACTTATTTATTCGAGCTTCTTCTGAGTTAAACTTCTTTTGAATATTAAAATAATCCTCTGATCACGTTTCGCTTGTCAGTTTTGTACAAAACTTTTCAAAATATTAGTCTTTTCAAACATGAAGCTCTCAGAAAAAACTGCAAATACCAGAAAAAGTTTTAAATATTGCCAGAAAAATTAAATTCAGTAGCATTTCAAAAATCGCTTCTTCAAATAAATACTTGTCTGTATTTATTCTCTTCAGATTTTGCTCCGATCATCTTGAAACTATTAAAACGCTGAAGATAGTACTGAATACTGAACAGGCGAAAACATATCAAAAATGAACGTTGAACTTGATTCTCTGATTTTCTCAAGAATTTCAAAGAAAAACCCTCCTTTTGCATAACCAACTTTTTTAAGCACGTCTTCAAACTTGATAACCGATAAAATTGTGTTCATGTTTTGCGAAGGTGTTACGTAATTGTTGTGGAAAAGCCTGCGACGTCATCAGACCATTGGAAATTCGGCGGCGTCCGCGCTTTGTCCAGAGTCACGTTTGGGCTTCCAAAGCAAACACCCTGTATTGTCCTATTATCGAGTCTCAGATTTTGTTCTCGCCAAGAAAAACTTTCCTAGATGATTCTGGAAGGGATTTGATTTTTTTCTTGAAAAACACTTTAACCCTTATTTAATAATCATTCGACTCAAATTTTCATTGAACTCAGCTAATAAGTGAAAGTGAAACTAGTTGAAAGGAGCAATGCCACTTTTTCTCTCTCAAGATTCTGATCTTGCCGAAACTTCCCAAGCAGAATTCTCAATGAAAACCGACAATTTTCCGATCTTTTCTCCCCTTTTATCGTTTTTTTCATATTTCTTTATAAAGGGAACACAATTGTTAAAAAATAATGCTTTTATTCAGGTATTCATAGAATACAAAAATATAAAACAAATTTTTGTATGACCACCGAGCCAACATGTCATAATTACAGAAATGTGCAAAACAAATAATGATAAAAATGCAGTCGGCCATTTTCAAAGCTATATTGCGATAACACCGGAGTAGGGATTAGAGATCTCAATAATTAAAACCATTTTGCGAGTACAAGTAAGAAGTCAAAAAAAAAGAAGCAAAGCAGTGAAAGTGGCTCGATCGAGGGGGAAAAATATTAACAATTTCGCCCCGAACGGAGCACGTAATATACAACTATCAACAATGTGAGACAGTCGCGGCACGAGAAGATCATGGAGTCATTGCTGATGAGGAAAATGAGAAATAAATGAGAAAATAAAAAAGGAGAAACGAAGAAGTTCAGTAGTACTGAACTGGAGCGAACATGGTGCACTTGGAGTACCAGTGCTGGCAAGTCTCGGCCATCTGAGCTGACGACGGAGGATTGCACATCTGGTGGACTTTCGGATGGGTGTGAGCGCATTTGCACTCGTCGGTGCAGTGAGCGGCGTTGCAGTCAGGAGTGCAAGAGGCGATGATGGCGGCCGTGAGTCTCGTGCTGGAGTGAGCCGTGTCGGTGTTGCGAGAGTGGGAAGAGCTGGAGCTGCGACGGCCGTCCTCGCTCAGCGGCAGATCGAGCATGGCGAAGTCGTTGGACTTGGGCAGTGGAGGAGGCATGACCAAGTCGTCTTCGACCTCACGCTTGTCGACCGAGCAGTGCTTTTCGAAGGCTGGACAGAACTTGGCCAGCTTCGAATAGACGCTGCGGTCCATTTCGGAGTCCTTGGAGCAGAACTTGTCGTAGTGCTCTTGGTGCTTCAGGCAGTACTTCTCAACTCGGTCGTCTCTTCGGACTCGAGCAGGGCTGGCTGAAAAAGAAAAACAATGAATAAAGTTGTAAACATTAGAGAAAATTGAGAAAAAGGAAAATCCTAAATGATGAAAAGAAAAAAAACCGCAAAAAGATACACACCTGAAGCCAAAACGATGGCGGTAACGAGGAAGATGACTGAAGCGGAGTTCATCTTGAATGTTGGGAGAAGCTTGGATTGATTTCAAATCGATCAAATTGCAGAGGAAAGAACTGCGTGCTGCAACAATACTTGGCTCCTCTTTTATGCTTACAATCTTCACTCCTCCCCTCCGATTGGTTGCGCCCCTTTTCTCGGAAGCTCCGCCTCTTCGCAACTTTGAAGATTGTTCGGCGTGATGACTGCTTCTAAATTTGGACTGCGTCCCGCGGAGATAGGAAAATAGCGAAAGAGACGGCGGACGGTCGGCGTGATGGATGAGAAGTCTAATGCATTGGGCACTGATAGAGAGGCACGGCACCGTGTTAGGAGACGCAAAGATTCTCAGATATCACATATAGGCGACAGATCGCTGAAGATGTGTCCTCGTTGTCTTTTTTTCTCTGCGGTTACATTGTTCGGAACGCACCCTGCAAAACACTGTTGCCGCGGTTCTATTTCGGTACAAGCAAACTACTATCTTTTCCTCCCATGAGGTCATGATAATGATCGAACATGGTTTTCGTGCGCACCTCTCCGTTTCTCTACTGGCGTTTCCTGAACTAAATTTAGCAGCACTGGTGTCGGAATCGTCAGTGTCGAATTCCGAAAGAAAGATTGCCATCGGTTTTTCAAATGCTCAGTCGATCTTGTTGTCATGTCGAAAGATTCATGAACACGCGGGAGAATACCTTTTTCCGATCTTCCCAGAATATTTTTTGGCACAATTAGTCAGAGGAAGACAAATGGCACAAAGGACTTGAGGTCGCCGGTGTTGTTCCTTTTTTCAACCAGACTCCGTTGTTTCATTTTACAATCGCCAAAAACAAGTCCATTATCGGCTGGACAATGAGTTATTGTGTTTTTTTCGGAGAGAGAACAGCCAGGTGCGATTGAAACAATGCGTTAAATTTCAAAGAATAGGTTGATAAGGTTGATAGAAGAACTATTGGTCAATTGTTCGCCCACAATCAAAGATTCTTTGTTATGGAGATCAGGTATAAAATGACCTTCGGGGCGGAACTCATCATCAAACTGTTTGGTTTCAATCACAATTTATCTCATTTTGTGAAAAAAATGTTATGATTTTTCCATTTCAGTTTTTGACTTAAAGAAGTGTGTCACTAGGTCGTGATTAGAAATGACGTCTCATGATTTTGAAAAATAATAAAATAAGGGGTCAAATTTATATAAATCTGCACCCGAAAGAGTACGAAAAATTTGAAAACAATGGTTTTAAAAATTTTTAGAAGTTTTCTGAACTCTCAAGCTCAACAGTTCTTTTTCATTTATTGGATGATTCAGGGTCGAAAATTTCAGAATTGAACGGATTTGTATATTTTTGAACTTTTTCTGCTTTTTTTAAGTGTGTCGTTAAAAGAAATAAATATTTCTCTTGGTGCAATTGTTTCAATAATTGTTCTCCTTGCGAAAAGAGTTCAATTTGTGACGTTTGGGTGTTCCTTAGTTATCATCTGATTGCAGACTTGTTTATTCTGGCAACTTTTCAACTTTTACAAATGCAAAAATTTGTAAACAACTTGTCATTACAATAACGCGCGTCACCGTTTGCCCTCGAACAATCAGATCTCACGTCGGAATCGCGTGGTCGCCGCGTCAACAGCGGTTCGCATGGATCTCGTCGGCTCAAAAACCTAACTTAGTCAGATGCTTCGAACAATGCCACCGGGCAAGTTCGCCTTGAATGGAGGGCGTGTAAACACGCAACTTTTAACGCATCACATAAATAAAACTTATGCAAACAGCCAGGACTTCGTGGCTAAATTTGTGCCATTGCAAATATGTAGCTAACCCAGTCGCACCCATTACAGTTCAACCTTATCGGAACGTTTCTAGATATGGAATTGCCTTGAAAAATGTAAACTTGCTAACTAAATTTATGTGACTGCAAATACCCATATTTGGGTTCAAACCATCAAGTCGCACCCATTTCAATTGCATTTATTCGGACTGAAGTCAAATTTAGAATACCGTTCCGATTACCATTTTTCATGCTGACACATGCGTCACGATCTTCTTCAATCTTTGCGCTTTGTTGGTTTATTCACACCTTGGTTTTGCTTCCGACAAATGGCGTCTCGCCTTTGAAACGATCTTTGCCGCGGACCGACGACGGCACGCGAATCAACAACTTTCGAAGATCGCTAGGACGACGCTATCTAACAAAAAGACCAAAAGACGACTCAAAGAACTTCTTCGGTCGAGGAAAACTTTTTGGAAATGATTGTTGTAAGGATTTTGTCGGAAAATTTTTTGATGTTTTTTTTTATTAAAAAGGAGTCCTTTAAAAGATTGATGAGACAAACTATCCGTCCAGATAGCTTTCCAATGCTTTTTTTAGCTCATTGAAAGAAATATGAAAAACTGAAAAAAATAAAAAAATTTGATTTGAAAAAAATAATCACGAGGAATTTTTCTCATTTTTTTCTTTTTTTGACGACAGAAAAAAATTCTGTGAAAGTAAAACGTGAAAAATTGTTTGTCAATTGAATTATTAGTCACCGCAGTCGTTTAAACTTCATTCCACATTCAAGGAAGGACGAATCGATTTTCGATTTTTTTCAAAAAAACAATCCTTGAAAAATTATAAAAAAATAAAACTTTGTGAGAAAGCTTTTTTTATACGACCTGCTCTATAAGGATAAGTTGGCTTATGTTTTTATTTTAACTGGTTTTTGTCTTTAAAGAAGCTGTTGATGGAAATCGAAACAATGAAAAGCATGAAAATATAAAACTGTCAAAATGAATGGTTTTTTTTAAATTTTGATTTAAATTTCACTACAAACTCTGTTTTTTTGAACAGGAACGTCTTTTATAGAATAAACGAGCGTGGAAGAAACTTCTAGGGGCACCCCCTTGGTCATGGCAATCTTTCAAGATTCTTTACACTTTCAGCAGAAAGGGTGAATACTGTAGGTGATGTGGGGCTGGAAGTTTGAACATGAAGCTGATGAAATAACTGGAACTGTTTTGAGCCGATGAACAAAATTATGTGAAAAAGACTTCAAAAAAAAAGTAAGACAAAAGCCGGGAAATCGATTTTTCTTCACAGTTCGAAATGAATTCTGTTCAGATTCCTAGTTATTGAGGGCGGTATTCTCGATTGCGTGCTTCCATGTGTTAATTTTCTTGTTTTGCACCTTTCATATTTCGCTTTAAAATTGATGTTTTTTGGCATGTTTGAGCCGAAGAGATCATTTTTTTGCAAACATTTTCCATTATCGATTCAGAAGCTTTTCCACTGATCTCTTGGACTTTGCGACGTTTGAACTCAGTTCTCCGATGCCTTCGGTCAGTTTCTCGCGCGCAACGCGTCTTCCCGTTGCTAAAAAAAGACGAGCAGGCCAAAAATTCTCTATCCAGCCGCCGTTCAACTTATTTCGAGTAGCGTGACCCCCGGAGACACTGCCCCACGTGTAGCTGTTTGGAGCCTAGGTTCAGCCAAAATGAAGATCTACTGGACCGAAAACGGAGAACAGGTACAGACTACAGATCTGCAGTGTTAACACGACGGCGAAGATTGCAGCGAGAACCGCTCAATCACCTTCAAAGATTGTTCCCAACTGAGAACTGGTTAGCAAAATAGCACAGCCGGATAGGAGGGTACAGAGACGGAATGCTTGCAGGGACGACCATTGAAGAAGTCGCTACCGTCTAGAATAGCCGTTATCACTCGGCCTCTTTCTCTTGCAGCCCAATCTTCTCTAGCCCCGCCCGGAAGTCAACTAGTTATAGATCTTCCTTTAAAAAACACACCGATCGATTTGTGCGACGTCCGTCTGCACCCAATCTTCGAGAATTGGCGACATTCAAAGGATCACAATTCAAGTCACACTAGAAACTCGAGGAGAAAGATGTTTGCTGACAACGGTTTAGCGAACTTACAAAGATCGGCCGCGTGGCTGAATAACATGTCTTATTCATGATCTCTGTAGTCGGTCTTTTTTTCGCTTTCGACGGAGTTCTAGATTTTTTCTGTCTCCAATGAATTTTTTTTCAACCAAATTCAGAAAATACAAAAGATGGTAATAAAACCTAAAAAAGAAAGTGATCTCACTCAAAAGATCACATTTTCTGAGGGAACTGAATCTATTTTTCGTCTGGCTCCTGACATCTTGACCGAATTCCTTACAATTACGGAATATTACTATTTGGAGCTCTTGGTAGACACTATGCGTATAATCCATTGAACTTCGAGTTACATTGGGAAAACTTCCGCGGAAGTTAGTTTCACGAACATGAGGAGAGTGGCCAGAACTCTATTAAAAGTTTGAAAACTTTTCAAAACCAATAAAATTTCTGAGTAAGTTGAATAACATGTCCGCGAAATTCTCAGACAGTTCTAAAAAAACTGTTTGATATCATTGAAACAAGGTAACAACGGAGGGAATTTGTCTTCGGTGTCCCAAACAACAAACCAAAGAAACGATTTTGTTGATTTGAAGACTATCAAAAAGAGAACTTGAACTAAGAGTAGTAAAAGGACAGGTTTTCTTTTCGGTTTTCGATACCTCCGATGGGGACAACTGACTTAAACCTTTTTAATATTATTGAAAAAAAATAAATTCAAAAAAAGGGTGAATTTTTTGAAATAAAGAGTCAAAAAGACGTCTATTGATACAATGATACAAATTTCAAGATAATTTGGAACTCTTGATGCCCAAAACTTTTGGAACAAGCTTCTAATTTTCTGATCGTCATCATATCAATGAGCGTCTCTGATGAGATTTTTCATCACCTTGCTTTTACATTGTCATCATAAGCGGCGGAAAATAAACGTCCTGAAAGGCTATAAATCACTGACGCGCGAAAAACCGTGCTTATACTCAAACCGCTCCATTCGGCTGTCACGTTCTTCGGCCTGTAGCGTTAGTTTGACCGACAGTTCACACTCCCACATCATTGTTCACTTTCCTCAGTCAGAAAGTGACGAGGAGTCTGCTTCATACCAGAAATCACCCCTTCTTCATGAAGTATTTTCGATATCTACTGAGAATAAGTAGTTTGGCTGGGAAGGTGTAAAATTGCCTGCTAAATATTTATGCACATATTTTTGCCTCCAACGCATTCAAGATTATTTGTTTGCTCTGAAATCTTACAAGACGATTTTTGATCTTTCTCGACACGACTACATGCGAAAAATGATTTTGATAAGTGATATGGGTAAATACGAATTTGTTGGATCCAGGTGAAAAAAGATGATTTGTGAGAAAACAAGTAAAATATCTGATTGAAATTTTTAACTGTAAAATCGGAATGCAAAAAAAACAAGAGTATAAGAAAGAGATAAATAAAGGAAATTTATGCCGGAAATTCAGACTTCGAGGTCAAAAAAATGGTCTCAATTTTTCTACTCCACTTCGATTTTTTTGTTTGAGAATGATGGTTTGTTTCAAAAAAATCAGATTCTTTGAAAAACAATTCGACCTCATTCAGTATGAAGGTATAAACATAGTAAAAAAGTCATGCAATCGAATCGAAAATCTCAGAAAGAAAGTGATAATATAGCTTATTTGTTGTTACTTCAAGGTATGAGAAGAATGTTACAATCATTTAATTTTACTTTTGACGCTCATTTTCAAAAAAAAAACTTGATTATTTCTCATTTCGGAGATGATTCGCTCGGTTTGCAACGTTATCCTGCAAACGACCTTAACGGAATCCACGAGTTAGCTGTCTCTTGGGATTGCTTTCGCCGACGACTTGGTCGCAAAGAGGATTATTGAGTCCATTAATTGTTTTCAACGAGCTTCCATTCGGCTGCATTCGCGCCCAGAACTCCTCCTCATTGTTTCACGCTACACTGACGCAGTTGCTCCAGCTCTCATTTCAATTTTTCTTCGAGTTACTTTCTCTCATCCGGGTTAGATGGGCTCATGGAGGTCATGAGCTCTCATTGCAGCGGTCATGTGGTTCGAGTTGGTGTTTATCTTCGTTGTCTTCGCGTTGTCTTCTGAAGTTTCGCTGACCAACTTCAGCTTCCAGGGTACTAAAAAATAAAATTAAAGTTTGAGTGAATTGGATTCTAGGAGCTTCAAATCGTCTCACGAGCCATCTTCTCGATAAACATGACAGGTAACTTAAAGAGTCAAGAAGTATACCAAATTCAAAATTTTTTTGTTGTTCAGGATTCTTTAGAAAAATTTGAGTTCAATGATTATATTTTGAACTTTCTTCAGCTGTTAAAAGTTGAAGAAAATTATACAACATTGACTTTTGATGAATGCGGAACTTATTTCTGATGTTCAGATGTGCTCCACCAGACGGTCTCGTCACCGTCGCTCATGACATTGAGCTCGTTCATATCGTAGCGGTCAATGAGCTCAAACAGAACATGCGAGTTTCTGTCTACATCGCCCAGGTACATGAAAATTTCAATTTTTAGCATCAAAATGTCCGTATTTTGTGTTTTTCCAAAAATTGCCTCAGATTCCAATCTGCGCGACCCACTCTCTTTGTTCCTTTCAGAGTGACATCATGTTTTTAAGGGCTCAAACAAAAAAAAACTGTTTTTCATTTTCATATACAACTTTCGAGCAATATTTTCAACTTGTTATTCAATTTGATGACGTATGGATGTGAACGTTCTATGCGGAAAAAAATGGGAGAAGTTGTGAAGATTTAAATATTTGCGGAAATTTGGGGGGAGGTATGTTCAAATTTATAGAAGAACGCGATCGAAAAGTTGAACTTTGAAGAATGGGAGTAACACTCAGCCGCTTGAACTTATTCTCGAAATAAAAAATTTCACTTTGCCTTGAGGAATAATCGAAGATAAGGGAGCCAATTCTGACTTTCGGTTATTTTTTCGCAAGTTATTTTGGTCCTCATCTACCTTCGTCCTACCAGATCAGATCGGCTGTAACTGAAAAAGCCCAAGCTTTTGATTTTGATTGTTTCAGTCATGCTTATCTTTTTTTCTTCAAAATAAAAAAAGATTTCATATTTCTTAAGTGATAATTATTCAATTATTTCTGTTTGATTATGGAAAAATACTCATTAATGCGGTCACAAAATTTTTTAGAGAGGCACTGAGTTTTTTTTATTGAATTAAGTTTTCCAGCAATGGTACGACAGGACACTCTCTTGGAAACCCGAGGATTTTGAAGGAACCATGGTTACCTGGCTGCCAGAATCTTCCATTTGGGTTCCTGACATCATCGTCTTCAATACGTTTCACTACGGGTGTACTTTGTAACCGAGCCATCAATGTTAAGGCTAGAACACAAGGAACTTCTTCACGCGGTCCGGTCACCCATCGCCGTCCATTACGATGGCCGCGTCGTTTTCTCGTACCCGGCTCTGTACACAGTTCTCTGCTCGATCGGTAGGTCTTGACGTCGGTTATCCTCATCTAGTAACATTGGTTTGAAAAAAAGTGATAAAAAGAGTAAAGATAACTAAACCAGTATTTTTATTACTGGAAAATAAACGAGAGACGATTGTTAAACTAAGAGGGATTCCCTGGTTAGAAAATCGAGACAAATTTTAATTTTTATCTGAGCTGCATTATAACAAAAAGCAAAATTTCCTTGAGAACTTTCCCCTATCCTTGACTTTATAGGAAAAAAAAAATAAGAAAAAAATTTCATTGTTTCTTGTTCGAAAATTTGAAAATTCGATTTCTTTATTCCATAAAGGAAAACGAAAAGATAAAGCGCTCATCCAGTAACAAAAAAAGTGAATATTTTTTTAGATTTCATTTTTTTCTTCTATAGCTAGTTAAAAACCAAAGCGCGACAATCCTAAAAAAAATAGTTTCTAGAAAAAAAATTTTAAAGAGTTCCGTAGCTGTTTTATATGAAAAGTTCCAAATTTCCATAATCAATAGAGTCATTTCCTTAATTTTGAACCTCAAAAAAATAATAATCTTTAGGAATCGCCAAGTTTCCGTTCGACGACCACACCTGCAATCTAAGGGTTCGTCGCCCATTTTCAAACATGGTTTTTTGGCGCTCTGAGCCATTTTTAGACCAACGCGACATATTTCCGCTGAATGTTTGGTCGCGAAAGAAAACAGAACAGACGCACATGTGTTTTGACATTATTTTGTGTGTTGCAGTTCGCCTCGTGGGCCTATAGCGAAGACAAAGTTCTGCTGAACGCCTCGCACAAGCCCGCGCTCCAGAAATACTCGCCCAACGAGGAATGGGCTTTGCAAGTATGAAGAAGAGCCAAGTTTGAGAAATGAATCATTGAGCTCCTAAAGAGAGGAAACGAGACTTTTGACTCTGGAAAATAGATTTTGAGATCACAAAGGACAAACTTGGAAAAACTTACGAGGAAAGGGAACTTCAATAATCTCTGGCTTGTAATCGTTCAGAGATGAGACTTTTGATTGTGAATGAGGAAGATTTGAGACGAAGAAAATTGAGACGAAGGAACTTATTGATATCTCAATCCTAATAAATCTTTTAAATTTGAACCGAATTTCGAAATCTGAGTACGTTTTTTCTCGAAATTTCTCTTGAGTTACTCGTTCTTTTCATTAAAAAGCTAAAAAATTAAAATTAAAGAACTTACAAACTTCTTTTTCTCATATTTCTTATCCCCTTAAAGGCATAGGGTCAGTAAAAAACGTTGTTTGAGTTCAAAGCAGTACTTTGTAAAGCTTTTCGTTGCGAATCGAATGGTGAACTTGGAAACGTACAGAAGCTCCTAGTTTTAAAGAAATTCAATTCGCAATGAAAAATTATATAAGATACTGCTTTGACCTGAAACCCCGTTTTTTACTGCCCCTATGCCTTTAATCTCACTTTATTTGATAACTTCCTCTGACTCACCGGCCAGCGATGAATCTCAAAAGTTTTTCAACATGACAGCTTGCGTAGCCTCAAGATCGTTTTACACATCGCAGCCGGAAAAAGCTCGTTAAAGCCAAGATCAACTGAGGTTCTTGATTCTTGAGAAATCTATCAACACATTGAATTTCCGTGAAAAATGAAGGAAAACAAAAGCAAAAGCAAAAGTTTGCAGGACGTCGACATGGTGAGGGAAGAATATGAGCACGAGGACACTGTAGTCAGCGAGATCGTTTATAACATCAAAGTCGCTCGAAAACCTTTTTATTACCTTGTGAGCTTAGTTGTGCCCAGTTATATCATCTGCGTTCTGTCGATTGCCGGACTTTTTGCTCGATTTTCTACTCGACATGAAAGACAGGTAAGTTCTATTATTTGTATGAACTACGATCTGAATTTGATTTTTTCTGAAATTAACCGACGGTAATTTTCCATTTCTGCGAAATGAAGGCTCGAAACAAATGATTCACTTTACTGATTTCAATTATCACCTTGAACTTAATCGTGTCCTTTTCTAAAAAGAGGGAGGTTTCCAGAATATCCGATTGCCAGAAAATGCTCCGGTCAAATCTTGAAAATTTTGGTCAATTTTTTTCAGATAGCAGCAGGGCAAAATAACCTTACTCGTTTTTCAAAGTTTTGTGATAATTTTGATAAGGTCAGCTACCGGAAAAAGACGATTTGTTTCAGGAACGATTTACCCTTGGAGTAACTGCAATTTTGAGTATGGCTGTGCTGTCTTTAGTTGTGACTGAGAAAGTTCCGCACAGCTCTGAAAATGTGCCTCTTCTGAGTGAGTCCTCTTTTTTTATTTCCCAATAAATCTTGCTTTCAGTTGTATATTTCCACTTCATCATTATCATGGTTACAATAGCCACAATCCTCACTTCCACAGTGATGCGAGTTCATGCCAAAGTGAGATTCAAGTATCAATGGAGATATGAATAGTTTCTATGTTTGCCTTTTTCAGGGTTTCGAACACAAACTTCAACCGCCTCCTCCTTGGATGGCAAAGCTTTTATTCATAAAGGAGAAATTCGCCAAGTTTGAAAAAAAGAAGGTGAGTCTGCGTTTCGATCTTCGAAAGTTGAATGACTTTTGAAGATTCTTATCTGAGTCACTGATCGCAGTTTGAGAAATTTCTGTGAACCTATCGCATTAGCGTTTTTCAGAGAAAACCAAAAATAGAAGGATGAGAGCTTTTGAAAGTTACCATGTTCAATGATGCGTTTGAAGGGAACTCCTAGAACCGTGAATCACCAAAATAAGTATTCTCATTGAAGCTTTGGAACGATATTTGACTACAACAGAGAGATTCTATATCGAATCTCTTAAACGCTTTCTATTTCATTTTATCAAAAGTTATTGGGGGATCTCAAAACTTGAATTGGGGGGCTGTTCAACGACCCAAAACCTTATTCTAGAGACCTTAGCTTTTTTTTCAGTATTGCTTGAACACACCAAATAGTACGTTTTGAAAGAACCTTGAAGCTTCGATGTCTTTAGACTCTAGTTTTTCCGGATCTTTTTCATGAAAATCGAAAAGTGGTACAATCAGTTATCATGCGATCATTGTCTTTTGTATGATAGTTTGAACTAAAGTTGGAGTCACATCCAAACAGTTCCTCGTCGAACCGGTTTTCAAGTAGAAGCAAATCAAACTAACGGTAGACTTCAGGGCAAAAATCAATTTTTTTTATTTTTGCGAGATTGATGTTCTAAGCGTGACTCTGTCATTTCGGGAAAGACCTTTCATCGTAAAATAGTGATGCGAACTTATTCTCGTCTATGTTTTAAGAAAAGTAGGGAAGTATAATATTCTTGGTTATGTGCAAAAAAAAGAATTGATATTTTCAAATTGAATGAGACGGCTAAAAGCGAAAAACCCAATTTAATCCCAAAAACAGCTGGAACTGACAAAAAAAGCAATCTACTAAATGGAAAGCTTTCGCACTTCCTCTTCAAAAAAAAAGACGAGCTTTGAGAAACTTCGAGCATTGAGCACGAGGATGAAAATCACCTAGAAGCACAAAAGACTTAGAATTTGGAAAAAAAAATGTGGGAATACTTTTAATTTTGTCGAAGTCATTATCATACCCTGCCAATTAGTCAACTATCGAGAGAATAGAGAATAAAAACGCCAAAACTTCAGTGAGACTGAAATTGTGGCAAAAACGAGAATACTTATTTTTGTTGATACAGAAAGTCTACTCCAACAATCAAAGTTGATTTTTGATCGCATGAACTAATTTTTATCAAATTTGTATGAATAAGCAGAGAGCGATGGAAAAAAAGTTTTTTTTCAGAACAAAGTGATTCTTCAAGTTCACTCAACAGCTGAACAATGGGGAGAGGTAACTACTAATTTCTGAATTTAATAGTTTTGCGTTGATTTAGTCTGAGTAGTTTACCTAAATCTGACGACAGCCTCATCGGAAAGCACAAAAATGATAAAAACTTCTAAAAAATCCGCTTGCAGACCGTTTTTCTCTCATTACATCTGAAACTAGAAGCATATTCATTCTAATGAAGTCTAGAAATAATAATTTTTCCTCTTGTCCTACGGTGAGAAAAACTATTTACGGACTGATGTCTTTTTAATTTTCAAAACTTCAATTTTGTTGGAAAAAAGAATTTTCAGTCTTTTTCTACTGTGAATAAGAGTTATCCGAGCAGCCATCTACATTCAGGGGCTGAAAAAAATGACAAGACGGCAGCTTATAAATCAGCGAACAAACTAAAAATTTCAAAAACTCCGAGTTCACCTCGAAACAATTTTTCTACGCATTTGGGAAAAAAAAAAGTCTCAAATTTCTACTTTACATTCTCTTCTGCTCATTTCCGATGAAAAAGTTTTCCGTTTTTTTTTCACCAAAAAACAAAGTTTGAATCAATTTAGAAACCTCAGAACGTTCAATATAACCAACTGACTATTTTTCTCTACATCCTTCTGATTTACAGATATCTCGGAGGATGGACTACTTGTTGGCGACTTTATTCGTACTGATCATCTCAGCTCCAACAGTATACTTGTTTTATTTGTGTTTGGCAATTGATCACTCCATCAATGAGAAACTTCTTCTTGAAAAATCCAGAAACTGGTAGTTTTATGCGAGACGAATATTTTTCCTTTTTTCACTTTGAATGCATTGAAGAGGCTATAAAGATGATTGACATAAGTTCACAAGTTGCAATTTATTCAGTCTTCAAAGAAGATTCTTGTCTGAATCATCGAATCGATCGTGTGTTTGCGGAATCGCGTCGTTCAAGATCAACTCTTACAAAATCGTGTCCTTCTTCAATTTTGAGTCTTGAAAATTAGCTTCTCCATGTATGAACATTACGGCGCTCAGCTTTTCGAGTACTGACGGTCGTCAAATTAAATCTCGGGCGAGAGCAGCAAAGAATAAAATTTCTCGGCAGATAGAAATGTGATAACTATCTCATTATATAATGCAATATATGTTTACGAGAAACTTCAAAATCGTGTTGGTATCGAGAAAAAAATTTTTTTAAGTGTTAGAAATAATAATAATTTTTTTGTAAGAAATCACACTCGACTCATTTTACAAGTTTCGATAGTTTGAAGTCCCATTTACCCAGGAATTTCTTATTTTTCGATTTGGCGTCAGTTTCGGTCAACCAGGCGTTTTGCGAACTTAAACATATTTTTTTGCTTGCGTAATGAATAAAATGAATAAAAAAATAATTTCAATATTAATTCAGTATCAAACACTCATAAAAAAATCGATGTTATTGTTACCGAAAAAAACTATTCCAAGTTTTTGATTCATAATGTGGAAAATTTTTGAATGTTTCAGATAGCTTCCTTCAGAGTCTAAAACATTTAAAAAAATTTTTCTGGGACATTGCTTCTGGAGCTTGTAAAAATTCAGCAAAGTTTGAGAAAAAACAGTGCAAAAAACATGCACTTTGAATTGCCGCGCGACTCCTGCTGCTGCCGAAAAACTACCGTAATCTGTTCGCCCCGAGACCTTATTGAAGAATGGACTCGCCAGCGCACGCGCGTACCACCGCGTCATTGATTGCCATCGAATCACGCTCTTCTTCTTTTTTCTGCTTATCCTCGTATTTTTGATTGGCTTCTATGGAACTTACGACGGCATGTCGTCAGTAGGAGCCGTGGCAAGCGATCATTTCCGAGACTTTCGCGGACAGGTTAGCCTTTTCAATCTTCTCCCAAACATCAAATCGTCATCCAATCCATGAAATTTAGTTTTTCTTGTTTTTTTCTATATTTTCAAAACTCGAAATGATGCAAGTTATTCATTCTTGCAGGGAAAGTTTTTGCAGTCTTGTTCTGTAAATTACTGTTAAGATGGCATTGAAATGTTTTTACGCAAAATTATTGCTTATATTGGTTTGCCTTTTGTTTTTCAAGCTGCAGATGTTATATTTACGTACATTTCGATAACAAATGTGAAAGCAGTTGATTTCATTTTTACGTTTGAATGAAAGCAAAAAATTTTATGTATTTACTATTGCCATTTTATTACCATACATTGGCATTTTTTCATTTTCATAAATTACTTCGTATTTGGGTCGTTCTTGGGGAAATTTTATGCTCATAAAATAGTTTTGATACTCGTATTTTTTGCCATTATTCGGTTTTGCAATTTTATTGCGTTTTTGATTGCATTCGCATACCATTTAATAGTGTTTATGACTAGATCGATATTTGTTTATTATCATTTTTTTTTTCTGAATTTGCGGGTTTTTTCGAACTTGGCTTCGCCTTATGTTGACTCAAGAAGTAATGAATACCTAAAAGTTTATTGAAAGATTTTTGGGATTTCTTTCAAATGAAAACAAAAATGAAAAACTAACTATGCGATTTTAGCATTTTTAACGCCAACAATTAAAACTTCAAACTTTTATGTTTTCCATATTGGAAAACTTGATGATTTGACCGAAAAAAAGATTTTTTTCTCAAAAGTGAAAAAAATTGAAAACAATAAGTTTATATCAACAGTGATGAAATTGTACAGTTATTGTGTATTATGAATTCACATGTACAAATGTGCAATAAAGATGAAGTAATTATTTGAATGATGGTTGGGAGACGCCAGTGGGAAACGACGCGTCGACCTTTGATCGATTTTCTCGCGTCGAAAAATGTGCCAATTGTGGGCGTCGGTCGATCAGGGATAGGCGCGAATCTCCGCTCGCGTGTTTCCCAACTCTCATTCCGTGTTATTTTATGCTGTCATCCGGCTCTAACATTGTTCAGCTCACTTCAAACAACCAAGCTACAACCCTGAAGCGCACACAGGAAGACAGCAGCCTCGACTGTACGTCCGCCACACATTTGTTTCCATTTTTTGCTCAGTTTGTTTGATTGCTCGACAGTTTTTTTTATTTTTTCGATTGCGTTTATCATTTTCCATTTTTCGAATTTTGTACTTTTCTAAACACTGATCTTCTGTCACTCTGCAAAAACAGGCTGTTTGTGAATGATATTCGAAAGTTCTCGGACCCCGATAACATTGACTTTTCAGGCGGAATCCCGGCCAAGAGGGGAATCATGCATGGGATGGACGCGGCAAACGCCATGCACATGGGAACCATGGGAAACACATTCAATGTACCGATGAGCGACAATGTCGTCGAGGTGATTCAAATTCCGGAGAATACTGTTGGACTCGGTCAGTTGGGAAAAACTCGGTTTTTCAGAACTATCTTTTTTCAGTTATTGGTAGAAAGGGATCCGAGATCCAGAACATCCAGGCCAAGTCTGGCTGTCGGGTTCAGATGAGCCCTGAAGCTGACAATCCAGGAGGCGTCAGACAATGCACTCTCCAAGGACCGAAAGTAAGCGATTCTGAGTTGTTGAAGTTTTTGCCCCTTTGAGCCAGTCACCATGAACAAGTTGAAAAAAAAGTAAAAAAAAAATTCACGAAAGTCTGAGACACTCCGTACTTCATTGTGATCCGAAATTTGTTTTCAATAACTTTCTTCTTCCAGATGGCTGTTGAACACGCCAAACAGCTGATCAACGACGTCGTCACGCGCGCTGCTCAACGTCAGGCTGGCATGCCTGTTCAGCAACCTCAGTTCACTGGCGACACGTCGAGGCACATCAGTGTCGACATGCTTATTCCTGCCACGAAATGCGGTCTGATCATCGGAAAGCAAGGCGACACTATCAAGCAGCTCCAGGTAATTGAACTTGTCTGTGGAAACACGTATGATTCATTTGATACAGGAACAAGCTGGCTGTAAGATGATGATGATCCAAGATTCGCAAGAAGTGACTGGTCAAGCCAAGCCTCTCCGTCTCACTGGAGATCCGGATAAGGTTTATTCTTTCTTGAAACATCTTTTTGAAGCCGAACTTTCAGGTTGAGATCGGCAAGCGCCTGGTTACCGAAATGCTGCTGAAGGACGAGCAGGGCGGTGGCGGAATAAGTAACAGATTCCACCACGACGGAACTACGGCTAAGGGAGAAGTGAGTTTGAGTATTTGCCGAAAAAGCTTGTACTAACAAACTTTTTTGCAGGTTGTTGTTCCACGGTCCAGCGTCGGAATGATCATCGGCAAAGGCGGAGAAATGATCAAAAGACTCGCCAACGAGACGGGAACTAAGATCCAGTTCAAGCCTGATGGTACAAGCATAAATGTGAACATATCTTGATTTCAAAACATTCAGACGATCCATCCTCGCCTGAGAGATGCGCTATCATCATGGGAACTCGTGAGCAGATCTACAAGGCCACCGAACTCATCACTGAATTGGTCAATAAGAGTATGGCCAACGCTGTTGGAACTGGAGGAGCTCCCGCGAACTGCCCGCCCAATGCTCAGCAGGTCCCACTCTTCTAATTGCGACGGAAATAATTTTAAATTTGAAGGTTTTCTACATGCATGTTCCAGCCAACAAGACCGGACTGGTCATCGGCAAAGGAGGCGAAACAATCCGTCAGGTGAGAAAGGTCTTTCGAGATTTGATCATAAATTGGTTGACAGATCAATGCGGAGAGTGGGGCTCACTGTGAACTGTCTGCTGAGCCGGCAAAGAATACTCACGAAAAAGTGTTCATCATCAAGGGAACGCCTTATCAGATTCATCACGCTCAGCATATTATCCGAATCAAGGTTATTCTATTCTCAAAGGTACTCATCTTCAAAAAATGTTCTATAGGTCGGAGACGTGCAGCCGAACACTCCAGTTCCTCCATTCCAGCAGGCAGGTGCTGCCAACGGCGCCTTCCCAGTAGCTCCTCAGTACGCTGCTCCGTACACGGCTCAACCAGTTCAAGGTGGTCAGTGGAACGGTGAGCAGTTCGCTTGCTAAACCATGAAACGATTGAATAATAATTCTGAGAAAGTTTGAATTTTTTTCTGTGCCATTTCTTTCAAAAATTATTAGCTATAGTGAATTTGAAAAATAAGCCTCTTTGAATTATAATTAACAATTACTGTTTCAGCTGTGCCAGCCGAGGGCGGATGGAACTCTGGCGGAGTCTTCTACGGGAACCCTGCGGGCGCAACTCACGCAGCTCCATACGCCAATGCACAGTACCAGCAACCGCAAACTGTGGCTCACGCTCAGTATGCCGCCACCACTGCCGCAACTCAACCGGCCGTTTCTAGCGCCCAGCCTGCTGCTGGTGTTCAGATCAACAGCCAGCCGGCCATCAACCCGCAAACTGGACAGCCTGATTACTCTGCTCAGTGGGCTGAGTACTACCGGTAAGTATTTAAAAAAAAAGAAATTTCGAATCGTTCGTATGTCTTCTTTTAAATATCAGAAGAACTGACCAAGAATCTGTCAAAGATATCTATGTTCAACTTTGATGTAACTATGTTCAGATCGGTTGGATTGCACGAGCAAGCGGCGATGGTGGAGAACCAAATGAAGCAAACGGCGGCTCGTGGAGGAGCTGCGACGACGGCCGGCTATGCTGCTCCTGGAACTGCTCCAGCCACGGCTCAGTACGCCTATGGACAGGGCCAGCCCGGCTTCCCGGCAGCCAATCAGTACCAAGCTCCCCAGTAAATTCCCCATTGCGTTTTCTAACACCTTCGACACCTAAAAACACGTAAACTATGGCCCTAATTGTTTAATTTATACATCATATTCTTGTTGTTGCGAAGAATTTGCCGTCGTTGGCAATATTCGATCTCCCGACCATCCGGCAGGAGCAATACGAGTTATTTTTTTCCTTGTTATTTTTCGTTTTTTTCTTTAAAAATTCTAATACTCATTTTTTTACTGCGTGTTTTTATTTTTTATCCGTGTTTGGGTGAATTTTGGTTCGATCGCGTTTATTTTGAATATGTAAGTCTTCATGGTCCAAATTCTGAACTTTTTTGTTAAGTTTCCGTGTTAACGGTTTATTTTTGTATTACTCTTGAATTAATTTTTTATTCTACCTTTATCCCTCTTTTTGGTAACGAGTTTTGCATCTTTTTTGTATTGTTTGGCTTCGATACATTTTTTTTTTGAAGTTATTAATGCTGACCTTTTTATACCCTTCTTCTATTAACTTACATAATAAGTGGTTTTTCACTGCTTTTTTTTTGATGATTTGACTATAAACTCTGACTTTCAGTTTTTGTGTTTTATGAAAAATAACTGAAGCTTTATTTCTCTCATACCGGTATATAAGAAAAAAATTTAATGATATTCATATCTAATTTGAGAAAATTTAAATATTTTTCGGCAAACTAAAAAAGCTGAATCAGGCTCTTTTTGACAATAAAGATCTAAATAAATCGTCTCTGAAAACTATCTAGAAATTTGGGAAAGGGTGCTCGTTTTACAATTGTGAATCTTATATTTTTAGTAAAGTCGATATGCTCCACATTTTTACGCTTCTGTTTTTTATACAAGTTCTTCACGAACGCCTCAGTTTGCTTCAAAAACATAGAGAAAAAAAAATTTGCGTTGGCATCACGAAAGCTTTTTATTCATATACAACCTTTTATAATTAAATTGCTATAATTCTTTCACACAACTCTCAGCAGCAACGCCAATTATGAAACGGAAAAGCGCAACTTCGGCAGCTCGGTTGGGTGTCTTCACTACTGAAAATTTTGTTTTTTCCGGTTTGCTCTTTTTTCTGCATTTCATAGATCTATTGCGTTTTCAGTTATTGGAAAATTGATTGAAGTCCACAGTAAATTTGGCGATGTCGTTTCTAAGTACGTGGCCAACTGCAATTTTGATTTGATTGGGATCCGCGCCTACGAGAACGAGGGTTTGTTCAAAAACTGTTATATTTTTGACGACGCTTTATGAATAAATCAAGATCTAATAGTTGACAATGTTTAACTGGTCTGCTATGTTTTTAAAACAGCTAGAAGCTAGACGGAAACCTTATGCTTTTTGATTTTTTGTTGAGTTTCAAACTTTCGTATTCCACCATCGCAAAATAGAAAACAAGGATTTCAGCAGCTTTGAGATTTCATAGTTTTGTAACCGACGTGGATCTATGAACTATTTTCTTATCTTTGCCCAATTTTTTCTAGAAAGCGTCTCAGCAAATTTCATTCAATTTCATCAACTGTGCCTTTCAGCAACTCGCGTGTGAAAGTTCGAATTTTCAGAATTGGTCTTGGTCTATGGGGCGAGAGATGTAATGATTGTTCAATACGAAACCTGCTTCAAAAAAGTCACAAAATGTTCTCAGGAAACAGTTTCCAATAGTTATATTCTGGATGCCATTCTCAACAAGAAAACAGGAACGGTAGAAAATGAACTTTTGAAAGATAGATCTATTTTTTCTTTGAAACCAGGTCTCGATGATTGACGCTTCGAATGTTTTCAAAAAATTAAAGGTTTCCGAAGACGGAAGAATAACAGTCTCCGATGTTTTTAGCTGTCCTTTCATTAAAGAATCTTCGTGAGTTTTATTGATTGTGAAGGAACAAAACGCTGGTTGAAGGACAACGGCTCTTGTGGTCAACATTGAAACCGAACCCAAGGTTTTTATGGCTACGACCAATGGCGAAGTCAAGGAGTGGCGGCCGTATAGTTTATCACAGAAAATCATCACCCGAAAAGGCCACCGGGTGAGTTTCTTTCTCATTGAAAATGAGGCCTTTTCCATTTTCAGGGCTTGATTCTTGGGATTTGTGCAACGGAAAAATATATTTTTGCTTTGGGGGACGATCGTACTCTTTTAATGTGGGATATCAATGTGAATGTAAAAGAAGATCTATCAAATTTGTGAGTTGTATGAATTTGTAAAAATATTGTTCAGAAAAAAATTCTAAAAGGACTTTTTGGCATTTTCCGGTCCCAAAATTAGTAACAGTACTATGATTCAATAGCTACAAAACCTGTCAAAGTTATTCTGTAAAAAATGGTTTTTTAGAGAATCGTCGACAATGTGTTCCAATCGTTGTGAAGAGTTTTATGTTCCTGCCCTAGGGTTCGTTCCTAATTTTGATTTTTGGAAGCATTTGATTGAGTTTCAGTTCTTTGTTAGGCCATTCCTCGAGGCCTCTCTCATTATGCGTCGATGTGAAGAAAAACTTGGTCTACAGTGCTGGCTATGAACAGGTTATCTCACGCCTTCACTCTTCATAAACCTTTAGTTTTCAGTTTGTGTATGTTTGGTCCTTTTCCAAAAACAATGAAGATGAAGAAAATGTGGATAAAAAGCATGAAATAAAATTGGTGAACAAAATGGCCATTTCTTACGGGCCGATTTCTACGCTTCACTGCACTGATGACCATATGGTAATCGGGCTTTCTCGCTGGAAACTAATGATCTTTGCTGCAGTTGATGGGAACTCTGAGCGGGGGGCTCATACTTCTGAAAGCCAAGCCAGTAGACGACACACTACCACGTATCCAAATGCAGAATTTTAGAGATTTTGCGTATCTTGACAAGAAGTCGCTAGTGGTTATCGAAAAAAAAGAGTGAGAATTTTCATAACTTTTTTTTGATTCTTTTTTTTTAGCTTCATCAGTTTCATCAAAGATGTGAAAATCCATCTTCACTCAGAAATAAAAAATAAAATCACTAACGATTTTTCTCGTCTGGCAAACAACACGAACTCTGATTTCGTCATTGGTTGGCAGAAAGATTTCTGTACCTTCATTCACAACGAATGGAGTAAGATAATGACTTTGTTATTTTTTATCAAAAAGTTTCAGCTTTTGAAAAAAGGTTTTGTAAGCCGATCAGCAACGTTCTTACTTTCGAGAAATTTTTCCTGATTTCTTTTGTAGACCAAACGGCGGTTGGATTTGATTTTTGCCTTTTTTTCAAACTTGATCTGTTCAGAAAATCGGAACTTTCATCTCGGATGACCTTTCTCTAACATTTTTCAATACAATTATCACAAATGACACTTTGAACTCGGCGTTCTTCTGTGAAGAGTGAGAAAGAAGTATTTTTCTTGGCAAACTCTATTCAAACAGGAATAACGGAGAGCTCAATGTGGTTATCGGCACAGTACACGGAGACATTTACGAAGGAATAGTACCAAAAACGGAGACTGGAAATGCAGTACGTTTCAAATTCTCAATCTTCTTCAAAAAGTGTTTTTTAGTGGCGGGGCCTGGCTAAAATCCCCAGCAGGAAAACCAATGAATACGGCCAGCCTTTGCGTTCCTTCGGGATTTCTCAAATTCTCAAATCTTCCAAGTTCAATACCGTCATGGTTTTGTGTGGAAACGAGATTTCTCATTATTTACTTCAGAAAACGGAACGTCAGTTTTGAATTTTGTTTTTTTTTCAGATTGACTATCTGTGAAGATAACAAAATTATAACTTTTCAGAGCGAGTTTTGAAGTTTCTGGGGAAGCAACAGCTCCCGGCATCTATCCGCATATCCCAGCTAGAACAAATAGTCACTTGCGGAAGCGAAACGTTTTTTGTTGGTTTTCACGGGGTAAGAATAAAGCTAACAGGAAAAGGTATTCCAACGTGAAGGGTTGAATTTCGCTGAAATTTCGTTAATGTCTTGGTTAAAAAGTATCATTATTGGAAAGATGTATTTTTGATAGTTGTTTCATTTTTTTGAAAAAAAAAAAATTAATTTTAAGAGTCATACTTTTGAGAATGAAAGTTACAAATCTCTAACTAAGTTCCGGAAAGGCCAATTTATATGTTTTTTTGTGAGAACTGCAGGAAAGATTTGCCAGTCTTTTTCCAATAAAAATTGCAAACTTGGCCCCTCAATGGAATCTTATACAAAACTAATGAAAAAAAAATAAAAGAATTATTTAAAGACTTCTTTCACCATTGCTGACGTTGATACTTTGCTTCCTTTGGCAAACTGGGAAAGTGGCGGCTCAAACCGAAAATGGCTGGTTTGGGTCGATCAGGAGCCGGAGTCGTTGATCAAAACAGCTCGGTTCAGTTTTGTTCGAGATGGGGTACGTTTTTTTGAAAAAAATTTGTGGTCTTCATAAAATCATACTTCCTTCAGGTTTTGTACTTTTACGAGAAAACCCTAAACAACGTCATTTTGCTGGAGCCGTCTTTCCACATCGATCAGATTCTCGACGTAGCCGTTGTGGAAGACGGAGAGCGTAGTTATGTTGCCACTGTTTCAAATGACGGAAACCTGACTGTTTCGAGTATCAACCGAGAAGCAGCAGGTAGAACTCGAACTTTATTTTGAGCAATCCTAACAAATTTGCAGATTTCACTCAAGTTAGAAAGGTCTTCACGGGTGACAACGTTTTGGCCGTTGATTTGACGATTGACGACTCTCCTTCGGTTTTCGGCGCGGAACCAACTTTTTTGGTGGCGACTGGTTCTGGAAAGTCGGAACTTTCTGTCTGGCGACTACCGAGTACAAAGATATTTCAGTTTTGAATAAAATATTTCATTTTCAGTTGAGGGATCAAACGGAGTAGCGCCTTTTCAATGTTCGTCTTTGACGACAAAAGATGGAGGCAGGATCACGGACATCCGTATAATCGAAATCGAGGATGAAAATCGTTTCCTGGCGTCCTACTCGTCCGGTTTCATCGAGTGAGTTGCACTCTATCGTGTTTTCAAGTTCAATTGTCTTTAGATGCTTCTCACTAAACGACGGAAACCTCACAACTGTCTACTCATTTGACTTCTCTCTTGAATCTTTTGGGATGGCCAAAGTTTTTACCAATTGAAACTTTGGGAAATTCAATTTTTTTTTAGTTCTGCTCAGCGCAACTTTACGATTGCTCTTATGCTTTTATGGCAACTACAATGGGGGCCACCGGAGTCCTAACCTGTGAAGAAGCCAGGATGAGCGCCGTCTTAGTGAAAAACGTTTGTTGATTCAAAAAAATGGAACTGTAAAGTGTTGAAAAAATCATGAACGAATATCTTTTCAAGTAAGAACTATTTCAGTATCCTAGCTATAAAAATCGGATAAAAAAGTGTTTGTATACACTTTGAAAATGGTCATTTTTTTTTAATTTTTAAAGCCTCAACATAGTAAATAAAAGCGAAAATTTCGGTATTTCTGTACAAAAATGAACTAAGCTGCTGGAAAAACTTTTTGTTCTGAAAGACAGCGCCGAAGTTTCAGTTGGAAATTTTCAAAAAAAGCAGCCAATTTTCAACCGATTTTCCCATTTTTTGAGAAAATCTATTGTAACAGTTCTAATAGAGTAAAGGCAAACCAACTTAGATATTGAAAAAGAAACTCGAAGTAGCTTCTGAATTTAAAAATTTCACACAAAAGCGATGTTCACACTAAGAGTGATTATCGAGATGAAAGCGAGATTGCTTACGGTACATTGACGACCTCGCCAAAAGGATTCTTTGTAGATGCGCCATATTTGCATTTTCCTTGGTTCGACCTCGCATTTTGAAAACTTTCAAATTTGAGTATGTGTGCAAAAGCAATAGAAATCGGCCGCGCTTAAAAAAAATGCGAAACTTGCGCAAGGGTAGAGCGAAATTTTTAGTCAATGTCTTACCACGGTTTTGCCTTTTGTTTTCTTTTTTTTGTTTGGCCAAAGCTTTTTCAGGAGTTTTCTTACCGAAGCCCGGGGTCCCCTCGATGCTCTGCCGTGGAGAGGATTTCTGATGATTTTCTTCTCGTTGCTCATGGATACGACAGTGGGGAGACCGTTTTTTACAGCTTCAGTGAAGGCAAGGGACTCGAATTCATTGACATCGTTTGTGATTCGACCGAGTCTATCGCAGGTACTTTTCCATTTGGGAAAGATTGAAAAACTAAGTTTTCAGCGATTGCAATGGACAGAATCGACGTTGGAAAAACACGTGTCTCCCTTGTTTCTTTTGACTCCAGACTTCGATCTCATATCGTGGATCATATGCCAGAAAAAGACATCGTGAGCTTTTTTTTTTGTAAATCAAGAAATCTTGAGTTCAGGTTATCGGAAAAGCAGAAGACCTAGAGACTTTGTCCGTCCATCAACCAGCTGCAGCCGTGGCAGTTGGGAAAGGCAGGATTTTTGTCGTTGGACACGGATCCGAACTTGTTCACGAGTGACTTATCGCCCATTTTTGTAATGAATAGAATGCCTTTAAAGCAATTTTTTTCTATTATTTTTTTCTTATTGCCTTAACTTTGAAATACCGGTAATGTGCGTTGACATTGATAAATTATTTAACTTTATTACAAAGAACTATTTTTTTGTAATGTAATCTTTAATCGATGAAAAAAACATTTCCATTTAAAAAAACTGGAAAAAAAATCAGGAACGAAGTAAATCAGGAGATTTTTCAATTTTTTTAAAAAGTGTATAAGCGGGACTGATTTATTGAAATTCGAATATAAAATGTTGTCATCCAATTTGTAGAAATAAGTTAGCAGAAAGCCTGATGCAAAAATTTGAACGTGAAAAACTAGGATGATCGACCTTCTGAATACATTTCATACTGTCCTTGTTCTCAACTCTCGGATTAAAAAACTTGAACTTGGAGAAAATTCTGATGTTTGTATATTGTTTTCATACCCTGTGACTGTTTCTTCAGTGGTTTTTCGCTTTTCTTGCGTCTTTACCTTAGTATTCCAGTGGTGAGTCCTGTACAGAGGATCATAAACTTCACCTTAAAAAAATCTTTTTTTTCCCTCAAAATAGCTGTGAAGTATCTTTATTTCGTGACATTCACACTGTCGTATCCGGCATGAAAAATATAATGAATACAACGTTTAAAAATCGAAATGTTCTAATTAGCTTGGGCTTGTGAAAAAAGGATAAGGATCAGAAGAAATGGTATTTTTTTCATAAATTCGGACTCCCTTCAGAAGTTGCCTTCTCTAAAACCTTCTTCAATCATTTTGTTCGTGATCTTAGACAACCCTTCATTGAGAGGTTTTTTTTGCTGTCGAAACTATTTTTTTATGACTGAGTCGGCTGCAATTCATCCTTATAGGCAACAGACACATTCAAAACATCTTGCTTTGTCGACAACGACGCACAAAAGCAATAAAAAAGTCAAAAAAAAGGCAAATTACTTTCGGCTCTATTTTTAACAGTAGTTGGTATATGATATCGTAATAAACTTCCAATGATGGACGGTTGGCCAAGCGAGATTTGTTACTTTCTCGGAAGCGGTCGTCCGGATTAGTTCAAGACAAAACATTTGCTGAAAAAGATTCAAAAAACCAAATTCGTTTCCAAGTTGTCCTCTTTTAGTTTGTCCTCCTCACAAGAAGAAGATCAGTTCGAAATAATACCCTGCCCAATTTCCTTTGTCTTTTCAGAATCATGTTGTACAAAGTTCAAAACAATTTGTTCGAAGCACGTTTATTGAAAATGCTTTTATACCCGAGAAAAACCCCAAATTTGAAAAGAGAAATACATGAGAGTCACGAATAATTGTTCTGAAAAGAGCATGCGAGTAGAAATGGAATAATGAAGGTGTGACCGGGGGACGAAAAAACTCGGTTATTTGAAGATGCTAAAACTGGCTGTGTTTTAAATGGAGAAAAAGAGGTGTTCAAAAAGATACAAGTAAATGAATGGCACAAGAAAAATATTCACATAAAAAAATCTCTGAAAAGGAATTTAATACGACGGAAATGAATACTTGTAAGACGAGTTATAAAGACACAATAATTGTTGCAAAAATGTTTTAATGCGAAATGGTTCCGGTGGAAAGCAACTGGTCGAGGGGCGAAGAGAACGTGTTGATGGGCGCGTTGACCAATTTGATGGCGAAGTCTTTGAGCGAGAAAATCGGACTCGGCTTCTTCTCCTTGTGTTCGTCGACGTATTGCAAACCGAACTTCCGCGCCAAGACGACGCCTTGGAAAAGATTGTTGAGCGCCGAGTCTTTGACGGGAACGAAGTCGAGGCGGTTGCAAAGGTAGGAAGCCAGTGCGTCTCCATGCTCTTTTTGTGGGTTGTGGACCATTTGCTCAAGTCGCTGCAAAAAAGTGTATCATAATTCGATCACTTGTAAAGACAATGAGAAAACGTTATGACTCCTGCAGAAAAATTTTTAGAGTCAATCAATTCGAGAAAAAAGTTTTTTATTTTCTCGTTTCTTGATCTCGTTTTTTGGTCAAGAAGGACTCAGGTCACTGATAGAGCCACTTGAGTTTCACTCGAACTGAAAAAACTCACGAGTTCGTATCCGAGATGGGCCAGGGCCGACACCATCATCTTCGCGATCTCCTGGTTTCTGAAGGATGGGCGAACGACGAGGCTTCGAAGTTCCATCAGGGAGCCAATCGAGTCATCGTGAACCATTCGAGCCCCCCGCCAAGCCGACAATGACCGACGACCTGAGAATTACTGATAAACTCGAACGTTTGCAGGGAAAGTCTCACCCCTTGAACAGTGGCTACGACGGTGTAGGGAGCCGCGTCAATGACCTGATCGACAGTGATGTTGCCGAGCAATTTCTTCGCGTCGACCCGAGGCATCGAACGGAATGTGTTCAGGCTCGAAATTAACAATCTGAAAATTCTCAATTATCCTGCTTCCTGTTCTGTAGTTTTTCTTGTTTGTTAGAGTGAATAAATAAATGTATAAATATATATCCTGATAGCCCACAAAGTATGCTTTTCAGTCGTTTACAAAGTATTCAATGAACAGAAAAAAAGCCAACTTACGAGATGCACGGCTCGAAGTCTTCGATATTGAATGGCCGTACAAGAATTTGGTCTTCAATCGGCTGGCGAATCACCTTGAATGTCGACAACAACGAGTCGTCAAAAATGTCGCCTGAAAACGTATGCATTATTTGATTGGATTCTTTCCAAACCGTTTGGCTCGAAGTCGACTCGGTCGCTTGTGATAAAATCATCTCCGCATTCGGCGAATTCGTCAAAAACTTCGAAACCGTCGTCGTGAGAATCTGAAAAAAATTAATTTCAATGAACTGTCGCTGTTAAATTAAATAAAGCATTGCGAATATATCAAACTTACCACTTTCATTTCTACTATTTACACTGGATTTGTTCTCGTAATTGTGGGAATCATCTTGATATCTATTGTTGTTTTTCATCTCCGAAGAGGCCAACCACCCGGACGTCGTCTCCACATTTCGATGTATCTGCAGGAAAAAAAGTTTATCATTGAACGGTAGTGAAAAAAAACTCACCAATTTTTGTTCTGTATGAACAAGTCGTTAGATGGAGAGTCAGTCCCGTTTGAGTCGGCGTCTCGCTCAACGATCTCCAAGATTTTGAAACTGCTCGATTCGGCGTGCATCGAACAAGAAGCGCTTTTGGATTCCGGTCGAAGTTTGTCAAAGTTCAAAGCCTTGTCCGCAAGCACGTCGTCGATGTGCACATGGAAAGAGAGGTAGGCCTGTTCTTGACGACTCGACATCTTCTGGGCACGAGTCCCGCGAGCTGCAACCCACACTTGTTCGTTCGCTAAACTCGAGAAAAAATTCAAACCTCTGCGAGCCGCCTGTCGCGCCGTATCCTGGCCATTCCCGTTCGTTTCAGCGATCGGAGCCGTGGGAGATTGTTGCATGTCGAGATTTGAACTGAAATTAGTTTTTTGAATTTTCGTCAATTCATACGGATGCAGGGAAACGAAGCAACGCGATATGTAGGCGATACGAGGATTTGAAGTGCAAAACTCGAGTCAAAAACGTAGCCCTGTTCTTTCTTATCTCGGATTGAACTTTAAAAAAAAACACGTTGTTGAGTAACGGAAGAAATTCCCGGTTTTAGTACTAGATAACTATTCGAATATGATCTAACAGAACGAATTTCTTCTCTTTAACGCGTTTCAACACTTTTCATTTTGAAAAGAAGTCTGAAATTCGAATTTCAACCCTTTTCGGAACAAAACTGCATATAAGGTTCATTGAAACAACGAAAGCCTGAACAAAACTCGCTTTTTGGTCACTTGCCTGGTGAAAAAACGGTCAAAAAATATCAAAAAACTTTTTCTCACTTTTAGCAGTTTCTTATACATCTGTCAGTCATCAGAAATCCGAGTCGTACATACTCTCTAACTGATAAAACATCTTAAAAACTCGTTGAATCTTTTTTCGAAAGTTTCGAGACAAAAACATCCATTTGACCGGACAAAAACGTAATTTCTTTTGATATGAGGCTTGAAATAAACTATTCTAGATGATGTTTATCAAAATAAAAGTGATAATTAAGTACTAGTAACGAAAGAACAAGGAAAGAACCAAAAAAAAGCAAGAAAAAAGCATAAAAAACACATGGAAAAACTTGAAATGAGAGGAGAGAAAGCAGCGTGAGAAGCATCGTCTGTGTGCAGAGTTCACTAGCTGTGTTTGCACACTTTCGACAGCCGCGTACCGTAACTTTGACTTTTAATGTATAGACGTTTTTCAACTTGCTGTTTTTATTATTTGTAGTCTGAGATACTATAATGAAAGCTGCGAATAATTTCAGGCGCAAAATATCGACAAAATTGATTGGTTTGTAGCGAAAAATGCTCATTTTTTGGTCTCTTGCCTTGTGAATAGTGGTTAAATACAGGATCAAACTACTTTTTCTATTTCTCAGCATTTTTTCAAATTTTTTAAAAGTTGTTGTCTATCGAAAAATCTTGTCGTACGTACTATCTGACTGATAAAACAATTTTCAAGTTCGTTGTATCTTTTTTTTGAAGTTTCGACTCAAAAAGATCTATGTGACCGGACAAAAACGCTTTCTCTATTGATATAAGGCTCAAAATAAAATATTCTAGATGATGTTCATCGAAATAAAAGTGATAAATAAAAACTGGTAACGGAAAAACAAGGAAAAAACAAGAAAAAAGCATAAAAAACACATGGAAAAACTTGAAATGAGAGGAGAAAAAGCAGCGAGAGAAGCATCGTCCGTGTGCAAAGTTCACTAGCTGTGTTTGCACACTTTCGACAGCCGCGTACCGTAACTTTGACTTTTGATATGTAGACGTATTTTAACTCGCTGTTTTTATTATTTATAGTCTGAGATACTAAAAAAAAAGCTGCGAATAATTTCAGACGCAAAATATCGACAAAATTGATTGGTTTGTAGCGAAAAATGCTCATTTTTGATCACTTGGTTCATAAAAACTGGTCAAACAAAAGGACCATACTACTTTCGCTAGTTTTCAGCACTAATTCAATTTTTTAAAAAGCAGTTATCTAACAGAAAAATCATATCGAACATACTATCTGAGTGAAAAAAAAAATTTCAAACTCGTTGTATTTTTTTTTTGAAGTTTCGAGACAAAAAATCCATTTGACTGGACAAAACCGTAGTTTAACTTGCTGTAATTTTTTTATCAGTCTGAGATGATACTGAAATGAAAGCTGTGAAAACTTGTAACGCGAAATATTGACGAAACTGAGTGGTATATTCCAGAAAATGCCCCAGAATGGACCCTTTCGCCGTTTGACTTGTAGGGCGTTCAATTTTGAAATGCGTAACTGTGAACGTGAAAAGCTAGGATTATCACCATTTTGAATACATTTCACGTTTCCATTTCTGGGATAAATGATTTCAACTTGGAGAAAACTCTGATGTTTGTAACCCGTTTACATACCTTGTAACTGTTTTTTCAGTGGTTTTTTGCTTTTCTTGCGTCCTTTACCTTAGTATTCCAGTGGGAAATCCTGTATAGTTACACAGAAAATCAATAACCGCACTATCAAAAAAAAATTTACTTTTTACCATCAAAAAACCTGTGGAATGTCGTCATGTCGTGATTTTTTGTCGTATCCGGCATCAAACAGTTGTATTTTCAAAGTCTTTTGCAGCCCCTCGGAGTGTTTTCCTGTTGAGCAAGAAAAAAAATGTTGCGGAAGACGCCGTCATTACATTGGCTCGTGAACTTTTCGTGAGTTTTAGTTTCTTCGCACCAAATGTCCAGCCATGCTTAGTCATAGGTCGCGCGATTCCCCTAAAACACCATGTCGCCTCAACTCGCAACGTTCGCTATTTTCCCATTTTTTTCATACATGTTTTCTATTCGTCAACTTTTTTCGTTCATCAACCGAGCGTTAGCGACACGCCATCTCCGCAGACGCTCTTCCAACTCTCGTATCTCTCATTTGGCCCTACAGTAACCTTGCAAAATTTCAGGCTCTAACAGCATTGATAGAAACAACCATTTCGAATGGACTCCACTGTTAATCAGTTTTTTTTTGCGTATTGGGTTACACAACAAAAATGGTAACGTCTTCCTGTCAAAAAGATCCAACCTCTCAAATGATTCATGTGTTTTCAAAAATGAAATATTTGAATTTTTTTGCTTGCTAGATAATTTAATGGCGCAATTTCGCTGGCGATCTTCTCATCGTGCGTCACACGTTCTCAAAACGGCCCGATCTTGCGCAACGGTTGTTTGCTGCAAAATGCTCCGTTCCTTTTTCTTTCTTTTTTTTCGAAATACTCCCCTCGCGATTGAATCCTTTTTTCTTTTTTTAGAGCTTCACTGTAAGAATCTCGTAGACTGGAAATGAAAAAAAGTACAATTACGAGTGTGCTGTCGTTTGTATGTGAATTACCAGTTTGCTACATTGTTTTTTTGAAAGGAAATCTTGTATCTTCAAATCAATTTTGTTTTTTAAAAACTCTCTTGTTCATTCGAGTTTTGTTGTCTAGATAGGTAAGTTAAAAAAATTCGTTAAATTCTAAAATAATCTGAACATGTACCGATATCTCCTCTTACCAGCGTCTCTGTGAGTGTATTTCAAACTTTTCCAATCAGACTTCAAACATTTGAATATTCGTGGCAAACATTTGGACATCGTAAACATTAGAACAAAAAGGTCCGCAAGCCACGTCAAAAAAGAGGAAACTCTTCTTGATGACAAAGGGATGACGCCGAATGCATGGTACCCGTTGTCCCTTTTTGTCTTTGAATAGCCGAACTGTTTGAATTAAAGTCTGCCCTTTCTTTTTCGTTTTGCGCTTTTTAAATTTTTCACAAAGTTGCGTTTTTTTTAGATTCGGTTAGATTTCGATAGTCGCGGTGTGATTGGGAATACTTATTTTGAATCCAGCGGCTTATTCAAATAACTAAAATAAAACCTGTTTTAAAGCGCTAATGCTACTTCAACGTCTTTTAACTTTTGAAAAATTTCTCAACTTGTGCACAACGAGCTCAAACATATTGCAACGCGCTTTTAATAAAAAAATTCTTTATGATTTTTACTCTCAGAAGTGACGGCACTCCATTCATACACTGGAACTTGAAATTTTTATTGAATCGATAGTTAACCGTGTTTAGCTTTTGTTCTCACTTTTTAAGAGAGATTTTCGAATTTTCCGACTACCCCTTTAATACACTTTCTTGTCAGTGAACGCAAGCTTGGACATAAAATAAAAAAAACCATTTTTGGCCGTTAGGATTACTATTAATTCAGTAGCGAGTTCATAAAAGTTTTCTTTTTCGATAAATTTTGAACAATTCTTGTCACATGAGTAATTCTCTCCCACTACACTAATTTTTTTAATTTACATCTTCCAAATCGAACAAAAAAATACCCCGAAAAATGATAAGATTTTTTTATAAACAAAATTTTCCCCAAACTGAGCAGCAGCAGTGGCGGAACATTTGGACATGAGCTTTGATTTTAACCAGACAAAAGCCCTGCAGAAGTAGAAGGATTAATTTTATTCATTTATTTATTTATCTCACTCAAACACAAAAAAATACAAATACAGAATAGAAAGTATTTGAGTGGAGTGAAACCCGATAATTAATTAGTTTTGTTGAAATCGAACAGTTTTCATTTTGCTCTTCAGTGGGGTTATAACCCTTCGAAAACGCATACTTCCAGGAATTGTTGTATTCCGAACATCGTTCGTGAATTATTTATTGACAAAAACTCTCACGTAACTCATGGCTTGAATGAACCAAACGCGATGTTTATAAACTGTTATCGATTCCGTCTCTCACAGATCCTCTCATGCTTTTAGCGAAACACTCAAACCTTTTATGAAACAGTTTAAAGGCGCGGTTCGCCCATTTCCGAAGAACATTCTTTGGCGAAACTCATCCTCTTCTGTTTTTGTTCCTCAGGTTGCTTACTGCAATTCTTCCGTTTTTATGGCTGAGAACCGTTCATGTTTGGAGTAGTTCTCATGTTTTTGCGTGCTCGTATGGCCAAATGGGATGTCTTTGTTCTCAGCGTCGACATGGGAAAAAAATTGTTTTTCTTCAACCTTTTTTTCTAGAAGTCTTTTTTTCAAGGAAAAAAATCATTAAAAAAAAATTTTTTTAGTTTAAAATGAATCTCTCGTACTTTTGCACAGGTCACAGCTTCCGGAAGTCCAGTTTTTTTTTTCTTGACCGTTGCAGCTGATATATTTAGAGTTTCAATGAAAAAAAGTAGCCTTCAAGGTGTTTTTAGGCTTAGACCTTGTGTTTATTCATACAACATGATTAGGTCTGGTTTCCCATGGCCATTTTGTAGCTATTCTAAACTTTTCATGCACTTTTTTTGCCCGTTAAATAGTTCTCTATTGTGATGGCTCTTACAAGAAATCGGAAAATCATTCTTTCAATCTTTTTCCCTTCACTCATGTAACGTTAAAAGCCTTTGGTTGATATGGCGGCATGTTTCGCGCACTTCGAGAGCGAAAAAATGTTCAGAAAGCAAATGGTTGAAGGAATCTTCTGTTTGAAACAGAATTAGAATCCAAAAAAAACTGCCAGGCGTATAGGTTTAGAGCAACAGCAGCTGCAGCGTCCGCGCAGACTTGCGCAGTCGCGTGCCAGACACTCCGAACTTTTTTGCGGCAGTATTTTTTTTCGTCTGTATTAAGGAAGTATCGTAATTCCTATCCAGAGTGAACAAAAATTCGAATTTAATAGCTGTTTGGTGAAACGGCATGTCTAACCACAAAAATTCAATATCTGAATTGTGTTTTCGGTTAAACATGTCAGTTAAACTTCGTCCAGTCCCTGACTGCATATACCCTCATTTTCAAATTGCCGATGGTCATTTTTCATTTTAATTTCGTCTCAAAGCTCAACAAAGGTTAAGAAAATTTTATAAAACTTTTTAAACTTTTTTCTGACCAGAGTGTCTTTTCGTGTCTGTTTTTTTTTTGAACAATCCGAAATTGACTTGCCGCGCATCCCTGTTTATTGAAAATGAAAATAAAAGAAAGGTCAACTCGAAATCAAATAAGCAGTTCAGAAAACGCCAGGTTGCTGGCTCAAAGCTTCAAAAACGTCTTTCACTTTTGCGGATTAGTCGTAATTTACAGCTGAGTTGAAATTTCTACATTCTGAAAGCCGGCTCTGCATAGTTTCTCATATAAAATCTTTTTATGTTCTTTCAAAGATCTTAATTATTTTGCGTAGCTCCAGATCTTCACGACGTCGAGCCCCAATAAAAGATTTCGATTGCTTCGTTTTTTTTCACATATAACAGAACGATGAGTAATGTGAAAAGAGCAAGACGCGTGACAGAGGCTTGGACCGTCTCGGAAGGCGGGGAAACGATAGTACAGAGAGAGAACCTAGAGACAGAGAGATATCTGCACAGGCGCCGGTCCACACTGTTGTTTTCTCCGTTGCTTTCTTCCTTGTCGCGTTTCGGCTTCGTTTGAAAAATTCAGTTAAGCTATAACTTTTTTCCCTGCGCGGAACTTTAACGATCAGTAACTTTTATTATGCCATTATCATGCTCGGAAATAGTTTGCACAAACTGTAGAGTTTCTGAATGAAATTATCAAAGTTGCTTATGCTAGCTCTGAATCGAATATTGAGTCCATTCAGAAGGTCTAAAAAAATTGATAATTAATTGAAAAAGGTTTGAAAATTTCAATTTAAATTCAAAAAATTCCTGTGAAAATTTTTGTGATATTGCAACCCGCAGGAAAAGTTTAATCTTCTATACAAATTTGAGCTTATATGTGGAGAAAAAATTAAGTCTTCCAAGTTTCGGCGCCTCTTCTATTCACAGTTCTTCGGTAATTATGAAGTTCATATCGAAATAAATGTCAAAATACCTCTAGTGATCCTATAATAGTTTAAGTTCAATTTTCAGAGCTCTCGAATTTCAAAAAGTTGATTCTTACTGTAAGTTTTAGAAAACTACAAAACGATCGAATATCGGAAGTCCGTCAAATTTTTTCAACGTTCGAATTAAATATGTTTTTTGAACTTCTGTGGGATTTTTCCTTTGAAGTTTTTCGAACTTCCTTAACCTTTTTCGTTTTGTGTTTTTTCAAAATTTGAAAATTCCTGCTTTGCTTGATGGTGTGGTCTTTTGTGAGCATCGAGTTGAGGATTGAGACTTTAATGGTTGAGAATGAGTACGCGGAATCAAAAATAAAACTCTGCGTAACTTCCGAAGCGTTTATGTCCGCTCTCGGAGCTTTCGTCCAGCAACTAGCGGTATGGTGTATTGGCAGTGGTCTTGAGAACCGCCCTCGCAAGAACTCGTAGTATACTTTTCTAAGTAGTTTGAAGTTTGAAAAAAGTCCAACCATTTTTAACCAGTCAGATGATTGCCATGAGCCTTTTAAAAACTACAAAAAAAATTTTGTAGTTTTGCCGGCAAAAACTATATTGGTCAAAAGGATTTTGATCGTTCTATGTGAAAAAAAAGAAGCAAAACGGAATTCTAAAAAAGAGAGAAAAAAACGATCTGATCAACAATAAGTAGATTTTCTAACGAAATGTACACGCAGGCGTTCTTTCCACTTTCCCTGCAGGAGAAAGGCTTTCTATGAATATTCAATGAACTTATCGAATCACGGCAATATTAGTTTTCTCACAGTTTTTCTTTGCTCAAGAATGGTTTTTCCATTTCGTTCACGAAAGGTACTCCGGACTTTGAATATTATTTGCAAGATACTTGATTTTAACACGAATTCACACGATCCAACCAATTAGACGGCAAATGATCTGCTCCATTTTTTTGAAGGAGTTCCAGCTCTTGTTCTTTTTCTCCAAACTAAGATGGCGACGGATCCCCTTACGTGGAGGTCACGAGTCGTTTCGATTCCTGAAGAGTTCATCCCTCTGGGTATATTTTGAGAATTTTTTCTTTTTCTCATTAAGAGTGTTTAGTGATTGGAAAAAAAGCAAAGAACATTCTTCAAATTCAAATGGAAACAGGGTGCAGAGTTTATTTCTCAGAGTTTCTAGGAGAAACCCGAGAAATATACATACGTGGAGAAGCTGTAAGATAATCGAAAAAAATTTCGGATGGCTATTATGTGGAAATTGCAGGAAAAAACTACTCCAGCAACGGCCATGTTGAAGAAGATCATAGACGAAATCGTCCTCCAAAATGAAGCTAAAATGCAAGCTGTGAAGGACTGCCTTAAAAAAGTCACCGCGGTATTCCAACTCTATATAGTCTTAAAAATCATTTGAATCAAGGATCCGATGTCTTTCGACGGGACTGAACTCGACATGTTCGGAGATCTCGATTTCGATCTAGCCCGACCACTGGCCGAGTACGACAAACATCCTGCTCGAGTTGATGTGAGTCTGCTTCATTTTTGACAACCAGAACAAAGAAAAAACTTATTGTTTCTGAAAAGCTTCATCATGGGAATGTAGTTAAAAGGTGACAAGAATCCGATTTACAGCTCGACTTTTCTGTGTTCGTCCATAAGTATTTGAATGGCAAAGGAGGCTCGCTTATCAGACAGGTCGCTTCCGAAACGAACTGCAAAATCGAATTTGCTCCATTCGGTTGAGTTTAATCGAAGAATGATGATTGGGATATGTTTTAGAGTCTGATGCATCCACTCGCCGGTGTTTCATTGAAGGAAGAAGAAGAGACGTTTGTATGGCTTACGAGAAGTTCCGTGTGATCATTGAAAAAAAGAAAGGCGCAGATTACTGCACGACGGTTTGGTTATTTTTCTCTAAATGAAAAAATTAGAAGACTTTCTCCAGTTTTGAGTCTAGGAATTTCTATCGGTTGTTTCCGGATTTTTTCAAAATCTCTCCGGAAAGAATAAAATTGAATTGTTATTGGGAAAAGTTTGAAACACTTCAAAATCTCTTTAATTTTTCGCAACAATCTTCATTTTTTTTTCTGTCAGACGAATTATGAGACATTGCAGGGTATCGTGCTTGTCGACTTTCAATTGGTGCCGCCGCAGGAACCTGAAGAGTGCGAACCGATCGCACCAAATGAAACCAAGTTGCAGCAAACGGAGAAAGGTTAGTCAAAGCATAGTGGTTAATAAAAAGTCTGATGGTGAGCTTTAGCGATTCGTCAGAACTGACAGAAATTATGCTTTGTCACAATTTTCAAGTCTTCACAGTAATTTTTATCTTTTTCCAGTTGAAATAGCGATCGACGACAACGTCAGAAGGGTCGAAACGATCAAACTTCCCGAAGAGTATATTCCTCTCGGTGAGCTTCGAAAGAGCGATTATTCAGAATATTTGGAGATTTCAGTGATTGGAGAAAAGGCGAAAAATGTTCTTCAAGTCCAAGAGGAGGCGAACTGTTTGATGTACTTTGGATTCAGTGAAAAAGGAATGCGCGACTGCCATTTTTATGGGACAAGGGTGAGCATTTTAAATCTTTCACGAAGGATCATGAAGTTTGGGATTTTTCATATTTTTTTCCGAAAACTTTTGTTTTTTTTTGGTTTCAGACTTTTCGAAAAAGCCAAAAAGGCTTCAAAAATGTCTACTCAAAGGAATGCGCGGGTAGCGACTATTAGGGACCTTTATACGTTTCTTCAAGAGTTTTTTTGCAAAACATAAAAAAACATAAAACTTAAATATTTCAAGTTTAGGATAATCCTCTTCGTCTGAAGCTTTTGCCTTAGCTCATGACTATACCATTGCAATTTTCAGAAAGAGGTCGATCAAGGTGTGGCTATGATCCAAGAGAAAATGAACCTCCTACAGAATAAAGACAATGTCAAGAGCCAAACATGGAAGATCTGCTTGGACAAACTCCTTAATGTACTTTGAAACATTGAATAGTCGCAAATAAAAGTTACAATTTTTGAGGACCCGCGGACTCTCACTGTGAAAGAAATCAATTTTTTCACTGAATCAAGTCTCCGAGGAACGGACGCTTTTGACATGCATCATGCCCGAGCTGAGGTGTGTTGGATTCAAACCTAAGAAAAGTTTTCGAAATCTTAATTTAGAAGCAAGACGCGCAAGGGAATGGGGAGAGGGGCGCAAAAGTGTAAAAGTGGTATATAGGTTTTTAGGGCATTCTGATTAAAAAAAAGTTGAAAATTGCGCCTTTTGCGTTTCAGTCGAAAAAGGGCACCTAGAAGTTTGCGAAAAATGAATAGTAACAGGGAATATTCCGCGACAACTCACTTTTCAGTGAGCAGGCGGCGTGGTGTAGTGGTTAGCGTCTTGCATTACGGAGCTTTTGGTGATAGTTTGAATATTTTCGGTGAAATTGAATTATTCGAACTTTTGAGGCGCAAATTTGTTTGTGAAACGACGGAAATGGTTTTTTTTGCGCTCTTAACGTTTTTTTTTATAATCTTCAAAGTTTCATTATGGTTTTCAAGAAAACACCCTTTTTATAATTTCTTTGGAATCAGCGTTTTCTGAAATACATAAAACCTATACATCAAGTTTTATCGAAGTTTTCACAAAAAAAATAGATTCATCTCAAAAAAGGGCCTTGACAATGTACCATATTTACTCGGAGCACAATAATATGGAACGAAAATAAGGACAACCATTTAATGAAAAGATTTCAATTTGAACAGAAGGTAGAATAAATTGACAGATTGAATTGTCTGCGCTCGCCGTGAAACTTGTGATTGGCAAGAAGACCACTACAATCACGAAGATAACTAAAGAAACGGAATGTCACATACATTTCGTCTATGCAGGTGAAACAAATAGTAACATAGATGAATTAAGATTTTTCCAGAACTCGGTACACCAATTCGCAGGGGAGTCATCATCGGTAGAAGGTACCAAGTGTGCGAGTGTTTCGAACAAATGCGTCTTGCCATCCAAAAGAAGAAAGGCAAAGAGTACTCCCTCCAAGTTGGTGTCATTTCAAGTTATCAAAACATACAAACTATTTCGTATCTGATTTTCATACCTGATCGACAAAAACTGCAATAAATATTTGATAAAAGTTTGATGAAGCTTTTCCAGCAGTATTGCTCAACAACAGCCAGGTGAAAACTCTGTGAAGCGAAAAAATTTGTACCAATACTTTTTTAACTGTTTCGAAACTGCACAAATGTGAATCATCTGAATCTTATACCATTTGAAAATGTTTACAGAACCTTTCGTTCATAAGCGTTCGGTTGGAGTTGCCGACAGAGGCGAAACCGGGTTAGTTTTTTTTGAGTGTGTTTGAAAGAGTTACAGACAAAGTTAATTTGTTTCATGAACTTCTTTTAGTTCCGAGAAAGTTGACTAAACGCAATCTCAAGGCGTTTTGTTCTGTAGCGCCTGAGAGGGAACAGCAAGAGAAGCGAGAAACACAACAAAAGATCGTTGAGCTGGCTTCCGAATTGAGTGAGTATGGCAAGATTAAAATTTTGAAAATAAAAGTTATTAGGAGTTCAATATAATACTCATGTGTTGTTGGTTTTTTCATTTCAACCAAGTTTGGGAATGAAAAAAAGGCCACTTTAATAAAAAACTTTGTTGCCCAAGTTCAAAAATTCTGATCGGTTTTGCTCGGAAATTGATGAAGAATTAAGATTTTCACCAGTAAAATATTTCACTTGAAGAGCGTTAAAAATAAAGAATAACCATTGTTCAATGTAATCATTTATCCACCACACTAGATTGATATTCAAAATTTAGTTTTGTTTCTTCAAAACTCTCGAACTGGAACAAAAATCGCCTAAGTTTTGAAAATAAAAGTAATAAAGTTAAAAAAATACTGCGCTTGAAGAACGCTCAAAATGAAATTTCTAAAGAGTACTTTTCAAAAATGCAAGTTTTGCTTCTCGATCTTCATTTGAAGACAAAATTCTGAAACTTTTCTTAATCGAACCAAAGTAGCTTGATTGCTTTCAAAATGAAGAAAAATATGCACTTTCATCACTGGAGTGACAAACTTGACTGAGTTCCTAATTATTTATAAAGTTCGAATGGTTTTCGTCGCGAATCGTCATGACAAAGGCTGGATAATACGGTAATAGACTCACTCCTCCTTCCTTTGCGTGTAGAACAAAAAGTTTGCGGCGGCAAGGAGAGCGCGCGAAAAGAGGCCTTGCAGCGTGGAAAGGTTACTTGGCCCGCACACTCGGACACTCGTCCTCTTCTACGTTTCTCGTTGCGTTCCTTCTGTTTTCATTCAAATTTCCTCGTTATCGCTATGCAAAACTTATTTCTAACACCGTCGCAATTCGTTTTCAACTCATTTTTTCAGAAAAAATAGAACTCAAGAAAATGGCGCTTGAGAGAGAGAACATGAGCAAGGAATCGGAGAAAAACTATTCGACTTCAGAGAATTTCGAAGTTAAAGGCGGCCAAATTCAAGAAGTTGTAGGCGACTCTGCAAAAGGTAATCTGAAAACTTTGTTCGAAAATTTGTTTTGTCCGTTTCAGAATCTATGCCGAAGGGAAATGAGAAAGGCGCTGACGTCAAGGAAATGGGAAAAGAGAACCGTGGCGATTCGCTTGCTGAACCTGCTCGTGTCCGTGCGCCTGTGTCTTATGCGGACGCTCTGAAGACTATTCATCCCAAGTTGCCCCAAGTTCCGGAAGGTGAGTTTTTACCAACTCTTCAAAAAAAAAAATGTTGCACGGTTTTATGTGGAGAAAAAAAAAGTTTCAGCTCATCCTGTTGAAGCGGTCATTCCAGCAGTCACTCTTGCGGTCAACAGGTAATCAAGATCTTTAAATTAGAAAGAAAAAATCTGAGATGGGTTCAATCACTGTCAGCTTGAAAAAGCATCAAAGTAGAGTCTTCACAAAATTTGCAAAGACTTTCAAAAAATGAGTGGTGAGACCAGCTAAATATGGATCAAGTAACATAAAACAACCTTCTTTTTCAATTGCCTATTCCCAAACATTTCTATTTTAATAAAATTGTTTCAGCAATGAACTCGAGGAAGAACAAAAGACTGTGGGGCGTGACGCTAGTAGTGAAGAAAGTCTGGCTCTTTCGGATAGCTTCGATTGGGTGCTTTGAAAAATACGTTTCTCGTTTCACTACGAAGATCTGTTTAGAAAAGCGCGGTTGGAGCTGGCAAGGCTACAAAGAAGGATGACTTCCTCGAGAAACACCAGAAAGGCGGACTCCGCGATAGCTTCCCGAGGGTTTTCACATCTGTTTTTCTTAAACTTAGACAGTTTTTTGTAGATTACTGAAGATACAGTTGTCATCTCGCTTCCGGGTCAACGTCTTCTGATAGAAACTAGAACGGGCGAGACAACTGTTTGTCTGGAGTCCGATGAGTGAGAACTTCTTTTTACCAGCTTCATCATCTTCCGAAAACATCAACTGAAATTGCATTTTAAGAACTGGAAACTCTGGACTGCTCGCTCAAGACTCAGAAGCCAACAACACGAGCTCGTGTCGCATCAATGTTCTCACAGGACTCCCTGTCTGTTTCAACGTGCCGATTAAAAGGTAAAGAAACAATAGAATTACTTCTAAGAAAGTAATATAAACGATGAAAGCACTTTTATTGATTGTTCCATTATGGCATAGCTAACAACTCATGTAGTGAGCGTACATCAGTTGTTAGTTATGACACATTTTTAATGCTTTGCAGGCCTCTCAACACTATTGGAATTCCTGTGGAGCTCCTTTCTGAGCAGGCAAAGAAAGCGTTGGACCCTCTGCGCTGTCGCTGCAACCAGGCTTCTGACATCGGACCGTACGTTTCTTTTTTTTTCTTTTACCCAAAAAATCGTAAAAAGCATAATCAAACAATAGAAAAACGTGTTTGAAATGAAGATGGTCCTATTGAGTTGAAAGAAAACCTTGGCATTAGTAGTAAAAATATAAACAAGAACTGATGGAAAACGAGGCCCAGTAAAACAAATGTATACATTTCTATTTCTGGAATGAGAAAAAAAGGTTCACGTGAACGAAATACCGCTTCAAATAGTTCACCAAGGACTGAGAGAAATGAGCGCTCTAGCGCAAATAGAGAAAAGAGAGAGAAGTATCAGAGAGAAAATTCTTTGATTGGCTTGCTTTTTTCATAAAACCCTGTCCACCGAAATTTATCAATGAGCTACAAAAGATGATAAAAAAAATGAAATATAATTCAATACTTATTCAGAATTTTTTTCAATTCAAACTTCCACAGGGTTCTGTGTGTGAATGACGAAAAAAACGTCAGAAAGGGGGATGCCCTGGATATCACTTCTATTTTTCATTTTGGCTATATTGTCACATTTTCTTTTATTGATCAAAGCTGGTAATTTAAGCTAAAGTTTTCAAGTGAAAAAAAAAAACGATAAATCGGGAAGTTTTGAGTTTCTCGTACACTAGATGAACAAAAAAAGTCTAGAAATACGAGGTAGGTGGCCATTTGAAAGTGACTTATTAGTTCATTTTCTCGATTTTTCAACTTCTGAAACAGCCTGCAACAGTCTTTTTTCAGTATTTTCCGCGATGGTCTTCGCTCTTCCACTGTCAATCGCCTGATGAAGAACATCGAAGCCGCCAACGCCACCGACGAAGACTGAATGACCATTACCTGAACCGAAACCTGTGAATCTTAGTGTTTCCCGATTTATTCATCTCGCATCGACCTTATTTCGTCGATTCTTTTAATTTTTTCTTCATTATTAATTTTTTATCCGCCTTATACTATATGAAACCTTGACTGATATTGCCGTTTTTGCCCTCAAAAACAAACCGGTTTTCGTTTCACTTGTTCTTTTTCTATGCGATCGAGCAGCTATTCGTTTCAAAGCCTCCATTTTTTATCATTCATTCGATTTTCGACGTTGGTTTCTCGTAATTTAATGAATCATTGTACTCCCTTCGATGTGGTTCTGATTCATTGAGATTTATTTTATTAATAGTGAGATCAGATCAAGACTTCTCACAGAAATTCAAAAAACGTGTCAGTTCCTGCTGACATATTTCGTGGATGTCTTCTTTGTCTGCTGGAATCAATGTGTAGGAAAAGAAATGCAAACACAATTGTTTTTGAGCTGTAAGTTCTGGGATTCCTTACAACTCCAAGCGGTTTTTCTCAAGTTAATCGATTCTCAAAAACGAATCGTTTTGAAAATATTTTCAGAAGGATCAAAAGGAAAAAGTTTTCTGGTTTTTATGACACTTTGAGACAATTTGAACACAGTTTTTGGAGATTGAAGTATAGCTGGTTCACGGCCAGCTTGGGACGCTAAGGGGGACCTGTTGTGTCTGCGCTCTCCACGAGCCAGGCGCTGTCTCGTAAACTATCGTGTCAGGACCCTTTCTTCGATGGCTCAAGCCAGCCATGAAGCAGCTATAGCAGAAACTAGCTGATCGAGTAATGTGCGGCCAAGCATTTTAGTTCATCAAAAGAGTTTTCGAAATTGCTGATTGGAAAGATTCCACCGGGGTTATGATAACAAACACGTGGGATGATTCCAATGAATCACTCAAATTGCACTAATCGCAAGACTGCTGAAATGTCAAATTTTGCAATGGAAAAAACATTTTTCAAGATTAAAAAAAATTTACTACGGTTGAGCTTCAATTTTTCGATTGAGTTCTCCATTCTTCTATTTATATTCTTGTCAGAAATCCATAGATTCTCAATTGATTGTTCTGGATAAAAAGGAGGCTTTTCACAATCACTCAGCGGAACACAAAAATTCAATAATCTTTTAGATCGTCAAAACAATTGCAGCAGAGAGCTGTCGGCGTCTTTTTCTGCCTCTCTTTCTTCTCCCTGATCGGCGCCGTGTCTCCTTTTTTTTCGTTTTTCGGATTACATTCAAAATCTTACTGCGTGGCGCACTGTCATTTTTCTCTTCCAACTGATTTCATGACTCTCCAACTTTCTTTTTCGTTTAAAAATACATTCACAGGTATTTGATGTATTCCTTCGGCTTAGGTCGGCCGAAAAATGAAAAAAAAATATGAAAAACAAAGTCGGACAAAAAAAGCAGCAGATAATAATTTCTGCTAATTTTTTTCTTGTCTCAGTGAATCTTTAGGTTTGGAAAGTTTTTTGACAGTTGTTTGTCAATTAATACTACGAACTTGAACTTGTATCATTTTTTTTTTTTCAAATTTTGAAATTCAGTTATTTTGGTTTGTTTTGAGAGACAAAAATGCATACCAATCGTCATCCGTTTGTGAGTGAAAAACTATTGAAGGAAATTTCCCGCGATCGAAATGAGCCCAGTCTGAATCAGGTAATTCCAGAATTTTTGTCTAATTTAATTTTCATTTCCGTCTAAGCCGCTGTCCTGGTCGCGCGAATTCGATCAGCACTTTCTTCTTGAGCTCAAGAATCTTGCTGCGGACTGTGGAATCGACAAGCAGGAGGAAAAAAGTTCGCGTATCGGCAGGCTTTGGACCCGGTCAACTCCAGAAGAAATACAGATCTAAATGATTGTTTTAAGATTCAAGCTACAAGCAAGAAAGTTCTACGCGCAGTACATCGCAAGGTCGGTTCACTACGGACGGGTCTCTCAATATGCTCCATACATTCCAAACGGCCGTGAGTTTCATTTAAAAGTTATCTCCTCAATTGGAATTATAAAGTCACGCGCAGCGGCTGTTATGACAAAAAAAAATATGGGGAGATTTCATAATACTTTTTCAGAAGTCTGAGAAGAAGACCATCCAAACTGGCTGAGCGTGAGATTTTTCCGATATATTTTTGTTTTTCTCCCTTCGACTCAATTAGAAGATTCGTCGGAAATTTTTCCCACCAAATTTCTTTTGTTTTTGTTCTAATATCTTCGAATTTTTGGTTACGATAGAGAAAGTCATCATTTCAAGATTGATTGAAAAAAACAATGGTTAACTAATGCGAACTCTGGTGAAAAAAACAAATTCAATTTCACGTATTTTTTTACATTCTCAATATTTTTTTATCATTTTACTGTTTGTTTAATCATTTTTTTACGCGTTTCTCATATTTTTTTCTCACATCGTTTCTTATACGTTTCTCATAAACATTTTTTTAAACCAATAAAACTGTGCCGTTATTCGAACTTTATGCAACTTCAGGACTCAACTGTCGCAATTTTTGAGACAAAAAAAGCTTAGCTTTTTATTTTAAAGAAAAAGTTCTTAAATTATAAGAAATATGGGACTTTAGTATCGAAAAAAATTTCAAACTGGAGGCATTTTTTTGTATTTTTTAGAACAAAAAAAGATGAATATTTTTTTCTTTGCATGAAACAAAAATCAAATAAATTTGAATAACATTCAGATGAGCTTCGAATAGGGGATGAGTATTTCGGAAATAGAGATCAATCGGTAAGACCAAACAACACAAAAGTTGTGGGCTTTTTTACGATTCAAATAAATGAAAGTTCAAACCGCGAGGCAATTAAATAAAAAAAATTGACAACTGAAAGTGGGAAACCGGGGCTTAACTAAAAAATAAAAATAATAGGACTTCTACAGTACACGGATAATTCTCGTCGTCAAATAAGATTTCATCGATTCCGGTTATCGACTCGGCTCAACGGTACAGAAGTGTGGGAAGAACAAGAAGGTTGGAGAACAAATGGCGGAGAATAGATTTAAGTAACACTGTGTCACCTGGGAAAACAATAAAGTCATAAAATACTCTATGGAATGAATCTCAATGATCGTTCTCCGTTCCTGCGAATGTGGTGTTTTGGTTAGAGCTGTAAGTTCAAGATAAATTAGTATCTTCATGGTCCAATATACGTCCTGGTTTTGCAAAAATAATTCAAAAAGTCGCAAACTTGGTCATTTTTTCTAAAACTTCAATGTTCTGGCTCGCCCGACAATAACCTCCGCGCAAGGCCTGAGGTTAATGAAGAGTACACAATTCCAATACTCCTATACTCCATTTTCACAACTTGAAACGGCTGTTTTTCATAGTAGATGCTTATTCGGAATATAAAAAAGATCGAAAAAGGGTTAAAATCTCCAAAATGGCCTACTTCATCAATATTTAGAGTCTGATTTGTCTTCGAGGTGTCTTCGATTTAAAACTAGAAGTCGTGAAGGTTGCGATTTTCAAAATTTTTATCTGGTACATGAAGGAATGTTCTGACAAAATTTCATAAGATTCCCAATCGCTTGAGGGAATGGCTTTTATTGTCAGAAAGCGATTGTGTAAGAATTATTAAGTTGGTAAATACAAAAGGAGTTCAATCAAAAAGTAACGACAAAGGTAGATAAGAATAAAAAAAAGATAACGGGGAACATTTTTTCATAATTTCGAAGTTTGAGCTGAGATTTTTGAATTCATCGTCCATTTTTCGCAATAACCTACGCTTTTCTTTGGATAAGATGAGCTATGATTGTGAAAAAATTGAGTTTATTCTAGAAACTTTTGGCTTTTAGGCGCATTTGCAGGATTCACCCCTCCTTCTATGTGGGAAAAGTTTTCTTTTTTCAAAAAGTTAGAGCTTCGGAGAGAGAATCGGTAGCAAAGTTCATTCTATGGGCAAACGAACTATTTTTCTAGGCCTTTGATGGAAGAGCCGCACCTCCTCCTTGCAAGACCCAGAGCTGAGGATGCCGCCGGTACAAAACAAGGCTTTTTTGAGACCAAGATATTTTGAGTCAGAACAATGATTGGTTCGTTGATCACTTCGATTGAGAGAAAAAATGCATTTTACGTTTTTACCTCCCAGCCGAGCCATAAGACTGCAAAGCTCATAAGCTGATATCATTTTCGTTTACATTTCTAGTCATCAAACATTTTAGAACAACTGGAGAGACGAAGAAAGAAGGGAACGCGAGCAGCGACAGAAACAAGATCTCCGTGACTTACATACTGCTCTTGTAAGTATCTTTTACCCATATAGGAAAAGTTCCGGTAAAAGTGAAATTTGGTTTCTTTGAATGACTTGAAAATCTTGATTTTCCTCTGAGTTGGATGAGAAATTAGCAAACCTAATTGGTCCAAAAACTTCAAAAGGCCGTTTTGAAACGCCACACGTCTCAAAACAACGCAAAAAAGACGTTTTAGCTTACTGTTTCTCAGAAAACCTCAACTAAGGTTCTGAGGTTGGTCTATTTTATCTAGGTGAGATGTGAAACTTTTTTTTTCCGGATTCCTTGTGATCCGTTTTGAAAAGTTTGAAAAACTTATATAAATATATGGTACTGCTTGTTATTAGGAAGTCATTTTCTTTTAGGAAGAGAGAGGTTTTTAAAAAAAACAATTGCTTCATCAATTTCTCACTTTTCAGTTCGCCCCTCTTGGAAAAGCAAAACCGACGTTTCGCAGAAGATCAACGCCCATTTTGAAGATATAAAACTCCAAGAAGAAAATTATTTGAAACTTTATTTGATTTTTTTATCTGAAAAAAACGTTTTACATGCCTTATCTCAAATTAATGTCTCTGAAGAATCCATTCAAATCTGTTGCTTCATGTAAACATGCATTGAATTCATTTTTTTGATAAAAAGGTTCGAAGAAAAATTTTTGAAAGGAAAGAAAAAAATGAATAGGTGGATTGTGATAGATGAGGCTCATAGTATTATAAAGTATATATGCGCAAAAAACCAAAAGAATTTTTATGAGCCCACCTGTAACTTCAGGTCAAAGGTCGAAAAAATGGCAACGTGTTTAAATTTTCAATGTCATGTTACACGTGTATTTATTGAGATATTCTGAGCAGTGAAAAAAAAATCAGTGCAGGGCAAACATTTTGTCGTTATTTCGGCGAAGAAAGAACTGACAAAGGTAAAACAAAAAAGTTCCTTTGAGGATCCTCAAAGGATCCCGAGTTTCTCTAAAACATCCTCAAATTTTTTTAGTTGTTTCCAGTATTCTTTTTGTTAAAGGATGTGAAGAAAATGCAAAAAAGGAATAAAATGATATAAAAAAGTTTTGCTAGGGACCCTTTCAAGGTCTTTTTTAGAGAAAATCTTTTGGGGAGCTTTTCAGCTTTTCCCGAGGAGCGTAAAGCCCTGCTTTACTGAATTGAGTTGTCAAGGATCCAATCGAAAGGCCTTTTTAGAACCTTCTTCTTCGTTTTTAGTTGTGTTTTTGGTCTTCCGAGCTCTACGTTATCTGGAAAATATTGAAATCATGACGCACGTTCTCGACGGTATTGAAGCACTACCGAGCAATAACTCCCAAAAAAGTTCAGCTGTCGATCCGCCCAAATTGTTCGAAAAATGAAGCTCAAAAAGTTTTTAATGCGATTCATGAGCATTTTCCTGGCTAGAAATGGAAATGGAAAGCCAAATATTGTGCCTAGTATATAGTTTAATAAAACTTTCTTACTTTTTGAAGTTCGTTATGAAAGTCAGATGAAGCTTTCTGAAAACAAGTTTCAAGCTTTTCGTCAAGAATGAAAATTGAATTGAATATCTTGACGTGTTTTTTGAAAGGTAATTACAAATGGTTTCTTTAGAATATCGTTGAAATTAACTGAAAAATGGTTTCTTCAGGAAATAAGTTCGAAAAAAGAGCGAGGAATGGAAAATGTGTGACATGATCTTCCTTCTACTTCTTCTGCTGCTCTTGGTTTCAGAACAGCAACGAGCGAAGTGGAAATCAAGCGGCGACAGAACGAATATTGGAAGGAGTTACTTTATACAAAAAACTCTTTGGGAAAATCAAAAAAAGCAAAAAAAACTTAAAAAATAATCATGAACCAGAATAAAAAGTATTTATTTAACTGGTTACGACTAAATGTGATTTCAAAGCCAAAGATTGAGTTTTTTTCGAATTCTCTTTTATCTTCAGTTTCAAATTTTTTTATTCTCCTCTCTGAAATCTGAACAAAAAAATAAAATGAATAAAATTTCAAAAAGTCAATTTTAGAATTATTTAGATGATTTGTGAAAATGGCTGAGCTTCATTTTTTTATATAAGCTCAAGTATTGATATTGATTATTTTGAATATAAAAAGTGTATACATATGAGAAAATAGCATCAAAGTTCAATTTAAATACGAGGTTTTCGACGGCGAAAATTCTTTTTTTTTTGAATACTTTCAGGATGCTCAAATTATAAAACTCATTCATGATGAAATAGAAAAAAAAGAATATGCAATACGAACAAAAAAATTTGTGTATATTTGACTTGCAGGAACAAGGGACAGTTTCGATCTACATCTTTGTCGTATTTTGACCTCTTGCGTCTTTTTTGTGGCCACATCTCTACGCTCCTATCCACCTCTTTCGCATTCTTTACTCACGCATCTTTTGGGTTTTCAAGACGTTTTTTGGCCCTCGGTTGAACTTTTGATGAAATTTGGCTAGAATGAACATCCTGATTCTAAAATGAAAAATATTTTTATTTTCCGAGTGATGACGCTTCAAAACTCTCGAAACATGTTTTTTGACCTTATTTGTGTAATTTGCAAGTTTTAAAGTTTGGTTATTTTTCAAAAAAATTCATTGAAATAAAAAAAGGTATTAAAAAAATTTCATCCAAGTTTCGTCAAAAAGTTCAACGGGGGTCAGAAAGCGTTTCCTTTTTCGTGTTTTTTTCAGCATCTTCCTCGGAAATGTTGCGAGAAGCGAATGCCTCTTTTTACGGCAATGTTTTATATCAAGGTATCCCATTAAAAATATTGCATTACATTGTGATTTTGAAGTTATTGATGACGTTCCCAAGTGGCATGAAACGATTAAATCGTTGAAAAAAGTGATGTTAGAACAACAAAGTCTGAGCCAGTATGGCAATTGGGACATCAAACTTTTTTTGCGCGGAGGTATGCTTATCAGTTCCGATCTCAAGTTTTTCTAACTACAACTATGATCTATTTTGAAATGATGTTTTCAAATTAAAAATCCCTCGACAAAACTTGAGATTGAGATATCTGAATAAAATTGAAAAAGAGAAAATTGAAAAATTACAAGTTCAGGCCGAGTTCGCGTTGGCGTCGAAGGAACTGGTGAATTTCTTGAACCGCCTGAAACGAGAACACGGCTTCAGGTCAACGTTGCCGTCAGTTGAGAAGGTTGAAACAAAACTATTTAAACCTCAGACCGTCTTTTTAAAAAGTTGTTTTTCCATAGGATAAAGTCATATGTGAAAAGTCAGAAAATCGCATTTGATGTTATTATTCATGTTATTGAAAACTTGACATAGTTCAGAAAAAAGCTTTTGAGAAATTTTTTTCTTTTTGAAATTGTAATGATCTCAAAAATAGAAAAAAAGAGAAATTTAGAAGTCCATGGCTAATATGTGTGCAACACCATCCCGACCCGACGTTTCTATAAAAATGTTTTTGACTTCGGCCGAACTGCACATTAGTTTGTCCCAACTTCTCTCCAGTAGCTTAACAGTTTATTCAGTGTTGAGAGATGAAGGGCTAGAGACACGAAGAGTTGAATTCACGACTAGCGCCAAATTGAAATACTTTTTACGAGCCGAAATCTCACAATTGGACAATAAGAATATGCGGCGTCGAAGTGAGTTTTTCTTATGACAATAATATTGATTTATGTGTTTCTGTTGCTTGCAAAAAAAATACTGGTAATCGAGTGAATTTTGGTGGTAGACTAGAAAAGAATTTCAAATTTAAAAAAAGAGTGATTTTAATTTCATTTTTCAAAAATTTTAATTTCAGTGTGAAATGGGGGAAATTTTTTAGGATTTGATAAAATTGTTCGATTACGAATGGGAAAACATTAAATGGATTAAAGTAAAGTTTTCGAATTAGATTTACTTCATTCTCTTTCAGAAATGCGCAGTGATGGCCAAGCAGATGGTGTACGCCCTGCTGGGGAAACCTGCTGAGGTACTTGTACATTTTATACACGACACGGTAAATATAAGTATATCTTTGAGTGCTCGCTTGCCTCAATCCGGACAATTGGCGTCGAAGACCAAACTTCCAGAAGAGCTAATGAGTGTGAGTTCAAAAATGTATTTGATGATTAACAGAAAAAATAATTAAATCACTGAAACCATCACTTTTTGCTGATAACAATTTTTAGTGATCATTTTAACACTCTTAGCCTTTTTCTACTGTTTTTTTTCTTTACTGCAGATTTGCCCATGAGTCCTGAGGACGAGCCACGCACTTGGAAAAGCTCACCAATTGACGATACGTCCAGTAATAGTTTCCGGTAAGAATTGTGCAATTTTGGTCTCTATTTCAGAAAAAGGTTTTTAAAATAAGATCTGTGACTTTCTTTTTCAGGTGTGACTTGACTACAGTGGAGGTACCAAGCGAAGACGTGGTCTCTTTAATTCAAAATTATTATGAACGCTTCGAAAAAGTTGTGGTTCATGTTAAGTCGTTCTATATTGTTCAGTTGCAGCACGCCGAGGAATTGGGCATCGAATTTGTACTGTCGATGAGCAGCGAAGTGGCGCCGAAGTTAAAGCTGTCAAGTAGAAACGTTGCAGATCTGCTGAAAGCGCAAAATTTTATAATGGATTTGGTATTTCGAAATCTCATGTACAAATGCAAGTTTTTTCATTCAGACCACGCTCTACAGACAATCAGAAAATATGGCGGATACTGGAAGAAGGTAAAAGCGATTTTTTTATTTATCGTAACCCAAATCTTCTTGGCAAGCTATTTGCAGTAAGATGTTCGAAATTTAGTTTTAATTTCCCATTCTCTAAAGATTATGGCTTTTACGTCTCGAGTTAATTTTTAAATTGTGTTGTCAAAAAAAGCTCTGATGGAAAGAAGTTGAAACATTTTTGTTGAGATTAAAAATTTTAGAGTCGAATTATTATTTTTTTATTTATTTTAAGAACAAGTCAGAGTAAAAAGGGACCTTTAAAGTTGCGTGACGCATGGTTTATTTCTATTGATTCATATTTTTGATTGATTGCCTAGTTAAAGGTTGGCTTGAGATGTCTGAGCTTTTCGCGAACTAAGTAATCTTTTTTTCTTACCTTGTCAAAGCTTTGTGTTTGATGGCTTTTAGCCAGCTTTGAACGGACTTTCATGGTATTCCGACCTTTTATTTTGTTTTGATCTGCGAGCTGTCAAAGAAAAACATTTAAAAAAAGTGAAATTCTCGACGAACTGTTTTAAATATTGAAACAGAAATTAGTTTTGAAAAAAAGTTCAAAAAAACTTTTTATGGAAACATTTTTATTACGAAAATATGAAGATACCCAAATGAAAAACTTAGAAATTTCTCCTTCATCTACACACGTTTTTCATTTCAGAGCCGTTCAAGGAGCCTCCACCAGCTGCTCGCTCAACAAACGTGACTGGTCTCTGCCGCTTGAGGAGCGAAGGCCTCAATGGGAGCGACCATATGAGAACGAAGCTAGGCAAGTTTTGTTTTGAAAAAGTACACTTTCTATTATATATTTTCGTCTATTTTTTTCTGGCTTAATTTTTTGAGATAAAAAATCAAAGTGCAAAAAACGGGGAAAGTTTCTCGAAAGTCAGAGGTATTCGAATGTTTTTTTCGAGCAGTTTTTAAGTTTGTGTGAGTCTTCAGAATGTGAAATTACTTCATCTAATTGCTTTCAATCAATCAATAATTTATTTTGTTGTTTCAGTAATAAATGCAATTGTCTAGGTAGCGAGCGGGAACTTTTGCATGATCTTTCGGTCCTCTGCCTCGTTTTTCTGCGCGTATGTCATATATTTGTGCCTTGACAGTCTCAGAAAGTAGCATATCTTGTAGCTGTAGTCCGGAGAACCGTGCCTTAGGTAAAAGCCTTTTTGAAAAGCGAGAAAAAGCGGGCGAGACACGTATGCGGTTATTGACACAAGTTCAATTCAAGTGCGAAAGACTATTTAAAATGCTCTACCGTCGCTTTTTTCGTATATTTTCTACCGTTTTTAATGCAATAATTTAAAAAAATCAATGCAGCATTCGAAAATAAATTATAAGAGCGGTGACCGATTTTTTATCAATCGGTGGCGCTTGAATTGAACTCGTGCCAAGAACCGCATACACGCACGCTTATAGCGAAAAAATAGCAAAATTTATTAATACTGTGAAAAAATGAACATGCGCAAACTACTTTTTCAGTCAGTGCCATAGTGGGATACATCCCATAAGATCAAACTATATATTCAAAAGATAGAGACTGAATTTTTGTTCGTGGATTCGAATCGCGTTCGGCTATATTAGAAAAAAATTCTTTGTTTTTCGGTTACGGTTTTTTCCGTACCAATAAAAAAAGATATAATTTATCGAAGTTAGTGAATCAAAAAGGTTAACATACTTTACATGGCCCTCAAAAAAATTAGATGTTAGAAATACGAGAAATTTGAGTTATTTGTTTATTCATTTCTTTGATTTCAGAACAAAGCAAACAATCAGCGTACAGCTAGGAAAAAATGAGATACCATTGGCCAGACAAAAAAGCTAAAAAAAAAGGTCATAAGTGGCCCTAATGAGCACCATGGCAACTGTTTGCAGAAGAGAAAAAAAAAAATTAAAAAAGACGATTGGGCAAGTTAATAATAATATCGGTAACAGCTATCCTAAAATTTTCCGACGATTTTCTATTCTCACGATCACGTTAATTCAGAAGATCACAAACATGTACTGTTTTTGGAGTTCAAAGCTTATTGACAGAAAAAGTAGCAGGCAATTTACCAGAGGGTCATAAAATAAAATAGCCAAACCAGATCTTATTTTTCTATTGGTTTAAAAAAAACGCCTAATTTTTTCTATGAAAAAATATTTTAAGAACTTTCCAAAAAACCTTATAATTGTGACACAAAAGCGTGATACGTTATGGATGACCCGAAAGTTTTGGCAATGTTTATGACTTTACAGAAACGCTCGCAACCATTCATTTGGAGGATTCGGCCCAAGCCAAAAACACCATTTTTAAGGCGATCCCGCGAAACCAACAGCTAACTCACTAAAAACTTGCTTTTTTTTTCGAAAGCAAGCTCCAATCCTATTGATCTACAGTGAAACCCCCCATCTCATTGATCTCTTACCGTGAAACCCCCCACCCAATCCCATTAATCTCTTACAGTGAAACCCCCCCCCCTTACTAACTTTGACACTTTGATAGTTCGTCTTCGCGGATGATCTTCTTACTTACTTGGGCATGGTTTTCCCCTAGTCAGCGCGAACCACACGTCCTCCATCCCGGTCTCTAGCGACGATCATCCGATGGCGTCTATGACGGCTGATGTTCTTCTCGAAATTGTCTGCTCATCGAGTTGCTGGTCTTTCTTGCTCTTCGATCTTTGCCGCGGCTGATTTGCTCTTCGATACCCCTGATTTGGGATATTTGCCAAAGGTCTCTGCTTATCTGGTTTTGGTTCCATTGTTGGTAGCGGGTGGTGTCGAGAAGAACTTTTTCCAGTGCGCGATATGCTCATCGCGGCGGCGCTCTTTTTGGTGTCTGGCCAAGCTTCGGAACTGTAGGACAGGGATGACTGATGCTTCGAAGATGTGAGCACGGATCTTTGGGTCTTGATTTAGCTCACTTCCCGGATGATGTTAAGAGCAGCCCATCCTGCTTTTCTGCGTCTTCAGATTTCCGTCTTCAAGTCGTTGAGAATGTTGACTTCTTTTCCAAGGTATACGTAGGAGTCGACTTGTTGTAAGTCTTCGCCTTCGAGTGTCACGGGGCCATCATCGCAGAAGCTGTTGCGCGTCCATTGCGTCCTCTTCAGATTCAATGTCAGTCCGATTGTTTTGCCAACGACGTTCAGATCGTTCAGCATGGTCGACAGGTCGGTGGTATTGTTTGCGGAGATGACGATGTCGTTAGCGAAGTGTAGGTTGGTGAGGATCTTGCTGTCGATGTTGATGCATATGTTTTCGCTGTCGTCTTCCCAGTCGTGCTCTTCGTCCCATCCAAGTTGGCGCCTCGCGCCTTCTAGTGCCGTGGAGAACAACTTGGGGGATATGGTATCTCCTTGTCGTACGCCTTTTCCAATGGGAACTGTGAGCTTCTTGTCGAATAGTTGGATAGTTCCGAGAAGAGCGGTCCAGCAGAAAATTTATATCATCCCAAGAACTCTTACCTGGGTCTACTACAAGATCCTTTATCTACAAATTTGTAGACGTGCCCAAGCAGTTCACGTGTTGTTTTTAATTATATTTTTTTCAACCGGTGATCCGCCTCCATCTCTTTACTTTGAATCCCTCACTTCCCAATTCCATTCTTGTATTCATGATTATTATTTGTCACAGCGCCTATTATTTTTATTGTGTCTGTATCAATAGAATCTCTCTCAATTTCTCATTTGATAAGTCCCTCAACTAAGAAGTTTTGATGATTTTCTTAATTTTCACAAAATAAACAGTTCTTGTCACCTATATTTTTGGTTGATGTCACTTAAAACAGAGATGAAGTGGAAATCTGATGATCGGGATCTCAATTTCATCTACTGGAAAGGATCGGAAAAGTGATAAGAATAAAAAAAATATATTAAATTTTTGTATAGCTTTTGGTTTTTCGATTTCTTCATCGAACGTCTTAAAAAAAGAAGTTTTTTTCAGATAAAGTATTTCGATGATGGTTCTGAACCCAGCCGTGAAAAGGACGGGAGCGTTTGAAAAATGTAGTGAGTGCTCCGGTTTTGAGATAAAAAAACTTCCCGGTTAAACGTAGTTTGAATCATAATCGACGTTGATCAGGATTTTCATAGAAATGCTTTTAGCTCTTTTGATTAATATAAAATCGCGGCACACCTTTTAAAAGTTACTCACTTATTCGCCCCGGAGCTACCCGACCCTCAAAGTTTGAAAAGAATAAAGAACCGGTGAAAAAATTTTAAAACAAATGGCTCTTCTGACAATGTGACCTCTACAGCAGCTCGATTGGGCCGATAGATGTGACGACGTACAACGGAAGATTGAAGCAAAATAAGAAGTTTCACTGAAAAGATTCGGATTTTGATGTTCGTGGAATTATGAAAACGTTCCAATATCTTGTGATAATAGAAATTAAACCTCAATCAATGTCCGAATGAAAAAAAAACTCGAAAAATAAACATATTTTCAACGTTCGAGCTTGAAAGTTCGATGAAAATACTTAGCAGGCTCTCGATGGAAAACCAAATAAATACATGAAAAATGGAATAATACTGTCAAAAGTATGTTGAGAGCAGGATTTGGTTGAACTGCTCAAAAATCCTACATCTATCATTGAAGACTCCGAATTATGGTTCGACTACTGTGGTACTCTCAACGAAGCGACCAAGTCGTCACAATCTGACATCCTTCTTTTTCAAAATCATAGGGAATTTCCATCTGAAAGAATCAAGTGTGATCAAAAGTATTGAATCAGCTGTTAGTAAGCCAAAAACTTGAGGTACAAGGCAAATGTTTTCAGATTTGATCCCTGATAAAAGATACATGATCGAAATGCTTGGCTCAAAGTTTTTTTAGCAGTTTTTTTATAACATGGCTGTTTGATTAAAATCTATTTTTTTCGCGTTTTGTACTTTCCGCAATATAGTCCTGTTTTTGCTTCTTTTTTGTTCATTTAGAAGTGAAAAAAATACAGCTCGAGCAAATAAAGCATTGAATTTTTGAATGTTTTTTGGTTTTTTGTGGAAGTTTCTATGAAAGATCAGCTTCTGTTAGTCTCTCAAAGCTCGAAGTTATATTTTGCTTTGCGGTTGGGATTTTTGTGAAATTTGGCTAGAACCCTCTTTGATACACCAGAAGAAGATTATGTAAGCCTTAATATGCACAACTTCCTCATTCTCAAGAGGAAAGGCTCTAAAGCCCCAAAATAGCTCATTTCGAAGAATTTTGAGCGTTTTATTTGAACTTGCAGAGCCTTTCCTCAAAAAGTTGGAAGCTGTGCAAGTTGAGACTATCAGAATCTTTTCTTGGTACATCAAAAAATGTTCTAGCTCATTTTCAGAAAGTTCCTAACCGCAAAGTAAAAAGACCTCCCCTGTGAACGGAATGCGAGATGGTGCCTTTGCCGTTTTTTTTTAAAGCATGTTCTCGTTGTATTGCAAACAATGGAATCAGATTCTAAATGAAGACTGTCGATTCTGAGATTGTGGTGAAAAAATTTAAAACCGATTTGAAAAGTCTTCCACCAAAAAGTCTGAAATCGACTGTGACTCGACTTTATTGGACAAAATATACTTGAATTTTTTTGCGAGATAAAAAAATATAAATTCGAAAAATCCGAAAATCTGAATCCGTTGAAACATTGACAGACGCGTGAATGAGTCAACTGCGCACGTGAATAGACGTTCTTTCTCAGGGTTCTCCAAAATTTCATTTCTGTCTCGTGATTTGAGATTTGATAAACACGTTGGTTTTTTTCTCGAAACTGTCATTCCTTTCTTACGAGCGGCCTGCTCTGTTGCTCTTTTCTTCTCTCATTCTGCATATTTTTTTAGATTTCTTCTCGGAAATCGTACAGTCACCTATGAAGATTTGATTTTTTTGCTATTGAAACTTGAGCCTCAATTTTTTTAAATTCTTATTTTTCTCTTGATTTAAAGTTTCGCTTCCTCTAACTTTTTCAGGATTTTTTTCTAATATATTTCATGAATTTGGGCTAACGCCATTTTTAAATTTTTGCTTATTTGAAAGTATATGATTAACTGAATATTTTACTCGATTGCTTGAGCTCTATCCAAACTTTCAGAGAAACGGCAAAAAAATGAGCAATCCGACTGAAGGTAACGAGAACCGTAGTGGGGACGGGAATGCTCACGATGTGAGCGACTTCCCAATAACTCAGGTATCTCATTGTTCAGCGAAATTCCTTTGTAGAATTTGATCAATTTCGCAATGCTATCAATTGAATGAAACAAATAATACATCTTCAGAAATCAAAGAAGGGTCTTAGAAAATCAATACTGAGGCACCATTTCACAAGATTTATATAAGCCCTACTTCTTTTTGTTTTTTTCAAAAATTATAGATAAATAAATGTAAGCTTTAGTAAGCTTCCTTTTTTGGTGTTGTCAAAAAAATCAAACTAGAAACTTGTTATCTCAATGCTGAACACTTATGAATTGAGATAAAAAGGAACCCAGGAAAAACTTTTATCGAATATTTCTTTCAAAAAAATGTCTGCCAAAAATTAACAGCCTTGTAAAATAATCTAATAGTGTAGTCCCATAAAAAAATATGATCCAAAAAAAGGAAAGTATTGTTATCACAACTCAGAAATAAAAACTGCAGAGGGAAGAGCTTCTGTTCGGAGTCCAGCGCTTTCTCAGAGCGTTTTCTCTCAAACTTGATGAGCTGTCGGCATTGATGCTTGAGCTGGACCAGAAAATGGTCACTACCACGTGTATGAGAGAACGGAGCAGGTACAAAAGAGTCGAGTCTCACGATCATCGCGACTGATTTTCAGACTCTACACTCAAAGGGAAGAGGTCCGTCTGAAATGGATCGACAAGGCTGGTTACTACCAGAGCGTCGCGAAATTGCTCGATTGTTGGTTTTCCTTTACTCTACTATAGTCAATTTTTCCCGACCAGTGAGGCAAGCGAGGCGGAGAAGTGGGCGGACACGTGGCGTGCACGTTCGAGGTTCTTGGCACGAGCTCAATTCAACGCCCAGCGACTATTTGGAGAGCTCGCTTATCCCTCTTTTCTCATCTTTTCCAATTTTTTATCAGTTTTTTTTCCATCTGTACATCGAAAAAAGTAGAATAGATACAAAATAGCGATGGCCCAGCTTTTCAAACAGTTGGTGGCGCTTGATTTGAACTCGTGCCAAAAGCCGCGTACGCCCACTCTATGCGTCCCGCCCACTTCTCCGCCTCCCGCGCCTTTCAGCTCGGAAAGAATTGGCTATACCTTTCTTTTGACTGGAGAAAAAAAGCAAAATCGCCTGCGAATCTACCTAATCGTTCTCAAAAAAATAATTACCTTCTAATGAATGTTACTTGAAAGTTTTCAGATTTCTGAACAGTTCGGCGTCGTCCACTATACATGCAAATTCGGTGTTTCTGTGCTTTTGGACAAATCAACATAAATTCCGATTTATCAAGATTCATGCTGCCTTTATTGAATAGTTGTCATTGTAATTATACTTATACTCCAATTTTTCCGAGTGATTATTATTATTTTACTGCTTAATAATTTTAATTTTATTGCTTGACTGAAGGCTTCGTCTTTTTCCAACATTCCAATCATTGTGTTGCATCTTTTAGAGCGCACAAAGCGCTGTAGATTACTTTCATAACCTCATTTCATCAAATTCTTTTTTGATTTTTTCCACCTTTTTTTTCAGTTATCCAATTATATTCAATGCAACCTAAAATAAATGTTTGTTCCGAAGACTTTCTCATTTATAAAAAGCATTTAAAAGATTTGATTGTTTCGGGGAAGAATGAAAAAAAACTTTATAAAACCTTTATTTATTTCATAGAAGCTTCTGTCAATTGATTTGATTTGATGGGAACTTGACAAAAGGTTGAACAAATCTTGAATTTTTTTTGTTTTCTTCTGTTTGAAGTAAACCTGTGACTTTGTTGACAAAATTGGCACAAAATTGGCAAACGATGGAAAACTTGGACAGCGGGAAGAAATTTTCATTTACAATTCGGTCGGACGTCTTCACTGAATCTGAAATTCGATGTCAGTCTCTATAAATTCCTTTTAGCGGAAAAAGTTCAATCGAGTCTTGTTATAATTGAGTCGGCCAAAAAAGGTTCCAACTAGACTAAACTATTTATTAGATCAGGAAGGAGCTTAGAGCTTAAGTTTAAAGTTATACACGAGAGACCTAAAACAAATTTTTCATTTGACCCGAACCTTGGGCAAAAAAACCTTTTTTTGGAAATGAAGTTGAAGACTTGAAGAGCTTCTTTCTCTCTGAAAGATAATGAAAATGGAACTTTCAAGTATTCACTACTGATAATGTGTCTCAAAATCTGAATCGGAATCTTTCACGTAACGGCAAATGGATTTTTTCTGATTTTCTTCAAGCTCAAAGAAGTCGTTCATCTTTCACTGCATCTGGATTTCCATTCATCCTCAAGAAAACTGCGTCGACCAACTGTATTTCTCGGAGGCTTGCTTTTAATTTCTCGAAAGGTTCAGATTAAAATTCCTCATAGTTCCTTTTTTTCGGAAATATAAAGTTTTTAAATGATTATTATTTAAAAAGTGCTTTTTGAAAAATTTTTTTCGAAAAACAGGCCCAGCGCTTGTAAACGGCAACTGAAAAAAACTAAACATTTGCCCCAATAGCGATCCCAACGAACCGCAGTTCAAGTTTTCAAGGAGCTTTTGAGCAAATTTCCCTTCCAAACTGCAATTTATACTCTTTAATATTCTATGTATATCATATGAAATTATTTGACTGAATGAATTTTATCACTCCCATATTTTGCGTGAATTGATTATTTTATAGCTCTACGATTCTTTAGCAGCTATTTATCGCAATATACTGCCAAATCTCAACAAAAATGGGGCTATGATCAGAGGTGGAGGATTGGGAAGGCAGCCCTTGGCTTGGCGGCCAAGCCAAGCGATTGGGCCAAGCGATAGAAATGATTCATTGACTTTCTATTCAAAAAGTCGTTTTTGCTTTTGGGCGTTTATGGCTTGGCAGGCAGGGCGGCCAGTGGGCAGCCATCCTCCACCTCTGGTTATGTTCAAAAAAAAAGGAAAATCGTCAAATGGTATGAAACGATGTTCTGCTGCTCGAGTGATAACAGTTGACAAATTAAATAGGATAATATTCTAAAATATTTGCTTTTCCGTCGTCATAAAACTTGATTAATCGAAAATTTCAACTGCGAGTTAACCAAAACGGCTACGACTTTTGTTTCCTGACCACGTCTCCGGCTTCCCAATTTTTGAATGCAATATTTCAAACGACGGTTTGAAATTTCGCTTACACTTATTTGGTCAAAAAAAGTTTTTTAAAATAACTATCAAATAAAAAAATTATAGCTTTGCATCGTATAATATTTTTTTCTACGTTTGCTAGAAAAAAATCGAGAGAGGCCTGGAAATGGAAAAGTTTGGAATTTCAAAATTAGTTATTTTGACTGCCGTTCTTGATTATTCGATAGTTATTTTTTTCGAAAAATAAAAACTCTGAATTACTTGAAATAGCATTTGCATGCTGCAAATGTCCTAACAAAGTGAGTAAAATGCGAAACTGTAAAGCAGGGAGTTTTGTGTCCTTCCGATGACTGTTCAAAACTTGGAAATGTCACTTTGAAGATACAAACAGTTTTTCGCTTCTCCAGAGCTGTAGTTTTGTACATTCGTCTAGGATGCTTCTTTTTTCTGTCATTTTTTTTTTCCTGGCCAGTTTCGAAGCTCTTCCTGTTGCTGATAACAGTACAAGTAGAAATGTGAGGAGTATCGAAGTGGTCCAGAATTACGACGTCGCGCCGTACAGGCCAACTTATTCTGGAGCTAAGGTAAGCACAAGGAGTTGAATTTTTTTAGAGTTATTCTTCAGGCTCATGGTTTCGCCCTTCCTGCGCTTCCGCCACCTCCAGCTCAATTAAAAAGTGAAATTTTTGAAATTTTCTCTAGAAATGTTTTGTTTGAACACGCTGACGTTGAGTGATATCTTTCATCAAATACAATTATTGGTTTTTGGTTCAAATTGAATTTCAGAATGCAACACGGACTGCATGACTATTTACGATTTCAGTGAGTTTTAAATGTTTTCAAATAATGAAAAAAGAAAAATTGTAACAGCTTTTCATATTGATGAGCTTTTCAGAATAATAATAATATATGTTTCATTCGAAGAAAATGTTTTCCGTTGAAAAACCAAAAAAATAAACATGCAAGAAAAAAACTGAGTTGAATAAGAAAATAACAAAACCCGATTATGCAGGACAACTAGAAGAACTCGTTAATTTCTTGCAGGTCCCATGGTTTGGATTGGCTTCATCCTTCTCATTGCTGCATTTCTCGTTGCTTGTATCATTTTCGTCATTGTCAACATCGCGAGGACCTCTGAATCGAAGTAAATGTGCACTTCTTTCAATTTTGTCTTTGTCAATTTCAGTTTCATGGAATAAAACTGCAGTTTTAACATAATGTTTTGAGCTCTACATAGAAAACTTGAAAACATGGAATTGAGGGATTTTTCCAAATTTATTGGCTTTTTTTCTTAATAAAAATGGAGTAGGAAGTATGTTAATTTAATGACGCCATATGAGGTGAAAAAAAGATGCGCGAAGCTTGTCTGGACTGCGGACAACTTTTCGGCGGCGGTGGGTGGCAATTTTCTCCTCGTTACCTTCGTCCAATTTAGATTTCCTCTTTTGCTTGATTATAATGTTCACTTTTCTGTAGCAGCAAGTTGTTGAAATGAAAACTTACAACTGTCAAAAAAATATTTGCTTTTTTTCCAAAATAAAAAAATTGAATCAGATTAAATGACAATATCAAACTGGTAAAAGCGTTTTTCAGTGATTCCTTGAACGGTAGATATCTTTCTTTGATATTGACATTAAGTTCATTAAGAATACATTTTAAGAATCTTTATTCACATTTCTATAAAAGGTTCTCTTTTTTAAATTTTTAGTTAGGGTTAGTACGCAACAAAGCAAAAAAAAGAAGTCCCTCAAGCGCGTTTTAAATATTTTTCTTTTTGTAGTACCGATTGTTAATTTTTTTATTATTTTTAAAGAGTCACGGGAAAAAGAAAATTAAATGGAAAAACTTCCTCGTTTATTACGCATACCAAGAAGCATTATTATATTGATTTATATTTCGTCGAGAAGCACCTAGCAACGGATTCTCGTTTCATGGATTGTCTTCTTCTATGCTGGTCAATTGACAAAAAGTTATCAATTTTTTTGAATAGGAAATATTAGGAAAAATATATTTAAAATTATAAAATGAATATAGTTTGAATAAAAAAAACTTGTGATCCCAAACACCAACTACTGCTACGAATTTTTTTTTTCTGACCGTGTTTTATAAAGCTCCTTTGCCGCTGACTCAATAAAAAGCTCAATAAATTCAACGATAAATGAAACAGCAATTAAAAAAAACGATTAAATTTTTTGTTGAAAGTTTGCGCTGTAATATAAACGATTTCCTCGTTCAATTTGATCGTTAACTGTCGATTCTTAACAAATTAATTTAATTTTCCAGAAACATGGCGGATCAATTGATTCAAGGATTAAGTTGCCTTACTACTTGCGATAGAGAGGTATTTTTATTTTTTTCTTTCTTGAGAGTTACTTTCATAATAAATTTTTTTAGAGCATAATAAACCAGTTTCTGGCAATTTTGAAGCCTATCAAAGTCGAGCAAACCACAGCTGCTTTTTATTTGGACATGAACAACTGGTTAGTTGACACCATAAGGATTTCTTATTTTAAATGTTATAGGAACTTGCAAGAAGCAATCTCTTCTTATTACGACTACGGCCAAGAAGCGAGTTCTCTGGCCTTTGGTCCGCAAGAACGGGAACTCGATGCGGATGTTCATGGAGTTTTGTACCAGGATCCTGTCAACAACCCGGTTCGCACAAAAAACAAGAAAAAATTTGACAAAATCATTACAATGCGACAAAAAATTTAAACGGGTTAAACTGAGAAAAAATAGAGCGCAAAACAAAACAATTGCATTGAAGAAAAAAACCCTGTTTTTGATTCACAAAAACATTTTCGAAACATATTAATGTTGAGAAAATTAATATGAACGTTTTTTTAAATTTTTTTATTTGAAGATTTCCTGATTTAAAAAGACTTTTTTTATAATTTTTATAATTCAGGACGGAAGCCTCAATGCTGGGGGTTGTTATCACGGTAACTTTTGCTGTACGCAATATCGGCACCCTCAAGTGGCCGGCATCTTTGAATTTGGCCATCGTCAACGGTATACTCTTTTTTGAATATTTTTTTACTTAGCTTTATTCTCAAGGAGACAACATCATCTACCACTGGAGACTTGACAAGTTGCTTGGTCCAGGTCAAGCCGGAGCTCTGAACATCACGTTCATAACGCCAAGAGAAGAAGGGGAGTTCAACACCGAGTTGCAGCTTGTGAGCCCTTGTGGAGTGCTTTTCGGAGGTTGGTTTGAGGATCTGGGTTATTAATGGCTCTTTTGAGCCTGAGTGAAACATTTTAACAGATTTTAACAAATTTAATAAACTTTCTTTGAGTAAGAGAAATTTCGAACAACAAATATTGGAAAGTTTATTAGAAAGGTCACTTTAATCTAAATTTTGAGTTTTTTGAAGTTTTTCCCAAATACTAAAAGTCTACAGGACTTTGCGACACATTAGGAAATGCTCAAAAATTCCAGCCCTTCAGCTTTGATTGAAGCACAATAAGATTCATATTCCATGATAATGTCTTTCCTGAAACATATAAATTTTTTTATTTGCAAATCTTTTCCATTTTCAGAAAAGTTCTTCTTGAAGTACATGATCAAGCTGGCAGATTTTCCTGTCCCATCTAACCCAGAAGATGTGTTGGCCATGATGCAGCAAACCTCGCCGCTACACTATGCTGTATGAAAGTTTATTCCTTTAGGAAATATCTTGGTTAATTTTAAGCTTGCTGAGGATGAAATGATGGTGGAAAATGCGGTGACGGTGCCACCTGCGTCACCTTGCACTCCTGACGAAAACATCGACAAATTCGAAGACGACATGATGTGAATGCAAAATAATTGTTATCTCTTCTTAATTGTTAGTCTCCGTTTTAGTCTTTCACAGAGACTTTGCAAACCTCCCAATTAACGCATTTTACACCTCGATAACAACAATGATCTTTGATCTTCTTTTGAATCTATTTGCCCAGAAAGGAAACAATATTGAGCAAATGGTACAATTTCTTAAATTTTATCATCGTTAACAGCAAATTTTCTTAAAATCTTCATTAAAAACTGTGAGTGAAGTTTTCATTTATCTGTTGCCCTTTAAATTTCTGAATCAGGATTTCTAACAATCGAATATGTCAGGAACGTTTTCAATAACTTTTGAAAAAACCTGTTTTCTTTTTTTTCGCTACGGGTTTCCACTCAGCGCGAAACTCGTTCCCTATTTTGTTACATTTTTTTCAGTTATCGAACTAAAGAAACATGTTAACTTTCATCTCATCGCCTTATGAAACAAAAAAACCCATAGAAACAAGTATTTTTCAGAAATAATTTCGAAATTTTTTTCATAAGATAAATTTTTTTATTATTTTTGAGTGTCGTCTAGATGTGGCATAGTAGAGTCTCAAATGTAAATCGATGATTCTCTGGCATCTTTCATCTTTCTTACGACCAACTTGACCTCACTCATTGTTAACCAGTTTTTGATTGTATTCCCTCCATAATACATATATTTGGCTCTCAGATTACTCCCTCATTCCATGTTATTCAGATCGTAGAGAATAAAATCTTTTTATGATTTTTGTTCGTCCAACCATAAAAACAAAAATGTAAATATTTGACACATTTGCAAGAATTATGCGCTGGCGAGTTCCTCCTGGGCTCCGGTGGTGATGAGGTGAGCGAAGGCCTTGTAGTCGACCTCGCCGTTCTCAATTGGAGGCTTGCCCTGCAAAAAAATTGATAAAAGTGGGAAAAGGGGGTGGATAAGTGTACCTTGTACATAGCCTTGAGTTCGTCCTCGTCGAGGGGCTCTCCACGTCTGTTCTGCAGAATCTTGACGAGGTCTTCTTCCTTGATCTTGCCACAGTCCTTCTTGTCGAACATGGCGAACGCGCCGACGATGGTCGCTTCCGGATCAGTTCCTGAGCAAAACCGAAATTCAAATTGGGTTCGGAAACATGACAAACCTGTCAATCGCTCTCCGAAGAGGGTGAGGAAGACGGTGAAGTTGATTGGTCCGGGAGCTTCCTTGATCATGTCTTCGATCTGCTTGTCCGAGGCGATCTGTCCCATGGAGGCGTACAGATCCTTCAGGTCTCCCTAAAAATCAAACAATAAATGCTTTTTCTCGCGAAAATTCTACCTTGTCGATGATACCGTCCTTGTTCTGGTCCATGATGCCGAAGGCTTCCTTGAACTCCTGGATGGTCTTCTGGTCGAACTGAGCGGCCTCCGATCCGGAGCGCTTCTTGGACGACTTCTTCTTGGCGGCCTTCGACTGTAGTTCAAAGCGATTTACAAAAAACAAGAAAAAGTCGGCAAACCATTTTATCTAGGAGGTGGTTAGCTACCAAGCAGAGTACGACCTGAAAATAAGAATGATAAGAAAAGCTGACAGGAAGGATGCGCGAGGGGGAACGCGAGCTCGGAGTGATGGTAGGCGGCTGCGGGATCCTCGGAGGCCGAGCTTTTCCTAAGTGTAACAGCGCCGATCAATTGGCGGTTGGTTTATCCCTTCCTCTTTTCCGCTGCTCTCTACAGATAACTGGAAACTCCGCGGCAAGACAAACACCTTTTCCCTACGCAATTCGACTTTTCGGCACAAGAGCTTTCTTGAGTATGCTACACGGCAAAAAAGCCATCTAATGAAAGTTTTTTTGTACTGCTCAATTGATAAGTTACTTAGAAACAAGTTAAAATTATGCGGGAGGAAAAAAGCATGAACAAACTAGATATAAACTTACATTGCGCTGAAAACTCTTTTTATTCTAACTTGATGAAATTTTAACAGCATACCACAAAATTTAGATATTGATGGGATTTAAAAAGCTACTTTTACAACAATTTCCAATCAAATAGGTTTTTTTGAATTAAACAAAAACCATTTCTATCAGGCAATAATAAAGTTGAGAACAAAAAAAGGTCATTTTCAACTCTTCCATTAGTTTTGCAAGAAAATGAAAGGATGAGGAAATCAAAACTTTTGCTGAAACTTAATGTGAAGTTGCAAATTATCATCTGTCAAACTATGAAAAAAATGTTTTTCTCCATAAATATTTCTAACTCAATAACCTCAAAGCATTCAAATAAAAAAATATAGTTTTTGCTTCTTAGAACTTCAGAAACCTTGGATGTTTTGAAAAATACTTTTGAATTGGACGATTTTTACTTCATTACCCAACGCTTTCAAAATTCCAGGACATTGTTTCCGCTTTCTTTTTAAGTTTTGAGAGTAATACTTCTTTTTTTGAACGACAAAAACCGTTTTTAATTTTTTTAGGATTTCAGATTCAATTTTTTTAGTGACTAAGACCTACTTTTTTTGAAATTTAAAAAAACTTTGTTGAAAGAAAGCTTTTTTTATGAGTAGAATTTTTTTGATCTAACTTCGAGAAAAATCAAATCAAAACAAAAAAATTTCGAGTGTTTCATTAATATAAGTTTGATCGGAAATGCCTTATCAGCAGAAGAATCTTGCGTTTTTTGTGCATTCTGAACAATTTTGGTTCAAAAGACTTTTTGCTCGGCTCTATTAAACTTGATGCTGCACTTTTTCAATTCTTGTCAAGTCTTCCTTGACTAGCCTTTATGTGTATGACAATTTATTTCAGCTCTTCCTTACTCTTGAGAACACCCAGACAGGAAAAAACTGTACATTGGCGGCTCCCAATAATTGATTTTCTCAAGCACAAAAAGGATAGCAAGCAAAAACGTATCTTCCTGGAAACGCGCTCAAGGCGGGACGTTTGTGTAAAGTCGTTGAGCGCGGCTCGGCTGAAATAGCCGCCCAAGTGTAAGGAGGAGGGATCTCGGCTCACACAATCCGAGGCAGTCACTACTCCTGACAGTCGAGCAGCATGGTGAGTCCTTTTTTCCTCTTCAATTTCGCCTAAGTTTCAGCCTTTAGTTCAAGATTTACTAAGACATTATTACTGTAACACTTTAAGCTTAGCTTTTGACTTTGTTTTGATTTACATGTTTGGTTTTGTAGTCGAAGGCCGCCAAGAAGAAGTCGTCCAAGAAGCGCTCCGGATCGGAGGCCGCTCAGTTCGACCAGAAGACCATCCAGGAGTTCAAGGAAGCCTTCGGCATCATGGACCAGAACAAGGACGGTATCATCGATAAGGTAGAATTTTCGCGAGAAAAAGCATTTATTGTTTGATTTCCAGGGAGACCTGAAGGATCTGTACGCCTCCATGGGACAGATCGCCTCGGACAAGCAGATCGAAGACATGATCAAGGAAGCTCCCGGACCAATCAACTTCACCGTCTTCCTCACCCTCTTCGGAGAGCGATTGACAGGTTTGTCATGTTTCCGAACCCAATTTGAATTTCGGTTTTGCTCAGGAACTGATCCGGAAGCGACCATCGTCGGCGCGTTCGCCATGTTCGACAAGAAGGACTGTGGCAAGATCAAGGAAGAAGACCTCGTCAAGATTCTGCAGAACAGACGTGGAGAGCCCCTCGACGAGGACGAACTCAAGGCTATGTACAAGGTACACTTATCCACCCCCTTTTCCCACTTTTATCAATTTTTTTGCAGGGCAAGCCTCCAATTGAGAACGGCGAGGTCGACTACAAGGCCTTCGCTCACCTCATCACCACCGGAGCCCAGGAGGAGCTCGCCAGCGCCTGAACTACTCAAGCACATAAACAATTACAACCTCTTTGGGAGTGGCGGCAGCAATGTCCCCGAAAATCAGCGGCCACGCGGCTTCAACCGCCAGCTGCTGGTTTTTTAGGGTATTTGCTGCTTTCACGTGTGGCGCAGCGTTCAGACGGCTTTCGTTTTCATTCCGCGCTTTATAATCACTTTTCCCTTTTGCTCGCCTTTTCCAACCGCTTTATGATGAGCCAACTTAAGAACTCCATTTTTCTGGAAATACTCGGAGGCCAGGGAGTCGCGCCTTGTGCCCCTTCGACACTTGCTTGCCTCCGATTTTTCCAACCAACAGCCGTTTGACTGCACGCCACACAAACACTCGTTGTAATTGTGTCTTCATCTTTCGCCCAAATGTTTCCTTTTTTTAGATTTTCATCCCAAACTGCAAATGTGTCGCTTAGATTTTTCATGTTTCTCTTTTCAAAGCGTTCCTTTTAAATGTGTACATGATCGGTTCGAAAGCCGTTCCAAATGAAAATTTTTATATCTCAAACTATTTGATATTTTCAACAAATCACAATAATGATTATTCCAACTGTCCAACGAAGGAATGATGGTCACCAGCCCAAGGTTGCAAGGCGGCGTCGGCGAATTTCCAGAAAACGAAGGCGCCAAGGATATAAACCAAAATGATAGTATAAAGGATGAAGTGCCATTCCACAACAGCCTGAAAACCTTAAAAATAATAAGAAAAATCAAAATTTTTTCTCACTCCAGTCGATACGATGAATCCTACAAAAAGCGGACAGAAGATTCCTGGAATTGTCGCGATCGTGTTGGAGAGTGCCATGAGATGTCCCGCATACTAAAAAGAAGTTTTTATTATTAGATGGAAAAAAATTGTACCTGAGGGGCCAAATCCAGGTGGTTAACAGAGAATCCTGCCCAGCAAACGCCTCCAAGACCAATTGAGAGAGAGATGCAAATAACCAAAATCGTCGGGTTCGTTGTTTGAGAAACAATCACCAAAAACAGAGATTGAGCCAAGAATCCTGCAAAAAAACTTTGAAAACAGTGAGCGGTCAACTTAAATTTTACATCAGCATAATTCTAACTTTGTATAGTTTATTCGTTTTTTGAGGCAATATTGGAGAAGTAATTTTTTTCGGTAAAATGGATCACAACATTGGAGTTTTTTTTGAGTTTGTTGATTCGAACTTTAAAAAGGAAAGTTTTACCAAAGATGGATAAATTTCGTTGTGCTGTAACGAAAAAAAAAGATTTTTTCACACATTGTTTTGCAAACCGTGCAATCAAATTTATCAAATTTTGTTACAGTCACTAGTTAGAAACCTATTTTTTTTGAGTACCAGGAAAGCCCATTTTTTACATCAAAATATCAAGTTTTCCAGTTTTTCATTTATTCTAATTTTATCAATTTATCCATAGTTTTAAAGATGCATTTTCAATCTCTGAGTTTTCTCTCAATTATTACGCAACCACATTCTTTGTATGCGATCTCTGGAGTTTAAGTGTTGTAATGTTTCCGAGGAGCAAGCGGACGCCCACTCGGCAGCAGACGCTTTTCAGCTTCAGCGTGTGGAAAAAAAAAGATAGAAAAGCAACTTTCTTGATTTCGTGATGTTCAGAGGGAGGAAAATCAAATGGTATACTTACCCGAAGTACAAAAAGCTTTTCGTACGAAAATAGTGTCGAATTGTCTTTCCTTCCGCAGATAATCAGCGAAATGGCCTCCTGCAATGATGGTCACACCCATGAGGAAGTATGGCAAGGCGCTCGCTACTCCGGCCTGAAAATAGTCGATTCGAAGTTTTGTTTTAATTTTTTTGCTCAGTATTTCATTAAGGCTGTCCCGTTTATTAAAAAAAAAAATCTACAATTGAAATGCGTTTTTTTATTATTAATAATGCAGATGCATATTGATAATTTCAATATATTTTTGAGCTTGATATAGATTTTTATCATATATTTGCTTTTTTGATGTTGCCATGGCTTTTTTCCGCCAGATCCTTTTTTTCAGCATATGATGAGTTTTTTTTCGTTTAGAAGCAATGCGTATTCACATTCGGACCAATTTTAAAATCCAGGGAAGCCCATTAAGGAGAAGGCAAATTGGAGGGTAATCCAGAATTCAAAGCTTTTTCGAAAGACGGAAATCACTTCGAACAATTAAAAATCATTCCCTTTGCAGAAAATCTTCGTTTTATTATTGAAATTGAACGTTCATTTTCCAAAATTTATCTAAAAATAAGGTCATTTAGCTTTTTTCAAATTTCAGCGGAAACTATTCGGAATTTCATTCAGTTTACTTCTCTCGTCATTTTTACGCAAGTTCGTAACCTTTTCAAGGGCTGAGACCAACGAGAAAAAAAAACGCGTGGGAGCAGACTCTTATGCTGAAACACTCTGCCGATGAGGCAAATATTCTCGGCGAGCGCCGATTTTCTTGTTTGATCTTCTCGGATCCGTCGACGCGCGGATATTACTCGAGGGCAACTTGAGCTTTTTGCGAGATGGAAAAACGTCAGAAAGTTGACCGGGGTAAAGATTTTTTTTCTAATAAGTTTCCAGAATTATCAAAAGTTGTCAGTGTGCAGTTGAAATGTTTTCTGTTAGAAAATCTCACGGCTATCCAAGGCGTCTCGCACTCGTTTGCTTTGGAAGCTTGGTATTTTTTTATTTGAAAGATTACAATTTCATGTTATTTATTAAAATTTTTGAGAAGAAAAAGTTTTTTTCTGTTTACTTTTTTTCACCATTTCCGATTTTCATCCTCACCTTTTCAATGTCATAATCGGCTACATCTTTCAGGAATCTTGGCAAATTAGTGAGCATAGTGTAGAATCCCCAGTTTTGGCTAAAATGTGCCATGATCACGGCCCATACAGCTTTACTTCGCAAGATCTCACGCCATGGAACCACCTGAAAATCTTCCGTTCCGTGTCTTTTTCATGAACAGTTGTTCGCTGTCTTTTTTCTGTAACGCGGAAGATAGCTGATGCTGGAGAAAATATACGTGCTTTTATTTGCAAGTGTCTTTAAATTTTGCTTGATCAGCAGGAAAATGAATTGAAAGGAAAAGTGAAACGGCGTCAGTATCAATTTTTATCAAAAGTAGCCTAAAAAATTTCTTTTAACTAAAAATACTTTTTCAGTTTGCTGGAAAATAACGAATAGAGAACTCACGTATTGGCATTCACTAATGGCGTCCCTTTGGAGAAGCGTCAATTCGTCGGTTGAAATGTTCACATCGTCCGCTGGCCTGTCGTAGACCGTTCTCTGCCAAACTGCACACCAAACCATCCCAACAATACCTAAACGTTTTCTTTAACATTTCGAACACCTTTCATACCCACCGAAAAAAAGAAAAATTCCCGGCCAACCAAAGCCTTCCCCAATGTACGCCGACAACGGCATGGCTACCACAGTTCCAAAGTATGAACTGCAAATTTTCCTTCAAGAAGTTTTTCTTTTGGTAACTTCACACCCCGAAAAGGCAAAAGTTGCTAGTTTGGTCTTTTCCATCGCTGGCGCCCAGTGGCTCCAGACGACATGCATGGCTGGGTAGGTGACGCCCTAAAAAATTCATCACGAGCTAAAAATGTTCTTACGTAAAAATGAACTTTTCAATCACTATTTACATGAAATTATCAAAAAAAGGTCATGAGTATGAAATTTTTGGAGAATGTTTGCTTTTTTTCAAACTTGAACGAAAACAAGATAAAGTTCAACTAACTTCCAAAACTCCTTCAAAAAATCGTGCCAAGATTAGTGCGCCATATCCCATTTTGGCCAGCGGAGGTGTCATAATGGTAAAAACAGCCGTTCCTGTTAATTCCGCAATATTTTGGTTTTTTTTAAATTTCTCACCAAAAGTTCCCGCGAAAAAAGTTGTCTTTCCACCATACTTATAAGCCAAATATCCTCCAGGCAGTTGGGTCAAAATGTATCCGTAGAAAAATGCGCTCAAGATGACGCCTTGCGTGACAAACGACCAATGACCGAACTCGGCAGGAACCTTGAAATAATTAATATTCTAGGGAAATGAAGACTCCTTTACATGAACAATGGTTCCGTTGACGTGTCTGTCATATCCGGACGTCATCTCAACAATGGCGATGCTGAGATTGGCCCGCATCGCGTAAATGTTGGCGAATCCCAGAAGAGCCAGCACGGCGACCAAGTGACGTCTTCCATACCATTTCTTCTTTGTCGAGAAATCATCTGAAAAAAATGATCACGATTTTTTTGAAAAAAATTCGACTGAGATTAAATAAAGACAAAAATAAAATGGATACCCCTGAAAACTCTTTGCGAACTTTTCTAGTGATGATGTAAACATTTTAATATTTTTTCAAGCCATCAATTAACAAATGGAACAAACTCCAAGGTTTCTACTTTCCATATTCATGGGTGCATTTTTTTAAATTATTCCCCAATGTGCTAATTCTTTTTTTGGAGTGGTTTCAAAAGATTCATAAAATTTTTTTAAAAAAACTTGGAAATTCATAAAATTCTTTGATGAACAAAAAAAGCATAATTTTTCAATTAATCGAATAAAACTTGTTTTTTTTTCTTATTGTCATCAGAACTATGAAGAAAAACAAATTTCTTGTTTTTCCTGAATTGAAATTGAAATTGAGAAATAAACCGCTAAATTTTTCTGAGCCGATTCTCGAGAAATACCTTTTACGGCTCGTTCATTTTCTTCTTGCGCCAGTCGTTGATACATTTAGTAACATAGAGAAGATGGAAAAGTCCTGATCATTAAATATCGGGACTGGGAAAAGATCGATCGGCCCGAAAACACATACGGCGTTGACAGTTTGCGCACTCTTCCCTTTTTCTTGCTTTGGCCTCAGACTACGCGATAAAGAAAGTTTTGATTCGGGTTTTTCCAACTCTGCTCAGTTTTATCTATGTGAACAATTTTTTTAGCTACAAAATTAAATCCGTAAAGTTTTTTTTTTATTTTGTCATTACGTTCTGTCTAATCGTTTTTATTTCTAATTGGAAAAAAACATGAAGATTCTGCACATTTAGTGAAATTTTTCTTAAGTCGAAATTTCGAAAAAAATTTTTCGAAACTAATATTTTTATTCGTTTTGATTTGTATGTCGCAAAATTTTTTTCCTTCATTTAGTTTTTGGTTGTTTTTTTGATTTGAACCGTTGTACAGGATTTTATTTAGGGCAGTTGAAATGATGGTGAAAATTCAAATCTTTTTCAAGCGAATTTGCAAATTACGCTTAACTAATGAATAATTTTGATAGAACGCTATGTTTCGAGGTTTAACTTTTAGTTAGTTAGATAGTTTATTTCTTCGCAAAAAGTAAAAGAAATTTTCTCAAAACCCATGCTCAGAAAAATATTTTTATGAAAAAAATTAGGCCTTGAAAAAAATTTGATTGCGCAACAAACCGTCGATTTACCCTTGAATGAAAAAAATTTTTTTCACGAGTTTCGATTAAAAAAACTTGTGGATTTTATTATTCACGTCAAAAAAATTGTTGATATGAGCATTTTTGTACTTTGTTCGATAAATGATAGAAAGAAAAAAATGTCAAGAAAAGTTCTTTATGTGATTTTTTTTAAAAAATGAACTAAAGTCAAATAACTCAGATACTTGTTCGGCGTGGCCTATAACGGGATTGTCCCGGGTTATTTTCAAGGAAGGTCTTGACTATGCGCTATTCGTTTTCATTCCTTTTAACATTAAGCATTTCTTGATTTAAACTACTTTTTGAATTGAATTTCCAACAACTTCAAAACGGAGATTCTCATTGAATATTCAAAAACTGACCGGCATCGACGGATTGAGCGGTTCCGTAGGGCAAGGACCGCGGAGCCACCGACGGTGAGCTCATCTGGATAACAGGCGAAAACGTCGAGCCGCCGTTGGGATTAATGAGCCGCCAGCCTTACATCGATTCCTTTCGCGCGGCCAGCCTCCTGCCTCCAACCCAAAAACGGCATTCTGAACGCCTATTCATTCATTAGAACATGGAAGTTAATTTTCCGCTAATGAGCTTTTTTGTAGTGTTTTATTCTGCGTTTCATTCATCACTTTCTGAGTAGGCTTAAATGTGGGAAGAAAGCCTGATTAGATTAGGTGTGTAATCCCACGCCTTTTTTTAGTTTTTTTAGAATTGTTTGTATTCTATTTTTTTCTCGTGACTTTCATTAATGTTATGAGGCACACCCTAAACGTCATTTGCTTGCAAGTAAAAGCATTCTTTCCAAAAATCAAATCGGCTTTTTTCTGCAAATGGCAGAAACTGCAATTTGGAAATTTTTATTTGAAAAAAGTTTCATACTACATGTGAATTAGCAAAAATTTTGCGTGACTGCAAACCACGTTGATATTTGTTTCTAACTTCAAAAAAATAGTCCAAAAACTTTACTGGGATTCTCTAAAACCTTAACCAAAAATTTTTTTAAAATTTACAAATGTCTTTTGACAAAAATTTTTATTATTTCCATCCGAACCTCATGAAAAAAATCAATGATTTAAAAATTAAAAATAGAAAGACTACTCTACTCTCGAAATTGTGAACCAGAACTTGTTTTGAACAGTTTGATTTAATACTAGCTCACGTGGAAGAAATACGTGAAAAATCTCATTTAAAACACTCAAAGATTTCCCCAAATTCAACTTCCAAAGCATGAATCATTTTTTTGCAAAGAAAGCAATACAAATACGGATAATTCAACACTTTGTTTTTTTGTTCAAGTTTAAAAACCAGCTTTCTGAAAAAAATATTTATTTTTTTATACAGTAAAAATGAGTTTTTAGGTAAGTTATAAAAAAATTACAAAAAAATGAGGAGAGTGAAAAAAATAAAACCGGTGAAACAAGGAGAAATGGCCGATAGTCAATTTATAAACCGGTGGAAAAACTAGAGAGCAAATCTGCCAAATGCGATAACCATGAAAATAATTTTTGGTGTGAAAAAATAATTAACTCCGTAACGAGTGTTGAAAATGGTAAAAAAAAACCTTTTTCTTAAGGTCATGATCGAATTATTCAAGTTTTCGTTGTTTCTGCGGCCATGTTTTTTTTGTAAATTTTCCTTCGGGAATAAAAAAAATATTGCTTTCTCGAATTGCCGGAAACGCTGTCAAGAAAACGAGGCTGATAATTGCTTTTGCCTGGCAGAGTAACAACAAAAACTCAAAATGGTCGCTAGGAACACCTAGAATGGGCTACAAAAGAACTTGGCGGAACTGCGTACAAAAAGATGATATTCGAGGTGATAAGAAAACACGGCTTTATGCCTCATCAAGGGAAAAAAGAGCTTCATCGACGGATCCACGACGAAGTTCCCTGACAGTCGCCGCGGCCATGGCTCCCAGAAGCACTTGGGGACACGAGACAAAAGCGGACATTGCTGTTGCTGAACCGAGCGCAGATTTGCGTCACCTGAAACCAATCATTTTGATATTTTTCTCTTTTTCTTTCTAAAAAAACACAAATTAAAAAAAAGTAAACAAAAAAATTGGATTCATAGCAAGATAAGCAGTTTACTGAAAACTACTAGAAACATGAAAAAGTCTTCTGAATAACAAAGTCGAAGAAATTTTAAGATGCCGAAATAATCTCGGATTCACACAATTTTTGCACTTTCAAACTTCTATTTTTTGCATCTGCATATTCTTGAATGCAACGTTTGCGCTTTTTCTCCTTTCGATCTCGTTCCGAAAATAAACCTTCTCGCGGAGAGCTTCATCTTTTGTCACCCAGATGGTGTGAACGTTGCTCGGAGCCACGGAAAGGCATTCTTCCAACATTGGAAGATCCGATTCAGAATCTCCGCAGACCAGAACGTTACCTAAAATTTTTTTGGATTAAAATTAAAATTAACAAAAAAGTACCATCATGTAGATTAACATTCATTTTCCGTTCAGCAAGACGAACGCCATGCCCTTTGTTAAAAATGCGGCCGCTCAACTTTGCCTAAAACTTATTTCTTCAAAGTTAAAACTTTCATTTTGAATACCTTCGTGTAAATCTTGATATCATAATCACTTTCCCGAATACTGAGCACGGCACCTGTCGGATCAACCTCGTTGACAATTCTCGTAATCTAGGATTATGAAACTTTTCGTCCGATGTTGAAGAAATTCGAACCTTTTCGAAAAGTAAGATGCCCTTTTTCTTTGGCACAGAGCCATTGACATCCTGCTTCGCGATGGTCAAGTGGCCGTAGTGTTTCTGGAGGCCGCTGCCAATCCAGGTGAAGTTTCGGAACTCGGGGTTCTCCAGAAGATCTTCCACCTCAACGTTGGGTTTTTCGATTATTCATCCAGAGAATTTGAAGAACCTTATCAAAAACAACGTTCAGGATCTGAAGATCATTCTCCGAGACGGAATCGTCTTTGAACTGCATGGCCGGATTGAAATACCATTCACGTCCAGCAGATGCTCCATACGCGTAGTATCCTGGAATTATCGAATGTTGAGTGTGAAGTTTGTTTTTGAGGAAACCTTCCGGAATCGTGCTCACGTTCAGAATACCAATGTGCATGAGAGGAGCCGTGGTGACTATGGCACAGAATTGAGCACAACGCTTGGCGAATTGAGCCTGAATTTCTTTCTGCATTGTTTCTATTGCAGTTTGGGTTCGAGCTTTGATGATAAGGGGGGCTAAAGAAAAGTACTCGACAATTAGATCAGAAAATTTCTTAGCGTCTTGGAAGACTCAGAAAAATAAATGGATTTTTTTCATTCAATTTTTTTGATTTGAATAATTTTTTTATAATTTATTCATCATCTGAATTTTTTTCAGAGTTCTTTTCTTTTCAAAATGAGATCAAGAAATGAAAGCAAGAAAAAAGGGAAGAAGAATCGACTGATGTACGTTTAAAATATGTCTTTCGACACCCCAAAACAGAAACTCCAGATTCATGTTCCTTGAACTGTAGAGTCACCTATCTCAAATTTTACGCAGATAAACTTCCAGTTGACTAACCTGAATGATAGCGGAATAGGCGGGCTGGATGCTGGTTGGATAGGAACACGCGTAACTTTTCAAAGTTCCATCTCTGAAACTCTTTTTTTCAAATCATTACAGTTTCAATCTCAAACCTATCCGTGAAAAAGTACTGGAAATGTTCAGCTCTGATCAACAGCTGAGCGGCCTGTTCAACCTCCGCAGCGAAGATTGTTGGTCCCGAAGGATGGAATGATCCCAGAGTCTGATTCAATAAATCATTGTTGAAGGAATAAAAATGAAGCAAACCTCCACGAACTGCTCGACGTTGTTTATGTCGTCTCTCTGAATGAAAGAGAAGAAGGCGATGTCTTTCTGGAGCTCGGAAAGCTCGTCGCTGATGTCGAACTTGGCCTCGATGCTGTGCCCGCTGTCGTCGTCCAAGTAGATAGTGTCCAAGACAAGTTTGCTGGTTCCTGGTTCACAAGAGTTCTCCAAAGATGTCTGAAAAAGTCCCGTTCAAAACCATTACAAAATTTTCTGTTTTCCGGCTTTTGTAGAAAATTTTTCAATTATTTTTGTTAATCGATCGTTTCAACAACTATACTAAATTTTACCCCAGGTTTTGTACTACGGATAAAAATGAGTTTATCTACGGAAATTTAAATGTACATTGTACCTTAATTTATAACCTTTTTTTTTTGAACTACTTGTAGTCTTAGGTTTTTTTCGAACCAAAAAACTTTCAGTTTTTTTAAAAAGTAGCTGATCCACTACTTACTTTTGCATTTTCCAACGACTTTTGGAAATGAGGTCGGATGGGAACACCCTTCAGGACAAGTTCGACCAACTGACGGCGAACTTGAGCGGTTTTGGCCATCATCACGTTGAAATCGGCCAGTTGCTTTATCTAAACAAAAAATTTTATCATGTAAACATTTTTGAAAAACGCACGTTGCTCATGCGGATGACTTCATGAGTCCATCCTGGATCGAGGAAAGCCGTACTCCACTCTTCAATGTCGTGGTCCTTCAAGAAGCCATTGAGCTTCAATCCGTGCTCAATCCGCGACTCCTGGCTCTCAGTCGCGGCTTCGAAAAAGATATCGGCGAATCTCTGTAATTTTTCCAATAATAGGTTGTAAATGGGCTTCTTGCAACTTCAGTATCTGCAATGCTTTCAACGCGATGATAGCAACGAGAATCCTCTGAATAGAAACCAGCGTTTCCCAGCTGAACTTCAGTTCCAGCGCCGCTAGAGAGCACAAGAGACGCCTTCGGGTTGCAGATGAGCATTTCTTTTGCCACGAGGTTCATGCCATCCTCAAATATGTTCATTTTTCTGTGAACTCCAGTGGAGCAGGCAAACCTTGGACGGAGTCACCACACCAACATCCATAGCCAGATAATGAGCAATCAGCCGAGCTCGAGGAAGACCGTCCGTCTCGAAGCGGATCGGCTTCCAGTCCGGATTTTCTTCGCTCTTTATTGTCTTCACGATATCTTCGGCCAGGGCGATGCATTCATCCTTAATTAAAACAAATTACAGATAAATTTTTCAGGAGATCTACTTGATATTTTTTGTAAGACTCGACAGATCGCCGGTTTGTTACCGCCACTTGATAAAGGACATCCAAACCTTTCCGCTCGGGATGTTTTTTTCAAAAATATCTGAATGAATTTATAAGTATACAACTTTTTCAGAGCTTCAACCTTCTCCAAGCCTTCAACTTTTCCAGAATTCCTTTTGTATAGTCAAAACGCTCGACGGAAAAGAAGAATTTGGCCCCTTCGCCGCTGTTTGAAAGCAACTGTAACTGAACTTTCAGAAAAACTTTTTCGGCTTTTTTAAACGTCTTCGCGGATGTCCTGAGCATCAATTCTGGTTTGCGGATTGTCGGCGATACCCAAAAAATCTTCATTTTTGATGGACACTGGGAAAACACCAAGGGAACATGTCCAGCCCTTAAAATCTTCAATAATATCTGTACTTTGACTGGAAATCAACTTCGAAAGAAATGGTATAATTGTCAATGAGTTCCTCGTAATGAACTCGAGCGCGTGGAATATGCTGCCGGACCATTTTAACGTAACTTTCCCGATCGCGAGATGTTTGGAATCCGACTTTAGTGAATCTCAAGAGAGCACGAAGGATTGGCTCTCCCACGATTCTGTACTTTGTCATGAAATCCGGAGGTGGTTGGAACGGGATATGAAGGAAGAACCCAATCTGGAAAATATTTTGTTTTATCTCAAAAATGTGAAAAATCCAAGAAAAAAAAATATGATTTGGATCGGTTCAATCCCAATTTTTTTAAATTTTAAATCCAACACATCTGGAGGTATCAGGTTCTTCACAATAAGGCTAAGTTTATTTTGGTAAAAAAATCTTTAATCACGAAGACTACCGTTAAAATTTTTGTGTGTTCCTACGACCAGTCATTTTTTCTCAAGAAGCAGGGATCTGGAAAACCTTTTATTTTCCTGGAAAAAACTCACATCCAAGTTATTATCCAAGCTTCTCATAATCTGGCCACAAAGCATGAGATGATAATCGTGAATCCAGATCAAATCCTGAAGTCTGCTGTTTCTGGCCGCGTTGATGGCAAACTGATAGTTGACGCGGACATAAGAACACCAATGTTCTCTCAAAATCTAAAAATTTTTGAAATTGATTTAATAAAACTATCTAAAATGCAGAGATTTTTTTCCAAACGATTGACCGTTCAATAGAATTGGAGAAATCCTCACATTTGGATCGGAATAATTTCCAGTGATGTATTCGGGGAGATTGTGAAGAGCTGGCCAAAGCAATCCGTTGCTGATTCCTTCGTAATACGCCGAGTAATCTTCCTGAAATAAATGTTTAAGCAAGAAGAAATAAGTGTAAGATTACCTGGTTGACGATGACTGGATTCAGCTGATAATTAGCTTTGTTGTAGTCATGCAGAACGGAAAGAAGCGACATATCTTTCCTGAATCGCTTTTTGAAGTCTGAGAACTTTTTTTTCAAAACTAACTCAACAATTTGCTGCTTTGGTGTCAACTCGACTTTCTTGTCGTTTTCTTCCAGGACGTGGAATATTTCACCAGCCCGAGCCTGCTTGATGAGTGGAAGTCCGAGGGAGTTGGTTGAGGACGGGAGATCCTGGAAGAAAACATTTGCAAACTATTAGCATTACTAATTTTTGCTACAAAACATTTTCAATTTCCGAAGAGACTTTGAAACCAAAATAAAAAAAAAGATTCTGAAAATTGTCCAATCAAGAAATAAACGAAAAAACTTTTTTGGAAAACCATAGAATCAGTTTGATTTCAATGAACTTTTCCACGATGAGCTTCTACCTCATCATCGTCGTTCAGATTGATGCCGAGGTTGCTCAACCAAACGTTTTCCTTGTCCACGGACATGACTGGATCAACGCACGCCACAAGACCGCCGCTGCCTGTTGGTTTTTTCCTTTTTCAAAGTTCGTTTTTTTTCAGTCACCTTGTTTGATTTCCCAGCAGCCGCTGGTCTTTCTGCTGATCGACACCGGCGGGGCGTTCGACACATTGATCACTCTTTGCTGAAATTACAACAAAAGGTTATTTCTCCAACTTTTTTTTTGAGTTTTTTTGTATTTATAATGTATTTTCTATTCATAAAGACAATTTTTTCTCTTGCCTTCTGATAAGAAGTATCAACTGGAGGAGAAAAAGTATGAGCCTCGCTGGCGCCATCATGATTCTCGTCCACAACGGCGTCGTTGTCCAAACTCAAAAGATCTTCCATCGAACCTTGAACGGATGACATTCGAGAATTCGCACGCGAACGTATCATCTGAATTCGTAAATTTAATCAACTATTTCAAGTTCAAATATTTTTCAGGGAAAACCAGAATAAAATCAAAATTTCTTAGAAATTTTTCATTGTGTTCGATTTTCTATTCACTAAATCTTTAAAACAAAATAATCTCTTGGCGACGTGTTGTCTTACTTTCAAAAAGGTTTTTTTTTTCGAAAAGCTGGTACAAAACTGGTTTATTTTTTTTTCTTTGCTTTATCCAACTGTTCATACTCTTACTTGTATGTGTCTGTACTTTTCGCCAAATCTCTTTGCATGAATTCCCAACATACTCTGTCGGACTCCTGGGACGGCTGCGTAAAGCTCTCTGAAAATTGAAAAATTAAAAAAGTTTCTTTATCCTCCAAATCAACCTCAGTCGGTTTTTGCTGTTGTTGACGTCATACAAAGCCAAGGAGAACAGCAAAGCGTCTCGATATTGAGTTCCAAAAGACAAATCCGAGTTGTAGACGTGCGGCACTGCACTCTTCCAAAACGCCACCTGGGTTCATTTGTTCATACTAAGTATCATTAATCATGAAACTCACAGAGTTGTATCCAAGCTGTGTGACCAGAATGTCAAAAACGTCGTCTCGAACTTGTGGCTGAGCCAAGCAGATTTCCAAAATTGACAGCATACCCTAAAGATTTTAGTTATCTCAAAAAGTTATTTTCTGAACACCTTCAACGCGATTTCCGAATTTGTCGTTCTCTGCCGCCATTCCGAGCACAATTTCTTAACGCATTCTTCGAAAGAAGCCAGATTTTCCAAGTCTTCTGGAACCGTATGACCAATCTTTGTCAGCATCTCGCCGATTTTCTGAAGATATTCTGTCTTATTAAATTTGCATTACTCTTTCCCTCAAAGTTCGTTTTTTCGAAGTTCGAATCTTTTGAGATTGATTTTTGAGCATGCAAACATTGTTTATCTTTGTTGAAAAGCGAACTATGATCATTGATATATCAAAGTTTCTGATCGCAAGGTTTTTCCTAATACTTTTTTGCTTTACTCGGTTTTAAAAAAGCTTCACAAGCTTGGAAAACTATGCAAAACATTTTCAACTATTAGGTAGTCCTTTATTTGACTTTGCTCACAAAAAAAGAAAAAAACCCAAAAGTAAAAATAATGTTTCATTCTATATTCAATAATCTCGGAAATATTTTTCCAACACATTTCAATAAAAAATACCTTTTTGATGACATCTAGCGGCTCAAGTTCTCCTCGCGGCCTTTCGAACGGATTACCGCTTCTCCGCGGAATCTGCTCTGTCATTTTCTAAAAAATAGAAAAATGAAATGATGGAAATAGAACAAATTGATCGAGTATGCGTCAAAAATAGGTCTCAGAGGGACTTATTTACTTTGATGGAAAAATATTAGTGCTGAATAAAGACTTTTCTAGAGCATTTAGAGAGACCAGTAACCAAAAGGCGGATAATTGAGATTAAAGAAAAACGGTAAAAAAGAAAAAAAAATCAGAAAGAGTTTGAGAAGCGAAGCCGTGACATAAGGTTCAAAAAGAGCAAACCGTGCCGTTTGCACACAACAAGGAAGAAACTCAAAAAACACTGAGTAGGTGAAAAGAAAGAAAAAGACATCCGCAAGCAGATCTTGTTTAGTTGCAGGGGCACGTCACATCTGATCAGAAATCGCAGCCGCATAGTTTTTGTGCGTTTATAGTGCAGATTTTTACAGCTGCCCAATGCGGTCAGCGTTGGCAAATAATAAGACTCGTGAAATATTGTGTTTCCCAAGTATGGCAAAAAGTTGATAAACTTTGAATAAAATGGAAATGAGGCCAATAAGACATCTTTAAAACATTTTACTTTGTTTATTTTTTGAAGAGACGGAACACTAACGGCTACAGACTACATATGCCATTCAGAAGTACTAAAATAGCTGACCTAAAACTGAAAATCATCGTAAATTTGTGTTCCGATGAACTCGCTAAGTTTTTTATTCAGCAAAAAAGCAAAAATAGAAAACTTAATATTGATCAATGAAATCAGCTTTTTTTGAAAGTCATAACTTATTTGGTTTACATAGAAAAAATATAATATTTGATGTAATGATTTCTCACAAAATACAAACGTAAATTTGAACTTCTTGAGCCCTTCGAACACTCCTTTCTTCTCACAGTTCGCGATACAAAAAGCGATGAGAAGATCCTAAAGGAAAACGAGTACAAAGATGGGAATGGTAAAGAAAAAAAGAAAGAAAGAAAAAGGCCACGTTTACAACGACTGACCATAAGGACAACGAGCGGCAGTCTGCAAAGAAACGCTCCGTCATCTGTTGTTTGTTTGTTGTTGGCGGGCAAAACCGCTGCACACTGAACGCTATCCGCGCGTTGGTCGATAATCGTTAACAGATCAAATTGACCTTATCTTAGGTCTTAGATCTAGTACGTGAACTTAATTCCAAGCCGCTTTGCTCTCTAGGAGGAGCTTTCCTAGGGACCGTTTCGCTTTTTAGAAAATAAAACAAGGTAATTGAGAAAAGATATTTAGAATTACCCGACAAAGAAGGTCATTTAGCTTTTCAATTGGGAATTCACTGAAATTTAGGCAAGACACTTCTTGGCGTTTTAGAAGCAAATTCTGAAGGTTTCAACCTGCAAAACTTCTTTTTTTTATTAATGAAAGTTCTAAGTCTCAAAATAAGTTAGCTTTTCCAACTTTGAAGTGTACTTTCTCAAAAACTACAAAGTTTTTCAGGCTGGCACTCTCAGAATACTTTTTTGGCGTCCTTCCTTGTGAGGCCACCCGAAGGGTTTCAATGGTATACCACAAGTGTGTAACTCTGCGGAGTTTGAACAGAATGCGATAAATTTAATTATTAGATACCCTATTTCAAAAGGTAAGCTTGTGGGCACATTTCGATATACTGATGCCGCTGCAAATAAATTTAGACTTTGAACTCCTTGTTCTATTTCTGTTATCGGATGGTTAAGAAACCCTAAAAGTACATCTTCTCTTGTAGAGATCAAAAAGTTAAGCGGTTAGACGGCTCACATGCTTACAGAGAATATTAAATTGATAGTTCTTGATTTTAAAATAAATTGCTCAGTCTGACTACTTTTTAGCATATACAGCCAAAAAACTTGCTCATCCGCGTTTCTAAGAAACTGGAAAAAAATACTCCAGCCAAGTTCAAGAATGAGATGAATTACAAAATAAAGAAAAAAATTTCATATCCAATATTTTTCGTTCTACCTTCTTTAAAACATGATTAAACCTTTATTAAACATTTTTTTGCAATAAATCATTGTCTCATCTCAACTTCTTTTATAGGGAAAAAACTAAAACAAAAACAAATAAAGTTTTTCTCCAAAGCCCTGCTTTCAGAAGTTATGTTCAAAAGCTCAAAAAAAAATACGTCTAGAGAAAAAGAAAAAATAATGCTGCATCAAATTTCTATCAACTGAAATGAATACAAAAAAAGAAAAAAGTTGTTCATCAAAAAATACAGACCTTTTTCCTCTAACCAAACTCAGGAAGTTTATTTTCCTTCTAAGAATTTGAGAATTATGAACTGCTCAAGAAAAAATTTCCTCGGGGTTTCGAACGAGCAGTTTCAAAGAAAAAAATAGTAAAGGAGTTGTTACATTTTTTTGGAACTACACAAAAAAAGTGAAATCGGGCTAGAAAGATGCAAGAAACAAAAAAACAAAAAAACAAAAAGAAAATACAGGAAAAAAATATGCGTTATCGGTAGAGCGCGATTGCTCAGAAATTTAAAAAAAGCAGTTTTTCTTATCTGTATTTTTTTAAGTTTAATAAACGTCTATGAAGAATTTTATTTATTTTTTTCAAGTCCCAACAGAACAAAAAAATAATGAACTTTTTTTCAAAAAAAGAAATGCATATCGAAAGATCAGTGAGTTTGGATTAACTTTATTCAAAGTGCCAGGTTTACCAGTTCGATGGATGACAAGAATAAATATATAGGATATAATGATCAAAGGTGTTTGGATTATGATGGCTCAAAGTTTCGGGTGAATGATAATATTGAAAAGGTTCTGGGCGTTTTGCTAGAATGATTTTTCTCAAAGAAAAAGTTTTGACAAGAAAGCTTCTCTCAGCCACGAATCAACCTGAGGCAGTTCAATCAACAAGGTTCCAGCAATGAATCGACAAAAACACTATCAGTTGTCGCATCTGTCGCAGTTCATTAAAACGGACACGAACCGTTGCTGTTTGACCTTTGAGCTCGTTTCTTTGTGGCAAAATAGTTTTAACGATTTTTCGCCATTGTTTCTCTGTGAGCTTCTTATCAACAAACTGCTCAACAAACAAAATATTGGCAGAGTACTAGAAAATTTTTTTAATTTTTGTCTATTTTTAGTTACTCACTAGTTAGTATCTCATTGAGATCTTTTTTTATGGGGATGCCTCAAAAAAGGCTTGAAATTCTAGAAATTCTGCAGGAACTTACAATGAGGTCGATTTTTCTGAACCTCAAGTGTTACTGATAATCATAATTGTTCAGAGCATCAATCTAAGCTGCAGAATATGAAAAAAAAAATTTAACTATCTCCTGTTAGGCAGAATTTCAGCACTTCTCCACTTACAACCCCGCAGTAATGTTCTAATTTTTAAGAGAAACTGCTAATATTAGAGGCCCAAGATTCTCAATCCTAATCGGAGAGGTAATTTTTTTATTCGTGCTTTTTTTATATTTTTAAAAAAAGGTAATATAAAAATTAATTGCTACAATGGTTTGTTCATGAATAAGTAAGAAGCTCTCTTTGAAAATCAAATCGCAAAAAAATAATGAAAAGTTGTAGTTAAAAAAACAAAAAAATTTGATGGCTTTTTCTAACTGAACATAGTCCAAAATAATAAGATTTACTGATTTTTGATAGGGAGTGAAACCTAAAAAAAAAGCAGAGGCTTCAAGTAGCTTCAAGCTTGAGAAGGAGGAGATGCTAAAGTGGAGAAGTTCGACAAACATGAGCTAATCTTCCAGCAATCAGCCTTTAAAAACAATTATGGAAACAGCTTGCAAATCTCCTGATTATGTGGCTCTTTTCTGTCATTACCGTTTTTATTTTTAGTTTTTTTCGTCAGATGCTGTTATTTTGAAAACCGAAAATTTCGAGAATACAAACCACAGAAACATATAACTGATGTTGGCGAGAAATAGTTATTTGTGCCTCGAGAACCTTGGTGTTTGCCACTTGCAACAGTCGTCACCTTTGTTTTATCGGTAGGAACGACCAAACAATGTCCGTTCGTCTTGATGTCCCGCGTATCTTAGATCTGCTAATAATGGACCTTGCTTGTCAGAATTATCACAACGAACGAGACCGACTGCTGTGTTTACGAGCAAAGTTGTCAAGAAAACCAAATTAACAACTGTCAGGGTTTCCCCTGGAGGACGCTTTTTTTTGCTCTTTGAGCAGCGGTTTCTTCCTGGAAACGTTGTAAAAAAAGCTTCTCGGAGCAGTTGTCCTTGATGTTGAAAGACAAGTTGAGGAAAATTGATTTGCGGAAGTTTCTGTCTTGGTTGAGTCTATCGGAACATTATTTATCACACCACGCTTCACAACTTTTGTATCTAGCCTGAAACATCCCAAAAATCAGTTTTCAATTTTCCATTCATCATGATTTGTACTTCGTTTTGGATCTTTGTCGTTAAAAAACACTTGGGGCAGTATCTCACTGAAAGTGTCGTCTAACCAATTTCTATAGGGTTTTCTCGGTACCTGCTTCATCCGATAATTACTCTTATTTGAAAACTTTTATTTCTTATAAGGAATTTGAACGAAAAAGTTCAAAAATTTTGATATAAATGGATATAATTTGCTTTCTCAGTTTTTCCTTCACTCATTATTTTTCCCGATATGTTTGCGGTTTTTTTTTGGTTCTAAGAATCTTAGGAAGCCATGCACAATTTTTTTCTGAAAACTATTGGATACAATTTTTGGGGCTTTGTTCTTCTGGAGAGAGAAAGACTACTTATTGGAATTGTAGTTGTATAGCCTTTCTGCAGATTTTTTCGTGAAGACAGAATTTCTTTCTCATCTTTGAGATTTTTGGATTTTTCTCTAAAAGATCACATAAGGTTAATGAAATTATTAATTTATTGAGAGAAAACATAAAAAAATTTTCATAAAAAAAGTTCAATTCTGAGAGTTCCGATATTAATGAGTTTCCTGTGAAAGAAAATAAATGACAATAGGTATCACTTTTTGTTGCAATTTATTAGTTTTTTTCTCAACAAAAAAACGAAATTTCTGTGAATAAATTTTTTTCCAATCGTATAATTTTAATGCTGTTTTTTTCTTATAGTTATAAGACATTTAAAAAAACACTCGAGGAAAACCTTAGCCGTCTTTGTTTTAAAAAGTTTCACCCCAATTCGGTTATATTTCGCAGTAACCTTCATTTAAGTTCTAATGTTCGAAAATCTCAAGTACGTTTATTTTCAGAGATCCTACAATTATGAGTCTCTTGGGACACAGATTGAACAAAAACTTTTGATTATTTGAAATTTATTGGTCCATTTTGTAAAAGAAACTCGAAAAAACTGTTTCTTCTTCTTTTTTCTCGCTTGTTTCATGTCAGTCTTCGCTTTTTGATAGATTTTCTGAATTCAATTGCAGATGTCTTAAAAAATCTCATTCGTTCTTGTTCTTACAAAAGTATAATATAATTCAGGTAGATTTCGCAGTATTCCTCAACTAAGTTCGTAAGTTCAAAAAGCCCAAGTATACGTAGCCATCTTTCAAACACTTTTCAAATGAACTGTCGTCCTAAACACAAAGAGCATTACTTTTATCAAGATTTTATCGAAACCGTCTTCTCACTCTTGAATGAAATTCTGATCTTATCGGGCGTCTCAAATCGTACCACAACTTATCAACCTTCACATTCCTTACTGGTTAATTCATTAGGACGTAAAGAAAGATGGCAGACTCTCTCCCAGGTTTCGAATTGTGATTGAAGCGTAGGTGCGGTGCTCGATGGGACTCGACGAAAGTTTACATTCGATAACATCACAGCATGTTTACGCTTGAGAATTTGATCGCTCTCGAAGAGATCAAAAACCAAAGTCTTCTTCAACTTCACCCTACTGCCTTCCAACTTTCGAATTTTGGTATAAGCTCTATTTTTAGGTTTGTTCACTTTGTAACGAAAGGGGCTTTGAAAACTTATTGAAGCGGTGAGTCAGATCATCTTGCAGAAGGGGGTCATAGGCTCAATGCTAAAATTCGGATGAACTGCAAAGTATCATTCCGGTTCTAACAAAATTAAGCTTTTGACCGATTTTTTTTCATTTCCAAACCGAAATATTTCCGTAAAAGAAATTTCAGGTCTTTAATAGGATGGACTTTCAGACTACACAGTCTGAAAAAAAGGAAAAAAAGCTTTTGTGAGAGAAATTTAAATTTTTTTCAATTTTTTTAAAGTGTAATTGTCAAAGGCATCACACAAAAAAATCTCATAACGACTTGATTGGGAAAATCTCCGATATAGAAAGGTGATCAATTTTAAAGCTTCAAGACAATTTTTTCCTTCAGTTTTTTTTTCTTTCTCGGGTATTTCTATTCAAATAAAAATCACTTTTTGCTCTAGGCAAACTGCATTGTGAATAAATCAGATTTCTCAATTTTTCATTCAAAATCTTCATAGCTTGTTGAAAAATTCAAGCTCGTCTGGCTTTTTAAGTCTCGATTGTTGTTATACGAAGAAATTCGCCGAATGAAAATATTTATTACGACGGCTGTTTTCCGGGTTTTTTTTTTCTTTAATACTTGATGTTCTCGAATACCTGGAAACGCGACTCATGAAAATGTGAAAAAAAAACTGAAAAGGATTAATGTCAGTGAGTCAGTTTGATCAGATTTATGTTAATCGTCTTAACGGAGAGGAAGGAAAAACGCTATTGTGAAATAACAATACCTGGAAGAGTGCTGACGGAAGTTTTTTCCTGCCTCCGTTTTTTCTCTCATTCCATTTTCTCATTTTTGGAATCTGACAAAATTCTGACTCACATTGGAGCTTGAAGAGAATAGTACATTTTTAGTAGGCGTTTCACAATTGTCCGAGTCATACCTCATGACTCAGTTTGTTTTTGTTTCGAATTTTCACGTGATTTGAAACCTTTCAGTTTTTTTCTCTTCAATATAGAACCCTGCGGTTCCTCTTTTTTGAGACGGAATAGGCAAATTTGGCGGCACGAGCGTGGGGGCGTGTCCAAGTCACCAAATTTTTGTCTACACCTCTTTTAGGGTTGCATTTGGCAGCTTCATAGTTTGCAGTGCGTCCGGTTAGAGTCTAGCCTGCATAGATAAGATTTTTCTCTGCTTTATAGGTTTTCTGCTTCATTTCCTAGTTTCGTACTAAAAAAATCTTGAAAACTTCTGATGAAATTTGAAAACATTTTAATTCTCAAGATTTTTTTCCGATTTATGAAGAGCCAGATATTACACTTTCGAGAAAGAGAAAGAATAAATGGATTGCAGTAAAAAAACTTAGGCGTTTTTTTCCGCAAAAAACATCATTCGTACATTTTTCTCGTCATGAGTGACGTTTTTTCAGACATCAAGTCGTAAATTTTCAACGAGCATTTTTCAGTTAGAGTTTGATCTGAAATTCGAACCTAGACTCTTCAGAAAATGTCGTAGACTACTGAGCAAACTGTATATTTGCATTAGTTGTTTCTCTGTCAGTTTATCTACTCATTAAAAAGTTTTTGATTAGTCCCACTTTGCCCTTTTGAAATTTTGAGAAAATCAGAGTTTATTTGAACTTGAAATGAATTTTTTCTCTATTATTGATTCAACCCTTAATATATAATCAAATAAAAAAGACAACGCTTCGAGCTTGGTTTCAATTAAAGCTTGAGTTAGTTCTCTGATGATAAATTTCGGAGAACTCTAAGGGATTACCCATTTGACTATGCAGCGCGTATGGCTCCCTAGTGGTTAATAACACGTTTGCAGAAGCTTTCGACGGCTTCTCAGCCATTCGGAGCACATAAATCCAGGCTTCCCACGGCGGCTGGCGGGATGGTGTTTGCGCGCTGAAGACGCCACCGCCGTTTATTTGAGGTGATCGGAGTGGCGTTGGAATTTCGTTCGGTCCTCAGTTGGCGCCGCGCCAGCCACCAGAATCGATATGCACTTTGCGTTGGGAGTGGAGTGCGTCAGGCGGCCAAGAATCTGTGAGAGCGTGTGCCTTTCTCTCCATGAGCGTCGCTCCGCCTTCATTTTCGTTGCGATGAGCCCCCAGGCCCTCTGGTGATGCAACCAGCAGAGTTGAGCGTTCTTTACAGCACTGTCTTCGATTGACGCGTCAGAAGAACGCGCGCGCGCCCCATCGCGACTTGCGGAGACGCAGACGAGCAGAAAAGAGTAGACTCGCGTGTCTGTCTTCTCTTCTCGGGCTGCGCAGAGCGCCTCCGCCTGAGCTGCCTCACGGACATTTCCCCATCATTGTCAAATGTTTCTTTCGATGCTTACTTTCACTCTTTTTTTTCTCGACCCCTTGCTTTCCTTTTTCTTTTCTTTTTTTTTTCTCCCTTTCATAGTGAAACACGCAATTTTGTGGGTCTCATTTCGTGTCAGAAAAAAAGGGCATTATTTATTCACCTCTGGTTTGGGTTAACGTATAATGGAAGTCTAGAAGTAATTAATACAATTTTGCACGAAAAATTGAGACTTTTCACTATTTTTTTCCTTAATATTATGGTGAATTTTGTTCATCTTATTCATTTCTCAAGCTTGAAAAAAAGTTGAAAATTTTTATCAGTATTTTTTTCATCTCAAATTTTTTCCCATTATAAATATATGAATTTCAAGTTTTCACACGATTTTCAATCTCCTGTATGTTTTTTTTAAATTCAATCCTTCTTTTTGAAGCATAGACAAACTCATCACCAAAAATATCGTCCTTCAAGGGAATTTCCTGGCACGTGTTTTTCTTAAGAACATCTCTCTTTTTGTCTTGTCTTTCGCTTCGATTTATATGATTTTTTCTCACAATATTCAACAGTAAGAAATGGTTTTCAGTGCCACGAAAATGGTCGCGGACGAGGAGGATGCGCCTCCCGACAAAGACGCGATAACGAATTGGAGCGCTCAAGCCAATGGGACGAAAACCTTCTTAAACTGTAAGAGACAATTGTCCTTTCGTTCCTTATCTCGACCTTTTTCAGGATCTTTTCCGAATACGAGATGATTAATCACGCGGTCAACCGTTTTCTTTCGTCAGCCAATCCTCCTTTTCTCCCTCGTCACCGGTTCTTCAACAGGATTTCTTCTTCTCTTCTTCCACTCAACTTCACCTTTCACGACTACAGTCCACTTTCCGTCATCCGCTGGTGAAACCCGGTCAAACTCAGCTGCCCACGTACTTCAACGACGTAGAACAGCCGTTTGAACTTTGTTCCCTCCACCATCTTCGAACATTTTTCATCAGCGCCATTTTTCTTTTGGGTTCGACATCCGGTACTCAGTAATCTGGTATTAAAAATCCTGTTGAAAAATAATCGTTCTATGCTTTTCTCATTGATAAATCTTCCTCTTAGTATGTGCTAGCCGAGAGGGTCTATTTTACGGTAGACACATACGGTTTGGTTTGCTAGGCAATTATTATCAATTCTCTCTATTCTGCTCTCCTTCTCTCCACTGGATTCTTTCAATTGTCTTTGATTTTTCGGCTTTTTCAAAAATTGGAAAAAGCATCAGTAGAAGACTTCCATTTGTTTTCGGTTCTTCAAACTTTAAAACTGTTAATTTAAATTGACAAATCTGAAATCTTTGTCTGATGCTTTTCCTCATTCAGGCATTCTTCAAAGTTCTTAGTAACGGAGAAGATCTGGAGGCCCAGCCTCCAAGATTTGCTCTGCTTACTGGCAAGTCATCCTCAAGATCATCTCAAGCCTCCCTATACGAATCTTCAATTGTACTTCATATTCTTGTCGATTTTTATGCCATTGGCCCTGAGATCCTTCTTGAGGACGAGTAGCTTCCGCGGGTATGGAAACTTTAACAGAAGATGTCAATGAATGTTATTTCTTGCAAATTTATTTATTAGCACAATTTCAAGTCAAGTCGTCGCATAACAAACAGAAAAGAAGAGAACTGGTTCTTGGGACAAAAAAATATCTACAGGATATGCGGATGGGGGTCCATAATTCACTCGTCGCGTAGGAATCAAGACTAAAAACCGTCTTGGACAACTCTATGTATGAACAATGTTTGAGCTAGGGGTCGGTGAGTGCGTAAAAGGTCCTCTCGCCACATTTGAGAGGGCAAGTAGTGCACTTTTGGAAAGTGCAGCGGAAATGATGGAATAAAATGGATTTTGGTCCAGAAAGCACCAGTGAGCACGAGAAGTCTCACGATTCAGCTCGCTTCGGCGGGTTTACGCCAACAGATGAAAAATGAAGTTAAAAGGATAAAGGACATGATCGTTGTGTATAGTTTAAAAGCGCAAATATCAAGAAGGTAACATGGAGAATAAAGAAAAAAGATCTGTACAAAAAAGCAGCTTATTATAGATCGAAGTAATGCTATTTACACTTAACGGGTGTTTATGGCGTTGTAAAACGCGGTGAGAAAAAAAAAAGATCTGAAATAAAGTTTAAAAGCGATGATTTTTATTTCTCCCGTTGCTGAAAGTTTTAAATAGAACAATGGTGACTCAATACAAAGAGGTTTTTTTTTAAAAACGCATCAGGAAAAGAAAAATTCTATAAATTATCCAACCTCATAGGGCCTTCTTTCAACTTTTTTTTTGCGAAAAAGTGATCTCGCAGTAAGATCTGCTCTTGTCATTAAAGTTATTGGCAACCGTTTTTTCTCCTTTTTTTGTTATTCACTCAACGTGGGCCGACACCAAATTACATGAATTCCCAACTTTCACACGTTTCGTTCACATTCCCAACTATTGATATCATCCGTTTCAAAACGGTGAGAAACAAAATCTTTTGTTTGAAAAGATTTTCTTGTTCAAGATCTTTCATAAGTTTCAAAAGCTACTGCACAAATTCTTCAAAAAACTAGCTAATCGGGTTTTGACCTCCGCATTTGAGTCATGTGAAAAATCGAGTATATTAGACTTCAGCAGATAAGCGGAGACTTAGCGATGCGATTCTCATTTCCGCCTTGAAAAAGTTTTTCCTGCAAAATACCACTCAGCTTGAAAGATTTTTGATAGAAACTTCCGTTTTCGAATAGGATTATGGATGACAAATAATTTCAATTTTTCTCAAGCCCCTTCATGTCATTTAATCCAGAAGAAAAGTGATGAAGGAATCAGCTCACATCTTCGTTTTTAATGTTAAATGCAGGATGATCTGATTTTAAACCTCGATAGAATCATCTCTATTCAGAAAAGAAAGAATTTTCAACGTTTGAAGAGGAGAAACCGCAGAAGTGGAGATTTTTCAAACGAAGATAATGAGAAACTGTTTTTAACTTGTGCTTTTAAATTAGCAGCGCCGTTAAAAAAATGATTTATAACTTTTCTCTTTTCATAGAAAAATCTGAATCGGTCCTATAGAAATTTGATCAAGAGTTTTTAGAGAAGGACACAGTATTCTTTCAATATATTTGTTTAATTTAAAAACTACTTTTTCAAATTCCCCTAGTTTTTCTCGAGAAATATTCGGGAGTCTTCTCAGCTATTACCTGCTTAAAATTGTATTCATAATAATTAATTTTTTTCATCACTCGCCTACGCGATCATCTCATAAATTTCAAAGCATCATCTGACTTTTCCCAGATTTGAAACATGAACGACTTGCACCTGGACCAGCATGGCCCGATCAAAAAGTCTTTGAGGAGATCTCCATTTTCATACAAAAAACCTTCTCATGGGTTCTTATTGCCTTATAATGGGAAAAAAGATTATAAGTATTTTGATGAAGAAATTTCGATTCGGAAGGGAGTAAATTCGAGAAAATTCAGAAAGATTGACAGGCCCCGGAGTTTGGGGTTTGGACGCTCAGCATTTTGGTCGTGTCGCTCGCAGTGGCACTTGGTCGCTTCTGCATGTTTTTGACTCCAACGCCACGATTTTGAAGCAACTTTGAGACCTGAAACAATCGAACTCCTTCTAATAACCAGGCATTTGTCACATTTCTTTTGAATGAATCGGACAGGAAGACGTAGAGAAACGGGTTGGCCGCCGAGTTGACGTATTGCAACGAGAAAGCAAAGTACGACACGCAGACCAATAGGAACTGGTTGCTGAAATTGCCCAAATTTGAATTTACAGGGTAAAGTTCTTAGAAAGTTCATATAAACTTAGCATCGGTTGACGTGTTTCAAATGACGTGCGTTTTTTTCAGGAGAAAAAAAAGTTTTTAAAAAAACCCGCTTTTAGAATTTTTAAAACAAGAAGAATCTGTTAAAACTTTTATTGTTTATAATCCTTTATTATTAACTTAGCAGGCTTTTTTTACATTTCCTATGAAAAAAACTAATCAAAAAATTATTTGAACTTTTGGGAAAAAAATTAAATCGTTTTTGAATGAAATAATTAGTTTTTTTATTGAAACTTATTTACATGATCATTTGAAAAGTTTTTGGACCATGTGGTTCATTACGGGAATTCGTCAAGGTTAATTCAAAAAAAGTAACTTCATGGTCATGAATTGAAAGATTTGAAGAAATTTCAAAAAAATAATCATCTTAAATTCTATGAAAATTATTTTTGGTTTGTTTTGAAAAATCTGATCTATTTTTTTGTAATTTCTTTTTCTCAATTTTTCACAAAGAACAATTTTGTCCGGTTTTGGAGCAAAGTACTATAATCTTCAGCCATTTGAGACCGAAGCGAATAGAAGATTATATTTTATCGCTTCCTCCTATCAAATGTCTTTTAGGAATGAGCTTTCTGGTCTCTTCGACCTTTTCCAACTGGCGTTGGTCTCGATGGACCACTGAACGAGCCAAAAGGGCAGCCAACAGAGTGTGTATGAGGTCACGATGGCCAGTCCCATAATCGTCACCTGAAAACTCAAATTAACCGGAAAAACTTAGAAAGATGAGACCTTTGTCGTCTTTTTCTTAGTTATGGTCCTTTTTATGTACATTTGCTGACGCCTTCGACACATTCTCGTGATTATTTTCACGTAGAAGTACCAGACGGCGAGAAGCGGGAGTAAATAGGAAAACGTGAAGATGTAGGCGGTGAAGAATCTGAAATAGGAGAAATGCGTGAAAAAAAGAACTTTCATTAGTTAGAGCTCCAAAAATCGCCTTTGCAGGTTTAGTTATAACAGAGAGAGGAAACCACAACATTATTAGGGATTATAGTTTAGTGGGAAACTTGGGACTTTCCAAAGTACAAAATAGGACGCATTCCTCATAAGAAAACTCTGAACGCTGGTCACCGAAGTATTTTTATCAAATTCTAAAAAAGAAGTTGTACTGATAAACTCGAAGTCTTCCAAAAATAAAAATACGTTTTTTGGAGTTCCAAACAAAAACCCCCATCTGACTTCGAACTTTCTTTTTTTGTGGATTTCCCGAAGCTCGGTCTATTTACTCAATAGACTATTTTCGAAATGACGGTTAAAAAAACAAAAATCAGTGTAAATGCAGATTTTCGGGGAATCCTTCAGACTTTTCGAAAACTCCTGAGTTTCAAGAGATTCTTTAAAGACATCTATCATTATACCTTTTAGAAAGCAGCATCGTGTCTTCGACAACATTTTGCTTTGCAGAAACTTCAGCTTCGTTAGAATCGTCCGAGTATTCAATGTCTTTTTCGCTTCCAACAAATAACATGCATTTTCGGATCGAAGAGGTTCCACCTGCAATTTATGTTTCATTTTTGCAATTGACAAGAAAGAAAAATTGTTCGGTTCGATTAAATCTTTGCGGATATCCCCAATCACATAATCTTCATTCGGTTTCAATCAGAAACTTTTTGAAGTTGTGATTGAGTTCTAAATTTCAGGAGAAAAATTTTTTTAATTGAAAATGAAACACGTCTTCTTTAAATTTAGCAATTTTTCGAGTGAATTTTCAACTGATGACTCAGAAATGCAGTCTCCAAAAAAAGGTCAAATGGTTTTCCTTCAAAAAAAGTTCTGATTTCTTAACGTTTAACTTTTTTGGATACTAAGTTTTTCCAATACAAAGACTTTGTCTTCCAACTTTTCAGCCTGCTTGAACTTATTTTATTCCCAACAGCTCTCACCATTCGAGATTTTGACGACCTTTGCAAACAGCAAAAGTGGCGTCATCTCCAGAATGACCATGGCCCAAGCCAGGAGCGAAAATGCAAATGCGGCGTGCGTGGATCTCCAGGCGGTTGAGGCCAGTGGCCGACAGACCGCCATGAACCGATCAAACGACAGAATCGCGATGAAAACTGGCGAGGCAAACTGCGAAACCTGCAAATTTTTCATGTTTAGTGCATAACATGAAGTCATCATGGAGCCCCTTTGACAACAAAGTTCAGTAAGAAATTTATTGAATCTCCGAGTATAAAAATTTGAAGCTTATCATTAACCATGATAGCTTGGGCGGATGTTTATTCATAGAAAAAGGTTACTTATAGTTGGGGTCTTTAAATTATACCCCGACATTGGCCAATCGTTATAATTTTCTCAAACTAACCTTGATATAAAGCGCAAAAACCTGATTGATTCAAATCAGCCCTACCACATTTTGATGGTTATTTCACCTCCAAATTTTCATTGAAGTCCTCACCGAATAAAAGCTAACGTAAAGCTTGCATATAGTAGCCCCGAAATCCCAATCGCCGTGTTGAATGATGACAATCGGGATCCCCGACAGAAAGAGCAAATCCGCAAGAGCCAAGTTGAAAATGTAGACGTTTGATATAGTTCGCATATCTCTGAACATAAAAAAAAATGATGGACTCTGACCAAGGTAAGTGCTGGATATATGATCCTAGAAAACAAGTTGTGAAAGCTTCTCTCTTAGAAGGATTGAGAACATTTAAACTAAAGGCAAAATAGACCCAAAAAGTCGAAGTATCATCTCAAAGTTTTCAGTTGTTCTATTTCATATCGAACTATACTTTATTACACTTTTTTAGACTTCAGAAGTTTTTTTTTGCTTAAAATAATCTGTGACCAGCGCTGGATTTGCAATTTTCAATCTTAATCACATCCAACTGATTCATTTTTCCATCTCAAAATAATCGAAAATTAGCCAAATTTTCCCCCTTTTCCAAGCTTCTGCTCCTTTCTCATATACCCAACCTTCTCTGCAGGAAGGTTTCTTAAGCGGATTAAAAGTGTTGCATTTTTGACCATTTTTGAAGAACAACATGTGATTCCGAACATGTACATATTGCTATATTGGGAAGGAGAAGTGCATGTGAGTCCCTTTTTTCTCGCCTCTTCCTGACCAAGGGTTAAAAGTGTATAGTGGGAGGATTCACTCTGGCAGATAGTGCAGCTTCAAAACCTGAAGTAAACAATCGAAGCGAGGACAAAAACGTTTGCCGGGATCCCGAGCGCCGCTGTGATGCTCCATACTGCGTTGGCCGCCAGGCGGATCTGCAAAATGCTTAAAATTGATCTTTCCAGTGATGGGAATTGGATCAAAAGTTACCTATCGAAAGAAACATGAAGTTATGCTTTCGGTTTGCACGTCGTAATTTCGAGTCTCAAAAACGTTTTTAAAGGCGAAATTTGAATTTTTTTTCGATATTCAAAGCTTCGGAAAGGTTGCTGGTAAATTTTATAAAGAGTAACCTCCAATTTTTCCACGAAAAAAAGTCTTAAAAATGAACCTTTTGAGTAAAAAAATCAGACTGAATCGATTTTTGATCAATGTAATCGTTTCGTCTCCATTGAAAAAGTGACAGAAAAAAAGGTCCAGTAATGAAATCATTAATTTTTCTTATTGTTTTTGAAATAGTTTTGTTACTGAGTTCAAGCCGAGTTGATCCCTTCTCAGTCAGAAGTGAATCAAAAAAACAGACTGCGATTCTTTCTTCACGGACTTTTTTTGTGAAAAAAAGAGCAGCAATAGGTTACGTCAAACTTTCAAAAAAACTTTTTTTCCGTTTCACGAATTAAAGAACTTTTTTTGGAAAAAAATGAATAAAAAAAACCTGTTTCTCACAATTTTTCGGCCAATGTAAGTTAAGATTCTCATACTTAATAAAAAGGAAATTTTTTTCTAAAATTCATTTGCAATTGTTGTAATTCTGTAGAGCACTTTCCTACATACTCTCACTGCTTTTTGAAAAAAAATATATGAATTTTCCATCAGTTGTAATTTTCCAACGAGAAAAGTTTTATGACTTTTCAAGTTACGAGAGAACAATCTTTTTCAGAAATAATAGGTCAAAAATGATTTTTGCGAACCGAGAGATCGTCTGATCGGGTTTGAAAAAACTATCCGTTTTTCATTGGAAAAGAGGCTCACCGGAGTGATAGGAATATAGTCGGTGGGGAAGTTGTCGGTCGCTTCCGTGACGTTCATGATCCTCGCAGGGAGTTCAACTCATTCTCACGTCTCTGAAGAAGATTCGTCAGCAAATGTTTAGTTAGACGTTCGTTAGAAAACGACAGGATAAAAAAGTCTGAATAGAGAAAAAAAAGTGGGACATCATTAGAAGGACGGGCTCGGATGGCGAAAACGTACCGAACGGCCAATTATAGGCTGATTACTATTTTTTTCATCTGCAAATAGTTTATGCAATTAATAAGCTCTGGAAAAAAATATCGAAAATTTCGGACTCAAGCTTTTTTGAGAATTTTGAATTGAATTTTTTTCCTCGGATAAGTCTTTTCGGAAAAAATGACCAAGCTCTCAGGTTCATAAGACAATAATACAAATAATAAAATAACAGGAAAAATTAAAATTTATAGTATCAAAAAGTTCTATAAAACTTGACTGCAGTTTATAGTAAACTCAAAAAAAGACTGGTATCCTTCTAAATTTTATTCCCTTCTGCTATATCGAAGGCAAATTTTTTTTTTCATAGAAACATCAAACCACATGGCATCTATAAAAAACCGAGAAAAAAAAGAAAGAAGCCATTTTTCAGATTAGTCGAGCAAGACTTCTGCTGCGAGTGTGACAAGTCTGAAAGGTGCAAAACAACATTGTTGCAAATCAAATTTTCCGTACTAGGAGGTTATTCCTAGCGTTCCTAAGTTGATAAGCTAAAAACGGAGTGGTCAGTCGGATTCGAAATCTGCAGACCACGCGTCTTCCAAAATCGGATTTGCTTTTGCTTATTTACAGAGGGACGTCGAAATGGGTAAGGCGTTTATTCCATTTCCATTATTGTTGGTGCACCAGAGTTGAGAAGCTTAGGGAAGAGCTTTACAATGGGACTGGAGTAAACGCATTTCGGCAAGGTTAGGTTTTTTCCGCTGTAGTTGAACAGAAAAATAACGTCTGGAATTTGGATTTTCCAGAGAAAAAATAATTGAACACAGGAAGAATATAAAAATCGCATTGGAGGCTTTGCACAGCTTTCTTTTGATGAAGTTTTTCTTCTTATTCTATAAAGTTCTCTTACAAAATGTGAAAAAAAACTTGGCAGAAGTATGCTGAAATCATAATTCATAAAAAAATTTAGAAGGTTTCCAGCAAAAAGCAATTTCTGAACATGCAACTGATATCTGAAGCCTTTTTTTGGTGATCAAAACTTCCTTCCAGATTTGCAAACGAAGAAAATAATAAGTTTAGCTGAACAATTTCAAAAAAATTTCCTTAAGAGTGAAGAAATTGTAAGAAGTACATATGTCAAAAAGCGAAGAGGAGGAAAATTAGGCAGAAAACATGGTTTCTATCGCGACTTCATAATTTTTCGACTTTTGCGATCTTTTTAAAAAGCTTTAACGGAAAAAAATTTCGAATCTTAAATAAAACAAAAATTTTTTTATCCTTCAGTGACAGATTTCAAGTTTGAATTTTATTGATCCAAAAAAATAGAAAAAAATGATATTCGAAGCAAAAAAATCCAATCTGTGGCATTCGAAAAACGGAACTTTCAGTTCATTCTACAGCAAAACGCCCACTGAATGCATAGTCAAAATGAACCGGTCCTATGATCAGTTATTGTTGTTGTATTTTTCGTTCAATTGCATAATTCATAGCGGGAAAGAGCAATTTTTGTGATCCGAATGCTCTCCGTACTATCAATCCAACAATCTAAATTGGAAGAGTTTTTTCTTGACCTTCTAAAAAAGTGGTTCTCGGAAAGCACCTAAGCTCTTAAAAACTTGTGAATATTCTCAAACTTTTTTTTCGGATTGGACAACACAGTGAAATTTCTAGGTGAATAAAGTGTTTTGAAAAGGCTTATTAAGCTTTGAAACCTTACTGGAACTACACTAAGAATCTATTTGAACACTCAAAAAACTCTTTCTCACTACTATTCTACATTCTTTGCGGCTTCCGCTCCCATCCAAGCTTCCTCTTGATGATAAGAGCCGTTTTTTTTCCCATTTTCATCCAAATGATTTGCTCAGAGAATAAAACGCGCGCAAATGCGCGGCGAGTTCGTTCAAGTGGCAAAATTACTCGGACGAAAAAGCGCAAAACGGGGATAAAAAGGGCAAGTCTCGTGGAAAAAAAGTTGGAGAATGTTTTGCGAGACGGCTTTCCTAAAAGTTCCGGCTAATAAAATGGACACTTTCAGAGTATATGGAATAAATCAGTGAGGTTTCATTGTGTTGCGCTTAGCTTGACAAGAGCGAGTGGAACAGAAAAAAGTTCGGTCGAGGCTGGGAAAATGCATCTTCGAAGTCATAATCTCGTTATTTGAGTGAGTTGAAAAACCAAAAAGTTCTTGCGGAGTTTCTCATTATTCTGAGCCTATAAATAGTCCCCTTTCGTTTGAAATTCGCGAACAAACGACTTCTAAGTTCAAGTTATTTTAGTTAACATGGATTATTAGGAGCGCCACACAAAAAAATTTAAAAGCGATCTGGTAGCCTTAGGAGTGAGTAAGCTGCTTTCCGTTGCTTTTTTCTCATTTTATGAAGAGCCGGTCAAGCAAAATAAACCGATACTAAAATCCTCAAGAACCCAAAGTGAAAGAAAAAGCCCAAAAAAGTCCTATTTGGTCCAGCAAAAGCAGAGGTTTTCTCAAAGTCTACTTTTAGCTGCTCAACGGCTCGGAAACTTGTTGAAGTGGAAAAAATCAAAAAGTTTGCATCTTTTCTGGGAGGAAGTGCTTTTTTCTCACTTCATCAAGAGCAGACCAAACAAACCAAAGCGTTACTTAAAAATAGCAGCGATCAGGTCAGAAATCATCATTCGATGAACAGTTCAGGGACAACCTTAATGTAAAGACTTAAGTTGATGAATATGATTATTTTTTAACTGCTTTTCATTCTGAACTGATATTTTTAGGCGAGTTGTAAAAAAAGAAGAGAAAAAAAAAACTTTTCTGCTCACCGGTAATATACAGAAAGAGAATTCCAGGTTGAACGTACTTTGGCAGAGGTCAGTTTTGAAGTCCAAAAAAGCAGGTTTCGAGAAGTTCATTCTCTTTGCTCATTCTGAATGAACTAAACGAGATTCTCCGATATTTGGATGCAAAAATTTTAGTTCCTGTTCACACTGAAAAAGTGCTGCAATTAACCCTTCTAGTGGGCTTGAATGAAGTTCAAACAGACTATGAGAGCAATTTCGAAAAATACTTTTTTTTCTATGGAGCGGAACACTCTGAATAGGCTCTGCAGCTTTTAAACGTCCAGACGGCTTTTAGGTGGATAAGTTGATGAGCTCTTTTAATTAATAATATGATTTCCACGACTTCTATTATACCTTCCGCAAGAAGACAAAGTTCAAGAGTTCAGAAATAGATGAAAAAGATGAGAACTCGAAGATCTGTGAATATTCGCGTGGGCGAGAAAAAGCGAGTTTTATTCCAGAATAAAAAAAGAGTGAAAATTTTAATAAGCGGAAACTCTGGAGTGAATCGAAACTTTCATGCTTAGAAGACGCTCTGATGTTTGAATGAGCTGCAAAAAGGCTGTGAAATTCATGGATTAATCAGTTTCAGGCTGTAGTTAAATATAAAAGAAAACAAAATAGAAGAAAAGAAACAGATTATGCACCAGACATTATTCTTAGCTAAACTATCAAATAAGGCAATGTTAAAAAGATCTGAATACGAAAGTGCAAAAAAACAAACAAACCAAGGATACTTGGTTTTTTTTTTAATATGAGGATCTTCCGTGGTTGAAGCTCGGAAAACTGGTTTCTCATAGTTTTTAAAAAAAGTACTGCTCATAAATTAGTGATGAAAAAGTTCGCGTGCAGGGAACGAGAGGAAAAAACAAAAATAATACGGATTTTAATATGAAGAGGCACAAGTTTGTGAAAAAAGTATATTCATCTAAAACTTGTGTAAAATGAAGTTGAAAAATTTTTCCCACATGATCGACAAAAAAATGTTCAAGAAATATTTAAAAGTCGTTGGAGCTTTTTCTGCATTAGGATAGCTATGAATAGAGTATGGTTCAAATATCAGGAAACATTCATTTTTCATTGAAAGTTTTCAAAAACTAACAAAACAACAAACAAAGCGCAAGCAAAGATCAAAAGCAAACTCGGGAGAGCTAATCCACTTGTAAAGAACGACCACTGGCCGTTCTCCCTCCAGTTTCGACACCGGTTCAAAAATCCAGGAAAAGGCAACAGAACACAGCGACGGAGGGGTCTTGGACCACTCGAGAACACAATATCGTCGTGGCCGAGTGTTTCTCGATCATGTTCGACTCTTTCCTTCCGTCTAATTGCCATATTTTAGTTTCAGGCCGATGCCTCGCCCCATAAGTATTTGTTCGCCCTGGCGAATAACCTTATTTGGAGTGGAGAGGTCCTTTTTTGCATTGAGTTGAATCGTCAAAGTGCGTTTGAGGAGATGGAAGTGTTCCGCAATCCAATCAGTCAGCTTATTTTTTTAGTGCGGGTGCAAGAATAACTTTTTTACTATGCTCTTAGCCGTTTTTGGCAAATCAGAGTTCAACTGCGCTGCTGAAAAATCAAATTTTCGGGAAAATTGGGATAAACGTTGATTTTAATTGTCCATCGAACAAAATTTAGGGGATTCCAGAAACTGTAATAATTATTATCCCTTTTTTTTTTTAAATATTGACGCGATGCAGCCCTGTATAACCTGAAAACTGTTTGAAATGTCTTCCCTTCTTGAAACTTTTGTAAAGTTGAAATAAAATCCTCGATTTCTGAAGAAAATATATATGAAATTGGTAACATCTCATTTTGTCGTAAACTTGCTGAAACTGAACTCCTTTAATTTTCGGCTAGTAATTTTTGATATGTTATAGTGGATTGAACTATTGAAAAATGTTCACAGCTTTCAAAAAGTACATTTCATAATTCAAAAATTTTTTTCTATTCTCGGAAAAATTAAAAAAAGAATTAGCATACAAGTTTTTTTCAGGAAGGAAAAAGCGTGAAGGCTGCTGGAAAAACAATGAAAACTGTACAAAATAATTTTGGCACACAACCTCCGTACCTATATAACGCAAAGAATCATAAAATCAGATGGCCTAGTTTTATTGCTTGAGAAAATTGGTCTGGATTCAAAGATGATGTGAGATCTGAATCCTTTTTATTTCTTATTGGAAATGAGATGATTGGTTTGAATACAAACGACCTTTGGTTCAAATTTCTTTTCTTTTTTGCTGAGATCTTTTTTTCTTGTATGCCGTTCATCTTATTTTCATTGTGTTCAAAAGATGAGATTTGGTAAATTGAACGTCGGAACTGATTTAATTAAAAAACAGCCAGACAACAGCGAAAGCCTGGGTTTATCATTTCTCTCTACCGCACTCTCAGATGATGAAACCAAGAAAAAAACTGATGTTTTTTTGATCTTCAAGAAAAATGACAGTTTTTTTCAGTACAAAAAAATCAATAAATTTGATCCCATTACTGATGAGCAACGTTTTTTGGAATTCATGAATAAATCCTATATTCAATTACGCCCTGTATAAAATATAAAAAAACTCCGACAAGGTAGAAAATGTGAAAAATAAGTTACAATAAATGATTATATAGGGCTCAAATAATCTTTTGGATGGGTTGGAATGAGCCAAAAACCGTTAAGGGTTACTGTAAAATTAGAAAAAACAAAGCATAACGTCAGAGAACTTGAAAGAAAAGGTTAAATTGTCCAGTCATGCAAAGTGTCTGGTAGTTCTTAAGGATGTCTGGGTTAAATCGAATGAAGTTTTTTTTTAGTTGTGAGTAAGATGTCAAGAAGGAAGTAGATTTTACATTTTCCTTTTCTTCCATGATTTTTGTGGAACGAACGGTATTGAACGAAAATAAAAGCGGAGAGAAGAGTTAGAAATTTTTTTCAAAGTATGACCAAGTTTACGTACTTCACAAATTTTGAGGAGTTCTTAATAACTCCTTAGCATTTTTAAAGTTCAATGAAACTAGTATGAATTTCTGATTATTTTGAATTTGCAAAAATTCCAGGAACTCCTGAATGATTGAACAGGTGCTCAAAAATTTGAGTATTACTACGAAAATTAGATAGAAGACATGGAAAAGCTGAAAAAATTTCTTGTGGTTTTCGATGACTGCAAAAACCGCAATCATTCCAGAACCCAATTTATCAGAAAAAGGTCTGACAAAGGCAAAGTCAGACGTCAAAAAACAGAAAAAACGACAGACAATCTGACCGGAAATTAGAAGCTTGCACGGGTTTCCGGCCTCAAAAACAGCCGAATAGGAAACGAAAGAATCCCAAAAATAGGATACAGAACATGCTTAAGCAGAATAAGAAGAATTGGAGAACGCAATATTGAACAACGGCTCGGTTGTATATTGAGGGACGTGTTCTTCTGTCCACAAACAAACGCCCAAATGAGAAATGACGGACGAACCGACGTCCACTTTCCAGAATCTTCAACTACTGTTCATGGATGTTTTGGAGTTGACCGGATGCTCGGCTGAACTGGAAATGACTGAAAAATACGACTCATTTTGGAATCCCGAAAGTCTTGGTGTTCCTTGGCTAACAAAAAGAACTTTTTTTCGCAGTTGGGAGTTTTGTTCCGTTTGACTGAAAGGCTTCTTGACTTTTTTGATGCAAATTTTGAAAGCCTCTTTTCTTGAAAAACTTTCAACTGTCGAAAAATATCTGCTTTTTTCAAAAATTATTCTCTCGAAGGGAGGTTATAATAATTTTTCCTTGACATTTCGGACTCAAGGCAAAACACAGGATTTCAACTCAAGGACTGAAACTTTTTTATAGGAGCCGTTTTTCCCTTTTTCAAAAACTGTGCACAAAAGGTTCTAAGTTCTTTATTTAAAGTTTATAAACATCCAATGCTTTGAACATTTTTCTAATGTTTTTTTCAAAAATATTCTAGTTCTCATCATTACTCTATTAACTCAAAACCGTTGCAGTTTGAACGAAGTTTCTTAGAAAAAATTTTGCGTCTCCTTCTAAAGTAGCAATTTTGAACCCTGATATCAAGTTAACAGGCACAACTCGTTTTATCCCTTGCGAGATCTAGAAGTTAGATGAACCAGTTCCCTCGAGTCAGCCTGACTCATCATATCGGGAAAAAAACTCCTGATAGCGACGCATGCTTCTGCGCCAGTTATTTTAGTATCGGTGATACAGATAATTTTCCACCCTTTGTGCAGAGTTTTTTAAGTGGTAAAACGACATCCCAACGCTGAAGGTTACGAAAAGGCAAGCGCCGTTCCGAGTCGAGCGCAGTACACAGCGGTGTGGCGAGCGTCCACACATTGTCTCAATCTTCGTGGAACAATGTTCGCAGTTCTGCGTTGCTACTGCAATGCCCTCAAGTACGTGTCTTTCCTAGCGTAGAGATCTATGCGAAGAACTCGGCCAATTTATGGACTGCTCCACTGATTTTTGCGATCCCGAAAAGGATAAAGGAGTTTATCGTTTTTATAGAAAATGTGTTGAAAATTCAACGTTTCGGCGGGAAAAGTTACGAAAAAAAATTCATGTTGAAATGCGAAAGATCAATGAAAAATAAACTTTCTTCGAGATACTATTTGGAAAAAAGCCTTAATTTTATAGAATTTTGAGAAATTCCTGAGAAAGGAAGCTTTACAAAAATGTATCAAAATTCTTGAAAGGCTCAGTCATATCAAACGGAATTCCCAATTGCAAAATAGAATAACTCTGCTTGTTAGCCAAAGAACAGCACAACTTTCGAAATTCCAAAACGAGCCGGATTTTTCAGTTATTTTCAGTCCAGCCAAGCATCCGGTCAGCTTGGTAGCTTTTGATGGTCGCAGTTCATATGTAGGATGTACGATTTTGGAAAATCTTTCCCACATTTTTCATTGAGACCCAATATAATCGAGCCAAATTTGATCAAATTGATTCAGTTTATACCAAGTTACTGAACAAGAACCAAATTAGATAAAAAAAGAAAAGCCCTATGAAGAAAATGCTATTAAAATTATATATGGAAGCCATATTTGTTGATGTTTTGCAACATGATTGATTATGAACTTTATTCCAAATACGCCTTAAAAAAGTCATTTTTATTGGAATTTCAGAATGATCACGCAAGTAGAAAAAAGAGAGATTAACGTTGCGAAAATTTTCTTCACTTCATAAAACCTTCGTTTGTCGCAATGTTCTATGTATCTTTTGAAGACAAAACAACAAGGAGACAATGATGTACGACCAAATAAAACAAAGAAAACACAGAGATAAGAAAAGCTGTCCAACTGTTTGGCTTTTTGATAGCAAAACGAGGCTTTTTTGAAATGAATGCATCTTTGAAAACTTTGAGTAAGGACATCAGTATAATAAATATTTGCTTTGCGTTTATAGCCTGTTCACTTCAGCGAATCGTTTGAGATGCGTTCTCGAGTAAACAGAGCAAAAAGATAAACAAATATTAGTGAAAAATTCAAGTTATTAAAATTCGTTGAAAGATCTAGTCGCTGAAAATGCGTTATGAAACGTAGAGGTCTCCATTCTGCAAAAAAGACCAAAAAACAGCTCCTCAAAGAATCATCAAACGGGGAAACCAAGCTGATTTTTCCCAGGCTTCGCGTCCCAAAAAGTAGGAATACGAAAAACTTTCAGAATATCTCATTTTTTTCAAAAATATTTCACAAATTGGAGAAAAAAAGTAAATTTGGTTTGGAGGGAAAAGAATAAATTTCAAATTGCAGGAATTGGAGTTCGTCGTACGCTGGGAAACACATTTTTTTGACCGGAAGTGCGATAAAATTTACGAGATTCAATGTTATTTTTTTAAAACGCTGTAAAACTAATTTCTTTTTTTGAGTTTTGTGTTTTCACGAAAATTTGAAGAATCATAAGAAAATGGATGTCTATTTTTTTCCGTCGGAAGTGTTTCAAGAAGAATCGAATTTTTTTCGGGAAATCGACTGTTTCTCTTTTTGAATCTTTGAAGTAACTCTCTATCTGCAACAGGGTTTTTGAAAAACACTCAGTCCCAGCTTTTTTTTCCTCAATAAACCTTCTGATCAAAATAGAATTTTTGAAAAAGTCAGTAGATCTTGCAATTTCCTGTCGCAATTCTTATCGAGAATCCAAGTGAGGTCTTGGAAAGTTATTCCATAATTTCAAAACTACTGTCGTAAAAAACTCTGCAGAGCTTTTTTCTGAAAGTCACAACAAAAACAGAAAAGAACGGAAAAAGAAGCCACAAATTAGGCCAAAAATTAGTTGTTTTCCAGGAGACTCGCACTGCCGCTCTGACCAGTAGTATCCTTCAAACGAACCCAAGGAAAAAGAATAATAAGCTACGGTGAATCAAAAAACAAAGAGGTCCGGAAATAGAAGGAAAAGATCTATCAGAATCGATGTGGGAAAGAGTAAACAGAATTGCGTATGCGACATGTTTGGGCCGAAATTTGAGCTGCCGGCAATGGAAAAGAGCCCATAAGAAGCCAAACAGTTTTCCAGAGTGATAATCATACTTTCTATTAGTCCAAAAGTCCCCATAGAACTCGTTGATTGAGTATTTCGTCGTTTTTAGGCGTTCGAAATCTTGTCAATTACCGCTTTTTTGACTTTATACATCGACTGACTTGAAAGAATACGAATCGAAGTTACAGAGAGGTGATTTTTTTTTTCCAAGTTGCTTCGCTGTGATTTCTCAAAAAAAAAATTCGGAGTAAAAAAACCGGACTGATCAAAATCGGAAATACTTCTATCCTTGAAGCCAGCTTTTCGCTTTTTTGGAAAACTTTTTGAAAGAACTTGCTTTTTTGAATTCGAAACCAAAAATTTTCATCAAATGAACTTTTTCAGTTCTCAAGCATAAACTCCTATCAAACTTCGGAAAATTTCATATCGTCCGGGTCAAAATTACAACTTGTTATCAAAAACGTTTTGAAGTTCAAAAAACGCCATGTTTAGTTCAAAAAAAAATCCCTAAACTCTAATCGAGAAGTAAGAAAAAAAAAACGATTGAATCGATATTTGACTTTGATCCTTTCGTTTTTTTCATCAATAGGACAAGTTTCCCAAGCTAATTTTTGACTAACAAAAAATTTGAAATCTTAGTTCTTAGAAACTATAGACATCGTTCAGCAACTAAGAAAAGCTGGCAAAACTCATGGTTTCTAAACGGAAAACACTACTTACGCAAATACTATAATTTTGAAGTCACTGAACAAAAACATCTGCTGTTTTCTAAACTTTTTTTTTTGGAATAGTGAAGTAAAGATTCCAAACATCCGGAAAATGTTTTCGCCCTATGAAAAAAGTATGAACCTTCTGAAAATTATCACAAAATAAAACCAAAAGAAGCCGGCATTACTTTCAAATTTTATAAATCAAACTTGTATTTTTTTTTAATTTTCAGTTGGACATTCTGAAAGATATTATGTTGTCAAATATAGATGAGTTGAAGTATAAACTCACCTGCATGCACGCTGAATTAAAAATGATAAAATCTGGTCCATTAAAACATTTTCTGGCTCAAAGTTGGATAAAAAATAACACAGTCTAATCATTCGTCGAAAAAAACCAAAAAGCATCATTTCTCCGTTTCCTTGAACCTAATCGACAACAAATGATAAACTTTTGACAAATATAATACAACAAAAGTTGATCGAAAAAATTTGATTCGAACACATTTCCAGCTTTATGCCCTTTTCCTGACATTGTTTCCCCTCCAAAAACTTTTATTTTCAAAAAGCACTTATTTTTCGGCCTTACACTTTTTCGTCGCTTCTCCTCAAATTACATCTTGCACAGAATTGCAAATGCGGGACATGTACGGAGTGATGTCATTTCGAAGCTGTCAAGCAATTTTATTAAGAACAAAAAAGAAAAAAAAAACTATTTTCCAACTTCTACCATTACCACAAATTGACGTTTGCGACGTCAGAAATCTTCAGAGTTTCGGAAAGTTCTGGAAAACTTCCATTGTGAAAATTGGAGTTTTATGTCTTTAATAATATTTACCAGGCCCTTGAGTTCCATAATTCCTGGATCTTCAGAACTGAATTTAGCTTTGAATTTTTTTAAATGTCTTACAGAAAGTTACTGCAGAACAGAGGTATTGAAAGAAAAAGCTTCATTATTATCATTCCAGTTGAGTTACTACTTTTAAATGGAATGTAGGCATTTTTCTCTGTGATACTTTCTAGTTGAATACAAAGTTTTCATAATCAGCTGGATTTATGACCTTTTATCGTATGATTGTTCTTGCTGATAAAAAAAATGGCTTTACCTCACCAAATTTTTTTGACTCTCAAGTGAGATAAACTGTTTTACTCTCTTTTTTGAAAACCTTCTGTTTAAAAAATGGCCAGAGTCTTTTTCATTTTATCTTTTTTTTTTCTCGCCTGTACACATAATTTTTTCCTTACTGAACTGAATCCCTGGTTTTCTCTCTTGAAAGCTGTCAGAAATGTCTGAATGCTCCCATTGTTCATCAGCCTTTGCATCAAAACAATAAAATCCTGCTTTTTCAATCCCATGATTAAGCTCCTTCGCTTTTCATTCAAGAAAAAACGTCGATTTCTTGGAAGGTATATCGAGTCACATTCTCATGGTCACGTCGAACGGCTTCACCCCACAATTTATTTGATACGCTGTGCCTCACTCGAAACCCCTCACTTTCCATTGAAGATATCTTTTCAGCACTGATTTTTTAGAAAAGTCAGTTTTCTTGCCGAAAAACGCGACCACGATCGATAGGAAGCTTGCGGTTGAAGGGCTCAGTATTCCGTTTCCAGCCCAACTTTTCTTTCCTGAATATTTTTCCTCGTTTCTCCCATTTTTCCAGGCCTTGTTCGCGCTTCCATCGGCCTTTTCGGCTCCCTCGACGCCGCGCACATTCTTGGAGCGGAAGAGGGCGGCGCGGCATAGGATCGCAGATTTCCTTTTGAATTTCTCATCATCGCCGTCGGCAACGTCGTTTTATTTTCTCTATTCTTTCCTCATTTTTTTACTTAACCCTTAGCCTTTTACTTTCAATAGTTTTCTTCATATAGGTAATCCACCAATAATAAGTAATTCAAAAAAAGGATTAAATTTATTTCTTGATCAGATTTGATGATCATTTCCAAAAGTTTAAACTAGAAATGTCTACTTCAAAGCGAAATAGCTTTTTCTAGTCGTAGTACACGTAGGTGAACGACTAATGGAATTCGGCCTAAACCACTTATCTCAAAAGTTTTCACCTGGAATATGAAATAAATGAAAGCGTGGGTTTTGGTTCTCTGGTTTGAAAAAAATTTAAACATTCAGAAGCACTCGAGATCAAAAAAACAGCTCAAAAACAATGAGAAAGATTAATAAGATGTTAGCCTTAAATCTTTTGGAAATTATTAGTTTTTTGTGCATTTGTGTTCCTAATCAACGACGAAAGCATTTTCAAAGAAAAAAAAAGGAGTTTTGAATTTTGTGCTTGAATTTATTGTAATATACCCTCTTTCGGAACAAAACTGAAAATTCAGAATTCAAAATTTCATCGGCGTCTGCCAAAACAAAGCTTCAGACCACCCTTTTTTCCCATTTTTTGTATCCATCTAAATGAGAGTTGCTGGAGAAGATCTGAAAGTAGTTAACGAGATTGTCTTTAACCGATTTATTTAGTTTCCTTGCAAATCGCCTACCTGTTATTCATTCTTTTCTGAAAAATCAGAAAATTCTCAAGGAACTACAATTGATTGTGCTTTTATGTTTAGGTAATGCAGAACGTTCGAGCCTACGGTGCCGGTCTGGCCAACTCCAACTTCGACAAGGCGGCCTACTTCAAGAAGCCGACAGTTGTTTTCCGTTGCGCAGCTCTGGTGAGTCCAGAGATTCGATTAAAACTTTTCGGGATTCTGTGGCTTTTCGGCCGGCCGCCCGAAATTCAAAACGGATTGCGTGTGGCTCGTTAGAGCTTCCGACACTATTTAGTGTGGCCAATAAACATGAGGAACTGGATAATTATATGGATGTTAGCCACGAGGCTGACCGAGAAAGTCGTTGATCATTTTTCCTACCTTTTTGAAGCTTCGAACTTCGCTATCAGGAACCGTAAACCAAAAAAAAAAAAATCAATGCTGTGTTTTGAAAATCTTTATCACAAAAGTTGTTTCGTGTCAAAATACTAAAATAATGTTAGAAATCCAACTTATCCACCTTATCCTAATATCCACTTCACATAACCTCAATATTCAAGTTAATATTTGTCTCAGGAATAGGATGACTACATTTTCTTGAATTGGATGTTCTTCGCTGAAATTCAGTTTTAAACTCTAAACATGGAATCGGATAGATTGAGTAAAAAACTTAATTTTATCGCTAGAAGCTCTTTTTCGTATTTTCTCTTTCTTCTACTTTTTTTAACTGGCAAAGTTTTCTTTTCATTTTTCTAACAACTTTTGCTGTCTTTTCGCGAATCAATTTTTCGAAACAATTCATCTTTTACGACCGAGAAGCAGTGAATAAACGCATCTTAGGGATGGACATACTGAGCAAATGAGCGACAGCCTCTCAATAAACGATCAGAAAAGCATTTGTCAGTAGCTACCCGCGGAACAAACTTTTATTATTCATCAGAAAAAAATTCTTAATTTATCATTCAAACAGGAAAAAATATTGTTTTTTCAATTTTTTGAGTTTTGATTATACTGAAAGTTTGAATAAATCTTCATTGGTTACATCCAAATGCCTGGATCTTACAGATCCTTGAACTTGAAAGGTGAATTTTTTTTAAGATTTGAAAAGTATATTATTTTTCACCAATCCAAGTACTTCTAAACTGGCCATCAATTGGTGATTCTATTTTCGACCGCAAATGATATAACGATCTTGAGAAAACACGCGTTTCATGCGCATTAATTCATAATAGAAAGGTTTTTAGAGCCAGATTTGATATGTGGCTTTTTTCTCGCAAAAGTGCAGCTCAAAGTCGTTTTGCAGGCTTTGGGGCTTCTTTTGTGGTACGCCATCTCGAAAGGTGGCTGGCATCGTCCGAGCGGAACCATCCATCAAGTAACTCTTTGAGCATTTCTTCGCGCAAGTGCTCCTGCTGCGAGTATTGATCCGAGCGCTTTTAGTTCTGGTTGCCCCTTTTTGGCCAACCCATCACTCTTCCGGCAAAATTGAAACTTTGTTTTGCGAGTGGTTGCTTACGAGGACAGAAAGAGAACAATAAAAAAGGATGAGAAATGAGTTTTGTGCAAGTTTTCATTCAAAAAGCCACTTTTTTCTCTCTTATGTAAGGTTTAGAAGAGTTACAAGAAGGGTTAGAAAACAATGAAAAGAACATTTCATCGACAGAACAATTCAAAAAGATCAGATCAATTACTTCGAAAACATATTTTTTGAAGGTATGTCTCTACGGACGGAGCTCTTCGACGTGTTCTTTCGGCTCGGCGATGGGCTTTTTCGTACTTTGCGGAGCAACGGCTCTTCTTGCCCTTGATGCCAAACTTGACACGATAAGCTCAATCCCCACGAGACGTCGCGCCGTTTTGGCAGATCTCGTGGTTTCGGGTGAATTTGCAATCTTTTCTTTTTTTGATATGGTTTTTCTGGAAAGATTCTCGCGTTTTGATTCTCTGCAAAAAACTTTGTGGAATGGCATAAAAGTCATTCATCAAAACTTTGAAGTCATTTGAAAATTAAAGAATTAAAAAAGAGGAAATCGGAAACGTGCTAAGTTTGGTTGATGCTTGATTTTTTATTCATTCCACCTTCCTCAACTTTAAACTTTTTCAAATTGTATTGCTTCAAAGTCATAGAAAAAGTGTGCCGTTTGAACTTGTGATTTCTTCTTTGTGTTCTATGATGAGAAAATCCAACTGGAATTCAATACCAACACCCTTTTCCATGGGAAAGGCACTTTACCAGAGTGTTTTTCCTTCGAGCTTTCCATTAGAAGCAATCAAAACGCCTCTTTTTTTTTGAACGTCAGATTTTTCAGCTGTCTTCACTGGCATTTTCCTCATTGGCTTCTTCACGTTCTGGTCCAAATTTTCTTCGTTTGAGCAAGCGGAAGACGACGAGAATCCGTTGAGCACGAAATATGCTAAGCTTGGAATTCTGCTTGCGTTCCTCTCTACACTCGCTTGGGTGAGATTTTTTGAAGTATTCTAGAATGGGGGATTTGGAAGAGGATGAATGAAAAAGTGAGGGTATCCCTCAAAAAAAAAGTTTATGACAAAACACGAAAATGGGATTCCTGAAACTGGCAATGTTATAAGTTGTCAGAAAAACTTTTGAAAGATTCTTTTTTGAATACTGCAAAAGTAATAGTAGTTTGGATTAGCTTCTCAGCAAAGTTCAAACTCCTGATTGAATCCTCAAAAAAATCACCTTTTTTATAATTTTTGAACTCTCTTGGTTATTTTAATTTTTCATCACTCTTCCTTTTCATTTAAATATTCAAGTATTTTCAAACTTTTTCTTCTAAATCAAAAACATCTTTTCAGGGAGGAGCGGCTTTTTTTGCTTGGAGGCGGTACGAAGAAGGATCTCAAGCGACTGTAGAGCCCAACTACGATGATCAATTTTCTCAAGTCGCTGGAGAAGTTCACGATGGATATGGATACGGAGGGGACTCTACTGGTATGTTATCAATTGAAAAATTATAAAATTAAAACAAATAGATGTTGAAAGATTCTCAGAAAAGAAAAAAAGGACGAGGAAGAAAAATTGAGAGTAAGACTAAATAAACAACACACATTTTTTCAAGTAAAAAGCTTTGCGGTGGAAAAAAATGTGACTGTTTTTCATACATTTTACAATAAGTAAAAAAATTCTGGTAGAGCAGAATTAAAGAATTTTCAGTCAGACTCAAAAAAATGTGTAAAATCAGAAGATTTTTGAATTAGACCCTTGAATCTTTCGTGGTGGTAAAAATTCAAAAATTGAGCAAAAAAAGAGGTGCTACTTTTAGTAGCAGTTCCTTTTCATTTGAAATTGACTACTTCAGGAATCGGATCTGTCGGAAGTGGTCCAGCTCATTCTTATCAGGCTGGCGGGCCTCCATCTCAGCAACATTTCGCGCCTCAACCTCCTGCCAACCCATTCGTCAATAGTGAAGGATACGGATACTAATATATTTATCACTGATGCCAAACTTCCTGTTTCACTTTCATAATTTATTCGTTCCTATCAAAATGAAGCGTCAAAAGTGCAATTTTCGATTTGCATTGACAAAAGCTTACATTTCTTTGATAATTTTTTTTTATAGCATTTTTTTTCAAAACTTTGAGATTCCCTCATGAAAAAATCAGCACCTTTCTTGATTTTGAACTTGAGAGAAATTCTTCACAAGGAAGGTCATTTCACCCCAAAACAACTTATTTTTTACGGATTTTGAGGTTTGTCTTCATCTTTTTATTGCCAACTTTTAAGAAACCGCAAATTGAGAGGACCTTCCTTGTCATTTATTTTAAATTTGCTCCCTTTGATAACTTCCGTTCCTCTGTCTCCAAAACCCGCAATAATCGACCCCTTTAGCCTTTCTTATGAATATCTAGCAATACTTTTGAACAAATACCTTGTCATAACATTTTGGAACAACTGCCCATTTCATGGATTATTTTCGTGATCTTTTGATAGATTTATTAGTTGTTTTGTGAAGATTCTAATGATAAGATTGACACCAACTAGACAGCGATTTTTTTTGGTGATCCATAATTCGATAAAAGTTTTCGATAGACGTTTTTTACAATCTCGGAGTCTGAGAAAAAATGTTCCCGCTCGAAATAAAAACATTCTTTCCACTAAATTAAACAAAGAGTAAGAGTTACAGACAGAAAAAAAGCTGCAATCAAGTTGAAGACTTTATTTGCTAACATAGAATCCGTTTTCAAACTATCTTGAAAAACAGAAATACAGTAAAAATATAAAATTGTAAAATAGTTTCTTGCCATCTATGCGCTTTTATACTCAGAAGAAAAGAAATTCACTCTTTTTTTACCTTGAAAAAAATCATAAAGTTACAAGGTTCAATACCGTGAACACTACGATTCTGTGAAAAAAGACAGGATAACGCGCAAGCCGGTGCGAGTCGGGACAGTGAAATCCTTATAACAGGACGGCGACTCCGCACAATCGCTATCACTACTTTTACCAACATCATAGCAGGAAGGCTCGGATCGCTGCCTCCGCGTGGCGCCTTCTGGGTGAGACTCAGTCCCAGCTAAAAGTGATCCATTTTTGGAACAGCCAGCCTTCGGGCTGGCAAAAAATCTCATGAAGTTCTGAAAACTACTAGGAGACAAAGTTTTAGTCATATACTAACTGAGAAGCAAATCTATAAATGTTTCATGCCCTAAAACACAGAAACCGATTATTTAGAAAGTGATATTCTGAATTTTCTTCGGCTCCATGAATTCAATCGAAATTTCTGGCTACAACACTTTCTTGTTTCAAGACTGTCTCATATATAAAAGAGTTCTCAATGTGTTCTATGAGATGCATCCAATGTCAAAAAACCAGTCTTCGATAAAGCCACTGCATTAAAGACCAAGGTCAGAAAAAAATGTTTTTTTGATATTGACCTTCCCTGTTAGTGTCCAAATAAATGCGTTTCTCACAAAATTGATAGATTCGTTAGCTTCGATGGTTTTGAAAAGTCATATTAAGCATTTTTGAAAATGAAAACTTCAAGGAAAACGTTTATAAATGGAAGTCCGAAGTGTAAAGAAGTATGGAGAACCACCTCAATTCTCAAATTGTATTTCTTAAGAAAATGAAATCATATTTAAAAATAGTTCATTTGATTATCTGCGTACGTAGAAACTTTCTTATTAGCCTTTCGGGCAAAAAGCTTTTTTTCCTTCAAATTTTTCTCTTCGCGATTTTTAAAGAAATGAAAAGCACAAATTATCATTTTGAAAGAATAACTCGTGATGATTTTTCAAAATCTCAATTTATATATTGTATGATAAAGTCTGGTTCTTATCACAAAAACAAATCATTCAACAATATAATGATCATTGCCCTAATTCGGTACAGTCGTGATTTTTTCTGATCTCTCAGATTCCGATAATGAGCCCCGAAGCGGAAACGCCGCTGAGTCATAATAAACTCGACGAATGGAATAAACGTTTCCTTTCGTCCGTTGTTTTGTTTTTTTTTATTATTTTCCGATGATTGCCCCAAACGTCAATATTACAACGATTGAGATTTTGACACAACGGGTATTTATGGGAACCGCCTCTCGCAGTCAACAGAGCGCCATTGTTCACCTTTTCCGCTTCCACAAATCGCCATCATGAAACTTCTCGTTGTAATTTTTGCCTTCTTTGCCGGCGCCCACGCTCTTCTTTTTGGTCTTATCGGGTCTGAACAGGTAAGAAAATGTTCAAGAAAGATAGTTTTAGTATGATAAACGATTGGAGCCGTCTCGGTTAATCTTCTCTAATTTCAGATAAGATTCCAGGTCTTCGACCCCAATCCCTGTTAGCTCAAATCATTGTTTTTTTTTTATCTGAGAATTCATAATAACATATCAATGCCAAACATTCCCAGCCACGAAGTTCCTAACCTTCAGTCTTCAGAGTGCTGCTGTCACCGGAAGACTGACTTGCAATGGAGCTCCAGCCAGAAACGTCCGTGTGAAGCTCTATGAAAAAGAAGCTAGTAAGTAGAAACGTGCTCTATTTGAATCAAGGTTCGAATTTTGAGCCTTGGACGTCCTTCTCGATGAAGGAACAACCGACGCCAACGGAGAATTCTCCCTCCAGGGACACAAGACTGAAGTGAGCACCATCGACCCCAAGCTCAACATCTACCACAAGTGCAATTACAATGGAGTAAGATCGACTCCTGTCCTCAGAGGGAACAGTTTCATTGTTTCAGATGTGCTACCAGAAGTCGTCGCTCACAGTCCCAGACAACTACGTTTCTGAAGGAGCCACTCCAACCAAAACTTTCAATGTCGGAACCATCAACCTTGCCAATCAATTCAGCGGAGACTCGACCGACTGCATCAACTAAGCTTTCTCCATAACTTTTTCTTGTTTTTGATGGAAACTGTATGAATAATCAGTTTGAATTTATCGCAAATATAAAAAAATAAAGAATTTTTTTTCATTTTTTGAACTCGTGATTTCAAATCAAGCTATGCACATGAGCCTTGAAGAGAAAAATAGTCAAAAAGTTGCGAAAACTGTCCTTAACGGAAGTGATACTTTTTGATCTTTTTGTACAATAAACTGGGCTTTTCAACAGAATGATGCATTGTGAAGGGGATAAAAAAATAAAAGTTCATTAGAAGAAAAGTTTGACCATTAAGGTAAACTTGTTTCATCCTTGATTCAAAATTTCAAGTAAACTCTCAAAAAATGAGTTCCTTTTTTTCTGATTTTTACGTACAAGGAGATCGGGAAAGTTTAAGATTAGAGACTCCTAAAATTCTCTTATAGAGATGTCTGGTTTAAGAATTCAAAACATTTGCGCTTATTGCTGCTTGATAGAACTCCTTTGATTTATGATTTATCTTTTTTTGTTTTTTTAAATGAGGATTTGATCCTTTTTCATGTCATGCCTTGGTTGAAAGAAAAAAACCAAGCAAAGTGTTTTTTTATTGTAAAATCATAATGAACCCGGAAGTTTCATTAAATTCAGTCATTTTGCATTTCTTCTGTCTGATTTATTTGTGGTAAACTTTCATGAAGAAATTAAATTTCTAAAAAAACAGTTTACCTAATTATTTTTCGAATTATTCGGTTCTAGCTTTTTCGTGTGCTTCAATTATCCGGGATAACTTTCGAAGTTTTTCATTGCATCTATAGAAACGGCAAAATCGGTCGAATAAGTTATCCGTTTAGAAAGAATTAAGACATTATCAAACTCAAGTAGATTCATAGAAAACCTGATTTCAATTTACAAAGAATCGATAGTTTCGATATTATTAATTGAGATTTTCTCTAAATTTTCAAAGTTTTTCGACGGAAGAACTTCCTGACAATCTAAGTAACTGATCTTATCTTTTCATAAAACCTGCCTCCGCATCGAATTCGTCATTTGGCCCCGCGTCCCTGCGCGTAGGACAAAAGTAACCATCTGTTTGCGAGACTGAAAAAGATAATTAATGGGCTACTTAGCAATAACCATATTACACATTGCTGTTTCTACCCGACGGACGGTCTCGTGGGCCGGCATTCTTTCTTTTTGGTCGAGTTCATACTACTCTCCGTTGTTTCAGAAAAATGCTGCGTCTTTCCGCTCTTCTGTTGTTGGTTTCGCCAGTTTTCGGCGTTTTCGATATCAACATCGGAACTGTCCAATCTGTGGCTGTCAAAGGCAAATTGATGTGTGACACTGTGCCGGCCAACAATGTGAAGGTCAAGCTCTACGAAGATGAAGCTGGTAAAACTATCTTGAAGATTTTTGGATTCCAAACTCAAAATCTTTCAGTTCTCGATGTTCTGCTGGATGAAAGATTCACCGACGCAGACGGCACTTTTACGATAGAAGGAAAGAAAACCGAAGTCACCAGTATTGACCCCAAAATCAACATCTACCACAGATGTAACTATGATGGAGTATGTTCTATATTTAACTGAGCGTGTAGCTTATTTTGAATTTCAGATCTGCTTCAAGAAAATCACGATCGTCATCCCTGAAGCCTTCGTGACGAATGGCGAGACGCCCGCAAAAGTTTTCGACATTGGAGAGCTCAACCTCGCCGCCAAGTTCCAAGGACAATCCACTGACTGTTTTAACTGAATTTTATGCCTGTTTCAAAATTGTAAATAAAAGTTATCAATCTTCGAATGGTTCGGATGTGGGAAGCGATAAGTAACATTATAATCAACATAAAAGACTGACTTGAATAAATGGTTGTCATTTTGAAAAATTCAGAAGTTCATCCACTTGAGCTTGAGAAAAAATAGAATGAAAACGGCTAATTCCCTTTTGAGCGCTATTTTTTTCATATTGATGCGATGACTTGGAAAGTTAAAATTCAAAAAATTCAAATTTGAGATTATCTAGAGTGTTTTGTTAATGAGGAGTCATCAAAATTTTTTTGAGTTATGTTTTCTGAGTCCTTCTGGAAATCGCAACTCTTTTTCTACTCTTTGGCGAATAAATTGAAAGAAAAACTTGTTATCGTCTATGAAATATTCCAATTTTTTCTCTCAATTTGGCGAAATCGATTTCTGATCGAACATGGAAACCAAACTATCAAACCCTAGTTGGTCGTACCGATGACTCAAACAAAAAAAAATTGATCAAACAAAAGACAACGTTGGAAATTAGCGTTTCTATTCGTTCAAAATCATGAAATTATGTACTGAAAATAAAGCGAAAAAACTTTTCAGCTGTTCAATAGGATAATACTCGCAAAATAATTTTTTGATAGGCGTTAGACTTAATTTCCATTCGATTCTGCCTTTTTTGTCAGGAATTTCCAGTTCCGAACAAAAAACTGATCTCGTCCGGAACGTCCATTAGTGAAATTGCGTTGAGACAGCAAATCCCAAGTAAGCGGATTTCAGAAATTTCCGCGTCGCAATTTTGAGCACTTTTTTACAGCCATTTTTTGCTAGAAAACTTCCCCGGAGCTGTACTTTATGGGGTCAGTTCAAAAACATGCTAAGGACTTCTCACTTTTGAAATGTGTGTCTGAACTTATGTTGACGTTGACGTTACCTTTTCCAAATTTCATTTTTTTTTTTCGAATCAAACTGAATTTTTTCAAATAAGAAGTAATTCTCATTGTTCTAGCAAAGAATTTTTTTTCGGAATGAAATTTCATTTGGGACAGAGCTTCCATCAATTGGCGAAAGTGCATTTTCGACCGAAAAAAAGAACTCTCAACTTGCGAACATTGTTTGAGAACTTATGTCAGCGCCAAGAGGGTCTTCTAAATTGTTTGTTCTAAATCGAAGCAAAGAGTAAATATTTTCAACGTATGCATTTGAACTTGATGATAAAGATTATTTGCGTTCAACAATGTTTTCTTAGATTCAGAGTTTGTAAGATTTTTGAAAGCGGTATGGGTAACTTTCCCCCTTTGGGTCTCTGAAAATGCTCAAAAACACATTTAAAAAACTTGTTAGCGTTAAGGTTTTCTTTTCCAACTTATTTTGAATCTTCTCAAAACTCTGACTGATATAACAGTCCTCTTTTGCGTTCTTTCTGAAGTATTTTTTCTGTTTTTTTATTTGTTTCTTTCACTCTATGGAATTTTTTTTTTGGTTCAAATCAAGGGGAAAAATGTTGAAGTGCTAATGAAAAATATAAATTTCAACGAGAGCTTCTAAATTTTCGAGAGGAATCTGTGGTGCGCTCACAAGTATCCTGTACTCCGAGAACGCCGAAAAGGTCAGAAGGGTCTCGACGCGATAATTTGCCGCGCTTGGGTCTTGGATCCCGTTGGACTCGCGTATCTATTTTCTATATACTTGGTGGTGTTTCCCAAAATTAATTTCACCTTGGAACAGTATTGTATTGGAATATTCCCGTTTTCGCCCGTATTGTCGAGATAAAATTTTCAAAGGAAAAAATTGTATCTCGAAATTGAAAGATTTTATTTTGAGAATATTTTTCAGGCATTTATATTCTGCTATGTATGTTTTTTTCCATGCGATTTGCAACATTTCTGCAAAATTTTTGTTTAATTTTTATGAAGACCCAGAAATTTTTTTCATAGACAAACAACTTCGATAACCTTTTATAGTAGAAGTTTTTTCACGAATTCCATTTCAAAAAAACAACGAAAAGTAAATGAATCTGATTCCGCAAACTTTCTCCTGCCTCGTGTATTGAAAACGATGTGTTTTTGGTTTTTAACAAGCATTTTCAAAAAAAAAACTGAATTATAAGCCTTCCTGATTACATTGCGAACCTTTTCAAAGAGAGAACATGTATTCATATTCCGATCCGACCTTATGAAAAACTGAAAAGGAAGCTGACGAAGAGCTATTGCACTTGTCACGTGAAACTCTCATGACAGGAGGAAAGAGCGCCCCACCGCAAACTCGCTCCCGGGTCGCCGAGTTTTACGGCCGCTATTTTCTGCATTACAATACGTTCTCTTTCTCTTCATTATTAAACTTTCTATTATCAAACTTTCTTTTTTTGAAAGACTATTATTTAGATTACGTATCTTTCCGTCTTTTTGTGCGTTTGAAAATTTTTCCTTCCTCTCATCATCTAAAATAATTTTTTTCAGGTCCTGCCTCGATCATATGATTTGTCTATAATTTATATATCTAAACTTTATATATCTATATTTTGTTATGGAAACGTATTGCATTTTCGATGTCACAAAAGGCATCAGTCTGCAGATTTCTCTGAATGTAAGTCTCTCATCAGTTTTTTCCTCTCAACAAATACATTTTTGCAGATCAATACTACCACGGTAGCAAAATTGAACGGCATCCTGGATGCTGAAACCGGATTGAGAGCTTCGGATCAGGTTAATATCAAAGATCATGATCATCAAAATAGGTTTACAAGTTTCAGATCTTGTTGACATCCAAAGGAGTTGCTTTTGATCCCGATAAAAAACTTGATTTTTACACTGGAACAGGTGGGAAGAAAACAATTTTTCATTTATTCCAATTTTTTGGGATTTCAGGAACACAAAGCAATCCAGCTTTTTTGTACCAGAAAACTCCGCGAGAACGCGACCGGAATGAGAGTTCAAATGATTTGAATTATATTTTGCACAGAATCGATGATGCAGTGGTTCAGGTGAATTTTTTTAAAGGTTTTTTTATAAACAGAAAGAGCTACAGAACATTTGAAAATTTATGAAAAACCCCTTTTTTTGTACTGCAAACATTTTTTAAACAAACCTATTGTTCAAAACAGTAAATTTTTTTCATTTTTCAGGCCACTAACTGTTTGAATAAAACTGAGCTCGCTCATATATATATCGAACTGCCGGAAGCCGGTCGTTACTGTGCGAATCAGGCAACTCAAGCCATCCAAGCTTGCATGAGATTCGTTCGAGAACATCAGTTTCTTTGCTCGGTTTGTTTTTGCTTCATATAAAAAAAATTCATTCAATAATTAAATTACAGAAATAAGTCCCAGCCAGAAATGAAACGAAATAAAAATTTTTGCTTTCTATTTCTTTGTATGGGATTTGATCTTTTAGAAATTTTTCTGATCTGCGTTTTTCTTTTTTTGCTAGAGGAAGAAAAATTTCTTCACAAGATAGTTATGACTAAAAAAACCGCCTTCGTCTTTTTTTCTGATGGAACTGTATTTAAAAGGGTCTTCTTTGAAAGGATCTTCCTGTTACACAAAGCTGATTTCTAAATTTTTCTTAAAATTGTTTGTAGCCCGAAAAAAGAATAATCAAATTTCGGAAATTTAAAATTTAGACTCCTATGAGAATAATCTATCAACCAGTAAATTTTTTTGCTCTAAATTAAAGTCTAAACTTCATTTCAAAACAATTTTTGCTCACTGTTAGAAAAATTCTCTTCAGGGCTGGAATGCGTTGATAGCGAATATGGACGATTCCGTGGGTAGACTTCAAAAACTGGGCGTTCGGTACAAGGCGCACGTCGACCAGATTCCGGAAATGAACAGGAAGGCCGCCACTCTTCTGGACAACTTCGAAGATGTCGTTGACCAACTGATTAAAGTGCGAATCTTCCTAAATACGCTCGAAAAAGTTTTTTTGATTTTAGATTGAGCTTCCTCCCGAACTTCTGTCTAATCTGCGCCGAAGTTCTAAAGACAGCCCACCTATTTCCACTTTGTACGACTGGATTTCTCAAGCCGATCCGGCAAATACTGTTGAAGATTTGGTTTCACAAGTTCGCGACCTCTTCGGAAAGGTTTGTTTGAAAATAAGAAAACAGAAAAAAAGATAAATGAAAAATTATATTTTTTTGGACTGAGCTGAAAAAAATCAAACTGTCTGAAGAAATGATGAAAAAAAAAGCCAAACATGTCATTTTTTCTTCATTACCCAAATTAAGTTCATTTCCAGTTCTCCGAGATCAAGCCTCAAAACGCCATCGACGTCATGAACCAAGTCGTCAACCAATCAAAAAACTCCGAATTTCGAGACGTCAAAGGCATAAACAAGCGGATAAACCAGCTCGAATTCAATGTGCAAAATAATGAGAGTAAGAATATTACAATAATCTTTTTTAAGAAAGAAAAAAAAACAAGGTAAATATTATAATTTAATTTAGGGCATATGAACAACATCAAAAAGAACGTCAACAGAATTTGTGAAACTCCGAGAAGCATGGATGCCAACAACTTGAGAGTATGCCGTTCGTTTCGAATTTTCATCACCAAGTTCTTCAATTTCAGAACATCTTGGACAGAGACAAATCTTGCATGGTTGATGTTCTTGACAGCATCAAAGAAATACGACAAACCACAGTTCTCTTCCACAGATCCAAGCAGGAACTTCTTCAAAACATACGATCGCGTTTGGCTGGTTTTATTGTGACGGTGAGTATTTCAGTTTTTTCACTTTCATACCAAAATAATCCTTCCAAACTTTCACGCAACAGAATATCTTTATAGATACTTTCCATTAGAAAACATAAAACCTAGAAAAAGATGATCAAATCAAAATTTTCCAGTCGTACGACAAACTGCACTATGCTCACCTGGAAATGTTGGTTTTCCAAGAAAAATGCAACGGCCTTCGATTGAGACTTGAGCTCATAGAGCAGATTAAGGTTTGTTGAAAGATTTCTATTTTTTCAAATTTCCCTTGATAAAACCTCAAATTATCTTGGAGCTTTCTTATCTTCAAAAATTGTAGGAGGCGCCAGCGGTTTATGCTCGCTCTGTGGCCGAGGTCATCAGACGGTTGACTTTCAAGAAAGAGTGAGTTGTTCTTTGAACATTTTTGACTCAAGGCCAAATTAATTTCATCAAGCCTCAAAATAAAACTTCTCTTTAAAAAAGTGTACTATTTTGAGACTGACTTCCTGGCACACTGAACACTCCGAAAAGAGCACCAACCTCTCGAACGAAGAAACAGAGCTGAGAAAAAGATATTCGCGAAAACTGGAGAAACACTTCATACGAGCTCTCTTCCCGGGTATTATCTGATTTCTCTCATTTTTTTTAATATTTTTCTTTGCAGGCATGTTTGATGAAACTCCAGCTTTCTATGTGAAAAATTTGGGAGCGTTTGACGAAAACCTGCCTCAAGTTACCAACGATCATCTTCATGAACTGCGACAGGTTGCGAGAATTATATAAAAAAATATCAACTTGGTTTATCAGGCTCTTCCGTCTTTTGATGAGTTGATGAAAGTGACGACTCCTCAGGTGTACTCCAAACTTGCTGTCAAGTGAGTTCTACATTTTAGTTTACCGGATCGGGGGGTTTTCAGAGACCCACAAGCCCAAGGAACTTTGCGTCGTGAGGAAAGTTTCTTCACCAAGGATCCCGTTCAAATGCACAATTTGAACTCTATTCACAAGGAATTCGCCGCTGCAAATTGGTTTGGGTAAGAATGATTTTGAGTCACAAACTTGATTTCTTTTTTTACAGGGAAGAAGGAGCTTATGGTTCTCCAGGTCCTGCTCTTCTGATGACTCGGTCTCCTCATTCTTACAGTGGATCAGAGTCTTCCATGAAAACGATGCCTATTGCCTCTTCACTTCATAATTTGGAAAGAATGGTTTGTTGCAAAATTAAATATTTGCAAAACAGATGAATTCTTCTATATCTTCCAAGAACTCATGCTTTAACCTCATCAAAATAAAGAGGAAAACATGAAAAAAATTATTTTATTTCTGAATTTTCAGCTGAACACTTTGAAATTCAGTGGGAAAGCTGTAATTTGTTAAATTGATAGGGCGAAGAAGATAACGGAGACGACGAGCATCTCAGTTGTTCCGTGGCTAAAAGTGCGCCAATAGACATTCCGCCTGGTCCATCCCCCAGAGCCGTATGATTAGTTGATGAAAATCATTTGTAAAAATTTTTTCCAGTGCTCTTCGGGGAAATCGAGCCAATTCTCCACTCCAGACGACAGCTTTGGAAACAATCACCTGGAGGAAGGAGTGAGATTTTTACACAATGACAATTCAAAAATTATTTTTTCAGCAATTCGCTGTCGATGACGTCACCCGTTCTCAATCCTTTGAGTTTCTGAAACCTTTGAAATTGGATGTTCTCACCATATCCAAGGCAAGTTCAAAATTCCATCTCAGAGCTGATCAACATATTTGAAGGGCCTTCTTGATATTCGAGCCGACATTGTGAACAGCAATGACAAGTTCCGAGAGGAATTCGATCAAATATCAAAATTCCTATCGGAAGAGCTTCCCAAGGAAATTAAGATCATCAACAAAGCTCACGAAGAGAAGCTGCTTCTGAAAATGAATGAAATTGAAGTTGTTTCAAAAATTCAAAAAGAAAAAAAAATGATTAATATTAGGATCTCCAAAAGGAACTCAAAGAGTCGGATGGCAAGCTGGCAGAAGCAAACGCTGAAGTCAGCCAGATCAAGGATGAAATGGCTGCAAATGAGAAAATTTCTGAAGAAAAAATTGAAGAGTAAGATTTCTAAAAAAAAAGAGAAAATTGGTTTTTTTTTTCAGGCTCAACGCGAAGGTTACTGGTCTTGAAAACGACATCAAAACGGTGAAAGCGGACACTTTCAAGCAGCTGACAATTGAGTACGAGTTGGTGACAGACAGGAATCGTGGAGAATACGAAGCAATAATTGATGTTTGAAGCTATCGAAAGTTTCATGACAATTATGTAAATTTCAGTCTCGAGACAAAGAAATCCAAGGTCTCAACTATGATCTTGAGAAGAAAAATCAAGAGATCAAGCGTCTTCGAGCTGATCCGCTCAGTGAAGAGTATCGGAAGTGCATCGGGGCAGATATACGTGCAGAGCTAGAAAGAGAATTCAAAGTCCGTGATTTTTTGACGTAACAGGGAAAATGCATTTTGACAGTGTTTTCTAATAATTCGATCATTCACATAATATGGGAAATTTATGATTCGTAAGCATTTCAAAATGCTATGAGATCGAAATTAATTGTTTTTCATCCTTATCAAGGAACAAAATCAAAACTGTTTCCAGGCTCGGATAGAGATGATAACAAAAGGAGTAGAACAGAAGAAAGATGAGGCCATCATGCGTAACAAGAAAGAAATGGAGTTTGAGACGCGACTTCTTCAAACTGAAATCGATAATTTGGTAACACTAACAGAATTGTTTTTTTTTTAATTTCAAAAAGTTTTCAGAAACAATCCGTCGCAATGTTAACCGAAGAAAGGCAACTTCTTCGTGATGAAATCCAGAAAAGCGTCGAAAATGGCGGCGAACTTATCGATGAGATTTCGGAGAAGATCAATGGAGCCGATGTCACCATCTACCGTAATTAACTTGGTTGAAACGAAAGTTGAACTTTTAAACTTCAGGGCCAACGAAGAAAGTCGCAATTCACACACAAACAGACTTTTTTGAAGCCAATATGCCTAGGATTTTGTCCTCTCCTATGCTCACTTCGAGCGCATTTGTTCATAGGTTTATTTCATTTATTTTCGCTTCTCATGGAATTTTTTCAGGCTTCTCGGTGACATGAAGGAAAGTGTGTATACAATGGATACGTCTTGCATGATTTCCAGCGTCACGCCAGCTCTGAAGGAGAAAGAAAAGGACGATAGCGTTGTTAGGTGCGGTTTTTTTTTCTTACATTGAAACAGTACCGGAAAAAAAAAATCAAACAGGACAATTCAAAAATAAAGTTTGATTTCTTCAAAACGACCTTCAGAAAATGGAATATTTTACTTTAGCTGCTTTCTTTTCCGTAAAGTCATCGACAAATGGAAAATTGACCTTTGAGCAAAGATTTAGCGATGAAATCAGACTTTGAAGGCAAAATTCTCAACATGAAAAAAAAAATTCATGCTTTTCTTCTTAAGATCTGGTTTATTTCTAGATCTACGACTTTGTCCGACGAACAAGGCAATATTCTTTCTTCCACATGCTCAACTCAAACCCGTATAGGTAGGAACCAAAATTACTAATCTTCATCAAGAAACAATCTCTTTCAGGGATGCAAAGCATGACGAACATGGTCTCGATGCAAGAAATCACAGAAGGCAGTACTGTCCTCGTCGTGTGGGATGGACGTCACAACGCCTACATACTTCTCTGGTTTGTCTAAGCAACCTAAAGCTCTAAAGTTCCTCTGAACTTTGCAGTCTGAGCTCTTTCCCTCACTTTGTCAAGGAGTCGTCGGTGCGCGGCTTGAACCTTCTCAACACGGACTCGAACACTCCGCGTCGCAACTGGGTCCTCGGTTGCGCTAAGAAGCTTGATATGTGCGTCATAAGAAAAGCCGTCAACAGGTATCAACAAAAAAACGTTTTGAATTCGTTTATCGAAGAAAAACCTTCAAAATCATTTTATTCCATCTGAGTTTTTGGTCGAAGGAGGAATTTTTGAAATTCTCTACTCCCAAAGCGTGTTCCAGAAAAACTTTTTTGAATTACGTAGGGTCATAAAAAGTTCAGCAAAAGTAGAGTAACGAATAACCATTAGTTTAATTTCACCGGAAGTTTCAGCGCACTCAAAATTTGAAAACTACTTTTTGATTATATTGAACCGATGCGGTTATAAAATCACATTGTTGTGACTCTGTAGTGCCTTTGAATAATAGAAACAACACATAATAGAACAATATTTTCGAGTAGCGTCCAAAACGTTGGAGGTTTTTAGGTATGTAATTTCAAACGAGTTTTCAAAAGCTTTGAAATTCATTTTTATGAAAATCTCTTACCGTGTCCAACTCATTTCTTTCACCTGGAAAGAAAAGATTATCGCCTTATATAACGTACTGAATGAGATATTGCCAGGTGTTTTTCTGTATTTAGAGCAATTACCTCTGACCTAGTTTCCCGCGGATTTGATCAAACGAGAGGCTATGGTTAGATATCTGGAGGTCTAGACTCTCTGGGGGTTTTTTTCCCGTGAACTAATATATTTATATTTTCTGTGAAAAACTAATAAAAAAACCTGAGATAAATGCCTTTTGACTCGATTTTCTTGATTATCACAAATTTTCGATTTCCTAAATGCTTAACCAGTATCAGGTTTAAAAATAAGTACCATCAAAAAAACGCATCTTTTAGATAAATCAGAACGCATGACCAAATTAACAAAGTATCATGAAGATTATTTCTGCGATGGATTACAAAAAACTGTAGAAGTATACAGAAAGAGCTTTTTTTTTCAGATACGGTCTTCCGGTGGGCACCAAGGTCTTCCGAGTCGCCGTCGACCCAGTGTCAATGGACAGTCGTCCGGAATCCGCGGCTTCCAAAGAGCCGATCCTTTTCTCCGATGCTTAAGTCATTTTTTTCAAGACTTCTCATTCAAATCTCAAAGTGTTTGCAAGAATTATTCAAACTGTACAAACATTTTACATTGAATACGCAGTTTTTTTGAATTTCTTTTTTATTTCTTCACCAGTTCTTATTTTGCTGATAAAAAAACAAAAATTCTGAAAAAAATTTATTTTCTCTTTGTATATTTGTTGTAAGGAATTTGTATACTTGTACAGTTTTCTTTTTGATTTTCAAGCTGATTAGCTAGGCGCTTATTAGTTTTTTAGGTATTCCAATTGCTCCATCGATTCTTCTTCGAGACTGCTAACTTACGAGTTTTTTTGTGGATCACTATCTTAGGCGCAACCTTTGCCTTCTCGTTTCTAAGTCATCATTTTTTGTCTCTTGTCTGTGATTTGTCATCACAAAAGGATCATTTTATCAGTTCCAGACTACACATTTTCTCGGAAAACTCCCATATAAAACGAGTCCCATGGGTCAATTACAAATCGTGCCACGCTTCATCCAACAATTTTATGCAGTTCATCAAGAAATCCAAACACCTCATTTATTGTGACTTTCCCATTTGTTTCATCTTCTTTTTTTCAATCCGAAGTTTTCCTATCAAAGACATTTTTTGCACTCTTTATTTCACGCATTTATTTTTTTCCAATTATTAAACATTCAGCTCATTTAATCAATTGCACGTTTTGTTTTTGTTTTGAAAAAGTAAACTTTTGTTTCGAAGAATTTGAATTTCAGTTCGTGATGCGTTGGAGTTCCAATCGCTGAGTTAATTTTTTCGATATTTTTTCAATTCACACAACGATCGATAAATCTGGTGTACTTCATTTAAAAAGGTTTTCAAAAAGCTTGAGGTACAAGCTCCTTTTGTGTTAATTACAACACCGATTATAATCACCAATAACATATCGTTCACTGACTTTCTAGATGGTTGTTATCTCTGGCTAAATTTGAAGAATTATTTTTTTCAACTTTCAAAATCTTAGTATTCTGACTGTTAATAACAGTCACAAAAAGATCAGCGCAAGTCCCGTATTTGAAAAACTGTATTTTTTTAATGGAGAAGAAAACTAGATATCTTCACTTTTGTATCCTTCTAACAAAAAAAGAAATTAAATGTGTATTTTTTTCTCCCTTTCAAGCACTTGGAACAGACGCCGAAAATTGGGCCTTTAGTGATTGAATTTTTCTAAAAGTTCTGTAGGGCCTAGAAACCTTTGCGAACTAATTTTTTGACAGCAAAAACCTTGAGCGAGAAAATTTTTAAAAAATTTCGGAAGAACTTTCAATGAAAAAAAACTGTAAATGGCGAGTTGTGATGTTTTTCAGCTTTTTCTTTCAAAAAACCGGGCGCTATTAAGAAACTAGAAAGTGGTGCCAAAAACTGTTTTTCAAAAGATTAGTGGAAAAAAATAATTGTTTTTCGTGGCAAACAATTGTGGGCACCTAGGGAAAGTGGGCCTATAAGAGCAGCGAACGTTGGTTTTTGACCTCAGAACGGCGGCGGCCATTTGGATCAAAACCGAGAATTCGCGCGAACGTGGCGTCGTCTTCGCAATTGTCATCATTTCTTCGACACACCGATTCTTTTGCGACTCTCTGCGATGGCTCATTTTGCCGTTCTGTCCACCTGGCGCGCGGTCCTTTCTTTTCCTTTTTTTTTCCTTTCGAGTATTCATTTCAAACATTCAGCGTAAATTAAACTATATCCGTCTGGAGAATTGGTGCTTTGAACCTCAAAATGTTATTGGTTAATTTTTTTCCGAAGCGAGGTTACTGCAATTTACAACAATATGAAATGGAAATATATACTTCATAATGAAAAAAATAACCTATTACTGGAGAAATTTTTTTATTTTTTCCCAAATTTTTTTGAAATCAGCATAAAACAAATTTATTGTCGTTTCAAAAAAATGTTCAAATAACGAATAAAGAAATTTCCAATTTCTGACTTTTTTTATTTTTGATTTTTTTACGTTTTGAAAAACGGTAGTCTCTGGGAACAATCAATGTTTTTTGTACGCCCATAAGTGAAAAATTTGAAACTCGTTGGTGTACAGAAAGATTGGAAACTCTGCTCAAAGCGTAAGAATGATGCAAGTTTCTCGCAAAACCAGCGAGATCATTCGATCAAAATCTAAGTCTTATCGCAAACATTTGCTTTTCATATCGCGCTGCCATCGCTCCGCCGTGCCACCACCTTCTCTTCAATCGTTCTATTTTCAGCAACCGGCAAAAATGACCAAGATCCCAACTGTCAAGCTCTCCAATGGCGTCGAGATGCCGATCATCGGACTGGGAACGTGGCAGGTTGTTGATGTTGAAAGCTTCAGAAGATAATATAGAATGTTTCAGTCGTCTCCCGAAGAAGTTAAGGCCGCCGTGAAAGCCGCCGTCCACCTCGGCTACCGTCTGATCGACACCGCCGCCGTCTACCAGAATGAGGAGGCCATCGGTGACGCCGTCCACGAGCTCATCGAAGAAAGCGTCGTCAAGCGCGAGGACCTCTTCATCACTACCAAGGTATCTTTTTTTTTCCTTGTTACGCTTGTAGATCGTTTTGCCAATTTTTCTCGAAGTTCTTGGAAACATCGCGGACAAGAAATTGCGTCTTGCTTCTCACAATTCAAAACAAAAAGTGCAATTTGTCTTAACTGACAATAGTTTGAAAATAAAACATGAAATTAGGCAAATTTTTTGTTTGTTCTCTCACAAAGCCGTTGACGACGTTCTATTTAATAATCATCGCAAAAAACTGCTAATGAAAAAAGAAAATTAAACACTAAGTTTCCATGCGATGACGATTATGATCATTGGAAAATGGAAGACTTGAATCCAATGAAATTCTATTTTTTGTGAGGGAAACGAGATTCTAAACTTGAAAAATGTTTTTTTTGGTTAAATGCGTGATTATGAACCTGAGAAAAAATGTATCACCTTTACAGGCATGGACCAGCGACCTCGGAAGCAAGGAAGCCCTCGAAAGCGCTCTTCGCGGCTCCCTGAAGAAGCTCCGTCTGGAGAAAGTAGATCTCTACCTTGCTCACATGCCCGCTGCCTTCAACGTGTGTTTTCGGATCGACGATCAATAATTTTCAAAGTATTTCAGGCCGATTGCTCCCAGCACCTGAAAGACGTCTCCGTCGAGGACGTTTGGGCCGCTTTCGAGCACGTGTACAACCTCGGCCTCACCAGAGCCATCGGAGTCTCGAACTGGTCCGATGAGCAGATCGAGCGCGTTCAGAAGATCGCCAAGGTCCCGATCCACAACTCTCAGGTATCAAAATTTCTACAGTATCATTGAGAGATCATTGAAAAAAAAATTTTGATTGCTCAACCATGGTGTGAACACTTTTTCAACAAAGAACGTTATTCTTTTGATAGAGAACAAATGGAATAAAATCTGTCGGATTTTTTAACATCTGAGAATGCCAAGCTTCGAAGTACAAATTATAGTTTGGGAATATCTCAGCCAAAAGCAAATTTTTCTCCAACTTTTCATAAAAACAATTTTCAGGATGAGCTCCATCTTTACTTTGCCCAGCACAAGCATCAGGAAGTCTGCAAGAAGCACAACATTTCCCTGACCTCTTACGCTACTCTCGGATCTCCTGGACGTGTCAACTTCTCTCTTCCCGGCGGACAGTAAGCAATCTTCAACTTGTCGAAAATAATGCTCAAATCAGGAAACTCAACTGGGCTCCGGCTCCTTCTGAGCTCGAAGACGCCAATGTCAAGGCTCTCGCCGAGAAGTACCACAAATCTCCTGCTCAGGTAATTTAATAAAAGTCAATATAATTAACGAATCTATCTGAATCTTTTTCAGATCCTTCTTCGTTACGCTCTTGACCGGGACATTGCCATCATCCCGAAGTCTGTGAACGAATCTCGCATCAAGGAGAACTTCGCTCTCTTCGACTTCAAGCTCACTCAGGATGAGATTAAGAAGCTCGAGTCTGCTGGCCACAACCAGCGTTTGTTCCTCCAGGACTTGTGAGTTTCTAAAGTGAATATGAAATGAAGGTAGCCGATTTTTTTCAGCATGATCGACCACCCCGAAGATCCTTTCAAGAACGAGCGCCACTAAGCTCTTCGATCTCGTTGGATCTGCATCATAATGCTTTACTGTTCCATGTTTTGTTTTTTTCTCTATAAATTGTTCTGTATTATCTATATTATTGAGTTTGAAAAGGGTCATGAATTAAATCGGATCGGTAAAAAGAAAAACAAAACGACCCTGGACGAATTAACAAAGTTTGAACTAGTCCGAATCAGGTTTTCAACGGTCTCAACTTGAAGAAAAGGACAATAACAAGTGTATTTTGCACTAAACAGTCCACTTTGGTTGCCAATCATCGTGAAGTACAAGCAAAAAGTTCGAACAGAGTTTCAGGCAAAAATATATAAGAGAAACAAATAAATGCCGCCAAGGCATCGCGAAAGATGTAAAAAAGAATTTTATCATCGAGTATTTGTGTGACTTTTGTCAGATTTTAATCAAGCATTATAAATTATCAGTTTGGTTGTGACCTGATGAGTAAGAACAGGAACAGAGCTGACGGAACTTGCAAAAAAGTTCAAAAGGTTCTGAATTAAACTTGATCACCTCTTCGAAAACTAACTTTTTCAATCTCGTGATTCGAAGGAATACGGTCCAACTTGTAAAAGATATTAGGCTGAGAAACCTGTTCTAATTTTATTCCATTATGAAGGCACATGCGGCAATATGCAGATCTTGTAGCTTTTCAAACGAGGACTAATGATTGAAAAATATGCAAACATTATCTCCAAATTTCATATTATGGGCGAAAAGTTAAAACGAATGGCATGTTCTGAAACATTATTTCACTTTTTTTGAAATTATAACGACTGCATACGATTTGATAACGTCGAAACCCCAGTTTTCCATATTTAATAAACTAAATTTTCCAAAAAATTTCTCGTGATTTTATTTCAATATAACTATTTTTTGCCAGCCCGCAGGCTGGCTGTTCCAAAAATGGATCACTTTAGCTGAGACGGAGTCTCACCCAGAAGGCGCCACGCGAAGGCAGCGATCCGAGCCTTCCTGCTATGATGTTGGTGAGGATAGTAATAGCGACTAAGCAGAGTCGCCGTCTTTTCATAAGGATCCCGCTGTCCCGACTCGCACCGGCTTGCGCGCCCTTTATCTTCTATTCTTACGGTTTTAGATAAAATAGAAATTTGCAGAGTTTCAATTACCTTAAAGCATAAATTGGTTCCCAATTAGTATGAATGTGTGCCTTTCTCTTTATCAAAGCTTTACTTGACTGTCTTCAAAGTAATAATAATGATTAAAATTTTTTTGTTAGCTTCCCTTCCAGACGAAAAATACTTTTTTATGATTTCACTTTTTCTGGTATTCAGATAGAGGCCGGCATGATCAACTTTTTGAAGTTCTGGTTCGACGTCGTTTGAAAAAAAGTTCAGACATTATTCCAAAAAAGGTTCTCGTTGAAACCGTTGCGAGATCGTTCATGTGAAAAGTTCAAAAATTCAGGTTTCTCTCATTTTTATCAGCACGAAAACGCGGAAAAAGATGTACATTTGCAAACAAAACGATGGAAAATACGTTTTCGCACAAAAAGTTTGATGGATAGAATGACCATGCTTGATAAAAATCCAGTTTTCTTTTTCATTCCACAAGGAGAAACCATAAATACTTGCGACCTTTCTTCAGAAACACCAGTTCGAATAATCCCACTGACTTTTTTCGCTAAAATCTTTGTCAAAGCTTCAACCAAACAGTTTTGGTCATAAAATTTCTTCTCCGCTTTGGTTTAACGACGTGATAAATCTGAGCCATTCCCGCTAAAATCTTCAAATATCCAGAATGATCCCCAAGAGGAGGCGAAAAAGTGCGAATCACGTACCCGCGATTCAAACCGACGAGAAGATCTTTTCGAGTAAACGACGTTTTTTTTTTTCATATCTGTCGGTTCCGGCTCAGGTCTTTCAATTTCCGTCGCACTCGATTCCATTAACTTTGCCCAATTCACTGCTCTTTCATCTCCCACTAAAGACCGTTTAACTTTTCGCCAAACCTTTGCACACGATTAACCTCCATCATTCTATCTTGATCTTATTTCCATATCCTTGTCGACGTCGGTTTTTTTGTTTTGTTGTGTTTTTTTTTCCTTGGCAGCTAGAAAAATGAAGAAGATTCTCTGCAGAACGCCGCAAAGGTTTTTTCTAGCCTCGAGCAATTTTTCAAAAATAAAACAAATTTGTTTTTCCCTCCTGAGCCATTCCAATACTTTAAGGCAAAGCGCTTTTCAAACGGTTCAATAATCTTCTAAAGAACCAATTTTCCAACTCGCTGAATCTGTATTTACTTTTCCTTATTGCGACATTGTGAATAAAGCCATTTTTTCTTGAAAACATTTGATTCCATCTGTTGATTCAGCCGCTTGAACCATGTTTTTTACGACTTTGAGCCGATCCCAGTGGTTCTCAAGTTTTTGACGCCGTTTCAAACATGTGTTCTCAATCCTTTCTGCATATATTTGTCGCATTTGTTTGAGAACATAAGTTTCCCGAGAATTTCCCCGGTTTCACATCCAACGTTTTAGTCCTGCAGTTCAAAAATTTGCAGTAAAATACATCCAGGTTTTTTTTTCCTTTTATCCAGAGCAAAATCTAGGGTAATTGATATTTCTTTTATGAATCAGCTTTTTTCATTTCCTAATCGTTTTTTTTTTGGTGGTTAGGAAAATAACATACTTATGAAATCTTGAAAGAAGTGGGAAAAAATTGGACTTCAAAGTCTCATATAAAGACATATTTGAGAGTTTTTTCTGTATTTTGAAGGAAATTCCTGAAAACTCTGTTTTTCGCTATATGTGCTCAGAACCAACAATTTCTGCCCTTCCGAAGCCATGAAGCTGTTTTATCGGTATGTCTGAGAGAAAAATGATTCTTACTACCTATGTTCATGAAAGCAGCGTAAACCCTACCAAAACACTCGTTTTCGAATCCACAAAAAGGTAATTTTTTGTCTCTCAAGCTCCGCCTCATGATGCGAAAGCCAAGCAGATTTTTTCCCGCCCAGAAACTCGGCCATGTTTTGAATATAGTATATGTATAGTTTACATGAAACAACCATAACTTCCGTTTATTTAGCTCTTTTGCATATTGATAACATTCAAGCGGCTTTTTATCCAATTTCTCGTGTGCAAATTTCTCCAACCCCGTATAAACTTACTATACGTTCTTAACTCGAAAAAGCTCGTGTTTGACCTTTTCGAACAAATTTACTTTTTTTTATTTTTTTTCAGGAAGGTTCGATCGGGTCGTAGCTTCCGACAGTGGATGCAGAGACTTCAGTAAGTTCTTTTTATTATTAATAAAGTATCGAACATACCAGAAACTGCTTTTTTTCTCTTTAAGCTCATATCTGGCAAATATTGAAGCTTCATTTCCCAAGAACTGAGCAAACTACAAATTTTTTTCTTTTTGGGCTTCAAAGTTTGATTATTTAAAATAAAAAAACATCCCTGCAAAGTTCGATCAAAGTCTCAACCGGCTACCAAAAACTTCACGCATTTGGAAGCTCCTGGGTGAGTTTTTTTTTGATAATACTATTATTGACAACGATTTCTCTGGTGAAATTGAGTATTTCAACAGTTTCGACAACGGGAGGAAATAGCTGCAAAAGTTCGAATAGTCTCAAAAATCTGACCAGACAACCGTTGTTATCGGTCACAGATGTCTTTGGACAGAAGATGTGCTTCGGATTCACTCAAAATATCTTGATACAAATTAATTAGCTAACTAAGGACTACTGATGTGTTTGTACTTATGTCTGTTTACTACAGAAAGGTCAGAATCCTCTTTCGGGCAACGCGAATGAGAGGAATTTGAATGCATGCAGGAACAGTAAACATGTAAGAAACTGGCGCTTTAACTTTGAAGCTTAGAATAACTCCGAGGTTTTAAGATTTGTATATCTTTAAGAAAACTTTTTGACAAGTGGAAAGTAATAAATTTTTCTTTGAAAATTAAATTTACTCTCGAGTTCGTGCTTTTCCTCTAATAACACAAAGAATCAATCTTGAAATTCAACTTATCATTTTATTTTGCAGCTGGGAATTCTTCTGAAAACTGATTGGAACACTCTTTAAAGTGCCAAATAAGGCTTTGAAAGTCTCAACGTGCGCGACTTCCTATTTTTTTAGAGAACACCTCCAAGCCTCAGAAAACCCTCTAAATCTGTAAAAATGAGCTTTTTTTATGACTTGAGGCCTAATTTTTAAATGGGAACTTGGGAAGGTTGAGATTTTTTTGGACCACGGTTCGGTGTTCTTAGAGATATTCTAACGACTTTCTAAGGAGCTTCCAACCGAAAAGAATATTATCTTCTTTGTTAGATGAATCCGAGAAAGAAATTATTTTCTTCCAGTTCAGGTTTCATTTGAACACCCTATTTTCATGAACGCGTTGATGAGTTGGACATTTTTGTTCCATTTGCTTTTTATCGAACTTTCAGTTTTTCAGGCGGGAGGCTCTATGTATAAATACTTTTTTTCTGTTAAAAAAAGGGGCCTTTGTTTCATAATTGCTCAAATTATGATCAAATTGTTCCCGTTCAACTCTTCCAATTGCAAAAAAACATCATAGAGGGAAAAGGGAGAGAGAAGGAAAATAAACGAGAAAAAGTTCCAGTTCTTTGTAAATGAACTCTCTCGGTTTCTCTTCCGATGACAGTAAGAACGCGTACTGCAAATAAACGTTTGTCATCGCAAAAAGTCCCAAAAATTCATGTTTAATTATAGTGACGATCAATCTTCGGCTTCTAATTGTTGCTTTCTGGACTTTTGAACAACTGAACGCCAACTTGCACATTATTCTCCGAACATCCTTATTTATATACATTCATACATGCCATTATTTTCCTCCACTTTACATCTCTCATTTCCAGACATCACAGCGTCCTCCGTTGAACAAACATCTCAGTGCATAATTTCACAGCTGGTTGCGCTTTTTTTGAAAAGAAACACGAATGAGAGAATCTCGCATAATATTCAGTGCGTTCGGGAAGAACAAAAGCCTGAAAACACTGGTTTT